ATCAAGCCGATGTATTTTATAGTGAGTAAGCTGAAAAAAATGGTTGCAGCTGATGGTTGAGGTTTGTTTATGTATGCATCGCACTATTTAGGGCCCTTTAACCCTTGAGATCTATGCCCCACAAGTACCTTGTAGACAGCCTCGTCTTTTTCTTTGGTAATAAGGCGACGAGGGCTAGAAAAGTTCAAGTGATCACCTCTCGACAACAGGTAGTGAATATGCAATGTCGTGACAAGCTCGATTCTAGCATGGTCGAGTAATTTTTGGTTAGACCCACGCGGCGATGGCCAACGGTGTTAGTTTACCTAGGAAAGCAGGTTGGATAATTGGTGGTTTATTTTTGGACCCCATGCTTCCGAGATTCAGACATTTCTAGGGAAGAAAAGTACTTCTGCAAGATGTCAGTGGCTTGCAATCGGCGCAGCTCGTACGGATATTAGAGTAGTTACCCGGTCTAAACAGGTAGGAGTTTCGACGGCTTACCTTATTCCGGATCCCAGTGGCGGTGGTCACGAAATGGGTAGAGAACCCTCAGTGCATCGAGGCTAGTCCTATCGAGGCAGTCGAGATGCAGAACCAATGATGGATGATTCTGATCCCCACGGGTGACGCCAATCGGTAGGACAAGTACAACAGAAGGCCTAATTGATCGACAGTGCTTATTTCTTAGAGGGACAAAGGTCTGACGGGAGAGGTAGTATTCGGGTGACGGCAATCCGGGCTCTGCCCCTTATCATCTCGTATACATGTGTGCCTCAGGTAGAAGCTTCACTGGCAAGCACCTTGTTTCTACGACGCTGTTGGGTCATCCTCGGTGATGAGGTAACGGTTGCAGTTTGTACGAGTATGAGTAAAGATCTATCGTCCAGATTTGCGGGGGAAACTACGCCCTGGTTGGATGTACAACCGGCCGCTCTGTACGAGGGTAGCATGCACTGGAAAACCTCAACAGCTGAGTAAGTTGGTAACTCGTGAGATCCTTGGTTCAATATGTCATCGCAGTCTCTTACTGCCCACTCAGATTTAAATACGTATCTACAATGAGATTGCCTTTCAGCCTTTCGGCCTTCCGCAAGAGCTGTGCATTGGCCCTTCACATCCTTGAAACCGCCTCCCCTCCCCCTCCTTATTGGAGGCCTGTATACTGCTCAGGTCTACCTCGACCTGCCTTCTCGCACCCATTACAACCGCAACTCTTGACCCGCTGTCCATATGCTCTAGCACCATTCAGAAAAGACGACAATCATGAGACATGCACCCTGCAAAGCCGATGCCTTTTATGAAGGACACAACTCTCGTTGCATGCACCATCTCCTTCACACTGCAACATCCATATCATGTCGAAGCCCAGTTCGCTCAGGCGAAGGCTCTTGAGCGAGTTTGACGAAGTCCCTTTGCATCACGGCCGACAGTCCAAGGATCATAGTGAGGCCTATGGCAATGATCTCCTCCAGGACGCTCATGCACAGATAGATTGTGGCATTGCCATCGATAACCGAGAAATCGTGATTGGTGGTGTAGTCGCCGATTGCCGAGTAGATCAAGCGCACCAGCAGGAAGGGGTAGGAGAGAAAGCTGGCAAGAAAGAGCCTCTTCTGAAACACCCTCATGTGATAACGGAGGTCGGCATATAGCCAACCGCAGGCTAAGATGACGATGACAAATATGGCGAGGAAGATGCCCATTGACGCTTTAACCATGCCATCTGCATGATAGGTGGTGTTGCTATCATCTGCAGTGCTGACTCCTGCGATGCCGAGGGCAAGGGCGATGAAGCCGGCAAGAGTCAGCAGCTTGACTAGTCGGGGATTCATCCTTTGGTCCATGTCGCTGTCGAGGTTGTATCAGTCAGTGTACGTCCAGGCCCACCAAATTCGCTCTAGCCAACTCACATTTGTCTGAGAATCCCGACATAGGTCAACAACAGAGGCGCAATACCGATGAGCTCGCACACTGCCACGGCAACCTCTACGTTGTAAGAATCGTGGCTGATGGTCAACAAGGAACAAATGCTGCCTGCGATCCGGATGAGGCCCAGTGTCACAGCGAATCGCCAGATCTTGCTGCCGATCCTCCAACCGGTTCGTTTCCAGATGAACAACGCAGCAGCGACAACAAATGGAAAAACGATGAGTTGGAGGATGGCTATGCCATCTCGATATGTCACGGCGCCCATCGTAGCGCAACACGAATAGTAGAAGCAGAAGTATTCAAGGAATAAAGTAAAGTTGTCAAGGCACTTGACTACGACCCAGGAGACGGACAGTTGCCCCCCTTTATATTTTCGAACGGCATTCTGTCCTTTCGAGAGCCGCAAGAACACAGCCATGGCTTTGGACGTGTTTCACCGTCGCACTTTCACCGAAGCCCAATATGTTGATTGGCGGAACATCTGGCCTACCCAAATAGGACTAAGTTGTTGAATTTGGGGCCCGTAGGGCCAAAATAATGCTTAGCAAATCAGAGGGCTCTCTGCTATTCAGGCCTGATCGAACTGCCAGGCAAGCGAAACCTTTGGAAAACGTGTTTCTTAGTTTCGCAAGACTAGGGGCTTACGGCAAGATCGACTGAATGATGGTCCACTAAACCTCCCCAGAATATACTGGAGTGACGACGTACTTTGAAGGTCAACTTTGGGCCATGCTCTGCGCGTGGACTTGTTTGGATATACGCATATTAGGCATCCCAATAAAGGCAGGAATCCCTTGATGCCCAATTCCGGCCTATTGTCCTCGTCCTTGTCTCGTAGAGCTGAAGCAGATCTTATGCTTAGCAAGTATGGCGGACTCGGGAGACTGCAACGCTGATTTGACACCGGTGAATCGGGGGATACTCCGGTTGAGTGCGGTCTGTTGTCATCAATGCTTGTTTAACCAAGCTTTCTTCCTGTGTGCTTGTCAGAACCGGCAGCGTTCCAAGCCACCTCCATCATCGTGCCCATAACGACATGTCTCGCCCACGAGCTTCTCGAAGTTGTGCTAACTGCCGGGCGGTCAAACGACGGGTAGGTGACCTTCTGATATCTAGTTTCCCACATTATTCATGGAACTACCCGTGTTTCCGCGAAGGCAATGCTAATCTCGTCCTTTCTCCTCTAGTGCGACCTCCAAGTTCCTCATTGTGGACAATGCATTCGTTTGCGGGAGAACTGTTCTGGATACCGAGATGACTGGGAACTCGTCTTCCGTGATCAGACCGATCATACTATAACGCGTGCCAAGGAGAGAAGGGCAGAATCAGCGACTGCCAGCCGAGCTGGCTACTCAGCTTCGCCTGCCTCTGGGCCCGGACCCAGTATTGACGAGATTGGTGTCAACTACTTCCTGCACAACTTCGTCATCGGGGGCCAGTCTCCTTCGCGTGGATTCCTGAACTACATTCCGACTGTTTTCAATGCTGACAACCAGCACCCGACGCTGGTGGCCAGCATCGCCGCCGTAGGCCTCGTCGCGCTGGCCCACTCCACTCAACAGCCTGGATTGGCTAATCATGCGCGCATCAAATACTTGGAGGCCATTCGAAATGTAAACGCGGCGCTGGCGTCACCCGGCGAGTCCCTCAAGGATAGCACCTTGATGTCGGTAATTTCTCTGGGGGTGTTTGAGCACGTTTCGAATTTCGAGTCATGGGTCCGACACGTTCAAGGGGCTGCAGCACTGGTAGTTGCTCGTGGCAAGGATCAATTTTCCGGACCATCGCAGATTTTCATGTTCAACCAAGTACGTGCGGATCTGGTGGTAGTATGTCTCCATCAATGCCAGCCATACCCAGATGATATGCGAGAGCTGCAGGAGGAGGCTAGCAAGACCATGGCAGCCTCTTTTGGATTTTGGGTGCTGGGCACGTTGGCCGTTCGATGTGTGAACCTCTATGAGAACTTGGTCAACAACCACGGTCGCATCTCTGTCTCCACTTTCCTGGAAGAAGCAACTTCCCTCCAAGATGATTTTCAGCATGTCCATCCGCTACTCGCTGCAGAAGAACCATACACAAGCAACCCCGACTCTTGTGGTGACCCGGAAGCATTTTATAATGGTCGATTTGACCTCTATCACTCTTCGTGGGCAATCAGACTCTGGAATAACTTGCGAATGCTTCAATTGTGTGACTGCGAGATCATATGCTACCTGCTGAAAAAGGTTCTTGACACCGATCTCGAGCCTGTCATCAGAACACACATGACACAAAAACTCCACGAAAGTCTACAGATCCTGTACAAGCTAGTGGATGATATCCTTGCTACCGTCCCACAAGCCTTGGGGCTTATATCCCCTGTGTCCGAACGAGATTTGTCGGATGATTCCTCCTCCCCGGCAAGTGTACCGGGCGGATACATGCTCATCTGGTGTCTCTATCTAGCAGGAAAGTCCTCGAACATCAATAATCACACCCGAGATTGGATCAAACGGCGCCTTCAGACCATTGGCGAGACTGCAGGTAACGCAATGGCCCTGCAGCTTCTCCAAGATATAATCAGAATCGAAAAAACCTTCGTTGGCTCTCAATGATGAAGAGTTGGGTTTCGGGTTCAGACCCCTCGCCTCGTCTAGGATCGTTGCGGAGAGGGCCAGAGCTGAAGGTATGGTTCCTTCCAAAATACGGTAGGCATGCTGGCCATGTTCACTACCTAGAGTACTTTACATCGAGGTCGCGCGAGACTTTGCGGTAGAAGCCGTGGAACCTGGTTAACGAGGGGGGGCTGGGCGATAAATCATCCAATGTTCGGATATGTTCGTGATCAGACCCATGTCTAGGCATGGATTCACAAGCAAATCAAAGAATGCTCATTTCTCGACGAAGGGTAGTTATGATTTGCCACGAGGGTCCCACCAAATTGTATGTAAACAGAGTAAACCACGCGTTGGCGGGACGTATTTATTTTTGTTCTCTGCCATGTTGGCGATTTAGGCAAAGATGACTAAGCTCGATCACGTGCACCAAATTCTGGGGTGAAATGCGCGTGCATGGCGACATGGAGTCATCGTTGTCAACATACTTCTCGCTCATTTTATCTTTGTTGGCAGGGTTTGTCGCTGCGTTAGATGCCACAGAAAACAAGTCCTCGGAGGCAGCGGGCACGGTTGGCCCTCGACGGCGCAGCCAGCTTGCCATCATAGTGGTCACACTGACTTTCATTCCTCAATTCGCGCGAACACGACTCTCTCGCGTGACACGAATGCACCAACGGCCAATGGCCATGACACGCATACCTTCTCCTAGCAATGGGCATCCGAATCACATCCTGGAATGTCAATGGCATTCGTAATCCTTTCGCGTACCAGCCATGGCGCGACAAACGAACCTTCGAGGCCATGTTCGAGATTTTAGAGGCAGATATTGTGGTGTTTCAAGAGACCAAGATCCAAAGGAAAGACTTGCGAGATGACATGGTCCTGGTGCCGGGCTGGGATAACTACTGGAGTCTCCCCAAGCACAAGAAAGGTATCAATGCGACCAACTTCAAGTCACGATATAACTGACAGTGCCAGGATACTCGGGTGTAGTCATATACACTCGAAACGCGACTTGCGCGCCCATCAGAGCCGAAGAAGGCATCACCGGTGTTTTGACTCCTCCCAATTCGGCCACCAGTTTCCGGGATCTGCCGCCAGAAGAGCAAATCGGGGGATATCCAAACGCAGAGCAGCTGTCGGAGGCGGACTTTGACCCTGCCACTCTCGACTGTGAGGGCCGATGCGTCATTTTGGAATTTCCGGCTTTTGTCCTCATCGGAACCTATTGCCCTGCCGAACGAGATGAAACGCGAACGCACTTCCGGACGAGTTTTCTGCGGATCCTTGATGCGAGAATACGAAATCTGGTGAACATGGGCAAGAGAGTGGTCTGGACAGGCGACCTCAACATCTCAAGAGAAGAAATTGACACAGCGGCGGCTGAAGAGAGTATGAGAAAGCACGGTCTCGACGCTGTGGAGTGGATATCTACCCCAGCAAGGCGAATGCTCAATCAACTTCTGGTCGGAGGCAAGGTCCACGGTGCAAGGGATGAAGGACGGGAGACCCCGATACTGTGGGATCTTTGTCGTGGTTTCAACGAAGGTCGCCACGGCATGTACACTTGCTGGGAGACCAAAGTCAATGCTCGTCCTGGAAACTATGGCGCGAGGATTGACTACGTCATTTGCAGCCACGACATGAAAAACTGGTTCTGCGATGCCAATATTCAGGAAGGGCTCATGGGTTCCGATCACTGCCCTGTGTTCGCCGTACTCAACGACAATGTGAGCATCGATGGAGACACCCGGCACATCCTGGATATCATCAACCCGCCCGGCATGTTCGAGAATGGGATCCGCAAGTATGAGTGGTCGAGCAAGAACATGCTGCCCATGTCTGGCAAGTTGATTCAGGAGTTTGACAAGCGGCGGAGCATTCGAGATATGTTCACGCAGAAAGAGTCATTACCAAAAGCCAAGAGTACTGCATCGGACATGGACGACAGTCTGGTTGCGGTGCAGCCCTCGGCGCTCCCTCTTGCCGCTACAACTACCAAGTCTACTCCAATTGAAGGTGCAGCCTTATCAACAACAACCTCACACACTTCTACCGATTCCAGACCCGCCACCGGGAAACGCCCCGCGAAACCTGATACCCTCCCTGCGGCCAAGAGGAGCAAATCACAGTCAACTCCCAACGGGGCTGGAAAAGGCCAACAGAGCCTGCGAGGGTTCTTTACGGCCAAACCCTCAGCTCCAGCGAGCGCAGCAGATGTCTTGTCGACAGCTGATCCAGAACCCACCAAGAACGAGGACACGATGCCGACTGAGAACTCTCTAGCTGCCGTGACCGTGATTTCGCCGTCAAGATCAATCGCCTCATTTGAAGACGAAGCCGCCAACTTTGCCTCGAAGCAGACATGGGGTAAACTGTTCTCGAAGCCGGTTGCACCAAAGTGCGAGCACGGCGAGCCCTGCAAGACAATGGTTACAAAGAAACCAGGGGTGAACTGCGGCCGATCATTCTGGATGTGCAACCGGCCACTGGGTCCAAGTGGGAAACAGGAGAAAGGAAGTCAGTGGAGATGCTCTACCTTCATCTGGGCCAGTGACTGGGATGCGCGTGAACCGGGATGAGAAGGAACATTATGTGCTCCAGACTCGAAATTTGCCAGGACTCTAATGCCCACCAAAAACTGACAAAACTGACAAAAATATCGTGGAGAGAGACCGTGCCAACAATTCTCGCTTCGTGGCTGCCACAGCGCAGGCCGGGGTTGTTTCCCAATCCAAGTCTGCGGGAGAGGCTGACAAGACAGTGGCTCGTTGACGATCGGAGTCATCGCAGCTGTTTGATGTATCTTTTGAGAGCTGGCAGCGAGTAGAGGCTGTGCCACCCCAAAACAATCTGGGAGTCAAAATTTCTGGTGAGCTGCTCACAGACAGGCTTTACCATCTCAACAATCTCCATTAGATCTCGAATCTACTGCCCCGTAGTGTCGTCTTTCACGGCCATCCTGATCCTCCACATCCGCCTTGATTGGCCGTCCCAGCGACTTTTCAAATGAGACTATCATCTGCCCATTGCACACATGGAGACCTCCAGCCTACCGACAGATGTCATCGGCACTTGTGTGTTGTGTATAGACTTCAAAGGACGTGGTGCGGATATCTTTCGACGGGTTGTGTTTTCCAATCCGCATTTGTAATCGACGCGTTCCTCAGACATTCAAACCCCGTGGAGAGTCTTTGTGACACAAACTCGGGCAAGATGGTAATCATTTTGGTTGTCTTACTGAGTTGGGGGGACGACAATTATTGCAAACTTCGTATTATTCCCATCATCTAAAACGTGCCCTCTGAGCCCACAGTGCTAAGTGAGGGCTCAGTAAACGTCCAGAATACCTTCGTTTAGACTCGGCCAGTTTTGGCAAGACTTCCTCGATGGGCTAGTGCGTGGGGACCTGCGGGCCTCTCGACAACCATCGTTTGGCTGCTTTTCCCTATGGGCTTCGCCTAACGCATTTTCAGCATTATTTCCATTCCGGGGGTGAAATGCTATATCTAGCAACCTGCTATATGTAGTAACAGTAACACATGCAGTCCCGGGTTTGATGGGCATCTAGAGTGTTGTGGACTGACGATGAGATTGTCGCGTTGATTTGTCATTGTCCTAGATGACCCTTTGCCTGACACGAGAGGTCAAGTGTTTACTGAATCGCGTAAGTAGACGGTTGATGAACAGTATATAAAGGAAGCAGGCAAGAACGACACTTCTGCTTTCGTATCCCCAAGTCATCTCTTCACTCGTCCATATATTCAAGAAAACATCACAAAGTGTTTTAGCTAGCGATAATCCAAAAAAGAAAAGGTCAACGAACAAAATGGCACCGGTCAACGTAGGCAGTCTTGTCTACAACTACCAGGCCATCGACGTGATCGGTCCCACCGACCTACTCAACTCGTCGGGTGCAGAGATTGCCAGCATCTTGAAACAACTCATCCCGATCGAGGATGAAGTGCTGGAAAGAGCACCGGATTTCAAGTTCCACCATATTGGACTGACCCGCGACCCCGTCAAGCTCTTGACCAGCAATTACGAAGTAATCCCGACCACGACGGTCGACGATTGCCCTGAGCTGGATATCCTCCTCATCGGCGGCCCCGACCCCCTCTCGTTCCAACTGGCCCCAAAGTACGCAGAATTCATCCGTCGCCACGTCGCCTCAGGCAAACCCACCTTCTCGACCTGCACGGGCGCTGCGGTCCTGGCGGCGGCAGGTGTGCTCGACGGTAAAAAAGCAACCATCAACAACATCGAGTACAACTGGGTCAGCAAGCAATTCCCCAAGGTCAAGTGGACAAAGGAACGGAAATGGATCATCGATGGAAACCTCTGGACTGCGAGTGGAGCCGTGGCTGGGATGGACATGTTTGCCCACTGGATCAAGGAGAATTACGGCCTGGCTATCCTGACACACGGTGCCTTGGGTTTGGACTTTGAGCCTCGTGACAGCGACGGCTTGTTCACCGTTCTGCCAAAGAGATATGGCAAAGATGGCAAACAAATAGCCACTCACCACGTACCGGTATACTTGTGATAGGTGTCTGAGGACAGAAGAGAGGCTCCTCAGCTCAAGGTAGAGATAGACCCCATGGGCTCGTCAAAAGGCAAAAAGGGAAATAGAGGTACGGACGGGAAGAGGAAGAACGCCCAAGTACCATGCTTGCTGGAATGCTTTTCCAAAGCATCTTTGCGACACTCATTTCCCAGACTAGCCCTTTTGCTATGTAGGTAATTTTAAGTCACTCATTTTACATTCTCGTTTATTTAATTCCTCCGTCCATATCGAAACTTAGTTATAGTGGCATTCCCAAGGTTCCTAATGGGTTGTCCCTGCCCCTTGTGTTCTTCCATCCTCCGGGGCCTTTGGGACCCGACAGAGAATCTTTCACCCTCACGCTTCGCTCTCAGACCCATGACGGTCCATAGTCTATCTTGAAAGGCAGTGAGCAAGCATGCAATCTAGACGCTTCATTAAAAGAAGGTGGTTTAGCAACTGTGATCTATATTGAGTCTCTATTCTTCCATTCAAGTGTTGACACACCTGGTACATTCTATGATTCTCATCATGCGTCTGTGTCTTCCTATGCACCCTTCATGAGACGCCGACCTCGTATTCATGGTGAAGCTTGTAGGCATCCCGATCCTTGACTCAGCGGGATTTCTCTGTGCAATACCATCACTTGTCACTCTCGAGATCGACCACAAAAAGGACAATCTTCACGGTGCTTTGTGAGATGATGGCCTTTGATGTACTCTAAACCCCTCTTGGCCTTGACATCGGTCCTGGCGTAGGACCATGGTTGGTATCTCATAATCACCTCCATTTTGGGGCCGATAAGGGATGGGCTCCGTAATTGTGAGAGTTCGGACCCTTTCACGGAGACGGTCTGCTGTAGCATTGAATGCAGCTTCATCGTAGCGGTCGACACGGTAGACCACGAATGGAGGCAACACATCAAAACCCGTGTAGTACAACATGCCGTGATTGATGGGAAACAGTAGGTCGTCGATCGGTCCCCCGATCCCACGCCCCGAGTAATGTTCCTCCCAGCCACCTGTGGTGACCACCACCATGGCCCTCTTGCCGGCGAACACCCCTTCGCCGAAGCGATCCCCCCAGTGCTTGTCGTTGTGCTCGCCTACACCATAGGCAAACCCACACGAGAAGACACGGTCCACCCAGCCCTTGAGGATGGCGGGCATGGAGTACCACCAGAGAGGGAACTGCAAGATGACAGTGTCGGCCCAGAGAAGTCTTCTTTGCTCGGCAATCACATCCTCGGTGAGACGAGCCGCGGTATATGCTTCAAGCGAGGCGTTTGCGACCCGTAGAGGCTCCTCCGAAGGAAACCCGCGGAAATCCTCTCGATCAATCTGTGACTTCCAGCCCATGGCGTACAGATCTGACACTTGGACTTGGTGTCCTTCGGTCTGTAGCTCCTCGATGATGACATTACTCAGAGCCGCGGTGAGTGATTGTCGCTCAGGGTGAGCCAGAACCACGAGGACTCGCATGCCTCGTAGATTTTAGGGGGGTTGATCCAATAATGCGAGACGAAAGATCGATATCGAGACCAAGCCAGACTCAGCGTCAGACAGGAAACTCTCATCGACTCGTTTCTGGGCTCATTAAGAATATATTAGGTGACCCCCCTTGAGCATTTTGATCACACCACAGCACAATTGGCCTCATAACACTCGCAATTCAGATGCATAATTATCTAAGCATGGTTGGCATGATTTGATGATGAGACTTGAATTTCAAGTACGAAGAGAATCCTTTTTCGTACAAGGCAGTCGATAGTTACTGTGCTTTGCCGCAATATGCCGACTCTGCTTTACAGTATCTTTGTTGAGTTTGAAATACGTGCTCTCCGGTTCGGGATCCGGCGGCACACGACACAGCCATGTCGGGCCGGATTCTAAAGCGGGCCATTTTTGAACATCACGCTAGTTGATTCTTTACTAAGCATGTCTGGTCAATAGCTTGGGATCAGAGGCGAACACTATTAGAGAGGGTATGATAAGTGGACGCCCTCCATTTTGATATGCGGGTTAAGCGATACCATTTTCAAATGCCGAAGCTGGTAATGCATTTTCCGAATTGGAGGGTAAATCACCGAGCCACCGAATCAAGGCACATTTGACTTCGTGTGAGTTCGAGATACTCGTACAATGCTGAGAAATCAACTTGATGGCATCGCAAATCTGGAGCAATCCTGTGGCACACCGCATACGTTGATTTCGCCAAATTCACGTTGCCGGGATCAAGATTGACCTCGATGTCACGGCTACCCGCGAACCCACGTACAAGCGCTCCAAGAGCTCACCCAGATGAATGCCCGATGCAAGGGAGTGATGGATTCGCAAAAGAGAGCATGCACCGAACAGTGATGAAGATCGTCATGAGTCTGGGCATAGGATTTCGAGACGTTTGTAAGTTACATCAAGGACAAAAAGTTGCCCTCTGTTACTCCTCAACGTTGAATTCTTCCTCATCGAGGCCAGTCAACAGCTCTCTTTATTCAAGTTCTACAGCTGCGTCGTCGTGGAATATGGTCGAGCCCCAGTCAGGCCGATTGAACCTCTTCCCTCTGGGCCTGGCTAGCCCATCCATGGCCTTCATCTCCTCCTGGCTCAACACAAAGTTGTTCTTCAGGTTTGCCTCGATTCGACGTGGGTTGGTACTCTTCGGGATCACGCTCCAACCTTTCTGAATACCCCAGCTCAGCATCACATTGCCGGTGTCGACTCCATGCTTCTTCGCCAACTCTACGATGACGGGGTGCTCGTGCAAAGTGCTCCCGGATCCGCCAAGTGGTCCAAACGCTGTCTGGTGGATGCCCTTAGCCTGACAGTAGGCGTGCAGCTTATCTTGAGGAAGCAGCGGCTGGATTTCCGTCTGGTTCACCGCAGGTACCACCTTGGCAACCGACAGGAGACGTTCGAGGTTCACGGTCGAGAAGTTTGCCACGCCTATCGCTCGCACCTTGCCCGTCGAGAGCAGCTTCTCCATCTCGCGCCAAGTATCGCAAAAGTCCCAGCCTTGGACGTGCGTCTTTCGGTCCTCTTTTCCATACTCGGCCCCTGTATCTGGACTCAACGTCACGGGCCAATGCATCAGATACAAGTCCACGTAATCCAGGCAAAGATCACGCAGCGACTTCTCAAGAGCTTGTGGTACGCGTTGATGATCCGAGGACCAGCTATTGTTTGGAAATGGTTCGCATCAGCCCTTGCTCCTTCATCGCTGATTGAGATCTTTTTCATTGACTTTGCAAACACAGCCGCCAGATGGATTTGTGAGAGGACAAATGGAGAATCACATACAGTTTAGTGGTTATGAACAACTTCTCACGTGGAATCTTAGTATCTTTGAATACCTGGCCAATCTCCGGCTCATTGAAATCTAATAGATGCCAAGATTCGTGTCAGCAGAGTCAATCTTTCTCGGAGTTTTCTCGAGAGCAGATGGCAACACAACGTACATAAAGGTGCGCAATCCTGTGAGACTTGTATCAGCCGGCACGCCACCGCTCAGGATGCCATTTCCACTTACGATGTGACGGTAACCTGCTTTCAGGGCCTCTTCTACCGCTTTGCCTGCATCTCCAGGTGCAGCCTTCCACGTCCCAAAGCCCACGGCAGGAATCTGTGCTCCAGTGTTGAGAGTGAATGTCTTGGTGGGCATAGTGGAATGTTTGAATGTGTCTTTCGAACTAGTCCAATAAGGAAAATATGGGTTTATCTAACAAAATTGAGTTGAAAGAAGACGATGGCTGAAGGGAACAAGAGAAGAAACATCCACGACTGGGCGGTTTCCTAATTTTATACTCTATCTGTCCTCGCTATTGTCGGAAATCATCCCGATCGTCACCGATGCAACGCGGACGGTTGCTATCCTGGAAAATCACGAGGTTCCAGATCACATTCTTACATTAGACTGTGAGATTATTATGCGAATGATGTTCCAGGGGGTTAAAATCGTCACAGTAGCTACTATAGCCCCACTTTCGAAAAGACCGATATTAGTTACCAGTTATTTGTTATCAGATCAATACAAAACGATAAGGCACAACCCTGAATCACCATGCCTAGGACTAGGGCGCACGTAGCATCTCGAACTCGACAGTATCTACATGCCAAACTATTCACCCTTCTTGCCCACGAAAAGCTGACTGTTCAGCTTTTCTCAATGTGGACGGCAGCTTCAGGGCCTTTGTTCTCCTCATCCGCAGGAACGATCGAGTGATTCTGTTCAGTCTTCTCAAGCACATCGTGACGAACCTTCTCTTCCTCAGTAGGATAGGCATGTTTCCACATGGTCCAAAGTGGTCGCTGGAACAAGTCGTCCATACTTTCGATGGATCTCCCCTTCAGCTCAGGCAGACAGAAATATATGAAGACTACGCCACCGTAAGTGAGCATAGCATAAAGTAGGAAAACTCCCCAACCCATCTCGGTGATCATGTTGGGAGTGGCACGAGTAATTCCGTAATCGACAATCCAGTTGATGAAGAAGCAGAAAGACATGCAAACAGATCGCTACAAGCCGTCAAAGTCAGCAACGATGGAGATCATGTCTGTAGGGAGGCCCATGCACTTACGATTCGGGTGGGGAAAATCTCAGCTGCCACGACGTAGCAAGCGACGCTATGGCCGAATGACCAGCCAAAAGCGTATATGTAGATCGCGATGATGCCGACAATACCTCCTGCTGGAGTACCACCCACGGTCTCGGTGTTGGTTCCAGCGAATCGGAGGTAAAGTGCAAGGTACAGCATCGCAGACGCTTGCATGATGGCGCCAACGAGCAAAGGCAAACGGCGACCAACACGGTCCACGAGGAATGCCACGTAGAAGATGGTGGTGACAAATTTGACGACGCCGTAAACACCGGTAGTCAGGAGACTGGACGACTCGCCCTTGACTCCGATCAGTTGGAAGATCTCAGGGGCGTAGTACTGTGATATTCGGTCAGCTAATTATCTCCCCTTGACGAGGACATGGAATTAAATCATACATTCAGAGAATCGGTGCCGGTGAACTTGTGGAACAAGAAAAGCATCACTGCCAGGAAGAAACGACGGAAATTGCTCTTGATGGTGAACACATCCTTTACCACCACCCAGTAGCTGTGTCCCTGGAAGCACTCTTGTTCATATCTGACCTGCGCCATGATCTCCTGGTATTCTGTCTGGATGTAAGGATGATCTGCAGGCAGCTTGCGAAGTTTGACGATGTTTGTCAGGCCTTGTTCCGATTTCCCATGGTTAATCAAATATCTTGGTGTTTCTGGCACGAATGGAATCATGATGCACATGAGAGCGCCAGGGATGAGCTGGATGCCTAAAGCAGTGCGCCATTGAGTGTCGTTGGTGTCTGTTCCAGGGCTCTTCCATAGACTAACGCCGTAGTTGATCCAGAAAGCCAGCATAAGGGAGAACAGGATCATGAGATTGTAAGTCGCCGTCATGGTTCCACGGATGGACTTGGGGGAGTTCTCCGCGAGGAATTGAGGTGTGAGCATCGAGCTGGCACCGACGCCGGCACCTGCAATGAACCGCCCAGCGATGAGCACACTGTAGTCAGGTATCATCTGCATAATGGCTCCTAGCAAGAAGACCAAGCCCCATAGAAAGACGGACCATTTCCGACCTAGGACGTCGGAGGTTGGAGCGGCAAGCAGAGCCCCTGCAGAACCACCAGCGGCCAGCATGGCTGCAATAGTTCCCTGGAAGAGGTCAGCATGCATTTGGGTTGCCATTTTCTAGGCACAGCTTACTCGTCTATCATCGTAAGCCTTCTTGGAGAGCTCATCTAGGCCGAATGCATGTTTGAATGAAGGCAGGGTCAAGACTCCTCCAATATTGCCTGTGTCGAATCCGTAGAAGCAGCCAGCCCAAGCGACCGAGATTAGAAGGTACAGAAGGCGCAAGTTGAAGATTGCTTTTGGGTCTTGCTTTGCCTGGGGGCTGACCCAGATACTGGTGCCTCCGGCCATTGTGAGACTTGTTGGACTTTGTTGCAGTGATCACAATGTTTCAAGCAGAGCTGCTCAGGAAGGATGGCAGGTTGAACAACAATGTCTTACGATCGAGGGACTGACATGTAGACTCTTCAGGGTAAGTTCGGTACGTGTTAATGTGTGGACATGGTCTTTATAAACGAGATTTGCTCGCTTCGATGTCACCTTATCCTTACCCCAGAGGAGGAACGGAGAAAGGAGAGGGGTTGACTATGGGGTGAGAAAACTATGAACTCGGAGCAGGGCCGTAGTGGCCGGGCTCATGTCGGATAGCAAACCGGCGCCATCCATTCTCGCCTTGAACCCCGTAGTATGGATCCTCGGTAGGTGGGGGATCTTCATTCTCTCGACCGGTGGGCCTCATGTGAGAAAGGCACTTCGATTTATAAGAATGATTCAATATTGAATTGCAACTGGTAGCGAGTTCAATAGTACCTCATACCACCCCTCACGATTCGTAGGAGAAAAAAAGCAATGGCTGCAACAACTACCACGATGGCAACAACGTCCGTCTCTGACACCACGTTGGTGGAATATAGCTCTCCATACCACAGACAGCAATGCTTTGTCCCAGCTGCGACAGCGCAATGCCATGCTTCTAATTTGTGTTTGCTTCATAATGGGGACCTCCTCTGTGCCTGGTTTGGTGGAAGCCAGGAGGGCAAACCTGATATTAGCATCTACATGTCGCGCCTGCGAGCTGGATCAACAACCTGGTCGGAACCGTCAAAAATGAGCCATGACAGCACGCGAAGTGAGCAGAATCCAATAGTGTTCGAAACCCCCACGAAGCAAATATGGCTTCTGTACACCTCTCAGCCTGCGGGCAATCAAGATTTTGCGATAGTCAAGAAAAGCGTTTCCGACGACGGTGGAAAGACATGGTCTGACGCTTGTACCCTTTTTGGAGAGCCGGGGACATTTGTTCGGCAGCCTGTTGTCGTTCTCGAGAATGGCAACTGGGTAATCCCAACCTTCAAGTGCAGAACCGAGCCCGGGATGCGGTGGGTGGGAAACGATGATATCTCATGTATCCGAGTGTCCACAAACCAGGGCAAGACTTGGGATGAAACACAAGTCCCCAACAGCTTCGGATGTGTCCACATGCAAATTCAACAGCTTAAGAACAAAACATACATGGCCCTCTTCAGAAGCAGATGGGCCGACAACATCTATGTATCTCAATCAGTCGACGGACTGGCATGGTCAGAACCAGAGCCCACGTCGCTACCGAATCCAAATTCTGGAATTTGCTTCGCAGTGCTTTCATCTGGGCGCATCGTTGTAGTGTACAATCACTCGAGCAGACTCAACGCCGAAGGGCGCCGAGAAGGTCTCTACGACGATATCGGTGAGGCTGGAGACAAACGCAAGAATCAGGGCAGCAAGCATGCCGGCAAGGATGCATTTTGGGGAGCTCCGAGAGCACCTCTTTGTCTGGGGTGGAGTGACGACGGAGCCAAAACTTGGAGTCACCGTGTTCTCGAGGACGGAGATGGGTATTGTATGACGAACAACAGCGAACAGAGACTCAACCGTGAGCTGTCGTATCCAAGTATCGTTCTGGACAAGACAGGCTCGATGCACATTTCTTACACGTTCTGGCGACAACGGATCAAGTATCTACGGGTGTCTAGTGATATCTTTCAGAATTGATGTGTCCTCTTCAGGAAGGGCAAGGGCTTTATGATAGTCCGGTTATTACTTTACTGTGGTTTACCATTTTGGCCATAATATCAGCTCCGGATCTGCCTTTTCTCTGGCATCACCTCAGTATTGAATGTTAAATATCAGGGTCGGTAGTTGTGAATTGTGACACGCAAGGTATAATTTGTAGATGCCTATCTAATGCTTGCTTGATCCATTGACCTGGGCCGGAGGCTTTCCTGGATAAGCGTCCGGTATCGAATTCTCGACCTCGACAAGATGCTTCATAACATTGACGATCCAACTCTGCATCTCCTTGCCCGCGGGCTTGTACGGTCGTCGCGGGTGAAAGCTAGTTGGATCATTCACACCAGCTAATGGGCCTGCAAAGTACCCAGCGCCGTATTTCGTGGCGGCAATTCCTTCCTTGCATGCCTTCTCTGCCTGAGCAACCAGGCCTTGCAATTCTGCAGCCTCTTGTACCTTTCCCTCTTTCCACAAGTTGTATAGACGACAGACGGATTTTGGGAACACGTTCCCGATGCCTGTAACGCAACCCTGGCCACCGCCCGCCAAGCAGGGGACAAGCCAGTCTGATTGTCCTGCATACACTCCAAACTGTTCGTGCTTGAACTCCTGGGTCAAGCGGGTCACCTTTCCCGCATTTCCACAGGTCAATTTGACGCCCACGATGTTAGGGTGCTTCGCAAGTTCCGAGAGAACATCCGAATTCAGATCGATACCGCTTGTCACGCCTGGGAACTTCAAATCTGTCAGCGCGTCCGAAGCATCTCCCCAATCGTGAGAGTGACCCACATTGTAAACGACAACAGGGATAGGGCTCTCGTCCGCTACGTCTCGATAAAATTCCAATATCACATCTTTCGTGACCGCTTTTGACCAATAGCTCGGAGGGAGGAGCAGACCAAAGTCAGCACCCGCGGCCTTTGCATCCTCTGCGAGTCGGATCGATTCATTTGTGGACTGCCCGCTGATACCAGCGACCAGGGGATAGTTGTTCAAACCGAGATCGAGTGCCGCTTTTCGAGCCGCCCTGATGAGATCTTGCCTTTCCGTAGGAGAAAGAAGAACTGCCTCTGCCGTGGTGCCGCTAAGAACGAGAGCATGAACGCCGCCGCGAATCAGGTAAGAAAAGTACTGGTGAGAGGATTCCAAGTCGATCTCTTGCCGAGTTGTCGAGCGATATAACGAGACAACAGGGCAATAGACTCCCTCTGGAAGCGGCCGTTGCTTAGCGGCAAGGGTTGAAGTCATTCTGGATAGTAGGGCAGAACACGAAACCAGATGCGCACTCTGAAATCTGTTTCTTGTAATGCGAAAGTCTCGGTGCTAACTCTTTCACAATTTGCCAACAATATCGTTGTTAAATAAATGCATACAACGTCGACGATGTATAACCAAGGTTGTTAGGTGCAATCCGAGCCGTCGGCAGTCGGAAATGGGACTAGCCCTCCAACAACCATGTAGGAGATCGGCTTTGGCTCCGGGATTTAGCGTCGACATCCCTGCCATTAGGCCTCATTCAGCGACTAGAACAGCTCCAAGGCAAAGGAAGAATCCACGTGAGCCAGAAAAATCCTGCTGACCGCAAGGATTTGTCGCCTGATGAGGCCGAACACGCCACTGAGACTCCTCCCATTCTCAGCCTCTCAACGTCTCTTGTCCAGTTGGTCGCAACCATTATCGCCAAGTCGGTTATCCTCCTGTCCCGTATATACAAGCACCTCTTGGTCCTTTAAGCTGTCCGAGCTAGCCGTATAAGGGTTCCTTGAAGTGGGCCCAGGCAAGACCTGTGCAGCTCGTGCCCAGACGTCTCGTCGGTTCAGCCAAGAGAGTTTGGTAGTCTCAAAGAGTTCACCTGTCGCGCTACAGTCTGATCGCTGATCACCATTGGTATCGATACGCAAGGAGTATGTCGAAACGAAAACGATCTCTCGAAGCACCTACCTCTTCAGATCCTGCTCACACGACAGGCTTGTCTGCATACCAAGAAAATGGGTTTACCCATCAAACGCTGGCCCATGCTGATCACGGTCTAACCAGAACCATTTCAAATGACTATACGGCACCCGAGGTCTCTGGCGAGCATGATTCCATTGATGGGAGACTACACTGTGCGACGAGTTTGACGGCCTCGGCCGAGGATTCGTGGAAGTCGCATCATGCGCCGCGCAATTTCGACGCATCAAACAACCATGCAGACATGCTTCCAGGCATCACGCGTAAGATCACAGCGTGCACTGCATGCAGGAAGCAAAAGGTAAGCCGAGATTGATGAGGTGCGTTTGGCGCAGCTTTAGACTCATCGTCGGATAGATCAAGTGCGAGATGCCCAAGGATGTCCCGCCCTGCATCCGCTGCGAGCGGCGCGGTATAGCCTGTGTTTTGAACAAATCCCTGCAGACATTGCTGGAGGACACCTCGTGAGTGTTGTTCTGATCCTGTCGCGCGCGTCTGCGGACCATGCGACGGGGTCTACGAATACACACGTACTTGGGCACTAACCCATCCAAATCCATTCCAGGCAGGCGGAACACCTTCGTACAGACATTCACAACCTTCACGAAACCCTCGACGTTGTCTGTCAAAAGCTCGGAATACCGACTCCGCGGCCGCTCATCACGGCTCGTTCGTCCAAGACCAACGGCCAGGACACAGGCGCGGTGAGCACCGACAACGATCAGGAGTGCGAAGTCTCGCCACCAACATCACCCTCTGCTGTGCAGGCGCCTATCGACACGTTCCTCGAGGTGGCCAAGCTGGGGAGCCCGACGTCCGCAGATACGCCACAGGGCACTCGCCACCCTCCACGACCATTACAGGCTCAGGATCTCATCACCAAAGCCGTGCTTTCACTCTCCGTGGCCGAGGCTCTCTGCCACCGCTATTTCTCTCGGCTGGATCATTTCCTCTATGGCATTGGCAGCAACTTTCCCGACCTGCCTTCACTCAGGCAGTCCTCTCCCGTCCTCGTAGCGGCCATATGTACGGTGTCGGCCCTTCACGATCCCAAGGCTCAGTCGATCTACGAATCCTGCAACCGGGAATTTCGACGGCTGGTGTCTAGAGCCGTGTTTGAGAAGCGCGGCGTCGACCACCTCCAGGCACTCTGCATCGGCTCGTTCTGGTTGACGGACGCGTCGAGGATTCTGTCCAGTGATGCACTGCGGAGGGCGGCCGACGTGCGTCTTCATCGGCATTTCCAATTTCTCCTCGACTCGGAAGGAGGACCTCATCAGTCGAGCAGCTCGCTCTCCTTGTCCAGATCAGACCACACGGATCGCGTTCGTCTGTGGTACCTCCTCTTCATCTGCGACCAGCACTTGTCGATCTTGCACAACCGCGACCCCTTACTACGTACCGACAAAGAAATCCTGGCCAACTGGGAGTTCTTCCTGGAGCGGGACGGGGTGACGGACTCGGACTCCCGACTCATGTCACAGGTCGCTTTACTCCTCATAATGGGACAAGTCAGAGACACGTTCGGGTCGGAACTGGACGATCGGGTTGCAAAGGGGTTATCGGCTCAAATCATGAATTTCTCAAAACAACTAGATAAATGGTACAACAAGTTTGCCAAGGTGTTCAAGCCGAACCCTCACATTGGAGATTTCCCCATGAAGGGTCTCCAGATGCATTACCAGTTCGGCAAGCTCTACCTCGGTCACCACGTCTTCAAGGGCCTGAAAGGAGACCCCATACCACCTCATTTCTTGTCGGCCGCTAGCCTGGCCCGTGACGCCACGATCGAGATCTTCGACATGATTCTCCGAGATAAAGAACTACAGGAGAGTCTGGTCGGCATGCCTCATTACTTCCACATCATGATAGCCTTTGCCGGCCACTTCCTCATGGAGATTTGTACAAAGTACCACGAACAACTCTCGTTGGACGTGAGCCACAGCTTGGGACTGATCGGCGGCGTACTCACCCTGTTCCAGAAACTGCCCTGCATCCCACAACACCCCATCTCCCGCATGAGCGGCGGACTTTCCCAGAAGCTGATGGAAAGTACCACAGCGATGACTTCGGCGTTTGGGGGAGAACTTCAGGATTTGAACGTCCATCAGCGAGGGTTGATGAACCAACAACCCATTATGGACGTCGTGAATCAATTCATCCCGCCGTTGATGCCATCAGACAACAATGCCAGCGACTTTGATCATCATCATCATCGCTCGTATCCCGAACTGAGGGTCGGAGCCAACGACTTTATTTTTGCAGATTTTGAACAGTTCAGTTTCCCCGACATGACCATGAACTTTACGACATGATTTTGTCGGATCGGCCTCTCCACAAGTCGCGTTTTACCGATTTGACGAAAAGTCCGTGACATAATCTTGGATCGTTTGTTCCAGGGGCCCATCGTCGTGGAATCCGAGCGTCTTGGCTTTGGTGATGTTGAAGCTGCTAGGCCACGAACCCACGATGCGAGCCACAGATTCATCAGGCACCTCGTCAATCAAACCGAGTGCCTTGTGGCCTCCGACTTTTTCGAGAGCGTCGAGCATATCTTGGACCGTCACCATGATACCCGGTAGATTGATTGTCCTGCTTCCTTTCCCATACATTGCGGCCGGGATATCCCCGGCGACGAGCAAATTCCTGACGACACACCTCGTCGAGCACACCCACAATTTGAGACTTCGAGAGACGGGCAACACACTCCTTTCCCCGTTCAACGGTTCTCGAACGATGCCAGAACAAAACGAAGAAGCGGCGCCTGACGGTCTGCCCGGTCGGACGATGATGGTGGGCAGACGAACGATACGGGCATCCAGCAACCCACGTCGAGTATAGTCGTTCAACAAAATCTCACAGATGTATTTTTGTGCACCGTAAGACGACTGGGGCGAGGGCATCGTCTCCTCGCTGACGACGACATGAGACGATCCGCCGCCCTCTTCCGCCGCCGCCGCTGCGGGCCCGAACACGGCCAAGCTTGATGGGAAAATGACCCTTATACCTCTCTTGATCTTACGGAGAGTGTCGAGCATGTTGCGCATCGAGTCGACGTTGACAGCCAACCCCAATTCCAGGTTCGCCTCGGCTGCACCAGACATGATTCCGTGCAAGAGGTAGACGTGCGTTAGGTTTGGCGAAATCACCGCTTCACATCCTTGTCTTTGCGTGAGGTCGGCCTTTGTGGCTCGTACAGAACAACAGCAGTTCTTGTTGGAGGAGCTGTTTTTTTGTTGTTCTTGAGAACAATCCGTGATTGATGGGATGTTGGGCTCGGCCACATCAGTCAACAACAAACTCTCGACGGAAGGATTCTTCATCAACGCAGATGCCAGACACTGCCCGAGAAACCCCCCCGCACCGGTTATGAGGACATTCATGTTCCCTGAAAGCTGTTTCGTGCTGTCCGTCATCAAAAGTTGTGTTCAAGTTCTTTTTTTCCGTCCCTGGCCTTGGGTTTCTAGTTGCTTTTCACGCCCGTCACTTGTGGATGTCGATCCTGGTGCTTGGCTTCGACTGTAACTCGAGTAGCAAAATTTATGGCTATCTTGATCCTGGTTTTCACCTGTATCTCACGTACCGAAACTGTGTGTTCCCTGCAAAGAGGGAACAATAGTATAAGTATGTTGGCGAACAATGAAGTTTGTGTCACAACACCGCCAATAGCGAACCGTTTTTTTCTGCTCGCGCAATCCGAACCCCCCTAGTCCTCTTCTGCGCGGCACACTCGCCGTGACTTTGGACTGTCGAATCTTGGGATACATCCAACACATGCCTGACTATCGGACCCCACATGAATGCTCGCTCCTTGCTCCGGCCCGAGGGACTAGAAACCGCACAGGTATGGTGAGTCCGGTCGCCGAGACCACATGGAGTACAAACATTATGATACCGTACAAGTATCGGACAGGAAGCCGGATTATTAGTATACCGAACGAGTCTCGTGGTAAAGGATTCCGGAGCAAAAGTGGAGGATCAACGTACAGTATGCTGGTGGTTGGCCATTTGAGTAAAACACAAACCTACGATCCAATAGGCGCTTCAACGTTAAGGTTACGCGTGAGGGAGTCCTTTATTCCGGGCACGGAGCAGCCTAATACATGGGCTGTAAACTTGGTGCGAATGCGTAGTTACCTAAAATCCTTGTACTCGAAGAGGCTCATATAGATCCTGTAAATACTCCAAGTCTTCCGAGGTCAAAGTCACTCTCAAAGCATTCAGACTTGACTCTACTCTTTCCAAACTGTTCAATCCCACGACCGGACAGGCCTCTTTGGCCAAAAGCCAAGCGAGTGAGACATCTGCCATTGTACAGCTCTTTCGTTTTGCCAGCTCTTGAACGCGCTGTACAATCTGCTCATTCTGGATCCCCTGGAACCATTGGGACGTCTTCGCGTCCTTTTCGCTCCGTACGGTCTTCTCACTCCAGGGTCGGGTCAAAAGGCCGCGGGCCAAAGGTGACCATGGGATCAGACCGATGCCCTCGGCCTCGCAAAAGGGTACAACGTCGCGCTCTTCCTCCCGGTAGAGAAGATTCCACAGGTTCTGCATGCTAGAAAAGGGCGTCCAGTCGTGCATCTTGGCCGCATACTGTAAGCGTGCGAGTTGCCAACACGGCATGCTCGATGCACCTAAATAATGCACTTTTCCTTGCTGCACGAGATCGTGCAAAGCACGCATGATCTCCTCTGGCGACGTTTCCGTATCCAGACGGTGGATCTGAAGAACATCGATGTAAGTTGTGTCGAGGCGGCGAAGTGATGCTTCGACCGCATCAAAGATGTGCTTACGACTCAGACCCATCTGATTGACGAGAGCACCATCGTTCACGGCGGGATTAGGACGAGAGTTCGGATTCTGCTCCATAACTGGATAGTAGAGCTTGGTCATGATGACGACTTTGCTTCGAGGTATCGAGTATTTGGTTAAAGCCTTGCCGATGATGTCTTCAGAAAGACCATTTGAATACGTGTTGGCCGTGTCCCAAGTGTTGATACCCAGGTCGTACGCTTTTTTCAGAATTGGCAGAGCTTCCTTCTCTGGAAGCACCCAGGGACTCCCTTCCCACTGCGGATTACCAAGAGTCATACAACCCAGGATTATCTGAGAAGTCTTCAGCCCACTCTTCCCAAGCCGGCGATATCTCATTGGCGGGATGTTCTGGTTCGGCTTCGATTTGGCCCATCCAGCAACGAGCTCGCGCAAGGTGTCCTTGTCTCCGACATTGCCGGGGAAAACGACATATGGAATGGCGGGAAATTTCGACACAGTCTCGTGGCATTGCCAAAGTGGAACACCGGAGGCCGCCTGGCCCAAGATTCTGGCGCGCTTCATACGTAGACCTTTAGTGGCCATATCCGATGATGTGATTCCTCCCTGAGAGAGTTAACTAGCTGACTCAACGTTCAACCCGACTCTAATGATGGCTCAGGAGGTTTTGAGCGGACATACCTTCGCGATAATATATCGTGGTCGAGGGTTCAGCAGTCTCAAGAAGAGAACAAGTGCTTTGGCGATGACGGAGCCAATAGCCAGACTAGAACGCTCGTCGTGGCCCGTGATAAGCTTGCGGCTCGTCATTACGAGAACGTCTATGCCTTCAGCAATCTTCTGGCCTGCCTCGTCGGCGGCTCTGAGGATGATATCTTCTGAATTTGTGTGGGTTTCAAGTAGCGCATCCACTTGTATTACTACCGTGTGTAAGTGGTTCCCGCGACCAGCAATGAGAGATTCCAGCTGGGCGGTAGTTTTCGGAACGTAGGATCCAGCGATGATCAAACCTCCCGGGCTACTCATCTCCAAGTCCATGTTCAGTGCTTCCGCCGTCAGTGGCGGTATTTGTGACAAACCAAGTCTGGTCGATACGAAGGCAGCTCCCGTCCGATAGATGTATCTCTTTCCTTGATCTCTTGCTATATTAAAAATAAGTCTTCTGGAACAGCTGTGGTGTCCTTCTCCCCGTTGATCGTACCTTGTAAGAGTCCTTGGACGAAAATCTCCATGTCCGTATCAACAACGGCGTTGACAATAACGACACATTTTCTTTGGAAGCCGAGAAGTCGCGCAGCCACCCCAGAGGCACCCCCTTCTCGAACATCTTTCAGTGAGATTGATTCGACCTGCTCAGCTGTGATTGCACCTTTTGATTTCTCTGCCACGTAGTCTTTCAAGTTTGAACTTCGAAAACCAAAGGTGGCATCTTTGGCAAAAGGAGTCTGTGCAACGGGCACAAGACTGCCATCCACGTCGGCGACATAGTGCACATCGCCGATGGTAAGACGGCCACCTTGACGAAAGAACGGAGCCAGTATCCAGCCATCGACCTCTCCAATGACTGACTCGGCGACTTCTGGCTCATCAGGGAAATGGCCTCGCAGAGTGGAATCGCCTCTCAAGACGAGTTCAAAGTCGACGCTCGCAATCTTGGCTGCCTGCTGGACCGCGACACAGATCGTTCTGATCAGATCTCGAGCCTCGGAAGTATGTAAAGCTCGAGAGTTGGTGAGGATGAAGAAGCCTGATCCCGAAGGAGTCGCTCTGAACTCGGCGACCAGGAGCTCGACCTCCCACGCTGTGAGCACGTTGATGTCGTGACATGTCTGTGTGCCGGTCGGGTCATCATCGAGTACCACCAGAACGGGTAGACTACTTTGCGCTCGTCGACGGCTGATGTCTTCTCTCAGGCTTGTTTGAGCAACTGGGGGCGGCAGAGTCGCGAGGGCGCCCTCTAGCGATCTGGTGGTGGCTTCTTGCATGTTGGACAAGTCGTTGCAATCTGCAGTGTCCTTTGCTACCACACCATTTGCAGTGACTCTAAGTCCCTTTGATGATGTGTCCAAGGCTTCTCCAAGGCTCCTTCTGCATCTTGCTATCTTCCCGGTGTTGTCACGACGCACTCCTCGGTTGTCCCCGCCGTGGACTTTGGCTCTAGCTTCGTGGGTATAGGCGCTGTGGACTTTAGCTCTCGCCTACGGCTTTTCGCCGAGGTGACCGGGAACACCGCCGACTCTGCCACTCCCCGTATTTTGAGGGGTATCTTGCAGGGTTAACGGAGTAAATCACCATCTACGGCGCAACGGCGGTCCTTGTCCGTAGCCACGGCTTGAGCCAGATACCTGATGAAAGGCCATGAGATGATCTAAGACGTTTCCCTGTGATGCATGGCAGTAGGATGGAGATCCAGCCGCATTGCACAGAGATTTGGCCCTTGAAAAGCCGGTGTGACGGGACTGGTGCAGGACATAGTCAAATGGTTGCGGAGATAGTTGGCGTGCGATATCTCTTCTTGTTCGCCATCTTTGTGCGGTCTATCTGTAAAGCTTGACGGCTGATTTCTGCTGTGTCTTAAGAATGGCATCTACTTCGACTCTTGCTTCGACAGCTCTGGTGTCTTACGATGAGCTGAAGAAACATAATCACGCTGCAGATTGTTGGATCTTGGTCCATTCAAAAGTCTGGAATGTCTCGTCCTTTTTAGATGAGCATCCCGGGGGATCTGCCAGTAAGCCTGCTCAGCTCTTTCCCGCCTGGTATATTTTGCCCTCTAACATGAATTGTATCAGTCATATTGAGATATGCAGGTGGCGATGCCACAAGCGCATACGACGAGGTCCATGCACCCAGTATACTGGAACAGACTCTCGAAAAAGGCCAATTAATTGGCGTGATCGATGTGACAACCATGCCGGCAAAACCAGCCTTTGGGGCAGCAGAGCTCAGTGTCGCAGAAGACTCGGGTCTCTCCAATCCGATCTCAAAACCACGACAACGAAGCAAGCCTCCACTTCACAGTATGATTGCCGTTCACGACTTTGAAGATGTGGCTCGAGATGTGTATTCTGAGAAGACATATGCATTCTACTCGTCGGCAGCCACAGACCTCATTAGTCACCGAGACAACCAGGAAAGCTTCCGCAAGGTGATGCTTCGGCCGCGTGTACTCAGAAATGTCAGGAATGTGTCCATCAGAAGATCAATTCTGGGTTGCGAGAGTAGCGTCCCGTTCTTCGTCAGCCCCACGGCCATGGCGAGACTGGCACATTCGGATGGAGAACTCGCTCTAGCTCGTGGCTGTGGGTCTCAAGGAATTATACTGACGGTATGGCCTTTGTGTTTCCATTGTGCAAACCAATTTCAGCGCGACTAAAACATGTGCTAACGTTATCTGTGTGGTTATAGGTATCGAGTAATGCTTCTTACCCATTGTCTGACATTGTCGAAGCTGGGCTCCCCAAACAACCTTTCTTCCTGCAACTTTATGTCAATTCAGACCGACAGAAGACGACCCAGTTACTTCGAAAAGCCAGGGATCTGGGAGTTCAAGCTGTTTTCGTGACCGTGGATGCTCCGATTCCAGGGAAACGAGAGGCGGACGAGCGGCTCGCTGCAGGGAACTTGTCCTCACCAGTCAGCGGGGCTGTTGCAGTAAATGACAAGAAAGGCGGTGGATTGGGAAGAGTAATGGCACAATATATCGACTCGACGCTATGTTGGAAGGATCTCCCGTGGATTCGAGAAGCCAGCGGAGGGCTTCCTATTGTCTTGAAAGGTATTCAGACGGCGGCCGATGCTCGGGCAGCTGCAGACCACGGAGTTGAAGGTATACTGCTCAGCAACCATGGCGGAAGGTCTCTGGACACGTAAGTTCTTACCTTCAAGAATGGCGTCCTTTTGCGCCCCCGAGACTGACCAGAATCCGGGGTAGAACACAACCTGCGCTCCTGACGTTGCTGGAGATTCACCGACAATGCCCCGAAATTCTAGATCAGCTCGAGATCTACGTAGATGGAGGAATTCGGCGCGGGACTGACATCCTCAAGGCGCTTGCATTGGGTGCGACGGCGGTAGGAATTGGTCGGCCATATCTGTACTCCCTCGCCTATGGGCAGGAAGGCGTCGAACATTTGACTGAAAGTGAGTAACCCCCAGTTGCCTCGATCTCTGTCATCTTGATTAGTTACCTAATCTGACATGTTGACTAACTGTGGTTCTCTGAACAGTCTTGAGCGATGAACTCGAGTCAGCCATGAAGCTGGTTGGCATCACAGACGTCGATCAGGCCCATCCGGGACTGGTGAATACGGCACGACTTGAGCCGCTGATTCGAACAGGCGAGACACATCCCTGGATTCGATGGCGATCAAGGAGCAAGTTATGAAGAAGTAAGAAAGATAGACATCTTGCACTGATCATAGAAGCAAAGAATCGGCCTTGGACTTCGGGTGGGTGTGACTACGAGTCCTTCGCCACTGGGTACCTGGTTAAAAATCCCATGTGGGTTGAGGCTCCGGGAGCATCAAGAATCCCCACGGTTGTAGGCCGTGTCTTGGTCATGGCTTGGCCAGAAGCTGACACAACATATGCAGGAGACCAGGAGCAGGAGGAGACTTGTCGATGATCCGATGGTGGTGAATAGAGAATGATGCGCCAATAGAGAAGGAATAGTTTGTCGAAAGTGAAGATGCCTAGGTACATATGTAGGCTCGAATAGACACGATATACGAAGGGAGTCTGGAGTATGTTTTGAGATAGGAGAAAATTGAGCACTTGGCATTACATGATGATTTCTATTGACGGGCTGTGTCTTGTCTAACAGATGGAAGCTATGGGCAATCACTTCCTCGCTTCTACAGTACTGTATGTCCGTCCAGTAGGGTCCAAAACAGTCTCTCCGTTGAGGTTCCCCTTATCATAACCGATCTTCAGGCGCTTTACGGAGTACTTCGGACCCGATATCTACAAATCTAGGCGCCGTTAAAAGTTTGAAACCAGCCTCGAAAGGATTTGAACCGGGCGAAAGGCCCATGATCAAAGTGTAAGTTATGGGCCAACGCATTTAGTACGAGTACTCGGTTGTACCTAACGATTAATTTGCTGTTGGCCTATTACAAGAATGTACAAGGCTCGATATTCTGACACAAAGGAGAAGAGAGCCCAGCAGAGTCCCTGTGCTCCCTAACACCCCCGAATCAGAGAAGCCATCCCTACACAAGGCACACACAGAGTGGAGTTTGCTGGAACAGAGCGTTCATTTCTCCAGAGATCGCCAGTCATTTTGGGCTATAATTAACAATTAAACCACCCCGTTATCCACCCATATGGAAGTATCATGGCGCCTTTTCTGTGGGAAAGAGCATTCAAGACTTTTGTTAGTGTCTGGGGGCCAGAAATGAAGGCCCTGACACGGCAAGTCACAGGACAGTACGGAGTAGAGTATTGGACTATGCTCGGAGCCTCAAGTACTCCGTCTTTGCTTGCCTCGTATCCTCTGTATCCTCTTCGCAAATGACACCTGATGGGCGATGCGGCGAGCGCCTTTCCCATACTGGTTGAGAAGGCGCAGGCTATTCTTCTTGGTCGCGTTGATATTCTGCATCTGCATTTTCTACACCCTTCTTCCCATTCTACGGAACCATGGCGAATCTAATCTAGAGGCTTTCAAGGACGAGAACGACAGTTGTGGTCGATTCGAGAGTACTTCCGTATATCGACAAAACCCGGACCATGACCTTGAGCGGCGCATTGACTCTGCACTGCTCGCAATCCAGCATCGAGAAGAATCGAAAGCTCAACCAAACCTTCCGGTGAAGAAGATATGGCAGACATGGCGGGACCCAGTCGTGCCCGAGAATTTTGATCAGCCGGCAATCTGGCGCAAGCTACATCCCGGTTGGGAGCACCAAGTATGGTTCCAATTCAACATGTAAGACTCCTTGCTAATTGGTACTTTGTTCAGGTAGTCTCCGACCGCGATGCACCCCCTCTCGTATCGGATGAGCTCCAGACAGTTCCATACTTCGAGCATTTATTTTCCTCGTCCTACCGACCCATCATTCGAGCAGATCTTCTCCGCTACACTTTGTTGTGGCATTATGGTGGATTCTATGCCGATATCGACGTACATCCGGTCCGCTCGGTCGAAACTTGTGAGCCCATGTCACCTCTTTTCGCCCTAGATAAAAACATGAACATTTCGCTCGTAATTGGCATTGAAGTGGATGAACCATATGCTTCTGTGAGGAGACGGAAATTTTGGCGCTGGGACGGAACTCATGGCTTCATCCAGTATGCCATCTACGCTGCCCGGCCCTTCAGCCCAATACTGAGGCGCGCCATCGTCCGATCGATCGCACATTCAGTAAAGCATGAGAAGGAGAAGACACCTTGGTATCGACTGGCCGACAGATTCGATAATGCAGCGATCCTTGAGATCACTGGTCCCGGAATGTTCACAGAGGCAGTGTTAGATGTTCTGACCGAAAGTCTGCCCTCAAATCATTCGCTGAAACTCTCTCAAAGACAGAAAGATGCATGTCCCGAGGACGCCTCCGTCCGTAGCAGCGATGAACAGCGAGGAAGAGTGACGTGGGCACCATTCTATAGGCTGAGAGAGCCTAGTTGGATTTTTGATGAGGACACAATGGACGGGAATACGACGCAGCGTAGTGGTGGCCTTGGGGTGATGCCCATCAATGTATGGGGCAACGGACAAAGACACTCAGGCTCGGAGAATTTCCACAGCGCCCAAGCATGTGTCAACCATCATTTCTCAGGGACTTGGAAGCAATCATGGTTGCACAGGACTCTGCTGAAATGGTTCCACTTCTAGTCCTCGGCTCAGGCTGATAGATGGGTAGAATAGGAAAGACGCCCGTGTGTATTACAGAAGATAGACTGTAATCTAACGCTCTTGAGTCACGACAACTCCAGTATTCATCCGAACCTTTGAACGCAGTCGGCACGAACTCGCCACCAGGACTCAATTCCACAACATCGACAAGTGCGGGTTTTCGATACGTACGCTTGTGCAGTAACACCGACGGAATCTCGTAGGATCGATCGCGAGGCGATATTATGCGTCACTCTCCTTTCTGCCAATCTCTTGCATCTGTTTCCAGGCATACCGGAGTTACTGCCTTTCCTTCGGGAAGTGTTCTTGTCCTTTTCTGGCATCGACCGGGGGATTGATAGACAGCATCATAGGCACAATTAACGAAGATTTAGACTCCAAGTCGAACTCGCATGACATCTGGCCGAATCAGTGAAAAAACAGCATAGTTCTCCGCCGAACGCATGACAAAGGCTCCATTCTTGCTGGAATCAAGGCGTGACCGACTGTCGAAGGAGAGAGTTTTAACGTGCGAACCCGTTTGCATGCGCCATATCCATGCCTTCACAGTGAATCTCTGTACTCTCTGTACGAGTATGGAGGTGCGGAATATGTATTTAGTGTCCCAGAAGGAATGCCATTGAGGAAACGCAGCTGGAGACTATTGTCTTTATAGCGGCAGTAGGATCGCTAGCTATATACAGTACTTCGCCTAAGGAAGGGACTTGCTGCTATATGCATTGTAGGTCGGACAACGGGAACCCCCAATAGTAGTCGAAGCATCTCCGGGGGTAAACCTGTACCTGTAGAACCACCTCACACAGTCTTGAAGAACAACATACTAAGGCCAAACAATAACTAGGTACACATGTCTTAATTCCTAGCACGAAACGACGATATCTCATGGTTCGATTGTGTTCTCTCGAACTCCAACTAATGTAGTGGCCAAAATCTCGACAGGATCAATCCCTTCCTTAACCTCAATGCATGTATGGCGACGAGCAATCCACTTACGATCATCTCTAGACACCCATGCCAGTCTATGGCGGAGAAAGCGTGGTGTGTGCTTCAAGACCCCAATCATCCAGAAGGCGTACGGAAACAGCCAGTCGTTTAGCTTGCAATCAATCCCGGCCGTTCTCATTCCCCCTGCCGTGTTCGGAGGGCTCTTGGTGACACTATGGGTCTACAAATGTCTGATGTTGGTGGTCTTCCAGAACAAAATCATCTACATGCCCTCGATCCCACCATTCTCCAGATCCGAGAAGATTGGGGACTATTCGTCTCTGTGTAGACCGGCCATTTGGACCGAGCATTCTCTCAAGTCATCGGACGGAACAGCAATCAAGCTTGTTGAAGGGTCGCTCAGTCCACTCGAAGAGACTGAAGCCGCCACCGAGCACATTGTCGTGGTATACTTTCAAGGGTACGTGGGCTCTTTCATGGCCACTCACATCCATTACCTCTGACCAGCCAGTAGCAATGCGTCTTCTCTACCCCCTCGACTTCCCTATCTGTCGCATGTCCTGAAAGACTTGGCTCGCGTACCGAAACAGCATCGGAAATACACCATCGTCGCTCTGTCTTACCGGGGGTATTGGACGTCTGGGGGAAGACCCTCCCAGAAAGGGATCACGCTGGATGCAGAAGCAGCTCTGCGGTGGGTAAAAGCCAGACATGGGCAAGCGAGGGTCGTGGTTTGGGGTCAATCCATTGGCGCGGGGGTTGCAACAGTGAGTCTGGCCAATTCGATCAACGGTGGCAATAATGTCGACAACCTCAGTGGGCTCGTTCTCGAGACTCCATTTGTTGATTTGCAGGCAATGCTCGTGGCATTGTATCCGCAGAAGTTCCTGCCATACCGCTATCTCGGACCTTTTTTGCGGTCGACGTGGGACAGTGGAACTGCACTTCTGCAGATTAGTGCCATCAAGCGAGATCTGAACGTGCTGATTCTCGAGGCTGGTGACGACGAGATCGTGCCGGCTGGGCAGGCCGAAATTCTGGAGGAGATCTGCGCCAAACAGTGTCTACCGGTTCAACGCAAGATCGTTGCAGGATCACTGCACACCGAGGCCATCACCAAGAGGCAGGGACGTCAACACGTGGTGGGGTTTCTACAATCACTGTAAGAAGAATTTGAAATCCCAAAGGATATTTCACCCATCCTGGTAGAGATGGGGGAACGTAAAATACCCAGCGAGGCCAATCTCGAGGACGACACGACACCTTGGCTCTCTCGCCTCTCAAGTCCCAAGTTCTCAATATTTATTCAAAGTTCTCGAATCTCGAACCTTGAACAAACGTAGTCCACCTTCCAACATACTGATTGGCCTGGCGACCACTCCCTGGTCCTCGATGCAAGGCACGCAAAAGAGGAGAAAAGGCGATGGGCAAAACCCTGGCACGGACCAAAGCACTGGGTCATTCCGTGTGCCATCGAGCATGTGTCGGAGGCTCATTAATTGCCGACCCCCAGATTTACAACGCATTCTCGGTTCTGGTCGATGAGAAATTCCCCATACTGTTGGAGTTTTTCCCGCACGTGGGACCCTCGTTCCCAATCATACAATATCCACCCCCGGCCTTTCCCCAACTATCTCGTTTTTCGCCGGTCCAATCACCAAGACTCTGGGCTCGACGCTATGGCCGGCTATGGCAGAATTGGCAACGGAGTGGCGCGGGGATTCTCACCTCGTTCTGGGTTTAGTCTTGACAGGGATACCAATAATGCGCTCGACTCTTCTCCATTCGCGATCTAGACCTGGATCAATTCGCCTTTCCCGACGCCACCGCTATCACCAAGCTTTCCATCCACCGATTTCATTGATTTCATTCCTCTGTCGAGTGTTCTTGGCCTTCTTAGTCAACGACCCATGACTCTGAAAATTGGCCTCGACCTCGTATTCGCAGACGCCAGTTTCTTGGTAAACTAGATCAATGCAGCAATGCGGAGTGAAGCCAAAAAATGGAGAACTTTGGAGTAGGAAACATGGCCCTCACTTCGTCTCGCCAAAAGCACGCGGCGTCCAAGACAGACTGTGTCGTAGTGTATGGAGTACTTAGTCTCCTATATCTCCCCCCGTCGATTGATGTTCGCAACCCACACCCCTTCCTTGAGATAGCTCTCGTTTCTTTGTACAATTCTCTCTACACTCATATTTTCTCATAACAACACCACTCGGGGGTTCACCCTATTGGCATCATGGGTCTCGGTGTCTTGGAAGGTATGTCCCTCAACTCCCTTACCCTGCACACCATCCTTCGCTTTGCCTTGACTGACGCGAAATCGACTCTTATCAGACCACAAACTCTCGCATGTGCCCGGCACAGTTCTTCTGAACGACGAGGCTGCCCATGCTGAAGCACAAACTGGAAACCTCAAACATGGAACGGGAAAGAACTCACACATCGTTCTCTCGCCTCAACCCAGCGACGATCCAAACGATCCTCTTAACTGGTCCCCCGTGAAGAAAGAGTCCATCATCTGGATCCTTGCCTTTGGATCTATGTTGTGCGCCGCGACAAACGTACGTAGTGTCACCACAGCCCGCCCGACAATCTGAATGACAAGAAAGCTAACACAGCCCCACAGGGTCCCTTCTTGAATGCTTCCTATTTTGCGATTGCCAAAGAAATCAACAAAGATCTCACCACGACGGTCATGGTCTCTGGTTATAACATCCTCGCTATCGGTTGTATCGGTCCCTTCGTTTGTGCCTTCAGTCGTCGCTATGGTAAACGTCCCGTCTTCATCGTTTCCACGCTCTTCTGTATTGTCGGCACGGCCATTGGTGAAGTCAAGGCCAGCTACAACTACCTCCTGGCTGCTCGTATCGTTCAAGGCTTCTCCACCAGCGCGTTCGAGTCTCTCATCATTTCGGTCGTTGGAGATCTGTACTGCGTGCACCAGCGAGGCTTGAGGATTGCGACCATCAACTTTGTACTCAACTCGGCCTCCAGTTTGGCCTCGATCATCTGCGGCCAGGTGTACAATGACCTGGGTCTTCTCTGGCTGTTCCACCTCTTCCAGATCTTCCTGGTCGTCCAGTTCATCCTCATGTTCCTCTTCTGCCCCGAAACCACCTATCTCCGGGAAACCATCTACGAGACCGACACGCTTCAGACCGAGACGTTCGAACAGATCGACAAGGCCAACGAGGAACACCGCGAGCAGGCCATCGCCGTCAAGGAACTCAACGAATCTTCGCCCTCGGTCACCGGCGCGGCCCGCCAATACAAGAAGAAGACCTTTGTCCAGGAACTCAAAATCTACAACGGCGTCTTCTCGCACGACAACATTATCAAGTGGCTCTTTGGCATGCTCCTGACCCTGTGCAACCCTGGCGGCTTTTACGTCATCATCGTCTCTGGTCTCTTGTGCGCCTGGTACGTCGGTTCCGCCATCATCATGGCCGGCATCTTCGCCGGTCCCCCCTGGACTTTCGATGCCGCACAGATTGGATATCTCGGCACCGGCCCCTTCGTCGGGGGCATGATTGGCAGTATCTTCCTCGCTCTTTTCGGAGATCGTGTCATGAAGTGGATGACAGTCAGGAACAAGGGAACCTAGTAAGTCGACCCTGCTAGACACGGACCCAATCCCTTGCTTCTTTTGTTTGGTTTCCTATCCCTGCAAATCACACCACTTACTAACACACCGTTCGTAAAATAGTGAACCCGAGTTCCGCCTCGTCTTCATGATACCTTGCGCCATCTTTTGTGGATTCGGAATGTTCTTCTTCGGTTACGCCATGGCAAACGGCTTGAGCGCAATTCTCTGCTCCTTCCTCTGGGGCATGATGATGTTTGGTGTCATGATCGGTGTCGTCGCCACCATGGCGTATGGTCTCGACGCCTTCCGATCTCAAAGTAACGAGATGTTTGTCATGAACATGGTTTTCAAGGTGAGTTACTCACAAATCCAAAAAAATCAATCTCCTCCTTTCACATTCTAACATTTTCTTGTTCTCTAGAACTTCATGTTTTACGGTCTCTCCAACTTTGCCAACAACTGGGTCGCTTCCAAGGGACCCGAACAGATCATGTTCACCTTCGGCGGGACCACCCTGGCCATGTGCGTGTTCGGCATCCCCGTCTACTTTTACGGCAAGCGCCTGCGGAGCTGGTGGGCCCGCCACGACCTCTTCATCAAGTTCAACATGCATTCCACCGGACCCGAGACACATTTGGGATGAGGATAAAATTTTAACTAAATGGGAGTGGAACTGAATTTTGAACGTTTATATCCGGGAGAAAGAAGGAAGTGTACACGAACGTGAATATGAACTGTGGACGGTGAACACCAGGAACGAAGTAACTCTCTAGAACGGAGTATCAGGTGTCGATTGTAGTTGAACATTGTGACGACATATTCGCCGTCACTCCCAAGTACATAGCTTTTCACAAGACGCTTTTCACCTTTTTATACCTAAATGAAAGAAACAATACATCGACCCCGTTCATTCAAAAGAGTCACGCCCGGGCCGTACGGTGCAGCACGGTACAGTAAAACCCCCCTCCCCCCTCCCCAAGGTGATGCGTGCCCGGGAATCTCGCCACGTATGCCAGGAGCACCGGACTTTGTCATGTACGACGGATTGAAAAAGAAAAAAAATTGGCAACCTGTGACCAACGCGACAGATGTTTGTCGACAGAGAAGTCCCTGAGACGGGTCAAGTCGGTCCACCTCCCAGGGAGGGGGGGCAAGGTCGAGGTTTTGCCCGGTGAATACTGCGTAGGACGATTGCGACCAAAAATACAAAATTGGATAAAAAGGGAAAGGAAAAAAAAAGGGCCCGGGGGGAGCTTCTCCAGAGAGGCGACATCCGGGAGAGGAAGTGAAAAACGAGCGAGTCCCTACTCTCAAGACATGCCGCCGTGGTTCGACGGCCTGGCCTTGCCCCCAACTTGAAAGTGCCAGATCCTGTTTCGGGGGACGAGATCGTGATCATGCCAAAGCATTGGGGGAGCAGACACCTTTGACCCGTCCACAACATAGAAGGAGAAGAAGAAGAGAAGGAGAAAAAAGAGGCAATCAAGGCAGATGGTGTCACTTTGAATAGTATTGGAGCCGAGTCAAGAACTCTCTTCAATCGGAGGTCCTTGACAGCTAGATAGAATGGTAGGTAGGTATGAAATATACTAATAAAAATCTATTACCTTACAATTGTTTGGGAATCAGAATTGAAAACCATGAACGGAAATAAAATCTTCCATCAATCCATCAAATCATTCTCTCGTACCACGAGATCTGTCACCAATGGTACGGGTACGGGTACGGGATCCTAGTAGTGGCGCATATATCGCGCTCTCTTGGTATCTCGCTTCAACACCGTAACTGGGCAGGTTGGCTCACTGAGGGTGACAGTGGGTCCACCAGGCTGGCAGTTGGGGTAGTTGTTGACGGCGGCTTGAATAGACTGGATCGACTGGAGACCGGTCAGGCCATCAAGATCGACGCCTGCGGTACCGGTCTGTCCAATGACCTGGCAGTTACCGGCACAAGCATTGGTAGCGGCTTCGAGAACCTGTGTGACGGTGCACAAGACACCTGGTGTGCCACTGTTGCAAGTCACCTCGTTCAAGCCAACGTCTTGCAAGGTCTGGCCAGCACAGAGATCGACTTGCACACCACAAGCAGGAGTAGCGGCGGCTGAAGTTGAGCTTGTCGGGCTGCCACCAGCCGTTGTCGAAGCACCACCATTGCTTGTTGTGGTAGCTGCAGACGACGAAGCTGCAGAGGATGAAGCGGCCGAAGAGGCGGCAGACGATGTTGCGGCAGACGACGACGCAGCAGACGATGATGCAGCCGAGGACGAGCTGGTAGAGGCAGCAACTGTGGTTGAAGAGCTGCTTGAAGGAACAGGGCACGTTGGGTCATTGATGGTGACACTGGTGGTTTGCAGTGCTGAGCACACTTGGTTAAGCGTTCCGGCAACGAGTGCAGCCTGGACTTGCTCTGGTGAGATGCTAAGACCCAGGAGCTGGTTATTGGCGGCCACAACAGTCAAGACATTAGGATTAGATTGCAGGAGAGTCGGCACAAGGCTCAACAACTGGTTCACTGTGCAAGTCAAACCACCGAGAAGTGGGCAATTTTCTGTTGCGACGACATTTGTTTGAATCAGGTCGGAGTCCAGACAGATGTTGGCGTTGATGTTGCAAATAGGCGCGCCGGAGGTAGAGCTCGTTGCAGGTGCCGAGCTGGTGGTGGATGCTGTGCTAGTGAAGGTGGTAGTGGCTTCCTGTGTCGATGAGGATTCACCTGCGCTGGATGTGGTGGAAGCGGCAGAAGAAGACGCGGCGGAGGACGATGCAGCAGAAGATGATGCAGCAGACGACGATGCAGCAGAGGATGAAGCTGCGGATGATGAAGCGGCCGAAGAGGAGGCAGCAGATGATGAAGACTCAGCCGACGACGAAGATGCGGCGGACGACGATGCAGCCGAGGACGAAGACGCGGCAGATGTAGTCTCGCCTCCAATCGTGCTTGAAGAAGTGCTGGTCATGGAGCTCATCGAAGTGCTAGAAGCAGAGCTAGAAGTGCTGCTGGTAGTATCGACCGGGGCTAGGTAAATGTCAGCATTTGAAACCGTTTGTGAAACAATACAACTTACTTGGGACCAAGTCGACTGGGAAGTCACAAGAGTCAGGGTCAAGGTAGGCGAAGATACGGCCGCTAGCGCCCAAGCAGAAACCTGTTGCGCCATCCAGTTCAGCCAATCCGCCGACGATGCTCCAGGCACGGAAACCGTTAGGAATATTAGCCAGTCGTCTGACGAAGGAAGTATCCATTCTGTTGGTTCCCAGGAATTGGCCTTCTGAGATGAAAGTGCCGTCGGTGCCTTCGAAAACAATCGCAGCAGACACCTTTTCGTCGACCGCAAAGCCAACTTGGTTGGAGTCAAACCCGACGTATTGGACAACTGCTTGTCGCTTAGCGTTGGAAACAGGTGTCGCTGTGACGACAAGGTAGAATCCGGTTCCAGTGGCGCTTGGGAGTGTTGTGGAAGAGGCAGACGAGGAAGAGCTGCTGGATGAGGATGAACTGCTGGCTGCAGCGCTGGAGGAGCTGGACGAGGAGGAAGAGCTGCTCGCTGCGGCACTGCTCGAGCTGCTGGAAGAAGAGGAGCTGCTAGAGGCGGCACTGCTCGAGCTTGACGAGGAGCTGCTGGCTGCAGAGCTGCTGCTTGACGAGGAGCTGCTTGCGGCGGAACTGCTGCTTGACGAGGAGCTGCTTGCGGCGGAACTGCTGCTCGACGAGGACGTCGATGCGCCGATGGGGCCACCACCATTTGACGATGACGACGACGATGAAGTAGACGTGGTCCAGCCGATGGGGCCACCGGTGGAAGTCATGGAGGTGGTGGTGGATGGCACCGAGTTCCAGTCTTCCCAAGGTTGGCCAGCACTTCCACCCTGGCTTGGTTCAGGCAGTGGCCACCAGTTGCCACCCTTTCCACCGTTGCCTCCGGTTGGGACGGGGATGTGGCGAGTGTTGCCAGCCGGCTGTGTGAAATAAGGAATGTTGAAAATGATGACTTTTGTGATATAGACGTTGAATTGGAAAGTTGTTGCGCCAGAGAAGGACTTGGTCACGTAGGCGTTCCAGGCCTTTCCTGGGATCACGTTGACCTGTTGCGGCATCACATGCATCGACGGTCGGCCGTTGACGGTGACGGTAACAGTCGTGGCAGGAGCGGTAATTGTGCAAGGAGGAGCAACCTGAGGGAAGGTCCAGGTGTAAACACCGGCAGAGGGGATTTTGCCCTGGCTCGAGCACTGAGCTCTAGCAGTGACGGTGGATGTAGGTGCTGGGCGCTCGATGACCGTCTCGTACCATTCGACACACTTCTCGTAAGCCTGTCCGGCAGCGTTGACACCAAATCGGCATTCGGTGACATCCAAAAGTTGCGATCGATCGCCAGAGGGCTTGCCCTCGCACTTGTCGCAGAGGCCGCTACCGCGCCAGCCAGGAACGCAAAGAGGACCCATGTCTTTGTAAGGAGCCATTGCGCGTCTAGTGACGGTCTGGTAGAGGGTGGTGCTTGAGGGAGTGTTGCTCTTCTCCTTGAACCAGTCGACCCAGCTACGCTTGTCCATGGATGGAGCAGCGGTAACCTGTGTGAGGGTGGTCAGGAATTCGGAGGCTCGGACTGGCTGAGCAACATCGGTGACGGTGGTGAGCTGAGAAGTGGTACCGTTCCAGGCGAAGGGAACCACGGTAGACACGAATGGGAACGTGGACAGAGGATACATGGTAGCACATGTTCCCTTGACGCAGGCCGTTGTAGGTGCACAGGTAGAGACGGGCTGGTACTGAGCCGTGACGGTGATAGGTGGGATCGAAAGGCTGGTGGCCTCTGGGCAAGGCTCGATAACGGTCGGCAGGTCAGCCAGGGCCGTGTCGGCCGCCAGCAAAGTCAGCGCGACCTTGTTGGCCGTGGACTTTGTCCACTTCATGGTGGTGGTGAAAGAGTGACTTCGGGTCGGAAAAAAAAAGGCAAATCCAAAGGGAAACGAGTGACTGTGGTTAGTAGACAAACCAAAACTTGCTGAAGATGGAAAACAGACTTGAGGAAGTTAACGTGCTTTATACAACTCTCGTTCTCTTCAGAGGCGAATTACCACCACTCACCTCAACAACCACCATGGCATTGTTTTGATTACCCCGTCGAGCAATGTCCTTTTTCAAGCACGGAAATCAGGAGCCAAGATAGAGAGCAGGGGGGGAAATACCTGTGCGCAGAGCAGTAGATTCGATGCAATCTCACCGATATGTGATTTTGCCTCTTGACCAAGGCCAGCAAGAGGAAGTTATTCTCAGCCTGGGGGCCCATCAGCAGTGGCAAAACGGCGGTGGCCATGATCATCAGATCTTCCAACGTCGCTGAGGATTTAGAAAGTGTCGTGCTCGGACGCTCAACCCCAGTGTACCTTGCCAGCCCGAACCAATAACTGGTCCATGCGTCTGCAACGGCTTTTTGAGGAGTGCGGTGGTGCTATGCAAGCAGCTGAAGATGATCCGTGGGACGGGTCTGAGTGAGTCGTGAAGAGGATCCTGCAACACGTCTATCAACGATAGGTGGCGTGTGAGGTCCGAGGGCAATCAGAGCGTACAAGAGGATCAAAGCTCCATCCAAATAAGTAATACTGTACTCCATGTGTGCTTCCTAGAAACCGTGATGCTCGAGTCTATCAGTCGTACTCTCTCCCGATGACATCTTTCTGTCCCCTGTAGCCTCCCCAGTGTGTCAGGTAAAGTCGACATTTGAAGTGTTTATGTTTATACCAATCCAACTCTTGCTTCAGTGTTGTGATCCTTGCAACGACGCCGTTGGAACTTTATTTTGGTGGTTCTGGCAGTCGAATGGGCTTGTAACATTTGAATCGCGTGGCTGATGTGAGGCTGAAATGTGGAAACAATGTGGCCGATCGATCACAGATTGGATGAGGATCCAACGCGAAGGGTCTCGAATGTTGATCGTTGTTCCTGTCACTTCACGTCAGTTGGGCGTCAAAGTGTCAGTCCCAGAGACTATAAGCGAAGTGGGGAGTCGCGGCGATGTCTGAAGGGGAAGTTAGCAGTAGGGAGACAGGGAGACAGCAGTCGGAAGTCGGAAGTTGGCAGAAATCACTTCTTTTCCTGAGTAGAGGAGACGAGAGGATGGAGTGAAGTGGTGAGAAAGTGTCGTTGAGGAATAAAATGACTGCGGATTGACATCATTTGAAACATTGGCGTCTCTCTCCATCAATACTTCAATTAATTCTTCGCCTTCAATTTGCCTGTCATTTAATTACCTTTTTCCTGGATCACCCCTGTCGAACAATTCCCTCTATCCATACCTTTTGTAACTGTACTGTAACTTCCCACAGATAGGAACAAAGAGACTTCAAAACCTTGGCTCCGGATGCTATAGGATGTGGCGGTGTCAGGCGTTTAATTGCCTTTTTACAAGATGGAGTTCAAAAAACATCGGATGCTTGTCCACACCACCTGGTGTCGCTATAGGGACCATGTCACCATCTCCTTCATGATCTGCTGGGACTCCATATCAGGATGAAGTCCTGGTTGATCCCACTGGTGGATCAATATTGCGATAATTCAGGGTTGATGCGAGTAGAAGTAGTACGCCACTGATGTGGCAATCCGATATCAGTCTATCTGAGTAGAGCACAAACGGATCTTATAGCCGAGGCACAGATACATCTATGCTACGCGAAAATGGAGGCTGTGACAAAAATAACAACGCATGGACAATAATAATAATAACACCACAACAACAACAACAACAACAAGCCAGAAGAAGACCAAGGAGAGTGAGTGGCACGAGAGCTGCAAACCACACAGCAGTTCAGCACTTTACTCGGACTCTCTGCATTGTACGTACGTACAAGGCTCATCAGATCTAATCGAGCACATCAGATCTAATCTATCGTGTTGTAGCATGGTACTCTGTGTGATACTAGAGTCCACGTTTCCTTGATTGCATTTACCCAAGGTACTCCATAGTTATCTGAACAGTACGGATAGTTGCTCCGTCTACCAGATGGAACTGTTACCTCTGTGGCATTATTGTTGTGGTCTTTTAGAGACTCAGGGTAAACCACGAGGACGAAAGATAGTCTATTATACTCTGTATTTGCTTCTTGCCCTACCTTGTCGCCTTGACTATTTTTTATGCTTTTTAGGATTTTATTCCTGGTGACTTGGTTCGCTAGTAATGAATGTAATGAAATATATAGGACTTCTTTCAGAAATTGCTCATCTGAAGATTTATTTGGTTTCAGGAGAATCTTTAAGCTAGCGGCGTCACTATTCTGGTCTTCATAATTGGCCACTACGTGAAGTGTGATGTTATCTTATCGTTGAGTTGTTGCTGTGTACCTTGGACCTTGTCCCATTTGCACTTTTTGAATATTTTTATTCTTGTGGGGAAACACTCTCCCTCCTACAACAAAAAGAAAACATGAGCGACTGCAAGACACAACCTCAATACTGTACTTCAATTGGTTATTCTTGGACACAGAAAATCTCCATACTGAGGCTTTGAGTTGTCCTATTTCAACACGTTTGTAGGACGAAAGATCTATGTCGCCGGAAGACTTGCAATTTCCACTTGAAGACTACACCTGGTAAGCCTTAGGTAAGTAGCTACGTGTTCGTATGTCATCCGGGTCTTCCCTTTATGAACGGGCTATTCGAAAGACTGGATTCTTCATATCAACAGTCATGACTTGTTCTGTACAGACTTAAAGGTCATATGCACACGGAGTAGAATCTCATCTAGATACTCGAGTGGTCGGCTTCTCATACCTCCGGCCCTCTGATTTGGAGAAAGTATTTCGTTACGCCAATTTAGCCCCACACCGAGAGAGAGAGCGAGCGAGAGAGTCGCGACGTGGGATGCATCATACAACTTTGGTCCTCTGCTACTTTACTCAGCGAGCAAAGATTTGCTGACAAGGCGACTGAAGATGAATAAATCATTTGAGGTCCAAATGAGCACAAAATCAGTTTATAAATTGGTTCCCATTTGCGATTGATTTACATACCTTTGCTTGTCGTTGACTGGGAAATTCGAGACATGGACGAATAGTCAAACTGGAGGCCCAGGCAAAAACATGGATGACATTTCTCAACCTCACGTTGCATTTCGAACGACTTTTGATCAAGTATGAGTTTCATGGCAGCTCATCTGTAGTGTATTGTACTCCGTAGAGTACGGAGTGCCAAGGAATTAATTCTCGAATAACCAAACCCCACATTTCCTTCTTTTGGTTCGCCCGTAGCGAGTACAAATACAGAGTGTATCAGGTCAAGTGCTCGTACTCGAGCTCGTACTCGTACAGTTTGGTGCGGAGAATATTGACCCCACAACATTGGGGTTGTGGTGGGAGTTCAACTCGTCCTCATACGGGGAGCACACGAGTTGTCCAATGCCCAATTTCTACTCCATAAGTCGAATACGAGTTACGAGTTGGCATCCGCAAGCACAGTATTTCGAACATTTCTGGTATCAGGAGATCCAAATTCAAACGAAAGTCATTCAGACTGTGAATTTGAGAAGTGGGAGAGCCGTTGGAGAAAAGTGTACAACTATTTTGCTCACAGAAGTGAGTTGGCTTCACAAAACACAAAGTTGTACTGTGAAAGATTGTTGTTCTGGACACACACATCAGCCCACCTTAAAAAGCACGCCGTACACACACTCTCTCAACCACACAAGACGTTTGGTGGGGCCGGGCTCTAGAACCACAGAACACGTTCTTGTCAAGAAAATCGAGTGGGAGCAACGCGGGGAATAAAAAACACCGACACATACGACTTTTGTTATATTATATTATCATGAGAAGGCATTAAGAGACACCGCCTTTAAAACCTGTCGGGAACACATAGACCGAAACCTCCCTTTACCTACTAACACGAAAGTCGAATAAACAAAAAGATGGGCAAACAAACTCCAGTCAACAAGGTAGGTTAAACTGGACAGAACGCCACCAGGTCCCTCTTCTACTATGTATGCTCTAACCAAAGTAAAAATAGGTGATCATCGTCGGCGCCGGACCGTCAGGTCTTTTGCTCGGCATCCTTCTTGCCAAGGAGGGAGTCAAGGTTCAAATCCTCGAGGCTTCCAACGAACTCGACAAGAACCCACGTGCGGCTCACTATGCGCCTTCTGCCGTCTACGAGCTGGAACGAGCGGGCGTGCTGGAGGACGTCAAGGCTCAAGGAATTCACCCCGACGCCGTTTGCTGGAGAAATCCCGATGGTTCGTTTATCGCCGGCATCAAATCTCGGATGGACATTGAGCATCCCATGGTCTGTTTGCCGCTGGACAAACTCGACATTTTGCTGCTGGAGCATTACCTCAAAGCCCCCAACACCGAAGTCCTGTGGGAACACAAGGTCGTGTCGATCGACCAGGACGAAAATGAGGCCCGAGTTCACGTCGAAACACCCTCGGGCGACAAGACATTCTCCGCCGATTACATTGTGGGTTGCGACGGCGCCAACAGCCAGATAAGACGCTCGCTGTTCGGAGACTTGAATTATCCCGGCGAGACTTTGCAGAAGCAAATCATTGCCACCAACGTGAGTGAAGTCGTAATTTGCCAAGTATATCCGGGTTGACCCTTTTTTCCTAGGTCTACTATGATTTCCACAAGTTCGGATATTGGGACTCCAACTTTATCATCGACGAGAACGATTGGTACATGGCCGCCAGGATAACAAATGACGGTCTCTGGCGGGTAACGTACGGTGATGAGTGGGGACTATCCAACGAGGAATATCTCAAGCGACAGCCGGAACGATACGAAAAAATCCTGCCCGGTAACCCAAAGCCTGGAGACTATAAGCTTGTCAGTGCCAGTCCCTACAAGCTACACCAGAGATGTGCCGATTCCTTCCGTGTCGGCCGATTCCTGCTGGCCGCGGATGCCGCCCATTTGTGTAATCCATTGTGAGTTGCCCATTCTGATACTAACGTCCACGAGCTGACGTTCTTCTTAACCAAAAGCGGAGGTCTTGGGTTGACTGGAGGTATCGCCGACGTGGGAAGTCTGTTCGACGCGCTCGTGGCCTTGAGACAGGGAAAGGCCGACGACAGCATCTTGGACAAGTACAGTGAAGTCCGCCGGGAAAAATGGGCAAAGATCATTGACCCCATGTCGCGAGCCAATTTCCGCCGCGTGTGTCTCGAAGAAGCAGAGTCGGATCGGAATGAGTTTTGGGCTCTATGCAAGAAGCTGGAAGAGGATGATGAACTGGCTAAGCAAATGGCTCAGGTAAGTGTTTGGTCCTTTCATTCAAAGTGATCGGACCAAGTTGCTAACTGATGAAAGGGAACAAATGCGTTGCGTGAAGATTTCAGAGAGTATATCAAGGCATAAAATGATTCGCCAACCGTGCCGTATTTGGTCCATGCATTTATTGATCGACATGAAGAAAGTGTTCATGCTCGCTGGAGGAAAAACCCTAGAGATGTTATTTGAACTGGACGAATGTGTTAATTCTCCTCAGAAGGTTGCTCTTGTTAGACGTGTATGTAATACTACCTCAGCTGTTCCCTTCTAGAGAAAGCGACGTCTTTCGATACGCGTTCTCGATCGAAGTCCTGTTGTGATTGAGAGACGTCGGGTTCGTGATTCTTACATTACACAGTATGCCAGTGCATGGCCGCTGCATGTCACTGTTGGTCAACACCTCCAACACAATTACGCGCTGTAGCAGACCGCAGCTTACCGTTGAATTCTGTTGATGGGAATGAAGTACAGACAGGAGACACTTGTAACATGGCATTGTCATCAGTCGAGATCGAATTCATCGTCATTTGCTTGGCAACGTGATCTTCCCCCTCAAGCTGCGTCTCGCTTGCTATCTTTCGTCCTCCCCCGAATCGCAACTCATGATATCTTCTTCACATATCGTCTGAAGAGCCTACTCGAAGCTCGTCAGTTTTTGTTTTCCACTCGTGGCCTCGTTGCGGAACACACCCTGGGATTGAATCGCCAGGCGGCAGCGAAGTCCCAAGCTCCGGGTATCGAGTCCTACCCCAAAAGCCCAGCGCTATCGTTTTGCTACATTGCACACCTCCGTGTCAGCTGCTCTGGCTTTCTATGCCATCCTGAATTCCATGATTGCTACGGGATACATTTCCCATCTCCCATACTAGCGCACTCTTGTCTGAGACGAATCCCCACGCCGATTGTACGAGCCGGCTGGAGGCACGCGCGAAATATTGGCCTACGAGTCAGTCTTTGACATCAGAGCGGCTTCGGTGTGGCTGTGGGCAATAGTGGAGGATGGCAGACTTCTCGCTGGTGCCCAGTGGACATGGCAGCAACTACACTGGTATGCTCACGAGGAGCATCGTCTTCTCAGTGGCTCTCTTTGTCTTTTTGGCCGGTAAGACCACAACGCGAGCACAAATAAAGATGAGACTAACGCTGTGTCGGACAGCCTCGGGCATGACTATCGCCTCCATCATTGTTCCCAATTGGATCGCGTTCGATGGAAGCACGGTATGTATCTGCACCGTGTCTCGAGGCCTAGATTCTAATTCTTGATAGTCACATGGCGATCCTGTCCATTATACCTATGGCCTCCATCGAAGGTGCTCCAGCACCAATATCCCCCCCTCCTTCGACAGTCGCTCGACGAGTTCCAATGTGATGGCCGATTCCCTTCAATGTGTTCAGTTCCCAAGATATAACGACTGTCGTGGAGACGATCGATATTTTTGTAGTATGTGGAGGTCTGTTGGGTTTTTGATGTCCTTCGCCGTGGTTTTGGAAGGCATGACGATTGCGGCCTTTGCCATTCTACTCGTGGGAGGTAAACAAAAGAGAGAACAAGGCTGGGGGGTGCTTACAATCTTGGTTGCTTTGGCCGCGTTTGTACAAGCCATCGGTATGGCTCTGATGGTAAGGTTACCCTTTTTCCAGACATTGCTTTCGTGGTCATCAAATGCTGACTCTGCCATAGGCTTATCTTTACGAAAACGACGAAAGATTTTTCTCGGGATGGTTCTTGGACAAGAGCTGGACCATGTGCACAATTTCTTGGAGTTTCCAGGCAGTCTGCGCCATTGCTATTACGCTTGCCGCGGTCGTTCTTCCGAGCGAGGGAGGTTATGAATTGATTCCGGACCATGCTTAAAACCAGGAAGAAACACTAGACATACATGTTGGCGCAGGAAGGCGAATTATACGGGGTTTCTCTAGCGAAATTGACTCTTTTGAGCACGATCTCCCCTGGTGGTGTCGAGCAAGAGTCGGCGTCCATGGAGTGTGTAGATGCTGTTTATGTGAGCGCAATGGATAATCTTCACATCAGGGGAGTGGTGGACTATGCGCCGTAGCATTTCTCTGAGCCTTTACACCATGCAGCCTTGTTGGAGTCTCGGGCATAGATACGGAGTTGTAATGGTACCCATTGCTACCTGTTGTCGCTGATTTGAGTACTTTTTGATTACTTATTGCTTCACTGAGGTCTCGCTTGAAAGTACGGAGTAATAAGTGACAATCTATTGAGCATGCTAAGGAAATGAGGCTTTACCCTGACACGCATTGGCCTGCCCTGAATGGCCTAACTCGGGACTTGCAGAGGTGCCCTTGCTGTTGCCGATACGGAGTCGGAGTGTCCGTGGCATGGACTTTTCCCCTGATGTTTGAATTACTGTCCATATCGGAGATGCTAGATTTTATCGTATGCACTCGTATGCAAGGGTTATGCACTATACGGGTACTGAAGCGGTTATCATGTTGCTCACATGCCTGTGTCAGGTATTCCGGAAACCGCTCCTTGGGGCAAAATTATATATATTTATTATATACGAAGTACGAATATTCTCAAACTCCGAGCACCGAGGTACTTCTGTTTTCTACGGGCCAACATTCTCTCCGTCCTTGTTCCACAACATCATCATCTCTCACTGCCCACAAGAGGCCGTGCAATTAGCAATGCGACGGGGATTCCCACAGTTCAGTCCAAGATCCCGATCGCAACGGGCCTGATGTTATTGTTTCTTGGAAAAGGCGCATGATTGCCTTCTTACAGTAGGACTTGCGACTCGTCGCCGCCCTGACGCGTTTTGAACTTCGTCCGAGACCATCGCCATAACATCATATGTCTTTTTATTTCACGTTGCCTGATGTCAATCATTTCCAAACTTCCACAACATATATACGTTGCGTTGAGCTGACTCGGCAGGACCTATTTTCTTTTCCTTTGATCTTCCGTACTAATTAACCCCTGCCATTCATTACCCGTTACTCGTTCACTCAGCATGGCATATCCAATACCACAACCGCCGACGGTGCCCATCCTCGGAAATGTCTGGGACTTGGACCCAAAGAATTCCATGCAGAGTCTTGTCCATCTAGGAGAGAAATACGGTATTTTGGACAGGTTACCTCACAAAACGACATTGCGCTGAGACCATTGAACCACAGGGCCTATTTTCAAATTATCCTTGGTTGGACGGGATCGATATTTCGTCACGTCGGCGGCCTTGCTCGACGAACTTTGTGACGAACGTCGATTCTGCAAAGCGGTTTCTGGAGGACTCCAGGAAGTGCGACACGGCGTCAAAGATGGACTCTTCACTGCCTACAATGGCGAACACAACTGGGAAGTTGCCCATCGAACATTAGTGCCGGCATTTGGACCTATTGGCATCCATGACATGTGTAAGATCCTCTTCAAGGCTGAGAAGACCGGCAAAGAGAGAGCGAAACCCCAAGCTAAGATCTGACCTTGTAGACGATGAGATGTACGATATTGCGACACAACTGGTTGCAAAGTGGGCACGAGTTGGATCCGACGAGAAGATCAACGTGACTGACGACTATACTCGCCTAACCTTGGATTCCATTGCTCTCTGTGCCATGTCAAAACGATTCAACTCCTTCTATTCCGAGACGATGCACCCTTTCGTCAACGCGATGGTTGGCTTCCTTCTCGAAAGTGGTCGACGGGCGTCGCGCACCCGTCTAGAATCCTTGTTCAACAGAGCGGCAGCTCGGAAATTCGAAGAAGACATAGCGACCATGCAAAGCGTCGCGGAAGAAGTGATCGCGTACCGAAAATCTAATCCAACCGACAAAAAGGACCTTTTGAATGCCATGCTGTACGGAAAAGATCCCAAGACCGGCGAACGCCTCACGCACGAAAGCGTCGTGAACAACATGATTACGTTCCTGATTGCGGGCCACGAGACCACGTCCGGAATGCTTTCCTTTGCCACCTATTACCTGGTCAAGAATCCGGACATCATGAGGAAAGCCCAGGCGGAGGTCGATGCTGTGGTCGGTAAAGGCCCGGTGTCGGTTCAACACATGTCAAAGCTACCGTACCTCGAAGCCATCCTCAGAGAAACTCTTCGACTTCAGCCAACGGCCCCGGCGTTCCAAATCCGGGCGCTGGACACCGTCGCGGGCCCTACCGTGCTTGGTGGTAAATATCATATCCCACACGAGGCGTCGATAGTGGCCCTTTTGCCCAGCATCGGTAGGGACCCCGAAGTCTTTGGTCCGGACTGCAATGACTTTGATCCCGAAAGAATGAACGCAGAAAACTTTGCAAAACTACCAAAGAATGCATGGAAGGTAAGTTTTAAGCTCGTTTGAGAGACGGACGTTTTCTGTCGGGGGCTAATATTCGTTGGATAGCCATTTGGAAATGGAGCCAGAGGATGTATCGGCCGACCGTTTGCCTGGCAAGAAGCAATCTTGACACTTGCTCTTGTTCTGCAAAACTTCAACCTGAGAGGCGACGATCCTTCGTATCAACTCCAGATCAAGCAAACCCTGACCATCAAACCCGACAACTTCTTCATCCGGGCGACGTTGCGGGACGGCATTGACCCTTTGAAGCTCGAGAAGAAGATGTACGCCGCTCCAGCAGAATCGAACGATGCTGCTGCTGTGCAAAAAAATCATCATGGAGCCGTCAAATCGGCCGATGCGGGCAAGCCCATGTTGGTTCTGTATGGTTCCAACTCTGGAACCTGCGAAGGACTCGCGCAGAGCCTCGCCGGCAGTGCTGGAAATCGAGGGTATTCCGCGACCGTCAAATCACTTGACGCGGCCGTTGATCAGTTACCGACCAAGCAGCCCGTCGTGGTCATCACTGCGAGCTACGAGGGCAACCCACCCGACAACGCGGGCGTCTTTGTTGAATGGCTGCAGAATGTGCCCTCCGAAGAGAAGCTCAAGGACGTCCAGTTCGCCGTCTTTGGCTGCGGCCATCACGACTGGGTGACGACGTACCAGAAAGTGCCCAAACTCGTCGACACCGAGCTTTCTCGCCGGGGCGCGCAGCGGATCGCCAGCCGCGGCGAGTCCGACGTTGCGCTTGGGACCATCTTTGATGATTTCGATGTCTGGCAGGACGAGAACCTGTGGCCTGCGCTCTCTGCGGACGCTGACCCTGCAGAAGACGTCGCGGAGGGTCTCGACATGGAAATCAGCACCACCACTCGCGCGTCACATCTACACCATAAGGTCATGGATGCCCTCGTGGTGGAGAATGTACGACTGACGTCGGCCGATTCCCCAGAGAAACGAAACACCACCTTCAAACTGCCCACGAACCTGACCTACGAGGCTGGCGACTACCTCGCCGTGTTGCCCGTCAACGCTGTATCGACCATCTCGAGGGTCCTCCGACGATTTGGGCTGCCCTGGGACGCCATGATGACGCTGCAAAAGGGGTCACATACGACCATCCCCACCGAGGTCGCCATGCCCGTCACGGCGGTTTTGGGTGCTTACGTCGAGCTCAATAGCGTGGCGACACGAAAAAACGTCACGACGCTCGTCAAGTATACCGGTGCCAGCGATGAGAATCTGGCCGAGGAACTCGCCGCCACGACGGGACAGCTATCGGTGCTGGAGATTCTCGAGAAACATCCCACTCTCAAAGTGTCGTTCCCGGTTTTCTTGTCCATGTTGACCCCGATGCGTATCCGACAATACTCCATCTCCTCCTCACCCCTGAACAACCCGACCGAGGCGAGCATCATGTATTCGGTGGTGAATTCTTCTGGATCTGGCACTGGCACTGGCACTGGCACTACCACGGGCCCGCGCATCGGTGTGGCCACCAATTATCTAAAGTCCCTACAACCCGGGTCGACCGTACAGATCATGATCAAAAAATCACACGCTTCATTTCATTTACCGCGTGACCCCAAGACCCCCATCATCATGGTATGTGCCGGGACGGGGCTCGCGCCTTTTATGGGTTTCGTACAAGAACGTACCGCTAGATTTGCGGCGGCGGCGACGGCCACAGGTGTTGGTGGTGGTGGTGGTAATAACGGCGGTGGTGATGGTGCATCGGCAAGTGAGAACAACAATTTTGGAGAAGCCGTGTTGATCATAGGTTGTCGACACCCCGAACAAGACCGACTTCATGCAAAACAACTGGCCGAGTGGCACGACAAGGGTGTCGTCAAGGTGTTTTACGCCTACAGTCGGGACCCGGAAAGTTCGGACGGCTGCAAGTACGCCCAGGACCGGCTCTGGCGCGAGAGGGAAGTGGTGAGTGACTTGTTCGACAAAGGCGCCAGGGCTTACATCTGCGGGAGCAGCGCCCTCGGCAAAGGTGTGGGACAGGTCGCGGCCAGGATGGCGGTCGAGGGGGCACGGAAACGGGAGGGCAAGGAAATCACCTTGGACAAAGGTCTGGAGTGGTGGGAAGGACTTCGAGGTGAGAGATATGCCGTCGACGTTTTTGACTGAGACCAAATATACCCACCCCGCTTCAGGGCTTTAGTATGCGCACCAATCCGTACCTAGGAAGGAAGAGTGTACAAATCTAGATAGATTAGAGTAATTTTATACAAGCTATACCAAAGTATACGGAACTGCCATGGCATGCTCTCCTCTCTACCAGAGAGCATGTTGTCGTTGAGCAGTAATCTTTCTATCGGGCAAGTGAACCCACATACTCTTTCCCATCCTCTTCCTCAACGCCTTGGCTTCCTTTTCCGCATTTTCTCTGGTCCGCGTCTTCTCCTCCTTCAGGAGCACGCTGATGCCGGTCTGCGGAGGACGCAACATGTACACACGGCCTCGTGCTCGGAACTCAGGCTCCTTTCCATACGGACCTCGATTCGTCCATGCCTGTGCCACATAAATATCGGTCTGTTCAGGGGTGTGACCTTTCTTGAGAGCTTTGGCGGGCGTTTGGTGAGGAAGAGGCCGGGTTTCGCTGGGATCTTGACCGGCGGGCGTCGTCGTCGCATCCTCGCTGCCGCCCTGAGCGGCCCCGAGACCCATGCCCTTCATGACGACGGCTTCGTCGCGGGCCTGGATCAGGTGTTGCCGCACCTCCTGAGCCACCTTTTTCTTGGAAAATCTCATTTGCAGGATGGCTTCGTCGATGGATTTGCCTGCAATCTGTCGAGCAAGCGGGGCCAGCTTCTTCATCGACGTCTTGAAGAAATGCGACCGAGATAGATGATTGCGTTCCGACCGTGCAATCCTCATCTCTTTGTTGGGTCGACCCCGACGTCTCAGGTCCCTGATCACCATCTTCCGTTGCCATCTCGACCGGGCGGTAGGACGAGGGTTGAGGACCTGGGCCATATTCTCCGGATTACGTTGCAGCAATGATTCATCCTCTTGTACCCCGGACTCTTTACGTTGGACGAGATCTTCGCCGAACAAGCTTGACGACGAGAGGCCACCAAGTTTGAAATTCCGTTCCTGTTCGGCCTGTTCATCCTTGAGTCTCTGCGCGGCTCGTTTCCGGGCAACTTCCAGCCGCTGCTTTGTCGTCATGGTCGTAGAAGATGGTGCTTTTGCCGGCTTTTGCGACTTAGGGGTCGAGACGGCGTGCTCAGTGGTTGTGGTGGACGCCCTGCGTGACGTGGAGGAGTGGAAAGTTCGCTGAGAGCCAAGATAAAGACCAGACATTAGAGGACAGAGGTCATGGGAGGAGTTTGTCTGCAAGCGATACGAGCGGGCTTCAAGTGTGTCAGTTGTATTGAAATTGCTAGACGAAGCATTGGGGGACTTGCCTCGAAAGAGCTGTCGTAAAGCTGTGTTTTGGGGCTTCATAACGATGGGAAGCCACCAGCAGGGCGCTGGTTTGAGTGAAGAGAGAGAGTTTCGTAATTCAAGCTGTGACAGTCCAAACTGAGGTTTCTTTGACTGCGGTATAGCTGAAGTATTGTCTCGTAGTATGGACAGAGGTACTCGTACTCGTACCTGTGAGACTTTGATTCCGAGCAGAGCGCAGGCTTGGCGATAGAAAGACTTGCTTAGCAAATCAACCGCTGCGGATAAAGAAAGTCCCCTAATAAAATTAATACGAGCTTCTTCTTCGTATCCCGGAATAACAAGGGCAATCATCCATCAACTTTCTTTTAGCGGCACCGGGCGGGTGGCACCAGAGGCTAAAGCCTATTATGAATTGACCCTTAAGGTCCCTTTAGGCCCTCTAGGTCCCTTTAGGCCCTCTAGGTCCCTTTAGGCCCTCTAGGTCCCTTTAGGCCCTCTAGGTCCCTCTAGGTGCCCCGTACGTCGATATTTTCCGGTGGTACTCCGTACAGAGACCTGCCTAGGCATCTTAAGTTATTAGGCGTAATGCGAGGCTCGCTAACAATTCCCTGCGCCAGACTGTGAACCCTGTAAGCGTCTCGTCAAATCCAGGCCGCGTCTGGCCTTCTGACATACAAACTGCTCGGCTTCGAACATCGACTGCCCTTGTGTTAGGTCTGCTTCTGCTATACCCAACGTCGCACAAATCAGCTGTGGCCTCTGGTGGACTGCTCAACCTCCCCTTCCTCTTTGCTGTGCTGTGTATGCGCCGCCTGAACACAGCCTGTTTCTTATGTGCGAGGGCCAACACTGAGGTCCATCTCGATGGCCGCAATATCGATCACAGACGATACAGATAAATCATTCGAAAGTATTGAAGAAGACACAATCACTGTCTGAGTTGGGTGCCTGATCGTTTGGTAGCCCTTCGCGCACAAACATGGACATCAATTCACTGCTGTCTCCGTCAGAAACACCGCGTTCAAATTCGTTGACTCCAACAAGTGCGGAATCGGTGAAATCTCCCTTCAAGCATGTCCAGCGGACGCATACTGGCACAGGCAGTCAACTTGCCGCAAGTTCACCTTTGTCACGGTCGATCCTTCCACCCTCCAGTATTCCCGCGCATGTGAGAAGTCCTTCGCAACAGCCATCCCACTCATCGCCTCTGATCAGTCCTGTTCCAGCTGCCACACTCTCTGGGCATTTCTCACGCTCCTCATCGTCGCAAAACATCGAGACTCTGGCCGAGCTGGGATCTCACTCGCACCCGTCGAAAACAACTCCTCCAATCCTGTCGAGTCACGATTCCTCTGACTCCCAGAAATCATCCGCTGGCCTATTTCCTCGTTTGACCTCTGCTGGGTCGACCTCCAACCCCCGCGCCTCGTTCGATATCGCCATGGTCGAGACACCTCAACAAGTCCTGCGGGTCGACTATTCCGAGACTTCTCTTTCACTAGAGTCACAAGAGAGACTGGCGGAATTGGTCGCCTACATTCAAGAAATGCCATCAATGTATGAGGCTCACAAGGAAATCATCAAAATTCTACACCAAGGCTTTGTCGATCACATTTATCCCTCGTCAAGTCCCAACGCTCGCAGAGATCCTCGAACGTATGAATTGCTCTCCGAGTTGCGACAGGCTCGAGAAAACTTTGACAAGTTGTTCGCAGTTGGGGAAGAGCAATGGCTGGACTGGCTTCAGGACGAAAGCATCCTTGCTCAAACCGCCGAAGAGCGTGTGAATGTCGTGGACAAATGCCGCCGAGCAGTTGAGGAAGAGCATGGCAGCGCCCGTTTATGGATCACCTATGGTGATTGGGTATTACATTGCTACAAATGGGCGCTTGATCCTCCTACCGATATCGAGGGAGAAAATGGTGAGGCTGAACGACTCGTGGGTCGCGAGGTCTTCGACTGGAAGCTTGTCCTCGATATCTGGGACAAGGCGATCCATTCCACAAAACACGACATGGCTCAGAGTCATGAGGTCTGGGATAAATACATGATTGTGAGATTCGGAGATGTTGGTCAAAAGCTGTCGCCAGCTGATACTGCAAGCGCTCTCGACTTATTCCAGGCCCGACTTCGCGTTCCCCACGCCATGTGGGAGCAAACCTTCCAGTCATTCTCTTCCTTTATCTCTGCCAATCTCCCCGCAGAGTACGAGACCATCATGTCCGCGACACTAAGGGAATCATCCACGGCCAAGGAGATATTTGCGGAGCGAGATACTTTTGAAAGTGCGCTTCGGCAAGCTCAGGACAATGCCGATCAGGCGCTAGAATACTCGACTTTCGACCAATACATTGTCTTTGAGCGCACCGAGCAGGAGAAGGTCACGAAGAGACGTAACATCAAGGGCAAACGTCACATCAAAGTCGTAGAAAACACGGAGTTTGACATGGTTGCAGCCCTCTACGCTAGAGCCGTGCTTCGTTTCCCAGCAGTTGTTACTATTTGGGAAGCACATTTTGACTATCTAGTGGAGAGGTCAAGGTCTGATCTACTCCCGCTACTTGGACGAGCTACGAAACATTGCCCGTGGTCTGGAGCGCTTTGGAAGCAGTATCTGCTGACATCGGAAATTGCAGAAGTGGACTTTGATGAGACTGAAAAGATCAAACACAAAGCCACAAGTACTGGGCTCCTAGACGCTGCAGGAGTTGATCAAGCCCTAATTATCTATGATGCTTGGTGTGGCTATCTTCTCCGACGCACGAAGCGACCGGAGGCGACGGAAGAGGATGCAGATGTCGCTGAAATGGGTATCAGGTCATCTATCGAGGCGGTGCAAAGCCTTGCATCAAAACAAGGCTCCAGTCCCGATTTTGATTCTTCATTCAGGTTACAGAGGAAATATGTCGAGTATCTCAAGTCGCAAGGCCGTTTCGACAATGCTCGAGCACAGTTCGATGACGCCGTAGCAGATTTCGGGAAGTGCTACAAATTCTGGCTAACTTTCTACGAGTTTGAGTTGCAGAAAAGTGTGCAGATGGCGTTCATACAGCATGGTGGTGGGGAGCGCCTTTCGACACTTTGGTCGGCTCCATTCGCCGTCGGAGTTCTAAAACAAGGACTTCAGTACCCGGGGTTGGACGAACCCGAACACCTTGTAGATGCACTCTTGGACCATTGCGAGGATTGTGAAGATGCGGACGAGCTGCAACATGCACTGGGTCTTGCACGTAAGGTACAGAAAGATGTCGTCGAGAGGAAGCGCTTGGAGGCCTTACAAGCAGAAAACATTGCACTCTCATCACAAAAGGCTGAACAACAAGCATCCAGCCGTACTGAGGACGTTGCGAATGGTCTCCACATTGGTAAACGGAAACGGGAAGATGATATCCAAGAGACTGATAACAAGAAACGAAATACAACCGCGGATGAGATGCAGCAGTCTGTTGAAGACACTCTCGGGCAAGATGAGCTGCTTAAACGTGATCGCGAGCATTCCAGTATTTTGGTACGCAATCTGCCGGGCAATGTCCACGAAAACAAAATCCGACAGTTCTTCGACAGCTGTGGCGTCGTCAAGCACGTGAAATATTTGGCAGAGGAGAACAGCGCTGTTGTAGAGTTCGAGGATGCAGACGCCGCGGCGTTCGCTCTGTCCAGAGACGGTCGAGAATTTGAGGGAGCCGAACTCTCGGTGGTGCTGAACACTGGATCGACCCTATACATCACCAATTATCCCGCCACAGCTGATGACGCCTTCATCCGAAACCTATTGCGACCGTACGGCGAGATCATCAGTGTGCGCTTTCCGTCCTTGCAGAAAAACAAGCGACGTAGATTCTGTTATGTCGAGTTCAAGCTTCCAAGTGAAGCACGTGCCGCAACCGAACTGGATGGCAAGGAAGTTGATGGCTTGCAGATTGTAGTCAAGGTCTCAAACCCGGCAGCTCGACATGCAAGAACTGAGACGAATGACGACGGGAGGAAGATATTCGTCGGACAACTGCCGTTCAAAGCCAAAGCGGATGAGGTCGAAAAATTCTTCTCGCAATTCGGAACGCTGGAAAACATCCGAGTGCCTCAAGATCTAAATGCGCGAAATCGAATTCGTGGCATCGCATTTCTTACTTTTGCGACTGCAGACCAAGCGCGAGCTGCACTTGCTATGCACGAGCATGAATTCATGGGGAGAAAGATCACCGTTTCACAGGTCGAAGAGAAAGGCCGTACTACCAAACAAGGTTCACGCTTTTCAAAGTCGCCGTCGGTACAGATCAACGGTGAAGACGGAGCCAACGCCTCCGCCAAAAAGAAAAGTTCTCCCATTGAAGATCGAAAACAGCGGACGGTTGCTATTGCCGATGTGCCTGACACTGTAAATGAGAGTCGAATAAAAGCCATGGCTGAAAAATGTGGTCCAGTGCGCAAGGTTGTTCTCAAGACGAACCACCAGGGTGCTCTGATCGAATTTGAGGGGATAGCCGACGCAGGCCGGGCAATGATGGAGCTAGACGGGCATGAGATTGATCCTGGCCGACGAATCCGGGTCACAACCGAGGGTGAAATGCTCCGACAGAAAGCTGAGCACAAGGAGGAACAGTTCGCGAAGCGACCTGCCGCAGGTCGGTCTACAAACCCTTCAGTGCAAGGCCCTGTCCGGCGTCCGCAGCAGCCTGGTGGCCGAAAAGGTGGACATCTAGGCCAGAGATCTGCCTTTCTGGCCCAGATTGACCAGAAGAGCCGAATGGCGACAGACACAGCGCTACAGAATGGAAAGAGGACGAACGACGATTTCCGGAACATGCTGAAAAAGGAATGAGGGATCCCGGTGGTCGTGGCTCTTCTATGTATATGTTTGATTCTTGGTGGTTTGATCAAAACAATTGACACTCCGAGTCTGTATTATGGTAATGTTCAAAACGCCATCTCGACGTGTGTAAGATTAGATCAAAATATAATACTCGTACGATTCTCATCAAACAGTCTCGAAAATGGTATTACTTCTACGAAACCACGAACTCGATCGGGCGACGTTTACATGCCGATGTGACGGACGTTTCGAAAATATTTGAAGATCACTCTGGCTTTTTCATTTTGTCCGTCAATTCCGTAATGACGACGGGCATTATGTACAGTGGTAGTCCAACCTCCCAAAACTGCCTTTGGACCCCGGCGCTCAACCAACAGCATTCCATTTTCTGCCTCGTCGACTTCTAAATTATGGTACTCTCCTCGCCTTCCGTGTGTTGTCGGATCTTGGGGGGTTCTAGGCGCGTGTCGTGTCAACGTGCAACTTCCACGGAGACATAACTTTCGTGTCCTGGGGGAATAGGAGGATATCGGTTTCGAAAGGGGCGTCGAGCGCAGAAAAGTGTCTTGCGTAACTGACCACTGGACATGCGCTCGTCGCCTGGTCATTCCCATTTGGAGGGAGAGCCGTCCTCTTCGCCCAAGGAAGGGGGGAAGAATTTTCCGTCGGAAACAGGGCCACGGGACATCATCTTGATCATCATACACATGGCGTGTGTGCTCTCTGGCTGTAATAGTTTCCGCTTTCCGCAGAGTGATTTCCATCTGGACGATACCAAGATCCGCTCACTGGATGCTTCGGGTCGTCGAGCCACCAAGTCTCCCTGGTGTCTCATTCATCCCATTACGTTCTGAGGCTACAGCGGATCAGCCAGCCGTTTGTGTTTGTAGTTATCCACATTGGTTCAACCCAAAAATTCGTCTTCGAGACCCGGTTGGCCGACACCCATACTTTGTACAGTCAGTTGCTGCTTGAAACGACGTAATTTGGGGGCAAGTCTCCGGGTTCCCACGTAGTCGAGATGGCGATTCCAAGACAGGATATCAGCGTGGGTCCAAGTCAAAACAGGTCACCCTTTCAGCGGAGATCCTGGATGAGATGGCGAGACAGAGGGAGCACATATCCCGATATGTGAGTGTACACAACAAAGCGTCTTTTTGGGTCGCAAAGAGTCCTTGCAGGAGAGAAAAGGATGACCCTGAGCAAGAATAGACAATCCCAAACACACGCACAACCCTAACTCACGGTCACCGGGGTCAAAAGTTCCAGCATTCCCCTTGTCATTCCCGCCAGCTTCGCTCGGTTGACCTCATCTTGCACCTTTTCCCGCAATTTGTTGACTTGTCGAGTAAGAGCTTCGCTTTCAGCTAGGTGTTTGGAATACAAATCCATAATGGTCATGGAAACCTCGACGCAAAGTGGGACAAAGGTCGAATTCGACATGTTTTTCGAAACCCAGCTCATGATAGGCTGGAGCTGTGTCTCATCGCGGCCTTCGAGAGCAGCGCGCAGTGCAGATCGATAGCGAAGGGTGTTGAGAGCTGTGACAACGGTGATTTTGTCGCCGGCCGACACAGCAAGGTCTAGAGCGCTGTTGTATCTGCCTTTGTGCAATTCTCGCTCCCAGGCGGCGATTTTCTTCGGCCTGCTGCGAACGTTGCCCTCGACGATGATATCAGCATCCTCGCCGGTGTAATCCCGACCTCGCAGCCGCCTCTCCAATCCTCTGGGGCGCTTCTTGGCTTGCTTTCTATCGTATTCGTCAATTTTGCCAGCCAACAACGCTTCCATTTGTTTCTGTCTCTCCCGCTCCTTCACCTTCTGCTCCCCAGAAAGTCGAGTCTTGATGCTTAATTGGCCCGTAGACATGCCCACTACGACATGCTTGTCTTCACGTGGAGTACCAGATGAAACAACCTCCAAAGAGAGAATCGGTGAAGGATATTTAGAACCGGCGACGACATTCCAGCCGGTGGTCTCGAATACTTTCATATGTCCATCGAGACCTCCAGTGACGAGTCTCGTATTGTTCGATGCCAATCGCAAGCACGTAACTGTCTTTTGGTGATTCCTGATCATGTGCAATGGTTTGCCTGCAACGATATCCAACACCGCAATCTGATTGTCGGCGGAAGCGAGAAGCGTGGTCCCTGTTGGCATGCAGAGGACATCTTCAACAGGAGCGATGTGCTTGAAACTCATGACAGCTCCGTCGGGGGTACGCGGATCCCAGAGTCGCACGGTTTGATCATAACTCCCAGAAACAATCAGGTTGCCAGATTGGCCGGGCAAGAACGAGCCGCTCCGTACGTAGTCCTGGTGGCCGCGGAAGACTCCCACACTGCTCTCACTGGGAAGGTCCCATAGTCTCACAGTCCTGTCGTCGCCGCAACTCATGAGCGACGTACTCTCCCTTGGACTCCATCTCACATTGTGGACTGCCTGTTTCTGCTCCTTCCATGTTTTTAAAATCGCTCTCGAATTCACATCGAACACTTGAATTGTACCCGTCTCGTCTGCTGCTGCAAGGACACGCCCATCGTATCTGGCCTCGCCGCTGTAAGCTGTATCATCGAAGCGGGTAATGGTCTTGAGGAGTTTCCGGGTCTTTAGAGAATAGAGTTGAATCCTAGCACCGGTTGTCACAGCGAAGAAGTCTGGGGAGGATTGGGCAGAGGCGTGTGGTTCTGGCTGCGAGACGTGTGTGATCGCATGCTTGGTTGGGGAGGGAATGTTCAGCGGCGACTTGAAAGACCGCCAGTATTTCTGTTCTGGTGTGAGAGATGACGGCCGCGAAGGCAGTTTGACCTGGGCGATCGGCTGCACATCAGCAGCCATTGTGAATTAACAGGTGGCTCAAAACCACTTGGTTGAGATGGAGAGCGTTTTTTTTGCGCGAGGATGTTGTGCAAACGCAGGGAAATTTTTTGGATGGATCTTATCTTATCTGTGGCTACGGTGGACCAAGCATCCACACCTCGCCATCAACATCGCGACGTCGCGTCTTTTCCTGTACTACGTGCCACCTTCATGCCTTTTCGTTTTGGCAAAAAGCGGCCTTCTCTCAGGCTGCCCAACTTGCAGGAATGGCTTCTGTGCTAAGTCTACCTTGTCTGGACAAGGTCTTTTCTGTCCAGTGTTGGAGCGCAGCAGCTCCCTTACAGTCACCTTACAGACAACTGCATGGTCATCTTCACGAAAATGAACCTCAGATGTCTTGCAAAAAGAACTATAACTTTCATTTAAGTGTGCTCTATTGAGGTCTGGATCTTCATCACCAATGGCAAGTTGTTGGAACAAGTCATGTATGCTCACAAAGACCGAACTGGGGTACACTTACGAGACACAGGCATGTTCTTGCTGCAAACTTAACCCTGAGCATAGCTCCGCTGAAACACGACAATTACCATCGAGATTTATCCCCGAATAAGAGTCCACGAAGTACCTTCGAAGGTATCTTCAAGTGGACAAGCCCACATACCTACGATGGAGAGTCTTCCTTGTTATCTTACCATATAGCAAAGTCGTTGAGAATGGATCTGCCGCTGTTAGCGGGATCAATGCTCTCGACCCTTGAGCATCGCAGCTGTCCTCAATCATGTTCATATGCTTAGGGCGGGTTTTCAAAGCGATTAGGACAATGTGGTTACAGTTTTGCGGTCGCTCCAAGTTCACGGTACAGTGAAGTTGATATAGCCACACTGATATACTCCGTATCACTGCTATGTCACTTTGAAGTGAAGTATTTGAAAACAAGGCGACCTGGGTATTGCTCCCCCTGCCAACCAGACCATTCTCGACTTGTTCGCCACTTCTTCCGCTTGTACAATTGAAAAGAATTTAATCTCGTTGCTTTCGGTACGATCAGAGAGCGTTTGGAAAGCTTCGGCGGAATGCCCTGCATCCTTTACAAGATGAATCCCCTGGCGATATTGCTCCTGTGAGTTGCGCGCGACTTTCTCGCTCTCATCTCTCACCGGTTCTCGCCCAGTTGACAGAGATATCCAAGACTTTCATGATCTCGTCCTTAGAACTATCTTCACGGGCTTTTGCTATACAATAGGCTGACTATTCAATTCTCTACTTAGCTTCTCGCTACTATTCTCGTTACTGATTCTGCCATTCCCCGTCGAAAGCCGCGGTGTTGAGCTGATCCCTGCTTATCACAATCCAAACTACCGTGCCAATGCCACCAAAGCACTCCTGCACGCCTACCACAGATATGGCATCATACCTTTGGCTGGCCCGTACCATCGGAATGAAAACAACGTCCTCCTCAAGCGACAGAAGAATGGATCGTCTACCGCAGTGTAAGGTTGCCGCCAAAGACCCCATACCTTGCTAACTCTCCTGGTACAGGCTCGCAGACGACTACATCAACGACTTGTTTTATACTTGTCCAGTACTCATCGGCACTCCACCACAGGCTCTTTCAATGGTGAGTCAGAGTTATCTGGATACCCGACCTGTAAGCTGACAAGATAGAACTTCGACACCGGCTCTGCAGACACGTGGGTATGGTCGATCACTATTCTTGGACTCGGGAAGAATTACAACGCGACGGTCTTCAATCCTACACTCTCGTCCACCTTTCGAAATATGTCGGGAAGTTTTTTCTTCGTCTCGTACGGCGACTCTTCTTGGGTCAATGGAATAGTTGGAACAGACACTCTCAGAGTTGGAAACATTGCAATAGAAAATCAGGCGGTCGAACTGGCAACTGCATTGGCCTCTTCATTCAAGACTTTGACGACGATGAACGGGTTCTTGGGTCTCTCGTTTACCAATCTCAACAAAGTCAAACCCCATCCAGTCTTGACCCCCGTCGAGAACATGGCGCTTCAACAAGCTATTCCGGCGAAACAACAACTCTTCACAGCCTACCTGGGATCATACAAGGACGCGAAGGATCCTGACCAGGGTAGATCTTTCTACACGTTCGGTGGCATCAATCAAGCTCTTGTGCCACCGGGACAAGAACCTCGGTACACGAGTGTCAACGATACTGTGGGACGTTGGATGATCAGCTCGCCGTCTGTTGTCATCAACGGCCAGGAATTGGATCTGCCACATAACGAAGCTCTCGTGGACACCGGGACTACACTGATGTTTGTCAAGGAAGAGGTCTGCAGAGCGTTCTACGGGCAAATTCCAGGCGCTGTCCTCTCAGAAACGGATGGTCAATGGATTTTCCCAACGCAAATCCCAACCGATCTGTTGCCGAATTTATCGGTTGCTGTGGGAGATTTTCAAGTGGCCATCAACAAGGAACAATTTGCTTTTGCCCCGAGCGGACAAGCAAACATGACTGTAGGGGCGATCCAGTCTCGGATCAGTTCATCCTTTGACATATTTGGAATTCCTTTTTTTCAAAACGTCTACGCCATCTTCGACGTTGGCCGAAGACGGTTCGGAGTGGTCAAACGTATTGATCCTACACCCAATGGCCCTGCGTGAGACTCAGCAAAGGGCTGGCTCGAAGCAACCTAGCAGTTGACGTCCTTCTGGCGACAGTCGCAGAAGTGATATGGACGATCAACACGATCAAAAGGCGTACCTAGGCATCCTAGAGTAGAGTCAATGCAGCGTATTTCCATGAAATCATTCTAGTAGTTCGTCATTGTAGTCATGGATTTGTCCTTTAGCACTCATTCAACATGCATAGACTAAAAAGTAGTTCTGGGTCACTTAGAATACGATTTGATTGATGCCCAACGGTTGAGCGTGGATTTTGTATTTGTTTTTATTTGCTAAAAAAAGATCAAAAAATCTGGCGGCCTTGCAGTTCGAACCCAGATCACACTCTAACCATCGCCTCCCAGTGCCTCCTTGAACAAGGGTGAAAAAGCAAAAAGAAAAAAAAACAATTGCTCGCAGTCGAGCATTTGCGAAATATGATGTCCAAAGATTGATAAATGGAGCATGTTGGGCGTAGCCACGGCCATCTCTGGTAAAAGGCAAGAAATGGATTCTGCAATAGCTCGTCCCGCTCCAACTCACTTTTTGAGTGGTATTAAAATATATTCTGGAATTTTTTCCTCGGACACGTGATGAACAAATTCTCCACAGTCTGAACCATCCCCCCCCCCGCATTCGTCATTGCTCTTGGGCTGATCAACCAAGACCCTCGTTACTTTCCTTACCTCCACAAGATACGGAGCTCGCACTCATACAGTGTTGACTTTTGCTACGCTCACATTCTTCCGCACATCGTACGACTTCTGCCTCTTCCCCAAATGAGCAAAATGGCCGCTTGTATTTTTTGCAAGATTGTCAAGGGTATGTATACGCGGTCCATCGAAGGAAACGACGCTCCAATATCTTTCTGTAACAAGACTAACCGCCGTTATTGTCTGGTAAACAACAGGTGACATCCCTTCGTTCAAACTCTTCGAATCAGACAAGGTCCTGGCATTTTTGGACATTCAACCACTGAGCAAGGGACATGCTGTATGAAGCCTACCTACCCTATGCTCCTCTCGAGGGCCCTGTGTGGGCGCCAAATAAAAAAAAGAGAAAACAAACACAGAAGTAACATCCTGGGTGAACTGGCATACTGACAGCAATTTCCCTCCAGCTCGTCATCCCTAAGCACCACGGCGCGAAATTGGTCGACATCCCGGACGACTCCCTCACCGAACTCCTCCCCGTGGTGAAGAAGTTGGCGGTCGCCAGCGGGGCCGAAAACTACAACGTCTTACAAAACAACGGCCGGTTGGCTCACCAAGAGGTCGACCACGTCCATTTCCATATGATCCCCAAACCCAACGAGACCGAGGGTCTGGGGATCGGTTGGCCGGCCACGGCCACGGACATGGAGGCGTTGAAGAAGCTGCACGCCGATCTCAAGGCGAAGATGTAAAAAAAAAGAACAGAAGCAGTGACAAGAAGAACAACGGCGACAAAGTCATGATGATCAGGTACCTACTTGATCAGTGATACTGTACATACCGTGGCCATCAAGAAAAAGATAGACTCTTGCCATGCATATATACAATCATTTGCACAACCCAACCTTGTTCCCGTAACAACTTGTGCACTGTCAGGAGATTCCCAGGAGAAGAAAGGGACTTGGTTACGATCTATCTAATCCACACAGAATAGCACCGAGGCTTTCGGATCGTTCAGCCCTTGTGACTGCGTACGGCCTAGTAGCAGCCCGACAGGTGAAATCACAACATGAATACGGGGGTCCGGTCTACACATGTGGAACTAGGAGGGAGACGTACGAGCCAGATCGAAGCTCTTGATGGTTGACATGATATAAGCTCATGGTTGGCCATGAGGGTTTCATCTCAGACATCTACAGCGATATTCATTCTCTGTTTCTTTGATATGTGGAATCTTGACTGCACTATTCCACATCATATTGACATGCTTCTCCAAAAAGAATTATATGGGAGATGGAATGCCCCAAAGCAGCCATCCTATTTGTCTTGCAGATCACTGCAGGCACATCGAGGTTAGAGAATAAGGTGCAGCCGGGCTCATATATGTGAGATGTGGCAGAGATGTCTGTTCCTTGGCTGTGGTCCGGAGTGCCGAGATAAACACCCACAAGCGGCGTCTTGATGTCCTCGGGATGATATCTGGAGGTCTTGTTCGAGTCTCTCGAAAGTCCCTCTTTGATCCCTGTAATATTGACACTGCGGCACATACCGCAAACAGTACGAAACAGGCCGAGAGACAGGTGGACATACCTATCTTCAGTCCACATCGTCTTCGTTGGTTTCGATTGCAGGTGCCTCTGAGGTTGGGGCCAGGTTTTGATTCTCGCCTTTTCCAGGTGGCGGCGGATAAAAGTTGATCTGGCCATCGGGGGAGATCATTCCCGTACGGTCATAATAGGTCCTGGCGCGAACATACTTGTCCAGTTGCCAATAGTTCTCGTTCAATTTCTTCGCCAGCACATCCCTCTCTTGCTTGATTTTATCAGAATCGCCACTTGCACCACTGGCGATCCAGTCAAATGTTTTCTTCTGGTACTCCTGAACTTCGACCTCCCTTTTCTCTTGTAATTCTTTCCGGGGAGCTTCTTCTTTCATCGCGTCATTCTCGCCAGGGACTGGCTCCACGTACTTGTATTCCCAATCCTCATCTCCGTCGAGCTCCTTGATGATCCGAGACTTGGGAATGAACTTTTCTAGATCCGACACATCAGAAGTAAAATGGACTTTCCCCGCTACTACCGGATCAAGCCATCCTCGTATTATTTTCCAAATCCCCTGAAATAGCCAAGGTGCCTTGTGTACCAGTACCGCCCCAAGTGACTCGGGGTAGTTTGCCTCGAAAATCTTGATCATGAACTTAACCGGGGTATAATCCATATTCGCCATGGTGAAATTGCTCATATCGAAAAGAATGCACTGAGAAAGAGTAAGCACATTCCAACCCCGAGCAATGAAGAGCGACACTTACAGCAGTTTCCACCGGCGGTCGTAAAGCCAGTCTAGCAGTTTCAATCACATAAACCGTATATCGTTCTAAAGCTCTTTCAGTTTGCTCTCCACCTCTATGCAGCCTAACGCGAACAAAACATATTGGTCGACCTTCTTTGTCTGTTCCGTGAAGAAAGCTCTTCCCCAACCGTAGCTGAGTGAGAAAATCAACGCCCTCCCGTTTGACGGCGGGATCGCTAGACGATGAGTCCTCGAGGGCTCCTCCCTCCCCACGCAACACCACATCATCATCGACATGCTGTTCCTGACTTCTCCATCGCATTGTAGAAATCAACATCACCAAAGCCTTATCGACATCCCATTTTCTCGCCCGGAGAAACCGTAACAACAGGGCGTCCGGATGGTCTGCTTTTACCATGCTCCAAAAGGTCGCGCGTAATAGTTCGGGATCTTGAGTGGCCAGGATCTCGTGGAAATCTTTCACCTGGCCGTACTTGTCGTCATCGGCGTGATCTCTGTTCGGTGTCGCTGAACCGTTGCTCGAGTCTTTCTTGTCACCATGTCTCTTGAAGACACCAAGTCGTTTCTTACTCTTCTTCTTGTCTTTGCCATCTGCTTCTGTCGCACTTGGCTCTAGTTCGGTCCCAGGTGTATCTGTACCAGCGAGCTGGTGGGGCTCCTCGACTCCAAATACTTTCAGCGTTGCAGCCCACAACTCCCGCAGTTTAGTTTCTTGTTCTGGCGTCAGATTGCCGTGATGCCCTGGGGGAATAGGCATATCTGTGTAGAAAGGGTCGAATTCGTCTCCGGCGGGCTTGTCTAAACGGCGAGGTGGAACGTCACCGTTACCAGGGTCGCGTGCCGAGTTTTGAGTATTGCGCACAAAGTAATCAAGAGCTATGCCACCGCTGAAGATGAGGCCGAAGAGGAGCAGGTAAGAAGACGGGGCAGAGGCGAGAAGAGGTCGTGTGGAAGGCTCGCGATTGTGGGGGGTCCTACGTTGACACCAAGAGGCTTGCTGAGAGGTTGAAGACTTAGTATTGCGCTGAGGGCCAGGTGTATATAGTCTGGTTCGTTGAGCGCCCGTTCGCAAGGGCTGTAAGGAAGAGAAAAGAGCTGGCCGGACAGACAGAGGCCGACAGACGCAGCGTCGCATATAGAAGGCCTACGTGATGAGCTGGAAAAAAGATCACTGTATCCGTCTGGGGGATATCGATGAGGTATTGGGGCGTCGCCTAAAGCCGAAGCACCCGTGGATAACTCAGCAAGGGCGAAAATAATGCGCCTCGAGGGACGATGTCGATCCACAGAAAAAAGGCACGGAAGGACTGATTGCCGGCCCCAGGATGCGGTTCGGTCGAAGTTTTCAGGCTCAATAAGCAGCCAATTCGATCATCATCTCACTTGGCGTCCAGGGAAGAGGGGCGCAAAAGGTGGCTGTATGGAGTACTTGTCGAGCAGTCACATCCTCGGTGTAAAGAGCGGCATTCTCATGACTTGATCATACTCAGAGACTGTCGGAGGCATATTTCGATAGGGCAAAAGTGAAGTCCACAGTGCGATAAGTGTTGGACAAATCTCTAGGAGAAAAGATACAGAATACCTGAAATATGGACATACAGACATACATGAACTCTGGAGACTCTTATATCTATCTCTAGGCGGCATCGTAGCTAATAACTCAGCCTCGTCCCCGAGCCGTAGGAGCCTGACAAGGCTGCCTGCCTTATTAAAAGTTGTTCCAATCAGAATTCCCTGCGCCTGCCGCCTAGAAAAATGCCTGTCTAACCATTGTTGGACTTTTGAAGGTCCTCGTCCTCTTCATTGTTCGTATCACGATCAAATCCCTCGGAATTGGAATATCGACATCTCGTACGGAGTGCAGTCTGATGGTACACAGAAACTCAACCTTTCTGTTTCAAACTCGCCTCGACTCCTCTGCCTCAATCGGCTCCATTTCTCATATCTCTTGTTTGTCAGGCTTCTCAGACAGATGCGGCTGTTGAATCGATTGTCCTCCCCACGTCAATGACAACGAGCGCTGTTGCTCATCCCCAAACCACAACGTTCATTCCCGACACCATTTACATTCATTAAACAATCTTACAAAATGAAAGCCTCCTACTCTACCAACGCTTTAAAGCGGTGGTCTTGCAAGAGTCGCGATATTCCCACGGTTGCCCAAGTCAAAGCAGTTCATGTCTACGACTTCGATAATACTCTATTCTCTAGTCCTCTCCCAAACCCTCAAATATGGGCAAGTCCTGCAATAGGAATGCTACAAGCTTACGAGACTCTGGCATACGGAGGATGGTGGCACGATTCGTCCATTTTGGAAGCAACTGGAGATGGCCTAGAAAAGGAAGAAACCAGAGCATGGGAAGGCTGGTGGAACGAGGCTGTTGTTCAGCTTGTTAAACTAAGCACACAGTCAAAGGATGTAGCGACAATTCTGCTCACAGGAAGAAACGAAACCAATTTCGCCGATCTGGTCAATAGAATCTGTGATGCTAAAAACCTCCATTTCGACATGGTAGTGTTGAAGCCCGAGGTTGGCCCTGCTGGTCAAAGATTTGAAAGCACAATGAGCTTCAAGCAGGAATTCCTTCGAGAGCTAGTCTTCACTTACAACAACGCGGAGGAAATCAAGATTTACGAGGATCGCCCGAAGCACGCCAAAGGATTTAGAGAGTATTTTGAACGACTGAACAAATCTCTGCTTTCCCATCCCGCCGATCAACCACCACCCCTGCGGAAGCCCATCATCGCCGATGTCGTCCACGTCTGTGAATTGAAATCGACTCTGAATCCGGAAACTGAAATCAACGTCGTCCAGAGAGCCATAGACCGCCACAATCATGCCGTTACCAACGGTGGACCAAACCCAACCAGGAGTGTGCGGAAACACTTGACAATCACCGAGCAATTCTCCTATTTTGGCTACCTCATCAATCAGACAGACTCTGCTCGTTTGATCACTCTCATCACGGGGCTTCCCACAGCTCTCATTGACTCTGGAGAGGTTCGCCTACTGGCCTCAAGCATTCTAATTGCCCCCTATGTGCCACAAAGGAGCCTTGTCAAGAAAGTCGGTGGCCGGGGCAAAAAGGTAACGTGGCAGGTGACCGGTTTCACAAAATACGAGGATCGCATCTGGGCGGCACGAGTTGCTCCGGTATCAGAAACCCAGATTATCACGCAGGACCCTATACCACTAGTAGTCCTTGCAATTCGTAAAGGTTCAAGGCAAATTGATGCAGCAAAAATCCAGCAATGGGAATCTGTTGCACCAGAGAAAGCGTTCATGTTCGAGACTACTGTTGGAGACAAGGTTATGCTGAAGATAGAAGACGACTTTGTACGTAGCAAAGGAGGACGGAGGCACGAGAACAACGATGGCGGCCACAAACGCAAGCATGTCAACGATGCTGACTCCGACTATGCGCCTCAAAACAGCTATTCACGAAATGGTGCGGTGGATCGAGAGGATGGGTCTTGGGCTGGGGAAAAGCGTCCAGCCAGAGGTGGCAGATTCGCCCAACGCAATGCAGCCAGTAAGGCTAACTTCAACAACCGCAACAATCCAAACACTCCGGGCAGCAAGCACAACACGCAAGAAGCCAGCTCTGGTGGAAGACAACGTGGTCCAGGACCTGCTGCCGGGAGTGGAATCCGAGGAAGGAACGCGGGTGGCGCGCATTCGGGTGGCGGCGGCAGAGGTCCTCCTGCATACAAGAGTCTCGATGATTATGGCCCGGGCAATTTTGATGGTGCGAACGACCCCAAGGCTGGAACGGCAGAGATGGTGATGAACTACTAAATACTGTTGCGTCATGGATGTTGGCCGTTTCATTATCAAGAGAGCAAGCGGTTCGAAGCGTATCTAGTTCTTCTATGTCGTTTGACGGGATGATGCATCATGTTGGGCTTTTGCAATGATACCATGTATGACTATTGAGCCATGGAGTCTGGCGTGGGTACCTACCAATTTCTGTAATATCGGTCTAGGGTTTCAAGTATTATTTTGGAAATGAAACGATGTTGAACAAATAATTCTACTGGTCTATATCTCGACATGGCCACTTTGACAGCCATACATTTGGTAAGGATCGACTTGGGGGGGGGGAGGGGGGGGCTTCAACAGAGATACATAAACGGCATTGTATGCCAATGAATCCAAGGCTAGCGGCTAGATCACACATGCGACTCCGACAAGATTCCCAAGGGCACCGTCCGTGATGGTATTTGGGCCAGAAAAAAAGAAAGAGAAAAATCCTTCCAAAAGCAAAACAAGTCGCTCTCGACAAGGCGACACACATGGGCAATATTTGCTTTCTCAAAACAGAGCGGGGGGCTTTCAATCCATTGTTAGAAGCCATCTCCCTCGTGCCACGGGCGCCCACACTCTGCGGCCCTCAGGGCCGGGTCGAAGCCTCTCCGGAGGGCGTCTTCGCGTAGGCGGTCGAGCAACTCGGTCTTTCGCTTGACCTTGGCCGCGAGGCGTTTGTACTTTTCGCCTCCTCTGACCCCCGAATCCCACAAGGATGCCAACTTCTCGTCGAGTCTTTCACGCTGTTTGAGAATGGCCAGCCAGTTCTGCAGACCGGCCTCGCCCTCGAAGCAAATGCCGTAGCCGTCGCAGTAGCACCGGTGCTGGGAAGGGCAAAACTCGAAATTCCCCGTGAAAATGTACTGCCACGAGTACTCCATCAGTCGACCCGACGTCTTGTCGTCCAGGCCGGTCGACAGCAACCAGTCGCGGTAGCGGACGTAGTCGGCGCGAGGGCGCTGGCGGATTCGCTCGCCGGACACGGCGAACTGGGCGCAACAAGGCTGCGAGATGGCGTGCGGGACCGGAACGTCGGCGCCGTGCAACTCGCGAAAGAGTTTGGTGGTCAGGGCGGGTTCCTCGGGTTTGTGTTTGAGGTCGTGCCTCCACCGGGGTCGGTCGACGTGCAGCCAGTCCGGGCAGCCCGGGTCGAGGTGGCATCGAGTGTTGAAGTAGCCCTGGCGAACGACGTGGGGGCTGCTGAGGAGCTTGAGGGTCTTGGAAGTGTCGATGTCGAGGAGGATGTTGTTGTGCCAAGCCACCTTGTGAGGGTGGAAGAAGAGCACGACGTCCGGCAACGAGTCGTAATGGTCGATGATGTACGTCAAATAGACCATGGCCTCGTGGCCCTTGTTGGCCGGCAGACCGCCCGAGGTGTCGTCGTCGACCAAGTAAAACTTTGTACGCAGTCCCGGGACGTCTCGAGACACCCAACTCACGTCCTCGTTTCGTAGGTGACCCATGACCAACACCCGGGTGTAGTTTTGTTGTCCTGCGGGTTCGGGGGTACCCGGCGAAAACATCGCCGGGTTGTAAAGGGCCAGAGGGTCCTTTTGACCGTATATATATCTGGGTTTGACAGAAAGACTGGCCAACAAATAAATCAAGGTGACCAGGCCAAGGGTTACGGATAAAAGGGTGCTTTTCCTCCACCAAAGCAGCATCCTAATTGTACGACGCATCTCCTTTCAATCATTGGCGATGCAAACGGCGTTTGGGCGGCTAAGTGCTTGGTTGTACCAAAGTACTTCGCGACGTAAAATGGTGTTTCTTTCTGTTCAAGGGAGCATCTTGAGATGTTTTCGTGTCTCCCAAGAGAACACCAATATAAGGCTGGTTGAGTTATCCAAAAATCGTCTTCAGGAGTATAGAGTATCCAAACAATAATGGGAAACCTTCCTCGACATGTTCAAAGACAAGTCGTAAGGTAAAAATAGGGATGGAGTTGTAGTCGTTAAAAAAAAGGGTTACGTGAAGCATGCCAAAAGACTTGGGGCCAAAACATTCATACAAACACCCCTTAAAACAACACGTTCGGTATCAACTATACCGAGATGGATACCATATACCTGAACTACCCATGTTCAGTCTGTTTATTGTCCTGGAATCCATATACTTGTCTCCAAATACTCGAGCGCATTGTTTCAGCCAAGGGTGCTTTACTCGGTGATGTATAATGCTCACCAATGGAACAACGCCGATTATGTACCTATTAATTCAAATGTCCTTTTTTCCATAAAATGTCTAGTCGTGGTACATTCTATACATGAGTCTATACATGAGAGTCTGTTATACAGAGAGGAGATAGTGCGCCATCGCCGGTCGTAGAGCAGAAGGTGTAATAGGTGTGCATATCCATCAAACCTCGCTCAAAGCCTGTGTCTTTCATTCAATCACATCGGCCATCGTCCCAGCCGTCTTTCCACCTCTGCTTCCACAAGTTGCAGTTGAACTCGGGCTTTCCCAGCTTGACATTGACGACATTATGGGCCTGGCACATCCATTGGCCAAGTTCCTCTTGCCCTTTGACCTTTGGTTCGTTGCCTGGTTTGGCCATCCACGCTCGAAAATCATCGGCGCAGACCCAGCAGGGATATAGTTTTGAAAATGTGGATATAAATTGCTTCGTGATCGACTGCGTCTCCGGAGGGGCATTTTCAGGGTACGTAGCTGCTATGCTGTGGAGGAGTGTCCAGGTAGACCGACCGAGTTCCTCGACGTCGGGCGGACAATCCGACGCTGGCGTGGTGATTGGGACTACCGGCTTGGTGGTTTTGCCGGTCGAGGATTTCATCATCGCCATCCATGCGGCGGACGACGTGCAGGTTCGACATCTAACAGTCTTGTCAGTAATAGACTCAATGGCTTCGCGACTTGGAATGTGACCCACGGTTTCCCGTCTTTGTCCAGGACGACGCCTGGAGGAGGCTGTTTAGGTGGCGCATCGTGTCTCGTCACAGTATCGTCTCTCGAGCTAGATACCAGGCCCGAGGACGGAAAAGACATTTGCTCACCTCCTCCGCTCAACCGAACCTCTTGACGATGCTTTCTGCGCTGGTCTCAACACCCAAGATGCCTACAGAAGAATCAAACAAGTTGGCTGCGCAATCCGTAAGAAAAAGGCACCGATTTGTCAAAGCCCGATAATTCCGATGCACGATGCAGCCTCGCTTGGGTTTCTCTTTCCAGACGATCCGATCCGATTGTTATTGTATTTGCGGGGACTCCATCATGTCGCCTGCGAAAGTGACGACTCACTCGTATTTACTGGTATTGTGCTACTGTTACTCGTACCGGAGGATGGACACTCCATATTTTTGAATAGGTCTCCGACGCGTCCTCCACTTGCAGATCACCCTTGCTCGAGTCGCAGGACAAAGGCTGCTCAATATCCATACCGCGGTCGCATTGTTTTCTTGTTTACCAGCGCCATGTCCGACTCGGAGCTGTCAGAAGCCTCGAGCGATTTGGCGCCGTCCGATCGCGATCTTGAAAAGAGCCTTCGGCAGGAATTAACCAAGGCTCACAAAGCCGGAATTGAGTTCTCTGTCAATTCTATTCGTGAAGCCTCAGAGCAGAAGCTCGGTCTAAGGAAGGACTACTTCCGAAATCATGAAACATGGGCAAAGCGAAGTAAGGATGTCATCAAGGATCAAATGGTTAGTCACTCACTCGCGGTATGCATTCCCCAGGACTAACGAGTCTAAAGTCCACCCTTCCGGACGATGAGGCCCTCTCAATGAAGCCAAGAGACGAACCATGCAAAGAAGGCAAGCCCACGATAAAAAAGCGGCGATCCGTTGAACGACAGACTGCGCCAAGGAAAAAGCAGAAAATTGCAAAAGAGGAGCATCAGTCAGAAGGTACATCTTCGCCGTTGAGCGAGCTCGACCCAGATCCGCCTAAGCCAAAGTCAAAATCCAAACCAGAAAAGCCCTCCGCGAAAGTGCTGACCACCAAGTCAAAGCCGTCAAAATCGAACACTAAGAAGGCAGGAAGGAATATATCCGACGAAGACAACTCTTCCGATGAGGCTTCAGCATCCGAGACACATGACAAGAATGTAAATAATGATGTGGACTCGGACAGTGAAATGTCGGTGCTTCTCGACGAAGAGCCCCAGCCCAAGAAGAGAAGAAAAGAAACTCCGCAAGGCAGACAGAAGAAGCCTGCAGCCACCAAAGCGAACCCAGATGCAGATGCTGATCCCGATCAAGCGGAGATAAAACGGCTTCAGGGCTGGCTCGTCAAGTGTGGGATCCGCAAGCTATGGGGCAAGGAGCTCAAACCCTACGAAACACCAAAGTCCAAGATTAAGCACCTGAAGGAGATGTTGGCGGATGTCGGAATGACTGGCCGATATTCTATCGAAAAGGCCAATCAGATAAGGGAGGCCCGAGAATTGGCGGCAGATATTGAGGCTGTTCAAGAGGGTGCCGAACGTTGGGGTGCCGATGAGGAGACCAAGAACCAAGGACAGCGGGCTAGTCAAGGACGGCCTGCGAAGCGGTTGGTGAGAGGCGCAAAGCACTACGACTTCCTGAGTAGTGATGGCGAGGAGACTGACTAACATCGTCGGCAAGCACCGTTGGCTCGAGAAGGAGATCGGTGTGCCGCCATTCTTGACTTGTACTATCACCAGAGGGATATCGTTTGTCATCGGATACTTTTATTGTTGCTCATGCGCTGCGCCACCAGGCTGAAGACGGCGACTGAGGAAATGAACAGAACAAGGTTGTAAAACTACCCAGATACTTAGTGACCCCTTGTGCATAACGAGTCTATGATATGTATGAATAGACATACCGCATTCCGAGAGTATTCATTTTCCTCGGCTTCCGTGCGCGCTTCGACAAACAGCCGGCGGAGATTGGGCAGCGCCATGATGAGTACTATTGAAGTTTCGAATCAAGATATAAGGGAAGAGGAGCTCGTAAAGAGAATAAGTGGAGGGAAGAAAGGCGAGGTGATATTCCAGGCATTAAAGACTTCGCTGGACAAGCTCCCTGACTTTATTTAGTAATTCTCGCTGCTGCTCTAAGCAGGGGCTATCTAATTTACCTTAGAGTGACCACTCAATACTCCCTACCTACCACACTGCGATTTTGTCATTTCATTGCACCTTTCAGTCGAAGCGACGCCCAAGAAGATGTATTTATGCCAATAATGACGCTAGGAGTACCCATAGTCATCATGAATAAGGGAGTGCTACCAGGGTTCGCCCAAATACGAGCCATCTTCCAGAGACCTGAAACAACGCGGTCAGTGTTACACCCTAATGGTGCAAGCTACGAAGAGACCATAAACCCATGATGTGATTACTTAGAGGTGGACTTGTTCCTAATATACTTGTCCGACCAACCAGATGGCTATACCTCACTCGTCTTGCTACAGGAGAGAATGCTGCAGCCTGCTTAGCCCCAGAAATGTAGGCGCCAGCTATTTCCACCAGCATATAAACATATCAGCTCCCAGATCTTGATCACTTCTTCGGTAAGTTTTAGCGCCCGTCGCAATCTTCGGCTGTGACCTCCACAATCATGGCATCAGATCTCTGGTAAGTCCTCGGTTTTTGCTACAAGTGAAGTTTAGACGACTGAACAACTGTACAGTCCTGTATACTCGGTAGGTAGGCCAGGCGCTCTTGTCTTGCTTGCATGATGATGAGCTTTTCAAATACCTAAACATACCTGACGACTCGTTCCAGCCCTTCTTTGGCGCCATGGGTTGCGCCGTAGCCATCGCTTTGACAACTTTTGGCGCATCGTACGGAACTGCCAAATCCGGCATTGGTGTGATGGCAGCGGGTATACTAAGACCGGACAACATGGTTAGGAGTGCGTCTTGATGATTCGGCGCCTATAAGACCACCGCATTTGAGCCCGAACCCTTCTGACCGTGCTGCCCGTTTTTAGGCTTGATGCCGATTCTGATGGCTGGAATTGTTGCGATTTATGGACTTGTCATATCAATCCTGATCTCGTACGGCATCTCGACCCAACCGACACATTTGGCAACGAGTTTCACACAACTGGGAGCTGGACTTGCAGTTGGATTGTCCGGTCTCGCTTCGGGGTTTAGTATTGGGATCTGCGGAGACGCTGGTGTTCGAGCAACAGCTCAACAGCCCCGTCTTTTTGTCGCTATGATGCTCATACTCATCTTTGCCGAAGTGCTTGGCCTCTATGGCATGGTCGTGGCAATGTTACTGCTGGGAAGAGGAGCTGGTGGTACACAATGTTGAACTTGAGGTGTTTGGATGTTGTTGCAACGCGCGACTTCAAAGCTCACACCTTTGACTAGGTACTCACCGGGGTAGTTCGTATATGTGGCCTCAGATAGCTGCTAGCCAAGAGAGATAAGCAATAGATATCTGAGTGTCTCGACCGTTGTTGTTTTCGATAAAGGGATAGAAAAGGCGATTTTGGAATAGTCTGGAATCCATAGGGCGGCGCCAGTTTATTCCCAAACCAAACGGGGCACAACTCCCAATCACTTCATGCCGAAGTTGACAACATTGATTATTCTCGACGTGACAGCCCAAAGAGCCCTATATTTCTTGGTCGACCTGAAACAAGCCCATTCTCCTCGCTGAACTGCATCTTTGGCCCTCGCCCCGTTGATACATATCCCTGGAAATGGAACGATAGCCCCTCAATTTCTTACGGAGTACAAAGTCCGCCACGTCCACTGTGTCGAGGAACCCCTCCTGCCGACAATATGGCAATGAACAGGATGAGAAATGCGTTTGCGCCCCCGCGGAAGGGCGAGACATTTGAACTCAGGGCCGGCCTGGTGTAGGTCCCATACTATTGTGCTTTTGCGACGGAGATGCTGACAATGATTCTTCAGATCACAATATGCCTACGAACGGTGAGAACATTGTCCTCAATCTACCCATCCCCATTCTGATTCATCCAATTTTAGCAAGGAAGCGATTCAGAAAACCATCATGGCGATGACACTGGGCAAAGATGTCTCCGCGCTCTTTCCCGACGTTCTGAAGAACATCGCAACGGCAGACCTCGATCAGAAGAAGCTGGTCTACTTGTATCTCATGTACGTTTATGTACACCTACACCGGAACACGAGAACTAAACTGTGTCCAGGAACTACGCCAAATCACACCCCGACCTCTGTATTCTCGCCGTCAATACCTTCGTGCAGGACTCCGAAGACCCCAACCCTTTAATTCGTGCCCTAGCCATTCGCACAATGGGCTGCATAAGAGTGGACAAGATGATTGACTATATGGAAGAACCCCTACGCAAGACCTTGAGCGACGAGTCCCCTTATGTCCGAAAGACTGCGGCGATATGCGTCGCGAAACTCTTCGACCTCAATCCAGCCATGTGCCTCGAGAACGGCTTCCTCGAAAAACTGCAGGAAATGATTGGCGATCCAAATCCAATGGTGGTCGCCAACTCAGTACAAGCGCTGGCAGAAATCAACGAGTCTGCGCCCGAGACGAACGCCCTCCAAATCACACCCAATACCCTGAAAAAACTGCTCATGGCACTTAACGAATGTACAGAATGGGGTCGAGTCACCATTCTCAGCACTCTGGCGGATTACAAGGCACAGGATGTCAAAGAAGCAGAACATATCTGTGAAAGAGTGGCCCCTCAATTTCAACACGTCAATTCCAGCGTCGTTGTCTCCGCTGTCAAGGCTGTTTTCCTGCATATGAGACAACTCCCCTCCGATACGCAGAAATCCTATCTTAAAAAGATGGCGCCACCCCTGGTAACACTCGTATCATCGGCACCAGAAGTCCAATACGTGGCGCTGCGGAATATCGATCTCTTGCTCCAGAAACAGCCCGACATACTCAGCAAGGAGATCCGAGTGTTTTTCTGCAAATACAACGACCCTCCTTATGTCAAGTTTCAGAAGCTTGAGATCATGGTGCGGATAGCGAATGAGGCGAATGTGGACCAACTACTTGCGGAACTCAAAGAGTATGCCCTGGAGGTAGACATGGATTTCGTACGAAGAGCGGTGAAGGCCATTGGCCAAGTTGCAATCAAGATTGAAAGCGCAAGTGAACGATGTGTCAACACACTGCTAGACTTGATCAACACAAAGGTCAACTATGTGGTACAAGAAGTCATTGTGGTGATCAAGGACATCTTCCGGAAATACCCTGGCTACGAAGGAATCATCCCCACATTATGCAAATGCATAGATGATTTAGACGAGCCGAACGCTAGGGGCTCGTTAATCTGGATCGTGGGCGAGTATGCCGAGAAGATAAGCAACGCTGGCGACATTCTGGGTGGCTTTGTCGATGGCTTTGCAGAAGAATTCACACAGACACAGCTCCAGATATTGACTGCAGTGGTGAAGCTCTTCCTGAAACGACCGCAGGCTGCGCAAGGCCTGGTTCAAAAAGTCCTTCACGCGGCGACCGCCGAGTCTGACAACCCAGATATCCGGGATCGTGCATACGTCTACTGGCGCCTCCTGTCCAACACAAGCGATCAAAATGCGCCCAAAAATATTGTCCTGTCTGAGAAACCGCCTATTACGACGACGATCCAATCATTACCTCCGGCCTTGCTGGAAAGATTACTTGCGGAATTGTCAACGTTAGCTTCAGTATACCACAAACCTCCCGAGCAATTCGTGGGCCAAGGACGATTTGGCGCTGATGCAGTGCAACGAGCTGCGATTGAGGAGCAAATGCAGAATGCAAGAGAAAATCCCCTTGCCGCGGCTGCTGCAGCGGCGGCTGTGCAAGGCAAAGTACCCGAAGCACAGAACAACGTGGAGAATCTACTTGATATTGATTTCGACGGTGCTGCACCTGCCTCAGTATCTGAAAAGCCAGCAAACGGTCTCTCCGGACTCGAAGGCCTTGCCGGAACCCCTCAGAGGGTTGATTCTCCAGCAGTCGGTCAGGCGCCTGCAGCGAACAACATGGATGATCTTCTTGGTGTATTTGGCAATGGAGCATCTTCAACGTCAAACACTGCGGGATTTGGTGGCATGTCCGACAGCGACATCATGAATGGCTTTGCATCAATGGATTTATCGGGGTCCCAGCCACCACCACCAAAACAACAACTTGACAATGCTACAGGGAAGAAGACAAATGAGGATTTGCTATCGCTCTTTTAATCCGAGGTCCGTGTAGCGCGGAACTTGTGATCAAAAGTACCATAACCCAAACCCGTCAGCAAGCGAATTCTATGATTCTGGTATCCATCAGAAGATGTCACAAAGGACTTGATTTCGTAATGCTGGAATGTAGTATCCACAATCTATATTTATGCTATGGCAATGATCGACATGCCTCTCTAAAAATATGACAAAGGACCCTCACTGTCATGATTCGGACATGATGGTGTTTTATGATCTTCTTGGAAATGAGTAAAAGTCACGCTTTCGCTTCATTTGTGATCATACAAAGAGAATAGCAGCGGCATTGATAGGTGTCTGTCCTCAATACTGCGCAAAGGTATTAAAGGTATTAGAGAACATTTGCCAGGTCTAATAAATTGACCGACAAGGTCTATTCAGTTACGAGTTAAGAATAACTAAATATGCACCTAAGTAGGATTATGGCAATATGATTGGTTCTGAGTAAAAAGTGCCTCAGCCTCAGGAACGCGCCAAATTTACTCTAACGCCTCTTTCAACCAACGCCCATTTCAGCAACATCCTTTTCACATAACAAATAGCCATCTTTGATCACATCCTTCGTTATTTGCTATTCTTGTTTTTGATATTGACTCCTATTTCATAGGCGGGTCGAGTCCGTAACTTCTCACCTCCGGATACACGAACGAAGTCGCGCCTTCTGGCAGAGCCGAGTCACACTCTCCGTTGAAACTTCATTTCCCCGGACGTCTAGTCTGCCTGAGAGTCAGAAATGCGCTAGACGATGATGATCTGCGATTCTCATCTTTGATTGCTTTCTTTGGAGCAATCTTATCTGCTGCAGCGTCGTAGTAAGCAGCAATGGTGGTGTGCAAATTTTTCCTGCAGGGTAATTGCAGATACGGCAGTATGTTCATCATGTTGGCTTTGTGGTTATGTATGATTATCTTCGACGAAGCACTGATTCCATCCGCACAGATAATTGCAGAAATGAGCACCCAAGTAACACTGGTGGCGGATTTGCAAATCAAAACAGATTCGGAGTTCTGAGTAGCGGCGGTCCAAATCGATCTGGAGGTCTCGGAAACAATCGTGAGCATCGACCAATCCGAAATGGTTGAATTGACCATGTGGTTCCGTGAGACTAACACTGTTGGTGTAGGTCGACAAGATTCCTGGCGCGTGAATAGTGTCGATGTGAGAACAGATTTATCAGCTAATAAAGCTCGGCCAAAATGGATCTTATCCTCCTATGGACCCAGCTCAGATTGTCCGGCTTCACTGCTTGAGAGCAATGAGTATAGCCCGGAAGAAGTGCGGGTTCGCTTCTACGAATATGCGAGTTCAGGCAAGCAAGCTGAAGCAGATCAAGAAGCCATTGCCCTCTGGGGTAAAGCGGAACAGGACATGAAGCAGATCGTCGACAATTCCGAAGATGTGAGCAGATTCATGGAAGATGCAGCTAAGAAGCATCCAAATAGATACGACATCGTCGACAGGATCGGCTCGAATTCGCAGGGTGACAGCAGCAAGTCTGTACCCACTCCCTCCACAGGTAACGCTTTCGGGCAGAATTCTTCTCCGAATCCATTTTCAAAACCAGCAGCTAGTTCTTTCGGTACACCAAATCAATCTGGTGGATTTGGAAGTTCTTCATCCTTTGGAAAGCCTGCATTCGGCCAGAGCGGATTCGGTAGTTCTGGGGGATTTGGCCAACCTGCATCAGCTGCTTCATTTGGAAAGCCTGCGTTTGGAAGTTCCGGCTTTGGGCAACCAGCATTTGGCCAGGCGGCCCAGGCATCATCTCCCCTCTCTCAGCCTTCACAACCAACAGGGTCATTTGGGCAGCCGTCCCAACCTTCTTCGACCTTCGGACAACCTGCTCAGCCATCCTCAGGCTTTGGACAGCCAGCATTTGGTTCATCTGGCTTCGGGTCTAACGCTTCCAAAAATCCTTTTGCGCCAGCCTCTGCTTCAGGTGGGTTCGGCCAGTCTTCGACGGCATTTGGACAACCATCTCAGCCAGCTGCAACTTTCGGACAGCCCAGTCAGCCTTCGACTGGATTCGGACAATCTTCGCAGCCAAGTTCTGGTTTCGGGCAACCATCCGCGTTTGGAAAACCTGCTTTTGGACAAGCAGCGACAACGTTCGGGCAACCATCACAGCCAGCTTCGGGCTTCGGACAGACCACGCAGCCCACCACATCTCCGTTCAGTCAGCCTGCCAATAATTCTTCCGGTTTCTGTCAACCCTCGCAGCCAACAGCGTCCGGGTTTGGGCAGCCTGCATTTGGCGCAGCTCCTGCTCCATCATTTGGGCAACCAAGTGCTCCGGCGAACCCTTTCGGGCCCAAGTCCGCAGAAGAGCCGCCTAAAGATGAAACCATGGAGACAACATCTCCTTCAGGGTCGAGGCCGATCTCCCGTGCCAACCCTTTCGCGACGCCGTCAGCTCAGCCATTGGCGCCTGTCCCTGCCTCAGCATCGGTCAAGCCGATTGTCAACACATCTTCTACGGCGCATCCTCTGATTGGACGACCTCCACATGCCACACACTACACCCAGAGCCTGCCACCGGTTCCGCCACAGAAGAATGGGCCGAATCAGCTGAGTACATACAGGGGACAACGTGTGCGGTATCTCGAGAGTACGCCATGTTACAACCGACCAGATGGCAAGGGCTGGGAGAAGATCTGGTTCCCTGATGCTGGAGCTACTCCTGATGTCGTGGCATTGAATAACGAGGCGAAGAGGCACGATACCCAAGGCAAGGACGACGAATACACGACGGAGATTCAAGAGCAGTACAAGTACCTTTTTGAAGAAGGTCGGTTTAAAGATGGGCAGATTCCGTTGGTACCACCCATGCGAGAATGGGACGTGTATGATTTCTAGCCTGAATGTGACAACGAACACGTGCGAGTATGGATGCGATTGCAACCGAAGGTTGCGGGAGATATCTACTTTCGCGCATGGTGTACGCATGGTGGACGGAGAACTCTGGTGTATAGCCCGAAAACGCAAAATTAGAACCATAATTGAACATTTCTGAACCGATTCAACACTCCATTGATCGTTTGCTTAAGCAGAGTATTTGAATTTTGCTCAAGTCTCCGAGCTGTGTCTGAATTCTGCATTGATCTCACAAGACCTTACTCCGCTCGCGTTGGCGTTGACTAAGCCCTGGCCCTGTCTGTCATGCTAAGGTGACTCCTGGCTGACAACAGCTACTTCCACACTTCTTTATGCGGCAATGGTGACCTCGACCTCGACACCGGCTTCGATGTTGATGATGATCTGCTTGACAACTTCGGTCGGGGCGTTGAGGTCGATGAGACGCTTGTGGATTCTCATCTCGTACATGTCCCAGGTCTTGCTACCCTCACCGCAAGGGGTCTTGCGGGTGGTCACCTTCAAGGTCTTGGTGGGCAGGCGGACCGGACCCTTGACGCGGAGGTGCTTGGACTTTGCGCGCTCGAGGAGTTCGGTGCAGACCTTCTCGAGAGATTGGACTTTGCGAGAGGTGAGGGTGATTCGGATCTTGTGGATTTTCTGCAAGAACACGCAACATCATCAGTCAGTACAGGTGCGCGCGATATAGAGACACTCAAGATGCGCTGCGCTGCGCTAGGTCAAAACGTACTGGCCCCTCGCCGAAATCCTTCTCTGGCTTTTGGAAAGACATTTTCGCGGTTGAAATTGTCGATGAGAATGTGCGAAAATTTTGTATGAGAAGAAGGGGTGGGAAGAGACGTCGGCACCAATCAAGACCTGAACAACTGCGGCTCGGTAAAGTGATGAAAGGCTGGAGGAAAAGAATTCGAAAGAGTTAGAATCGCACTCGGATTTGAGTCTATCTCAAAAAATTCGTGTGCCGCTGCCAAGATTTGCAGCTTATATAAGTAATTAGGTAAGATAATTATGACGCTAACCATTTCGGTCACTTTACTTGATCGCTGACTGTACAAGTAACAGTCACACTTGCAACAGTGACGACGGGGCAAAGGTTGGATAAATAAATCTAATACAGGATCTCTTCAATTTTCGAGACACCTTTTGAACCCAAGAAGGTGTTACGAGTCGTCCTGAGATGAATGGACGAGGGTCCTCAGGCCATCTTCCTCCACTGGCACCGTTCCCGTCTTCAAACATAAGAAGTAGCCTCGGTGCCAATGTCTATGATGGATATCTCGACTCGTGGCTTTCCAGTATCGAATTTCGCCTTCGGCTGAGCGACCAAGAGTTCGCGAAATTCTCATTCTCGGATTCTACCGCCGAAGTGGAATTCTTGCGTTCACTACTGGAATGCGCGGGACGAGAAAGATGGAACTCGACATGTTCACAGAAAGAACGTCTCCTGCTGAGACGGGCGTACTTACTTCTCAAGCGCCTTCTACTGGGAACAGGAGTTCCTTTCGACTTTGAGGAATCCAAGTTGCTGAGCATTCTTTGTCTTCTCAGTTCAGTTTATGGCTCTGTCACCGACGTGAAAACTACTATTCGTTCACTGTGGGCGAGGGACAAGGCACAGATGAGCACTGCAGTCGAGAGTTGGAAGCGAAGCACATCGGAATCTCTCTCTGCTGCACTGCACCAACAAGAGACCTTGTCGGAAACTCTCCAACTGTTCAATCCGTTCCTCAAGGTTTCACCGGAGGCAGGTGTCGTATTGATGACGGGTTCCGATTTCATCGAGTCACTGATCGAAGCTTACGGTGGCTTGCGGGCGGGGCCTGACACACTTGCAATTCAGAAGCTGTTGACGGAGAACATCTTCTATTGTCTGAGAAGTCTTATGTCGGATGGGCTGCAGAATAGCTCTTTGCTATTGGATCATCTCTACCACATGAAATCAGAAGCTGACCGAGCGACAAAATCCAACGCTTTCACACCGACCCTCTGCTCAAGCTTGGTATGCCAAACCTCATTCTTGAGACATTTGGCTGCCGATACCGCCGTCACTTCTGGAAAGCGAGGGCAAAGCCTGTTCGATGCACTCACGGCCTACCGTCTGAATACCGCACACCTTCATCCTGCGCCGGGGCCCCGTCGGCGGAAGCCTGCCAAGGGGAAGGCCAAAGCTGACGCACATGAAGTCATGCACATTCACAAAGCTTCCCAAGTGTCACAAATACACGAGCTTTTCCCCAATCTATCCAATAATTACATCCTTCGACTTCTTGACCATTTCAACGACGACCCAGAAGCGGTGATCGCTGCACTACTCGAACCAGACTCCCTTCCAGCCACCCTTCGCGAGTCAGATGAGTCCGAAGAGCCCTTAAGCTACCTTGATGGACCAGCCCATGATATAGCACCGCGGTCAACTCCGCCATTACCCTCGCAAAGAAAGAACGTGTTTGATGGAGACGAATTCGACAAGCTGCACGTCTCGGCGAAACGGCTACATAGAGGTCGGAAAGCGATAACCGTGGAGGGTGAGGGTGAGGATGAGCACATCCGAAGAAAGGCTGCAATTATGGCGGCCCTGGCCGCGTTTGACAGCGATGACGACGAGCGAGATGACACCTACGACGTTGCTGATGTCGGCGGCACGGTCGACTCGACCATGGACACGGACTCTCGACCGAAAATGCAGCAACATCTTGATCAAAACCCGCACGAAGAATCATTGTTCCGAGCATGGAAGGACAGTGAAGAGCTTTTTGCGCGCGATAGCAAGACACGGGCATCCCCGGTACGACAAGACCTGAAGCGAGAGACTGGCATGAGCGATGAGCAGCTTGAGGGTTGGGCGATCATGCTGAAAAAGAACCCAAAGCTACAAGATCGTCTAGAGCAGAAGTACTCGGCTTTGGGCTCGTTCCGGGGAAACCAGACGGAGCTTGCTGCTACGAGATGGCAAGATGATACCGCTGACGACAGTGAAGAAGCTGGAAGCAGTAATGCGGAACGTCGAACCGGCCAGGCAAGGCCACGTGCAGGAGCTCGTGGCCGTGGCCGTGGTCGCGGAGGCAGTACAGCAGGTGCCAGTGGCGAGGCGGCAACCCAGGCGGCGAGGAAGCGTAAAGAACAGGGCAGAGGGAGGGGAGGGGCGAACCATGGCCGACGAGAGGGACGTGCCCGTAAGATCGGTAGAGGTATGGCAGGACCAGTCTCCTGACGCAGGATAGATACATAGCAATTAAAGACATCCTGTCTTATCACATGCCACAGAGCATACCTCTCTACTTGAATTTGCCCTTGGGTCTCAGAACTGAGAAAGGGATGAGATTGAAATGACCGCTTCAGTTTCCACATTTGGTTAGTGCGTAAATTTGGCGTTGTTGGATGTTCTGCTTGAAGCGTTTGACATGCGACCATCTGTTCTGCTTTCATTCATGAACGTCCCATATCATTTATTCCTGTCAAAAAGCGCAACGCTTGATCACACAATACCCTTCTCACCATCATAGTGCTCACCTACATATTCAACGTGCGTTTTGAGTGACTGGGAGTGCAGCAACTGCAATTGCAAAAGTGGCAACCTGTGTACATCTACCACATCAATCAGCTCGATAATCGGGATATCAGGCAGTGTTCTAGATCGCTTCTTTTGTCCCTGTTGCCATCACAAAAAGGTATTGACAGCAGACATCAGATCTGCCCGAGCCTTTGAGCTTGATATACTGGGCGCGCGACATGCCATCCTTGGATTGAAAAGAACGACAGTTCGAAAGAAAGTGGCTGGAAATGACAGACACGTCGACTGTCAACGGCACCTCAAATGGAGCGAGTCAACAGGCTTTCGACACCGCCAACGTCCTCCAGGCTTTGGACCTCATCCACAATCCTTCAACCAAGAATGACATTCGGAGGCAAGCATCGGACTACCTAGAGAGCCTCAAAGCGAGCAGCGAGGCGCCTCAGTTTGGATTCACTCTATCGACGGATCGATCGCAGTCCCCGCTGGTTCGCCATTTTGGCCTCTCTTTGCTAGGACATGTCATCCGGCATGAGGGTCACAATCTTTCCGAAGACCAGAACGTCCAGCTTCGAAACTGTGTGCTTGGATTGGGCCAGGACATCCAACCGGCGGACTTGGCCTTCATTCGCAACAAGGTAGCCGAACTTTGGATTGAACTTGCCAAGCGAAGCTGGGCCTTGGATTGGTTCGACTTGGATGAGCAGTTGGTCAAGCTGTGGTTTCAAGACCTCGTGCACAAAGATTTTGTCCTGACCGTCTTGGAGAGCTTGTCCGAAGACGCTTTCGTTCGCGATGACAGCATTGCTGTGCTGCGTGGACGAGAACTCAATTCTGCGCTCGTGGAGATCTTCACATCTAGTGCCAATTACGCCGGTGGGATCAAGGTAGGAGATGTGGTACATCATGTGCGCTGTGGCGAGGATGGCTGGTTGATCCGCATCAAGCAGTTTTTGGATGAATGCCATAACGCTGGGCAAATCACGGGCGGGACCAAGGACACGGTCGTAAAGGCCCTCGCTACATTGCGCTCGGCTTTTCTCTGGGTCATGACTTCCGCCATATCGCATTCCTTGGCTCTGGCTGCAACCTGCAGCTTTCTCACCCAGTCAGATGCGGATCTTGTCCTAGCGGCTATAGACGTCCTCCTTTCCCTTTACGGACGACCCAAGATGGAAGAGATCGAGGTGCAAGCACTGGTGCACCCTCTTGTACAGCCGGAGAGCATCATGTCCTTCCAACAGCTGTATTCGTGGTCCGTGGTCTCCGTTGACGATATTGACAGCAGCAGATATACCATCTCCAAGAAGTTGTCGGAATTGATGTCCCTCTTGTCGGATCACATGGTTCAGTACCCACCTCCGGACGCGGGTAGTCTCAACCTTGAACCTTTCCTGCGCCTGATCATTGCCATGGCCGAACACGAGAGTCTTATAGTCTCGATCCCGGTTGTCCACGCTTGGGTCAGACTACTGGAGGTAGCATCGTGGAGGAATACTCCCGTCGTCCAGCTATGTCTCGGACCCCTTTTACAAGTAACGTCACAACGGCTCATCCAATACGACCAACTCCCTGAAGATGCACAGAGTCCCGAGGTGATCTTCATCAATGAAGAGATCGAACTGTTTCCCGAACGGCAAGGCTTCTACACCAATTATCGAAAACTCTGCTCCGCCGTTGTCGAGGTGATTTGTTATTCCCAACTCGATGAAGCCGTACACGCAGTTTTGAAACGAGCAGACGAACTCTTGGACGAAGTTCAAGCATTTGAACAACAACTTGATCTGGACAGGTACCAGAGGCTCTCCATGAACTTGCTCAAAGCGGACTCGTACTTTTCCATGGTCGATGCAGCATTCAAGGGCCTTGACCGTTGGCAAAATATGCACCGGGAGTACATGACGCCAAAACGGGAGGAAGTTTGTCAAAGAGTCCGAGAAGCTTCGAAGGCCTGGATGCTGGATACCATGAGTCGAAGACAGTTCAGAGACCCGATGATCAGAGAACGGTTGATCAAGAGCGCAGTCGAGGTTTCCAACAAGGCCTTGCAAAAGGACACAGGCTTCGCCTTTAATGTACTTGAGCACATCCTTTCCTCATTCATCGTCAACGATCAGCAGAATCAAGCGTACGTCGAATCTGTGAACGAATTGAATGGCTATGCCACTGTGGAACTGAGGCGTCTTTCGCAACAACACGCCGACTACTTTGTCACATTCTACGACCAACTGCAGTCGAAGTTCACTGATCTAATCAACCAACTGGGTGCGGATGAACGATTGCAGATCGACCTTGAGTCCGCACTCTTTTCAGTCATACAACGTGCGACGTCGGTCGATTATGCCGACCGACAAGCCAGACTGCAGGAGTTCCTCCAGCCGATCGCTGTCGCTTGGGTCGGTGGAAGCGTCCAGGAATCGCTTCAAAGCTTCGAATCCTTTGCTCACTTTCAAGCATTTGATCGCGTCGGGCCCTATCTGGATTCTCTCCGCGCAATTCATCATGAAGACTGGTCGTCGGTCCCGTTTGACAATCACGGCCAACAAATCCAACTCGAGATGATGGCTGGCTATATCAAACTGCCTTTGAGAAAAACGAGGATGCTGCTTAGCATATCGTCGGAAAAGCTCCAAGAAGGCTCGACTCTACACAAAATGGCGTGCGACTTGTGGTCACCCATGATCTCGAATATCCTTCCCCCTGTGTTGCGCCTCACGAGCTACAATCACCGGCTGCATGATCCTGCTTCGTGGCCGAATGTGACACCCCAATTGGAACCGGTCGTTCGACGTGTTCTCCGCGACCGGTATTGGCAGTCTGGCATTTCGTCCGGGTCAATGAACGACTTCCACAGCAAGGTCAAATCGACCAAGTCGACTTTGGAGGGGTTCGCTTCGTCCGTACGTGGTCGGATTCGTGGAAACCTAGAGCAATGCTACGGCATTCTCCACTGCCTGAGTCGACTGGGCCCTGCATTCTACAGCTTGCAACAAGTTCCGGAGATGATCGCTGAGGCTGTCGTAGACACCGCGGCACCCCTGGGTCCTCATCACTTCTCCGTTCTCATCCAAATGCTGACGAAGATGGTGGAGGAATGCCCGGCAGAATATCGACAACAGTTCCTCACCCCCATCCTGGCCTCGCTCCTGCGACAGATGGACACGAAACTCTCAACCGACTGGGCCAATATGATGGAGCGAAAACAGATCAAGGTTGAAGAAGAGAACCTCGACGAGGAGATGCGCGACGAGTCGATCCTTCGGGTGACGACCTCCAAGGCCGTCAACCTGGTGGGTCACTGGTTGAACCCCAAACGGGAGCAGGAGCTCAGCAGCAAAAAGGCCATCGTCAACGGCAATTACCTGACTCAGGGAAACCGACAGCCCATGCGGGATTTCCTCCTGTCCAACGTCAACATCCTCGACCGCCTGCTGGTGTTTATGTCGCACGGGATCGCCTTCCGCGACACAAAATCGTGCTCCATGACCCTGGAAACCCTGAGGCGGATCGTCCCCGAGTTTGCGTTTGACCGTTTCATCGCGGGCCAGGAGGCGGTGGCCGTGCGTGAATTCATCTCGACTGATGTGCTCAAGACGGCCATCACGTGTTTAAACGACGGCTACTTTGCCGATCAACAAGGACTGTACGCCCACCTCATCGCGACCATCTGGGTTTCCTATGGACTGTCGATCCACGTGCCGGCGACGACGACCGAAGGAGGCCAAGGCCAACCGGCCCACGAGCGACCTCCCCTGACGCAGACCCCTCGAGACGTGATTCTCAGTCTTCCCGGCATGACGGAGCGCCAGGTCAAACAGGCCGCCGCGAAATTGGCCCGCGAGGGTCTAAGCGGCCGCCCCAAGAAGCTCCGCGCCATCATGATGTCGTTGCTGGAAGGCGTGAGGGGAGTCAGGATCAGTGAACTCGGCAAGATCGACATGCGGCCTCAACATTCGAAGATTTTGGAAAAGTACAAGCAGCGCGAGTTGTTGGACATGCACGGCGTGGAGGGAGGAACGACCAAACCCGTCGAGGATGACGGGGTCGATCTCGGCGGGATAGCGGACATGTTTGCAAGCTAGGAACTTGGTAGATGAAGTTACGAACGAACGAACGAGCGAACGAATCAACTAACTTGCACATTACAAGGAAGCAAAAGGACTTTAGCGTCTCAGTCCTTTTGCTTCCTATACGAACTTGGGCTCGCTTCCCAAGCCAGATGATGGATGCACTTTTCTCGGAAGCCTCGATCTTCGACACGATTAGATGAGCTCATGCAAATGGTTTATAGTCCTTGGCCCAGGTAGATGATTGGAAAAACGTTTGCCTACTCCCGGGGCCATGTTGTGGCGGCATGCGCATTGACGACCAGGGGTTTTCTAGAACAGAGACACCAAGACAGAAACATTTGGACATTTCTTGGTGCAAGCACCTCTTTACACCTGAGATATAAGAAGATTCTTATTCGCACTCCTTGAAGGTATAGATTCGGAGGGAACTTGCTTGAACACTCGAGCCGGTTTCCCAGGCCAGCGTTATCACTTTCCTCTAGCCTTCTCCCTGCGCTGGTCAATTCGTTTCCCCCCAAGTCCAGTAAAATGTAGTAGTAATTTGGAGGTATGGGTATGGAGTATGTACATAGGCCTTTTCGAGCCCAGAACCATCGAGACCTTGTGCTTTTTCCCCTTGCACATTTTTAATAATTTTTTCATGTAACAGAGTCTCCGAGGAAAGGTAATTCGTGATACTGCTTCGCTCGTTTTACTCAGGAGTTTTTGCAAATTTATGGCTGCAAGGTGTTGTCTTTCACTCGGCCGTCCTTTCAGGCATGGCAGTAAACGTCGGTCGTACAAATCTATAAGATAAGACACTCTTCGTCAGCAAATCATTTTTTCCACGCGGTTCACAATGGGCATTTCTTCGGTGTCCGATCTTGCGCTTTTCCCCCTAGTTCTTGCATCATTGTTTTGGGGGTCGTAGATCTCACCTGTCACTGTTGTACGCTTTGCTCTGGCTTCCCAACAACTCCTGCTCTCGCGCCAGGTCGGCATAGTACCTTCTGACCTGATCACGGTCTTGTTCCGCCTGCATCACGGGCGTCAAGTGAATGCGAGCCCACATCTTTTCCCGCGAGAGCTCAATCCTCTCCCTCTGTCCCTTGAAGAGTTGTCTCCAACCATAACCCATGATGAGACCGACGCCTACAAGGTACCATATCGGCCTGAACCCGCGAGTGGGGAGGTTGCGCTGTGTACGAAATCAAAGTATTAGCCATTACCCGCGTAGACGGAGAGGGTTGGAAAAGCAGTCCCGGACAAGATTCACGACTCGCGGGAGAGGAGTCGAGTCGGCATTCGTACCCTATATTGAACGGCTTCATAGCCTCCGGTAGGTGGTAAATCCTGAGGCATCTTGATTTAGGGACGGATTTGTGCTGGTCGTTGAGCGAACAAACACGAAGCTTGACGTTACGAGTACCTTGAAGTTCGTTGCGGGCAGCTTCACCAAATCGAAGAGACCCCGAGATGCTCCCAAAAGCGGCACGACCCAACCCACGGCACGTGATCTGAAATTTGTTGCTGTTTACAGTACAATACTTTTTGATACGAAAGAATAATTATTTCCAACGGTTCAGGACAGGAGCAACAGTGTCGTCGACACAAACAGATACGATGGAAGCCGATGAGCGACCGATGAAATTGAGAAAGCTCGATCATGACCAGGACGGTCTACTTAATGAAGTGCCCTCTGCTGCGCAGTCCTCATCTGGTGCTGCTTCCTCCATCGCTGGTTCCCTGACCGTACCATCACACAACAGTAAGCCAGATGAGCATACTGCTAATGTTGCAGATTCGTCGACACAGCATGAAGTCGAGGACGTAGCTCGACAAGATGATGCCCCGAACCAAAACCCTAAGCCCTCCAGTATGGAGTCTACGCCGCAAGAACAGGAGGAAAAGGAAAACGATGAATCTACCACAAAACCCATGTCGAAAAATCAAATGAAGAAGCTGCGCAAACGGGAGGAATGGGAAGCGGCTCGGGGCGATCGTAAGCTGAAGAGAAAGGAAAAACTACAAGCCAAAAAGGCGAGGAAGAAGGCCGCCCGGGAAGAGGAAGAGTTGCGTCTTGAAGAGGCAAAGAAATCTGCCATCGAGCGAGGCGAAGATCCGGACAGTGTGGTCGCACAACTCAAAAAGACGCAGCAGACACAACCACGATCACACAAGTCTCGACGTCCGGTCCAGCTTCCCGTGACCATCATCGTAGACTGTGGCTTTGACGACTTGATGATGGAAAAGGAGCGCATCTCGCTGGGCTCGCAGATCACTCGCTCCTACTCGGACAACTATCGGGCGCCCTTCCAGGCACATTTGGTCATCAGTTCTTGGGGAGGATGGCTAAAACAACGATTCGACACCGTCCTCAGCAAGCACTACCTCAACTGGAAGAATGTTGTTTTTGAAGAAGGCGATTTTGTAACCGCGGCCAAAAACGCCGCCGAAGTCATGCGTGGGCCCGGAGGTGGAAAGTTGGCGGGCCATTTTGGAAAAAACGCGGCAGCAGCTAAAAGTCATGTGGCTGAAATGACAGCAGATGAACAGCCTGTCGAAAGTGGCGATGGTGCTCCTCCAAAGAGAGAGTCTGGTGCTGGTGCGGGCACAGGATCTGTTGCGGAAACAGAAAGTTCTAGGGATGCACCAAGTTCTGATGGGCCTGCTGATAACCATCTGCCCAAGGAGGGCGAGGTGGTTTACCTCACTTCTGACTCTCCCGACACGCTGTCGGAACTGTCCCCTTACTCCACCTACATTGTAGGCGGTCTCGTCGACAAGAACCGCCACAAGGGCATCTGTTACAAGATCGCCAAGGAAAAAGGCATCAGGACCGCGAAACTCCCCATTGGACAATATCTGGACATGCAGTCTCGCAAGGTCCTAGCTACCAACCATGTCGTGGAAATCATGGTTCGCTGGCTCGAGTGTGGTGACTGGGGAGAGGCCTTTATGAAGGTCATTCCCAAGCGGAAAGGTGGTAAGCTGAGAGGGGAGAGTGAACAACAAAGCAGCGCAGACGACGATGACGATGAAGACGACGATGATGATGAACATAAAAGCGCCGAGAACAATCGCAGCGACGACGAAGGCCGCTGAGAGCCTACTATTTCTTGACACGTAGCAGACATATATATCATGACAACACTACGAAACTTTTGAAGAGGCTTTGGCGTGTGCTAGCCTTTTCCCTACTGAAGCACGTGTGGAAAAGATAAGAATAAAAAGACTACCTACCTAATCAATATCCACGACGAGCATGAACTCCTGAACAACGAATACCTTGATATCAACCCAAAAAACACATCACACACCTACGTAGTTTCTCGTTATCTCGTCACATCACAGTGCAGCTTTCAACCGAAGACCTCATGGTATCCAAATACCCAGCCTCGGCGTCTGCTGCATCTTCCACTCCCCAGGTCCCGGGTTTCCTCTTGACACCCTTGACGGTCATGCTCTGCTCGCCAGCGCCGTGCCACCACTTCATGACTTGCATGCCCTCGCCGTCCACGTCCAAAACGTCTATTCTCCACCTGCCGCCGCTGACCTCGACGTTGGTCTTTTCCGGGGGGAAATGAAACTCGGGGAGAAAAATCTCCGTGGGGACATCCTCTTTCGTGGCCTGACTAGCGACCAAGCTGAATGTAAAAGTCACACTGTTCAGGTCGAACCCGTACTTGACCACGTCGCCAACGGTCGCAATGGGGGAAGGTCGAACGTAGGCTTCTGCCGCCCGCAAGCCAGCGTTGTCGGCTGCTGCTGACGTAGGTTTCTGGGCAATTTCAGGAAGTTTGAGTGCATCTCTCAGATTGGAGGGATTGATGGTGGAGGATTCGGACAGAGTCGTCGTCGTCGTCGTCGTCGTTGTTGTTGTTGCGTCCGAGTATGAGGCAGGCTTTCGGCTCAAAGAAGTTGTGGAAGGGTTGGCAGTTTGCAAACGAGATATCGAAGAACTGTTTGGTAAGAGCGGATCATCAACCGAGACGATTGAAAGATCCTCGCCGTTCCACAAATCACCCCATTCATGGTTATTCTAACTACAAGTAAGCAAAAGGAAACTGAAGGCCGCCCAAAAAAAGAATCCTCACCTGTCCAACATATGTCCACAGGGTGTATCCCTGAGCCCCGGACCCTTCCAAAGCGTAGTGATTTGCGTCCAGAGCCGAGGTTTGACTGGAGTAGTCGCCAGTCTTGTATGCGTACTTGTCATCCATATCGAACGGAATACCGATCTCGGTGAATAGTGTAGGGTGCTCTCCAAGGTGTTCGATGCCCTCGTCACGAATCGCTCTAAGCTGATCTCGTAAGCAGTTGCGGATGGCCGTTTGTCCTAATCTGACCGCGAAAGCAGGGTTCGAATATTTATGCCGTAGTAGACCAAAGATGTCAACATTGTAATATTTGTTCCAATGCTTCTGGATCAAGGTGATTCCATCGTAGTAGTGTGAAGCAAATATTAGTCGCTTTTCATCGTCAGGAGTGTCTTTGACGAGTGGCGGTATCTCGAGGACGGCCGATTGCATCAGAATAATGCAATCTCTGTGGATGGCCCGGATAGCATCTCGAAATTTGCGGAAATGGTCCATGTAGTATAAGTTGGTGAACTTTTCGTAGTCCAACTTCGTACCAGACTTTGGGATAGTTGCAAAGTAGTCCTTTTTCAATAACTGGTCGTTGTTCGGATCCCAGACGCCATGCTGAGCCCATATACATTGGCCCAGCTTCCATCCTGGATCACGCTTCCAACCATACCTCGTATCATCCCAATTCGGCTGTAACCAAGCCGAGACGCCTTCTGGATCGACCAGCTCTCTCCCACTCTTGTAAGGCCCAAAGGTGCTGAAGTCATAGACGTCGATTTCCACTGCACGCCCTGCCCCTGTAAGCATCGCCTGCCATGGTGTAGGGCAGGTTCCCTTTCTCATTTTCAACTCTTCCGGAAGGGCATCTAAGTCTTCCCACCCCACAAGCCCTCGATGAGGTTCATTCATGGTTTCCCATCCAATGATACAGTCATCTTCTAGCCCGCCAGCATCATGGATCCTTTGAGCGAGATGTGCACAAGCAGCAATGAAGTGGTCGGTCAAATAGTCTTGGATATTCTTGCCGTCTATTATTGCATTAGGGGCAAAATCTCGACCGGCAAAGAATAGGGTGAATGTGACTTGGGTGGCTAGCCGCGTATAATTGGTAGGCCACAGCATCTTCGGGAACTTTGCAGGGTCAGACCAGGTGTTGTGGACAACAGCAGCTTGGTTAGAAGTAAATGTCTCAGGGTCTAAACCACAAGCATGCAAGGTCCATAGAGGAGCCCCAGATCCTCCTGTGAATCGTGACCAGACATCTTGATGAGGATCCATAAACACATAGAAGCCGTACTCTTTGGCTATGCGTAGGATCTTTATGGTGTGATCGATGAAGTCTTCATCATATTGACCGGGCCCGGCATGCTCCAGAGCCTCCCAGGTAAAGATGTACCGAATGGCATTGTATCCCCATCTCTTCAAGCGTGCAAAGTGGGTATAGGCCTCCTCTTCCGTGAAAGGTCGACCTACAAAAGAAACATTGTTTGCGTCGAAGAAGCCACCGGGCTCGTAGGATGGCTGGTCTGGATGGCGAGGGAATTTGCTATCCCCTGCGACATTAATGCCTCGAAAGGTCACTTCCCGGTTCTCAAGATCTCTGAGCCTAATCCCATCGATTCTAAGGCCTTGGGTAGCCATATGATTACGCCAGTGCGGCCAGATCTTAGGAGATCATATGGGATCGAATAAGCAAGGCGTATGCTAGTGAGGGAGGGTTGGCGTAGGAAGTGGTCGGAGAGGTGTGAGCTGTCACAAGGTTGTAGCTACGACACTTGAGGTGTTTCGGTATGAGGTTCGTATGAATATCTGGGAGATTGTCGTAGCATCATTGATCGTAGGGTGTTTGTTGAAGTCGAATTGTCTCGCTTAGACGTTCGTCCGTCTTTCCGCATCTTGCGACGTCATTTTCCCCATTGGGAATTTTAATGCCCGTCGTTCATTTTGATGTTCGACTTCATATGTCTTCTCACATGTGTTCACGAACGTGTGCATGTTTGCTGGAAACGTTACATCCCGTTCTGGTGGTGAGAGGTCTTGGTGAAGCAGTTGGCATTGGTCAAAAGGAAAATGTTTGCTGTATGCCACGTTGAATTAATCATCGCGTGAGGAATGAGTTTAAGATCAATCCTACAGGTCGACATCAGCAACTACATCCTAACCTGGCAGACAAGTCAGAGGAAGACAAATGGCTACAAAAGGACTTTTAAAGGCCATCAAGGCTTCTCTCGATAATGGTCAATTTGAAAAAGCAGCCCAACAGGCGGAGGATGTGGTCAGTCAAGACAACAAAAATCACACAGCTTTGCTCTTTCTCGGTTTTGCGAGGGAAAAGCTGAACGATCTCGACGCAGCCGAAAAGGCCATTCGCAAAGCCGCAGATTTGAAATCCCAAGATCCTCAGGCCTACAAGGGGCTGATCACTTTATTTGAGAAGCAAGGCAGCTCTAAAGTGGACGCTTATCACGGTGTCGCATTCAAACTCGCAGAAATTTACGCCGAGCAAGAAGACCGGGCTCAGTGTCAGAATGTTATTGACAAGTATGAGCTGTTTGCAAAGAAGCATGGAAGCAGAGCACAATACCGACGGGCATTGGAACTAATTCTACCAACCTCGAGCCTGTATTCCGTCCTGGAGGGTCGGGTCATGCAGCCTTCGCTCACGTACCTGCGTATACTAGAGTCAGCCGAGGCCGAAGAGAAAGAATGGATCAATACACAAATCGGAGAAAGAAGAACACGATTAGGAGCCAGGATCGATCAAGTCACAAAACAAGTAAAGGCTGAAGCGATTGATAGATTCCATGTCGAGGACATCTATGCAGCGCTGATCGATTGGACACGAGACGACGATGCGCGCCATGATCTCGAACAAAAGCTCTTTCGGCGCTTGTATGACGACTTGCGTGTGGTTCCAGAGCAAAACAAGGCCCAACAACGCGACAAGGTCCTGACTATGGCAAATGGCATGGTCATCGTCAAACAGCCATTTCTTCTGGCGTGGAGAGTTGCTCTTGAATGGGTCGACGCCGAGGAGCTCGAGGACTGGGATGTTCACATCTTTCGGGAATACGTTGACTTTTTCCCAGACGACGGTCTGAGCAAGATCCTTGGAGGCTTCCTCAATAGCGACATTTCACCCTTTCCGCGTCCGCCTGTCGATCCGTCGGAAGAGTCAGAAAAGGACGAAAAGGACGAAAAGCTGAACGGTGCTGACCTTCTGATTCTGTTGAACGAGGGACTTGAAGATTGTCCAGACTCTCTTTTGGCACATCGCATCCTGTCTTACACCTATCTTCGGTTCGAGGATTGGGAAGGCACCGTGAGCGTAGCGCGCAAAGCTCAATCACTTGTCAAAGATGCGCAAAAGCTCTTTGCATTGGAACTACAAAACACCCTCGATGGCGTCAATCTTATCCTAGCTAAGGCCATGATCGAGTATCAGTCTCCCAGATATCATCCGGAAGCGAAGTCACTATTCGAGGAAATCCTCCAACGGAAGCCTAAGCTGACTCCAGCGTTGCTTGGGATTGGGTTGATATTCGAAGAAGATGAAGATTACCCACAGGCAGTCAGATTTCTGCAACAAGCCTCTGAGCGTGACCCGGATAATGTTCGAATCAAGCTCGAGTATGCTTGGTGTCGAGCCCAGGATGGTGCAGTCGAGGACGGTCTCCGTGATCTTCAACACATTCTGTCAGACATCGAAGCAGAACGACACCAGGACTTGTCGGTGAAATCTATCGTCTTATATCGTATCGCCTGGTGTCAATGGCACAGCAACTCATCGGCAAAGGCAAGAAAAGACAAGTCAGGTCCCTATAAACACCTCATTGCCTCAATCAAGGCCAACCCGAGTTATGCTCCAGCGTACACGCTCTTAGGCACTTATTTCCAGGACTATGGAAAAAGCAAGCAGAGAGCCCGAGTTGCACTGCAAAAGGCGTTTGAGTTGTCTACTTCCGAACTCGACGCGGCACACAGACTGGCCAAAGCATTTGCAGACGCTGCCGAATGGGATCTTGTTGAACTGGTCGCACAGCGGGTGGTCGCCTCCGGGAAAGCCAAACCGGCGCCCGGATCCAAGAAGAGAGCTTATAGCTGGCCATTTGCTGCCTTGGGTGTCGTCCAAATGAACAAGCAACAATACTTTCCGGCCATAGTTTCGTTCCAGGCGGCTCTTCGAATCAATGCGACTGATTATTACTCCTGGGTTGGGTTGGGAGAGAGTTATCACAATGCCGGACGTCATATTGCTGCTACAAGAGCCTTTGCAAAAGCACAAAGCCTCGACCATGGCCTTTCTGCTGATGAAACTTGGTTTGCCGAATACATGCTTGCCAATGTTCAACGCGAAATGGGTCTTTTTGACGAGGCCATCTTAGCCTACAGAGCAGTACTGGACATGAAGCCGGATGAGTTTGGAGTGCTCCTCGCTCTCCTCCAGACCATGTCAGAAAATGCAAGTGCAAAGGTAGGCCTGGGCATGTTTGGGGAGGCCGTCAAACTTGCGGCTTCTGCCATCGAGGTGGCTACAGACATTGCACAGCGCGACACTAACTCTTTCAACCTTTGGAAAGCGGCTGGCGATGCTTGCTCTGTTCTTGGACAAGTCAGACTCTACAGCGATCCGGTCAACCTCCAATCAATCACATCGTTACTACGGCTGTCGCTGGGGAACGAGTTGGATATCCTCGTAGACCTTGACAAGGTGGATTTGGACACGACTGCAACGAATGAGCATCATTCTCAATTCACCCTGAGCGACAAATTCCTCAATGCTGCCATCTTGGCCCACAAACGCGCTGTCCATGCCTCTTCTACAGACCAACATGCACAGGCTGTCGCCTGGTACAATCTCGGATGGGCCGAATTCGAAGCGTACTCGTTCTCACCGGCACCGACAGAAGCCAGAGGAAAGAAATATCGTCGTTTCTTGAAAGCAGCAATCAAGTGTTTCAAGCGTGCCATCGAGCTCGAAGCCAGCAACTCGGAATTCTGGAACGCCCTCGGAGTCGTCACACTGGACCTAAGCCCGCAAGTCTCACAACACGCCTTCGTTCGCAGCTTACATCTCAACGACCACAGCTCCAGAACCTGGACCAACCTCGGTGTTTTATACATTGTACATGGGGACAATCAACTTGCCAACGAAGCTTTCACTCGAGCGCAGTCGGAGGATCCTGAATACGCGGACGCTTGGATCGGACAAGGCTTGCTCGCGCTACTGTTTGGCAGTGTCGGTGAAGCGAGAGGTTTGTTCACGCATGCCTTTGACATTGCCGACGCGTCACGCCTGCCGGCAAAACGTCACTATGCAATTTCAGCCTTCGATTACCTTCTCAAAGATCCTTCGAGGTCACAAGAGGTCAGCCATTTGTTGCAGCCACTCTTCGCGATGCGACAGTACCATGTGCACCAACCTTCCGACATGGTCTCAACCCATCTCATGGCTCTTTTGGCGGAACGTGCGGGCGACTGTGAAAGTAGTTCCGAGGCTCTCCGAGAGGTTTGCGACGCCGCCGAAGCAGAATATGAAAAGTCGGAATCCACCGAGTATCTGGTCAGGTTCACGCAAGCAAAAGCCGACCTGTCCCGAGCACAACTTGCGTGTGGTGAATTCTCAGATGCCGTCGCGAGCGCAGAGACGGCACTCGACCTGTCTGGAGACGCCGACGATTTTGGTGCGACGTATTCGGAGGCTCGACAGAGATGGCGTCTAGCGGCACAGGTCACGGCTGGCCTCGCACACAGTCATTTGCACAACACCGAACGGTCGATCAAGATGTTCCAGGAAGCACTGGGAGAAGTCAAAAATGAGCCCGACATTGTCTGTATGCTTGCACAAGTCCTGTGGGCCAAAGGTGGCGAGGCGGAGAAGGAGGCAGCTCAGTCGCAATTGTTTGGTGTGGTCGAGAACAACCCGAAGCACGTCCAGGCCGTGTGTCTGTTGGCGGTCATGGGATTGCTCGACGACGACGAGGCCGTGTTGGAAGCGGTCGAGGAAGAACTCAAAGCTTTGAGGTCAACCGACGACGTGGGGATTCTGGACAAGATCAGGGTGACCCAAGTGTTGGCTGGTATCGCGGGGTGTAAAGTGAAGAAGGGACCACGGCATAGAGACGAAGAGGCAGAAACACCAATGGCCACGTTGGCGGATGCACTGGAAGGGATCATGCTCGCACCCGGACAACCACAGGGTTGGTCGGAACTTTCACAATCCGTCCAGGATGAAGAAGACGAAGGTGCCGGGGTTTATGCAGCTGAAATGGCCGTCCTCAATGCGAACCGTCAAGTACCCCCTGGAGGCAAACTGGAAGCCGACGATCTGGCCATGGCATATCAAGGGACGGGTCAAGTTGAAGATCTGTTGCGGGCAAAGATGTTGGCGCCATGGAGGGTTTCGGAGCACATGACTTTGGAGTGTACAGTGTTTTGAAGGTATATTGTTTCGAGGCATGTCAAGAAGTCGAGACCTTGCAAAGACGTTTTGTTGATGATGATGATGACTATGGTTTCAGCATGCAAGCATTCGTATTCTGTACCTAATAGGTAATAGACAAGTGTTGGCGTCGACGAATACCGATACTTCTACTATGTAGTCCCGTCCCAGGCAAAATTGTTGATTGTTACAAGATTTGTTACGGTACCTAGTTACCATATGATCAAGCTCATCAAGTACGTGGCTATCCTTGCCCCCCGTAGCTCCCCCTCCTGCCACGCACCGCACCCTTTTTCAAAGAAACAATGATGACCACCGATGACGACCTTTTTCCTCCTCGACACTTTCAATACTGGAACGTTGTCTTGTCCAAAGCTTGTACTCGTCCTCGGAGAAAGTTTCTGCTTGCGTCAGGGTACCTCGTCTTGGTTTTGAGCAAAGAGATATCAAGAATCAAGCAGGGAAATCGAAGAGGGAACATGTTAATCAACCCTTTCCAAAAACGGAAGTAGGTAGGGGGGGGGGAGGGAGGGGGGTGTGGAGAGTCAACTTGACGTATGTTGCGAGGTGTTGTTTTTTGGTTCACCTAGGTACTTATGATGTACCTTTTGCCCACCCGAGTATTAGGTGGGAGAGATCAGATAATGGGGTTAAAAGTATATCATCAGTCACCCAACACGTCGTCACCGTCACTGATGTCGTCGTCACAGTCACCGTCATCGTCATGGTGATCAAACAACGAGGTTCCTCATACACACCCCCTTTTCCCATTCGCTCGTGTGTAGGGGGTATAGGGTAAACTATCTATGACAAACTAGGTCAGGTATCATGAATCTATCTGTACTCCCCCGTACCACCCTTCCTCTGGTCCAAAAACTTCATGTACAGTAAGTAACTCTCTCCTACGAGAGCCTACCATCACCTGCACCAAGGTGGAACGGACTCCATCTTTGGGTAATCGTTCGTAAAGGTCCGTCAAGTTTCGCTCCGCCTGACAACTTGAGTTCCATTTCTATAACACCTACTGTAGACAGGATGTACTTGGTGTGGCACGGAGTAAAGTCTCTGACTCAAGGCAATGCATTGAACCAAATCGAGGACGATGTAGACGATGTAGTACTTCTACAATATCATATCGACCGGCCTGAAAGAAGATTACCTTGTACTCTTGTATGATTGCTGACTGATAACACAACTCGTGCTCCGGTCCGTGGAGATGGAATAAAATGAAATACAAGGCAGGCAGGCAGACCCTTGTAAACCTCTCGTGATATACACGGTTGTGATCCTGCGTTCGAACTTTTGCCAATATGGTACGACAAAAATATTTTGAGAAAAGGTCTGTCTCACGTTTTCCCCACAAGGATGGTGTTCTGAGCCATCGAAAGAAAAAAAAGCGATCCCAAACCAGTATTCATCAGTATTGGAGGACAGAACTTGTTTGCTTCGGAATGGATGTCTTAATCGAAGCGAGGTCATATTCTCCCCATCCAAGTCTGTGAATCAGCTCAGCTCGCATGAAATAGCACCAATCTCGAACTCCACCCCCCCAAAAGCATCGACGTCTGGATGTTGCGAGATTTCCTACCTTGGGCTGGACGGTGCCGATCGATAGGGAAACGGTCTCGGAAAAAAAGGTTTCTTGATAGCTAGATGACATGGCATGAAACCGGGGAATTGTTTGGTCCTCGGTACGTACAACACCATATTCTGTATAGTCAAAACACACCATCGAAGCTTGTCAGAGTAATGGTCCATTACACACACACACACTCGACGCCTTGTTTGGACGATTGCATCCTCTTCAAAGTCAAGGATCATGATTCCACGTAATATTGAATAAACACGAATCGTGCCGAAAGTAGTTCAACCATTACCTTTTTCGTATCCGCAACAAGCGCAATATGCGGCAGTCCAACCGAAGGGAGGGTATATGAGAACGATGCAAGTGCAAACCAGAATGCAAAAGAAGCACGACGCAACCGTGGCCCACCCAGGATGGTTCAAATGTGTGTTTCGATTGTCAACCTTTGACTTAGACTCTCGTGGAGATTTTATCGAGAGGCGTCACAAAGCTGCAGGTGGCCTTGACCTTCACATGGGATGGGGTGAACTCTTTTTCCCAGTAGTACGTGCTTATGCTGTACCAATGACAAGGGGGTTCCGCAGAGGCAGGGCGATTAGCAAATCATCCAAAATCAGAGACGCAGCCCCGGAGATTGCCAACTCGGATTTACTGAACATCTTGCGTGGAAAATTCCAACTTTTCTGCGTCGTTATGCAAACAAGGGATGCATTCTACGACTCGTATTGGTAGTAGACCTCGCGTATTTTGCTTTGGTGTTTGGATTCCGTGATCAAGTGCGTCACTGGTGGACTGTGACCGTTCGTTCCGAGAGAGAGAGAGAGAGAGAGAGATAGGTATCGATAAAGTCCCCGATACAACAAAACGGCTGGACAGCGGTGAGGGTTCCACACTGGACGTACTTCGCAAGAGACTGCAGGTTCCGAAATGGATGATGAGTCAGGAAGCTGCAGACAGGCGAACCTGACCATTACACAATCTAAGCTTTTGGAAGAATCCTTGGAGGGGAAATTGACGGTTTCCCAAGTGAGGAAATAGCTGAGAGATCCCTGATAGAATGAAGGTTTTGTACGACGATAAGCCAAAGTTCCAGGCGAGCCCTGGCACAACCAGTGAGGAGCTGTACTGTAGTCATTACTTTGTGCCGTCCTGGTCCTGTGCACCAAAACAATAGATCGAGTGAAGGCCCAAACGAGGTGTGGAGAGTTCAGTCGTTCGAGGTCTAGAAGCGCGACATGGATTGGTGAGCATTCTGACTCAGCTTCAGCTCGTCCAATCAATAATTTCTTGAGACGAGCTTGAAAAGGGAAAGGTTTTCGATCTCTCTTTCTGGGAAAAGAAAAAGCCTCGTTGGTTGATTGTTGGGAATACGAGTATCTTGTCGTCCTGTCCTAGCTCGTTCGTTTGAGGTATGAGACACTATTGGGCCGTGTGAGTGGGTTGAACAAAAGATTATCTCCAGTAGTACAGTATAGGCTCGATGGTGAACACAACACAGTGCTTTGTGGTACTCTACTGTACAGAAGGATGTCGATCATGACCTCATAAGAGCTGTTCAGTTGAACATCGGAACTTTCCTTGACAAAGTGACTAACGTGAGTACATTTGACAAAAGGATCAGCAAAAGGCTATCCCAGGGTAACTCTCAACTCGTGTTGTTATCTCGACACCAACAAGAAGTACAATCTGCCTGCACGTGTTGTTGGATGCGGCGTTTATTCAAATGTCGGTAACGATGGTAAATGACATGTCATTCGAATCTCTGTCATGACAATACAATACAATACAATACAATTACAGGACGGTAACGGCCAATTGGTAACCCTTTCCCGAACCGGACTTATGCAGCGCATTTATGCATCGCATACTCCGTATTCTCTTAGTCTTGACGCGGCTTTTCGCACCAACCAACGGTGCCGAGTTTCTTGTACTCCGTATGCCTTGGTCACTTGTCGAAATTTATGCCCACTAGCAACTTCTCTCGCTTTGTTCTGAGATCAGCGATGGGGATCAGATGATGTGTTGTTATTTTCTGGGGATGCGAAGAAGCGAAGAAGCGAAAGACTTTGGCAAAGGTCTTGGGGGTGGGCAGTGCGGTCTCCAGTATCTCGCCTCAAAAGATCTTAGGAGGTGAGGGGGGGAGGGTGGAAGGAATAGTCCTGGTCGCCCAGGCGCAAGGCGTTCACGGTGGCTCTTTTCTTACTGTAGGCACGGTAAAGGTCTGGGCCTTGTCTTTACGGCGCCTTGTTCTTTCGTACTCGTATTTCTTGGGGCAAGCCTCAACCAGTAGACTGCAGACAAGAAAATGGGACGATCTGTGTGCCTAGGTACCATGAGAATTGGCATCTTGGGTGGCCTTGGTATCTTACGCGAGACTTGACCATTGACTCGTAGTTCCAGTAGGTAGGACTCGTGGGAGGAAGGTAATGTACCTACATCTGGGGAGTCTAAGCGAATACGTGAAACAAAAATAGGTACCTAAGCTGGGCATGAACACCTGTGGAGTACCTAGGTCTAGATAGGTAGACGTCCTCCAGGATTTCAACTGCCAGGCACAAGTACAACGACCCAGAAAAAGCCTCGAGGACGGAAAGGCGACAACTTCTGTTCCAGTTTCTAGCTCATTACTTATTACCTAGCAAGTCGCCGTGAGACCAAGTGACACAACTTTGACCACCCGGTGCATCGCCATCGCATCACACCCCATTTTAGGGAAAAAGCGTCACCCGCGCAGTCATGCTTGGATCAAAACTACAATAATAGGAATATTACCCTCGTAATCGTATTTGTTGCAACGTGGTTGGCCCAAAGATGGTATTTGATCTCTCATCTTGGGGTGTAGTTGGTTTCTGAAGAACAAAACGAGCAGTGGCATTGCGTAAAAGGTGGGCATGTTGGGTGAAGAAATTGGAACTTGCTCAACGAGACCTTTGATGATCGTGTCGTTTCAGTTCACGGATACGGAGTACATAACGTTGTTTCTCCTTTGGAGTGGACGAGAAACCAGTTGACATGGTTGTCTTTTTGTTTTGCTATCAGGCTACCTACCTCTTAATTCAAACCAAAAAACACCCCGGGCAACTACAGTATGTGTCGTATTTTAGTTGATGGCCCAGGTTCACAACAAAAACATGGATGGACATTATTTTATTGATGGTCAAATAATTAATGCTTCTCTCCGTCCTTCTAGTGTTGTCCGCTTTCCGGCCTCGGAATGATTAATTCCCGAGGGGCGGCGTGATGGTCCAGTCCAAATATGATTGTACATGTACACCAACTGTCATCAAGATACTCTCCCGCACCTAACACAACCTCGTCTACTCGTATGGATGGTTGTGCATTGATCGTCCCAAGGTGCGCGCAAAATGTCAAACCGGTCAAAACTTGTCATCGACTCTCATGAGAGTTGTCGGAAGTAATAAACATCCAAAGCCTTTTTTGGTTTCTGGATCTCGGATCTACAGCATCGCATTAATTGTACCCCGAGGCACATCTACTTACTACACATAATAGTACCTTGGATGTCATGAACATGTAGTTTTGGACTTGACAATCCGCCCGGACCACATTTTGAGACGAAATATCAAAGTCAATCGTAACTCATCGAACTTCTACTCCGTACATACTCGTACAATAATAACGACCACGACATAAAATGATGACATCGATGATTGACACTTTACCAAACCTTGAGGCTGATATGGAACTGACCAAACATTGTACGACTTTACTCACGTCCTACCGTAGTTGATGGAGACAAAAAAGTTCTCAGCCGCTTCCCGCAGGTACGAGCGGATACGGATACGGATACGGATACCTCTTCTTCCACCTCTTTCTCGCCTTCTCGGCCTTTGAATCTTTGGGCGTAACGCCCGACCTGCCAAGGGGTTTCTCTTGTTAAAATGATGACTTCCGTATGCCGGACGAATTTCATTGATGAATAAAACAAAACCCCTTCCTTACCCATTTTCCCCCCCCCCTAAACCGCCCCCCTACTACTGGAGTCCCATTACAATTCAAGATTACAATAATAATATGAGGCATTTTTTTTGTTGTTTTCTTATTACTGACGGAGCACCAGGTCATCTGCGCTTTTACGGAAAAAGTAAACAATAAAGGGCAACGCTCGGCGAGAGCGCGATTTTTCCTTCGGATCTACTTTCCGGACAGTACTACGTGTACCGAGTCCTCGTGCGATGCTCGCGCGAGGAAATGGCATTGCTTGCTGGACCCTGAATTTTTCCTTTCTTTTTCCCCCACTGGACACAAACGACGGCCCAAGACTGATGAGAAATAATGATCTGACCAGTTCATGCCGTAAAAGGTCCTGGGCATCTTTCCACGGCCCATGGTTCCCCCAAGTGGATCTTCTCTTATGCTCACGCGGGTAAGATTCTGGAAAGACGGCCTGACCTTCTAGTGTGCTTGTCATCATTCTCGTGAGATCCCACGTGAGTTATGATGAGTGTGGGAGTTGAGTGCGACCGGGGCATCTTTTCTTCGATAACCCCGTCTCTCTCGAGTTCGCAAGGCATTCCTTCCCTTGGAAGATACTTGTTCGAGTAGCGAGCACTGTAAGTATTTTGCCGTGCCTTGGCTGCCTAGGCCTTCCAAGCCTTGTGCACGGTCTTGGCGCCCCAGGTCTGACCGCGTTTCAACACGACTTGATTCTCCCAGTCTGGCACGTTGACCGCGTTGATGAATCGACCGGGCTCGACGCAAAATCCTGCCCTAGCCCCTCGCGCGGGAGTGTCTGCCGTCGCGGGCTGGTTGATGTACTTGCCCGTGTAAAACTGGAAAGAGGGTTCGGTGCTGAAGATGTCGAGGTGGATTTTGGTCTTTGGATGCGACACGCTGATCAACGGTTTCAGTGGTCTCTGTCGAGTGTCCAGGGGCAAATCTTTGGTGTCGGTGTCCACGACGAAACAGTGGTCGACGTCTGGTTCCTGTGGACCCAGCACAAAAGGTCTCTCCGCCTCGATGCCTGGAAAGTCTCGAACGGTCCCCAGAGGGATATCGGTGTCGTCTACGGGTAAGTGTTTCGAAGTATGAAGGACAACTTTTGTGCCCTCGATTGTCGGTCCATCGGTGATGTTGAAATAACTACGCGCAGCTTGTTAGCAACGCATTTGTACTTGTACTTGCAGTGAGGAGTCCTCTTACCCATGGTTGGTTATGTTGACGACCGTCTCGTCACACTCGTCCCCTACCAGTTCCACTTCGTACTCGGTCTGCAACACCGTCTTTGACACACCATCTTCGTCCTCGGTCCAGGCGGTGTACCAAACCTTTAATTCCACGGTTCCAGGGTAACCTTCCTCTCCGTCGGGCGACAGGTACGTGAACAAAACGCCTTCCTTGCCGTTTCTGTTCACGGGCTTGGGGCCTTGAAACTTCTTCTTGCCCCAGCCTTGAGCCCCTCCGTGCAAGGAATTTGGACCGTTGTTGGCGGCCAACTTGTAAGTCTTGCCGCCGTTCAACTTGAACTCTGCATTTTTGATCCGGTTGGCGACACGACCGATCGTCTCTCCGAAAAAGGGAGAGTCGGCGTAAGGTTCAGGTTTGGGGAAACCCAAGACGATGTTTTGACCACCGACTTTGAATTCTTGAATGATGGCCCCCTGTGGTAGAAAGGAGAAGTTTGATGACGATGATGATTGTGACGACATTTTTTTGTTGTTGTTGTTGTTGTTGTTGTTTGCTGTCTGGTATCTAGCCGGGGCCGCGGGGACACAGAAGTACGAGTATTGCGGCCGGGTATCAGTGCCTAGTATAAGCGACAAATGTTTTGAATGGAGACTTTGATGCTGGTGATAAAACAGTAGATACTATTATGATTTCTTTTCTCAATAATGTGTTTGCTGAAATAAATGTGTGCGAAATGTACAGAGAAGCATTGGGAGTCTTTTCCCCTTTGCTCCGTAATATTTGGCTTCAGTCGTTCATTTATCCGGGGAGTCGTGACTTTTGCTACGCAGTACGGAGTACAATAGGCTGAATTCCCCCCAAGTTTGTGTCGACTCAAAAAGAAACGTGTTTCTCATCACTGCCTGGGTAGTTCAATACTGTCGAGTAAGAGGACAAATGAAGCAATTTATTCTGCTTCTACTGTAAAATTTATCTATAGGTAGATAATTGATCATCGAGGCGCGTGAATCACTCATAGGTGACCCTCAAAAAGTGGTTGACCATCCTGTGTTCGTACTACTATCAAGATCAGCATCGTTACTTCATACTTCGTTCGTAACTAATCTGGTTTTCGAAATTGATCAAGTCCCGAGGAAGGACGACTAGACACCAACGACTCCATCTCGTAGTACGCAAGTCATAAAGTAATGTCCATCATCACAATTACGACAAAACTCATGGTCGACGACCTCCATGGAGAATCCAGGTTTCCGCGGCCGAAGCCACCCCCTCCACATTTATTTTCAAGCAATTGACAAAGACAACCAAACAGTCCATGAATGATGCTTATTAGCGCCACCTTGTTGTGAAATATGTCTGATCCAGCACAAGTTCACTTTGGCTACGGTCGGGTGCATATTGTGGTAATGAATTGGGATGGAGTGATTGTACACACACACATACACACAGAGAGAGACAGAACCGTGCTGTGGGATGTGCTCCGTACACCAAAAGGCCAGCTGCGCCTCACAAGCCAATTTCCCTCGTCCACGCAACACGTTAACGTGTACAAGGCGCCTACACTAAGCAGGCCTTCCATACATAGGTACATACAGTACTGTCCATTCACAACATCTCCTACAGGAAATCCTCCGTAGAGAGGTACTGCAATTCTCAATTCTCCAGTAAACCACCTGCAGGCATCCCCAGCAAATAAATTGCCCGGGGACATTTCATTTTCGCAATCGGACAACATGCCCTTAACGCCGAAAGAACCCGCCCCGTATTTTGTTCCCCAATTAGTACTCGTCAAATACTATAATGCCTCCCATGGGTTGTTGGTACTCCATAACGCATTGTACTGTACCGTTATGCATTACAAATAGGTTCGGTGGGAAAAAATAGTCCCAAACCAAGACGGAAAAACAAAGAGAGAAAAATCATCAAGTCATGTCCCATGTGATGTGTGTCATGCCAGCATGGTGGGGTTAAAGTATCGTTGAAAATCTTCTTGACTGGGCCAGTCCTTCATCGTCAGACAAGGGTTGATGGCGGCGGGCATCATCTGTTGATCCTGGAACATGTTGGGTGGGACAAATGAAGACAGGTCGATCGACGACGACTCGACCATGGGCGAGTCGAACTGGGTGATGAAGTCCATCGAATCGTCAAACTCGGACATGGGTGTAGTCCAGCTGCTCAGGTTCGAGTGCATGTTGGCGGCGTGCGGGTAGGTGTGTGACTTTGTAGGCTGCTGCTGCTTCTGCTGCTGCTGTGCGGGCACGGCTCGTGCATTCTGAGGGTAAGGGCTCTGGTTGGGAGGCGTCGGGGGTAACTGGTTGAGGTTGAACGGGTTCGAAAAGTTGGGTCGGTGGTGGTTGTGGTGGTGGTGAGCCACCACAGGCTCGTATATGGGCGACGGCGCACTGCTGTCGGTGTGCGAATCGTGCGAGGGTTGCCGTTGCATGAAGCCCGCCCCGTCGGCGATCAGTCTCTGTTGTAACGTGTTGAGGTCCTCCTCGAACGTGTCGTGCGTGGCGTTGCCGTCTTGCTTGAGCGCACCCAACCTCTCCAGGATGTCATGCGTCAACGGTGAACCACTGCTGGTCTCCTTGAGCGCCGAGCCCGGCCACCCGTGGCCGTTCTGTACTCGTTTGTACAACTCTTGTAGGCCGGCGACGAGTTGTGCCTGTTGGCTCTCGAGCATTTCTACGTAGCTGCGACCACCCTTCATGTCAGCCCAGGACCATGACCATGACCCCAACCCTCCCATTTCGAAGGACAGGATGTCTTCCCCGGCACTTACCCTTTGGGATATACTTTGTCGTGGGACTTTTTGCGCTCGCCAAATACGCAAATGGCGTTGTCTGCTTTACATCGACTGCAAGGGCTGGCTCCGTCGCACTGATCAACAAGTTAGGATACGAAGTCCGGTTGTTCTGAAGTGCCCATGAGGGATTAACTCGCCTTTGACTTCTTCAGCCGACATCGATCACAAGCCTTGCATACTCGTTTTCGAATGCCACCGTCTAGGGGCGATGAGGGCTCTAAAGGAGGAGTCATGATGGTGGCTCCCATTGCTGAGAAGAACGTTTCCCTCCAGGCAACAACCAGACAGGCAATGTCGAGAAGATACGTCCAAATCGGGGGAGGTGTCGAATTGGCTTCCCGGTGGACTCGTCGCGAGAGGAGCGCGGAGAGGAGTGAGGATGTGTGTAACAGTCAGGTAGATATCTTGTACACGAAATGGCCACAACAACCCTTTCAGGCCAGCATGTAGAGGGGTTGTCAGAGTAGCAATACGTGAGTCGGTAAGCTTATTGAAGGACCACGAGAACCCAACAAAAAATACGAATGAGGGTGGATCTGTGTTGTCACGTTTCTGGGAATGGGAAAGGACATATCGAGTGAGGAACCTTCAGGCCCTATATATCGTTTTACGAGGTAACAAGAGGCTTGGGTTAGTAAGAAGAGCCCTAAAGTTCGAAGTCCCAAAGGGTGGAGCCAGATGGTGAATGAGCATGAGGCATAGTATTGCTAAGGAAACCATGGCCATGACCAGCCAAACGGGCAAAAAGTTTGCGAATATGCACGAATACTGTGATGATGCATGACCAGGATAGTGAAAGGTGAGTAAGGTACAGACAGCGGTCCCAAGGGAGGAGTGGATCCCACTAAAATCAAACTGCGAAGTCCCGCTCCAGGGGTGGGAGGGAAGGGAGGAGACGATTCACTCTTCCGTCCTGGATGACATGATGGCCACACCGAGTGCAGGGGCCCATTTCTGGCGCCGATTACTTTTGGGCATCCTGCTGCGTCACTCCGCACAGTCATAAGGTTACTACCTGGACGAGGAAAGGGTCGCTGTACTGTACACGATTAGGTTAGTCGGCATGGATACTAACTCTCTCGTACGGAGTACTATGCGCTTTTTTGTTCACCCTCTCGCAACCCTGAAGGCCGAACGTTGGTTTTAACTGGGGAATGCCATTTCTGCTCTTTGACTTCTCGGCCAGTCGGCAGCCTTGGTGTGTTGACAACTATCGGCTCACGGCCATTCTGAGGTGCGAAAGAGCGAAACTGATCCCCATTCCCGCTCTGGTCTCCTTTGTTCGGCGATAAGTTGGATCTCCCCTTGTAGATCTACAGACTTCGTCAGGGCCATCAAGACAATAATCTGATCGCCAAATGAGTACGCCGTAAAGGTTAACCCGGCACACGGACATTTGATGTGAAAAGGTTTGCTCAGCAATGATTACTCGGTGTCTACACTATAGTACAGAGTAGTACTTACAACATACCGGTCTTGTGCTAACTCCCCGCCCGTAGTGGTTCCCGTACATACTCGTCCTCCGTACTTCCGACATGGAAACGAATACGATTGTGCATTCATTGAATCCGCAAATACAACTAATCACTGGTATTGTATCACGCATCATTCTCGGCGTCCGGCCGGTCTGCGTCCCAGGTGTGCTTTTTTCTCCCACCTCTCTCAGCCCTTCGAGAACGCCTTGGTGAAGAAGAGCGACAGCAGGAGGTGTTTGTTGGCAACCAACCTCCTCTTTCCCAAGGCCATAACCTTTTGCCACATGGCTCTTACGTTGCATTTTGATCCAAGGATCTCAGGCATTCTTGGCCCATCTTGTGCACAATTATGCATCGTCTTAGCTGGTGGCTGTATTTCAATACGGCTGATCGGTAATCTATCTGGTAATCCTTCGTTCGGACGAATGTTCTCTTTTTCAAATTACCATGATTAACACGCTTAATCTTTGCTGACGCCGCTGGAGATGGACTTCATCAGCATGACTAATGCACTCTTGTCGTACAACAAACTGTTCCTGGGGGTTCTCTATCTCCAGATCGGATTGCGACTGGCCCAGCGAGTGACAACATCATCGTATGGAGTATGTGCTTCTGTAATAGCATGACATTCACCTACCGTCGTGTCTGTTGTTCATTGCCCCAGCGAGTGCTCATCGATGTAGAATTGGTGGTGAATTTCTTGATTGGCTCGTGCACCTTTTTTTTGACGCAGAAAACCCGCAATGCATCCCTGGAATCATTGATCATACAGTACAGAAAAGGACTTCTCCACGGCGCAAATCTGTCTTCAGGAACCATATGTTGAAGCGCCGAAAAAAGGCCTTGTGGAGGAGTATCCAACATTCCGCGCGATAAAAATTCCGCTCGGATATGCTCTTCCGCCCATGACGCCAGATCCTACAATTACACAAGGAGCGGATTCTCCACCAGCAAATTTGTTTGCCATTTCCATACTGTATGCGTTGCAATCAATCACCAGTATCTTGCAACATCGGTACAAGTTCATCCTCGACCATGGGGCCTTGATTACTGTAGCGTATACTACCACCATATAGATATACCGTCCGCTTGGGAAGTCCGGGACTCCTCACTCTCCAGGGAGCCAACGTTAGGGCTCGCCTAGAGCGGGCACACTCTTGTTCAAGCTACACGTCCTGACTGATGACATCGATAGAAGTCAAGTCATGAAGACTTGAAACTCCTCCTTTCAAACCATGTGGGGTTAGCTGAGTGACTTTCTGCAACAAGCCTTTTGCTGAAAATGTCGTAGCGCTCGGGATCCTCCAGTTCAAGCAATACTGATTCTGCAAAGGCAGCAGATTTGATGCGAGTGACCTCAGGTGCATATTGTACAACATGAGTGGGTATGCTCGCTAAGGAGAATGTCCTTGTGGAGATAGGAGCAAATTACCTCAGATCTTCAGCCTAGCAGAACCTCTCTCGGCACGTGTCTGGGTCCCCATCGCTATCGCCTCAACCATCTTTTCGACATTGGCGGCGTTATCACGGCACGGTGGTCGTTCGTCTGGAGGATTACTTGTCATCGCCGTCGCGTGACATTGATTTGGCTGGCCACGATTCTCTCGGGCAGAAGAGCTTGATGATGTTACGCGCCCACATACCATACCTCTACACCCAAGACGTCAAACTTACGGCCTTCATCGCTCAGGGGCTCATTGCCAAACGTCGGACATGTCTCGCTGATACCGGTGTTGAGCTCATCGTCTAACCACAGTCCATAATGGCCGTCACCGCCTCCAATTGAGAGATAGCCAGCCTGACAGTATAGCAGAAAATCATTAACTCCGCTGTAAGGAAACGCCTTAAACCGGATACGATCTGGCGTCGATGTGCCAGACCGAGGGAGCTGCGGCGGTGCGAGAGCATCCTTATTCATAGGTAGAGGCAAAGATGTTGTCGACGCCGATACTGATGACGACTTCCGCTCACCACGAACCGTAGTCGCCCTCTGCAAATTTGTAGTGTCTGCACTTGGTGGGGGTGGAAGACCTGCCATCTCCAGTAGATCATGCGATGGCGATTGTGCATCGCCCTCTAAGCTCTCAGACAGATCTCTCAGCGCAGGGAGTATACTCGCTCGCCAAAGGAAGCATTCTCCCGTGCCAAAGTAATGCAAGCCTGGCTTGGGCGAGTCGGAAAGGTACGCGCCAAAGATGGACCCGTTCGAAGCCGCCGTAGAGCCATCTCTTACTACGAGCACATAGCCCGAACGTTGCGTATAAGTCGAGACATTGGCACAGTGCTCATACAATGTCGCCAACGAAGATCCATGAACCTCCAAAGAATACGCCAGTCGCCATTGGGCGATGAGTTGAAGTCTCGGGGGTATTAATAGCCGTATTTCTTCTGCCAATGGCCTGGACAATAACAATGACTCTGCAGCCTGTGGCGATAAAGTGTGTTTTAGTTCGAGAGGCGTGAGAGGAGGAGGTTGAAACGGTGATTGGCTTCTTTTGGGAGGGGTGTAAACACCTGAAGATGAAGCAGCAGCAGGGGCGTCCAGCAACTTGTTGACAGGGTGTTCGGGGGGTTCAGTCATACGTCGATACAGGCTTGATACGACATGTTTGACTGGGTAGGCCAGATATGCGGCTGAATTGGGATTGTAGGGATTATCCGCCAACGTCGGCTGGCTCTTCTCCCGCTGCACTGATTCTCGTTGCTCGGGGTTGCCCTTGGAAGTCATTTGGAGGCTCTGAAACACGCATAAAGTCGCCAACGACAGTAGAACGGATACAACGGCGAAAGTGCGCAATGCCTTGCAATGGATATCGCCCTGCCCCCGTAGAAATGGTCTTATACTCCTTATACGCGAAAGTAAGGGCGCAGGCAGATGTTTGTTTCAGCCTCATTAGTCCATTAGACTCCTGAGCATTAGTGGCAACAGCCTGGCACTAGCATCGTTGACCTCTTTAGTCTCACTAATGTTTTGATACAGGGCTCATAATTCGTCAGCCTGGAGGTATACCCGCGCAAGGCTGAAGCTTGAAGGGCACTAGTGAGCGTACTATTCTCTCTATTGCGCCTGTAGCCTAGCGTTTGCGTCATGGCAACATCCATCTTGAATCGTTGGACAAAAACTTGCCCCTCTGTCAACAAATTACTTAGTTGTCTTTCCATTCTTCTATCTCTGCAAGAACATTTGCTTCAAACTACACAAGAATCTTGAATCACTCTCTTTCTCAGTCTCAGGGCACCCGCCTCCAGGGGTTTGGTCACACGTAACTGAGGCGACGCCCCTCATTTCACCGCCACATCTTCATCATGTTCATGATCAAAAATGGTATGACCCTCTGGTCCTGTTCCTTTGTTCGAAATCGCAAACACTCAACTGACACTGACCTCTTAAAATACAGTGAGCAAATATCTCTTTGGAGACGTTTCCAAAGAGGTCATTACCGAGATTCCTCAAGGCCAGCTCTATCTGGTCCGACCCCTCTCACCGAAAGGCTACTCCGAATTAATCTACAAAGACGCCGTCGCGAGTATTCGACGAACTGGTCAAGAGTTTCAATACCAGCTGGTAATACAGCGAGCATACGAGGAAGGAGAAGAGGAACTGGCAGAAGACGATGAGGACGAAGGAGTTGACGCCTTGGACAAAGACGAAAAGACATTCCTGCTTGATCAAGACCTACATTTCAGATCCGAAAAGAGATCTGGCGGAGAAACCATTTTGGCTTGGCGAGATCTAAGCGGTGATCCCGGCGATCTCTACGAATTCGTCTGTGACACTTCGATTCAACAAGAAAAGATTCAAACATTCTTGCTGGCTGCAATCGATTGTCAGTACGAACGGAAATATCGCAAGTCAGCTCAAAAGGCAACCGATCCCGAACTCAGGGAGTTTTATTTTGACAACGAGGACGCCATTCCGGCTGCCAGCTCGGTTTCTCCTACCAAGGACGACATGCCTACCTCAAAGGAGTCAGCTGAGCGTATGGCCAAGGATGTAAAATCTCCACGCAAAACGAATGAGTCGACGACAACAGATGTTGTCTCGACATCTACTGCACCACCTTCAGCAAAGTCCGCACCAGCCTCCGGAGAGGTATTGACCAAGCAGAAAGCCGAGTTACATCTCTTTGATTTTCAAACATCAACCTTCATCTTACAGGATGCTTCCGTCTTCGCTGTTGTTACCGATCTTGGAAAGTGGCAATATTGGCTGCAGATTACAAGTTCTGACGGCCGTGAATGGCTCGGCCAACAAATTGTTGCTGATATTAACCCAGTATTCAACTTTGAATACCTATCAGCAATTTTCAACCATTACACCGATGACGGTTCAGCGTATTCTTGGCTTCTACGATTTCACGACCAAGCTACACTTGAGAACTTCCAAGAAGGTATCATGCAAGCATTGTGGGAACAACTCAATGAAATGAAGTGGGCAAAGGTCAATGAACCAGATCGAGAGTATGTCTTTGAAGCTTTCAATGAGCTGACAATGGACGACGTTCCAGAAGAGGCTGAGGAAGACGAGGAAGACGAAGAGGACGAGGATACCGATGGAGGTCAGAGAAGTGAGCACTACGACACAGATGAATCCGAGGACGATCTCGATCTGCATGACAGTGACGGCAATGTCAATTCACAGTTGGCTGTCGGCACCAAACATGACCGATCGTTCGTCATTCGAGGTTCCAAAATCGGTGTCTTCAAGCATCTTCCGAATCGACATCTTGAATTCACAACCAATATTTCCAAGGTCGAAACACCCAAAGGCAAACTATTCAGACCAAACAAAGTCATGTTGCACTCGGAAGACCAGAACATGGTCTTACAAGACGACACCAATCCCAACGCCCTCTACCGTATGGATCTGGAATACGGCAAGATCATCGACGAGTGGAAAGTCCATGACGATATCCCGGTGACGAATTTTGTGCCAGAGACCAAGTTCGCCCAGCAGACGTCGGCGCAGCCATTCATTGGTCACAGCCGGAATGCTCTCTTCCGAATAGATCCTCGTGTGGCTGGTAACAAGCTCGTCGAGGCTCAATTGAAACAATACGTCTCCAAGAACGACTTTTCCGCTGCAGCCACGACAGAAAAAGGACATGTCGCAGTCGCATCCAACAAAGGTGACGTCCGTCTCTTTGACCGCTTGGGTGTTAACGCTAAGACTCACATTCCTGCTCTCGGTGAATCTATCATTGGTCTTGATGTCAGTGCCGATGGACGATGGCTCCTTGCTACATGCCGCACATATCTACTTTTGATCGACACTTTGCAGAAGGACGGCAGATATGAAGGCAAACTGGGCTTTGAGCGCTCTTTTGCCAAAGATAGCAAGCCTCAGCCACGCCGTCTTGCTCTGACCCCGAGTCACGTCGCACAATTCCAACATGAGACGAAGGCTCCTCTTTCCTTCACCCCGGCTAAGTTCAACGCCTCACCAGACAACCCCGAAACAAGCATCATCACCTCGACAGGACCGTTCCTCGTCACCTGGAACCTTAAGAAGGTCGTCGCTGGTAACAAAGATCCTTATCAGATCAAGCGATACGGCGACAAGGTTATGGCGGATAATTTCGAATTTGGATCAGACAAGAATGTCATTCTGGCCCTACCAAACGAAGTCGACATGGTTAGTCGGAAGAGTTTCAAGAAGCCAACGAGGGAAAGTATAGCTGGACCAGCCACGAGGCTGAGTGCTGGAGGGTTGGCTACACCTCGCCGCAGTGGCCGACAAAGTCATTTGCGGGACGAAATTGTGAACAGTCCATATTAGTATGGAGTAATAAGGAGTCCAGAGAGTTTGCATGGGAAGTCACGATTCCAAGACAAATGTTTCGATAGGGGATTTTTTTGGAGTGAAGAAACTGTGTGGTCAGGACACCACACATTTTAGGAATTTCATTACAGCGAGCCTGCTTTTGTTTGTTTCGATACCCCCTGACACTTTTCTATGTGCGCAGGCCACGCGAATGCCTTGGGTAGATAGTATGTAGGTAGTTTAGTGCACACGACGATATGTGCTTGTGAGACACAATGATCAATTATCCTGAAAGTGGACTTTTCGTTCTCTGTGCGTAATCTGATTGTTCCCGGCCGTGTCACCTTGGTGAGTCGTGACTCGGAAGCTGGAGATGTTTGTTTGGTCTCAAGGAGATTCGACCACGTGCATCTGCGGACAAGGTAGGGCACTGACTCTGCATCTCAGGTAAGGTCGGCCCACGGCCCATTGTTGGGGTGAAAACTGTGATTTGTCCGGGGTAGGTTTTGCCTCGTAGAAGAAGATCTGAAGGGGGCTTGTCTTTCAGCTTGAAATTTTTCAAAAGGAATCCCCGAGAATAGGGCTTGGAAGGCCTCTTTAGAGTGTGTCACGATTCGTGCTCGTCGATCGTGGCCCGAACAAGCGAAACGTGAGTGTAGACTCGAGAAACAAGGAGCTGATCGCGGTCCATGGCGACTCTTTTCTTTGAGATTCCCACCTCAGGAGGCAAAGATGAAAGCAAGAGTCGACCCTCGGCACTCCTCAACAGACGTCGGTTCACATGGAACGCCAGAATTCTTCCCTCGTTCGCAGGAGTCTTGTTCGAGATCTAAGAGTGTGGCCGTATGGTTCGTCTCGCTTCTTGCAACTGGCTCTTTCTTCACCAGTCCAATCGATGCCCAGGCTCTAGGCGGTTCTGCTTGCTCACTTGGTGAACGCCCTCCCCTACGGCCGCAGGGGCCAGAGCATGAATGTTCAATTACCCTTTAGTCTCAATCGGGTGTTGTTGATTTTTGTGTGGTGTGTGGTGTTGACGGTGAATCGCCATCAACGTCCGATGTACGCATGATTTGCTCACATTTTTCACGAAGTTCATCCACACCCCGAACGTCCTTCCACTGCTCGAGCAGCACCTTGACAGACCCAAACTCCTTTTCTGCTTCTTGCGTTTGGTCATTGTCAATCAAGGCTCGTAGTCGACGAGGGGCGTCCAAAGCCCGCTGGACCGTCTCTTTTTGTCGTTTCGTCTCCCTCGCCTTGACCGCCACTGGTTCTTGCTGCTGTGCCGGACCCAAGTCCTCGACCATCTTGAGCAGAGCGTCCAACTTCTCGCCCAACTTCTCCACGCCGTCCAGATTGGGGGCTGTATCTTTCTGCTGTACTCCCAAGACACTCATCTGAAGTCTGTTAGATGGATCCCTCTCCTTCTTGTGCATCCCCTTTTGCATCTCCGCGATTGTGCCCACGGCCTTGATCAGTTTGCTGTAGTTGTCGTAGACCAGGGCCTTTCTTTCGCCGTCGAGGTTTCGAATCTCGCTGACGAGTGAACTCTCGGTCCTCAAAATGTCCCTCAGACCGGCCGTCTTGAGGAGCTCCGTCACGTAAGCTTCGGCGTCGAAAGAGGCGTCGTCCAGCTGCGGCCCCGTCAGGGAGGACGACGACGAAGGTTCGGGAACGAAGGCGCTGGAGGACGTGACGACGGTCGAGTCTGAGGCGTTCGAGGCTATGCTGGTTTTGCGGCTCAGTCCGAGATCTGTCGTTCCAGAAGCCCCTGAAGGTCTCTTGATGTTGTAATAGTCTCGCAGGGCGGCACGATTCCTCCTTTGCGACGGATTTGACACTGACACCGGTGTCGCATGTTGCGAAGGAGAGCCAGGAGCGTTTGACGTTATCCTCGGAACATCAAATGACGGTCGGACAGAGGACACGGGAGTTCCACTCGTGCTGGGGATCGAGGGAGAGGTGATGCGAGGGATGGTTATGGCAGGGGATTCGCTGCGAGGAGACGTTATCGTGGCCATGGTGGACAATGGCTTCGGCGCATAGTCTGTCTGTGCAAACCGGCGAGGAAAATAAGTATGATTTGATACTACTTAGTAGTCATCGTAATTGACGTGGTACTTTGTACAGATGCAGGGGCAAACAGAGATCGCAGAGGGTGTCAGGTGTTATACATGTGTTTTACTCCTCTTCGAGTACAAGGATGAATGTACTCCGTAGTTGAGCCTCGTATGATAAAGAGTACAACCGAGGTATTGCCGGCCACGCAGTTTAGGCTGGATGTATTCCGTACCTCATATCAAAAGAGACGCTTCATTCGAGGCGCACATCCACTGAATAAAGAGGATCCTACAGGACACGGAGTGGGTGAAGTCAGATACCTCCGATTCACCTCTCGGACAGCAGCCACACCAGCGCGGTAGGTTGCAACGGCAATCAATCATGCTACATATCAAAATCATTGCTGCTGTGCCTGGAAAACACTCAATGAGTTAAAAGAGCCTTCTTCTCCTCATGCCACGGAAACACCAAACGAAAAGCTTCAAGCAGAACCGCTCAACGGGGCTGATTGAGATCCTTTCACTGCCATGCCTTCTCACCACCATCCGCTTTTCGAAAAAGTGTCTCTAGCGCTCCAAACAAAACACCACCTGACGGTCGACGGTCGCTGGCTCGAGGAATTCCTGGCGACCCGTGGAGCGAATCCTCCTCCTCTACCAGCACTTGTATCCACAGCGCAATTTCGTATCCTGGCAAGTGACATTACCACCTCTCTCTCCGCTTCTTCTCCTGAACAAGACGGTCTACTGCTGCCCGCTGATGTAGCCGACGTGAACGTCAAGTCGCGTCAACTTTCCGGCACTGTCATCGTCCAAGTCCTGGACGTCTTGGACGTGGGTTCTAGCAAATGGAGTCAGGTCGAAGCCATCGAACGTGTCGAACGCGGCGAGGAGGTTCGTGGGAGAGAAGTCATCCGTACGATTGACATTATGGAGGAGGAGGGGAACAACGACGGATCTGGTGGTGTCACCCTCACTAGACCTCCCCCGACTATCACTACTGCTACTACTACGACAAATCCCACTACCAGCGCCGCGATGACTTCGTCGTTCGCATCTGCCAGAAAAATCAGCGTTGGACCACATAAACTCATCATTCAAGATGCCCGAGGTACAAAAGCTGTGGCCTTTGAACTTGACAGAATTCCCAAAATCGGAATTTCCGTCTCGGCATTGGTACCTTTTTTACCCGGCCCGCAAGGCGATTCGAGACCTTCAAGTCAAGAAGACTTCGGCATGTTTATTGGTTGCAAGCTCCTCCTGAAGCCCGGAACCATGGTTCGCAGAGGCATGGTCATGCTGCAACCTCAAAATTGTGTCGTGCTCGGTGGCAAAGTCGAAGCTTGGGACAAGAAATGGAAAGAAACACGAAAGCAAAAGTTGAATGATCTAATTCGGGAGGAATTTGATGCTTCGTGAAATGGCACGAGGACTTCGAGGTGATTGTGCGCCCGTCATGTCAGTAAAGATTGAAACTGCGTAAACTATGGTTGATGTCGACAATCTCCTAACATCAACATGCCAAGCTCGACTCAGGTCTAAACAACCGATCGCAGGAGTTACAATCACCACATCGCTTCATCGTCCTTTGCACCGTCACCGCTATGACTCTCTCCCATAGTCAAACTCCATACATTCCATCTTAATCGCTCGATCAAATCTTTTCTGATCCATGTTCCACCGGAGCTACTGAACCATTTGTTCTCCTCCGAGGTAGCAGACGCCATGTTGTCAAGTTCTTCATCTTCCTTTTCCCAACGATCTAGCCAGCCGAATAAGAGTCGTAATTGCCACAGTTTGTCTTTCTGCACTTTCTGGCCCGACAAGCCGGTCTCATTCTTGTATGGGAGACTTCCCATCTCGAGTTCTAATCTCGAATCGACCACCCCATTCTGTAACAACTCTGCAGCATTCCACTCGCCTATTGGTGCTGCGCCCAGGAAGAGTGATCTTTCGGAATGGTCAAAGTCTCTGAAAGGGCTCAAACCAAACAACCACTCAAAGGCGATGCCCGCCCTTGACGAGGCTGAGCCTGTTGCTGCTGCAGCGGTACTGTTCATATAGGAAGCAGTCGAGTTCGGATCCACACTTGGAATACCCTGGGCTTCTGTCAAGGCCTGCAACTCTGCATTGAATAGGTCTTGAGGTGGTCGGTCATATGCAGCTCGACGGCGGAGTATGACATTCACAGAATTCTCGGCTTTGATGTTGTCACGAAGCTTCGTCCCACTAGTTGCGAAATCAAGGCAAGCATTCCAGAAACCCTCGCCCTTGACTTCAATAGACTTGATGGTATCAAGCTCCGGTAGGAGACCGGGAACCTCAATGTCCTGAATTGTGCCGTCTTTGAACAAAATGGATGCAGTGACACCACCAACAACAGAGCCGCCGGCGTCACCGTCTCGAGCGATCAAACATCGACTTTCCACAGCAAGCACCCAAAGATGTCGAAGTGCCTGAAGATGACCTCGATTATCCAGCACGTCACTGGGGAAAATCGGATAGAAAGCAATACACAAGCTTGCGACGGCTATGTTGGAAGTCCCGAATGTTTTGGTTCCACCGGCTAGAAACAGAGCACCAAGAGCCATGTGTGCAGCAAGGTGACTGCCAAAAGGAGTGTCCTTGTCGGTTCGTCCATGCAGCGCCCGTAAGCGCCGCAAGACAATCAGATCACCGGAACCAGCCATCACCGTTGCCACTGCTAGCGCAAGAGTGTCCAGACAATTCCTCACACTGTTCAAGGTCACACGTGCGTCGTAATTATGAGCAGGCAGGCGGCTCAGCCGCAAAAATTGGTCCAGGTATAATATCAGTAAATCGCGTGCATCTCTACGCTGTGATCCGGCAAACCTTAGTCCGATGGCAAAGCAAACTCCCGCAACTATATTGAAAAAGGGCATGTCCCCGGTGCTGAGGTGTTTGGTAGATTTGAGGTCGGACCTATGCCTATATGGTGCAGGGAGCGAGGTCTGCACAAAGCTGCTGCTTGGAAGTATCGAATTCCACATTATCAGGTGGCGTGCTAAGGTTCGTAAAAGGAATATATCGGGGCGCACATAGTCGAATTGATGAAGTGTATCCGGTACATCGACTCTTCTTGCAACTGCCTCATCATTGGTCTTGAGGAAGATGAAGGCTATGGCCATAACGGCACCAGCAGTTGCACGGTCAAGAACGTGAACCATGTTCACGTTCTTGGTACCAACGGCAATGGCAAGAAGTCTCTGAAGAACCCCCATATCGTGAAGACCATGCAAATTCTTCCCTTGGCCAAGATTGATCAGGCCTAGAGCGAAGCCGGCCGCCAATCTATACCCTTCGTCACGAAGAATTGTATCAGAAGCGGCGCCTTCCTCGGCGTCACTGTTTTCAATCTCAGATAGCATGACCTCAGACATTCGGCGGTGCTGCGAGTTGCAGTAAAGCAGGCCTATGCCCATGATTCCTGTGGTCTGCGTCAACGGTGATAGGTTCAATTCTGCTGCACCCGGCGGCAGCAGACGCGTGACATGGACGGACAGAAGACGAGTAATGAGAGTGTCCATTGTGCCCAGAAAGGATGCCGACAATCCCAGAAGGAGGCCGACAGATGTCATTGTATGCTTGGGCGTAAGGTATTTAAAAGCAACCCATTTCGCCAGTGTTTTGAGGTGGCCGTTGAGTCCCAATGCAAGGAGGAAACCGGCGTGTCGGTTGGTCAACTCTGGTGGTTTATTGTACAAAATCCATGAAGTGTCAATGCCTTGGGCATCGTTGGAGATCATGAGACCCATGGACGCGCCGTTGTGAAAGAATGCCCAGCATACTTTTTCCTCTGTAAATGATGCTTTATCTGCGCTAAAAGTCATAGCTTGCGTACTCTCGGTGGCATTTCTAGGCTTCATGATGCATTGCAGGCTGAAGGCAGGAATCGAGACTCGTTCTGTCAGTAGTGGAACTCGAGCATTAAAATGCATCATGCCGCGTCCAGCTGCCACAGAGAGAGTTCGGCGGGTGACATATTGGGCCAGTTCTTTTTGCGCATCCAGCAATTCAACCTCTGTCCATTCTGGTTCAGGGGTACATTCCACCACCGGAGGTCGTGTTTGGTTCACAAGCTTTGAAGCTTCGGGGAATCGCCGATCTTTGCTAAAAATCAGTTTGGTTACCGTCTGTCTGCTGGCTTCAGATGATGCGTCCCATCTTTGAAGATTTTCTGCTTCTAAAGCAGACGAACAGATACTGTGATAGTCTCGGAGTGCTTCGTGACTTGTGTTCAGATGAGGTCGATTCAGAAATAGTAGCGTGTCGTCTTTACTAGCCCATCCTCCAGACTCGAGTGGACCTCCATCTTTGTTTGCCTGCATTGTACGGTACTTCTTGGACGATAAGACCTGGTTGAAGGCAGCGGCTACTCCGTCGGGCAGTCTCTGTACGTTCAATTTTGTTAATCCAGCCTTCGTCAAGGCATGTATCATGTTTTCGAGACCCGCTTGGTCTTGTGCACTTTGGAAAAAGGCGAGGAGAGCCGTTGTATGAGGGGTTAGCTGGGCCATTGCAGGACTGGCAATATCAATAGATCCACTTCCTCTACCTGACAACCGTGCCAATGTAAGGAAATCTCCACTGGGAGTGCCGTTGATCCATTGCTCAAGGTGAAAATATATCGAAGGCGGCATGAAGGGCTGGGCGGGCATGGAAAGACCCTCAATGACTGAAAGGTCATACACACAATCGTCACTTTCCACTGCTTCAAATTGGTAATATGAACCAGTGCTAGCTGTCCAGTCTTTCCACTGAAGCCAGGATCCCAATTGAGCCATGACCATGATTAAATTACCGTTTGCCTTTCCAGATCTGGCAGAGGCTGTCACGTCGAGCTTGCTTTCTTCATAGAGGAGATGCAAGCCGACTAGAATGCTCGGAATGGTGTTGCAACGCTGCTCGCGGTCTTTGCTGATGGAGGTAGGAAGATACCCTTCAGGGCCAAATGCATTCTCCCCAAATGGAGATTGTAAATACTCCGCCGCTAGGGCGACGGCGTCTATTATGAAGGTATTTTTCTTCTCGTTAAGTCGTTCATGAAATGCAGAGGAATTTAAAATCTTGGATGACGATTTCGACCTCCCTCCTGTTGCAGAGATTGCTTGGTTTTTTGGATGGAGCCAAGCCCAAGCTGGACTGCGCAATCCATCATGCGAATTCGTATTTCGATCTTCGTTATGCATCGTATCATAATTCGTGAGGTCAATGGCGCTCCCACTGCTGGATCGAAGAAGTGCACTCTTCTTCCGTCGATGGCTAGGCGTAGACTGTCGGTGCTGGGTTTTGAGGAAAGGTACAGCAAGGGAGAAGAGGACCACAACAATAGCTAGCCAATCCGATGGTGCTGAGGATTCTTTGTCATTCAGCCATTGAGACACTTCCCAGAAGGCAACAAGCAAGCTTTCTTGCTCTCTTGAACTAAGCACGAGGTCGCACATCTTGAGGATATCGAGGACAAGCGGATCGCGAGGAGCAAGCTGTAGCTGTATAGCATGGCGACGTAGATCTTGGTCAATCACATACATCTGACCGCTAGTTCCAGACTCGAGCAGCGATTGTGCGTTTACGCCTGTGCCCGGTATGCTTCGCCTGAGCCCTGTGTCTTTATCCTTCCTGGTGCTAAAAGAATATGAACTCGTGAAGGGATCATGCATCGCAATCCTCGGCGGGAGTTCAAAACGGAAGGGCGGTGACCATGGTGCTTCAAGTTGAAGAGAGACAATCTTTGAACGTGACTCAGTCAGTACCACAAGGCGCTGTATTGTGCCATCAACAATCTTGCAAACGTCCTTGATTCCAGGCAACTTGCGGACTTCCGTAACTTTGAACTCTAAAGATGTTTTCCTTGTCCGACTCGAACGAGTCTTGACTAGAATCCGGACAAGAATAAGTTCCTGCCGAGATTTGTCCATGATCCCCGTATAAAGCTCTTTTGGTTGTTGAGTATCCTGATGTAGTAGATTCGGGTTTTGGAGAGTCACGACTTTTATATCACAAAGAGAATCGACATCATCTGACAATTGACTTCGAGGAAATGACTTTAACTTGAAGAATCCAATATCCCTGGGAAGGTCGGACGCAGCACCATCGTAAGTCTCGTCTTCACCGCGTGTAGACTGCTTTAATGGGTCCATATCTTCAAGCAGGCCACGTGCAGACATGTCAAGGAACGAGGTTCCAGTGCTGAAGACCGAGGTGTTGGTTGGGAATGAGCTTCTGCGTCGAAATCCAAAGCTGTGTCGGTCAGTGAAACTTCCAATAGACTCGCCACGTCTTCCGGTCCTGTTTAGACTCTGGCGACCGCCAGCGCCAATGCCTAAGTCGTTGAAACTTCCTCGATCCGCTGCAGATCCAAGGTCTGTACGCGCAAGCATCGAACTGATTCGTCGTGCAGAACGAGTCTGAACACCAACATCGCCGAATTCCGGACCAAGCTGAGAAGCCAAGTCATTTGACTGGAACGATGCCTGCTCCTGGGTAGATGGAAAAAGCCCTCCTTCGGAATATTGCTTGTCGCCAACGACGCCGAGGCTCTCTCTAAGGTCGCCTGGCCGTCTGGTAGGGTGGCTCGTACCAGTCTGATCACGTCTGTATATGTTTGAACTTTTCCTCAAAGAAGACCGTGGCTTTAGGTTGTGGCTGCTCCGGTGCCTTTCCGAGCCTTTACTGACGACATCTGGACTCACCTGCCACAACGTGAATGACGACTTCTCATCGATGGTCAGAGCCAGACAGACAGGTGGTATTTCACTCCCATAACTCAGGTCAAAGTCGTCATGACGTGAAACGAAGAGAAGTCTCTCGGTTCTTGGTAACGCCTTACATTCGTCCAAAGGCTCCCCCATACGATTCGTGCTGTGGACAACAAGACCCAACTCTGACATGAGCTGAGTATACGAATAAGTCCTTGGCATACCCGCAGACGTCGACAACTTCGATTGTGGAATCCATCTCTGGCTCGATGGGAGTACAATAGACGGTCTCGAACTGTTGCCTCCGAAAGAAGTGAGAGTCTCATTGATGGTGCTGAGGTCTTGTTGAAGTTGTAGCGGGTTGCCGAGATCCTCATCTGACTCCAGCTTCCGTTGCAGAATGAAACCACCTGGGCAAGGGTGAGCCGACTCGATATCGAAAGACAGCGGCACAATATATGTGTCGCCCGAGAGCAGAAAGATATGGATTTGTGTTTTTAAGACGGCCACCAAAGCACGCTTGTCGACATTCTGGAGCTCTTCCTGCTTGCAAACAATTTCGCCTTCTGCCGGTTGACTAAGAGCGAATGTCGATATAAATGCATGTGAGATAGTCTCGCCTTCCACAGCTAAGTCTAAGACTCGTTGAACGACGCCATTGCAAGACCAGACAACGCAGTGATCAGTGATCAGTACTTCCTCTTCAACAAGACCGTATCCATCAGCTTGACGTCTTTGAGAGACAGACCATCTGTACAGGGACGGTGCAGGGTCTGGAGGGAGGATGGACTCGGTGACCAGATATTGTAGAGCGCTGGGTTCACGGAGGCCCAGCGATTGCACTGAAGTCATGGTTGAAGAAGCGAGACGGTCGAGGGGTCGACATTAGAAGAGATTGTGAGATCGAAGGTACGCAGGCCATAATTGTATTTATCGTCTTGAATCCATGATCCTGTCGTCGTAGGATTCTGTGGCTGTTCAAATCAAACACACGGTGAAGTCAGTCAAAAGCTGCCCTGACGCGCTTTGACGCGAATTGGAGAAACAATCGATACATGCAACTTTGCCATTCCGCATAGGACAAGACGGCGAACCTCTCTCTACGACAACTCTTATCCTTGTGTGTTCAAGCAGAGTATTTTCGCCGACCATGGAGCGTACAGTGCTCAAACAAAAGGATCGGTTCCAGTTGAGGCAAGTCGATCCCGTCCTTGATACTCACCGCGTCAATTGACAACAACCCACAGCTACGACCTCCCACATGAAGCCTACGATGCGCACGTCTATCCTCGACAATCCTCCAATGGTTCCACTGTCGTAATATACGGTCACGACGAAGGTGTCCGCATCGCCTGGTATGCTGGGAAATCCTTCAGACCGGCTAGGAAGGATGCTGTACCCGCCAAGGTCAACGGGACTGCAAAGGCAGATGCCATGGTGATTGATCTGGACGATGACGATGATGATGACCGACCGAGAAAAGGACATCCTCCAGCGCCGGCCGAATTCGAGCAGGAAGAGCAGGAAATAGACCCAGCCGCACCATACGCAGATTTCCTGAGGTGTATTGACATCCCGTTGGGCACGGCGGCGGTACGTATCGCGGTGCCCAATATTGTGAAGGACCTCGAGCAAGCTCCTCCTGAGTCGTGGCCCTCACTGTACCTAGACCATATCGTGGTGACTGTGGCTTGTGCAGACCTTAGTATTCGCCTCATCTGTGCTCCCCTGAATCCCCCTGCCCCAGGTGAAGAGGATGCATCCAAGCTGGGAATCGATACCATCAAGATCTACGGACCAAATTCGCACCAAGATTTCATATCAGACATCGCGATTACGCACACTGCGAGCGTCCAGGATGAGAAAGATGGCAGCGAGCAACAACAAGGGAGTCATGTTGGCTCAAAAGCCGATCAGTCCTCAATTTCACGCCAATGGTCCTTACTCATAGCCAGCATCTCGTCCACCGGAGGAGGATTGCTACTCATCCACCAGGTACCGGTGCAGTCTCACTCAATCTCGTCAGCACCCGAGCATCACTTGCCCATCAGGAGGCAATATCTACGGTCGTCTGCTATGAGTGCAAAGTTGGCGTTCAACACATGCTCGTATCCCGCCGAACGGCACTCCAGCCTACTCATTACCCTCTCGTCTGCCTCGTGCGTCAAGCTGTATCAAGTATTTCCCACCTATTCTCGTGAGCGAAGAGGTTCCACTGCCACTGCCGATTCTGTTTCTACGACACGGTCTACGAAGACTGCAAGCAGCTCTCGTGGGAAGTTCCTCATGAGCTTCCTCCCGCCTTTTCTATCGAATACCGGCGGCAATGTCACATCAAGGAGGAAAGGCGTCCTCGACGCGCGTTGGGTTGCTGAAGGACGGGCCATACTAGCTTTACTCGAGGATGGCGAATGGGGCATATGGGACCTTGAAGCTGTCGGGCCGTCCTCGTCCAACACAGGAGCGAACTTGATCCGGGGGCAGGCCAATATCTCAGGGATCCATGGGGGATCATTGACCAAGTTCGCAATCCGATCAATCATATCCTCACCTACCGAAACGAAGCAGAAAACAGCGAATGCCGAGGAACAGCCTGCGTCGGGCAGTCTAGCTCCCATGACCCCTTCGACACGGAAAGTGCGTTCCGAGGGTCTCTTCAGCGGGCTTAAGGAAGACTCGACGACATCAAAGCCTCAGAATCCACGAGGTAGCATTTACGTAGAAGCCGTCCAGAGCGGACGGCCCCACGACGAATGTGCCGTGATAAGCTACGGCGACGAGAATGTCTTCATATCGTCAGTGCAATCGGTATGGAGGTCCGACATCAAACCGGTTCGCTTACCAGCAGTGAAACTTGGTGGTCAAAATCCTCTCCGTTTCAGCTTGCTCCCGAAACCACGAGCGGGCGCCGAGTCCTCGGGTCTCTTTGGCATATCGGCGTCCACGCCTGACTTTTTCATCCAAACCAATCACCGCCTCATCCTATCTGTGAGCCCTGTGACAGATGCAGTCAACGCCACCTCCAACCCGTCCACGCATGCCGCCGCTTCGCTCGGCCCAGAGGCTTCTGACCAAGCTCTACTTGCATCAGGTGTTCTCGACGTCGACGGCATGGACCGTTTGCTGGACCAGATGGGCGGCGGCGGCCGCCGCCGCGGCCCTACGACGACTACTACTACTTCATTCAAATCCAGACCCATGAATATCTTCACGAAGAGTGTGGGGTTCCAGGTCGACAATGATGGTGATGATGATGCTGATGAAGATGATGAGAACTATGCCGGTGACGATGTCGATGTCGCCATGGCATCACCTACGCCGACGAAGTTTGCCTCTCTGAAAGTCGGCAACTCTTCCAGAAGATTCGGGCCAGGCAGTCAGGTGTCCCAGAGGCGATTATTCACTTGAAGACAAACCAAAAAGAAAAGCAAATCATGTACCTCCCCTGTCCAAAATTTGGGACTGGACTTGCCGTAATACACATGGCTCGAGCTTTTCGTCACACACACACCCCCCCTTTTGTACGATACCCAACTCTGCTGCTCATCTTGTTCCGCACGAACCTGATAGTCGACGGTTCCATCTCTTTCCCTTTTGGGAAAGGGTTTTTGCTCTTGTTCGTTTTCCCTTTTGTTCAGTATTGCGTTCAGTTCCGCGATCACTTCTTTTCCCACCCAAAAAAGAGAGAGGACCCTGCCGACCTCTAGTAGAGACCCCTATGTGTCTTTTTTTTGCCTTTCGTGTTGATGATTTTCTTTTCCACATTCACATTCACACATCAAGTCGCGATGCAAGGTGGAGCCCAAGGCGAGATCGATACCTTGGTCAGCTCAGTATTCCTCGCGAAACATTAAAAAAAGGATCCTCCTCCCCGGAAGGAAAAAAGTCTTCTTGTTTCCATCCTGGAGAGGAGGGGAAAAGCCAAAGCCGTCATCCACTTGTCAGAAAAGACACTCCAAAGGTGTCTGGTCGATCAACGCCCGTCCCCCTAAAGGACCCTCCGGCCGTACAAAAAGGCGGCGCACCCGACTGCTTGTCGAGAGATGGGCTGGTCGGGGGGGGGCTGCCTGGCTGATTTTTCCACAAGGTTCTTTTTGGGGACCGGGTGGTGACAATGGCTTACATCTCAGGGATCTTATACCTGACCAAAATCATCACTCCTGCTACTCCTACTCTTGCTGTACACCGTACGAACCAACAGTCGACGATACTCCCAAGATGAGAATCGTCTGCATATGAAGATTTCAATTTCTCTTCTTTTCATTTCTCAGCTGTTAGGGTATAAGATTGTGTTCTTTTTTTTCCCTTCTTCTGTCTACCGCACAAAATCACTCCTTTAGCCCTCGCTGCCGGTCCGAGCGAGACTATAATGACCTACATGGCCACCAAAACCTTTGTTCCCTGGCTATGCAAAAAATCTGGCCTTTCACCACAGTCCATGAGTCCTGATAGACACCTAAATGAGGTCCGTAAGTTGTACTAACCACAACCACACATGTCTTGATCATCAACCAGGAGTGCAAATAAAAAGAACACCTGTCAATCCAGGGTACCAATGTTTCCTCTCCCATAATGCGTGATTCCCTCATCACTTCAACCAGTGTATCCCAATGCGGACAGCTCTTTCCTGACCGAATCTTCACTTGATATCTTGCGAATTTGCGTATCTTCCAACTTCTCGCCGCCAGCAAATCGCATCTTGAGATCCTCAATCGCTCGAATCTTCTTCAACAGTCCTCGAATCTTCTTATCTTGAGGATTTCCGCCGGGAGTTGACGGGCTTGTGACCTCCAGGTCGGGAGGAGCTTGCCCTTGCGGAACCGGTGGAGGGGGTGGTATCTGTGCAGATGTGTCAATTGACGCCAATTGGTTGCCGTTCCGAGCCTTTTGGTTGGGTGTCGCTTGCGCATGACCATGTCCAGGACCCTTAACAGTACCATTCGCGTGTGGGCGGCCGTGTGATGAACTGGCCGTGTCTCCGCGCTGGCGCCTGCTATTGCTTCGACTGCGTTCCTTCTTTGATCCAGAGGGCGGCTCCAGCCCAGGAGCAGGCACATAGTTCCTGCTTCGGCTGCGCTGGTGCCCACGGCCATCCGGACTTCGAGTTGGGCTCTTTCCTCGGCTAGCATGTTGCTCAGGAGTAAGGCCATTGTTACTGGTTCCTTGCTCACGTGCCGCGGCGGCGGCAGCCTTCTTTGCCTCTCGCTTCTTGGCATTTTTCTTAGCGGCCTTGGACATAGGCTCTCCATCAGCTCCCTCACCAGTACCTGTCAAGCTCACACCGCCACCAGGCGCAGCACCAGGTGGCAGTGGTCCATTCTCTTCGGCGAGTTCAGCACCTGGAACGACCCGTGAGCGAGACTTGCCAAATCCATTGATATTACTCGAGAATGACGAAATGCCCTCACGAACAAAGGCAGCGCCTCCCTCATCTTCTCGCCGAAACGCGAGAGGTGTCACTTGGCCTCTAGCTCCAGGGGGTCGGTATGCACCAGCCGGCTTGCTAGGCGTCTTCCTCGCTGCCATGTATTGCGTGGCACTGCTGTGGGGTACAGGCATAGGCGACAGAGGATTATTGCCGAGAGGATGCATTTCTGCGGACTGAGGACGCCAACAAACATGATACAGTTCGTTCATGTCCTCGTTATACATCAAGTTACCGCCAGCGTGCCAGATGCGAATGCCGTTATCGACCCGGAGGCGAGGTGACGTGGTTGCCGTGAGAATGTGTACACCATCGGGTGACCACTCGCACACACTCGCGTTACTAGCTTCGATGGTGCAAATCTTGGTCATATCCTTCTCCAGGTCATAGATGTCCATCTGCCCGGCAAGATTTCCAAAGCCAGCCACTAGCACGAAACGACCGTGGGGAGAGAATAGCACGGTATTTCGTGGTCCAAGTGGAAAAGTGTGTACTGTCTGAGCTTTCGAGTTGAAGATGACGGTCTTCGCCGGCATGTATCCGTAGACCACGGCGAAGCTATTGGACTTTGGCGACCATGAGACGTCGTGGATTGGGCCCTCTTTGTCTACAAATTGTTAGTTCGATACTCAACGACGAAAAGAGTAGGCAAGGAGCTACTAACCCAAATCGATTCTCGAATCAAACCCTCCATTTGCACTCAGCAAATAGAGTGTAGTCTCTCCATAATAACTCTTTCCGGTCTTGTCGACCTCTGTTTGTGCCAGCACAATCAAAGAAGTGCCATTGTCGTTCCATTTCAGTTGGACTTTGTCACCTTTGAAAAAGTTCTTCTGAGATACTGGTGTGGTGAAGTTTGGCACCTTGTAGACTCGAACAGCCGCTGGTTGTCCCTAGAAACGGGTTAACTTCCGTCTGTGTAGCAATCATGGCTAATTCACCTTTCGCTCAGGCACGAAGACTGCGATAGTATGACTCTTGCCAGGAGAGACGGCGAAGTCTGCCACGCCTTCAACACGAATCTTGTTCCACACAGTCGTGAGGTCATGGCTTTGGTAGATTTGCACTTCGTTGGTAACCACTCTCGCGCAGAACTCCTCGTCCTGGGTGTACTGCAGATTCCACCCAGTCTGGGACTTCTGGACAAATCGAGCAACCGACTCTTTTTCGACCCCTTCCGCCAAAGCCTTTTCATCAATGACCAGCCATACCTTCAGATTCTTGACGGCATCGCCATTCTCGTCCTTGGAAGGGCGCTGCCAGGTGATGATGTAAGTTCCCAAGGGTGAGAAGCCTAGTTCGAAGACGTTTTCCGCAGGGAGGGTTGAGATTATTGCACCGGTGTCGGCATTGATGATGTTCACCCTCATCCAAGTCAGTGTTGGGTGTTTACCAAAAATGAACTTGCGCAACCTTACTTCTCGGGCGAGGCCCATGCAAAATATCTGCCACATGGCGAGTAGGCACAACAACGGAGGTTTCCTTCCGGTCTGGAGTCGTCAGTATGGCAGGAAGAACCAGTACGAGCTAGGTGATGCATACCGCTGAAATCCAGAAAGTGCTTCATAGTTGGGTGCGCCGTTGACCACGCCGATGCCCTTGAGTGTCCGAACTGTTGCACCGAGTTAGCATCGTAGACATATTTTTTTGCTTCTCTTCCGGAAAGGTGCTCCGTACAGGCAAATTGCGTAGTGACCGACATGACGCTCAGTGTCGCAATTTTGGCTTGCGGAACGGCTTGGAATCGCAACCGACTCGAGCGATATAACCAATCGTCGAGCGTCAAGGGAATTTCGGGTCGGTAGAAGAAGAGGGAGGAAAGGCAGAGATTGCCACAAAAGACACCTGTGGGAGTTGTCACAATTCGGGTCTTGCCGTACTTGACAAGTCAATGTCAGCTATTGTCGGTAGACGGGCAAACTGTTTTGGGTGGACTGCTGGAGGGTGAAGAGAGTGAGGTAGAGAAAGAGGCAGAGGGAGAGGGAGAGAGCGGTAAGGGCAAAGAAAACAGGTGAATAATGCGAGTAACAGTCAAACGCAGGAGCCACGCGCAGTTCTGTAGTCGAGGCCCAGAAAAAAGTGTTAGCTTGTCAGTTGACTCGGCTGAGCGCCCAATTCCAAGCCTCTTAGCCCCAAGGCTACTTACCGCGTAGAGACAATTGTGCCCGTAGCCTTACCTGAGGTACCTAAACTACTGTAGGAGTTAACTATAACTTTACTAGCCTCGCTGACGCTGACCTGGTCGTCATCCCCCGTTTCATGTGCAGAGCCAAAGCCTTGTTGCTAGATCTCAGCCTTGTGGTTGCCCGATTCTGGCTACGGATACCATCGCCGCTAAAGACCTCTCAGATTTGATCAAATGGCTACGATTAACCTGAGAGCCAGTGAGAATTCACAATCAACACAATATATCCACATAAGTTCCCGCCAGAATGGAATTGCGCTCCTTCTACGGATACCTAATAGTACAAGTAATTCCCTGAAAGAATCTTAACGCATTTCAAGGTCTCCAAACAGAACAAGAGACCAGGCCTACAAAGGCTCGTCTTCAAAGCGCCACGCTCTAGAGTCGATTCCTTCTCACATTGGCAGGACCTGCTCCCAGCTTCATCACCATTGCGCCGTGATATCGTACATCCCAAATAAAATTCCGCTCTTCCATAAGAATTCGTCGCAAAGAAAAACACCCGAGGGGTTTCATGGAATGCTCTCGTCTGCACTGCAAAGGCATCACAAGGAGTCAAGCATGGTCTACTCTTTCTCGAATGGAAACTTGCCCAAGGTCTGACCATCAGCGCTTCCCAGTGAGGAATGAGGCTGGCCACTGGGGTTTAGCCTATCCCGCATGATACCCTCAGCAACCTCTGTGCCAAATCCTGAGAACCGGTGACCGTGACCTTCTGCAGACTGATCAACAGGTGGTGCTGGTTGCATGGTCGTGTCCACTATGTCTTGATCGTAGCTCATCCCATCCATCATCTTCGGGTCCATGCTGCCAGCCGCAGCGCTGGGGGTGATGCCACTCATAGGCGTGCTCTGACCTGATCCAAAAGCCGGCATCGTACCCGTCCGAGGTGTTGATGGCGCATTGACCCCGGTACTGGTTCGAGAGACTGAAGCGCGTGTGGCGTAGGGCGTAGAGACTGGACCACTTACGGTGCTTCCTGCACCTTCGCCGAAGCCCACCAAGCTGGCCTTGTCCTCGTCAGAAAATCCACCGGTACTGGAAACTCCATCCTCTTGGTCTTCGCTCATCTTATCTGCGTCGTAGTCAATGCTGCCACTAGCCCATGTTGTTCTACCACCAACGCTGCCTGTTGCACTTGCGCTTCCAACAGTACTGCGCTCCTTGAACTGCGGAACGTTGTCAAAGCCTTGGCCATAGACACCACCCGATCCAGGAGCCAGATGCCCGAGTGGTGTTGGCCGAGACGCACCGACCCTTTCTAGTCCAGCAAGACGTGAAATTCGATCGGCTCGTTCGGCTTCTAGGGTGTTTGCTGATGAAGTAGCACCTCTGCCGCCATGGCCCATTGCACCGTCTTTGATCGCAACGACAGATAATGTTGAGAGGGAGGTGGTGGTCGAATTCGGAGTCCCAGGGCCCATCTCGCTGGGTGTGGCCGGGTCAGATGGGGGAGGCGGCACTATTAAATATCCAACGTCAGTGAGAAAGGCTTAAGATGAGAGTCTACAACATACAATTGATCAAGGTGGGCCCTCTATTAGGCATGTTCGCTTGCTTGGATGTGGATTCTGAGTGTAATGGGGAGGTTTCGATCTTGTATGGAGAATTCAATGATTTTGTTCAGGGTTTAGTCAGTGTTTCAGAGTGATTATTGATGATGTGTTGATCAAAGTTTGTGGCTCGGGTGTGTTGTGGTCGGATCAAAAGAATATAGGAGGGAGAGAGGGTGCTGGAGAGTGCGCCTCTGGAGGAAGTGACACACAACAGTGTGGCAGTCGGGTAAGATCAGATGGAGTACGAGGATCGTTTGCTGGCACAGTGTAATAATGAAGACAAATGGATCATGGTATGAAGGGTCGTTTTCAAGAGTGAAGTAGGAGGTCGTTCAGGTACGAGGTATGTCGGTTTGGGCTGCGCCGCGCATTCGGACTAGAAACGTGATCGGCGAGTGCAAGCCCTGGAGTCGATGGCATTTTCCGCGATACTAAAGTCGTCGTAGCAGAAGTTACGAGGCACTCCAGGCACTAACATTCCAATACTCGACGTCATGGCCCCAAACCTCCATTCTCGCCTGTTTACGTGAGTTTACACGTGATGTGTCTTCAAAGTCGTATTCGTACTCGTACTCGTACTCGTACTCGTAATCGCACTCCCTAGTACGGGGTGCACAGCATATACCATATCTTCTATCCATGCAAGAAGACTTTAGTGCCCTGTTGCATTTATCCTACTACGGTCTCGTTAACCAAATCATGCTCCATGATACATCCATACATAAGTCGTAACAGACCAGGTAGTGCTACCGGCCCGCGCTAGCCCTTGCGGCATCTACCTCTCTCTGAAGGGCTGCAAGATCGGCAAGAATATCCCTATCCCCAAATCTCGTGTGTCTATCCGCAGAATCGTCTTGTAATTCCATGGGTTCTGTGATTCCCAAGGCCGACATGGGTGGTCGTTGCGTATCGACGGAGCTACGGCTGGATCCTCTACCCCTACGAGGCGGTGGCACTGGCGGAGGTGGTAGTTGACTTGGTCTCTTCAGATATGACGGAGTTTGTAATGGTGCGGACTGCTGGCCCAACTGGCTGCTATTCTCGGGAGTGGAAGCGAGATCGAGCGAAGGGCGACGCTCACCAGTGCTGGTTGAACGGCGTGAAGGAGGTGGAGGAGGCGCTCGGGGCGTCATTGTTCCCGGAGGGCTCGTGGGGGGATCGGAGTCACTCAGCACTGACTGTCGTGAAGAGCTGCTTCGGGTCAATATCGGCTTGCTAGGCTGTTGTTGACTCTTTCGACGAGTAATAGGAGGCGGTGGCGCTGCCCTCTTGCTGACTTCGGGCATGGGAGGATCCCCTGATGGCTCACTGAAGTCACGTTGCTCTGACGATGGCGATTTCATAGCAGAGACATTGGAAGAGGCATCGGGTGCCGGTGGTAGTGAAAGCGAATTGATGAAATTATCGAATTTCTTTGAGGAGCCAGACTCAGATGTGCTATCCTTTATTGCTTTTCCACGCCGACTCTTTGGTGGTGGGGGTGGTCGCTTGCTTGAAGAACTAGATCCAGGCAGACTTCTGTGTTCGACATTGTCCCGTGTGTCCAGCTCTTCCGACGTGCGCGGGCTTTCCTCGCGTGTGTTTGGGATGGTCTCGAAAAGCGAATGCTGTGAGATCGAAGCCGAGTCCGCACTGGAGCTGTTGTCACTTACAGATTGAGTTGACACTGTTTGATTCGGCACTGTGGTCTCTCCCGATGTAGCACTTCCTGTAAGCAACATCCTCTTGAAGGCATCCACGTCCATAGTCGTTTTAGACGAGGCGTTTTCTTTCTTTACCCGGGTATCGAGTGGTTGCACAGAGGATGGTCCTCTGGGAGTGCTGGCGAAGCGTGCCAATGTGTCCTTCACAGCACTATCAGGGTTTATCTTGGGAGCAGCCACTGGTTCGACCACTATCGCGGTGTTGGCCCTTGCATTTTCCAATGCTTTCTCGATGGCACTATCATCCCCATCTCCTCCCTGTTCCGCAAATGGATCGATGGCAAATGCATGGCGGTAGTCGGTAGGGGCAGGAAGGGGTGAACTGAGGAAAGTTGATGGGAACTCCTGTCGAGTCGATTCGGGCGAGGAGGCATACGAGGCGGGAGAGATTATCGAAGGAGGAGAGGCAAAGTTCACATGTTTCTGAGCCGTGGTACGAACTGTAAAGACAGACGGTCAATGGAGTCCGGCTTTCCAAAGTAAATGAGGCATGAGGTCTACCTTTCGTGTCTATAACCAAGGGCTCGGTGCCGCGCGGGCCGGGTGAAGTGTTGGATGAATTGCTGCCGCCAGCGCCTTGAGCAAGAGAACTACGGCGAAATGGATTGGACATCAGGTAGCCATGTACATTGCAGATACGCTTGTGAATGTATACTGAGGATCCCCAGGTAAGGACGCATCTCACAGCAGACAAGTTAGGATGAACGAGAAGAAATGGTTTGGTGTTGTCCCCCGCGAAGTAAGCAACAACGATCGGAATCTTTATGCAGCATGATTCGGGCCCTTGTAAACGCCGGACAGCGACAAACCATATTTCGCTTCCGCGCTACTCGAACGAGAAACATATCTGCTGTAGAGATGTTCATCGACTACTCCATACTCGGTGGTTAAATTCGACTGAAGACATGATGATTTTTGAAATGTTTTCTATCATTCATCTATTATGATTATCGACGACCGAATAATGGCCGCTTTTGATAGCTCTATCTCTTGACTGTTCATATTCGAGTCTAGCTCATGCTGTGTCTGGTGGCCTGTAGCTCGTATCCAGCTGTCTAGTCCCCGATGTCCTGTGTCTCGTCTCCATATGAAGAAGCTCCTGATCCATTGTGCAAAAAAATCATCATACAGTGTGTACAATACGCCCTTCCCAAAACCCTTCAACCATTGTCTATCAAACCAGCCGGACCAATGAGCCAGTCATCAGATGCGTCAATGCCGGACTGACGAGAAGTGTTGTGAAACTCCAAACGCCGCTGCTGATGCGAATATGAGCGGGAAAATGCCATAGGTCTCGTCAATATGTGAAGCCGTCGACTGGATCACTTTCCGTTCTTAGTTTGGAGCCATCCGTTGTCTTTCCACTGCCAGGATTTTCCACCCTTGACCGGATGAAGCAGCATTGGACGAACTACGGCGCGACCATAGACTTCTTCCCACTCTTGACCACCACTTTCCAATGCGGTGATACCAAGCAGTCGTTGGAAGACTGGCATGGCTTGGGCGGAGCTGTAGTACCAAGTCATGTTTGTCCAGGCGTACTCGTTCCATTTGCTGAAGGTACTGTTCCAATAACCTCCAGCTTGTCCGAAAGGTCCCCCGTTGAAAGTTGTTTGCAAAGCATCTGCGGGCCAATGGCGGTCTGCAAAGATTGGATGGGGAAAGGTAGTAGACTTCAAGCCGTGGTGCAGGCACATGGTCTGGGGGAACATCTCCGCGTCGATATGGTGGCCATTTTCCGCGTTCTCATAATTCATCACCTCCAAAACACGTCGACTGACTCTGCCCTGGGCGATGAGTGTGGCTCTTCTCGGGGTCGATTTGCCTTGCGCGTAGCCCCAAAGATAGTTGCGAAACCACCAATTTGTGCCAGTGACATTAAAACTCGGTAAGAAGCCGATCCAGTCAGCATCTTCGCCAACGCCCCATTCATAATTGTCTTCGGCCTCTTTCTTGGGAGGCTTTGGTCCTCTAGGTCTGACTCCCTCAACAGAAACGGGGCCCCACACGTGGTGAGGATCTTCACGCCTCGTCGACTCTCGGAAGGTGGTATCGAAGCCGCCATGGATCGCAGGTATGTAGACCCGACCAGCCCGCTCCCATATGCCCTTTCGAGGCTGATCGCGTCCAAACTTTTCCACAGATTCGAAGAAGTCCAAGTAGTGGCCTGTGAAGCGAACGTCAAACTCCCACTGGTAGAAAAAATCGAACTCGGGATGATTTCGAGCAAACCATTGAATGATCATCCAGGGGCTGCGACCAACGAAAGCATGTTCTGCCAGGTTCGAATAAAGGCTGCGGATTTGTGCATGGTTCCAAACTTCAGTGATGGAGCGAAACTCGGGAGGGATATGCTTCTCGATGGTCGCCTGCGGCTCATCTTCGCCAACAAAAAGCGGAATGTTCTCGTCCTTGACGTGCAATAGCAAAAAGACTTGATATTTGCCTCCACTTGCCAACGATGCTTCTGCAATCATAGCACGAATGTTTAGAACAGCATCGGCAGTCCACTTTGCACCTGTCCAAACGCGAACGAGGATGGCAGTACGTTTCACCTTGTTGACCATTCCGGGCTCGAGGGTGGATGAAAGTGTTTTGGCAGGAGCTTGGTCGTGCTTGTGACGGATGTTGGAGTACTGGATCGAATTCTGCGGGCGTTCTTTGACTGGCTTGAATCGCTGCTTATTGGCAACTGCGCAAGTTTCTTGCAGCTCACCCCAGTCAAGTCTATCCCAGTCAAAGTCCGATGTCTTTGTCATGTCGTCGAAATCCATGGCCTCAAACTGGTCAAGCCCGTATGCTTGGAAACGACCCACACGATCAAACGAGACGCTACCATCCAAGCCAGATGCTTCATACGAACCAAGGGTGGGTTCCACGGCGCCTGCGCATTGTCAGATTCTCCTTTCTTCTTTCCACCTTTGTGCAAGCAATCTCACCATTAGCTTTGCCTGGATACGCCCAGATCGCGTCTTCATGGCTTTCATTGAGGGGCACGCCTCGCGGACCGACACAAGAAACAATATGCGAGACCGGCTCCAGCAAGTTCTTGTAGCCATCGTACCGAAGCATATGAGGTGCCTTGCTTTTGCAATCAATTTCTCCAGATTCACAGAGATGCAGATGTGAAGTGCCGCGAGTTAGGCCGTCATGTCTATGGGCGCAAGGCATGTTAGTAAGTGGTTTTCATCTATGTGAACAGATTCTAGGACCGACATACGTTTCAAATGACTTCCATGGCCACAACTCCTTTTTGGAATCTTCCATCATCTTGTCCATGAGTTGTTGTTCTGTTAGCTGTTTCGGGGACGTAGATGAGTGAGCAGGCGGCGGCTGTTGGCCCATGATTTTGATGAGGATGGCAAAGCAAATGAGGCTGGCAAGGATTTTGACGAGCAGACGTAATCGAGGCATGCAAATCTGCCATTTTGACGGCTTCTTCCAGAAGTCTGGTTTGGCGGGAGTCCAGCTCGGCGGAGGTGTCTCGGGCTCTAAAGGATCTTGAAGCAAGCCCATTTCAGAGCGACTGCCACTAAGGGTGAGTCTTCTGGTCATGGGGCGTGTTGTTACTGTCAAGACGCAAGAAGAACGAGAGACGACTAGGTGGGAGGGAGCGACGTCAGGTGAACCAGCGATCGGTTGAGGTTTCTTGAACGCGAGGCCAGAGGATCTTGAGGACGAGAGAGGTTGTGTCGGTAAGGTGAGAGGGTGGGAGGGTAAGAGGGCGACATGCAAGTGACGGTGAATTGAGAGATGTAGAAGCGACCGACCGGTGTCGAAAAAGGGCGGCAGTATAATAGAGGCGACGGTAATTCAATGTCGGCACTGCCAACGTAAACAAAGCGAGTGTGAGGGCGGTCAACCTAGGCAGGTGCGTGCAGTACAGGACAAAGTAGAGACAAATGTTGCTACGGGTAGGGGCAAGAGAACAAGAAGAGGACGGCCATGTATACAAGAGCAACAAGTCCCGGTCAGCACTCCAGAGGTTGCGACTATTCACAATTCGAACTCCGTACACATCTCCAGTTTTCTGAAGGGGAGATGTCCACAAAAAATGTAGAACGAGGAGTCCGCCACTTGCAGGGATCAAAGTGGACGGAGCATGGCCACCTGCATGCACGAGCAATCGCTATCCATTCGCATACAGTACGACTCAAAAACTGGGCACGATCTAAACTGCAGTCGGCGTGATACACGGGGACGCAACTCCGTACTGTGTATCATGGACAAAGGTAGATATCGATGATGCATGGCGGGCCGTGGATGGTGTGTGGGATGGTGCATGGTCGCTGGACTTGAGCTGCACATGCCAAAGCCACCCATCGAGTTTGATGCATCATCCTTGTCCTGTCCGATGCAGCCATGTCGCTCTAGTCTCGCTTGGTCTGGCAGTTGCTATGGTCAAGCTTTTTGCCTGCCGGGGCTAAAGTGACTTGGTGTTCCGAGCTTATGGAGTCTTGACCACCTCCGGACGATGCCCTAATAACCAGGTTTCGACTGTCTGCCAATATTCCGGGAAAGATGAGAGAGCCAGGTTGAGGGAGGTTGGGACTCTACTCATATCAGTGGGAGACACATAATACTCTAATCAAGCTCATGAAGTATGTCTACATAGGTAGGTACACTTCAGTACTGCCAGACCTCCTATCAGATTCACAACGGCAAATGATGCAGACATCGTAAGAGGACCTACGGAGCATCTACTGATAAGAGTATCTCAAAAGCGAATGGCTGGGGACACTATAGCGACTCTTCATGGAGCATCTACGAGTAGGTGACCTTAGTGGTACTGTACTCTACTCTATCTGGAACAAATAGACGTAGATGGCGCCATCTGTCCAAGTTTTGGGATGCGGCGTTGTCGGATACGATTTCCAATTAACTCCCCTACTCGTAGGGGAGAGATGCGGCACTGTTTTAAGCGATCTGATCGCTCTTTTAGGCGCCTTCTAGGGCCTGTTAGGTGCTTCTTGGGAGCATCCTTAGGCGCCGGGTGCCCCTAGCGAGTCCGCTTAGGCCTGCTGGACCGGTGGCCAAGGCTCCATATCACAAGCCACGCAAGCTCTTTGTTGAGCTGAGCGCTGACGTCAAGCGTCAATACTCGGGGGCATTTTTCCCCCCACCAACATTTTTTGGATTCAGGTGTCCAAAACAGAGCGAGCAAGAGACTTGTTGAGGCGGACATCAGGTGGGACACTCAATAATCAGGACCGAGGATTAGGTACCTAGGTAGGTACAGTAAATGATGTACTGAATGTACCTACAATACAACATTTTGGTGGCATCCACAAACCAGACCATTCGCCATCCCAGATCCTTGATTTTTGTCGCGGAATTTTTCTGTCCATGCTTGCTTGATCTGCATCAAGTGTGGAGGCTTCGTTGTTTCAACCCTGTTGATCATGCAGTAATTTGTATCAAACCCAATCACTTCAGCCTCCCTTGATGACGATTCGCCTCGGACAGGGGGAAAACCCAACATCTACTGTATACGAAGGACTTCATTGGACTTCTATGGCGATTCCATGTACAATATCAGACAGCCGAATCGAATCTCTCTGCTCATCTCGTCTCAGGTCGGAACACAGTATCCGCACAGCCTACGAGTTGACAAGGGTATTCTGACCTTATCGTCACTACCTGGTACCTCCCCGTTTACCTTATGTACTCGTATGGAGCACCCGCTCGAGTCATTTCATTCATCCTATCTCGAGCAAAACTCCGGAGCAGTACTGTACAACACACGGCAAGTTCTGACTTGACACCAACGCTACGGAGGACCGCTCTCGGTCAGTGACAAAGATAGCTTGCCCCATCGGATTGCTGAGATGGCATTATTATTATTACTCCAACTTTTCCATGACAAGTTGACTTTTCCAACTTTCTACGAGTTATCGGCAACGTTTACTAGCTTGACTGCGGGACTTCGGACCACGAGGCCAGCTTCACTACCAATCAACGATGCCATACGTGCATGGTATTTCCTCAAGCTTCTACAAAACAAGCCGCACTCCGTTCGCTCCGTACATCCTCCCGTCATCAAACGGCCTTGCACAACCTAGTAGGCACCTGGCTGGTTGCCTCTTCCCGCAACGACGACAAGCTAACCAGCCTACTAGTAGGTAGCTACCATTCGTGCTCCGGTCCGACCAGCTTACACAATGTGTCTTCCTCCACGGCGTCCGCCTGGGCTTTGGGTATGGCATGGTCGATGTTTTTACCTTCGGCCTTCTCACGCTCAGCATGCTGAACCAGGATTTCCCGCACTTTGTCCAGATACCATTTGACGGCGTGTTCTGTCATCCCGTCGTCAGTCCAGGGTTTCCGGTGCTGGTCAAGATACTTGTCTCACCTTCAACGGAGTGTAATCTGCCTATCCCGAGAACACCATTCTTGAAGCCTTTTTGGGCACTGACTGCCAGCTCGACGTCCTCGGTTTCAACGAATCTCCAGTATGCAATATCATGCTCCATCCAATGGTCGTACTCGGAACTCGATTTCTTCATGCTCGACCTCCGGTAGGTCTCGCTGTCATAGGACGTTTGGAGTGCTCCCGTAGCATTGAACCGGCCGATGAAGAGGAGATTGTCACTGAAGGTGACGACACCAAGAGGGTACAGCCACGTTATCTGAGGAGACAATGATGCATCAGCAGTCTTATTTTGCAGGAGTGGACCGGAAAAGCCCAAAACGTACGTATGCTTCCGACAAACCCTCCTTCTTTGGTGGCAGAAAATGCCTTGACGCGCCGTGTCCTTGACGAAGGTAGTACTGATCCAATGCGAAATCCTTGGGTAAGGTTGTCGGGTGGCCGGTTTGGCAGTGGTAGCATTCCTACAATTGAGCGAAAAAAGTTCACTTGAGCTCCGTGCAGGTATAGACAGGCTGGCCAATATCACTACTAACCTGAAACCCATCCACGAATGTCTTCCAGTTAAACTCGGTTCCTCCGACGCTGCTGTTCCAAGTATGGTCATACTCCCAACCGTCATTGGGAAACAGAGCAAACTCGTTCCCGACCTCTTTTCCCGTGGCCGCCTCCGGCATCGGCTCGAAATCGTCACCGAATTGTTCTTCAAAACTCACCGCCGGAGTGTCTCGAGCGTCGAAATTGACAAAGATGAACCCTTGGGGTGTGACGTGGGTATGGATCTTGAAAAGAGAATGAGCCTTGGGATCAAAGTCCGGCAAGCCAGTGTACTCTCTGGCTTTGTGCAGTTCACCAGTTGGGAGGTACGACCTTGTTCGCCGCGCGTGCAATTTAGTATTTCGTCGGCTTCGATCTCAACCTTTGGATTTGGTCGGACAGAGTACTCACCAGCCGTGAAATCGACATGCGAGTACCGTGCTCGACCCGCAAGTCTTTTGCGTCACCGGGTGACCCCGGTGTCGGCAGATGTTGTGGAACGCGTTGATGTTGCCGTCCTTGTCTCTGATCATGAAGAAGTTCCACCCAAACATCTTGCCATGGCTCAACTTCTGGCTTCACTGTACCAATGGGAAAATGCTTACTTCCATTGTCAAGTAATCACCTGCCTTTTGAAACCTGGCCTTGAAACTCGCGACATGCCACAACTACAATGAAACAAGCATCCGAGTCAGTCGTCGTCATTTCCAGGACCTCCCTCGAACAGTCAGCGGGGTGTGCCAAAATCTTTACTCACCGTCGAGAACAATGCCCTTTTTTCCAATTGAAAGATCTTTTCATCACGATACCACCTTTATCGTCCGAAGTGTGTTGTATGTTAGTTTTTCAAATAGACCAAGTCTTCAATCATTACTTTAGTGGTTGATTATATAAACTCACCTCGACGGGGCCAGGTCGTGAGTCTTTCTACCCAGGTCGACCGGACGAATATTCTTGTCTCGACCCTTTTGTAGGTATCCCCCGTCGGCCAGGAACCTGGTACTGTCGACCGTAGTCATGTTTTAGGGATGCCGGACAGGGACCAATACGAAGAGATTGTCGTTGGGCTCTCGACTGACGATACGACGTACCCGCGCGTGTCCCTTTTTCTTCCTTGAGATCTACGACCAAGTCTCTCGAGGTGATACAAAGATGGAGAAGAACCGAAAGCCACCTCTCCCCGGAAATAAGAAATAAAAGAGATAATCCCAATCTTTGCTGCTTCAATTGGTCCATCGTCCCGATCGCGTGTGAGATAGCACCAGGGCCGTTCGAGTCACGGAGAAGGCCGTCTGGGGTATATTTTTACTGCATTCGGTCTCGAACACGGCCTGCTAGCTTTGGTTACTCGACGGGAGAAAGCCAATCTTTCAACTCGCACGCCCGCCCTCGCCATTCAGACCTTTTGGGCCGCGTTCCGTTGGACGGTCATCAGAGTGAGTAAGAGGAAGGAGGGCAAAGTGTCGATGGAAAAGAAGCACGGCGACATGTTGCGAAGTACTGATATCGAGTTTTGGATTGTGAGATGTCGTAGCATTGTCACACGATACAATACGTATACAAAGTACTCTGTACAGTATATTCTTGGTGTAGGGCGGACGAAACTGGAACGAATGCCATCTAGAAACAATCGACTCTTGCCGTACTCCCGGTGTACTTCTTCCTTTCTGTTGCTTCAAGCCCCAAACGCATCCCCCACAGCCCTTTTCATCCGCTCTCTAACCTCTTCTTCGGTATATTTGGGTTTCTTGCCCTTGCCCTTGCCCTTGCCGTCACCACTGCCTTTCACTGCCATCCGCAGGTCGTCAAAGGAGGAGATTCCCTTAGCATGCCGATGCTGTTCGCGGGAAGAGGCCGCAGGTGAAGTCGGAAAAGGTGTCGCAGGTAGTGCCGAAGGTGACAAAGACCGATGAGGAGGCGGCTCAGCAGCATCTGTGACCGGTGCTTGTATTGGCAAGCTACCGACGCTGCTTGGCGACGTCGAGTAGTCTGATACTATGGACAAAGACGCTGTGGACTCTGTGACCGAAGGGTTGCTCTCACTCCAAGAGTATCGCTGGTATACGTGCTGCCTGGATGGAGCCTGTGCCGGGCTGCCACTGGCCTCCCCATGATTGGAAGTCTTCTGCGAGACAGGATAGGCGCCGGGCATCTTGACATGCAACTCGTTCTCTCCGAGATACATGGTTGGCACCTCTGGTACGGGTGGAATGCTGGCGGCCGACGAGGAGCTAGGTCTGAATCGAGGACCCGAAGATGGCCGTCTAGGCTTTCGAGCATGTCCGACCATGACACGTCTTCGAATAGATGGCCCAGCTTCCGACGGAAATTGGTTCTCCTCAGCTGTCCGCGAGGTGCGAGCTGATGTATGGTCTCCTCCTGCTATCCATACTTCGGCACTGTTCATTAGAAGCTGGTTTGAAGACGCATCCACGGTGCTACCGGCGTCGATGCTTGGTGCGAGTTGGGGCTCCAAGGTAGACAGCAATCGATTCGACGTTGCAGCGAGTTCGACAATCGATGGTGTGGGCGTAAGAGAGGTACTCGAAGCAGGTGACGGCACCAGATGATCATCTTGCTGCCGTGGGTCTGTGTGTCCAGTGGGAAAAGGCCCGATAGCCGCGGCTTGCTCTTCAGTAAGTCCGAGGGGCTCCTCGTCAGCATCGACAGCCGCAAGCAGAAGGCGGGCATGAGAGGACACCATGTTATGTCGCCTTTCGGATATGAGTCGAAACCAGGCAAGGTCTGATGCCACGGTTGTCCTATGTGCTTCTAAATAATTGGCGTATTTGGTCGTGATTGTGGTAATTTTGTCGTCACTGGCCCGTTTCAACACATCAAGCTCTGTGGAAACGCTGAGTGTCAAAGACTTTATCTCCATCTCATGTTTCTTGAGGAGGTCTTGTAGCTTCTCGTTACGTTGATTCTTAAATTTCTCATGCAGACGACGCTCTCGCGCTTCTTTGTCGGATTTTCCATGGAGGTGCATTCTTATCTCCAAGAACAAGTCGTCTTCAAATTCGTCCTGCTCAGAAGTAAACACATCCAGATCAGACCTGTGTTTGTGGTGGATAAGAGCGGTCCTTCGATCGATGTTTGATTTCAGCTTAGCTTGGAGCTCCTCGCCTTCATCCATTTGCTTTGCCAAAGCGCAATCACGTTCTCCCAGGTAGGCACCTTTGGCTCGCATATGGCGGCTGTCGAGAGTTTGCTTTTGGGTCTGAATGATGTTGACCAAGGCAGATTGCATTGCGTTGCAAGCCTCTGTGACGGATTCTCGGAGAGCCAGCCGGTACTCACGCTCAAGTCGTTCTTCTTCCAGTCTCCTGGCAGCTTCCTCTTGCACTCGCTCCTCCTCCAGCCTTGCGAGCTCAGCCTCCTCCCGTCTTCTTTCGGCTTCCTGTTGTGCTTGAGCCCTTTGTCTATCTTCTGCTTCACGATGTTGTAGAGCTTCCACTTCAGCGATGGCTCGAGCAAGTTCCTCCGCCTCTGTATCAACTACTGTCTGTCTGTCTCGTCTTCGTCGTCTGAGAGCTGCCTGCCGGTTGGCTTCATCGACTTCAGTACAGTGACAGGTTCGCCACTTTGCTCCGCACACATAGCAAAACTGAGAGCCACATTTGCAGGTCATGTGGCGACATCCAGAAGCCCGCTAAGGAAAACAGTCAGCAAGTTTGCGGTTGGACAAAGGAAACATACCTCAACCAAAGCCCGACATCTGTAACAACGCCTCCAGCCCTCAAGCTCGGCAAGAGATATTGTGGCCTCCAACCCGAAGTCCTGAGGACAATCAACCGACCTGCTATGCGCAGGACCTCTGCAGACGCTGCAAATCTTGCTGGAGCAGTGGGGACACTTCTGGTTGAGATGGCGAATGCGCTGAAGCTTTGCGGGTGGGATCCATTTCGAACACCGAGCGTTCGGACAATACCATCGTTCCTGGGCCGGGATTGAGTATTCAGCAGCCTTTTCTTTGTATATTTCCCGCTGTTTCGTATCAAGGGGATACAGAGCTGTTAAAAGAGGAATCTCGCTTAGGCAGCATTTAGGTGGGTAGTTCGTCTCGTTTTGAAGCGCTGTCATGACCAGAGTGGCCAAACATGCTTTGCAGTAAGAGTGACTGCAGGGAAGTTTGGCAGTCTCCGCCTGAGGAAATTCTTCAAAACAACTCGTACATTCAAAAAAGCTGGGGTTGTGTACTAGAATGGTCTCTGACTTCGAGCGTGGCGGCCCTGTTTTCTCCGCTTTCTGCTTGAAGGCTGTGAGAAGGTCTCTTGTAGATTCCAGGATACCGTGCATGCCATTTTCTCGGATGAATGGGCGTTTGCTGACATTCTGGAGTCTTCGGAAAGTGGGTATTGACTTGCTGCTCCGACTATCTGGCAGACGTTTGTCGTTCTTGTTCTGTGAAGAAACTGCTGTGGTAGTTGAGCATTCTGCTCCCAACTGATTTGTTTGCGTGTGCTCTTCGGAATGTGTCTTTGAGCCCTTCAAGATTTCTTCTGCGGCTATGCTGGAGTTTGAGGGTGTGCGTTTCGTCGGACTGTGGGTTGTATCGAGCGACCAGGTCAATATATCTCTAAGCCTAGAAGGCAAAGATTCATAATCGTGGTATAGTTGAAGCTCTTGTGGTAGGGGCCGTGGAGTCCCCTCTTCATAAGTCTGAAGTCCTAGTGGCCCCATCCCGAATATTGCTTGCTCTTCACACTCGTTCGTGTTTTCTCGAGCCTTAGTCTTGCTACGATATGCAAGTATTGGTGCAAGAGAATGTCCTGAAAGTTGGAGTAGCAGACATTACAAGAGGAAAAACAGAAGACATCGCGGCAGCATTGGGGTAGATACTCATGAATGTATGTCAGAAGCACTTCTCAGGCTGTGACGTGAAGGCTGTGTCAGGTCGGTACTCTACAGGCATATTTGGGCCTGGCACCAGCCGACTGCCGAATCATTATCTTGCGAAAGGAGCCAGAGTGGATAACTTAAATCTTGTATAGACCGTAAGGCGCATCAGACTATATGACGGTGTTTCTGATCGTTGAGAGTGACTCTTGGTGGAGTTGGTGCACATGGCAGGATAGGGACGGCGTGCTTGCAAACGCGGCTCATACTGGGCGATGTCATTTTAGCTAGAAATACAAGAGCGTCCCGTGTATCATGTGAGCATCAAAGGTTGCCTTTTCATATTCCATGGAGAGACTGTGTACAATACGCCTTACCACTCGAGGTTTTGGGGGGTTCCAGTACGGCTGATGAGGCTGTGCAGAATTGCCTTGAGAACCCATATTGGCAGCGAAAGACGGCATTATTGCCGGCTTGGCTACAATGGGCATGTTCCTCATGACGCGATAGGCAATTTATCAGGATGGTCTTAAGTAATGAATGTACTCGATAGCAGCATCGAAAAGACAACAACATCCAGGGTTTGCTCGTTGCCTCGAATCGTGCACAACTATAACGGGAGAGAGGAAAATCTGTTTCCCCGGATGCCGAGAATAAAATCCGTACTTCGTATAGCTCTACATTGCTTAGGTAATTTCGAATGGACCATGTCCGACACACTACGGCTGGATTTATCCTACGAATGCACACCATCGATCCGTGGGAAGAGATCGTCGTCATGTATAACATAGTCTACATTGAGACTGTATGCTCTGCTAATTTTCCAAGAGACAAGCCCATCTCTGTCGGCTTGACTTCCCGAGCTAGGATTGAAGGAGACAGGCAGCCAACGTAAGAACAGGGAATTCAAAATGAGCGCGCGTTGTTACAACATTGAAGTAGTTTCATTGAGCCTCATCTGCCTGAATCATGCCGATAGACCTTGCAACAGCTAGCCAGATGACGCATTGACCCGCCCGTGCAAGAATGCTCTCTGCTTCGTAAAAAGCTTTTTGGTGACTCTTGTTGTCACCATCCGTCTGCCGTTGAGGCAGAGAAATGGAATAGCATTTCCGTATGCACCCCTCGACGCCGCTTTTGGACTTCACATTTATTCCTCATCCTCATCACCCTCAACTGCGGTTTGAGCAATACGGTCCAGATCTCGCATACCGGCCTGCGTGATTCTTCGGCCACCCTTTCCGCTCGAGCCTTCGTCATCCTCGTCAACCTTCTCCAAGATTCCTAGCTTCTCCAGGGATTGCATGACTTTTCGGTCGACGGATCCCGAGGCATCGACGTGGTGTGAAGGTCTTGAGCCACGGTTCTTTGTGCTTCCGTGAACCTTTCGCAGGCGACCAACACCAACAGACTTTCGGAGATAGACATGTCGGGCCACAGCGGCAGCTCGGACGTAGAACCAATCGGCGGACTGGGGAGGAAGTTCGTTGGAGTGTGAGGTCTTGACGGTATCAACCCAACCTGTATAGCCATGGATGTCAGTATTGGGTTTGCGAAGAGTTTACCAGAATATTTTCCATCGGCAAAGAAAGAACCATTGTGTCCAAGCCGCATGGAATCTTTGGCGAAAAAACTGATCAGGGCCATATCTCACCAGGTATTTGGAGCTTTCCCTGTCTCTTCAAGAAATCGGCATAGGCGTTGATGAATTTGTGCGCCTGGACAACATCTAGTCAGCGGTGTTTCTCATTTCTCATTTCCCCAAGTGCCGCGAGTTGTTCCTTTTATGTCTTCGCATGTTTTCCAGGCTCTTTCACTTTGCTTCGAGGGCTTCGGCGTTCGTGAATTTGTAGTGGGCGAACTTACATCGACATCGCGTACGGTAACTCCACCCATGATTGCGGTTGTTGTCTGAAATGGCTTGCAATCGATGTGGAATTTGAGCGGGCTGTTGAGGATCTGAAGAGTCGTGAGTCGCAAGCAAATTCAACTTGTGCACACAAAGCCAAGACTGAAGTCTTGGCATTTACTGCCGAACTTTAGCCGTGGAGTCTAGCCTCACCAGCAAAAAACATACCGTAAACACCAACTTTTCTATACCATTACCTGAATCTCATACTTTATCTAAAATGAACGTTGAGTTATCTCCAGGGCAGTTTTTGAATATCACTATGTTACTCAGCTTGCTGTTGGTCAGACAAAATGCCTTTTATTCCCGGGCAGCCCAGCCTTGGGCAAGCCTCAGAGTGCCTCCATCTCTCATATCGGCCGGATGCCCTAATATCCTCACACATGCCTCAAAAGTTCACTGATGTTTTGACTGTCCGTACTCAGCAGTCACTTACATATCACGGACTTGCCGTCATCAGCTTGTACTTGCCCTTTGACATAATGATCTCCTTTACCGTTGTTCTCGCCAAACATATGACTGCAGCCTCATCTCTCACTTCACCAACTACGTACAGGCCGCGAGCATATGCCTGTGCTAGATGGAGAGCCATATAAGGTCTCTGAGTTCTTTATATCTCTTCCACCTCTGCAAACATCAATCCATGTCCTATATACCTTTCTTCTTTGCGATAACAGTGCCCCATGATCTCTGACTGCATCCAATCGTTGTACAGCTTCCATGCCATTCAACACCAAGTTCCTTGTTGACTTGCTGCTGTCCTTGTTACGTCCTTGCGCCCTTCCAGGCTAGAAGAATATTTTGCGGTGCAATTGCCTGAAGCATGCACTATGCCATGGACATCTGGTCTGCATATTCAATGCCGCGCATTCCTCCCTGCCAGTCACCGCCATCGCGGGCAGATTGTGGTGAGGCAGTATGGATCTGACCGCCTTTTCCGAGACCTCACCTGGAAATGAATCCTCACCGACTTTAGTCATTCCCTTCCTTCCAATCTTGGTATTCGACAACTTTCCTCAGCGAAAAGGCCCTTGCTAGACCTGAATTCCTTCTGCGCTCAAGATGCCACCTTTGCATTCCTTCTTTTCCGATGTTGAAGATGCGGAAGTGATTGAGATCTCGGACAGCGATGACGAGAAGATCCTCGCCGATGAACAAACTCAGTCTAGCCTCACAGCGACTTTGAAGGATTTCTCACCAGAGTCGAATTTGTCAGATGACGAGATATTGGGGCCTCTCACTCGGTCGCAATCAGCGAAAACGTACAACGGGGGAGACACAAGGTCGACCGACTCTTCAGATGATACGCTTGAAGGACTGTGTGAGGCACTTGCGGACGAACTTTACCAACTTGAGAGTCCTGAGGACCTGGCCCTTCTGTACCCTCGAAAATTCTCAACTTGGAGCAGTCTGCCGCCATGCACACCGGAGGATGATGCTTTGAGTGAGTTGATCACAATAGACAAACAAAACAGGATGAATGACGACGACGGTGACTTTGATGAGTTTTATTTAGAAGATTTCTACGTCTACCGTTCTCCGGAACAGCCATCCGGGTTCAAAGGACAGTATGAAAACTTAGTGACGGTGCAGACCTCTTGCAAAACCGAGGTCTTCTTAGTGGATGGAACTCTGGTACACAACGGCATCCGTCGACATATAAGATGCGCCGAGATATCTGCTGTGTCATTTGGGCAGCTTGAGAAGCTAGAAACTTCCACCACAGAATATGACATCTGGATCAATACTTCTATCTCCGCGCAGAAGAAGTACTGGTATCGACTTCGTAAGCCAGTTCCAGGATACAGAGAATATTGGAGAGACTTTCTGTGGGTCTCTGATCTCAGCAAGCACGTTCTCGACTTCCTCAAAAGCAGCGACAATGGTGTAAGACTAGGGGATTTCGAGAAAGCCTTCTGGCGATGGCTAAGTCGTCAACACGGCGACACTGTATCTTCGTGGCATGCTCAGTGTGGCAAGAAGGAGGATCTCCGACCTTGGCTATGCCAGCACCGCTTCTTCTTATGGAACACTTTCTATTGTCTCCACAGTGACCCCGACGTTGTATCAAAACATCCACTGTGGAAAGACCTCGGGCTGTTTGACTGTCGTGATGACAAGCGAAACCAGTCCAAATCAGAAAAGAGTATCGTCACTCCCAATGTCGGCGCCCAATTTCTTAGGGTCTTTCCACGCTGGCAAGGATTACAGTTACTACAGGTTGTTGAGCCTTGTCCAGACGTCAGAGCCTATAGACACCAAAGGGTCCGTGAGTGGAAGTTTCCCCAAAAGTTTTCCTATCGTCAGAATGACAATTTCAGCGGCGACCGAATCTCCAAAGCCGCCTATATCCTCGAGGAAACAAGACCAGGCCATCATATTGTACTGCCACTTAATGACCTCAAAGGCAAACTTGTCATCATCCAACTGGGAAACACCCAACAATGTGAGTTGCGCTATGCATTCGTTCGATGGACATCGAACTTGTCCAAGACAATCAAGGTGATATGGGCAGTTTTACCGTCAAGTACGCTCTGTGGCTCTCAGAAAGATCGCACTGAATACCCTATTGGTAATGAACTATTGTGAGTAATCTTCTTGATGTAGATAGCAGAACTAATCAAGATTAGTTTTACCGATGAATGTAACTGCGAAGAAATTCCAGTCGCAAATGTTGTCAGGACAGTTAATGTCAGTGCCTTTACAGATCACGCGAAGGAGAGTGAGGATGCGAAACTGTTTATTCATACTCTGTATCGTGAAAAAGAAGAGTGTTTCATCACCGCCATCGAGGACGAGCTTGTGTGTCATTGTCAAAGCCGGATAAATAAGAAAATTGCGCCATCACGGCTACATCCAGTCCAGAACAATATCGAATGCCCGAAGATGAAGGTACTCAGTTTATTCGCAGGCGGTGGTCTGTGGGATCACGGCTTCACATGTTCTGGCTATGCAGAGATCGACACCGCCATTGAGCATAGCGAGATGGCTATGCTAAATCATCAAGCAAATTATCACCACTCGACGGAGACCCAATACAAACTTGACTCTGTGAATGCGGTACTCCGAAGAATCCTAACAGGGGACGAGCCTATCAAACACATGGATTGCCTCATTGCCGGCTGTCCCTGTCAAGGATTTAGCGGTCTGAACAGACATCCTGACTCAGAAGGTTCTCTGAGAAATTGCTCACTGCTTGCCACGACACTGTCGTGGATTGAGACATTCATGCCTGCTTATGCGATTATTGAGAACCTCCCCAGAATGATGGAGAACAGAAGTCCCAATGAAGGCAAGCAAGCCGTATGTCACCTGGTGGCACTAGGGTATCAGGTTCGCACAAAGGTTTGCGAGGTAGCCAAATTCGGTGGGGCATCAAAGCGGAAGCGACTCATTATCATCGCTGCTGCACCGGGGGCGGTTCTGCCAGTATCAATAGACGAGACCTCAGACCCGAGAGCGTGCGCGGTGACCATGGCTGATCTACCACCGGTTCATGATGATGTCACTATCAACATCCTGGATCCATACCACGTTCCAATCTCTCGACTCAAAGTGTCCCTACAGGACGAAGTCAGCTTAAGGAATGTCGTTCAACGTATCCCGACGAGCCCGAGTGGAATGTCTCTGAGTAAAGCCTATTACCATGGCCATTTGACGCCCTCACAGAACAAGTGGTTTCGAACTCTCAACGACAACCACCAAGCCAAAAACTCCAGTCGCTACAGAAGGATCGACCCAGACAAGCCGTTTCCAACCATTTGCACCAAAATTGCGCCCGACAGTTCGGCGAATGGAGAAATGATGCACCCCTTTGAACATCGAACGATTTCACTTCGAGAGGCGATGCGGGCTATGGATCTCCCCAAGAATTTCTTGTTGATCGGGACAGTCGCTCAACAATATGGGGTCCTCGGGAATGGGGTCCCCTATTCATTGGGGGCGATGTTAGGTCGAGTGGTTGGCAAATGCTGGAGAGCGACTTTGGGTCGGGGAGCAGGCCCTCCTGCTTCCACGCGCAACAAAGAGAGCCAGACCTCTGTGCAGCTTGGATTGAGCGTTACCGTTCCAAACATCGCACCTCGACGACACAAACGGGCAATCGTTCTGGACGAAGAAGACGAGAAGAGTGATGGGAACGTGTCTTCCACTTCGGATGTTGTTTTTCTAGAGGCCAAACCAGTAAAGAAGAACCGCCTGGAGTGAGTTATGATATTCGTGACCGCGATGTGGTTTGATATGAATTCCTGTAAAGTGGCGAAGAATGGACACCGAAGAAGGAAATGGAAAAAGGGCCTGAGATTTCTTTCCCACGCACAGGTATCCCGTGATTCCATGATATCTCACTCTCGACTTTTCCTTCTTCACGCGCAGCTATCTTGTGATTCCCATTTGACTCACCTGGTCCATGAAGAGCAAAAGAAGAGAGTCTCGCGATCGAGGACGAGATTCGAAATCCCTAGAAGGTGAAAATTGACATGAGTTTTGTGACAGTGTGAAAACGTACCGAACCAGGCTGGCGAGAGTTGAAGAATGAAGATTGATGTTGCACGAGATGAGTAAACAGAACTCAAAAGAGAAGGAAGGAGGAAAACCCAAGGCAGGAACACGGTCGCCTCCAGCGTTGTGAATATGAAATATGGATTCGAAGCATTCAAAAGATGTATGTATTGGTCCAGTAGGTCAATATCGAGACCGGTATTCCTTACTCGAGGTACTTTCTACCATGGCGTCCTATGATGCCTTGGGTCAGAGCTCATCATGACATGAGAAGACTCAAATTTCCGAGCTCACATTCTCAATCGACGTTCGCTTGACGTGCGTCCGCGAGTGCCATTGATCAACCACCACAACAAAAACAACCACCATGGAGTCTAACTCAAAAGTTCCACGTCGAGCAAACACCTTCTACCCTTCGGGGCTATATTGAACCTGTCCTCCATCTCCATGTCCCACTCGGTCATGGTTTCGTTGAGCGTCAACCTGACTTTTGTGAAGATGCGACTCGTGGCGATGTACAGTTCTGCTCGGGCCAAGTTTTGACCTATACAGTTTCTAGGTCCCAGACTGAACGGAGTCAAAGCCGCATTCATATCTTTTAGTTTGTCGTTGCTACCGGCGGCGTTTTCATCGACAAGCCATCTTTCCGGCCAAAACTCGTCTGGGTGAGGAAACAAACTGGCGTCACGGTGGTGGACATAATTTTGCATCCCGACAAAAGCACCGACAGGTAACAAGTACTTGTCGACACTGACCGACTGTTCGAGTACGCGTGGCAAGGTCGAAATGATGGTGGGGTATAAACGAAAAGTCTCCTTGATGACCGCGTTGAGAAAAGGGAGGTCTTGAAGTTCGCCGAGTGTGTGGCCGGGCGCGGCGAAAAGTTCGGCCCGCAGACGTTCCTGGCGAACTTGGTCCCTGGCCATCGAGTACAAAAGGTAGGTGAGGGTGGTGCTGGTGGTTCCGGACCCGGCGAAAGCGATCGACATCATCTCGTCCACCAACTCGGGTTGGTTCAGCCTGCGACCCAGAAACCCGTCGACGTTCATCGTGGCCGGAGTGGCCATGAAACGTTGTCGGGTGTCTTGGGCAGCCTCGTTGGCCTGAAACCCTTCGACCAACGCGCTCGTCATCTTCTCCCACAGGTCCCAACCGCGGTACGACCGGCCGACGAACCCGGGAAGGTGACGGCCCACACCGCGCTGGATGATGGGAAGCGCGGCGCGAACCTGGATCGCCACGGCGCTCGAGTCCATGGCTCGGAGGTACGTGAGGGAGTCCCCCGCGGGGCTGTCGCCGTAGTGTCGGTTGAAGGCGCACTTGAGGATGACCTCGAGACTGAAAAGGCCGTCGAGGAGGAAAACGTCGGCCGTGCCGTTTTCCGAGGAGACGATGCGCCGGACCAGCACGTCGGCCTTTTCGGCGATGAAACTCTCATTCTCGAGGACCGCCTGCTGGCTGAAAACGGGATTTTGGAGCTTGCGTCGAGCAGAGTGTGCTTCCTTGCTGTGAAAGGTGAAAATGTTGCCCGGCCCGTCGTTGGCCAATTTTGTGTCCTCGTAGAAATGGATCGTCTTGTTGCTGGTCTTTTGGCTGTAGATGGACCGGTACGCCGACCAGTCAGAGATGGAAACCTCATTGGTTCCGATGCGAACGACCGGCCCGTACTTGTCGTGCAGGCTGCGTAGGGTCTAGAATTTTTGTAGAGGAAGCCCGTGAGTACAAGCCAAAGAATTGAACAGCAACAGGAAGGGGAAAAGGGAGAGATTCACTGACTTGTGCTCTGTGTAATCCTGCTTGAGCAGGTGTCATGTACGACCGGAATATTCTTGCAAGCCACGGCCCGGGAACAGGCGCCAGAGGATGGAAGAAGGCATTGTAGATGGTCTGAAAACGAACCTGTTAGATGTTTCTCTCATGAAAGAAGAGACGCAGATACGAAGACACATGTCAGTTGCCGTACTTTTATGATGGTGTTACCTATGATGAGGATAGCCAAAAGGCCGAGAGCCGGAAGTACTGGCTTCTCCATCACGGTGTCCAAGGACAAGCGATCTCTGAGAAGTTGCGCCATCTTGTTGATCGAGCCTGGCAAGCTGAGATACAGACTGCTGTTGCTGCTGCTGCTGTTGCTACTGTTGTCCGTTCACGTTTTGGCTTCAAACGTGGTAGAAGGGGAAGACAAGAAAGAAAAGTCAAACACCCACCCACCCCGTCAACTGGAGGATTTAATCATGATATTTCTGCAGTGAATACTCCGTAGAGACCACCCACATCTCGCCGGAGCAAGTTCATGTTGGACGCGGCTCCATGATTCCTCGTGGAAGACTTCACATCTGGGCTCGTGCAAAACCCAACAGTCCATGGGGTTCGAGGGTCACAGTCCCACCTGGCTGTACTGTATGAGTGTTGGTTGACCATAGACAGAGGAGCCGGAAGGCCACGAGGGGGGCAAGTACCAGAGTAAAAACAGCCAAGTACGAAGTAGATACTCCATTTCCCCCAAGGACATCACAGTATCACAGTACATGTGCACGGTATCAAAAGATGGAGGGTTTGGGGTAAGTTTTCGGGACCCCAGTCAACTTTGTCTCAAGTCGTGATAAGAGACTCCAAAAAGCCGGGGTTCGCTTAGATAAGGTACAAAACCCACCCAGGTACTCACTCGGGCGTGGATACAAACAACAAGGCTGTGGGAGAGATTCAAGGACTCACCACTGGCGGCACTCCCCTCAATACAGGCAGATGTATCAGATATAAAAGGGCTCGTACCTTTCATGGTTGCAATTTTCGAGGGATTTATTTTGCAACTTACTACACTCGCATTTGCAGTGCCGACAACCTTTTGCCTCTTGTTCCAGGACTTATCTTACCTTTGTGTCGTAGGAGAACTTGGACCCAACAAGATCTGGTCTTGCTAAGAAACCATTCGACGACTGACTGAAGTATGGTCCTAGGCTTGCAATGACCAAGATTTCACAGTCGGTCGTCGATACAATACTCGGAAACCTTGTAGGTAAGAGAAGAGGCTCCAAGTAGTAGTCGACCGAGTCATGGCACGCTTGGACGCGGGCACGGGCAAAACAACAACTCCTCGGTCGACAGCGATAGCGAGTAGAATCCAGTCAGGAAGAAGGACTCTGGATGTCAGGCATGCCATGCAATGGAAAATACGTCGTCATCTTACCGAGTACGGCATGAATTGATGATTCACTCAATGGTCCTTTTGGCTGACTTGACAATCACTGATTGCTGCCTCTGACGGGTCCAGCCACGGTGCCTTACGAGCGATACGAGAAGCAGTGGCTGTGAGCTGCAGCGTAACTTCTAGCTGCATCAAACTGCGGCCTTGATCTGACAGTTCATCCAGCCACCTTGTCTGCAATTATTCGTCTTCGTACTCGTCACTGCACGGTGAGTAATATGTCAAATACTCGGACGAGGTACTGGTGGGTGCTCGGAATGAAATGCCGTCCTGTACTCCATAATGACCTATAGAATACTCCGTATGCTCTGGTAATCTGATTCTACCTACATTTGGACCCCAAGGCTTATCTGTCTGACAGAAGCGAGCCTTGTTGATAGGGAACAAGCGGTATGAAGTATGTTCTGCGAGATTGCGGATGGCTGATCCTCCGAACTCGCTACTGAGTACGGAGTGCAGCAGAGCACCTTCAGGTACGAGTTACTGCGAACCAGTGTTGCACTTTGTAACCATTGATCGCATGACCTGTTTGGAACTTGCTCGGCTAGGAAAGCGAATGCAAATCAAGAGTCTCTCGCACTCGTAGTTCAAAGCAAGGCCCGAGGAGAAAGAGTTCACAGGGCGTGCATAAAATCCTGGGGAAATTGTGCTTCACGGAACCGGGTTTAGCATGTGTATACGATCGCCATCGCAGGCGCAGTTCCCATGATCAGGTGCATAGCGCCGGCAACGCCAAGTGCCTATTAGTCGCTAGAATACTTACTCGTACTCGACAGTAGACCCGGGTAGGTTACTAGCTGGTTTGACCTTTTGAACGGCGTCAAGACTGTTGATGAGCTGTTCGGCTACGTCCGCTAGGGGGGGTTGAGTCTGCTGATCAGAGATACCTGAGTGCTGTACTCGTACCTGGATGTGAATCAATCATAAGCAGCAAAGAATACTCCGTAGTACAGGTGCTAATGAAGCAAACAGGGACTCAACTAGGCTTTTTTGAACATTCCGACTCGCTGTACTCCATCCTGTACGCAAAAAAAATCGGTTTGAACGGCAACCAAGTACAGGATGCTCGGACTTTCGGTCCGTTACGAACAGTGGACATAGGGCTCCCTAATGCTTAGGCCCGCCGGAAACGAGAAATGCCCAAATTTGAGTTGCGTGATTTTTGATTCATGGGCTCCTCATGGCGGGAGAAGGAGGGTGCAGTACAATGTCTGTTTCATAGAGTGATCGCGATCGCGATCGCGCGAAGTTTCTGCACTGCTAACGAAGAATTACGAGACGACATCGTGAAAAGTCTACGGGCTTCGAGCCTTGGCGGAAAATACTCGGCGGACGAAGTCTCCATTAACAAGACCAGAAGAATCTTGAGCGGAGCGGCGAGAAATCCTTTGTCGAGGGGCAGTGGCGGTGGTGCAGATGAACACTCGTACTAGGTACCTGTAGAGGAAACACAGTATTGTATTGTCGATGACCCATGCCATCCGAGGAAGCAGCAGCGGATGGTCTTCCCGGTATGAAGGAGGAGGGCAAGACCGCCTGGCAAGAACCTAGTCGACAGGGAGAAGGGTGCATGATCGATCAGTTGATCAGGCAACACCAATGACAGCGACTGGCCTGCTTTAGGAAATCTGCCTAGTTGAGATGCAGAATGTGAGCGGGCCAGGCAGAGACGGAGGAGTACAGTATGACGCCGATTTGTCCTCTGTAGCCTGAGATGTTCGGGCGAAGGAGCATGTACGAGCTTCCGATCCCAGTATTTGTTCTCCGTCCTCTTAGGGATACCTCGCAAGCGAGAAACAAAGGGCAGCAATCCATGATGACGGGACAGCAGGATGCGGAGTGACCGTGGAGAGCATTACCAGGAAGCCAACGTCAGCATTTCTTGGGTGCGGACAGAGGCCATCTTGGTACAGTACAATAATACTCCATACTGAAGCCACAATCCTCCATGGGGTTTGGCACGGCAGTCTTGGGACAGTACCTAGTACTTTTCACACGGAAATGTTTCAGAACTGTTCGTCCCTGGTCTTCTGAGAATTTGCTCGGGACGATTAATAATGTGCCTCAGTACTCCGTAAGGGTTCGCAGCCTGGTCTGATGAGCAATAATAGTACTCATAGTGGCTCGAGTGTTGGGGCCTCGGGCCGGCGTGTGGCTTTTTGGGATGGACACCTGATTACTCGATACTCGATGCTCGCAACTCTAGAGGTACCTCGTTCTGTACCCATGGGTGCATGGGTGCCCGTTCTTATTTCTCCCAGCCACTGGAATTTCTGCATTGGGACCCTTTGGGCAGAAGTTTGCACAGGCGCTGAGTCACCGCTCTTCTGCTGCTGCACGGAAATCTTCAGGCATCCATTGCATTGTCGATCTAATCAGACCAGTCGCCGTGCTCATCACACCACCCCTCTCTCGCCTAGTAGTTAAGAAAGCTGTCTACTGCAGCCTATGTACGGAGTAGGCAAGCAGTCCTTCATAGTGATTTGTCGTTGGACCGGCGACATACTGTGGTATGGTCCCGAGCGCGGAGCTATCAAACAAGCATTTCAATCTCGATCGCACACCTCATCGTAGTCTTGCAATTTTTCAATGCCTTTTGTTGTCGGGTTGCGAAATGAAGCTAGCGGCTATGAGCGTCCGGATGCCTGTACGGAGAAATTATTTTTTTCATGACGGTGTGTGATCCCAGGTGGGCCGGAAGATACCAGAGCCTCAAGGACTTTTGGGTTTTCTAATGACATCAATGAAAGCCGGTGCCGGCGCCCGCAACAGCCGCATTGGTTTGTAATGTTTAGCAAAGGATCAATTGGGCGGGGGGAAACGAGCATGAATTGATCATGATTTTGCTGTCGGATCAGGCAGCATTTCCGCAATCCGGCAACACAGGGTCCATCCTTTGTCATCCGGGCGTACCTAACAGGACAGGGGTGCGGGCGCTTCAATAACAAGCACGGTTCTGACATGGTGCTACTGTCGCTATTGCGAGTGGTGAGAACATCATTCGACGGTGGGGGGGTTGTACTGTTTCCACGCTTTGCCATAGATACTGTAACCAGGTTCGATGTGCTGTACTGGTGTGATGGGGCCCAGTATGTTTGTGCGTCTAGTCGGTGTGCTGCCTGCAATATACAAACATGCTTGTTACAAGGTTCCTACTACATAGGTAGCGAATCCTCGTATACTCGTGGACTCGGATCTTGGGGTGGGTAATAGAGTGCTGACATTCTACGATTTGGTGACATAGCGGAATGGGCGCCATGGAATGGAAAGTCGTCGCAAGGCCACGGCATGAGGCTCGTTCGCTGGTACGGAGGGGCGTACTCGTTACTCCGTAATATTGTAGTCATTCATACCTCCCTAAGGCAAGCAAGTAGTCTCTGCTGTCAGAAATTGAACATCCCAATGGTGCCGGGTTCCAGCAAAGGCCGATTTAATGCCCTTGGCAAGACCCTCGTTCCCCGGTCATCCGCCAATCAAAACGCCGGGTCCGCGGCCTTGCCAAACCGCCTCGCTCTGGCATCTTCTTCTCTCACGGCGATAACCACATGCATATTCTCTCGCGCATCCGACAACTCCGGCCGCTGACCTATTCGTCCGCTTTTCCTACGCTGGACTCATGCGCTCGCTGCCTTCGTGTTCCGATGGTTGGATCCAGCAATGGAAGCTGCCTTCTATGGCCGAGCTCTTTAATAGTCCTCGCGCCTTCGCGTCGTTGGAAATGTTTCCTGTCCATCTCGTCCCATACCTAGTACTCGCATAATATCCTCTGTACCGCATTTTGACCTGCGCCTGGTCGCGACTCATTTGCTATCCCCTCTTCGTATAGATAAACATCCCATCACTCGTTGTGACTACCCTTCCTCCTCAGTCAGAACCACGTCATTACCACGGTCGCTTATCCCCCGCAACGCTTTGAGCGAGCCTCGTTTCGGTTGAACGTACTGAGAGGGTGAGAGTGGCCTGTATAACAAGAAAGAGTGTGGTTCAAACCAGTACAAGCGCACGGATGGTGGTCTCGAGGTATGCAGTCGCAGCAGTGCTGCTTGAACTGGCGGCACAGACGGTGGCTCATGGCGACGATGAGCAATGTCATGGGAACATGTGTGACATGAAGAAGCCAGACTCTCATGAAGGTGCTGGTGCATCCAACAACCAGGCTACGCCGAGTTATGCTTCTTTGGGTATGCATGGAAAGATGATGCTGGCACACATCGCCCTTATGGTTCTCGCATGGTTTTTCATTCTGCCAATAGGTAAGTCGGTCAGTCATTCGCAAGAAAGAGAGAGGTTAACAAGGGACAGGCGTCATGTTCAGCGTTGCACGGTCCAGATATGCTTTTCCCTCTCAATTCCTTTTCCTCGTCGTCAATGGCTTGGGGGTGTTGTGTGGGACGATGTACAATATCAACACTCCGGACCTGTATGAGAATAATGCTCACCACAAGATTGGTTGGATCGCAACGTGGATTGTGACAGCTCAGGTGATTATGAGCCTTCTTTTCCACTACTCGGGCCGGGGCAAACAGACCGAGATTTTCACCTCTGAACGACAAGCATTCTTGCCCATTTCGACGGCGAACATGGCTCAGCACAACGGGAGCCCGTATACGGATGTTCGGTGGTCAGGGGACAGCGGACAGGGTTCGGAAGCGTCCACCGCCCTCAACAGCCGAGATGCTTCTCCCACCAAGCTTCTGCGCCGAGGCACTGACGACAGTTTCGAAAAGCCAGAACCGGAGCCACAGGATGAAGATGACGAGGGAGATGACGTCCCAGTGGCATCGCGGCATCGGGCTCGAAAGGCGTGGTTGCGCATCAACTTCATCGACAGATATCTCTCGTCTCGTGTGCCCAATTTGCTTTCGGCTAAAATTCTGGGGGTGGTCGAAATTGTGTACGAAGTCATCGACCGAACCATTTTAATCCTGGGCTTCATCGCCCTGACGACTGGAGGGGTAACCTATGCTGGCATCTTTGTAAGTCATACCGGGTGCAGTTTGCCACTAAGGCGGATTGCGGTCAAGTGATCCCAACAATTGGCTGACCATCACGACAGAGAGGAAGCAACATCTTCAACGGTCTCGCACACTTCATCAAAGGAGGAATCTTCTTTTGGTACGGACTACTGACGCTGGGACGGTGGATGGGGTGCTTTGCCGATTTTGGCTGGGCGTGGAACATCAAACCGGCCCGCAGCGAGGTGGGCCAATGGAAAGCCCGTCTCCCATCGGCTGAATTCGTCGAGTCCTTTGTCATCTGGCTCTACGGCTGTACCAACGTCTTCCTCGAACATCTTGCTGCATGGGGTGGTGAATGGACTGCGCAGGATCTGGAGCATGTCTCGATCTCCATCATGTTCTTTGGTGGAGGCCTAGTAAGTTTCTAAATAATATTTTCTGGCGTTTTGTCAAACTGTCTTCTAACCTGATGAATAGATGGGAATGCTCGTCGAATCGAAGCGTGTTCGAAGATGCCTCAATACCGTCGTGGACAGTATGCCAGCTCGAACGGAAGTGTCTCCGGACGAAGCGCTTGAACTGCGCACCCCGCCCAAACAGTATGGGACCTCTCTGAATCCCATCCCGGCCTTGATCATCCTCCTCCTTGGGATCATGATGTCCTCTCATCACCAGAGCTCAATGACCTCCACCACGGTTCACAAACAATGGGGTAACCTTCTCGGTGGTTTCTCTGTTGCCCGCCTGGTCACCTACGTGATCATGTACATCTCACCACCCACATCCGTCTACCCCTCCCGCCCTCCAACCGAGTTGATCTCGTCCTTCTGTCTCATCTCTGGTGGTCTGGTATTCATGTCCAGCACTAAAGACATTGTCGCCGCTGTCGAGGGCGCCGATCTCATGGCCATGTTTGTCTTTACCGTTGTTATGGGCTTCACGGCCTTTATCATGTCCTACGAAATCTTTGTGCTGTGTCTCAAAGGTTGGGCCGCTCGCAAGGAGCTCAAGGCAGCTCAGAGTTCAGTTCGATACTGAGCCCCTAACAGAAAATAACAGAAAATCTTCGCGATGGTTGAATCATCGCATTGGAGACGGGAGCAAAAGAGGAGGTAATCACACACTATACCCAGGGTTTTATGTTTCTCACGATCATTTCTATTTTACGGCCGGGGAGGCGGATCCGCCGTCTTGCCGCCTACGAGCACTTTCGTTGTTGACGACATTGACGAATTCCTTCCCCCCGACCTGGTTTATACATAACTCGTATGAGATGGGGGCACGGGTTTCTTGGTTTTCTTGCACGATACCCCAGGCGCGATTTTATGCGTCTATGCACTCTCTGGTCATTGATACCCCCAAAACCTACAGTACGGCATTGCTTAGGTATAGATAGCTGCTCATGCTTCTTCGACTACCAAGAGGAAGTTGATTATTAATTCAGATTCAAATGATATTATAACCCAAAATATTGATATATGAAGTATGACTGCTTTTGTAGTTATCTACTTAGGAGTTGTACCTCGTGTATTTAGGGATGTTCTTCGCTTGACTTGTGCCAGGCCGCTACAGTACGAGCACGAGCAAAAAATAGGGGGTTTCCATGCAGTCCCAGTACAGGCTCCGTCTCCGCAAAATTGGGGGAAAGTGTAGGTACAGTAAGCCAAAGAGCCATGTTATCCGACTTTCCTAACGAACCTCCGAGATGTGAATTACTGCAGCTGCGTCAACCAAGAAACCGTTCTGCTGTTATTACCACATTTCCTAGAGAAAGTCCAAGTTTGATGATGGGTTGTATAGAGAGAGGGTCTTGTCATTGATCAGTGGATTTTCTTCTTCTTCTTTCTCTTTTCTCTCCGAAATTCAAGATACCTCCCTATAGCAGGTGACCTCGAACACTTCAACCGTCTCGCCACCTTTTTTTGGTTCTTGTCAGCACGAAAGAGTCGTCGTGTTTTGTACAACCACCGACTACGAGTATTGGGTTTTGGGGAGAAGGATTGGTGATTCGCCAACCACCGACCACTGACCGCATCGGTTACCACACGCGCGCACGAGTACAAATCTCAATCACGACCGAGACCGCAGAAACCCATACCGTCGAAGGACATTTCAACCCCCCCGGGGCTGTCCCTTGTAAGGAAGAACTCGAGACAGACGAGACAAAAACATAACAATGGCGGTGCCACAACAACAACCACGAATATCTACCAACAGCCTCCCTTTACCGAATGCGCGATTCTTCTTCGTCAACCCATCCCGCGTACGATCCTACCTCCTCCGCTTGCCTCTCTTCACGCGACTCATCCTCCTGGCCATCGTCGCGTTCTGGTTACTCGAGCTCCAGACCGTATGGAGCGTCACCCAGTGGGGGGCCCTGATCCCCAAAGAGGTTGGGTTCGGGACCATGTACAGACTCAACACTTTTCCCTTGATACACATGGGTTTCTTCCATATGCTCATGGACACGATATGTTTGGTCCCGCTACTGGAGAGGTTCGAGGCCGAATGGGGGACCTTGACCACCCTGGCTCTGTTTATGGGTCGTAAGTCTCTCGACCCTTTCTCTTTCCCTGTGCCCGTCGGCGCAAAAAACCCAAGTAAAGCAAAAAGAACAGTGACGATGGTTTGGTACTTGGTTTTGGGAAAACAAAAAAACTGATCACGAGGTTTCAAACAGCTTTGGGTCAAATACCAGCAGTTTTATACTTGATATTTGATGGGTTGATTCTAAGAGACAACACTCCAGTACTTGGGTCGAGGTACGTTAACGAAACAAAACACGTCACAATGCACCTGCTTCCGGGTGCGAAAAGAAAAAACGAGCAACAACAACAACTGACTTGGAAAACCCGAACCAAAATAGTGTCTGGGTGTTCTTACTCCTAGCGGCCGAGTCGATCAAAACGTACCGTGCGAATCCACATATAGAGTACGTTCTTTCTCTCTATTACTTCGGGAACAGTGTTTTCGCTGACACAGCCAAAATAGGATCTCGGGACAAAAAATCCCAACGTGGATTACACCGCTCGCCATCGTGGTCGTTACCTCTGTTCTGATACCAAACACTTCATTTCTAGGACATTTGAGCGGTTGCATTACTGGCTATTTGTGTGAGTTTTTTTATTTCAAAACATGCGACCCCAATCGTGAGAAACGGCTAACAAGTGCTTCTCTTTACAGGGGGACTGGGATATATACGATTCCTGGCACCACCGGAAAAGGTCCTTCGTTGGATCGAGGGCAAACTCAACCTCCTGGGCAGACTACCTCACTATGTTTCTGTCGACCAAAAGACTTATGGAAGATATGGTGTTTTACCCACGAGCTCCACGGCTGGACCAGGTGAGCATATGAGTCCAATTGGACTGGGTTGGATCGGAGGAGGCTCTGGCTCTGGCGGACAAAGGCTCGGCCCCTGAACTCGTGATGCTGCCTTTTCAAGGGCTGGAATACAGTATAGCATAGTATATTATGGCATGGCATAGCAGGACAGGGCATGATTTGGACGTGATCTATTTGGATACGAAAAGGCATTGCGGGCTCATTCTCAATTCTTTGTATGATCCCTCTCATCGGGCAACTCGGCTCGTTCTCCGTCACTCAGGCGTGCAGGACCTTCGCCATCTGGGAATGGCTCATATTTATCGATGAGATAATACATGTCATCGAAGGCTCTATGATATTGATCAGCATCAGCTTCTCTCTCACTTGAAGATGACTTGTACTAGATACTCTGACGTGGAACAGGGAAATTGTCACTCACCTCTGTCGGACGGCCTTGCCTTGGCCTTGGTGGTTCACCGAGTACAAGATGTTATAATAGATGCAGTAGAGTCGATTCCGGTCGTCCCATTCGTTCCTTGGCTCACTGGGTGCATAATGCCGAAGGTATGTGCGAGTGTAAACACGGTTGTGAATTTTGTTATAATCACATCTCCAGTCTCCAATCTCGAATTCATTGTGCGCATACATGACCGCGGCATCAAATAGGTAGACATTCCCCGTCTGGTACGACGTCCCGGTATTGCCCTCCCAGAGATCTCCATGAATCAGACATGGCTTCACCACACGGCCGTTCTTAGTGAGGTTATCCAGCAGATGTGGGATGACGTGCGAAAGGAGGCGTTGTTCGAGCACGGTCAAGGCGTCCCAATGTCCATTTTCTGCGTCATCTAACTTGATGACATTGCGGAGAAGATTGCCGAAGAAAACCGTCCAGTTGCTCTCCCATGTTACAGCTTGGGGGTTACAGCCTTGACATGTTGTGATATGGAAGCCAAACTTGCCCGTTGGGGATGTGCTTGTCTTATGCAGCTTCGCGAGCTTGGTGCAAAACTGATTCGGCTCTGGTGGACGATCAGACATGTCGATGAATTCCGATATGAAAAAGTAGGTCTCCGGTGATGGTCTCGAGAATTTGCCCCAAGTCAAAGGTTTGGGTACGAACTCGGGCATAGTCCTGTATAGTTCAGACATGGAATTGAATTCGCCTTCCATCATCAAACGGCCGGCATCCCCTGCTGCGCACTTCAGAAAATATGCCATAGCAGTACCGTCAGCCGTTTTCACGTTCAACCTGGCAGTAAGAGTCCATTTAGACTGTCCGAATCTGTTGGCAGAGAGGAGCTCGGTGCCAGGTGGCAAGCTGCTGAGAACATTGTCGTCGACTGGAAAGTCGCCTGCGAAGGGTGCGGAAAAGGTCGTCTGATGCTCGACCAAGGTACGGACTGATTCAGCCATTTCAGTATAGAGTCTGAAGAAACGTGGATATCTCTACCAGCCGACTGTATATTGTCGAGGTGGGCTGAAGGGAAGTGCTGAAGATATCTCGTATCCAGAAGAACCATTAAGCGCGTCATCTTCATATCCTCATATAGTAGCATGAAGAATAGCGCCTGATGGCGTCTAGCTGACCCTTGACTGCTAAATTGGTATCCGAAAGGGGGCCAAGTGTGATTGGGAAGAGCGACACAACTTCTTCAGCCAGAATCCCAACCGTCATGCAGTTGGTAAAGGGTGTGAGACCGTGGCGGTTGGAATGCCGCGTGCCCCGTTCCCACCGTCGTGAGATTGGCGGGTTCGGCTAATGAGGCTTAGCGGCAGCATTAGTCGCCCAAAGGCTCGTCCCAGAACTCTCTTACGTCGTATGATTTGATGTCGACTTCTTACCAGCATAGTAACAACGACCACTACCACCCTTGAGACGAGCTAATGCACACGCTTGAGCTGCTCACACCTCGCTTCTGTCTAGCAGCATGACATCGATTCAGAGTTGCACAGCGCTTCACGGTCTGTGTAAACGACGTCGAGTTTGAATGTAGTCCAATCTTCTGATTGTCGGACGTGGCGTGCATTCGCCGGCCGCGTTTGCAACTACTAAAACCGGGCAAAACATGTTTCAAATCGACGGCGAAGCTCTCGATAAGCTGTGAGTGTGGTGGGGAGTCTGTCTCTTCCAAAAATGGCGACCTTACGTTGCTTTTGCCGTTCAAGCGCTAATAGTGCACTCCTGAACGTCTCTCGACGTGAGCTGCATGGACTAGGATGTTTGGCCAAGGTTCTTTTGGTAGGCACTCTTCAGGAGCAGAGACGTGTCGGCAACATTGACCTTCGCCCCTGCATGCTATGCTGCCTGCTCTCTTCGTCTTTTCTTGCTTCGGAGACTCAAACTACGCGAGATTTTCGGACATGTCGCGTTCACTCACTTAGCTCAATACCTTTGGCTTCATCCTAGATGCTAATTGCAAAGTTCTACCTATCTCCTGGCATAATATAACGGCCTTGTCAAGCAAGACCGAGCGCTTGTCGGTTCGTGACGATACGTTATCCTGTGCTCCAGGGTCCTGGCATAGTTACGTTCGGTTCTACGAGTTTCCTCTGCTGGAGATATTCTGGGGAGTACAGGTTTCAGGAAAATCCCACATATCACTCGTGGTCTTGGACAGAATGCAACTTCGTTGTGAGAAGAATTATTTTCAGCACAGGGCAGTTGACCTTCTAAGTTGCAAGTAACAATGGTACGCTCTGCAGCTCTCATTTTATGTTTTTCACGATAACTCACCTTGAGCGAAGCTAGAGAAATTTCGCTCCAACTTCTCCCACCGTCCGAAGAAGGAGGACGATGAACCTTCTCCCACTCCAAAAACAGTCGAGAGGAACTTGTCTCCTAAGCCTCCCCTTAGCTGGATGCGAAGGAAAAGCTCGGGCTCTCTCGCGACCTTATTGTCACACCGACCTTCCAACTCCAGTCTCATAAGCGGCGATGAAGCAGAAGATCACTCCACAGATTATGAAATGGAGTCTCTTGGTCTTCGTGCCATTCATGAACCAGAAGGGAGACCAATCGCAGATATCATTTTTGTGCATGGCCTTGGTGGACACAGTTATAAGACATGGTCAAAGGATCGTGACAGAGATTTCTTTTGGCCGGGCCTGTGGCTTCCAAAAGACCCGAAGATTGGAAGAGCGAGACTGTTTACATATGGCTACAATTCAGGCTTGACTGGCCCAAAAACTGTGTCCAACATCATGGGCTTTGCCAGGTCCCTCTTATTCGACATGCGTTATAGCAGGGGTCAGCAAAGCAACAGTATTAGGATTGGCGACGTACCGATTATCTTTGTAGCGCATTCTATGGGTGGCCTCGTTGTCAAAAAGGCTTACCTTATGGCGCAACACGATAACAGCTGTCAAGAGCTCGCGCGCTCTATCTCTGGAATCATTTTCCTCTCCACGCCACATCGTGGTTCATCTCTCGCCAACACCCTTGACCTGATCCTGCGATCCATTCTCCAACCAAAGCGGCCTTTCATTAAAGAATTAGAAAGGAATTCCTCCGCAATCGAGGATATCAATGAAGAATTCCGTCATGTGGCGCCGAAACTCTCTATCATCTCCTTCTACGAAGAACTCCATACTGTGATCCTCTCGCAGCCTCTGATGATTGTTACCAGAGATTCTGCTATCCTTGGCTATGAAAACGAGCAGACACGAGGGCTCAATGCTGACCATCATACTATTTGCAAATTCGAGAACGATAGGGATCCCAGCTTCAAGATAGTCCGGGACGTTGTGAAGGGTCTCGTTGAGAAATTCAGCACAGACGTTATCAAACCAGCGGGTACCACCAATCCCAGGACGATCAGCCTCGTGAAAAGAGCCCTGGGGATGTCCCGTACTGATTCAGAGGATCTTGATTCACTCCGAAAGCTTTGGATCCCGGGAAGTTGTGAGTGGATCTTGACGAATTCTACCATTCGAGTGTGGCTAGAGGACGCCTCCCGTTCTCACTTGGTATGGTACAATGCTCCCCCAGCTAGTGGGAAATCAGTCCTATCAAGCTACCTAGTGCATTACCTTCAGTCTGAGGGGTATGCCTGCCAATATTACTTTTTCAGTCAAGGAGATCAGACAAGGCGATCCATCGGCCAGTTTCTGAAGTCAATGGCTTGCCAAATATGTCGTATGATGCCAGACTATGCAGAAGAATTGCTTGCATTCAGCACTGGAGAGTCTCAGCTGTCGAGTGGCGGTTACCTTTCCCTATGGCAGACATTATTCGAAGACATGTTATTTGCTAGAACATCAGATTATCCTCTCTTCTGGATTGTTGATGGCCTAGACGAATCAGACTCTGCATCAAAGGTTCTTGAGCTGTTGGAAAATGTGCTCTCGAGGTCAAAGCTGACAATTAAGATTCTGGCTACTGGACGACGGACAGACAAACTCTCTTTGATGTTCAGAAAGCTACAGCGTTTGGTTGTGGCTAATGAAATCGACGGGGCTGAACATAACCACAATTCCCACGATATTCAGTTGCTAGTTGACCGAGAGCTCGAACTGATGCATGGGAGTATGGAGCACAAGGCACGTCTTCGGCAGGATATTCTCACACGCGCAAACGGCAACTTCCTCTGGGTTAGCTTGGTCCTTGAGGAACTTCATAAATGCCAGACCGAAAGTGAAAGTCAACTTACCCTAGAACAAATACCAGCAGATATGACAAAGATGTATGAACGGATGGAGCAGCTTGTCATCGATAACCCGAACCCGAGGCAGGTTGAATTGGCAAAGGAATTGCTTCGCTGGACAATCTGCGTACCGACGCCCTTGAAATTGAACGAGCTTCAAGAAGCCGTTAGCAAAAATTACCCCGATATCATCGAACTTGAAAAGACTATCCGAGCCGTTTGTGGCCAATTCATTCTTGTTGACAGCACGAAGCATGTTATGATGGTGCACCAGACCGCTCGAGACTTCATGACAAACGCATCAAAGAGTGTCATTGCAATTGATCGTCAAGTCGCGCACAGTACTCTGCTGATCAAAAGCCTCTCCGCTCTTTGTGATGTGGAGCCGTACGATGCTGTCCATAGACAGAAAAGGCACATGCCAGGCCTTGAGGAGCTCGAAAAGCACCAGCCTTTCCTTCTCTATGCTGCCAATTCATGGTTCTACCACCTCAAGTATGCCGATCCCATTGCTGATAACGTGATTGATGCACTGGAGAAATTCTTCAGCAGTCCTTACGTTCTCGATTGGATATATTCCCTTGCTATGCTCGATCAAGTGAAATTGTTAGCTAAGGTCGGGAAAGCTCTTTTGGGGTTTGTGATCGACAATCGCAAACACAACAACTCAAGGAATCCAATGCTTCATCGACTCTCTTCAATCGAGCTTCTAGAAAGCTGGTCCGCAGACTTGGTGAAGATAACAGCCAAATTCAGCAATCATCTTGTCATTGAGCCTTATTCAATCTACGACATTGTGCCAGCAATGTGTCCACCAGGCTCAATCATTGGTCGCTTATTCGTGCGCCCCAAGTCTGCAAAAGCTCTTGTATCTGGACAGAGCGATTCCTGGAACGACATTTCCGCCCGGCTTTCTCTTCAGGAGGATGATGTAGCCTTGAAGATTGTCTCTGCAGGCCCTCATATCGCGGTACTCGCTCAAGGTGGTATCATATATATATGGAGTTCAGCAGATTTTCGAGAAATCTGCAGAATCGACCATGGTGAGGCGGTGACGAGTATTTGCCTGAACGCGAAAGGTAACATACTCGTGACTTATGGACTAAAGTTGACAAAAGTCTGGGAAGTTCCGAGCAGGGTACTTCATACAGAACTAGCCAACCATTGTAACACCAAAGCCATGTGCCTTGCCTTTGCTATGAAAGATCAGCGTATATTAGCTGCAAATGACGACAATTCGATAAGATATTTCGACATATCTGAAAAAGACGGCGTATGGAAGGCCCTCAACGACTCTCTGATGAAAGAAGAGTCTCAATCCGACTCAGTCATTATCAATAGCCCAAGCTGCATGGCAATGAACCCCGCCTGCACACAGCTTGGTGTATGTTACAGGTCCTTCCCTCTTACGGTCTGGGATTTAAGCAGTGGCACGATAGTCTCTCGTTGCATGAGGCGTACGGTCAGCCCATTTCCAAACCCAACCTCCGTGCAGTCATGGTTTCCAGTAGAAGTGTTTGCTTGGAATCCCACCACCGGCCACATCCTTGGATGGTATAAAGGGAACAGGCTTTTCAAATGGCATCCATTAACAGACGAGACTCACGAAGTCTCAGCGTTGGTTGATGAACTGGTATGCAGCCCTGACGGGAAGGTAGTCTTGACAAGCGACAGCAATGGGACAGTCAAGATATGGAATTTTACCTATCTTACCGTCGTCTATCAACTTTCTTCAGGTGATCTGGTTAGTGGCCTATCCTTCAGTCCGAACTGTACTCGATTCTATGATATCCGCGGATCATTGATCACTGCTTGGGAGCCTAATGCATTACTGCGTCTCGCAGAGGCAGAGGACAACTTCAGCGATTCTCTCAGTCACGAGCAGCGTGGCACCGTGATCTCTCGTTTGTCTGAAGTAACTGCTCCGCAGTATTCAAGCTTGACAGCCCTTGCAGCCGCGCCAGGAGGCTTGTTATTTGCAACAGGAAATGAAGATGGCGAGGTTTGGCTCTCCAGTATACAGTCTGGCATCAAGTCGGAAGTTACCCGCTTCTACAATTTTCAGTGCGTCAGCCATCTTATCTGGGGGTCGAGCAGTGAGGTTCTTGTTGCTGCAGACCTTGCAACCGATGTCCACATCCTTCAAATTAGCAATCTTGAGACCGAGACTTCCAAAGGCCCAGAAACAAAGCGCTTAGCAGATCCCAGCTTCAACCTTGAAGGCCGAGCCATACATCAGATGCTGCTGGATACCTCATCGCGCCGACTTCTTGCTATCAGCAACGATCTCGTACAGGCATGGGACATATTTGATAGCGTCTTAACGGAGTCTAACGACAGTTTAATGGATGCAGCCTCTCGGTACTGGTGCAATCATTCCTCCGACAGAGAATTATTCATCGGGGTTGGACCTGAGGATATCCAAGTTTTCGAATGGTCCAGCCTTCAACAAGTCTCCTGCGTCATGATTGGCATTGATACTCATATGAAGATTGGCCCCAACAGCTCTACAGTTTTGAGGATAGATGAGCAGTCTACCTCAATGAAAACGGTGACTAGGACGATACGAAATGCTAGGCTCTCACAGGACGGCAAGCACATCTTGATCGAGATAAAGGAAGCGACGGGACGGGGTCGGAGCAAGATTCAACATCTCGTGATTACGACTAAAGAATTAGCGGCGACATTGAAAGGAGGCGACGGTGTTATCCTTGACTCTCTCCAGATCCCTGATGAGGTGGCTCAAAACATCGACGTTGCTTTAGCGATCTTTCCTGGCGAGCAGCTGGTCTTTCTTGACCGGAACCTCTGGCTCTGTTCAATGAAGTTGAGCCAACCATTGGCGACAAATGCCTTCAAGCGTCACTATTTCATTCCACGGGACTGGACGGATGAAGGAGGTCTCCAGCAATGCTGCGTGGTGAAGGACGGAACTCTGCTTTGTCCTCAGGATGGCAATGTGGTAGTAGTACGGAGTCACGTAGGCTTGTAGATTAAAAACTAGATATTGATTTGTTTAGTTTAGACATCGCTCCAAAAGACAGAACAATTATTTATGTAGATGAAATATGTCATTGGCATTCCTGACATTCATGATTGATCATCAATTTTTGTATGAGCCCCGCAGAGACGTCCTTCAAGCAGAGTCGATGTTACAGTACCTTTAAGTACCTCGTCATGTAGGCGTGACCTTGGAGTGCTCTTTCCCGCTCTTGTCTGAGCTATTAGAGGAGTACGACAATCTACACGATCAACACAAGTTGGTTCTGTGTTTCTCAACTCTGTGCTGCTGATACATGAAGGCTAAATAAGCAGCCGCCAGGATCGAATCCGGCTCGTCTCGTCCTCATGAACTCTAAACGAATGGGACAAATGTCTCATGGAGCAAGAGACGAGGATGCTGTACCTGCTCGATATACAATATTTGAAAAAAATGAAAAACGTCTGCTCATTATACTATTAGGATTTGCGACCATCACATCGCCTCTCACCGCTACCATCTATTTCCCCCTCCTTCCCCTCCTGAGGGAACACTTCCATACCACTGCACAGGCCATCAACCTCACCCTTACCATCTACATCGTCTTCCAAGCCATCTCACCGGCGATATTCGGGCCTCTTTCTGATTCAGTGGGACGCAGACCCGCTTACCTGGTGACCTTGTCGTTGTACATGGCTGCAAACCTGGGCCTTGCACTCAATAAGAATCACTATGGGGTCCTCCTCGGACTACGAGCCATACAGAGCTTGGGTGCGAGTGCAGCGTACGCTGTCAGTTTCGGCGTCGTTGCTGATGTCTGTGTGGCGAGTGAAAGGGGCAGGATGCTGGGTCCAGTTAGCATGGCGTTGAACTTGGGAGCATGTGTTGGCCCCGTCGTTGGTGGATGGGTTGCATATGCCAGTGGAAACTTTGAATGGATATTTTGGGCGTTGGTTATCGCTGGTGGCTTACTTCTCTTCCTCATCGGTGGCTTCCTACCAGAGACGGCTCGGGCACTTGTGGGCAATGGTGAGGGAAAAGCAGACCTCAGATTGTGGCATCTTCCATGGATCAGTGTGGCCCAGCGGGCGATTTCGCAGGCATCCAGCAAGGCTGCCGACCACCAACAACGCAAGACCGAAAAGTACACAAATTGCATGAGTACAACCAACCACCAGGAATCTGCTCAGAGACCGAAGTCATCGACAAGGCTATTGCGCATTGGGAACCCGCTTGCATGTCTGAGGATCATCTTCTACCTCGACACCTTCTGCGTCCTCTGGATGCATGGTTCGTTCTACACGGTTGACTACTCCCTGGTCGCTGCAATACCGGATATATACAAGCAGATATACCACTTCAACGAATTGCAAGTTGGGCTCACCTACTTGCCGCGCGGCGTTGGCATAATCGTTGGGGGTTATTGCATTGGCAAGGTAATGGATCATAACTACAAAGCAACAGCCCAAAGGATCAACTGGCAGATAGATGCCGTCTCCGGTGACAATCTGAAAGACTTTCCAATTGAACGAGCAAGAGCACGTGGGAGCCGTTGGCTGTTGCTCGTATCGACCATCGGCCTTGTCGGTTATGGATGGGCTGTGCACTATCGTGTCCATGTATCAGTCTTGCTCGTTTTGCAGTTCATGCAAGGGTTCTGGGGCACGTATTTCTACACTGTGTATAGTACTTTGTTGGTCGATGGCTTTCCACAAAGCCCAAGTACGGCAGCTGCAGCGGCAAGCATCACCAGGTGCGCTATGGCAGCCGCAGGGGTTGCAGTTCTGCAACCTTTACTCGATGCCACAGGGCGAGGATGGTACTTCACCGTCTTGGGTCTATGGAGCGGAGGCTTTGGTGTTGTGGCCTTGTGGTTCATAGAACACAAAGCAATGACTTGGAGGCGGCGGCGAACAGAGAGACATCAAGTCGAGGGAGAAACGTCTGGGTAGTCTAGGTATCAAAATAGGAAAGCAAGTCATATACAAAGGGGCATCATCGCTGCATGAACGTTCTCTGATATTTTGAAGAGACAGGATAGTCAGGTATGCATATTGTTCACAAAGTCGTTGTGCGCGTCGAATAGATACGCGTTGATGAGGGCGGTAAAACTTCGGCACTAAACGTGGTACATTCAGAAAGTACAGATTCCACTCCTGAAGACTGCGACTCTCCATATATGCCTGTAAAGACCTTGCGGTGAAGCTCGATCTGGCCGAGCGAGGTCAAGATGGGACTGATAAGTAAGAACGGTCTTGACTTTTTGTATGACTCAGGAAGCTGAACATATAATATAGGATCCTACATTTCCAACATACGCAGAGACGATCCGCGCCTCCTTCGGATCCCTCCGTATCTCTCTGCCCTATGCATTCTCGGAGGCATCATATGGATCCTTCTTCTACCTCTGAATGAATACTCGAGGCGGACGTACATTTCCGAAAACGCCCTATTGCCCGGCCAGGTTCACACCTACTTTGGTGGAAGTGAGCAGAATGTCTTTCGAGCGTACCGACACGAGTTGGCGACCGTCCTGGACTCTTCCGCTTCGGAGAGCAATCACACTTTGACAAGAGAAGATCAACGAGGACTGGAGGCCGAGACAAGTTCTAAAATACAAGAGCTGTTCAGGAACGCAGGTCTGAAAACCGCAAAGCAACGCTACTCGTACACCTCGTCGGGCCAGACTTACGAGGGCGAGAATGTCTATGCCGTCCTCCATGCACCCCGGGGAGATGGTACAGAGGCCATTGTGATAGTCGCTGCTTTGAAAAATATCGACGGTGCTCCCAACGTCAATGGAGTCCCTCTTCTCATCTCTCTGTCAAGATATTTCAGAAGATGGTCACTCTGGTCCAAGGACATTATTTTCTTGGTGACGCCAGACAGTTCGGCAGGCCCGCAGGCATGGATTGAAGCATATCACTCCACGCATGATCCCGAGAAGGTGCAAGATCTTTCGTTGAAGTCAGGTGCTCTCCAGGGAGCTGTCTGTATAGACTATCCATTCGAACATCGCTTCGAGACGTTCCACATTGCCTACGACGGAATCAATGGAGCGCTTCCTAATCTGGATCTGTTCAACACTGCTGTGACCATCGCTACGGGCCAGATGGGCATTGGAACTTCGATTCAATTTCAGCATACATACACCAAGGCCGACGCACAAGGTGAATACCCGTCTCGGCTGCAGACACTGGTCCGCGGAATGTCTTCTCAGGCGCTTGGTCAAGCCACTGGACCTCATTCCAGTTTCATGACCTACCACATTGACGCCATCACATTGACGGCCATTGGAGAAGGCTGGCAAGACGAAATGGCATTTGGTAGAACGGTTGAAAGTATCTGCAGAAGTCTCAACAATTTGTTGGAAAAACTCCACCAGAGTTTCTTCTTTTACTTGTTGATGCAGTCCAACCGATTCGTGAGCATCGGCACCTATCTTCCAAGTGCCATGGCTATAGGGGCTGCCTACACAATCATGGCAATTTATCTTTGGGTTCTGAGTGGCTATCAACTAGTTCAGAAACCAGCGGCGATTGCGGACGAAAAGTCAAGCACTTCATCGCCTAGCACGACACCTCCTCAAGACACAAAGACGAAGCTCGAATTTCTTCCGAAAGACAGACATCTTGTCCTTCCAATCGCTTTGGTGGCAGCCGTGTACCTGGCATCGTTGGTGCCTCTGTACCTACTCACGTCACTCAGCCTTGGGGCTATCCCATCGACCTTTTTCCTCCTGACGATCCTCCTTGTCGTCCTCCCCATCATTCTGGCATCGGCACTGTCAGACACGCACAATAATACAACCTTGCCTTCCTTTTCGGCTCCGTCGCAAGAGCAATATGTCCTGATGAGGTCGCTGAACTTGCTATTGCTCGGTCTCTTCCTCACGGTCCTCGCCACATTGAACTTTAGTCTCAGCATGTTCCTCGGTATTGCATGTATACCTTTGGCGTTTGTGGACAGGAGTGCGTCGGGCACTTTTGCTCTGCTTCAATATCTCCTTCTAGCTGTGGTGAGTCCGATGGGGCTTGCGGTCGGGTTGGCCGTAAATGGTTGGCTTGCGTTTGGACAGACGGATGTTCTGGTCGAATGGCTACAAAAACTGGCCTTTGGGTGGAACGTCTGGGGAAGTTGGGGTGTGCCTGTCGGTATACTGTGCATCTGGCTGCCGTCGTGGGTGCTCAGCTCGACGCTCGTGGCGAGTTCGTGGTTCAAGAGTGGGGGGTTTACGGTGGCTGTCTCATCTACAGAGTTGAGGCCGGACTCGAAGAAGGAGCCCAGATAGTATACGTAGATATGTATCTTCAAAGACATTTGCTCGAACTCGACGAATAAAAGGATGAATCGATGCTCAATGCTTAGCTCAGGCACACGGACTCCTTATATCTATATTGTAGCCATCATCTACAATAACAAGATTGACTCTGTGACACCTTTCAATATTTTTTTATACTCGTTTCTTCATTCATGTACTCCGTACAACACGACCTGAGTATGTATGTGTACGTACATACCGTAAGAATGTCCATCATCATAATTTACTACCTTTCTTCAACTGTTCCTTCTGTCGCTCTCGCTTCTTCTCACAGCTCTTCAGGAGGGCATACAAAGTCTGCATCCTCGGCATTTCGTGGCCCTTTTCGCGGGCCAACCTGATGGGGTTGCCCAGGATGACCTCCAGCTCCATGGGTTTCCCACTCTCCCAATCGATCAACATGCTTGGTTTGCTGCCGCTCGTGTTGCGTTGAGTGGACCGCAAGATGGCGTCCGAGGTGGCAAAGGAGGGAGGGAAGGGTTTGCCGACGACTTTGGGGGCCGTCGTGAGGACCTCGTCCATTACTCCCTTGAGGTGGGCGTAGAGTTCCGGGTCGTTTGCCATTTCCTCGTTGGTGCTACCCCCCGACAAGACGGCCGAAGGGTTCATGGAAGCGTTGATGGCGATCTTGTGCCACCGGACCAGTTGGAGTTTTTCGTGGGTGTCGGCGATGGCTTCCTTGATGCCGCCGCCCTTGAGCAACAGATCAACAAAGGTCTGGTTGAGCGCCGTGGCTTTGTCCTTGACGGGCTGTGAGGGCTCTGATGAAGAGAAATAAGGACCGACATTGATCCGGGTCCAGCGGTTGTGTTTGACGTGGCCGTCAGACACTTGGGCACAGGATGCGATGGTGACGGCACTGATGATGGGAGAACGAGGAAATCTGTGGGCGTAAGGTTGTTCAACCCCCAGTCCGTTCTGGATCAACACGACGGCCGTCTCGTCGGGCGTGACGATAGGTTCGATGAGCTTGGAGTCGTCGGACCTGTCCGGCAGGGCCTTGGTGCAGACCACAACATAATCCCATTTCACTTTGCTGTCGCGCGCGGCTTGCACCGAGCTGAACGTTCGGGTAGGTCGCCATTGGTAGTTGCCGTATTGAGGAGACGTGATCTGGAATCCGTCGCTTGATACTGCTTTGTAGTTGGACCGACATATCACGGAAACGTTGGTGTCTGGGTTGAGGGCAACTCTAGAAGCGTAGAAGGCTCCAATGGCGCCGGCGCCGAAGAAGAGCAATTCGGTCGGCATGATACTGGATCTCAGATACTTTGTTGTGCCTGTGAGTCCGGGTTTGAGCATGAGCTGGAGATCTTACTGGTGAGGGTGATGAGGGCTTGGAGGGGGATATTAGCAAAGAACGGGATGATATCTGATGATATGGGAGACGTGAATGCCCTCGATAGCCGAGGTGGAGCGTCGTCCCGGCTTTACGTTTGGCCGGGGTTGCACATACAATAGGTACCTGGCAAGCCTGTACGGACTGTTGTACGCTAGACTTGTAGGGGCCATAGTGGTTTGAGGGCACTAAACATTAAAGCAAAGCCTCACTAGAGGGCAATTAGCCACAGCCCGCGAAGTGAGTTGTCACCGCCACGAATGCTGCGTCATCCGAAGGATACAGACAAGACCTGGATTCACCATTCACCATTCAAGCGAAGATTTAGTGGTTCAACCCTGTCAGCATCAGGCAGAAATATCCAGGGCAACCACAGCTGAAGATCAAACAACGTGTCTCACCAAGCCTCATGTGTGTCTTCAAGGAACATCCATTCAACCCCAGCTATGGTTTCTCTTCGTATCGAATATAAATTTGCCCCTCCACGTTTTGACTGAGCATGATTTTCTTTTTATTCGCATTCTGTGTCTTGATACATTTCACACCGTTGACATTGACCCAACTACTTCCCGGACATCAGTACGAATACGACGACCTTTTCAAATTCAACATGGGCGGCGGACACGGGATTCGGTCTGTTGTCTACTACGTCAATTGGGCACCGTACGGCCGAAACCATCATCCACAAGATCTGCCTGGAGAGAACCTCACTCACGTTCTGTATTCATTTGCCAATGTGAGACCCGAGACGGGAGAAGTGTATCTCACAGATCCGTGGTCGGATACAGACAAGCACTACGACGGCGATAGTTGGAACGACATCGGCACGAACGTGTATGGTTGTGTGAAGCAATTGTTCCTCCAGAAGAAAAGAAATCGCAATCTAAAAGTCTTGCTGAGTATCGGTGGATGGACATATTCTTCCAACTTTGCCCAGCCCGCCAGCACCGACAGTGGCAGGAAGAGGTTTGCACAGAGCGCGTTACAACTCCTCGAAGATCTTGGCTTCGATGGCATCGACATCGATTGGGAGTATCCGCAAGACCGTGCCCAGGCAGAAGATTTTGTCAAGTTGTTGTCTGAGACGAGGGGCGCACTCGATGCTGCTGCCTCCAAACGTCACCATGCCCGCTTCTACCTTACCGTGGCATGTCCAGCTGGGCCATCCAACTTTGAAAAGCTGAACATTCCCAAAATGGACCAGCTTCTGGACTTTTGGAATCTCATGGCGTACGACTACGCAGGATCCTGGGACCAAAGGGCCGGACATCAAGCAAACTTGTTCCCATCTCGATCGCAGCCTCAGGTTACGCCGTTCAGCACAATTGCCGCGATCGATCACTACACCCGCCAGGGCATTCATCCATCGAAAATAGTGCTGGGCATGCCGTTGTATGGACGAACCTTTGTTTCCACCCACGGACCTGGCCATCCCTTCAACGGAGTAGGAGAAGGTAGCTGGGAACAAGGTGTTTGGGACTACAAAGCTCTCCCCAAACCAGGGCATACCGAGTACCATGATCCCGAAATTGGCGCGAGTTGGAGTTATTGCCCATCTACCCAGACGATGATCAGTTATGACACACCGGCCTTGGAGGCTCAAAAGGCTGGATTTGTTCGAGACCATGGACTTGGCGGGTGAGTCGCTACTTAACACCATCTCTCTCGACTTGCAAAAACAGACCAGTGTTGCTGACGTAGATGTTCCAGTGGTATGTGGTGGGAAAGCTCAGCAGACAAACCGGCAGGCCAAGGCAGCCTTATTGAGACTTTTCTCATGCATAGCGGAGGACGAGGTAGCATGGAGGAAGTGCCAAACTGTCTAGAGTACCCAGAGAGCAAGTATGAGAACTTGCGGAAACAGTTTGAGTGAAATTTGTTGGCTGGCCATGGGGCTGAGGCGGTTCACAAAGAGGTACCTTATGAGCAGCTCCCTCTGCATTATAATTTGCGGCTCCACGGCGCTGGGAGTACAAGTTGACCCAAAACTCGCAGTTAGTAGTTCGGTTCTGCCCGAGTTATTATTACGGGACGAGTAATAATCATGGACTAAAATTTAGGTACCACAGCGATCTGGAGTTGTACCTGTACCTGATCTTCTTGTCCTCCCTCGTTCCCGCTGTCACGAGCCGTTTGTGTCCCACGCACCCATCATTGGGGGAGCCTTAGGACAGCTGTCTGTACGCCCACTCCACTTTTGTACTCCTTATTACTGTACGGAGGACGAAAGCGGAGGAAGCCGGAGTAAGGTTTCATAAGAATGTATCTTGTGCTGTTCTTCGCCGAAATCTTGAACCGTTACGGATAGGTGGCTGGTTCGCATTTATTAGTTCGTACAGTGTATTTCAAAAATCTAGGAACCTACGGAGCACGGGATGCTATCTTTAGACAAAGATCTTGACAGGCGCGGGTTTGATACGGAGTAGGTGTGCTGTGAAAAAAGCTTGCGTTTGATCCGAAAAAAGAAAACATGTACGGATTACTCTGTCCTGTAATTGTACTGTACAGCTGAAAAAGCTCGCCAACTCGCTTCTTGGCGGTCTTGAGATCATCTCAAATCTCGCTTTTCCCTACGGAGCAGTTGATTTACGTATAATCACAACCAAAGGGGTCCTCCAAGCAACTGAATTCGGTGAGACAGTCACCCGCACTTGGAAATGATTCAAATGAATTGGTCGTTAAGAAAGCGCCTCTGACTTCATGGGACAGCCACTACTTACCTGCAGTACTGTGCTTGTACCTAAGATAATAAACTACTAACCGACAGACAGACGGACTCGTGGTCCGCCCCATCATGAGGACAAAAACATATGTATCTTGTGTGTGTCCCCCGATCAGATCCTGCCAACCACGTGCTCGCCTTCAAACAAGCAGACAGCTGTACTCCGTAGACAAGGCCCCAAGTGATAATGTCGGCTTCAGGAACACGCGGAGAATTCACTGTACTGTACTATTACAAGTAGCACCCTTACCTGAAAATAAGATACGGAGCACGGGTGCTGTGACAGGCATCATTGTCACCGGCTCTTGAAACTCGTCGGACGGCTCGTTCTTGGAGCCTCGACCTTTTCTTCAACGTGGCAAATATTTACTACAGATCATGCAAGCGATGTTTACCTGGTAAATTAGCCATGTTGTCAGGGAGGACGTTCGTGTTCCAGCAGCCTGTTTTGAATGTTTGAGGCTGTAGAGGATCTGAAACGGAGCGGAGGGGAGAACGACATGGCGTAGCTACGACTACGACAACTCTCTGAAAGCGCCATCCCATTCAGGTGGAGAGTTGAAACCTGACACGACATACAATCCCTGGCCAGCAGCAAATGATGATGGCAAGACCCGGGGCGCGCTGTGTGACCCAAGATAGCAGACACTTCTGAACCCTTTCCCCTCTTTCCGACATGGCTTGTAAGTTATTACAGATGCTTACAGGACAATACTGGATACCTACTGTAGGTACTGATCGGTAGTAAGTAAATCTCAAGGTGGCGCCGACTATCGAGACCGAGCGACGGACATTACCTTTCCCAAAGCAGATGCTCAAGAGGTCACCCGACAAAAGCCACTGCGAAGGAAAGTACTCTTTACGGAGAACAAGAGCGTTTCCAGCTTCGTATCTCTACTCCGTACGGAGTACCATTCAGACAATCATCTTCGCTTAGAGGGGAGAATGGTCCACGTTCTTGACGGACGAGTCATTAGCAGGTGCCATGATTGGATTGTGGCTGAAAGTCGGCGTCCCCATTAGTGACCTCCTTGCATCGTCAGCAGGTCCTGACGTACGTTGGCGACAGAGATTACGTCCCCGGCCGAACTGGAATGTGCAAATACGACAGACCAAAACCTGAGGCTGAGGCTGAGCCAGGCCAACAAGGGACCGTTGAAAAAGGGCAAAAGGCGGGTCAACAAACAGAGAGGACAAAGGCAAAGGGGAGTAGTTGGAACAATGTGTCTCGAGGGAGGAGTCTTCTCTCTCCCGACGGGGACCTGCAGGAGATCAGCTTTGCTGGGTCAACAAATATTCCTCATATAAGTAGCATGTAGGTAGACAAACCACCATGTTCAGTGCCAGATACAGATGCGTGTGTGAATTAGGTAGAAATACTTGTATCGAGGAAGTGGCCCAAGCATCCGGATAAGACATGGGGGAGGAACAAGCCACCCATCCAGCATTCTTGCGATATCTTGCAGGATGATGCCCCGGACACTAGTGAAGCCTCTTATTGTACAGGGGAATGAGTGGTATGGAGCATGCACATGTAAGGCATCTATGATGATAACGATGTTCGGTTAAGACGACGAGGGTGTGTGAATCGGAAAGTTATATGGAGTACGGAGAACAAGGGTCTGGTGCCTAGGTAAGTCCAGTGATGAAGTCGAGGTTATGGTGAGAGGATGCTCTTGATGCTACTTACCTACTGTACTTTACATATTTGTCTCAAAGGAAAGAGTGCCTGGTCTTTTGACATACCAACCTAGGCATACATATGTACAGAGAACTCATAGTAGGCACTGTACCTATTTATTATTATTGTATTGTATCAACTTACCCCTGACCCGTGGCAGCCCAACGAGGCACCTCCACATGAGTTGGGCAGTTGGCGAGGTGTCAAATCCTCTCCTCCATCTCCTACTCCTAGGACCCATCCCATCCCATCCCAATCCTCGTCCTCTCTTCGTTCTCCCTCTCACAAATCCCCTATCCACTCTTCGATTGTCCCGTCGACTCTGGTTCCACCCAGACACCCTCTACGTCTCTCTTTTCTCCACGCGACAGAGATGACGGCCAATTAAGCCACCGTCGTGGCCTGGATGGGTTTGAGCACCCCGGCCCTTGCCCTGCATATCCCAGGCTACGCTGGCCCTCAACCCAAACGCTCAGTGCCCCCTCCATCGCTCCCTATCGCGGGCCTCTCTTTTCCCATTCGTTCAATACCGTGCCTGGTTCCTGACTTCTGGTTCTACACCACCCTCCTCAACAACCCTTCCTCGCTCTGCCGTTCGCCCTCAGCGACTCTCTTATCTTCTACCTCTTCCTCCAACCAACTCTTTCCGTGTGCTGTTCGTTTTTACTCTGTAATTGTCGCTCCCGGATTGATTCGACTCGTCGACTCCCGAGGCAAACACAATCCCCCCCCAGTCACTCACCCTGCGCTCTACCACCAATACCTTTGTCTACGGCTCCCCTTCTACGTCTGGCACAACCCCACCAGTTCCTCGAAGAAAACAAGACCCCGTGGCTTGTCGCGATTGCAATCAGAAATATCTGTAATAACTGGTTCTCTGGTGGAACCTGTGTTGTGTTGGGTTCGGCTGGAATTAGGAGAACGAGAAAAAAACAATAATCACACCGCAACCGCGCCGGTCGCATTATAACTCGACATCTCCGGTAGGATCGACGCTGATAATCCTGCACAGTATCTCTTTCACACGGAAACTTTCGATTCAGCCTGCTTCGTGAAATTCGCAGGGTGGAACATTGTGCCTCGCTGCAGCCCATTCTGAAACGCGACCAACGTCACAAACCCCCGAGGCTTACGTTCTGCTGTCGTTGCAACAGTGCCTCCCGGTGCATATGAGTAGATGAGCTCCTCACGCCGCTCAGAGGTTCCCAGGCGTGTATCGTCAGCGAAGGATCGCTCAAAGTCGCATCGCAATTCTGGTTCACATCGGAGCAAAACAGGCGACATGTCGGTCGCAACAATGCTACAGCCCGCTTCGCGAGCATCGACCTCGACGAACTCCTCCTTCGAGCCTGTCAGTCGCCAGAATACCTTCTCCAGCCATGAAGGCGCTCGGTCTCTGCGCCAAAGCAAGCGCGTTAGCATGACGGCGTTGTATGCTAGCATGAGCGCAAAGGACAAGGATCTGGAGATCAGTGATGACCTGGCAAGGGCACAACGTACTCTCCGAGATCTCAAGGGGAAAATCTCGAATCAGTCCAAGAAGAACTTTGTGCTAGAGAAGGATGTCCGCTATCTCGATTCACGGATCGCGCTGTTGATCCAGAATCGTATGGCTCTAGAAGAGGTATGTTTTGCTTTATTCACACCACGAACCCTTCGCTGACTTTCCTAGCAAAATGAAGTTGCCAGCCATCTTGACGAGGCGGCCGAGCTGCAGGAAGGCTCGTTCCCAAATGACGAAAAGACGCAGCGCTACGGCAATCTCTTCTTCATGCTACAATCTGAACCCAAGCACATAGCCCATCTGTGTCGCCTTGTCACAATGGCTGAGATCGACTCCCTGTTGCAGACAGTCATGTTTACCATCTTCGGGAACCAGTATGAGAGTCGAGAAGAACATTTGCTCTTGACCATGTTTCAGTCAGTGCTCACGCATCAATTCGAGACGACACCGGAATATTCATCCCTGCTCCGTCAGAACACCCCAGTTTCCAGGATGATGACCACCTACACCCGCCGTGGTCCTGGACAGAGCTTTCTGAAAGAAGTTCTTGCCGATAAGATCAACTCCCTGACCCAATTGAGCGACATCGATCTTGAAATCAACCCTCTGAAGGTGTATGAAGCCATGGTCAAGCAGATTGAAGAAGACACTGGTAGCCTTCCGGAAGACCTGCCCAGATCCGTGACCGCCGAATTCGCAGCAGAGAACGCCCGAGTACAAGAGATTATTGAGCCACGACTAGAGATGCTGACCAAGATCGCGGAGGGATTCCTGTCCGCCATCATCGAGTGTCTAGAAGACACTCCTTATGGCATTCGATGGATCTGCAAGCAGATTCGCAATCTATCTCGACGCAAGTATCCCGATGCGCAAGACCAAGCGATCTGTACACTGATTGGAGGATTTTTCTTCCTTCGGTTCATCAACCCGGCCATTGTTACACCAAAGTCATACATGCTGATCGAGAGGGTGCCCGATGACAAACCAAAACGAACACTGACCTACATTGCCAAAATGCTTCAGAATCTGGCGAACAAGCCATCTTATGCGAAAGAGCCATACATGGCAAAGCTACAACCTTTCATCCAGCGCAACAAAGATCGCTGCAACAAGTTCATGCTGGACCTTTGTGAGGTGCAAGACTTTTATGAAAGTCTGGAGATGGACAATTACGTCGCCCTGTCGAAACGTGACCTCGAACTGAACATCAGTTTGAACGAGGTTTATGCTACACATGCTTTGCTTGAAAAGCACAGCACAGAGCTTGCCAAGGATCCATCCTCTCATCTCGGAGTCTTGCTTCAAGAACTGGGCCAGGCTCCCCCACAGGTTCCTCGAAAAGAGAATCGGGCCATCACTCTACCCCTATACAGCCGATGGGAGACTTCGTTTGAGGATTTCACGCATTCATTGGATATCACACAGGAAGAAATCTTTTTCATGGAAGCAAAGAGCACATTTGTCCAAATCATAAGAAGCATCCCGCAGGCCACTGCTGTGATGCGACGTCCATTACGACTCGATCGTGTTGCCGAGGCTGCGGGGACGCTGAAGAACGACGCCGTCATGGTTCGGAAAGGCATCCGGTGTATGGAGCTCCTGACACAGCTGTCCGAGCTCGGCGTGATTGATCGTGCTGATGACTATGCTGTTCTGCGTGACGAAGTGGAACAAGAGCTAGCCCATCTTGGCTCACTGAAGGAGAAGTGCCTGGAGGAAACGGTCAAGTTGGACGATGTCTACAAGACGATCCGTGACCACAATGCATACCTACTCTCTCAACTCGACACGTACAAAAACTACTTGCATAACGTTCGAAGCCAATCTGAAGGTACTCGACGGGGCAAGACTGAAAAGGTCAAAGAATTGGGACCATACAAATTCACCCATGCCCAGCTGGAGAAAGACGGTGTCATCACTAGAAGCAATGTACCCGAGAACCGGAGAGGTAATATCTATTTCATGTTCCGGAGTCCTTTGGCAGGCACTTTCGTCATTAGTCTACACTACAAAGGTGAGGTTGGCTTCCATTACACACCAAGGAGACGTACTGACCGAAGAGCAGGGCGAGCACGTGGTCTTCTCGAGCTTGATCTCAAGTTGGATGATCTTCTTGAGATGCAAAAAGACGGACAAGACGATCTCGACCTCGAATATGTCCAGTTTGACGTGTCTAAAGTGCTTACTCTTCTCAATAAGCGATTTGCGAGAAAGAAGTAGGGCGGCTATTTTGACGACATTTTCCCACATCAAGTCATGCAACAGGGATAACCGGTACTATGGAGCTTTCAACGACGACCACGACGCGGACACGAGCAGAATCATTTTGGCCTAGACGACTGTTGCCTAGACGTCTGGTGGCATCCACATGAAAGAAGATGTTCACCTTTCGACACCATTGTTTTAATAGTTTGACAAGCCGATCTTTCTTGCACCCTTTTGGCATATTGTAATATCTCGGCGAGCTGGCGATGGATACGAGAATTTGTACTAACATTGGTGGGGATGTGTTATTTGGTAGAAGAAGAGGATGAACACATGCTGTGTATGGGAGTATATCGGAATGACCTTTGAAGCCCGGATGTAGGTCTTTTGGAACCAACAATTGAATTGATTTGAAGATGAGTTGGCATTTGGTCCCCCTGATAGCAAGGGCGAGGAAAGGAAGGATACCACTGTATAATAATATATATATCTAGGAGCGCTCTTTTCATGTATTCGCGATGAGGGCGGTGAAGATGATGTAAGTTAGGGAGGACTTGATAGGAATCTACTCGTACTGTAACTTGTATCGAAAGTTGGAAATTTGTATGGTTCTGCGGTAGTTTGAATGCCTGGAGGCCAGTGGTTGAGCCTTGTTTACCTATTAGTGAGGCGTGAGTGATGCAATAGTGTCTGTGCCAATGTGTTCAGACGTATCCAGGTAAATGGGCACAGCATTCGTATGTACCTAAGATTTCTGTACTCGGAGTGGTTAACAAGTGACGAGGCGATCCTTGATGCGCCTAGAACCCCGCATCTTCTGGTGGCACCAGGAAACTTGCTGCCTGCCGGACCCTTCACTGTCGAGCCCTCGACCTTCACTGCAGCCTCGCCAGTTTCTCTCACTTTCCCTTCTCACTCTCTTGTCCTCTTCGTCTACTTCCAACGCTCAGTCTTGTCCTCTCCATGAACTTGAATCCATCTCGTCCATCATTCTTTTGAGGACACACGGGCTGTCAATCATGCCTTCATCCCAGGATTCTGATCGGCCTCTAGCGGCATTCGGTATCCGCGATCTGAATGGCCCTGAGGCTCCTCCAGGCGTCGTTCAGATCCTCAAGAAAGACTACACCAGCACTGTCCAAAACTACCCCGAAGCCGTCCTTTCCTACGTCGACTATGACGATGGCGAGATCATCACCGTCGGCTCCTCCCTCGAACTACAGCAGCGCCTCGAGGAGCCTGCGAGGCATTCCACCCTGCCCGTCATCCCCGCATTACGCACCCCGGACGAGTCCACCGACAACAAGATGATGCACATCTTTGATATCAAGAAGACTGGCGCCAGTCTAGCGGTATGGAAAGAGCATGAAGCATATACTAGCAAGGCCATCAGAGAGAAGACTACGCCTCACATCTTGAGGGATGTCAGCCCTAGTCGAGGGGAGTCGGCTAACAGCCCTCCTCTGGCTGCGACGCAAGAGAAGGTTCAGCAAACTGAGAAGATCGACGAATCTGACCGTTCAGCATACAACCTTGAAGGTGATGCTGTCGTTGCAGAGCCAGCCGCCAACGAAATTACAATCACTCCTAACCTTGCTTCGGCCTCTCCAAAGAAAATCCCCCCGACTCCAATCAACAATGACATCCCGACGAACCTCGACAAGGCCTTCATTGGCATCTTCAGCGCCATAGAGTCAAGACTTGGTCCTTTGGCAGACTTTCTTGAGACCACGGCAGGTGGTCTACGCAAGGTCGCTGACAAGACTGCCAAGTCGGACTCTTCTGCCGTGGAAGATGTATTGTCTGGCTTCAAAGATATCCTAACCCAGGTCGGAGAGTTTGGACTCGGTGTCGCTGCGACCATTGGCGAAGAGATCGAGAAGAACAAGGCTGAACGACAGCCTACTTCTCTCCAACGCGATGCTGACAAAACCCCTCCTCAAGCAGATGACGACGAGGGTGCTCAGCCTGAGCAAACGAAAGCAAACGGGAAGTCGGATGTGTTTGGCAAGAGAGTCAGCTTCGATGCACCACTGACGCGGCCAGCAGTGCCGAAGGATATCCCACTTCCTGAATTCTCTGAAACGTCACTTTCAGAGTTAAAGAAAGAACTCTCTAAAGTGTCATTTCCCGAGTTGAACCGCCTACACTTGAAAAATATGTTTATGAGATATGGGGATAGACTTGGATGCGCTCCTCACCCACAAAATACTCAAGTCCACCCTGCACAGCAGCCACACAAGGCGACTGCCAGACATTCCATCTTGGATATGGAGTCCACAGACCCCGATTTCTCTGCTCGTTACCCACCTCTGCTCAGTTTGCGAAAAGCCATGAGCGTGAACGAGTTGCAGAAGACAGCCCAGGCTACAAGCCCCTCACATTCGAACCCTGTGACAGGCCCTGCTGCTGTGCGATATCCCAGCTTGAGACAGTTTGAACAACAGGCTCACACCCTCGCGTCCAACAAAACCCCAGTCGCCTTGAGTAGCGCCAGACCTCGAGACATCACTCCTTGGGAAGATGAGCTCAAATCCAGAAAGACTAGTTCATACAGAAAACCATCAGTTGAGGAGGATGACTGTGCTGTTGAACCTGAACCGAGCACTGTCAAACCTGGGCCCTCGTCTTCACGACCAACCATGCCCTCAGCGGGCCTTCCTGGTGCTTGGCCAGAAACAAAGACTGCTGAAGACATGTCGGCCTTACCCGCAAATAAGCCCCTGCTCAACGGTGGCTCTGTACGTCTTCCTGAAACTAACATTTTCTCGAAGCCCCCTGCCAATCTGACAGATTCCTCTCGCCCTCTGTTTCGGCCTTACCCAGATTCGACATCGAGACCGCCCATGAGTTTCGGGAGCGAAGCACTGAAGAAGAACCTGAGACGATACCACACAGTATCTGCTGGTATCAATCCTGCTGCAAGACTCAACGGACCCTTTGATCCCCTTGCTGCTCATCCCCCAATGCAACCTCGTTCCCAGAAATCGCAGCCAGACCTGCAGAACTCCTATAGAAACTCTGAGGACACCCTCAGTCACAAGCCAAGTTTGCCGAATCTGTTGCCTCAACGCAGTCAAACCGTCAACTACACCGATCGTTATGTCCCGCGCTATGTCACCCCCTCAGTCTTCATGAATCGTGCACGGGACTATGCCGAATCCAGGAGCAATGCTAGGGATCATCGAATTGAAGGCCACCACATACCTGGACCTGGTTGGGGTGTGAGGTACTTCTCGCCTTTTGGCCAGCCTGCCACGTCCGCTGCTTCGTCGGCTCAGACATCGACTGCTACCACCGTTGAAGAGCGTCCTAGCCCCAATACCCCGGCAAAGCCAGTCTTTGCGGGACGCCCAACTTCAAACCCACCATACTCGTTTGTACCCCCTGTCCAAGGTGCTACAACTAAGCCTGCTGGACGCAGAATTTCGACACCGGCACCGGCCCTTCCTACCGGCATCAAAGCTATCAACGATTGCGTCAATACCTTGATCGATATGGGTTTTGGTGCCAACGCCAATGAAATGACCAGATTGAATGCTGTTGCTAGTGCTACTGCTGGTAACCTGGAAGAAGCCATTGACATGCTTGAAGAAGACCGTGAAGCTACAGAGAAATTGGGCTACGCCAGTGATGCTGCTACCAATGGATCGTATCAAGATGACCGAGACGATATGTACAACTGAGTGATAAGACGACATCAAGGTATGGTCTATTAGATGGTTTCATTGTTGTTCCGGCTGACCACGTCCAGTCTCATTCACAGCCACTCCTTTGTCCGTACGCTTTCATCAGCGACGAATGTGAAAACAATGTCCGAATGTTTTATGCCATTACGATTCTTACCTCGACCTCGAACCCAAAGGCAACAGACTTAAAGTCGACTCTCTCTTGAGGTCAACACACTTACTACCGCGTCAGCACCATGTTTGTAGTGACTGGTTGCTTTACGAAGGAAATGAGGCCTTGCTATCAATATCCTTACTGATGTTGTCGGTATAGCAAGGCGTAATTTCGGGCAACGGCGTAACAGGGTGTCTACTAGTTTATTTTGTTTTGTAAGGGTCGATCAAATACGAGTCAAGCAAGGGACTGTTACTGCGGACTGGGTAAAATAGTTCATCTCCAGTCAACGTACGAGATCAAATAGGTAGCTTATGAAAAAATCGACGATGATGAGAAGAACGAAAATGGTCAAGTGTCTCTTTTTTCTTTTTCAATGTTTTTTTGTCTGATTGGCATTTCTCTTCCTCAAAACTGTCTTGTCTGTCTGATCCTGACAATCTCATAAACCAAGAAACCCAACACAAGCTAAAAAAAAAAGCAGCGGTCGTGAGATTTGCTTTTGTGGTTTCCTCTCCATTCCTTTAGGAAGGGGTCGAGTGAAACTGTGGGAAGTGAAGGCAAATCGGCCCAATTGACCCGTCCTCTTTTCCCCCTGATCCTCGTGGTCAAAACTTGATTTCTCAAGATTGACACTCTGCATGACTATGTTTTTTTATTTGTTTTGGCAAAAAAAAATCGTCGATTCTCTGGGTCCTACATAGATGGATGGACGGATGAAGAGATGGGTGGGTGTAAATGTGTGATAATCGAAACTGTCCCTTTTTTGTTCCGCAAGGTGGATTTGAGGCTCCAACGTCAAAGTAAGGTAGTGGTGGTGGTCGCGGTGTTGATGCTTCCACGGAGGCTTCTGTTGGTCAGAGGTGGTTCCTCCTTGTAAGGTGAGAAATGGTGTGGTGGTGGTGGTGGTTCATGTCGGTGATGATGGTGAGGTTGGCGGTGGTGGTTGGTCCAAAACTGTCGAGACGAAATACAAAACTTATGCCGAACCCATGGTCTTTAGGTTGTCAGAGACCTTGAATGGTGCCTCGGTTTTGCTCTTTACTTCTTCGACCGTCACACCGTCCGCCACCTCGATCAAGGTCAAACCGTCGGTGAAATCGACATCGAAGACGGCCTATACATGGAGAAGAAGAAAAAAGAGAGACTCGGGTTAGTTTTCTGGTCACGTATAGATCTGATGGTGGTGGTGAGGGTGTGAGAGGGGGGGGGCCGAAAAAAAAACTTACCAACTCGGTGATGATCCTGCTGACGCACGCGCGGCCGGTCAGGGGGAACTCGCACTGTTTCAGGATCTTGGGGTTCCCCTTCTTGTCGGTGTGTTCCATCAGGGCCACGACCTTTGTCTTTTCGGGGTTGGAGACCAGGTCCATGGCGCCGCCGAAACCCTTGACCTTGCCGGGCAGCATCCAGTTGGCCAGGTCGCCGCGGGCCGAGACCTGCATGGCCCCCAGCATGCTCATGTCGATGCGGCCCGAGCGGATCATGCCGAAGCTCTCCTCCGAGCCGAAGCAGCTGGCCCCGGGGTTCAGGGTGACGGTCTCCTTGCCGGCGTTGATCAGGTCCGCGTCCTCCTCGCCCTTCCTGGGGTAGGGGCCCAGGCCCAGGATGCCGTTCTCGGACTGGAGCTGGACCTCGACCGAAGGGTCGACGAAGCTGGGCGCGAGCATGGGCATGCCGATGCCCAGGTTGGCGTACATGCCGTTCTTGAACTCGAGCGCGGCGCGCTTGACGATCCGCTCGCGCTTGCTGGCGGCGTCGCCCTTGCCGAGGCCGTCCGCGACGTCGGCGCCCCCCTCCTTGCGGAAGGTGAACTTTTCAATCTTCTTCTCGGCCGTGCTCTGGATGACCTTGGTCACGTAGATGCCGGGCAGGTGCACCGACACCGGGTCGATCTCCCCGACCTCGACGATGTGCTCGGCCTCGACGATGGTGACCCGGGCGTTGCGGCCCATGGCGCCGTTGAAGTTGTTGGCCGCCAGGCGGAACTGGGCGTTGCCCAGCTTGTCGGCCTTGTAGGCCTTGACGAAGGCGTAGTCCCCCTGGATGGCCTCCTCCATGACGTAGCTCTTGCCGTTGAACACCTTGACGTCCCGGGGCTTGCCGAACGACGCGATGCTCCCGTCGGCGTTGTGCCGCAGGGGGATCTCGCCGGTCTGGACGACCGTGCCGAACGCCGCGGGCGTGTAGAAGGCGGGCACGCCCTTGCCCCCGGCGGAGCACCTCTCCGCGAGCGTCCCCTGTGGGGTGAGTTCGAGTTCGATCTCGCCCGTCAGGTACTGCTGCTCGAGGACCTTGTTCTCCCCGACGTAACTCGCGATCATCTTGCGGATCTGCTTGGACGACAGGAGTTGCCCCAGGCCGGCCCCCGGGATACCTGCGTTGTTGGAGACGGCCGTCAATCCGGTGATGGAGGGTTTCTGGGCGACGGCGTCGATGAGCGTGTCGGGGACACCGCACAGACCGAAACCACCGCACAACAAGGTGCTGTTGGACTTCATGTCCTTGATGGCTTCTTCGGCCGACGGGACAATCTTGTTGATTTCATTTCGGCGCAGGGTCGAGGAGAAGGACCGCGTGAGGAGGACGTTGGCCTAGAAGAGAAGTAACGTCGTGTCAGAGGGAATGTTTGCCGACAATGAAATGAAAGTTACTCCAGAGAGCAGAGAATCCAACCTACCTTGCGTTGATCGCGAGTAAAGTAACGAGCAGTTCGGAAATATTTGGTGCCCGTGCGGAGAGGAGTGTCTAGAAAGGACGACATTTTGGTTTGATGGGCCGAGTGTGCGTGCGACGGCGACGAACCACGTAGGGGCAGACAGACAGAGGTATACCAAAAGGGCACAGAAAGAAGAAACAAACTCAAGCGAGGAGGGAAGAAAAAAGAGTACGTCGGATAAGATTGTGGTGGAGGAGGAGGTCGAGGAGGAGGTGCTCAAGCCGGCTTCCCTGGTGATATTAGTACTCTCCCCGTAGACGGATACGGAGGGTTGGAGATGGGCTGTTGAGCTTCGGCTTCGGCCAGGCTGGAGCGGGCAAAGTCTTTACCCTACTGCTCAATTTATTATTATTACCCCGGAATTGCTGCGCTCGGTTCCGGGCATGGGACACCAGTTTGGTGGTTGTGAGCAAACAACATTCGAGGACGTTTCCGATGTGGAGGCAAGCGGAATCGAACATTTCGGATCCTGAACCTTTCCAACACAACAACCGCCCTCGGATCATCCCCCCCCTCTCCCAAGGCAGCAAAAGGCCCCGGTACAAACGGCGCCCTTCTCGCTGGACTACTTTTCTGAGTAACAAAACTCGTACGTTCAAACGGACCATCCCGACAATACCGGCCGAACACGGCCTTCCTCGTATCGTCGAACTCATCCCTGTACTACGTAGGCTCTGCTAATCAAGACTATACCATATCAACACCTTCATGACGTCCAGATAGTTTTACTGATGGACTTAAAAGAATTGAATATCAAACATTGTCATACTCCCTTCTCGACCGATTATTTCATCATCATCCTTATTCGCATTCGTAATACATTTAATGACATGTACATCCTTTTGCCTCTCATAAGCCAACGTCTATCATGACAATTTGGGTATCTAGGTGAATCAAAGTTGGACAATGTTCAAACCAAAAATAAGACAAATACACCTCCAGCGCCATGCTTCAAAATCCATGAAACCAAAAAACATCTCAAAGACTATCCTCATCAACACTCATTTCACTCGATAGCTCGTCCTCTGCAACGGCCGGCTCAGGCTCCAACTCGACGTTGGACTTGGCTGACCAACTGGCACCAACCGTGGCTGCTAAGCTGCCACTCATGGTCCTACCCGGATTTATCATGTAATCATGATCTCCGGGAGCAACGACACCGGGGTGGATCAATCGAGACCGTGATGCTTCCAAAATCCCTGGAGAGGAACTGACATCAGATCCATCATCGCCCATCAAACGTTCATTTGAATCCGAAGACCATCGCCACATCAGCCCTCCAGGTGCGGGAGAGTCATCGTCCTCTGATGTATCGCTGTCTGAATCTTCGTAGAAATGACCCTTTTCGGCACTCGACGAGGAACTGGTGTTGTTGAAAACATAACTTGGCGGTGGCAGGCGAGAAGGCTGAAGAGACAACTGCATACATTTTTCCAGTTGGTAAGAATATTTGTCAAGGCCACGAAGACCGCTTTTTCCTTTTCCTTCTTCTCTGCGTTCGCTATCCTTAAGTTTGGTTCTCGCAATCTTAACGTCAATGGCAAAGTTGTCTTCTGGCCTGACGCCACCGATGCCAGATGCCTCGAACTCGAGAGGTTGTGTCTCGTCCTCTCCACTAGTCTTGATGGGCTTCATTGCCATCTTCACATCCGAGCATTCCGTTGGCCAAGCTCTTAAGGCTGGATCAACTCGGGCAGTGTAATAACAAGCGTTGACATCTCGAATAATCGAATCTTCTGATTGGGGCAGTTTGTCCATTCCCAGGACCTCACGGCTATCTTCGGGGTCAAGCGATCGGAGATTGATAGGCGAGCGATCTCCGCTTAGATCTGTGCAATAATACGGGTTGCTGAAGAAAGTCATAAGGCCCTCCCGAGAATCATCCTTGGACTTGAGGCTTGACCGACTGAGTGCGTGCGCGAGGTCGCTATAGTCCGGTGAAAAGTCCCCATTGGAGCTCGACGAGTCGAGGTAGGAGTTGCCAGCTTTCAGGGGGTTTTTCTTGCCTTTGAAAACAATTGGCTTGTAATCAAAGGCGGTCGACATTGACTTGCATGAGGGTTGATTTATAGCAAGATTGGAAGAGGAACTGACGGAGTTGATTAGTTGCAACCCAGCTGCGCCTGGCTTACGTAGTTTCTTGTCATCTGATAAAGACATGGAAAGTTCGTTCATAGTACTTGTGTTGCTTCCTCTCCCACTTTGACGGCCACCCTCATCGGTCGTGTCTTCAGAGCCACGGAGCTCTGCCGAATCCGGGCTTACCTGGATATCAGGCAAGTATGGAGCCATTGCATCCCCCTTCCAACGGATTCTATGCCCATCTTTGGAAAGCTCAAACATGGTGCTCCGCTGCCTGATGGCCTTTCGAACAAAGGCTGGCGTGACGTTGAGAGTATGAAGCTGAGCCATACTGGATAGCAGGTTCAAATAGAGCCATGGTTGCTGCTGCGACGGGCTCTCACCAAATTGAGGCGATGCAATACCCAAATGTCGAAGATATCTGATGTTTTCTTCAGCCACCTGAGCACGGTGTATGTCGAGATCTAAGGGTCGCGTAGGACGCTGATCCGGAGAAGCGGGACGTTCAGATGACGCAGGACTCTCTGAGGTCGAAACTGCTGATCTCCCAGTCTGGCCCCTGGATTGAGTTTGTAGCTGTTCTTGTTCCACCGAATCAAAATTGATTCTTGACTCCGGCGGCAGTACACGCGCTTCACGTAACCCTTCCACTCTAGTCTCGCGATTCTGCCTACGGTTCTCTGCACGATCGGCCTTGGCCGCAGCACGAGAAATTCTCTGTTGTTGGAGAGGTAGACTGTGTTCCCCGGGCTTCGCGAGGTTGCCAGTGAACAGTTGTTCCAGTCGCTGGACGACAAGAATCATTTTGGCGCTGTCGCTCACGGACATGGTGTCTTGAGGGAAGAGAGAGTCGGGAATATCATGCAGGTAATTCTTGATGTCTTTATCCTTCTTGCTCTTGGAAACAGGTTCGCTGAGCCTTGCTGCACCGGAGGAGGAGTTAAGGCCCGAGCCCGAGATGGATGCATAACCAGAGTCGGTGTTGTTCTGGTCTGGTCTTTGGCCAGTTAGCAGACTCCTTTCCGTACTTGGCAGTGACTTTTCCATCGGTAACGACGAGCCAGGTTGAGACGGCGATTCCGCATTGTTGAGACCATGTGCAAATGTTTTGAGAAGTTGCTCGAGCTCCCTTTTCCTCTCCGCAGGTAAGCCATGCATACGAACTTCAATGATCCGGTCAGGACCCAAAGACGACGACGGATTCGGCCGGGTGTGCCAGGTTTTGAGAATGGTCTTTAGTCTCTTGTTCTCCACAGTCAAGTCGTCGATGACTCCACGAAGCTCATCTCTTTCGCTTTCTTCTTGTCCTTGCTGCCCAAAGATCTCATCGGCTTGTGACTGCAGGGGTGCAGGGGCGTGATAGCTCTCCTGCTGAGCCATGTAAAAGGGGGACTCATCTGGCCCGAGTCAACAAAGAAGGTTGAGAGTATGCTGGTGACCTTGACTTACCTTCATGCTTGACGTTCTTGTTCTGTTGGGATACTACATTCTCATTGACCCTATCAAACCAGTGTGCTGCGCTCTGGTCACTACTTGAGTCCCGGCTGCCAACGACAGGAAGTTTTGAAGACTCGGTCTTGGGCGCCGATTCCGCACTACCGGAGCCATCTGAATCGTGCGCCAGCTTCACCTTTTTGCTCTGGGGGAGGGAGATGGATTCGGATGCATGAGTGCGACGAGGATGGGTGCCGCTGATGGAGGAGAAGGGGCGTTTAGGTGACGGGACTGATGGTTTTGCAGCAAAGGGCATACTGCGTCATCGCTTAGGAGTGCGGTATCGTGGTTTAAGCGCAGGCTTCGGCAAGGTAATCGCTGTTGTCGTGGAGGCGTAGGTCGAGCGAGGGTAGGAAGGTGTTACGGAACTGCGGGATTGCAGTCAGGGTGGATTTCGTGGGATCTGGTGTCTGAGTGCAAAAAGATCCGAAATGGGATCTTTGCGTATCTAGGCGGTGATACGTTGTAGAGGGGGTGTTGAGAGGGAATCGTTGTAGAAATAGCGACAAGAAGGATGCGGTGGTGAGACTTTGCAGACAACAGATCGACGTGAGGGCAGCAGGGGAAGCCATTTTGGTACGGGTGGGCATTGCGAAAGCACTGGAATAGTGAGGGTGTGCTGTGTGTGGTTCGATCTCGAGAGGCCTTGGGAATCATCGATTTGGAAAAGAGCGTCCCGATCGAGCACCACACAACAGATCTGAGAAAATGAAGCAGCGAGCCTCCCACGTGACGTCGGAGCTCCATCTCGTATCCCTGCGCCATCGACTATCATCTGGACCTTGGGCCAGAATCGAGACCCTGAATTTGACACACATCGACGATGATCCTCTGTGTCCCATCATTGGCCCGGGTTGTCATCACTGCCGTTTCAGTGCATCGATGCTGTCTACCACCATCGGCCAGAACCATTCGAAGGGTCTTTAGGCCTTAGAAGAGGCCGATTTTAGCACCGATGTACATGCATTTTCCGCCTCCCCGTCAACGAGCGACGTTATCGATCTGTTTTATCGGTAGAGATACATGATTATCCCCAGGTCCAGAACCTCGAACACCACAACCACCCTCAACTCCTATACACAAGGACATGGACTAACATGACAATTACGGAGTATCAACCCATACTTGTACAAGTGGACTCGCTTCCTTGACCCTCGGCTCCTAGTACGGTAGCCCTGCGCCAAGGACCACCAGGCCAGCGTCCGCCACCGAGAAATCGGCGATGATTCGCAGTTGGCTCGTAGATGATTCGTAGCGATCACCTTGCCATGTTTTCTGCCTACGCAATTGTCTTGATCGTCAGGCACATTATTGGCTATTTACAGGCACTCGCTGGACCCTGCGAACTTGTTGTTTACAAGGCCCTGCAGCGTATTTACGAAGTCAAGGTTGTTTTTTCCAGAAGGGCATCGAGCTGAACTGCACCCTATGACGTCGACAGGTGGCTTCTGGCCGGGGCGTTTCCACCACCAGTTCTCTTAAAGTGTGTCGCGCAGAGTCAAAGTTCTGGGGCGCCGAAGATCTGAACGGAGTATCGACGTGCTGGCACCTACGAGGTACTCGTTGCCCGTATTCGTACTCCGTACAGGACGCCATTTTGCGTCAGATCACGTGAATGATGTCATACCTCTTGCGATCTCTGGATGTTACGGAGTATTGAAAATCCGAAAGTGAATCACGTGAGACAGCAGTTTCCTTCGAACTATTGCTCCTGCTCCAAGCTACTGCAACTGCTCGGACTGGCCAAATTATAACTACGACTGCTTGTTCATCGATCTTAGTTCATTATCTGCTCTACGGCAGCTATTCCTTGTATACATACACAAAGCATTATGTTTTAGAGACAGCATCAAGCTACACAAGATAAGTCTTTGACTAAGCTTATCTCTTGATTCCTTTGCAGCCAATCGAAATCTCCGATGCGGACAAATCCATGGTCCAGATTGGCTGTTTTCCCAGGCAAATTTCAAGCTCGCTGTAACACCACACAATCATGTTGCTCTGGCATTCTAACTGACGTTGGAAGGCCCTTGCGATCGAGCCACTGATATACCCTACAGCAATCAACCCCCGTTGTCCATTGCCATATCTCAACAACTCGTCATGGGGATACTATTGCCCTAAACAGTTGCAAATTGGGACTACTCCGTTGGGGTCGCAAATTTGGTCCTTGTCTTTTGCCTCTTGCCTTTTCGCTATAATCAGGACTTTTCTTGGATTTCTAGCTTGCTTCGGGCGTGGCTCTCTATCCTGAAAAGTCTCCTTGCGCTACTTTGCCGAGGAACTTCACCTGCACAATGTCCGTTGCAAATGCAGGCATGGCTGTAGCGGCCACGGGCCCTCTCGCAGAAGACGCGATCCGTGATCCTGAACTGGCTGGGCCTGGAGAGTCCGAGGAAGAGCGTCCTATCGCGCCCGATCAATTCGACCCCAGATACGAAACATCGAAATGGGAGCGATGGGTCTATTACTGTTACTACATTGGAAACAATGGGTTGACCCTCTTCAATTTTGCACCAACCTTATTCCAGGACCTTCTTTACGAAGCTGCAGGCGATTCAGGCAGATTACAATTTCTGGGCGCCTATCGAACGATCAATTCGATTGTATTACTTGCAAACGGCATTTCTTTTGCGATCCAAGTCGTCTTGTTTCTGCTTCTGGGAAGTATGGCGGATTATGGACGATGGCGACCATGGATTTTGATTTTCTGGTCAATCGTCGCCTTCTCGCTGGGCTTTGGCTGGCTCGGAGTGCATACTGAAGAAAAGTGGCCAATTGCAACTGGACTCTACATGGTCGGACTGATTGCATATCAAATGTGTATAACCTTCTGGACCGCTGCTTTTCCCGGTCTCGCTCGGAACCAGCCCGTGATGCGAAAGAAGGCCGAGCAGTTTGAAAACGGCGAAATCACTCGAGATGACTACGACTTTGCAGATATGATGGAACGCAACAAAGTTTATAACGTCGCCTTCATCATGCAGAGTGCCGGCGAACTTGTCATTTTGGCCATCCTTGTGGGCATTCTCTTCGCCTTGGACGTGAATGCTAGTGTCGAGAAGAATTTGTGGGGTCTTTCCGTCTTGATCGCATATGCCACCGGCGTCTGGATCTGCCTTGCTATTCCCTGGTTCATCCTCGAGAAAAAGCGCCCCGGGCAGCAGCTTCCACCAGGTATGAACGTGATAAGTGTGGGATTTTGGAACATTTGGCGAGCAATGGTTCAGATCTGGGAGTTGAAGCAGAGTCTGATATATCTCATTGGTGAGCATTTCCTTTCTCTCGGAAGTACGAAAGGGTGCGTTCTAACCCTATCTGTCAGGCTATTTCTTGCTCGGCGACAGCCTCAACACAACAGTGACGGTTATCGCCACGCTCCAAAATTCCGTGGTTAGCTACAACACCTTGACTCTAACCTACATTCTGATGGTCGGCATCGCAACCCAGCTCGTCGGGATCTGGGGCTACTGGAGAATTCAGAAACGATACGGTCTCAGCACGAAAACCATGTTCGATTTTGTCATGATCGGCATTCTATTGCTGGATCTTTGGGGAATGATTGGTATCTGGACCCACAAAATAGGTTATCATCACGAGTGGGAGTTCTGGCTGTACTCGGCAGTATATGGTCTGGTGGTGTATGTTATGGACATGTCGATGGGTTGTGTTAAGATTGCTAATTCCTTTAAGGTGCCAATGGTATGCCTACAGTCAGACGATGATCAGTGAAGTGACTCCACGAGGCAAAGAATTCTTGTTCTTCAGCTTGTACTCTATCATGGTATGTTTTTCAGGTCCAAAAGGAGAATAGCTCTAACGGGTTGACAGGGCAAGACATCCGCATTCATCGGCCCGATTGTCAGTAGCGCCATCATCGATGCCAGTCCCACGGGAAACAACAGTCTACCATTCTATTTCCTGTTCGGACTGAGCTTGCTGAGTTTCTTACTCCTGTTCTTCTTTGTGGATCTCAAGAAGAGCAGGAAGGAGCAGGAAGTATTCTTGGCAAAAGAAAAGGCTGCAAAGGAGCGACGGGCGAGCGTTGTGCTTTTCAATCAGGGACGATCTGTCGAGAATGTACCTGGTGGTAAGGAAGTGCCAAAGGATAAGAAGATGGACGTGTCCGATGAAGGCCTCCGTATGGGCAGTTCGACGAGCCTGGAGAGGGAACAGGCCAAATCGTGATGAAATTCGGTTCACTCGTGTCTGGAAAGAGGGATGCTGCGCGGGATAACCCGGGTTCGACATGCGATCACCAAGCAGGCTTCCTTAGGGAATGACAACAATGAGGTGAATGAGATGGACTACATTCTTCCGGCATCGGCGGCAGGTCAGAAACCGTACACATACAGTACCTGAAGCCTCGGGGGTGGAGACTTATCTCCACTTGGATCCTAGCGCGACGCGATTTATGAAAATCGCTCAGCCTTGCTCGATGAATGCAATGTAAGGAGGAACAGATGCCATGATCTTAATCATATCGTACCTCGGTCGTTGCGCGACTTAGCAATGACCAGCCATGAGCGCAACTCCCTCATTTGGTAGGTGGATTGACAGTGGATAGGAGGGGTTCCGGGTGCTCTACTTGACTTCGTCGACCTTGGTCGGAGTTCTCGCCGGGACCTGGGAACGTGTAGCAGGTTTCCTTCCAATAATGTTCGTCCTCGATGCATGTTTTGAATCTGGGGAAATTCATCGCACTGGTTTGCGAGGTCTCTTTACAGGTGTGGGAGGTATTCTGTCCGCGGGAACTACAGTAGACGTCCGCTATTACGAATGTTGATTGCTATGTCATCGAGAAGCAGCGACCTCGAAAATCAAGGTCTGTAAGTCATGGCTTGTAGATCGTTCGAATATCCCCGCGGTGATTGAATCGTACTTCAAACATTTAACCGCGGTCGTCGAGGCTTTGATGTTCGCACTCCCCAGTATCCGGCCATTGTAATTCAACACTGGACCCGAACAAGGAGTGCCAGCGTACGCTTACCGTTGTCACTGGTCTTATGAGGTCAGACACTATGATCCACGCAATCTAGGAAGGGGAGATGGTCCCATGGGAAGAGAAACAAAAAATCCGCGCTTCCGCAATGTCCGCGGAGCAGGATTTGCGGTCCGGTTATTCCTCCCTACTGTTGTGCTTATGAGTAGATGAAGCTAACCAACGCGGAGATGGGGGGATCTGGGGTCAGTTGGTTGAACAACTCTAGACCGAGGAAAATGACCAACAAGCCTCGTACATGACCAATCGTCGAAGAAGCACAACGTTAAGATGATTGTCTTTGTGACTTGCCTGGGATGGCTGACTGTAACTCGTATTGGCAGGGCTTATCGTTCAGGAGATGGCACGGAGAACAGGACAGCCGGAGCCCGGGAGGACGGACATGAAGCATTTGAATCCTGATCGTACTCGTACACGGCAACCCCTGCACCATTTCAGAAAGCCAAACTTCCGTAGGTTTGTCAGGCATCATCATCTGACTCGATGACCCCTGACTGCCCAAACTTTGATTTCGTTCTGAGCGGACGGAGAGATGCATGATTCCGCATCGAGCCATAATGGACGAAACATGGAAGTACGGAGTAGTCAACACAGTTGTGCGAGGGGCATGTGCAATTTGTTGGCTTGTGTTGGGAATCAACGTGCTCCATACTCTGAGGGTGACAGGGTAGAGGAAGGATTGCAGGTTGCATTACTGTCAAACACGCTGCACGTCTGCTGCAAGAAACCTACCAGAAGTAGTATTAGGACAACAAAAGGCGCAGATATGGTAGTGGAAAGGCGTACAGTGAGGCGGGCGCCTAGGCAATAGGCGTTAGGGGTTAGTGCCCCCCCAGTATCCGTATACGCGCAGTTAAAAGGCTTCGCACCCGTGATAAGCGGGAGATAAGGGCCCCTTGCTGCCTGACGTGGGGGGTTTTGTCGCAATAATGTCCGTCCAGGCGGTCAATATTGGGCTGGAGTTTGAGCCGAGGAAGCGAGCAGATCATCATGGGCACAGCCAAAGACTCCGAACTCCCGTAATAAACATGCAGCAAGTGAGCAATATTGATGTTTTCTCGCTCGGTGAGAAAGACCGTTCGTCTCCCTTGTGGCCTTCTCGTCTCTGTCTCACTCTCTACCTACGAGAAACACGCAATTGTGACAATGACACGGGAATACGGATGCTGTGGTTGTCACAGGATGTACTGTAGGCTTGACGCTGAAGCTTTCGTCACGGCATTTTTCTTCCGATCGGACGAACAATTCCTTATTCATCACATCGCGCCATCCAACGCTCGAGCCAATCAATTCCGATGGTGCCTGCAGCATGAGTCCAAAGTCCATGTTGATTTGATGGCAATCGTGTAATTTTGTTTCCGAATTGGCATTTTGACGTTCTTCTTTGCGGATCCCAAACGCGCCTTTGTCTTTTGCTGCGCCCTAAGATCCGAATGACTCTTGGAACCTCGTATTTGGCTTCCCAATTCTCCCGCCTTCCGTGCCATCGTACGAGTTCAATACGGCGTTTACTCAACCGCCCTTCTCGTACTTACGGCACAGCTTACCGATCCAAGACCCTTTTACACCGTTGCCATTGTGACTCAGGCATCCACTAATCCTTAACTGAAGCATCTACTAATCTCAATTCTGGTCAAAGTCATATATACGAGCTCATCATCTCTAGTTCTTCTCATTCTTCCCCTCTTTTTTCTCCCTACAAGACGAGTACAAAAGAACAACCCTCTACATTCCACCATTAGCACTAGCAAATGCAAAAGCAATAGCAATAGCAAACACGTTTCACAAGTACGACTAAGCAGACCCTCGTACAAAAAACATTTTGCCATCCGGCTCCGGCCAAGAAAGGTTCAGCCGAATTTTGTCCAGTCCAGCCTGATCCTTTTCTCTCACATGCCAAAAAGAAGAAGGGCGAGGCTACCACTTTGTTGTCCACGTCCTTACTAAAACGCTACTACATTATTACAATACTCCATCCTCCCGTCACTTTTGATCGAGTTTTTTTTTCCTTTCCCCTTTCCACCCAAACAACGGTCTCCACCAGAAAATCCTTTTTCCGGTCGGGACTGTTACACTATCAACATATCTATATACCTGCTCGTTTCCCCCAAAACCCACGCACACAAAATTTCCAAATCAAGAAACAGTCAGCAACCATGCCGCTCTCCATCATGCAAGAGTTGAGCAGACCGCCCTCACGTGAACTGGCGCCTCCTTCGCCTCAGAGGAGGTTATCACGCGAAGTCACATACCAACTCGCCGACACTGCGCGGAGAAAGTCATCTGAGAAAGTGGTCCGGGAAGACCTGAGGCTCAAACTCAGCCACGACCACATCCTCGAGTTACTACTACAAGACATTGCCCGAACGGAACGAGAACGGCAAACGTCACCGACGGAGGAGAAGTACCTTTTGGAGGAGGAGAGGAAGTCGCCGAGAGAGGAGCGAAGACGGAAACAACAACCTTCAGACGAACAACCTCGATTCGACGACTATGGTTTCCCATTAGAAGATGAAGACGTAGAGGAGGATCTGGGCGGATTGGCGTTGATGAGGACAGAGTCGAGGAGGCCGAGGAGGTGAAGGACTTCTTTACTGCATCATGACCTCACCACTCTACGACTTTTATCGTCCCCAAGACCATGACGTCGACGAACATTTTTTTTACGACTTTATTGCCTCGAAACGTTTTCATAATGATATACCCCCTACTCGACCACCAGCGTTACTGGTCCGAGTTCGATGATGGTTTTTTCCCCCTTCGAGCCGATGCTGTTCTCTCCTTCACTACGGGAGGGAACAAAACTACGGCAACTTTACAGCCTATTTCTTCCAAGGCTACTCAACAACGGTGCGCGACGGCAAAGGATAATATTTTGAAGAAGATCCCGATGAGGACGAGATGGAGATGAAGATTGGGTCTACGAACGCGGGTTGCTTCGTCCGACGGACACCTTCCAAGACACGACGTCGGGGACAGGCTATTGGATGAGCTTTGGGCTCTACACCTGTTTCCTTCACGCCGTGTTGGTCGGTGGTCATGTCTGTCCTGAAGTACTCAAGCGGAGGAACACGTTGTAGCGCTTTATTGTTGCTACGAGACCTGGATCAAACATTCCAGTCAGACAAACATGTAGAAGAGGAAATTGAAAAAAAAAACTCTATATTGAACATGAAGAACATCCTATGGTCTTTGCAACTTGTTCGATTTGTTTCGTTGCGTGCCTCACCGCCCATCTCGATCCCGTTCCATCGCAACACGACTGTATATGTACTCGCAATCTTCGCCATGTGCTTTCTTTTGTGAACAGAACAACATACCATTAGGGAAAATCCCGGGACCGACAGACTGGTTTCGGGATTAACCTCCCGGTCCTCAATTGATCAAACAAATACTTTTAATGTACCTAGGTACGGGACAGGTATCCTACAATGGGAAGATTTCCCAAAAATTAATCGCGCGGCCCGGTCCAGAAAGACGTGAACTGAAAACGGCCCTGAAATCTGGATTCGGATCCATTTTTTAACAAGATTGTTACAACATTTTTTTTCAGCCTGACAAGGGATCGAAGCCGTCACTTACAACGGACGAACGACCCCAAGTGGGCTTTGGGGTGACTAATAAAAAAAAATCGACGGTTGTTTTGATCCTTCTTGATCATTCCATCGTCGCATCAAACCCACACCACGTGGTGACTCACGAGGCCGTTTTCGTTTTGCCGCCGCCGCCGCCGCCACCGGGACGTCCGTGTGTTACAAGCACTACCTAGGTACCTACTTGTAGGCACCTATGATACCGAACAGGAACGACCCGTGCGCTAGGTACGTATGTACAAGAGTATTTTACGATAACTCGTTACCGGATACGGAATGGAAATTTTTTTGGGTTTGTTGTTTTCGTCCCTTTTTTGGATGGTTCTCAAAAAAAAAAAAGACCCGAAAGTCGGTCGGAACATCTAAAGACCCACTTTTGTTTTCTCATTTTTGGTTTTCGGGGGGGACGGATTATTGATTTTCCTTTGGATGAGTCAGAGGAGTTTCATACAAGTAATTGTCCTCGGTATACTAGTAGTGACATGTGAACATATCAATGTACGCCCTATTCTAAAAGTGTCAGTGTCAGTGTCAGTGTCAATCATCCATTTACATGCGACGTTGGATCATCCAGAATTCCCTGTCTGCTTCTCTTCGAACACTTTGAGGAAGACAGAGGTAGGGAGAGAGAGAGAGAGAGTTCTTATCCAGGTTGACCTGGAATTGTACTGCAGGCTTTTGTTCATGCCGACCCTCACTTGCTGCGGTCAAAGTCCCCCTAGAGTTTCGGGCTTGAGGCTGACTCACTTGACCCTTGAGGAAGGGAAGGTGAATAGGTCACTTGCTGTGTATACCAGGTACTTATGTAGGCTTACCCCTCAATAACTTGCTCCGTATGTAGTCCCCCGGTTAAACACCGGCGAGGATGGTGAAGGGAGACGGAGTAGAGAACCGCTTCTCGCCGTATCTTCGGCTTCACATCTCTCCTCCTCGTGACCATGATCAATTTCATCACAACGGTACGATCGTGCAAACAACACACCTCACCTCGTTTCTGGATTCATGGCGTTTTTATCAAGGGTCATGTCAATTTGAATGCCTCTACACTCCTGTTTGATACCCCGTAAAGCTGTTTTTGCCCGCGAGTCTCGAGTTGAAACATATTCCCTCGGCCCCTCCCTGCTCGTCGTCGTGACAAACCTCCCCCCCCAACCAAACATGGCCTTTATTCGCCCATACGTCGAGTCGGATCAGGACGCCATGATACATATTGTGAGCCGCTCTCGACACATTCACAGAAAACACTGAGCAGGCTAACGTCTGACAAATTGTTTCTGCTCATAGTTCAGGGAGACTGCGGCACCCGACTTGCGAGCGGCCGGTGACCCGGTCCTTCATTACGGCTCATACCTCTGGTGTCGGCCGTACTTTTTGTTGCAACCCGACACCTGTTACGTCTTGGACGACGGCGATGGAAGGGCGGTGGGCTATCTCTTGGGGATCTGTGACACGCCGTCTTTCGTGCATAAATACCGGGCCGTCTTCATCCCCTACGTTCAGCTGGAAGGCATCGAAAAGCCTCGACCAGATGAGTCGGTCAGATGGAATGAGAACCTACCGAACGCCCTGAGAAACATCATGTTCCACCCGGAAGGTATGTTGCACGAGGACTGGCCGGAGTTGATGAAGTCGTGGCCTGCACATTTACACATTGACATACTGCCGGAGTACCAGAGAAGAGGGTTTGGTCAACGACTGATCGAAAGGTTTTGCGAGGTGGCTAAGAAGCAAGGCGCAAAGGGAGTTCATTTGGGTATGGCTGCGGCGAACGACGACGCTGGAAAGTTTTATACCCGTCTAGGCTTTACACGATTTCCTGCCGTTCTCGACCATGGCGCTTCAGGAGAGCAAGGTAGAACCGAAGGGGCCATCTGGTTGGTCAAGACATTATGATGATGATGATGATTTTGTCCCTAGTTTTCTTTTGATCGATTCGTTCGTTGGTCAAATCTTCTTGTTCAGCTTTCACTCACGTCAGCACCAAATGTCACTGTCTGATGAGCTTGCGTCAGCCAAACCCATTTTTTCAGCTTTGACAGAATTGTATAGCTTTTGCGTATTCGAAAAGACTCTTGATTCGCAGGTAGGTGTTTGTATGCTATCATGACATGCCTGAATTTACATGTCAATCTTCAGTACTTACCACCTTTACCCATACCTTCTCCGTCAATAAGTGAGGCCGGATGAGCGTCCACGTGAGCGGCTTGGGCGAGTTCGGGGGTAACCGAGTTTATTACCGAGGGCGAATCTACGGAGGACTAAGAATTAACCCCAGATAGTGCAAACCTCCTACGCCGTACTCCGTACCTGATGCTAAGATCTTACGGACGTTGTACCTTGGCCCTGTTTCAAAGATGATGCTTACCTCGTTTACCAGAAACTAATACTCTGTAACTAGATCTGTCATCAAAGCTCAAGAGATATTTCATACACATTTTGAACCTTTTACTCCTTAACCTCTGCTCGTCCTTTTTTCCTTACATTGTCACTGTCTGTCTGTACGGAGTACGGACGTCCCCACAGTATCATTCGACCACCGACCGCAGTATCTCTGGTACCATGGTTTTCTTCAAAGCTACACCGGCACCTGAATTGCCCACGAAGGACATCCTATCTTGGATCTTTGACGCCCCTGACTACGATGTGAACAAACCGGTAAGCTCTTCCTTTTACCTACCTAGCCCATATTAAACCCTCGATTTTCTCAACTTTTCAACAACAAAAGGACAATCTCTTCATTGTAAGTACGGAGTACGTATCGTGAACGTTGACATTGTGTCCGCACCTCTCGCAGATCCTCGTCGATGCCTCCAAAACAGAGCGATTCATCTCACACCTCCACGCCCGTACGACCATCCGCAAATTGATAGCGGGACTTCGTCACATGGGCGTGCGGCGGGGGGATTGTGTCATTGTGCACTCGTTCAACGACATCTACTACACCCTCCTCGTGTTGGCCATCATCGGGTCCGGGGCCATCTTCGCGGGGACGAATCCGGGATACACCCCACTCGAACTTCAACACCACGTCAAGATCACCCAGTCCAAATTCCTCATTTGCGAACCGGAGTTGCTCCCTTCGTTGCTGCAAGCCGCGAAGGGGACCGGAATCCCGGTCTCCCGTATCCGCATCTTCGACACCCAACCCGGTCAGACCTGTCCGGACGGGCTTCTGGGTTGGAACGACCTCCTGCGGCACGGAGAGTCGGATTGGGTACGATTCGACCACCCGGAGACGTGCGCAGACACCACGGCGGCTCGTCTGACGAGTTCCGGAACGACGGGCCTCCCCAAGGCGACCATGACCTCTCACCTCAACCTGATAGCCCAGCACGAATTGGTCTATGGGATCGCCAGTCCCAAACGACCCTATGAGGTTGTCAACCTCTTCGCCGCGCCCATGTTCCACGCCGCCGTCGGCCCGCGCGTGCACACGACGGCGCTCAAGAACGGCGAGAGGTCGTACGTCATGCGCCGTTTCGAACTGGAGCCGTTCCTGGCGAACCTGGAAAAATACCAAGTGACCGAACTGTACATCGTCTCGGCCATGGCCGTGGCCATCTGCATGTCCCCCCTCATCGAAAGGTACTCTCTGAAGTCGGTCCGACAGGCGTTGGCCGGCGCGGCGCCGCTGAGCAAGGAAACCCAAGCGGGGATCCGGAAATACATGAGGCCCGACGCGCCCTTCACCCAGGTCATGGGCATGACCGAGAGCACTTGCATCCTCACCTGGTTCGACTACCCGGAGGACGACGTGACGGGGTCGGTGGGTCGGGTGAGGCCCGGCATCGACGTGAAACTGGTCGACGACGAGGGCAAAGACATTTCCGGTTACGACGTCACGGGGGAACTGTGCATCAAGGGGCCCACGGTGATCAAGGAGTACTTCAACAACCCGGCGGCCAACGCCGAGACTTTCGACGCCGACGGCTTCTTCCACACGGGGGACGTCATGTACTGCGACGGCCGCACGAAACTGTGGTACATTGTCGACCGCAAAAAGGAGATGATCAAGGTGCGGGGGTTTCAGGTCGCCCCTCCCGAGATAGAGGGCGTGTTGCTGACGCACCCGGACATCGTCGACGCCGCCGTCATCGGAGTCTCCGCGCGGAGCGAGATCGACGGCGAAGTGCCGCGCGCCTACGTCGTGCGCAGACCGGGCGTGAAGGAGCCAGATCTGACCGAGAGGGATGTCGTCGAGTACGCCGGCAAAGCGCTGTCCAAGTACAAGCGCCTCGAAGGCGGTGTGAAGTTCGTGGATGCGATACCCAAAAACGCCTCGGGTAAGATCCTGAAGAGGATCCTGAGAGACGAGGCGAAGAAAGAGACGACCGGCACTGCCAAGATTTGATTTTTTGGTCTCTGTGAGTGGTCGTAAGCGGAGTACCTCGAGTACTCTGCCCTTGCAATATTATTCGAGCCAAGGACTTTTGGATGGTTGGGTACTGATTAGTACGGAGTATCAATTGGTACACTTTCATGTACTCTGTACTGTTGAGGAATTGAAATTTTTGTATCATACCCCCGTCTTTGACTCACACGAGAGTGATACACATAAAGAGCCCTGGGCGTTGATTCGCCTTAATTTTGGGGAGGTCCGATATTGCACAAGCAGCGTAGGTGGTCAACCTCGGTTTTTGAACCCCACAGACAGACAGAGAGAGAGAGAGAGAGAGAGAGAGAGAGAGAGAGAGAGAGAGAGAGAGAGAGAGAGAGAGAAAGTTACACGGGACCGGAGAGCTCGGTCCTTGTCGAGTGCGTGTTTTGTCCGTGAACCAAAAAAAAGTTGTTTTCAACGAGTTATCGTTGTTGATACATCATATATATTCGTTGGTATATATGTACATGTTTTTGTGTGTATCCAAGAAGGATAGGAGAAAGAAAGCAGGTACAAAATCTGCCGCGGGGATTCCAACCCAAGCCAATCAAACAACGGTCGAAAATTCCTGATAGATTCCACTTGGCCATCTCATATTGATGAGTTTCCCCCTCCAAAAGAAACCAAACAAACCCACAAGGGAAAAAAAACAATGGGGAATAGAAGTTTCGTTCAAGGTCGGAAATTCGTCAAGGTAGGTGTCGTGCTTTGCTCAACAACAACACCAAATCTACGTCAATAGTAAACCGGCAGCCCCTTTGAGGTATTGACAGTCGCAAAAACTTTGCCGCATGATTTCGTTCCTCAAAACCACAACTTCATCGTGCAGGGCGTGGAGGAGAGACGTCTGGACCTGCAGCTTTTCCTCCTCGCGCTTGCAACGGGCCTGGAGGTTTTCGATAAAGGCCTTTTGGCGGTTTCGACACTTGGTGGCGGCCTTGCGGTTGAGCTCGAGTTCGCGGGCGTGCTTTTCGGAGCGCGGGGTGATCCTCGACGAGGCGGACTTGCGCCGTCTCGCGGGTGTATTGCGAGGTCTGTAGGTGTCGTTCGATAAGTCCGAGGTCGCGAGGGACAGTCGTCGGACGGCCCTCTGACGGTCCAGGGAGAGGTAGTCGGTGAGAGAAGAGTCAAACGACCCACCGTGCTGGTGCTGGGGGTTGTGGTTGCTCAGATCAATAGACCCGTGTTGGCTTTGCGGGGACCTGGACGACTCTGACGCGGTGAAGGAAGAGGCGTGCAATTCTTGCGGGTGAATGAAATAAGGCAACGGTTCGGTGGGGAGGATGGTCGATGATGGCTCTGCGGATGGTTCAGCAGAGAACGGATCAGAGGCGTCAGGCAGCATGGAAATGTCGTCGAAGTTCAGAGTCTCTTCAGGCGGCAGTGGCGCGGGCACGTCTTGTTGGAGCTCGACCGGCCACATCTTGATCTCGTCAATGGGTGGCCGTGGGAAGCTCGATCGCGTACTCATGGTGCCTCCTAGGTAAGAAGACTCAGAGTTGAGTTTGACGTGTTTTCCCGAAATGCTGGTTGCGATGGGGATAGACTTATTCGGATGAGCATATGTATGTACAAGGGTGTGGCTTGTAAATCACCAAGTTACCGCAAAGGCCGTGGAAAGTAATTTGAGTCGGATGGGATGGGACAAGAACTTGTTGAAGAATAGACCAACCCAGGCTGTTTATGGGTAGCAAAAGAACAATACCTCAATTACCTTTGAGAGCTTGACCAGTGTCGTCATATGGTCCATGGGTGTCGCCACATGGGTTGTTTTTACAGCACTGTTTCCTCTCAGCGACAGGTGTGGACAACAGCTCCGGACGTTTTAACCGTCAAGGTTTCCATCGCACGAAAGTCCGTAGATTGCGGGGGTGGGAAAGTAAAAGGACCCTGTCGAAGAAAGAAAGCACCAAAGACTGATCTCAGTAGCACCATGCGCCCACCCAATCATACGCCTGAGGCTCGCTCGCTCGCCATTCTCCGTGTCCTGAGATTGAGGCCGGGAACCCGAGGGCATGACTGGAGGCTTAAGGCGAGCCGAAAATAATGAGCGGCCGGATATCATAACCAAGAGCAAAGTGACTGGCTGATGAGCCTGATTGAGTTCCGAAGACCAGGATATCCTCTCCGACAAGACCCACCTTCGCTTGAAAAGTCGTTGAATCAACACAAGACCTTCGAGTGTTGGTACTGCGACTGCGGAGGAGCACTTACGAGCAGGTCATTACTCGTTTCAGCAAGTGAGGAACTGTCTGGTCGACGTCAAAAACCAAACACGAGTCGTAGTCGGACGGAGTTTGACAACGCTGGGAATTTTTTCTGGTCCTTCCAAAAGTGGGTAATCCGGTCATGTCTTGAGTGCTTGGAGGGAGATACTGTTCCCTCGGATGATGATTGGTCAGATACACTGACACGAGCCTGTACGAATACGGGGGCCCAACTCTCAGGAGGACGAACGGTGATCTTGCGGATATCAACTTCAAATTGCGTTAAACACATCTCGGCAACCCGTGAGGAACGCTTTCCTGCCCTCTGAGTCTCTGTCACCGCTGGCAAGTCATTCGTTCAATTCCAACAATTGACTCTCCATGCACACAACTCCTCTGACCTAGACTTCCTCTGGGTCCACTCGGAATCCATGGCTTTGAAAAAAGGACGTCCCTATCCGTATCCCCGCCATTTCTGTTGCCACAGATCATTTACTCTTTCCGTCCATGGGATTGTCGAGGTGTTTCTCGAGTCTTTACTCGTAGAAAAGTGGGCTCCCACAACTGACTTATTGATCCGTTGGGCTTCCGGTCGACATGAGCATGCACGAGTCGACCGCGCCCAGTACCCCAACTGTGGTCTCAAAGAATCACGGCGCGAGAGACCACCACGGCACCCATATGGCAATGACTTCATAGGACGCACTGATGTGAGAATGTAAGCGACGACTTCTCAAACCCTGGCAATCCTCGCTCTTCCCCACCCATACACAACGTTCCCGAACCTCTCTTCGCTATGTTCACGGTTCCATATGATGTCAGGTACCCGGTATGAATCTTCGTGCTTGGATATCAGGAACGTTGCATTGTAAATAGAAATAGCGTTTTTAGTCTCGACCTTGTCCCCCTGACCTGTTAGAGGTTGTGATATCAAAACACCACTGAAAATTCACGCGGTGATTGTTTGAGGCAAACCAAGGAACGCCTTTCTCGGACGAATACAACAAAGGATGTCGAGGACCAGATCTACCAGCAGTGGGAAGGGAGGTGATGGTTCCAAGCGCCGAACACGACGTGCTTGTGACCGTTGCAGAAACAAAAAGGCAAAGGTACGCACAGTGACATTCTTGTATATGCTATTTTATCTCGGGCCCATTGTTCTGACACTTCTAAAACAGTGCGACGGCACTGCGAGATGTAAGACTTGCAGAGGGAACGATTCACCTTGCACCTACACCGCCCGAAGAGGACGCGATGCTCGAACTTAGTGAGTTGATGCTACCTTTCCTTTAGTCTCGGTGTTTCTTAGACTTGGTCACTGGGATCACTGACACTACCCGACAGTTACTGTCGCATGCGCGATGTTTTGGACGAGGCAATTCAACGTCTGTACTGGGCTTGTCGACAAGAAAGTGGGTTTCCAGGCGACATCCCTGACGAGTCCAGCGGGAGTGTGACCACCGACTCAATCCTATGTGGACTGGGTTTGATCGAACCGGGAGGTGAAGAGTCCACTACTACGGCCACAGCTACCGCCGGAACGCGCAGGGAACCGAGTGATTCCTCAAAGGCCCAAAGGTTGCGGCCCAACCAGGATCGACCTTGGGCGCTTTCGACCGCCCAAGAATTTACGCAGACACGGCACGACCAGCAGGAAGACTCGTCTTCAGCGTCACAATCTCCACCTTTTCCGTCTCCGGGGTCGTATGACGGCTCTGCGTCAAGCTCGGTGCCATCACTTCAGCAGGCCACGACGAAAGAAACGAACTTTGACATGAATGGAGACCTCGACCAGCAAGACATCATGCACGAACAGCCATCGACGGTACCATCCTGTGAGGTCTCCCCGGAAAATATCAGCAGCGTCCCGTCGGAAATGGCGGTCAACGCGGTCGACCCCGGTGGTTACGGAGTGGGCGTCGAATCTTACCTGAACGTCGATGCGTTTTTGGACGCAAACTTCTGCAGCAGCATACCCGGCGATGCACCGGCGGCCACATTGGGAGATTTCACAGGCGCAATGTCATTCAAGGGCAACAACAACAACAACAACCATGGTCAAGTGAATGGACCATTGTTTTCTGAACTGCAGGTCGTCCCAGCTACAAAAGGCGACAGTTACCTCTCACCGTGGCCTGGTTCGCTGGCAGCGGCTTATTCCTCGGTGCCTCCTGTCTGATTATGGCAGGCCTTGAATCTCTTATGGATCGTGTACCCGTACAGCGAGTTTCGAGAGAGGGGGTCGGACATTCCCATTCTCTGATGTCCATGGCCTATGTTTAGAAGGAGGCTGTTGTTGGCGGTTCTTTCTTTCGGGTCTGGTCACGTTCGCAACTATAAAAAGCTACCATACTACTTACGTTTATATTGGTTCGCTCCAAGATAAGTCAGATGAGACTATTATTGTACAAGTAGATATTGATTTACAACATCATCTTGATACAAATACTCTTTTTGACTTGATTGAAGCTTCTATCCCGAGCCGATGGTGATTTCTCATTCTGGCCGCTCCATTCAAGTGCTACGATGAAGGGGACCATGATACTCGTATCGTCCACGCAAGTTCTCCCGCGAGAGTCTTCAACGGCAACAAAGACTGACCGTGCTCGTATGATGTACTTCGTACTCGAGCAATCAGAGACGACGGGGATTTTCTCCGGCAATGTGGAGTCTTGTTCTGTTCCTCCTCCTCGCCTGCATGCCGAGTACAAGTAGGTAGAATTTAGTGGCGAAATTCGCCCACTTCGCCCTAAAACCGCCGCAGCATCCATCGTCTGTTGCATGTTGTCCGACAGGGATGCCGGAAGTCATTTACGCGGCTCAAGCTAAGATGTCATGATTCGTACTCCGTACATTGTTCTCTGTTCCACCGGCGTTGGGACTGGCAAAGGCTATGGATCCTGTAGTATAGGAATTAATACCACATCCTACGAGTAACAGCCGCCGGTTGCCACTCTGAGTATTCGTTTGTCCCTCAGGAAGTCAGTAACATGTGGGAGACCTTGTCTTCTTTCCGAGTATTGTGAGGATGGATTTGCGTTTAACTGGTCGGCCTAGACAATCCGACCGGATTACTGTCCCTCGTAGTTTCGCGTCTGGAGCACGTTCCGGGCGTTCTGCAAGGACCTTGCTTTAGCCTATCTGAATAGGACTTTACAAGACTCGAGTATCGTGGACCTCTATGAGATTCCGGCACTTGTAGCCGACACTGCAGCAGATACTGATCCGGACGAGGACATTTCAGATTCTACACCAGCAAAGAAATGGCTTCGATATCCCCGTGTTCTCTTCCATGGTGACATTTGCATATGCACAGTTCCAAGATAGAGGTGGTCCATGGAAAGTTCGTTGGCGGAAAGTTAAACGCTGCACTGTACCCAGGCACATCAAGAGGTGAATAAGCTGCTATGATCTCGGCTGGAAATGGCCATGCGGGATTTCTCAATTCGGGAGTCCACAAGGCAACAAGTACTTCTTTTTGCAATGAAATGTTTTGGTCAGAGCTAAAGAAGTTGGTCCTCTCGATCACCAGCGTACAAGACGATTCACTCAGCCCTGGGTGTCGTCATTGACGATTGGGGGTTTCAAATATACGCATATGAGAGTGGCGAAAAAGCCAATTGGATCTGAATATCCCCGCGTTGAGCAAGCAACCGGATTCTGGAATTTAGGCGGCAGCTGATATGACAGCATCTCTGATAAGTAAAATGGGACTAATGACCTGGGTAGGATGAATCCCATTCGCTGGTTGAAATGTGATAGCCGTTATGCTTCGAATTTGGGTGGGCGAAAGTTGGTTGGGAGACGGGGTGGCTGTGCTTCTCTGTCGAGCGAACGGATAGATCTCGTATTGTCACTGCCAGTGCAGAAAGGAGCCGGAACGGGAGATTGTTGTCCAACCGAAGCAGTACACCATGAAGACGTTCCGTGTTAGCTTGCAGAGGATCCCACTGTTTCTTACTACCACTTCTTCGGTGCAGATACTATGGTCCGCGAAAAGGAAGCACTTGCTTGCTCCAATTTCTTCTGCCTCTCTCGTGCCACGATACCTGTTCGATCGGTGACAGGAGTGGCATTGGCGATCTGGTCAAAGTCATCGTACTCTTCCTCCCCTGAACCTGACTCTGCGTCAGAGTCGATAAGGGCGGCTGGTGGCTCCGTGGCCACCATTTCCGAAGCAGCCTCAGTGGCTTTTTTGTCGGTAAAGGCCTGTTCAGGTCCGTTCTTCCGACCCTCGCTTGATATAGACTCACTAAATGGCTTCGATGCAAGAATCTTTCGCCGGATTTCAGCCATTTCCGCTTCTTCATCTTCGTCGTCCGTATCGGGTGGCATTAAAGATACACCTTGCTGATGCGGGATTCTGTCATCATCTGGATCTTCAGACTCCTCGTCGTCATCATTGTCATCACCATCTTCGTCTTCATCCGACTCAAATACTTCCCGTCGATTCAGGTTGCCTCCCGCCCAATCATCGCCCTCGTCTGACGGTCCCTTCAGTCTGCTGTCGGCATACTCCTTCTCTAGTTTGGCCATCCAGGTCTCTTCTGCCTTTTTGATCTCGTCCTCGTCTTGGCATGCTGCATACCGTTTGAACAACTGGGAGTTTATCTCGAGAAACGGCTTGCCATATGAAAAATGCTGCAGAGCGATCTCCGCCCAGTCTTGATGTCCGCATATGCAAAAACATGCCGCAAGTGCCTCGACGCAATTGAGACGCCATGGCCGGCCATAGTTGACGGGATTTGCGGCGACGAGATAAGGAAGGAGGCGTTCGCATTTCCCACCGATCCGTGACCAAGGTACTTCTTGTACTCGGACCCACGAACACTCGACCACTGCGGCGCCATATTGCTCTAACAGCTCCTTATCTGCCGGTGATAACGTGCGTTTTGCATTGGGTCTATGGCATTGTCAATTGGCGCCCTCGTAGAAGGTGCGAGGGGCACTTACGAGATAACGACTCCAGGATACTTTTGACCTATGGGTAGTTCGCGCATCATTCCAAAGTGCATGAGACGTTTACCGCTGCATCTCTTCGCGTCACAGTGTCCAAAGTCCCAGCATGCTGCCTTGAAAGGTGGACGTTCACTGCCTCCAACTTCATCGCCTCCTAGCCCCGAGGCTCGTGGCGTATGTCGAGGTTTCGTAGAATATTTCTTCGCTTTCGATGAATTGTCTTTCTTATGGCGAACCATGTTGACAAGTTTAATGACTATTGCGCTGTGGAAGAAGCGATCGAGAAGGTTTGTACAGAGTATGAGGGTGAAATAGTCATCAAACAAAAAATGTTGCCGCCCTCAATTCATGACCTCAGCAAGAGCGAATGGAGGTGATAGGGGCGCCAAGGTTCTTATCAGCACGTGGATCCTGAACTACCGACGTTTTCCCGCGACTCTACATCTTCTGCCAAAAATCCAAAGAATTGAGTCGGGACAGAACATATCTCAAACAACGAATAGTCATGGGTCTAGCCGTCCTTCCACCAGACTTGGAAGATGAAGTGACGGTGCAAAATCATGCCTATGATGCAGATAGCCTATCAGACAGCGACGTGTCTATGAACGACGAACCTGCCCGGCCTTCCAAGCGCGCCCGTTTAACTTCCTCGACTTCACAGAGCATTGTTCTCCCTGGAGAGACGATCACCGATGAAACAGAGTGGATGAGGTAAGGTTGCAGCTTGGATGGTGTCTTGATATCAAAGTGTAGCTGTTGACGCAGGCACAGAGGACATGGAACCTATATGCACGACTCTTCAACGATAATGACCGCTACTCTGGCAGGCCCTCTGCGGAAGACAAACAAACTACTCTCTGTTGCACCTCTGCGAGCACGATATAATCCCGAGATTGGCGATCTTGTCGTAGGGCGCATTGTCGAAGTCCAAAAGAACAGGTGGAAAGTCGACGTTGCGGCACCTTTACTGGCACAATTACCCCTCTCCTCTATCAATCTGCCCGGCGGTGTTCTTCGACGAAGAACAACAGCCGACGAGCTTCAGATGCGCAACTATTTCCAAGAAGGGGATTTATTAGTTGCGGAAGTTCAGCAGATTGGAAGTGTCGACGGCACTGCCAGCTTACATACCCGAAGTTTGAAATATGGCAAACTGCGTAATGGTACTTTCCTCGCCGTCTCTGGTACTGGCGGTGGTGGAGGTGTGGTGCGCAGCAGAAGACAGGTCTTTACAGTCAACAGTGGTGCTCAAGGAGGCGGCGATGTGGATGTCATTCTAGGAGTGAATGGTTATGTCTGGTTAAGCAAGCATATCGAGCAAGCCGAGGATCACGGCAAGATGAGTGGAGGTGTCAGCATATCGAATCTCGATGATATGGTCAGCAGCTCCATCTACTCGAGTCAGAACGACAGCATTGAAGAGGGAACCAGGCGAGAAATTGCCAGGATTGCTGAGTGCATCAGAATTCTCGCAGAGAATGGCGTCAGAGTTGATGAAGACACCGTTGTCAAGGCTTATGAGGCCGCTGTCGATGCCGAGATGAGTGTCGAAGGCCAAAATGAACTGACTGTCATCGACAACATTCGCAAACGGATCCTTGATGCTGCCATTCACTGAACGATAGAAATCGACCATGTATCTGAAAACCCAGGGTTGGCATCATCGAGTGCCGTCCCAAATCGACGCTCCGGCCCCGTGGTGGGATAAGGAACCAGATGTTGGTAGCATTTTTCCCCACTGAAAGCTGCCAACAAGGTGTTTGAGTGGCGCGTACTCACTTCAACCTACCAAGGTCTCCTTTGGATGTGCGTGCTTACCTATGTCAGCAATCTCTTGGGTCCGATTTGAGCGCGTCCTCAATTCTCGACTCGTGAAATCTTCCTGAACAACAAACGCTGGACCTGTCCGCAGGTGTTTTTCCATCGCCGCGTCACTCGAGGTGTCGTGATCGGAGCCACCTCGGAAGTCTGATTAGGAGAAACGGCACAAGCAATGGAGAAAACGGCAGGTGGCCGACTAGTTATCCTGACCTCCTCTTGAGAGGAAAATCCCCGTGTACTCCCCGCGTTACCCCATCGTGAAAGGCCATCACCAGATGGGGTGATCGATGTGAACTACCGAGTTGTCGAGCCCCCCAATGGCTATTTTCGATCAAAGAAGATGGCGACATTTGAGAGTCTCAGGCAGGTATGCCTAGTTTTGAGTTGTCTTCATCCCTCTTGTGGACTTCACACCTAGAACGTCTACATCTCACGTAAGAGACTACATATTTAGACAGCTTCCCAGCATATATCGCATCGGGACTTAATGAGCATCAGCGAAATTTCTCTTTCCACAGACTACACGTTATGAAGCCTGGATACAACCTAGACAGCCTTCCGGGTACTTTGCCTGCCCGGCTGGTCCCAAACGACTCTGATATGGAAATGCTCGAGGAGTTGGCCCAAAAGATACTAGAAGATGGAAATCTCGACCCAAACACCCTGCAGGGTACGGCCCTTTGGAGGGATCATCTTGCACTGACGGGACAGATTCGAACCTTTGACGGGGATAAGAAGATTGTGGAAGCATGGAACAATCAAGCTGAGTCATTGTCGCCGTCCAACTTCAAGACCAAACCAGCGTATATCGCCAAACCTGTGCCGGGCAGCTCTTGGATCGAAGTGCCATTCACATTTACGACTCACCCAAACAACGGACTATTGGGAAACTGCACTGGTGCCGCCTCTTTCATTCTGGACGAGGACGGGAACTGGAAAATCTGGATGCTGGTGACCCTTCTGGACAATTTCGAAGGCCATGGACACCCAGATATTCCACTCTTGACTGACAACTCAGTCAATGTGAGTGGTAATTCTGTCACCAACGGCGTGGAGTCCAACAAGGACATGAACACCGATGGTCAGTGCATCCTCCATGTTGTTGTCATCGGAGCCGGGCAGTGTGGTTTGTCCATGGCCGGTCGCGTCGGCGCGCTGGGTCTGAGTTATGTGCTTCTTGAAAAACGCCCCTCGATAGGACACAACTGGATCGGGAGATACGAGTCTGTGAGGCAGCACACGGTTCGCGAGTATAACAACCTGCCCTTCGAGCGCACCTGGAACCCTACCGATCCGTTGTTGCTTCCCGGGAAAATCGTGGCAGAAGGGTTCGAGAATTATGTCAACAAGTACAACATCAACCTTTGGACGAATGCAGAGACCACAGGAGCAAAGTGGGTGGAAAATGACCGGGTATGGAAGTTGGATGTGACGGTCAAAGGGCAAGAAAAACGCACAATCGTCTGTCGACATCTCGTTGTCTCGGTTGGTGCCGGCATGAGTGTCGACAAGGATCCAAACATCCCAGGAACCGAGCATTACCAAGGCATTCTCTTGCATTCAGGATCATATAAACATAGTCGGGAGTGGATAGCAAAGAACGGCATTGTGATTGGGTCTGGCACAATGGCGCATGATATCGCCGAGGACATGTACAGAGCGGGCTTGCGATCTGTCTATATGATTCAGCGTAACAGGACTTGCGTTTATCCGATAGAGTGGGTGATAAAGGGCCAATCTGGTATGGAAGTACTTGTGTATATGACTTTCAGCTTGGCGGACTAACGTGTCTTGAAAGGTCTCTACAACCTCGAAATTCCAACGGCCGATGCAGATATTATGTCGGCAGGACGGCCTAATAAGATTTCACGCGACATTGTCAAAATCCAATATGACATGGCCACAGAAGCCGAATCTGAACGTTTCGATGCTCTCGAGCAGGCCGGGTTCCGTGCCGATCGTACAACACCATTGATGGACAACATCATGATGCGGTACGGCGGTTACTATATTGACATTGGGGCATCCGCGCACATTGTCAGAGGCGAGATCAAAGTAAAATCAGGCGTTCCAATCACGACATTCACACCGGAAGGTCTACACTTCCAGGATGGGAGTGAGCTCAAGGCCGATGTGGTAGTCATTGCTACCGGACAGGATCATGACTATCGTAATCAGGTTGGAAATATCGTTGGTAAAGACTTCGCCTCGAAGCTGGGCGAGTTCTGGGGACTGGACGAAGAAGGAGAAATACGCAATGTGATGAAACCAGCCGGTAAGTTGGTCAATGTGAGCAGCTCTGGAAGATGGCCTCTGACAGTAAACAGCTCCTGGATTGTGGATGTTTGGAGGTACCGCACCTCAGGCACGCTGGTGGTCTCGATTCGTTGCCCTGGCCATTCAGTCCGACAAATTGGGCAAACCGCTTCAATGTATTCAGCTAGCCGGGTAGTGTCTCTGTTACGATCAGGGAGTGCCGAGAGTGAGGTGGGTGGTGCAGACTGAGCTGTGACTTCCTGGGCATGCGTACGTATGATCGTTGATCATCTTCGATTTGATGTTCAATGAAAGGGTGTTTGCGAAAAGAATAGTTCTCAGCGTCCCCTATGTCACCATTGGGACAAGCTCTTGCGTAATGGAAATCGCACCGAGACCAGGTGACCAAATCCACGTGACTTAGGCTGCTTCGAGGGCCTCCTTCTCCTCATTTTCAATCTTTGCCAAACATCATCGTCTGCTATGCGAAAAGTTCGAAGATTCTTGTGAGTCTTGAGGCGTACTCACTATGCTTACCGAAAGAGAGGAAATCATTCAAAGGTAAGCCTTGAGAACCAAGTGACTGTCTCTAGGAGGAAGCCAGAGCATCGGCAGCGTCCGACGCTGTCACCTCACCTTGCAAAGCCTCGATGCAGTCTCCTCGATGTTAACGTAATGACGACGATTTCCTTCAATCGATCGCCCGAGCCTCCTGGACTTTAAATGTCCACGTCCATGTCAACGTGCCTCCCTTTTCGGTCCAAGCCTTATTCGGGCAGACTGCGCACAACCGGCAGTTGGCCGCAATTGTTAGAGTTGAAAGTCAAAGGAAAATTGTTACGTGGACACCACGTCGAAGTCACGCCAGCTGAAGAGGAGTCAGAGACATTCTTGCACCGAAATACCAGTCAGGAATTTTGATCGAGTAAAAAGGAGGCATATATCGAGTAATAGCGAAAAGCTCTGCGGACATGGCCAGGCCGAAAACAGTCTAGGGCGATCAAGCTGGTGCCGAAGTCGCCGAGAGACGAAGAAATCTGGAAAAGTCCGGACACGCTCAGACGGCCCAAGCGCAAACAATAGGCCCAGTCAAAGCCTCGCCGCTGACTTTCCCAACGATAACGCACAACTGCGCCCTTGAACACCCACCAGTTTTTGGCGCACACCCCCCCAACCCACGGGTGCCACTCTGTTTAGTATTCCGCGCTTTACCTTGTTCCCTTATCTCTACTCGATACTATCGAGTAACAGATACTCCTGCGGTCTCCCTACCACGCCTTCCATGATGCCACGGTCCAATGAATATACTTGACCAGGCCGGCCGAGTTCTTTTCCTTCGGACTCGACCGCCTCGATCTCTCCACTGCTTCTTTTGGCTCCCAAATGCCCCTTCGAAATGGTCACTACTGTAGGAGGAGTTGCCGAAATGAGTCGACGCTGTGGTTGACGAACCCGGCCTCGGCCGTTCAAGATGGCACCCCTGGTATATCAAAGAGTATTCAGGACTTTCCTTTGTTTCGTTTCCCCCGCAAGGGTCACCCCCAATCCATCTCCAGATTGTTATCTTTCACTTATCGTTCAGATATCACGAGGTTACTCGACAACGAGATTGCTTATCAGCCATAGATAAGGACAACAGAGGTCCTCGTTCACATGCTCAGAACCCTGGGAACCTCTCCCTAACTGCTCTCGCTCCTATTTCACTTATCTACTCTTTATATTTGACCAGCGCGGACCAGACCGTAACCGGCAATCCCATACCTCATCATGTCCAGTTTACCATCCGAGACGTCTCATTCATACCCGACTCCTCCTCGCTCTCCTCCGAACGGCTACTTCGATGGCTCAAATGACTCACCGATCACTGTGATTGCGTCTTCTCGCGCGATACGCTCCGGACGTCTTTCCGCAGCCACAATTGTCATATCCAATGCCACAGGCAAGATCACAGCCACTTTCGACAGTGTGCTCCCGCAATCCGACTTCCCACCCAACACTCCTTATACAGACTACTCCCCACATATCCTTTTGCCGGGCCTGGTGGACGCACACGTGCATCTGAACGAGCCAGGCCGGACAGAATGGGAAGGTTTTCATACAGGTACCCAGGCCGCTGCTTTCGGCGGTGTCACTACTGTTGTGGATATGCCGCTGAATGCGATTCCCCCTACGACCACAGTATCAGGCCTACAAGAGAAGATCAAAGCCGCCCAAGGCCAATGCTGGGTTGACGTTGGCTTCTATGGTGGCATTATCCCCGGCAACGAAGGTGAACTGAAGGCCCTCGTGCGTGAAGGTGTACGTGGGTTCAAGGGCTTCCTGATCGACTCCGGCGTTGACGAGTTTCCCGCCGTGTCGTCGAGCGATATTGCAAAGGTCTTTGCCGAATTAGCGGACGAACCCACCACCGTTATGTTCCATGCAGAAATGATCCCACCTATTGCCGACAGTGTGGGCGACGACGTGCAGACGTCTTTGCCTCCACTCGCGCCGCACGGCCCCCTGAATGCATACAGTACATTCCTGGAGTCGCGGCCGCCTAGTTTCGAGACGTATGCCGTCGAAGAGATTTTGTCTCTTGCTCACCTTGCACCGAATCTGCCTCTCCATATTGTGCATCTCAGCGCGATGCAGGCGATTCCGTTGCTTCGCAAGGCGAGAGCACAGGGTATTAACATCACGGCCGAGACCTGCCCCCATTATTTGTCTCTTGCGGCAGAGCAGGTTGCGCTCGGTGATACAAGGCATAAGTGCTGCCCGCCCATTCGCACGCAAAGCAACCAAGACCGGCTGTGGGAGGAACTGGGCGAGCATGAGGGCGAGGGTGTCATCAAAACGGTGGTTAGCGACCACAGTCCGTGTACACCTGATTTGAAGATGCTTCCGACTCATGTCCCGGGGCATGTGCCACCGGTCAAGGGCGTGGCCGGAACACTGCCTGTCGATCAAGACGGCAGTGGAGATTTCTTTAGCGCATGGGGCGGTATCAGTAGTGTGGGGTTGGGTCTTCCGATCTTGTGGACAGAGATGTCTAGAAGAGGGTTGATCGCAGACGATATGCTGAGAGACAAGGCGCTCATGAACGTTGCGAAGTGGTGCTGTGTCAACACTGCTGCGCAAGTCGGGCTAGAGAAAGTCAAGGGCGAACTGGCAGTCGGCTTTGATGCGGATATTTGTGTTTTCGACGACGAGGCCGAATGGGTTGTGGAACCAAGCACGATGTTGTTCAGGAACAAGTGCAGCCCGTATCAGGGCCGAGTCATGAAAGGTATGGTGAAGGAGACATTACTGAGGGGCCAGAAGATCTTCGTCAGAGACGGAGCGAATGCCGGATTCGTGGGCAAATCCTGTACAGGACAGCTATTGCTCGAGCCCAGGACAAAGGAGTTGAAGAAGGTCAAGAGTTGGTTCAAGAGATGGATTTATGATTATGATCTTTGAGTCGATAATGCTTTTGTTTAGATCATGTAGAGCGGCATGTGTACGGAGTCTCGGGAATGCTTTGGACTTGAGATTATGAGGTATCCTTCCGGGATATATTACTCTTTATGAATTCCATGTTGTCGTTTCAATTTTCAGATTCTCGCTCCTTTTCCCATTTCTCCCTGACTCGTCGTCTCATTCCGCCGTTGATTCCTCGACCCCAGATCTCCTGCTTGTCCACCGAGGCCATGTGGTCAATGGGTTCCGCCGGTTCTCCGGTATACTCGCCAATGAACTGTTTCGTCTCTCGCTTGCTCCGCTCTTTATCTCTACTTTGTTTCACTTTCCTCAAGTAGCCAGCGTACACCGTGACCTCTGCCACGCCGACCAGCAAGCCCGTAGACAGAGAGGCCAAGACCCGCAGGCCATCGTTTGCCCACCAACGGGTCAGGTAGAACATTGTGCCCGCACACAGGACGATGCTGAGAAGGATGTTGAAGACTAATGAAGGCGATATGTCATCTTTTTCGTCGTCGCCCGTGTCTCCGTCGATGAGGTCTACAGGCTTTCTCGACACGAGTTGGGCGTATTCCCTTCGCTCCTCTTCCTTGCGCAGTCGGGCCATCAGGGCGACGTATTCTGGTGTGTGTTCGGGTTTCGGGGCAGGCGGCGGCGTGTACACCTTTGTCCCACGCAGGAGAGAGTTCAGACTAGAGCGCGTGGCTTTCGAGATGGCGAGGAGCGTTGCGTGCTCGATCGGTGCTCCGGGCGTCGAAGGTATCGAGTCGAGGTCAAGATTGAGAGACGAAAGGGTCGATGCAGGAAGGGTGGCCACCGCCGCCAGGATGCGCGGTGTGGTCGTTAGAACGACCATGTTCGTTTGGCCTTTTCTTTCGCGGTCTCAGTGAGGTTTATTCGCAACGAATTTCTTCAGGGTAGTGTAGGCGAAATACCAGATACTCGTGCGGAGTCGCAGTAGCGTATCTGAGGCAGCCTTGTCTACACTAGAAAACAGGCGAGACGGACAAGGCTGAAGACGTGACATTCATCAGTACTCCATCCTCAGGAACTGGGTTCCTGGCAATACCCAAAGCTATTAAATTACATTTCTCCACCAACCATTCGCGCTAGTCACCGCCGCGGGTCTTCACCTACAAGACGCATGCGCCCGCATATACAACTGCTAGAGGGACTCGTTCACGTTGTTTCATGCCTGCCGCTGTTGGCTGTCGTTGCCACTGTCGCGCATCCTTTGCGACCAAGTCTCGACCGCGCTTTCCCCGCAAAAAGACACCAAACATGATATAATTCCGAAAGTCGATCCCACGCCGTAGCCATGGGTAACGAGCAGAGTCAGGAATCCAGCGCTCAACCAAAGGAAGAAGACCCTGAACGTAAGTACCCGAAGATAGTACCGGCCAGTGGTCTTTTTGGGTGGAAAACTTATGCACGTGCAGAGACAGATCTCTCCGACATTCCTGACGACCGAGACCCGGACCCAACATCCTCCGACGAGAACGAAGATGAGACAATCATGCCTGTAGGCGCAGGGGACGCGATGCCTCCGAGAAGAAAGCCTCAAAAGCAGAAGAAGAAGAAAAAGAAGAAAAAAGGGCGCAGCTCCTTTTCCGGGGACGGCGAAGTGAGGAGATCGAGCCAACATGTTCCGAACGAAGAGGAGATACGACAATTGAGAGAAAGAGAGCCAGAGGCATTTGATGTCTACGCATCCTCTCAAGTTGGTGACGATGGCGACGGTGGCGGAGCATTGGAAAGTGGTATCGATTCCCTGGACACGACTTCAGCAGATGCAGAGGCCAAGGCAGAGGCTGAGGACGGCGCTGGTTGTGAACGCGACGAACTGGATGAGCCTCTCCGCGACGACGAGGACGAGGACAATCCGCCATTGCCTGTGATAGATGCCAGGCGTGCTCCGTCTGTCGAGAGTCAAGAAGCTCCGCCTGGCCAGGACAACGTCGCTCTCGTCCCTGCGTCGCAAGCGGGCCCCGAGCCGCTGAAAATGAATGGGCGATGGCTATGTCCTTATGCAGAAAGCCACAATTGCGAGAGCACGTTTACTAATAAAAAGTCGGCGAAACGTCATGGTGCGATTCATGCTTCCGCTTTCACTTGCACGATTTGCGGCAAAACCTTGAGCAGGAAGGACACTCTTCAAAGACACATAGCGAGTCATGGCAAGAACGATGTTGTATCCGCGGACGCGCATCAACGAGCGAATGGAAGCCCTCCTGCACATGTCGCAGCCTCTTTACAGACATCTGTGGCTGCAGATTATGTCGAAGAGCCACACGACGAAAAATCGCCAGAATACAAAACTCCCCGAGAGAGTTCCCAAGACTCACTTGGATCGGAAAATGGCAACGATGTCGAGGAGGACAATGCGCAGATCAATGACGAGCATGAGGTAGAATCTCATCATGACATGATCCGCGCAGTGGAACAATCGCTGCAAGCTCAGCTTGATGCACAATCAATTGCCACTCAAGAGGGTGAAGAGGTTGAAGTCGGTAGCGGCGAAGACTCCGTTGAACCAGAAGCAGACTCCAAGTCTGAATCTTCTGTAGAGTCAAGTGTGTCGGATATGGTTGAAGAGGCGTCTTCAGACAAGACTCCTGTCCCTGAACCAGGTTTAAAGCGAAAGAGGGATGCTGAAACACCTTCAGACTCTCCAAATCGACCAACAAGAAAGAAAATGAAACGGAGAAATCAGGCACAAAACACTACGCCAACGTCTGCACAACAACCGCATGAAACAATGCCGTGCACTTGGGCTGCTGTGAATTCCACGTCCCAACCAGCTCAGCAGATCACAGACAGAATTGTCCCCACGCTTCGGACACGACAGAGTACCATCGACAGTTGGGCCCAGAGATCAAACGCAGGTTCCGGATCAAGACCATCTGTTTCAGCCTCGGGATCTCCAGCGCCATCTACTGCCAGACGTGTTGAGGTCGTTATTCCTTCTGGCAGCTCTAAGACATACTCCAAGAGCAAGGCTTTCAAGAGTAAACAGCCCAATGAAAATCCTCAGCAGAATGGACTTGAATCTTTCGGACTCAAGAGGATACGCGATGCTACATACACGATGCCAAAGGGTAAGAATCGTGCAGAGCCTGGTCTAAACTATGTCTCTCCCCACAAGCAGCAAGCCGAGGCTGACGAGTCTGATTCCGAACCGGCGAATTTCGCCACCTCTTTTGCCAGAAGAACGTTGTCAGGTAGCCGACCAATAAAACGCGCAAGGTCACAGGACGAAGACTCGACCTCAGAGTCTGATGAATCGCACGCCGGTGGTGCCTCTACTAACGAATCGAAGAAGATGTCGGCCAAGCAACCAAAACCGAGAGCCCACCGCACGATAGAGTGTCAAAGATGTCATAAAGGCTTCAAGTCAGAAGCTTCACTGAAGCTCCACCTGAAAGCTCCTAATATCCATTCACATTTGTATCACTGTGGAGACTGTACGGAACAGTTCTGGAGCATGAGGCTTCTGTCAAAGCACGAAAAAGAGAGCGGTCACGACAGGGGTAATGGCGTTGAAGGTCTGACAGGTCATTTCAGCGAAGCCGAAGTGCAGAAACTTCAAGACTGGCGAGATACTTTCTGCTCAGACCACGATATCAGCATCGAACAATTCAACGATATGATGACAGATACACTGAAGCGTCGAAAGGGAGACAGGTGGGACTGGCATTTTATTAGTAAGAGGGCCTTCTTGAATGAATACTATGAGGTACTCCCGTATCGCAACAGGCGGTCAATGACGCGATATCGTGAGCGCAATTTCCAGAATCTGGAGGGATCCAAGAACTGGACGGCAGATGATGACAGAGACTTGATTCGGCTTCACAAAGAACTTGGTCCAAGATGGAGTGAGATTGCGCAACGCTTGATGAGAACGACCGATGCCGTGGCTCAACGATGGCGTCACAAATTACAGCACAAACACAACGAGTCAGGGAAGTGGACTACTGAAGAAGAAGAGAAGTTCACTAAAGCACTGGATGAGGTGAGAAGAACGAATGGCTTGGCATCGCAGGCAGAGGATTGGCGCGTACCCTGGAATAAAGTCAGTGAGAAAGTCGAGACGAGGAGTGCGCTACAATGTTCCAATCACTACCGAGTACTTCACAGCACAAAGAGGCAAGGACGATGGATCAAGGTTGGCGGACTCGAGAAGACACCTGGATCTAGCAGAATACTTACCCCGTCGAAAATGGCGCGTCGACTGAAAGGTCAACCGAGTGGTTCGGCCAGTCGTCCCAGATTATCTCGAGAGCTAGTCGTGGAAACAGAGGACGACGACGACGAGGACGAAGCGGATTCGCGAAATGAGAGAACTCCATCGCCACCTATTGATGAAGAGGGAGAAGAGGATGTGTCAGATGCAGCAGAAGATGACGATCGGTCTTCAATAGGGGCATCGTCCCGTCAAAGTCACAATCCATTACAAGCGCAGACACCCAACGAAACACTTCGACCTACGCAACTGTTCGGACTCACACAGGCCAATACATCGGTCGTCAGACCGCTTTTTCCAGAAAGTAGAAGACACCTTCTAAGCCAGGATGCACCATCTCCGAACATTCCTATTCAGCGGCAGAAATTATCTGTTCGATCGCCGCTGTCTGAGATGACGGTTAAAGACGATGATGATGACGATTCTGATGGCGAAGCCGAAGACGATGAGTCCCAATCTGACTCCGATCTTTCTGGGAAGGAAGAGGACGAGGAAGAGGCCGACTCAGACGAGCAATCTGATCCACCTTATGCCAGTGGAGAAAACGACGATGAAGCAGAGGACGACGAGAGTGGAGTCTCGGATGACGACCGAGATGACGGGAACGACTTCATGAATAGTATCGAGGAATCTGCACAACGGGTACGAAGTAATCAGAAACTCAAGCTTCAACCCACGAAGAGAAATGGGTTTCAAAATGGAGCGCCTTTGAAGAGGCGAAATCGGTGGAGTATGAGTTCAAGCGAGAGCGACAGCTGAAACGAACGAGTCTAGTAGAATTGAGTATATCCTGGTATGTGGGAACCATGGAAAAAGGTAGCTTCGGAACACCTATTCATTACACCACCTGCCACCCTCTTTTAACCAACATTCCTCTGAACGAAGCGTGCTTCCTTTTATACATCACTACCGTGGTGTGTAGGCTTGGCCTTGGCTCATTCCTCTACGCTCATGTGATGGTGATGGAAATTTTGGTACAGAATTGATCTATTTGTTAGTGGTACAGTGCTTTTCGCATATCAGCTCATGAGCCAGTGCTCAGTCATAAGATCTTGGGCCGGCATCTAGCATTAATTGGGTGACTATTTAGACACCCGTATAGAGCATGCCCTTCATAAATATAGTAGACAGACCGCTGGCCTGGAATACAAGCAGCCCGGTGAACTGTCCCCCGTCTCGACGCCCAATGATTCCGTTGTAGAGTTGTAGGATTGATATCTCTGTATGGTGAGAATATATCTCGTGAAGCAGACATCTGCCGGTCATTGATTTCGTTTGATGGTATTCCAAAACCAAAGCTATGATCAAGAGACCGAATGCCAGGCCGCCTTTCGAGCACGTCCTGTAGTGCGATTTTCATGACCGTCATACTCCGTACCAGCTGGGAAATTGCGTCGCCCATCGTTAGTATTCTCGTATGAGTGGTGAGGGATTTCCAGATGATGGTGATGGGTGGAAACGACGTGTTCAAGGTCCCGACCAAACTTGTCGTATCATACACTCTGGAGATTTGGGGCCATCTTCAGCGACATGCTCCTCAACCTTCCAGCGCAAGTGAAGAGGGATTCTCTGCCAGTCGCACTCCAACAAGGCCCTGGCGTGCTCCTCGAGAATCGGAACCATGAACTTTCTCATGCTCTCCGTGACAGGGTTGGCATCCATCTCGACGGCTTCCCGAACGTACTCGAGAAAGTTCGGCGACCCGGATCGCAGGCAATAGTCGGCGACGTCTTCCGCCGACAGCTTCTTGAACCCTCCTTCACGCAGGATGAGGACGGTGTCAGCGAGGATCTCATAGTAGCGTTGCCCCTGGCCATGGCTGAAGACGTATTGATACGCCACGTACGTCCACGGCCACGAAAATGAGAATGCTTTGGCATATTGTGCCAAGATGAAGGGGAGGAACAGCCGCCTGCCTCTGGGTGTCACGCAACTTCTCATGACGTTGCTCCTGTACAGGTTTCGCAGAGGTGACGGAGATCTCTCGGCGTGGTGGGCGTTGCTCCAGAACTCGGCCTTGTAGGTGTCATAACCCTTCAGTATACTCCTGAGGTCCCTCAGTTGCAGCCCAAGGGGGCGACGCCACCAGTGGTGATGGGTCCTTGTACACAGTTGGAACTCGCGTCGTGTCATGTCGGGGACGCCGCCGAGACCGGCGCTCATGGCGTAGATGGCCAAGTCCGTACGTTTCGTCCATCTCAGACGTTTCAGAACCTCTTCCTTTTCCGCCTGGTTGGAGCGTGCCTTTGATTCACAGGCCACCCAGAAGCGTCGGTAGGCACTCACCCATCGGAAAGCGTAGCCAATGTCCGCCAAGAGACCACTACCATCCGTTGTTGGCTTCTGGACGTATTCAAAATTGGGGGGCCGCAGGCTGTCAAGGGTCGGGGTGTGTTTGGGTCCCAGGTTGTTGTGAGGTCGTCGGTTGATATCGAGGAACGACCGCTTTTCTTGGAAAATGAAGGGAAGTTGCGCTTCAATTCCATAAGGAGAAATCCGTCTCTTTACAGTACGACGCATCGTGGAGGCATGGCGGAGGAACGCCGTCGAGACATGATGACCGCGAGAAAGAGGTAGAAGAGGTAGACTCTGGCGAAGGGACCGGTGGAGAATTATGGACATGAGGAGAACACATGCGCATCGAAGGGCAGCTCTCGAGGAGGTTCAGACAGGAGGTCTGTGAAGAGGAGAACATCCATAAGGCGGTAAGGAACAGTACACATAGCAAGTATCACTGACATTTGTCTGGAGCAGGACAGGATGCGGTACTTGGTGCCAGTTTGAAAGGAATGAATAAGTTTATTTCGAATACTCTCCGTAAAATCGTATGCGGAGCGACGACGAGGCTGACGAGGCTGATGCGGAGACGGAGACAGCGCGAGCATTGTAAATATAACATGTGGCACACCCTGGCCTTTTTCGTCCATGTCATTCTCGACGCTCTTTTCTGCCACTCTTTCTCCTTCCTTACACTCGTCGGATACTACCAGTGTGGTTTCGTTCGCCTGTCTGCCATACGTGACTTGACCGGCGTCATGAGATGATGTTTTCTGCATTCTAAGTTGTGGCTACTTTTCTCCCATCCTCCCCTTGACGAGTGAGCCTTGTCACAATGCAACTCCCACGTCTTTTACAAAACAGTGTTGCAGGGGGACTGCTATGTGCGGCTTTGTTCACGCCACTGACAGGGGCATCGCCCTCTATCAATGTCGCTCTCGAGACATCCTTTTCTGCCGCGCCGTACCTGGTTGAGCTGCTGTATGGCCCCGATCATCCCTTTGCATTGTGTGATGAGATGCTTACATACTTCCCAGGGAGACAGCAGCTCTCGAGAATTCCTCCTCATACTTTCCCCTCCTCGATCGCATAGCGGATGGCGCATTTGTCGATTTACAAACGGAGAAAGAGCTGTACAATAAGTTTATAGAAGTGTTGCAACAAGATGGTCACCTTTCCAACCCTGAATCTCTATCCTCCTTCAAATTCGCACTGGCCCTCCATGCTGCGGCTCCGCGGGTCGAGGCCCATTTCCAATACTACAATCATTCGGTCCAACCACATCTGATGGCTGCGCAGGACGCCGCCTGTCCGGTATGGGTTTATCTAGATGGCCAGCAATACTGCTCGCCTGCACTCGATCGTGCCCAACAACCCGTGTCTATGCCAGAAGCAGAAGGAGAACTGCCCTTTGACCGGGTTCTGGGGTCCGACGTCGACGGACCTCATTCTATTCTCTATGCCGACATCACCCATCCGTTGTTCGGTCAATTCCACTCTATCGTCAGCCAAACGGCCCGTGAAGGGCGGTCGACGTATAGACTGAGGTACCGACCCTCGACGCTATCAGCCAGGAAGCCCTTGTATGTCAGCGGCTACGGCGTAGAGTTGGTCCTCAAGCGCACGGATTACATTGTCATTGATGATCGAGATGCCCAGAAGTCCGAAGCATCCAAACCCGAGCAGATATCTTTACAGCAAGCTCAGGATGACGACCTGACAGATTTGAAGCCATTGACTAGCTCCGAGGTTGTCAGCCTGAGCGTGAACGCTGCTAGTCTTATAGCTTCCAGCCCCGACCCTTTGGAAAGACTGCTTCAGATCACTTGTGATTTTCCTCGATACTCTTCTGTCCTTGCTTCTACCAACGCTAGCAAAGAGTTCCTCGCAGAGCACAGGGCCAACCGTGAGCAATTCTTACCCTCCGGATACAATGTCTTCTGGATCAATGGCGTTCAAATTGAAGCGCGGCATATCAACGCATACTCCCTTCTCGAACATCTGCGACGGGAACGGCGTATTATTGGCGATCTGCAGAAGATCGGGTTGGCTCCATCTGAGGCCGTTAGCCTGATGTCGAGCGAGGTCATCGCTGAAACACAGGCCAATGAGTCTCCCCAGCGGTTCGACTGGCGGGACGACCTTGAGGAGAACAAGGTGTTGATGTGGTTGAATGATCTCGAGCAAGACAAACGCTACGCTGGCTGGCCTTCAAGTCTACGAGCCTTATTTGCACGCGTCTATCCAGGCCAGCTTCCTCAGGTCGCTCGTGACATTCACAATTTGGTCGTTCCCATTGATATGACTGATGTCAAAGACATTGAGCTTGTTACCACGGCTCTCCAGAACTTGGTCAAAAGATCGGTTCCAATCAGGGTTGCCTTGGTGCCGACAGGTACCGGCGCCGTTGCTGACATCTATTCCAAATTGTCATACCACATCCTGGATACATACGGTCTCGGCACGTTAATGTCGTTCTTTACTGAGATTGCGTCGAGCAAAAAGCTACCAGCAAGTCCTGAGAAGGCTTTTACGACCGCAATCAAGGGCCGATCTCTCCGCGAAGGCAAAGAGGTAACACCTTATGAAGGGATCTTGCAAGCCGAGCCCCTAGATGCGAAGCTCAAAGCACGAGATGCTTATGTGAAGCGTTTAGCTCTTGGGAGTGCAAATCGGCCTTTCGTTGTCAATGGTGTTGTTTTGCCACGCAGTGAGAACTGGTTTGAAGTACTCAGCTCGAGAGTCTTTTCTGACCTGCAATTGTTGCAACAAGCTATCTATGAGGGCGCCATAGAAGAAGAAGGGTGGATACCGGGGATTCTCCTTTTCTCAGCTGCCGCACGCCGCAATGAACTGGTCTTTCCAAGTGATCCTAAAAACGTTGAGATTGTGGACATCAACCGTCTGACAAATGACTTTGCAAACGAGTTTGCCGCCTTGCCGCGGATCCTCGGCAATGCTGCGACGCTTTTGAGTGACCGAGCTCATGTCTTTGTGATCGCTGATCTAAGTACAGCTGCTGGTCGTGCCTTTCTTCAGCAAGCGCTGGACTTTTGGGAAGCTCATCCTGAAGCCGATCTCTTAATTTTGCACAATCCATTGCCAGACTCGGAACTCCATTCCGTAGCTTCTGGATTGCACGCACTCACACAACATGGCCGAGACCTCACAGTTGAGCAAGTACGAACCCTTCTGGAACAAGACACCATTTTACCGGAAGGAGAGGAAGAAGCTGGCAGATTCTGGGCTTCCTATTGGGGCCTGCTGAACCAAGTAGGGCTTGAGATGGGCCAGAATGGTCTGTGGTTGAATGGCCGTGTCATTGCTCCAGTAGACGACTCGTTTATGGCGACTGACTTCGAATCGCTACTCGAATACGAGCGCCGAGAACGGATGGCTCCTGTGACTACTGCCATCACCAGTCTGGGTCTCGAAGAACGATTCGGTGACGCCCTGGATCTTGCGAAAGTCACTTCCCTTGTGGCAAGGTCGCTCAAATCTGATCTTCCTGAAGGTCTCAGAGAGTCTGCACCGCTCATCAGAATGGATCGTTTCAAAATTTGGAATGACACACACACGTCCTTCAAAATATCCAATGGGGACAATCCCACCATACAAGTTGTTGCTGTGGTTGATCCTGCCTCGGAGGTTGTACAGCAATGGGTGCCCATATTGAAGACACTGTCTCATCTCAGTGGAGTCAGCGTTAAGATCTTTTTGAACCCGAAGGACAGGTTGGCCGAGCTTCCAGTAAAACGATTTTACCGTCAGGTCGTCAGCTCAGAACCCACATTCGATTCTGAAGGGTCTCTGCAAGAGCCTACAGCGTCCTTCCAACGGATACCCAGAGACATTCTTTTCAATCTTGGAATGACCGTACCACCATCATGGCTTGTTGCACCGAAAGAGTGTACATACGATCTCGACAACATCAAATTGAGCAGCGTGGCTGACGGGGATAACATTGACGCAGTGTACGAGCTGGAGCATATCTTGATCGAGGGACATGCTCGGGACGTAACGACTGGTCCACCTCCACGTGGCGTACAACTCTTGCTTGGCACCGAACAAGAGCCTCACTTTACGGACACCATCATCATGGCAAATCTAGGCTATTTCCAATTCAAAGCGAACCCCGGCTTTTGGCATATCACATTAAAGCCTGGAAGATCTTCAAAGATCTTCAGTATTGACAGCGTAGGCCCACAAGGATATGCTGCCCAGCCCGACGACGAGACAACATCGGTCGCACTGTTGTCATTCCAAGGGGCAACCTTATTCCCGCGACTATCCCGGAAGCCTGGTATGGAGGATGAAGATGTGTTAGAGGCTTCGGGTGGAGCAATGGACTACTTGAACAAAGGCGCTTCGTTCGCTTCCTCGGCTCTTTCTTCCCTTGGCTTGAAGACGAAGTCCTCAAACAATGCCGATATCAACATCTTTTCAGTCGCATCTGGCCATCTCTACGAACGTATGCTGAACATCATGATGGTCTCCGTAATGAAACATACCAAGCATACAGTCAAGTTTTGGTTCATTGAACAGTTCTTGTCTCCATCATTCAAGTCGACCTTACCGGACATGGCAGAACATTATGGTTTCGATTATGAGATGGTTACTTACAAATGGCCACACTGGCTGCGGGGACAAAAGGAGAAACAGCGTGAGATCTGGGGATACAAGATTTTGTTCTTGGACGTGTTGTTCCCTCTGGACCTCGACAAAGTGATCTTTGTGGACGCCGACCAGATTGTTCGCACTGACATGATGGAGCTGAACAAAGTTGACCTCAAAGGTGCACCGTACGGGTTTACACCGATGTGCGACTCCCGTACGGAAATGGAAGGGTTCCGATTCTGGAAACAAGGTTACTGGGAGACCTATCTCCGGGGCAAGCCATATCACATCTCGGCTCTCTATGTGGTCGATCTGAAACGATTCCGTCAACTCGCGGCTGGCGATCGGCTACGACAACAGTACCAGGCTCTGTCGTCGGACCCGAACAGCCTGAGTAACTTGGACCAGGATCTACCAAATCACATGCAGCACGTCCTGCCCATACACAGTCTCAGCCAAGAGTGGCTGTGGTGCGAGACGTGGTGTAGTGACGAGAGCCTCGGCGTGGCCAAGACAATTGATCTTTGTAACAATCCTCTGACGAAGGAGCCCAAGCTCGACAGGGCAAGAAGGCAGGTTCCCGAATGGACGGAATACGACGAGGAGATTGCTAGTGTGTTGAAGGAGGCTGCGGGGAAGAGGAGCAGCCGTCAGTTGCCGGAAGTGGATGAGGTTGCTGGAAAAAAAGAAGATATTGTGGCTGCTGATGATGAAAGAAAGAGGGATGAATTATGATTTTGTCAAAAAGCTAGAGAGGGACACAAAAGAGAAAAGAGCAAAACTAAATTTTGATAACTTGGGTGCTTATACTGTGTATACTACCACGTGAAAGAGACACAATTTAGATATAGACTCTGTAACAACAGCTATGCACTATTTCCGTGACATCAGAGCACAATTTGTAGACTATGAAACCTCGTTTTGCGTTGTGATCCATCGATCAATTATTTCCATACACCGTAAACAGAAACTCCGGCTAATTATCAATGAACTGGGGAAATATGAGGCATGGCGGTCGTTAGTGTAGCAGACGTAGATGTAGTGGTGGGTGTAGTAGTAGGGTTTGATGCTCGAGGTACACCCGTGGGAACATCAGTGATGCTCATCGAGGACGTATCTGATGCCGGCAACCGACCACCCCGGACGTTGACCTGCAACGAAGGGCCCAGCAGTTTGGGGTCTCCCAAGCCGCTGTCTCGCTGTGACCTCCATTCAACAAACTCTTCCATGGTGGTGCCTATCTTGACGTGCTTGTTCTCGTTCCTCTGGGTCTCGACCGTGGTGAAGGGTACGGCTTTTACGTGGGCCGCCACATGTTGTTGCTGTTGTTGTTGTTGTTGCTCACCACACGGGAGACTTCGAGTTTCCGGGGGATAATCGTGACCCGTGTACAACTTGTAATGGCCCGGGAGGGATAGCAATTTCTGCGTGGACCGGTAGAGCTCCGTGGCTGAGCCCCCTGGGAAATCACATCGAGCGGACCCGACGTCCGGATTAAAGATCGAGTCTCCGGTGAAGACGTTCGAGCCGATGACGTACCCGATGTGATCTGGCGTGTGTCCGGGGAGGTGGATGACTTGAACCTCGAGGTTGCCGATGTTGAAGGTCTCATCGTCGGTGAAGAGGTGGTCAAAGGCAGACTCGAGTTCTGACGCCGGGATGTTGTACTTCTTGGACATTGTCTCCTGAACCTGTCGAATACGTTCACCGATACAGATCTGGGGAAGGGCACGGGAGGGCCGGCGCTGCAAGAGTGAGCTCTGGAGGTAGCGAGACGAGGTCAAGTGGTCGGCGTGGGCGTGCGTCTCGAGGATCCGCGAGACGGTGTAGTCGTGCTGCGTGATGAGGTCCAGAATCTTGTCGGCAGAGTGAGTGCTGACTCTTCCCGTGTTCTTGTCGTAATCCAAAACCGGGTCCATGATGACGGCCTCCTTGGTGGCTTCGTCCGCCACGACGTACTGCCATGTGCCGGTGGAGGGTTCAAAGAGGGTGTGTACTCTCGGCTCCATGATTATTGTTGTTGTAGTTGTTATAGGAGAACGACGGGTGGAATGTGTGGTCCGATCTAGTGTGGTGTTCAAGTTATACGAGGGCTGTTGTAGTTGTTGCCTTGGACTTCTTCCTCCTCGTCAGCGATTTTGAGCATAAAACAGAATCTCTGGTTTGTCTTACATTAATACAGACTCGGAAGCCGTTGACACCGGCAAAGACTGAGTAAACCTGACTTCCCGGGGGTATGAGGGTGAGATCGGGCTCTGGAGTTTGAAACCCGATGGAGAAGCTCTTGTTGTTAACTGCCGGACAGACGGTTGAACACTTTGGAGACTCTTCGTGGTCCTCGAAATCATTGAGGCCGTCGGTAACATTGATCCCATCTGAGGGTGTGCTCACCTTCTCCAGCCAAGAGGGCCGTCAGAAGATATTTATGTCTCCATGGCTGGTGGTGTCATAGTCCCCGAGCTGGAGGCCGTCGACGACTCAGAAGCCCCAGCAAGGGGAATTCGGGTTTCACCACACGATGAACACGGGCTTTCTAGCCCAATTGGCAGGTCGATCACAAGCTGAAGAGATACGGTCAAGCTTTGTGGCTGGTACTGTCGTGTACTTGGTAGTCTGGGGAGACATTCTTGAAGCTCTGTTAACGTGTGTACATTACCTAGGTACTTACAAGGTGGCGTGTTCAAGCTTCCATTGATCTAGGATAGCCGCATTGTAGGTAAGTAGAGGCCGGTACCACCAGAGCAATGGCAGTGAGCACAATGAGCGTGGTTGTGCCTCTAGTATCTATTCATTGTGGTGTTGCATGTCGTTAGAGCGTCACAGGAGAATCGTACGGCGCATTCGCGGGGTTCATCAGGCCGCGACTAGCCGCATCTCGACGATTACGACGACCGCACTCAAGAGTCCAAATTAATTCGACAAGCAAAGGATCAACTAACGTAGCGAGGTTATTGTCCTCAACAACTTCTGCTATCATGTCTGTCACCGACGCAACTCTCAAAGCAAAATATCCCGCCAAAGCCCACTGCCGGCGTGTTGCCAAATACCTCACCGACGCAGGCTTCGCTCGAGATGGAGTTATCTATCTGGAGGCACAGAAGACGAAGATGGTCGAGGACGATGACCAGGCCATGCACTTCCGACAGCGTAGATACTTCTTCTACCTCTCCGGCTGCAAGCTGCCCGACGCCTATCTCACATACAACATCCCCCAAGACCAACTCACCCTCTTCATCCCTCCCATCGACCCGGACAGTGTTATATGGGCCGGACTACCGGAATCCAAAGAGGAGGCATATCGGAAATACGACGTTGACCATGTGCTATACACTGATGAAGTCAACGCTGCATTGGCAGCATACGGCCCGTCAGGTTCGACCACCGTCTATGCTATTCCCGAACAAGTATCGGAGCATATCACATTCCTCCCCTTCAAGGCAACACAGTTCTCCTGCTTGAAAGAAGCCATCGACGAATGCCGCGTGGTCAAGGATAGCTATGAGGTTGCATTGATTAAGAAAGCCAATGAGATCTCGACACTTGCACACATTGAAGCGGCTAAGGTGGTACGGAATGCCACAAACGAGCAGGAACTTTATGGCGCGTTCATTGGGACTTGCATATCACATGGCGCCCATGAACAGGCTTATCACTCTGTATGCGCGAGTGGAACGAGCTGCTCGACCCTGCATTACGTTCGTAATGACCAGCCGCTTCGAGAACGCCTCAACATTCTACTCGATGCTGGCGCCGAGTATGAATGCTACTGTGCAGATATCACTCGCACCTTCCCCATCACCGGCACGTTCACGCCCGAGTCCAAAACCATTTATGATATTGTGGACGAGATGCAAGAGTCGTGTTTCAAGTTGCTTCATGCCAATGTAAAGTGGGAAGATGTGCACGAGAACGCGCATTGGGTTGCAATCCGTGGTTTGCTGAAAGCAGGCATCCTGGTTGGGAACGAGCAAGAGATCTTCGACAAGCGGATTAGCGTGGCTTTCTTCCCACATGGTCTGGGCCACTATTTGGGCATGGATACGCACGACACAGGTGGTCACGCGGACTACGAAGACCCAGACACCATGTTCAAATACCTCCGGGTGAGGGGAGAGGTTCCCGCAGGCGCCGTCATCACGGTCGAGCCAGGAATATACTTCTGCAAGTTCATCCTGGACCCAGTCCTTGAGGACCCAGAGTTAAGCAAATATATTGACCGGAGCGTGCTTGACAGGTATTGGACCGTTGGAGGTGTGAGGATCGAGGACGATGTGCATATCACGCAGGATGGCTACGAGAATCTAACCGACACACCAAAGCTGTGAAGAAGCCACGGCGAGGGGGTGGTGTGGGCATCCAAGCCTTTTAGCATGATCATGGACATGAACTAGAAGACACATTGAATACATTGCTTCTGCCCAACTGGGAAAGTCTTTGTAAACAACTAGTCCTTCTTGGTGGACTGCTTGCTTGCGAGAACAGTCCGCGTCTTGATTCCCCTCATGTTGGCCCAATGTTTTTGAACACCGGCACATGTCGAGGATGGACGTGAATTCGCCGACGCAATAGTGCGTGTATTTTTGCTGCCATCACTTTGCTCGACAGCGCTTGTTAGCACGATTTGACGGTCAACTGGCCAAGGTCAAGGCCCGGAACGAGCGACGCGAGGTGACTCTTCGTATCACTCTATTCATAGATGCGACAATGATTGGACGACCTGCAAGTCATCGATGGTCCAGGGTGTCTATTTATCACACCAATCAATGCCTGCTTAAGCGCCGAGTCTCGATGCCTCCATCTCGATGTAGCAAGTGGCTGTGAAGGGTGCAGAAGTATTTTGTCTGACAAAGGTGTATTTCCCGGTTAATGTCAGGGCCGAACGCCGTGAATCCCGCTCAATTCTGGGCAATCCACCAACAATATTCCGCGTCAGACAAAACCCCCCGCCGACTCCACCATCTTCAAGCAAATCGTCTCTCTACGCGCCCGGCTGATTCCTACCATCCACCTCGTTGGCCTATCTTCTTCCATCCTTCTCCCTCTCTGCAGGCCAACATCACACTCTCTACATGTGGCCAACCCGATGCTCGGTCAGTAATGCGGCCATGAGGCCAGTGGCCTCTCCACTCGTTGCGGTCTCTAAATATTGCCATCCCCGACTTGCCTTCGATGCTTCTCTCCTCTCCCAAGCAAGCAAGACTTGTTAATTTGGTTGTGCGGTAGCAAAGAGCTATTCTTGAAGATTTCGTTTTTTTGTTTACGATTCTAATCTTTCTCTATCTCTGCAAAGAAAGTAGTGTCTGGTACACTATTGACCTGAACTCGAAGAAAACTGCCTAATTCTGTTCATATCAATATCCCACGATTTGTAACATTTACGAGCTGTGCTCTTTTTGTTACAGTCTTCCAAAACAAAGCCAACACCACTCTTTGCAGACTCTGTTCTTGGACAAAAAAGGAGTCTTTTTCCAAATCGACGCATTCAAGGAAACCATCGTCGTTGCTGGTCAACGATCGTTCTTTCCGCTAATAGCTCTCTACCTGCTAAATCCGCCTACTGCACACCTATTCTTGCCGTGCCGCTTCGACAATTTTTTTAATACTATTTCGAGCATCATTTGGTTGCTTTTTGGTGTCAAGCTACGCCCTGTCTACCTTTCGTCGGCTGTTATCGGTCGATTCAAACCAACCAAGCGAGAGAAGCATCTGCATTACTCCCGGAGAGTAGTGTCGAACTCGGTTCTACCATCCCTGCAAGAAGCTGTGCCGCACGATTGTGCCGCATAGATTCCAACCAAACAAGTGTCAACATACACAATCAGGGCTGCTACGCTCAAAACGGATCAACATCTACATCAGCCTGCTGGTCTTCCTCGCCTCAGCATCAAGCACCACGGTCTCACCGCCATACCACGTTGTGTTGAAACGATTGCCGGTCAATCCAACCAACACTGACTCCCTGCATCTTTCTCAAACCTTCTTGGATACTCTCAAAATAAACCTTGACATATCTGTCGAGGAAGCTCTGCCTGTCTCAGACGTCAGCATCTGTCCGGCTATTACTACACACGTGGATTTCAATTTTGTTGCTTGATCTGCCTACATCGACTGCTATACATTTTATTATTCTTTTAATTGTCACGAAGCATTTGCATCACCCTTCTGCTTCTGCATTGGTATACATAATCTGGGCTACGAGCCACGACCACAGCTATTCAGCACACTTAACGAGAAATTTTACGCATTGTCACGATTCAAAAGTCTCAACGACACATTCTTTCCTATCTATTGGTATGTCCCTTACCCCTTACCCCATATGCACAACGAAGCTAAACAAGTTCTACTCCCTAGCAGGCATTTACTTAATACCAAATCACACCAATACCACGGCATTAGAAAATCAAAAACAACATGTCGCCACCAGCAGTTCAGCTCTCATTCACCCTCCGCACTTCTCCCAATGTCCGCACAGTCCACCTTCTGGGCTCTTGGGACAACTACAAATCGCAACTTCCACTGTCGCTTGTTAAGGATCCTGCTGCAAAGCCTGGATCCTGGAAAGGAACGTTCCGTTTTCAAGGCTCTAATGCCCTCAAGCTAGGCTCGCGTTACTGGTACTATTATATCGTGGACGGATACCATGTGTCCCACGATCCGGCCAAAGAATACGTGACCGAAAAGACAACAGGTCGAAAGCTCAATGTCATCGATGTGCCTTCTAGCGACAAGGATAGCTCCAAAGCCCAACGACCCTCTGTGACGACCACCAATCTCCCTAGCAAACGTCACAGCAGGGATATTCCCCAGGGTCGCGCTTTGAGTCCAGGAAAGATACAACATCCTAAGCCAAGCAAGCCCTATGCATCTCGTCCTTTGCGTGAGGCAGACTATGATGCATCGCCCATAGATGATCTTGAAGAACGCTTCGCCGGATACCGCATTGCTGACAGCTCAGCATCGCCTTCCGAACTATCCGACGATGGATCCTCTAGCGGAACAGCATTCTCAAGCTCGTCTCCTTCCAGCTTGTCGAGTCTGAGTGACCATAGCTGTCGCTGCGAGCGTTATGGCGTGACACGATCCGGACAACGCGTCAAGCTTGACTGTGGAGGGAAGCGTTGTGGAGCATGGAGTTCTAGCTCATCTGAGTGCAATTCATCTACAGGCAGTGAAGATGATTCGAGCGAAGATGAGAGATACCGGAGAGCTCATGCGAGTGCGGGAGTTGAGAAGAGGACAACAACAGCATACGCCTCCAAGGGACGGAGTGGCGGCGGCAGCGATGATAGAAGAAGAACTGTTGTTGTCGAGAAGAGGAGGAGATGATGGATGGAGAATACTGAACTGCTGGTGGGATAGGAGACAGAACGAGGAGTGGTTGCATGTGTCGGAGAAGTTCGAGGAGATGATTCCTTTCTTTCCACGCAAGGCAATGAAACAAGAAAGACAAATCAGAACGTTTGGCCTGAAGTCGTTTCTGGAGTCAGGAGGACGAAATGCCACGGAACACACTGCACAGCACGAACTCGTCCCGAAACCTTTTTCTTTGGACCTTCAAAGACCAGCGTCGCTTTGCAAAGAAAAGGTCAAGTGTGTGAGGCAAGAAGAAGATGATGAAGGAAATGAAGAAGATTGTTGTTGGGGTAGGATGCGTCGAAGAACACGGAAGGGTGGTAAGGAGAAAGTCACCACCAAGAAGGTAGAAGTTGATCAAGGTAAGTAAGTAGTCCAACCGTTGGTCGAAGTTGGGCTGAATGAGAAGAACACACAGGCTTGAGTAGGTATGAGTACCTATCTATTTGTACGTACGGATGGGTACATGACCATGACTCACAGGCAGGAGAGTGGCTGGCCTATGTATCAACAAAGGGAGCCATGTCAGGTCAAGGAGTAGAGTAGGAGGGAGTGTGGTGCTGGCAAGGGACGGAGAGGTCGGTCGCTGAGGGAGGTCAATGATTGTCCATGGGGGGTTGCCCAAGTGGTTCCGAAAAGGGTTCAGTCACCTGTTTGGGTGGTGGCCGGATCGAGAGCAAGATACACACGAGTACCACAGACAATGATGATATCCCCCATGCTTGCATCATTACGACGTTCGTTTTTGTGTCCCTAGACGGTATGGAGTATGTTTTGTGATGGTTCCGTCCGTAAGTCTTTCCCCTTTTTTGTATTGCACATCGAGCACCAACGCTGGACGAGTCATCAACATGTCACTTTGACAATATCAATGTCAACTCGTCTTACTTTACTTCCCTCGCGGCTTTCTTGAGACGATGATATAATCACGGTAGGCGGTAGTTGTCATGTCATGAAATTTGGTGTTTTTTTTGGTTTTAGCTATACATTTGGCTACCAAGATCGAGTCTCATTTGGGATTCATTTCCAAAAAAAGGGGCTTCTCGACCTTCTCGTTCCAGAGCCCTCAAGTGCATGGTCATAAGAATAATTTTTTGGCATCTACCTCGTCACATCACTTCAACACACAACACGACCCAGATGAAAGAAAAAACGTCGCGGTGGTAAAACTTGGCCCCCCTCACCCTCACGCGTCTGGCATCTTCAGGACGTAACGCCCGGCGATCTGGCCGGCGTGCATCATCTCGTAGACCTTTGGCAAGTCCTTGAGGTCGACCGTCTTGAAGGGGACCTTGATGAGGCCGCGGGCGTAAAAGTCCAGGGCCTCCTCGCTGTCCTGCCGGTTGCCGACGTAGGAAGCCTGGATCCTGATCATCTTCAGGACCGACTCGAAGACCGGCGCCCGGATGTAGGCCTTGGCGGGCAGACCGATGACGATGACCGTGCCCCGTGGTCGGACGTACTCGGCGGCCTGCTGGAAGGGCTTCTCGCTGACGGCCACCAGGATGACGGCGTGGGGTCCCAGGCCGTCCTTGGTGGCGTTCTTGACGTCCTTGATCACGTCGCTGGATTTGGCAAAGTCGATGAAGGTCTGTTGTGAAGGGAAGAAAGATCAGTACGGAAGGATTCCAAGACCGAAGGGAACCAAAGAACCAAAAAAAAACTCACCTCTGAACCCATCTGTTTGCAAAGTTCCTTCTTGTCATCGCCGGTGTCGATGGCAATGGTGTGCAGACCCATCGCCTTGGCGTACTGCTGGGCGAGAGAGCCCAACCCGCCACCGGCACCGACGATGGCGACCGTCTGGCCGGGTCGGGCACCGGACTCCTTCAGTCCCTTGTAGACGGTGATGCCGGCGCAGAGGACCGGGGAGACGCCGTCGAGGGGGACGCCCTCGGGGATGTGGGCGACGTGTCGTGCCGAGGCGACGCAGTATTGCTGGAAGGAGCCGTCGACGGTGTAGCCGGAGAGCTTGGGGGTGAGGCAGAGGGGCTCGTCGGACTGCTGGCAGAAGGTGCAAGACAAGCACGAGTCGTTGAGCCACTTGACGCCGACGGCCTCGCCGATCTTGCAGATGTCGTCGGTGACGAGCTCACCCCGGGCCACGACGATACCGGCACCCTCGTGGCCGCCGACGAGCGGCAGCTTGGTCGGGATGGGCCAGTCTCCGTTGACGGCGTGGAGGTCAGTGTGGCACACGCCGGAGTACTTGATGTTGACGAGGACCTCCTCGGGGCCGGGTTTGGCGACCGGGATCTTCTTGAGCTGAACGGGACCGCCGGTCTTTTCGATGACCTGGGCCCATTGTTCCGTGGGGATCTGGGGGGCAGACATGATGTTTTTGACGTGAAAGGGCCGTGAAAGAAATCTATAGAGACTTGTTGGAGACTATGGACTCGAGAGACAAAAGAGCCTTGGAGACAGTTGTTTGTGTGTGTGTGAGAGTGTGAGAGAGATACAGAGATATAAAGAGAAGACTTTGCTTGGAGGAGTAGTTTGATGGTGGATGTGAACTATACATGGCATGGGAAAGGAGTGTGCTTATGTAGACAAAAAACATCACCAGGTCAACCCCTCTCATGATCCGTTCGACCCAGACGCACTTGGGTCTTCTAGGATGAGCGGAAACCCCTCAATGGACAGTTCGACAGAAAGAGGGCACGAGCATATGGGCCAAAACGTCAGTTTGATCTCTTGGAGATCTTTGTGTGAAGCTCAGTGTGGACACCATGAGAGCGCGCATCGGACGGCCAATCGGCCGGATGTGTCTGGGAAGCTTTTTCAATGAATGTCACATCTCATGACGGGTATAAGGAGACTTGCTGGGATTGGTGGGCACAGCCCTTCTTTTGATCAAGAGGATTGGAGTCTCGGTCTTTGATGATGGAGCGGGATGAAGCGTTGGCGAGTGTGTGTGTGTGTGGACGAACGGCAAGCGGATATGAACATCCCTCTCCAGAATCATCGTTTGAAGGTTGGAAGCTGCAGGAGAATGGAGCAAAGGGAAGTATAATTTTTGGGCGAGAGGGAGGGAGGGGTGGCTGTGGTACTGTACATTACAGTAGTACCTCATACGAGAATCATGAGGTTCAGGTCACTTTTGTTCGGACCACGTCGCAGATCGAGGTCTAGGTTGCTAGAACTTGCCCTACGAGTAGGAGATGATGGTCCCCATCTCCGGGGTCCCTTTGCCGTACAGAAGTTTTTGTGATTCGAGGACGAAAGGAATTTGGTCATGGCCCATGAATACCCCATGTCGCAAGGACCAGAGGAAACTTCTTCATCCCGTACTCCGTCCCTTTTACAGTCTATCTGGACCAAAGGGATCAAATGGATCAAGGGGTTCCCATGGGCAGAAGGGCCCTCCCCCTACTCGTATCTGCGGGGATGGTGAATGAGCAGCAGAATGTTGGTGTCAGCAACAGTCTTCTCTGAAGCTAGAGACTGTTCCATACGAGTACCATTGAGTATCTCCCTAGGTAGTGTCTCCGGAGGCGCAGGGGTCAATGCATTCTACCCCGCCATAATGCCATCATCGTCAGGACTGGTACAAGGTTTTTTTGTTTACACACGGTGGTATGACAAGTGGAGGGGGATGCGGAACACGAGAGGATTTTGTGCCTCTGGTCCGAACAGATGAGAATAATGCTGCGAATAAATGTGGGTGAAGGTCCCAGATGGGCTACTACTATTCCATGTCTCTCGTATCAAGTCGTCGTCACATTGTTTCTTCATTCCCATTCCATCTCGTCCCGGCTGCTCTTCGGCGAACAGCGTTGATGCGAGATAAGAAAGATGGCGACGCACTTGCCGCCCGGCGCGTCGAGATTCATGGTGTTATCGCGCCAACGAGGCATGAAAACTTGAAAGAGATCATCATACGATCATGATTGCTCAGCCGTCATAATTCAAGTCTTGCGAAAGACTTGATGAATCTGGAGCGGGAAAGGAAAAGGCCTCAACAGACCCAGGGAGAGCAGCAGCGTTGGGTGGATGATCTGGATGAGAGATTATGCGAACGTGGTCTGACTCTGCAACAGGTCCAAGATCTGCCAGATTATCCGCTGACTGTATTGCGTCTACTGATGGCGTTGGCCTGGTAGACGCAACGATAACGATCATGATGATGCAACGACCAAGAAATACTTGAATCGAGAGTCTCCTAGTTTCTGTCCAATCGATCGCACATGCTTTACGAGATTCGTCGAGGCCATCGAGGGTGGTGAGATGGTGGGAAAAAAAGGATGATGCCAGGAAACAAATGCTATGAGTAACCTTGCCTTTCGCTGACGCAGCGCTTGGACTTTCCCACTTACTGGTTACACTTGGGGGCGCCCACCAGGCTCATCTTTGCCTAGAGACACTGCTCTTGTTTTAAGCCCATGGCTTGCACCTTGCAGGTCACAAAGGCGCTTATCCATGAGGCGACGATGGTCAAACTTCGCCCAGGCTAAATACAATACTCAAAGCGAGCCGAGACCTTCACCAATCCGCCTCATCAGCAAGCAGCCAGCCAGCCAGCGTATTGCGGGTACAGAGCCAAAAATCGCAACCTGCGGCTTCAGCGATAGGCGTGAATAGGCATCAAGACTTCGCGCCCGAACACCGGAAACAAGGACCCAGCGAGCCGCCGGTTACGGGTGACATGTTCTCTTCCATCCTCTCCACCCTCTCTTGCTGGTTCCAGAACCACCGGTGTCGAGACACATGGTCAAAAAACCACAATTCTTGACTCAAACGGATCGACACGCTGGAGAAGGCCCACGATTGATTTGATTGATCTGGTTTGCCTGAGATACAGTACGTACAGCGTACAATCTTTCTTCAACGGCCACTATTCCTGGCCTGGCCATCTTTTTCTATCACTCGTCTTCTTCTCTTTCTCTGCGCTCGTTATTCTCGTTCATACTGGAGACAGTCGCTCGCAGAAGTTTGCGCCAGCCAGTCCCGTAATCTTACAGTACAGCTTGTAATGTAACATGGCCAGTCAGAGGTGCATTCTCTCGCATCGCAAACGACTCAATTCGACAGCACAGGTGAGTGATGTCGCGCCAGGACTGATCGCACCGAATCCCTCTGGAACAAGCCGAGAAAGATACGGGCGACCACGGCCTTTGACGAACCCCGGGTCTGCACAGAATGGCGCCCGAAGACAAGGCTCAGGAATGACCAGGCGACCATGGCCCAGTCCTTTTACGGGGTGAAGATCGGGGGAACGTGCAGACAATGTGATGGCGCAGGTGCACTACCCGATATATCCCCTAAGAAGCTGGCTGTGTGAGGAGGGACGAACCAAATTATGCGTTCCCCCGCCGTCCCGCCCCTCCTCCCCGTACATTACGGCCCCTCGTTACGGGTAAAGAGAACAGTCTGAAGAGATGCAGTGCCCTCGACGTTGCATACAAGAGCTATCTACACCGTACATTTCATGTTGATTTGAGGATCCGGAGTGCTCGAACTGTACAGCTTGCGCCCCGCATGGGTTGACAAATCCCATTCTATTGACTTTGGCTTCGGCTGTGTTCTTCTGCCCGTGTATAATACGAGCATGACCCCCGGAACCATTTGAATGCCGCCTCTACGATTTATTGCCTTGTCTATTTGCCGTCCCCAGATCGATCATCCCCGCTTTTCGCCATTTTGCTGTGATCGCGCGGCTGACAGGCTAACATAAAAGTACCTGCGGAATTACTCGTATACCTATTGTGTAGATATACTGCTTAGAGGAAAGGAATTGGCATTCATCACCACCTCAGCCAGACGACAGACACAATCCTCAAGATTCTAGCTCAGGCTCAGTCCTCGAAAGAACGACGAGCTTCCCCCCTCTCCAACACACAACCATGGCTTCCAACGGTAATGGCGTCAATGGAAATTCCCCTTCAGTCTTCGACTCTTCCTCCACGATACCTCTGTGGCTCGACGGCAAAGAAGTGAGCCTCTCGTCAACCTTTGACGTGATCTCCCCGCTGGACCAAAAGACGTTGTACAAAGCCTCTGCGGCGAACGAACAAGATGCGCTCAAGGCCATCGCCTCGGCGGAAAAGGCGTTCAAGTCATGGTCCAAGACGAAACCGTCGTTTCGACGGGACATCTTCATCCGCGCAGCCGAGGGCTTCAAAAAGAGACGGGACGAACAGAAACATTACTCATACACCGAGACCGGGGCCGCCGAGTCCATGTTCGCATTCGAACACAACCTCGCGTACGAAGCGTGCCTGAGCGTCGCGGGACTCATTCAGACCGCGAGCATATCGACCATGCCCGTCGCCGGCGAAGAAGGCTTCAACGCCATGGTGCTCAAAGAACCATACGGTGTGGTCCTGGGTATCGCACCGTGGAACGCCCCCAACGTATTGGGTCTACGGGCCTTTTTGCAACCTCTCGCCATGTACGTCTAGACACCATGTCGCTCCTCCTTGTTATCTTTTCCTACCTCCAGTTGGTTTTTTTTAATCTTTGCGTTTGTGGAATTTGGGCTCGCTCTGACGGAGAACCAAAAATTGTAAAAAATAAACAGGGGCAACACCGTCATCCTCAAAGGTCCCGAGTCGGCGCCTGCGACGTACTGGGCACTGTCGTCCATCCTCCACGAGGCAGGTCTCCCCGCGGGATGTCTCAACACGCTGTACCACCGACCGGCCGACGCTGCCGGCGTGACCTCGACGCTCATCTCGCACCCATCCGTGAGGAAGATCAACTTCACCGGGTCGACGGCGGTGGGGTCCATCATCGCCTCGCAGGCCGGCAGGTTTTTGAAGCCGTGCGTGATGGAACTGGGCGGCAAGGCGCCCGCGATCGTCTGCGAGGACGCCGACATCCCCACGGCGGCCCTGCAGTGCGCGCTGGGCGCCTTCCTGCACGCGGGCCAGATCTGCATGGCCACCGAGCGCATCCTGGTGAACGCCAAGGTCGCCGACGCGTTCCGCTCCGCGCTGCGCCAGACCCTGGACCAGGTGTTTGGTCCCGAGGCGCAGGGCGGGATGGGGGTGCCCCAGCTCGTGACCCAACTCCCCGTGGCGAAGAACAAGGCCCTGTTGGCCGACGCCGTCGCCAAGGGGGCGACGGCGTTGTACGGCGACCCGAACCACGACGAGGCCAGCCCGACCCGCATGAGGCCCGTGGTCGTCGAGAACGTCAAGCCCGGGATGGACATTTACCACACCGAGTCCTTTGGCCCGACGGTCTCGCTGTACGTGGTCCAGTCGGACGACGAGGCCGTCGCCATGGCCAACGACACCGACTACGGCCTGTCGAGCTCCGTCTACACCGAGGACCTCCGCCGGGGCCTGCGCGTCGCCCGCCAGATCGAGTCCGGGGCCGTCCACATCAACACCATGACCGTCCACGACGAGGCCGCCCTGCCCCACGGCGGCGTCAAGAAGTCCGGCTTCGGCCGGTTCAACGGCGTCCCCGGACTCGAGGAGTGGGTGAGGACAAAGGTCATCACCTGGAAGGATTGATCTTGATGTACCCGTCGTGACCGAAAAGAAAAAACCAACCATTGTCAAAAGGGAAGGAAAAGCGCGGGGGTCAAGTGTGATCACAACGTCACTCAAACTCCCTCACAGAGTACACCAACCAACAGGATCGAGGTCTTTGATCTTATAAAAGATCAAGTACAAGATCAATCGCAAGCAGCGAAACAGCGGCCCCTTTTTTCTAACGAAAGGGAAAAATAGCTTCAAAAAAAGGGAAAAATGATACGCTTCATTACGTCTACTCGGTCGTGTTGGGTAAACATCGCTTTCCTAATAATGTGTAATTATAATACGAGTACAAGAGTCCTCCATACGTAACCTTGTTACCTAGTACTAACTTGGGCAAACCATTCTTGGGCCCATTCAACCTCGGGTCCTTTCGAGTCGCCAACCTGTCAAGTTTACACATTTTTTGACCATCCCCAAAGTCATCGATGCAGTTGATGTAGATCAATATCATCAATGACTTCCAGGTCGTTTAAAGGGGTGAGCCTCGGTATTCAAAACATAGTCATCCAAACTGACCAATTCCGGCTCACTGAACAACAAATAGTAATACTTCAACGTCTCGGCCAGCCAGAACGACTCCATCGAGTCCGACTGTTCGCCCAACTGGCTCGTGACGTCCTTTATCGCGGCGTGCGCGACGTCGGTCTTCGTGGCCCGCTCGACCGCGTCAAACATGGTCCACCCCTTTTCCCTCCATGACTCGTCTCCGGTGACGCGGTACATGATGAAAACGGACTCGATCGCCTCGGGCCGTAGTCTGTAATCTCGCGCACCGATCTTGGTGTATCCGGGTGGCAGTCGTTCTTCCAACAATCTCGCCGCCACATATTTCTCATGTGAAAGTGGCACTCGAGGCACAAATGGTGGAGGGGGTATGCCTGCTTCTTCTCCCTCTTCTTCTGTAGCAGCATCATCAGTGACGATGGTCCGACTGGGTTCGGTGTCGTCGAGCTTTGATAATTCATCCCGCTTCTTCTTCATGCTTGGATCTGAAATCGGTTCGACCGCACCATCCTCGAGACCCTGCATCGCTTCTTCACGTAGTTTCTGTTGATTGAGATTATACTCTTCAACTGCCCGGAATCTCTCTTTTCGATGAGGGTCCAGTGCCTCGCGCCATTTGGTTTCGTCCCACGAACAGGAAGCAAGACCATCACAAGGTACCAGCTCAAATTCTTCTGGCATCACACCGACTGGGGTGGAGGCATATGACCATACGCAACCGTCCGTAAGCTTTGTAGCCAAGGTCATATCTCCTGATATCCCAAAAAGCTTGGCCCCAAGGGCAAACATACCGCCTGCAAAGCAGCCCAGATGACTACCTTCGTAGATTGTGACTTTCTTATCCGAAGGGTTGACCGCTTTTGGTGAGATGATCTGTTTGGCTGCGAAGAGAATATCGTGGTTTTCTTTGGTCATCGGTCTGAAGAGAAGCTCACGCCGTACTGCATCCATCGCATCCATGTACATCGACTTGTACTGTGTGTTCAGACCCCCAAGGAGTGCAAACATTTTGGGGAAATATTCGTATGTGGAATCAGCCATGGCACCAATGCCGTATGTATGCTTTGTAGAGTGAGGCTCGTAGTCGAGTTCCTGAGCTGCACAGTCGACACTGGCATAGTCTTCTTCCCAGTCTTGGTTGCTGATAGCCACAGGTTTATCAAGGGTGGGCTTGAAATCTACCTTCCCAGGCTGTTTCTCCGACTCTGGAGAATCATCAGCTGCCCTTCTGTAGAGAGTCTTGGTTTTTTCCAGCTTCGACCCCGAATCCGCCTGTGGCTTTGTACTAAAAGGATTCACAGCGGGCTCTTCGCCTTCGCCAATCTCGCCCGCCAGGAAGGGTATACTTAGGCCTTCCACCCCTGCAGTCCTTACGACATCTGGCTTCTTGCACCCCGAAGCATCAAGCTTCAAGGGCCAAAGTCCGGGGATTTCGGTCTCCATTTGCCATTTTTCTAGAGCGTTCGTGACACGCGCAATCGCATCGTAATACTTTGGCTTCTTGGTGATCTGTGCCAGCCTCGTGAATTCCATAGCGAGGGATCCCAATTCGGCCATGACGGTGTGAGCGCCTGCTCGGTGAGGTTGTGAGGCATAGGACGGTGCCCAGTTGTAATATCCAATGGGCATGTGGTTAGGCGTGTCGAAGGCCCCAAGTAGTATGTCGGCGAGTTGCAAGGCCTTTTCAAGTAGTATAGGGTACTTTGCATCACTGATATCGTAAGCCGCAATCAAGCCTCCAAGATATCGGATGGTCGTTTCGAAAAGGGGAATGTCTTTTCTGGCAGATGATTTGAAATTGATCTGTGATACAGCAGCCACAGCATCCTCAAATTCATCACGGAGATCCATCATCCATAAAGTGTCAAGTGTGTCGACCAGTGTGGCACCCCAACCATTGAATGGATCCGCCGACTTCTTGGAAATCGGCTTGAGTTCATCGTGGCCCATTGAGTGATTTTTGTACCCATTCCAGGCATGCTTGAAAGCCTCCCGGATTCTTGTCTGCTTCCTCTTCCGATCGGCCTTGACATAGGGCGCTTCCCAGCCAAAATTGTGTTGTATCTTGGGTAGTGTCTGTGGTTGACCCTGAGGAAGGGAGATCAGGCTCTCGGAAGAGATGGGAAACTGTGCCGGTTGCGGTCTCCATACCGCTCTGCCTATACCTGGCGGCCTATTTTTGACCTCGTATCGACCCTGACCATGTTCACCGAACTCCTCGTCAAAGTCTGGTTGTTTCGCTAAGGATTCTTCACCTGTGACGGTGGGACTAGAGTCTTGGGGAGAGGTAGAGCTGCTGACGGCCACTTCGGGGACAGGAGTCGGCGCCGCCTCTGTTGATACTGCGGCGGGAGGAGGAGGTGTAGTCTCTGCTGGTGCTGCAGGCTTGTCTGGTTCTGGTTGCACTCGATTCGGTGGCCTCTGAGAGTCGGGGACTGTTGTCTGATCTATCTCCGGCTTGTGTCCGATGAGACCTTCCAGAGTGGTGCCATCCCAGTGATTGACTCGGGAGAGTTGATATATCGTGAGAATGGAGAGGACTGCAACCACCAAGAACACCCTATACCGACGGAGACGGAACATGATGAGTGCAAAAAGGAGATACGACTCAAGGGGGAATCATTGACCGCATCTGACCGGGACTGCGGGAGGGAGCGCAGTCAGAGGGAGTGTCGTGAGGAGTATGATTGTAGAAACGTCCGGAAGGAAAGGGTATAAGAACGAGAGGATATCAGAGAAGAATAACGAAGACAACAACAACAACAACGAGACACAGCGATGGAAACGCTCAATGAGGCTGAATTGTCATAAAGTCAAGCTTGAGAACAACTCGTCTCGGGCATGTGTCAAGTGTAGTACGCGGCTCGCAAGCACCTGCGACAGCGAAGAAAGAACTGGGGAAGATCGTCTCTAACATCGGCACATGGCCGCCGGTCATGCCGAAAATGGCAACGTGTCGTCTGACAGGCTTCTACCCTCAGAGATTTGGTGCGGAGTGTGTTTAGTCAGACTTGTCTTTTCAACACGGATGCCCAGCAAGACGAATCCTCAAGGAATCTTCCAATTGTGCCCCTGACACTCTGTATGCAAATTTATGCCTCTGCACACATATCTTTCCTCACATTGATGATGATGATGATTGTGAAGAATCGAGATATCCCAGAGCCCAGAAGCTCCAGACTTGTACCGTTGGAACCCTCTGAAATCTGCCAATTTGACCATGTTGAATCCAGTGACCATGCCTCCTTTTATGCGGAACTAGTCACTCGATACGGAGTATGGATATGAAAGGATTGCAGATCAACCTGTGGTAGGTATACTTTTCCTATCGAGGTCTTTGATATCTTCTCAAGCGCCGGTGACTCCTTCTCAAGCACAGCTGTTCCTCACGGCTTTATACCACCTTCTCACATCCACACACTCCATGTGAATGAAGAACGAGACTGACCAATAGTACATTGCCCGAGCTATCATTCTCAAGCAGCTTGTCGGTAAGTTCTAAGCTGGACATGCTCAACGCAATCACCTCGTCAGTGTCTCAACAATTGATCAGAACTACGGATGGCTACGACGTGTTCCAGGCCACTGTTCTACCGCACCGTGCCTAGAACAAAATACATGTCGAGAACTTACCCAGGTTCGTTCAAGCTTTTTTCTCTCTCGATTTTCTACAAGCACTTTCTTCAGTTATTGACAAGACCCTGCTTCGAGCAAGTTTTGAATGCGGGCTGGGACAAAGCACCCTCTCCCGTACGTCGTTGTAAGGAGGCCAGGCCAGAAAGAAAGAAGATGTCATAGCCTGGTCGGTGGTTGGCCTTATTTGCCAAACCTGACTCCTGTACGGGAGTATGTAGCGGCACAAGTAACCGCTTCAGGAACTCTGTTGAAGGGCTATTGAGTCGTTGTTTTTTTAAGGCCGCTCGAGTATATAGCAAATGCTTTTCTACGACCGGGGACGCCTTAAAATTGATCAATCGAACAAAGTCCAAAAGACGAGACACTAACCAAGTCAAAAATCAGATCAGCCACAGAAATGTTCTGTTTCACATGCCGACTAACAACAGTCATGCATGCTCAACCACGCTTCGCCTCGCACAATTGGAACGCCTGAAAATCGCTCTTTTACCAGTCTTATCCGAAAAGATATCTCGTTTGCTAGTGTTTCTAAAAAATCGAAATCACAACCAAGTCAGGTTGCATATTTGACGGCCATACTTCTACTAGTACCACCACTCGTTTGAACAAAGATTGACTCTTCTCTTCCTAGAGTGTGATGACTACCTTTTTCGCGCTAACACCTTGTTTCTGTCTGTCCAGCCCCTCTTGAACATAGTGCAAACCATTTCCGACCACCGATTCATCCGGTGCCGGCTTGAGGGTGCCTCGCTCCAAAGCTACGGGGACGTATTCCTGCCAGACTTTTTGGGCCACGATCCCATCTTCCTCGGTTGTGATACTACCACTTGAGATCCTTGTCACTTCGACATTAGAGGGGAGGTCATCTGGGGCCGCACCGACGCTGACTATCCTTCCACCGTTCAAGTCTGCCAGGACCGAAGCACACTGCCCGACCGTCGTGGGTGACCCTATGGCGTCATACGCCCCCACGACGACGCCGACGGACCGCGACTTTGACTTTTCTCGCAGGAGTGAAACCAAGATGGTCACGATGTCAGGGTTGTGATAGTCCAAAACTAGAGAAGCGCCCAGGGCCTTGACATAATCGTAGTTGGAAGGGGACGCCGTGGTGACGACGCAATATCCCGATGCCACGGCGAGTTGGATCACCGAGGATCCTACAGATGAAGATCCACCCCATAGTAGAAGGACCGGTTGTTTTTTGTTGCTACTCATGATGGGTTGAACTTCTTGGTCTGGTGAAACCGACGACGAAGACGAAGATGACATGGACACCACCTCATGAGTGTGAGTAGTTGCAGCAGTGTGAGTTTTCTTGCTCAGAACCGGATACTTCAGTCCGAGACCGGACCTTTTCAAGTACAGGCCTGCGGCGGCGGTCGATATGCTCAACGGCAGGACCACTGCATGATTGAACTCTAGATTTTGAGGGATCTTGGCCACCACCGTCGTCGTCAGTCGAGGGTACAGTTGGAACCCGCCGTAGGCATGTCCCTTGGCCAGACCGAGAGCGTGGGCGATAACACGGTCACCCTTCTTGAGGTTCTTGACGTCCTTTCCGACCTCCATCACCTCCCCCGCCACATCGTCGCCGAGGATGTGCGGGTACTTGAGCCCGAACCCGCCAGAGGTCTGGATTTTCCAATCCACGGGGTTTACGGCTACAGCTCGGTTTCTGAGAATGATTTCTTTGGCGTCGATGTCGGGGAAAGGAGCAGTGGCGACTTCTAGAGCAGCCTTTTCGGCAGGGATCCAGGCGGCGTAATTGACCAGTTGCATCCTTTTGGTTCTTCTTTTCCTTTTGGCACACGGGAGGGGAGGATATGTCGAATATCTAGATCACCACCCGCAGGGCTTGTTCGATGGTAAAAAATCGATCAGTCAGTATGAAGTAGACGGATGAAAGAACGAACGCGCGTTCATCTCATTGCCCGTATCGATGCGCGGGACTTGAGGATAACGTGCTTCTCTTCTTTTTCTCTGTCTGAAGACCTTTGAGAGATGAAATCATGTACGATCAAAGGCGTGCCGTGTCGTCGTCAGAGTATAATAAATGGCACGTACTAAGGAGGAGCTGGGTTGGTGATGACCGATTAGTAAGTGATACATTGACATAGCAGGACCCTGAATGATTATTGATTGATTCTACACCCATAATGCGATCAATAAATAGTACCCGTCGAGAGTACAAAAATCCATAGATAAGATTTTATAACAGCATTAATTCCAACGCTTGCTCATCTAGCCCGCTGTTTGAGGCAACAATTCCCTCTTGTCTCAGGTCAAAATACTTAGGTAGCTCTTCCAGATCCAAATACGCCTTGTCCTTTTGAAAGAGGTCATCCATTATATCAGAACGAGCAGACATACACATGATCATCATGATGACTGCAGCAGATCCATGGCCTTCACTAGCCTCAACTCCAGCTCCGCATGAAACGTCTCGTGCTTACCGAGAGTCTGAAACCCGTCGAGAGGTTTTCGTTTCAACATGTTACCTACCGTGGAGGCAAAGGACATGACTTCTCCACCCAATAACTTCACCGTCACTTGATCAGGTGCCTGGACGGATTGCGGAACGGCGGCCATTGCTCCTCCGTTCTCAAAAAACCCCGGAATCGTGTCAAAATGGACTTGGTCCTGAAGGAACTGTGATTCCAAGCTGAGATGCCTCGACTCTTCAGTTGTATTTTGGCATAACCGTTCACACAGACGAACGAGGTGGTTGAGGATGTTGGAGAGTAATAGGTGACAGGTGTAGGCGGAACGGATGGTCTTGCTTTGCAGTAATCTTCTCACGGCCGCATTTGATTTCTTCAATAGCTCAAGTTGGGTTTCTCGGGGTTGATATTCGTCTGAAGAATGTCGTTTCAAATGGGCCAAAAGCTTGATGCACACGGTTTCTTCGTCCTCCGAGGGAAACAAGGATGGACCACCAACATGCTGTCTGGTGCTGAAAGGCGCAGAGTGGCCAGGAGGACACAGTCTGCGTGGGTCGATCGGTACTGATAGTTCTTGCTTCAATGTGGGTCGATTGTCCAGATGAGCAGGGGAGAGATATCTCACGAACTGTGGAGGACTCAAGGCCGGAGTCGGTAGGCCGTTGTTTGTGAAGAAGCTGACCTCGCTGGTCATTGAGAAGCTACGGTTGTTTGCCATTTCAATTGCATTCAATGTTTCGGTGGTCTCATCAAAGGTCATAAGACCTTGATCGGGCGTCGCACTGAACGTCGACGACGATGACGATGTCGACCAACTGGGTGCAGAACAATGATGAGCCTTGGGGGGGTCTTCTGACCCGTGGCTGGCTGCAGGAGACGGGATGGACTGCACAGGGCAAGCTGTGCCGTTGACGATCCAAGGTTGAGAAGTGACGTTGCCTTTCTGTTCGGGCAGTGGTCGTTTCCTTCGCTTCCCTACCACTTTCCCAACTCGAGATTCACTGTAGACACAAGACAGTCTCTTCTCCAAGCATCGACGACAACCTTGCTTGTTCCCATCACATCGGACCTGTCACAGTAGGCAATGAGTAACAAGACCCAAACGAGTGGGGAAACAGGATAGCCTTACCTTGGCCGAGAAGCATTGGTTACATGCAGCTCTCAGCTTGATGGGTTTCGGAGCATTCTTGGAAGGAGTCGGCAATGCTGCAGGAGTGGGAGAGCATGAAGATGGTTTTGAGGTTGACAAAGTGGTCGAGCTCGCCGAGTCGGCCGTTGTTGTTGTTGTTATTGACGTCGTCGTTGCCCTTGCATCTGTCAACGAATATGTTTCAGTCCGGGAATGTAAATGATATACATACCCTGTCTTGAACGTCATGTTAGGAGGCAAAATCCAGAGAGCGGACAGGATCGAAGAATTTGATTAAACTTGAGCACGGTATGGAGCAAGTTGGAAATGTTTTGGGATCTCTCTGCTGGACACACGAAGGATTGACGACAGACTTGGGACAAGGCGAGGATCAAAAAAAGCAGAAGGGGTTTTCGGACGACAAAGTGACAGACGGTCGATGAAGGTGGCACAGAGCACAATATTGTATCTGCATGACACGAGTGGCTTCTTGATTCAAATAAGAATTAGTGGTTGCTGTAGTAGGAGGCTTTTTTGGGCGTTGGTTTCCTTTTGCATTTGTCCATGACCAGGGGTGCTACAATATGCAAGCCGCTAGCCCAATTCTCGCGTGGGATACGAGGATTCACATTTCGTCTGTCCAGTGGAGAGAGGGAGGATACGGTGGCTGTCAGCACGAAAGAAAGGCGACCAAGCGACCAGGGGGGGAGCCCAGACACCCAAAAGGAGGATCCTTTTGTGTTTGATGAAGATCCCCTGCTCTGATACGGAGTAGTTGTACTCGTAAACAAATCTCTCCGGTCAGACGGACAGCCTTGGCCTCTGATACTGAGTGCAAAGGGCTGATGCTGATGCTTTATGCCACTTCATCCTTTCGCCCAAGCTTGTTTTTGCCGCTGTGTTTCTGAGAAGGATGCTGAGAGATGGATTTAGTTAAACTTCAGTCTCCTCGCACTGGGTGGTACGGGGACGAAGATGAATGGCTTGTACACGGCAGTAAACGAGGCGACCCGTTGATCAAGGGAAGCCTTACCGCGCGAAGCCTCCAGCTCTGGCCCGCCAGGTCGTTTACTCATCCAGATCTTGGTATCAATGATATCACACCGTTTTGATCAACCACCCTGACGTCTTTTAGAATTCAATTTGAAACTTGAGAAACTGTACCAAACAGTACGTACCTCGAACTTGACGAAAGACCCATTTCTTTCCAGGAGATGCTCTCAAGATCAGTCCTCGACCTCTTCGGATTAGTTTGCGAGACTAACCGCGCCTCCCTCGAAGCGGTATCGGGCCGTGAATGGAGACATTACTCACGACAATCAGGATTGTCAGGGGGGTGGAGATGGGAACGACGAAGCAAGGGAGATCAATAATAATGAGGCTCAAAGGAGGCTGATTGTCGTAACAAGGCTTTGCAACCTCCTTACGTAGCGCTGAGGCGTCATGGAAAATGAAATAGGATTGTCTGAGATGATGCGAGTGATTAAACCAGGAGTCTAACAAATATATTGTTTCTACTACAGTGCTGGTAAGAATGTGGTTATACTCCCCAATCACCATCTGCAGTCACTCCGTGTCTTGACACGCACAGTGAATGAATGACATGTCAACTTCCCTCTGAACAGAAAAAACTACCTACTCGATTGTAAACAGACTCGTAGTGTATCGTTACTAGGACCAGGTTGGTGGCACGCAGCGCTTTGTCTCTTTTGTTTCATGGGAAGTTGCAATGTCCCCTATCACAATCTGTGGATTTCCACATTTTTGTGGTTTTTATCAATCACATCCCTAGTATCATTGTGCCAGTACGGTTAGTGACTACGAGTATGATATTGAGGCCATGTCACTCGGTTATCGTCCCTGAGTTTCCCGGAGTCTCTGCGCTAAATCCCCTTTTACGAAATAAGCAAGTCATCTACTGGAGAGTATGAGCCTGAAGCATGTCACTAACGTTTCTTGCAGCTCGTGGAGCATGGAGTACATACTGAGTGCAGGTAACTTGTATCAAGCTCGAACTGTGGTGTGTCAAAGAATGTGACTACGGAGTATGTCAACTTCGTCAAAATGCTGAGGCCAAAAGCCATTGTGATAGTGGCTTTTAAGGGGACAACGTGGCTGGCTTTGGGACCTTATCACCTCTTGTGTTACGGTCTAAGCCTTGGTGGCTCATTTGTTGGGCTGCTCTTTCTTCTTGCGTCTATCGCTTATTCACAGTACTCCGTACTTGTTCAGTCTGTCTTTGTTGGGGGGGGGGAGTTTGCACGCGGTCAAGAACCGCAATCTCGGAGAATGGAGACTGTCCCACGGCCCTATCACAACCAAGTTGGCTCCTCTATTATATGTGCTCCGGTTGCCACGCGCGCCCATGGGTTTCCTCGTTTTAGCCATGGGAGCGAGCGCCGCCATCGGCCATCGCATTCAGATCCTAAACAAGAAGGCTTCACAGGCGGCTGTGACGAAGTCTCGGAACCAGCAAAGGCGCCGGTTAGCAAACGAACCCACCAATTTCCACTTTGGCCATGCTAGATTGCACTTGGAAACTTGTACTGTTACTGTCCAACCGGGGGGAGAGTCCGGTCGCATGGCAACTCGCCGAGAAGTCACTTTGCTAGCGACAAAGTAAGTACACGACGGCAACGACACATGTAGGAGATCTCTACCTACGGAGTACGAGTACTGTACACCATCATCCAGCTGTAAGGTTGCTACTACTGAACTAGACTGTCTTCATGGAATCTTCCAAAGACTAAACGAAAATCGACTTGCCTGACGGGACGAATTTATTCTCGAGTCACAATACATATTCACATCCTGTCTGTACACGGAGCTCATCAGCACTTCCTTCCTCTCGGAGCGACCCAGTTTTCTCACCTCGAATCCTTTGCCTATCTCGTTAACGTGGGCCTGGGAGAGGAGGACTGCACCTCAGCCGCAGTCTCCCAAGGGCTACACGGAGAGAGAGTAGAGCCTATGGATCGATTGTATCCATTGCCGGCCCCAAATCCACCAGGGAAACTAAATTGCTTACATGATAACTTACCCCGGCCCGGTTATTTTTAAGCACCAGCACTTTATTTTGCATCCAACTCCGAACCTCCGTACTATCATCATCATCACCATTTGTCCACCACTCGTTGAGACGTGCTGAATACTGCGGTCGTTTTTTGGGACACAGAAAACACATGCCACAGGCCGCCACTGGCCTGATACACTTGTCCGAGCCAACGGCACGTGTCACTGCTACTGTCACCGTTACGGTTACTTCTTTCTTCGAGTCCATCAGCCGCCGCCTCCTGGGTGTTACAATATGCGTATCCGGGGGTCGAACCCAGCTGCCAAGTCTCGCACAAGTCTTTTAAGCTGGCGATTACGAGAAACAAGAAATACCACCCGCAAGGAAAAAAAAACCAAACATTGGAAAGCGAACCGTTTCTTTTCATCTTGTTCGTGGCACAGCGTGGCGCGGTGACGGCTCAGCTTGACTTACAATAGGTAATAGGGCATAACGTAGTGAGACGAACCAAGCTGGTCTCGCGCCTCTTTCTTTCCTTTTTTTTTTGATTGCGACATTGAACTAACCTGTACGAGGACGAAGAATTGTCTGACCTGGGCCCAGATCCCTGGATCTGCGAATCGCCTGGCTGACTTGACAACTTTTGTCTGTCCAACTTGCTGAGCCACGTTTTGTGTGTTCTATTGAATCATTCTCCCTCCCTTCCCTTACAAATCTCGCAAAACTTTTCGTCGAATCGGCTTGACCAGGGGTTCAGCCATGCCTGACCTACAACGACCGAGTCGTGATCCGTTTGATGGAAACATGGTCCGAGTGAAAAAAAATTCACAACTTTGTACGGAGTATAAGTCCTACCACAATCGAGTTCTCCCCCGCTCGTAGTAAGCAAATGGAGTGACCACTTTGTTAATACTGGATACGGAGTACATGAATGAGCTCCCAGACTAGAGAAATCTGACATTGCAGTCCCAAGACATGGGTTAGGTCAAGGTAGCTAGCTATAGAGCGCTGACAAAACACACACCGCAACATTCCTTCATATTGAGGTAGTCTGTAAAGTATGGTGTAGGCACTGTAAGAGGGAGGGGTGGTATACATACAGAAGTACAGTTTCTAATTTGATCATCTTTTTTTGGCTTGTTCAAAGCATCGACGTGTCAAGCATTTCATAAGCATAGATATAAAAAAAAAGACCTACTCGGTGCTTCTTTATTTACAAGCACAACGAACGTCTCTTCTCTTCCTTTGACTGGTCATGCATCTCTCTCACACACTCGGTAATTTTTCTGTCCTCTACCCCTCCCCAATTCTACCTGAAGGAACGGTGTGGAAAAGAAAGGAAAGGAAAGGAACGACCGTTGCTTCCACCATGTCACTCACCGCCTCAAAAAAGAAGAAGAAATCCTTGGTTTTCAAAGAGTAAGCCCACCAACACCACTGAGCAATGAATACCGATACCAGGTGCAGTAGGCAACTTGCGAGCGAGGTAGAAAGGCGAACCACTCGTTACTCGCTCACTATCACCACTGACAAGTGCATACTGCAACGAGTCTCAATCATTCCAATATCCATGCATGTTATGTACTCCGTACCTATACACCCTTATCCCTTCGCCCAATCCATTCTAATGGTCAATATGCTGTAAAAAGTCCCCAGCACGATGCAAAATATGTCATGAGTGCCTCCTCCTGTCACGATCTCGCCTCAATCAATTCGATCCCCTACCCAATTGTACTCAACTCCATGATGCTTCGAGGCACTCCGAGGTACGAATAGTAAAATCTTTCTGCGCCATGCTGACAATCACTCCCAGCTCGTGATGATCTTCACCTGCACATCTAAAACTAAATACCCGTACCAGTAGCTCTTGCTCTTCCATTCTCTTGAGCTTGAGCTTTTTGAAATTGTCGAATCAATCCAAGTGGCCCCAAAGCCCCCAACGCCGTAATCGCCTTGGGATCATTCTCGTCGTCCTCATTTTCACTGTCTGCTTCCGATGAAGACTCGACCTCGTATTTCCATGACCCAAGCTCTCCTGCTTCGTTGGTCGCGCTAAGGGAAACAGGTTGTTCAGCCACTGCAGCTAATGGTGGACCGTCAGCCTGGGCGCGCCTGTGATTCCCTCCATCAGGTGGCATCTCTTCAGCCATTCCATGAAGAGGAGTATCACGATCCCGGCGTTGTTTTCCTGTTGCGCCCGAGGCACGATGTCTTACTGCTGGCGGTGACCCCCCAAACCCGCTGGCTGAGGGTTGATGGTGAGGATCGAGCAACATCGACTGTAAGGGTGATCCGAGAGGCTGAGTGGAATGCAGCTGAGCTTGGCCTTGGCCTCCATGGTGCTGAGCGCCAACCCGGGGTGTACCCAAGGCCGCACGATTTGGGGACGACAAGAGACCTAGGCCTGCACCTCGGCGAATACCATCACTACCGCCGAAATTGTTGCCTTGTTCGGCGGCAGGAAACGTCGGTGAGAGCAACCCAGGCACGGGTGGGGGCATGTGCAATGGACGACGTGAGTGGTGATGATGATAGGGAAACCGAATATCTGTTTTCGGGTTGCGGGCATAGTCATTCATAAAGCCCCAATAACTCTGTTCCAGCTTATTGTCCTTGGGAGCGAAATAGTCGTCTCTCAGATAAGTCCCAAGGGCTTTGCCACTAGACTCGTTGGCATTTCTCACCGCCTCTTCTGGTTTCGTGGTTGTCGCAGCTTGAGGTCTAATGGCTCTTTCCATAAACCCAAACTCGGCAAAGGAGCAAACATATCCAATACCATCAACATGGACGGTAAACTCACGGAAGAAGTCGATGATTCGCTCACTGCATTTGGGTAGACTGAACCACAACACGAATGGTGTAAAGATCATGCTGAGTACCTCTTCAAGAAAGACGACCACTTTCATCTGATAGAACTGTGAGAATTCATCCTTGACTTCTACCGTGTGTAGTCGGCCTTCCCAATGGGCAGGGACATAATGAGTGAACTCGATGACTTCTTGAATCGAAAACGCCGTATCGTAGACCATATTATCGTCAGGCAATAGGCCACGAGCGACAGCCCATATCGAGCCAAAGACGCCAATGTAGAAGATGGAGGTTCGACCTGGAGTCACCTCGAAGTTCAAAAAGTTCTCCTGATCCAGGACGGTCGCGAGACCCAACACAGAAACCACAGCACCCGAGACCAAGCTAACGAATTTCGCGGTTTGAATTGTCTTGTCCTTTGGAAATTGGTTGAGGTATCTCGTGGCAAAGGGATAAGACATGTTGACGCGTCTCTGAAACAAGTGATACAACTCGTTGAACTCGCGGAATTTCCACTGAGCAAAACGGGTATACTCCCTTGACCCAATTTGAGCCGGGTTCTTTTGATATTCGTTGAAATTCTGGAAAAAATGCTTGGTAAGGGCGAATCCAGCCAAGAAAGGAGCGAAAACAAGGCTCACTATGCCCATGGTGATGAAACGTTTTCGTAAAGCATCCGAGAGGCTCTTGCGGTGAGTATCCTTGAGGAATAAAGGCCGGACTTGTCCCTTGTGATTGAAAACAAAGTCCATGATGCATAATTCAATGTTCCACTCCAAAGTGCGAGTAAAGAGCTTGCGATTGCGAAGAAAAGGTATCGGTAGCGTCAAGTCAAGGAGGTCCTTGTTCATCATAGCAATCATGTAGTTCTCCCTTCGCATCAATCGGCTAGCAATGTCATGAGCATCCATTCGCTGTTTATCCTGTGACCTCAGATAGCCACCCGGTCTTTTAGATGTGGAGGTAATTGTGGGATTCGAATCTCTCAAAGCCATCAGGCGGCTGACAACTTCTTGCCACGATATTGACTGGATTTCGGTTTCAGGAATGCCGAGAAGATGCAGGTAGAAGTCATGCATCTGTCTCAGGCGAAAGATGTCGAACACAGAAAGAACCAGGTTCCAAAGCCAGACGAAACTCGATATCCAGAGCAATGCGTTCGGTACAAATCCCATCTTGCTAGCACATCGTGGGATCAGTATGTCCGACATCTTGGTGCTGCCTTTGATTCCTTGATAATCGATGCATTGGGTGAGGAACAAGGAAAATCCGACGACAAAGGCGACGGTGATTAGGTTGAAGAACCGCATCAGCAGCATAGACCAGAAACCGTGACAGAGGTAATAGTTGTAGACATCAAGCAGGAAGTTGTCCAAGTCCGTCACATTGACCCAACGAAACATAGCCTTCTCTTTTGGGTCCGCATTCGCAAGACCACCTCCCCAGAATGGCCTGATCGGTACAGCAGAGTGTCTCTCATTGGTGTCGCTGTGATCCCGTGAGCGAGAACGTCGGCTGGGAGTGTCAAAATTTATGTCCTCCGGTAGAGGAAGGGCATCTGAGAAGTGACTTGGTGGTGGAGGAAGGGAGATTGAGTCATGCTCGTGAGTCCCGGCATTGGGATCGATCAACAGTGATGCCGGTACATCGTCATCCGCCTCTTCAACGTCCAAGAGCTTTTGAGACCTGGGGTATCTTGATCTGTTCGTAGCCCTGCTCTTGCCTTTGCCCGGGGCTCTCACTTGTCCGCGGCTATTGTTGAGGCCCTCCGCAAGACGAGAGCCGACGCGACTCTGGCTGAAGGTTGCGTTGCCGGTGCCTATGTCATGGAAGCCATCTCTTACATTTTGAGCTCCGGCCGCCAGACCGGCTCTTTCTTCCACGTCAGAAGCATCTGTGTCTTCGTCATGTTGGCGGAGAGTCTCGTAGATGGAAGCCGATGCATGATTCGAGCCTGTGAACCTCGAGATGAAGTTGGAAGCCATCGAGGGATCCCGACAAAGTCAGCCTGCAGGGTGACCCCGACAAAGACTGATTTCCACGTTCGTGAGTGAGTTTGTATAGAGAAGGGACAGGAAGTCGGCATGGACAATCACGACATCATCATCGCTTCGGAGCGTTTGTGCCTGCAGATGCAAGTGCAGACGCTCTTGCGCAGGCACATGACAACCCTTGAGCAGGCAAAGGTCGCGAGGATTACGGAGGAGAGTCGATCGAATTCTCAGAGTGTATGAATGGCGTTCGGCGGAGAAATGGCTCAGCAGGTCCTACAGACTCAATGTAGTCAAATTGATGCAGGAGAGGTGTCTCTTTGTTATGATGTTATTGATTAGAGTACACGGTATATGAGAGAGCCGTGGTTTGAGCGTCTCCAACAACAAGCAATGACATCTTGTTCTTCTCCGCAACGAGGGCAAATTCCGGAGTATAATTCAGCCCACCAGCTGATCATCCTCAGCCTCGTGCGCCTAAGGATGATCCTCCTGGAGACGACTCTCACATGTCCATGGATAATTAAATCCTAAGACGCCTTTGTTTCGTTACAGAATGGTCCAAGGTTTTCATGGTTCGCATGGAGGACTACATACATCTCTACTCCTCTCAGACTTTTTTCTAGTTGAATAATTCTATTTCAATAAAGGGTATCCTGTCATGAACATTATCGTGATGCGGAGTGCTGCCACTCGTGTCCCAGGCCGTCTATGAACAATCACAAGAACACAGCCACCAGGAGCAAGACGCCAAAACATGCAAAAATCCATTGTTGATGCTGACCACCTTTGGATTTCTCGAGCTTTTCCAGGCTGCCCAACTCCACAGCTAAGAGCACAACCAGTATGATCAGTCGGCTGAGGATGCCAGTGATGATCTTGAAACACAATAGCGGAAGCAGCGTGGTGGACACTATGCACGCGGGAACAAATCCGACGATCGATCCTGCAGAACCCGAGGCCGTCGAGTTGCCATGTAAGCAAATCAGGTCATCTTCGTGATCTAGGAATTTGGACTCTGGAGCCGAAAGCGGGTTATTATCTCTCAACCACGTTCGAAATCGATCGATGTCTGTGTGTGTTGGTGGCGCAGAGAGTTTTTGCACTTTCTGCGCAGAAAGGAGAGCTTGGTCTGTCATCGTCAGCTTAGGTGCATCAGTAGCGCCTGATCAAGCACGTACAGTATTGTTCGAGCTTGATATAAAGTCTTCCAAGGATCTCCAGTCGGTGGCTTTGAAGGTCAGATTGTGTCCATTCCCAGCTGAGACGTCTAGACGCTGGCGACATGCTACCGTCCACCTTGATCCGGCTTCTGCTATCTGACTGATCAAGAACGGATAGCTCATCCTCCATCTCAGATATCTCATCCTGTAACTGAAGCAACATTCGGTAGTTGCTCTTCTGAAATCGTCGAAACACGGGGGGCAGTTCTTCGTGGGTCAGCTTATGAGCAACGAGATCGTACCCGGAAAGAGTCGTCTCTTTGAGTGGTTGTGGAGTACTTTCACTGACGGATGGTCTGCGACGGCGTAGGTTCTCGGGGCTAGGTGTCCTTCTGCCCGCTTTGCTATAGTATGGTGTGTGAGTAGGACGGGGCACTGCAGGCCAATGAAACCGTAGGCGTCTCTCGTACGTCGTCGAGTCATTTGCCAGTTGCAGCTCGGACTCGGTTGTCTCCTGGGATTCCTCGGGCAAGGACGGTAGGTGGCCGTCAACCAAAGAATCAGTGTGTGGACGACAAATAAAGCTATCTCCCATCGAAATGCCCGAGTCCGAATTCAGGCTTCTGCTGACGCTCTCATTGTCTGATTCCTCGCGGACTTGATGATATTTATCCTGGACGGGTCGGGCAGCCTCGTCGTGTAGCGATGTGGCATTCTGCTCATCGTCTTGCACTAGGAAAGCAAAGACATCGACCGACTCGCACGGCATGCTCTGCTCTTTTTCGGGGGTTTCGGGCTTGGTCTTCGCCGAAGACGACGCCTTCCGATCCCTCGGCTTCTGTGGGCCCTTGGAGTGTGAGGACGATCGGCGTCGCTTTCCTGGTGCAGACGAGGATTTTCTATACGACTCTGGGGTAATTGTGGACGAGCTATCGTTTGATCCATGCGAACCACTAGTGATGGCAGAGAGAAGGGAGAGCTTGGAAGATCGGGCAGCCTTACTGACGCCAAAGGTATGACTGCGGCGTCGGTGGCCTTGACTGCGAACCGACACAAACATGTAGGAGAGACAAGAAAGTGGCTCGGGGGTCCTTGACTAACGGCTTCACGAAAGGAGCGGATGCAAACAGTAGCGACACCTAGCAATGACAGGCTCGATAGAAGCTGTAGTACCCATTATTCGAGATCAAAGTCGTCGCTAGGTGTAAGGGAATATCAGGTTGAGAGAGAGAGTGAGAGACAGTGCAATTGCTGCAGAGGTCATGCCTTGCGACAAAGGTCGAAGGTCAGATGAGCGGGACTCGACAGACAAGAGTTCAAGCATGGGAGGGGCCACAAACATGCCACAAACCACTCCGATACCCCAGGAAAAAAAGAGCGTGGCCAAGCGAAGGGAGCTCGTTGCCTCCTGAGTGATACAGGCGATGCAAGAGAGAAAAGACAGGCTGAACGAGAGAGGTGTTGAGTTTCAGAGGGCAGACGAGAAGTAATAATATTATTGCTCCAGTCAATGGGCGGTCCACCATCGACCAGAGCGAATGCGGACGAGGCGTAGGGAATTTCTGCCCAACACCGGTCGAGCCGGCAGACGCCAACGAAGAAAAGATGCCCAATTGTGGCCGGAAGCTGGCAGTGAAAGCATCATCCAGGGGATGCAGGTATCGGAAGCCAACACGAATGAGAAGGCGGTGGAGTGAGATCGGTGTGGCCTGAGATGATCGGATGAGAAAGACATTTTCAGCGAAAACCGACCTAGGGCGATATATAGACCAATAGATATCCTGGCGAATGCACTTAACCGTCTGTTTTCGTGGCCTCATGGGCGTTCAAGAACAGGCGCCTTGGATCCATCCCCGAAAGCAGCTATGTTGTCCGTATTGTGAAAAGGCCTATGTGTGGAAAACATCCCGGAGACAGGTCGAATAACTGGACGCACGGAAAGGAAAAAAAAAGATGGAAAGATCAGACGGATCATTACTGCGATGAAATGCAGGGTTCCAACGAGTCATAATGGGCCAACGCAGCCGCCTACGCAGGGAATTCCACTAAGACTGCAAGCTACCCGCATGGTCTTCTTTGCCGGAGGGGGAGCCATGCTTTCAAACAGCTTCGAGATACGCTGTACCGAGGAAAGAAAATACGGCAAGGAAAAATCGATGGGGTTTGGTGCACTGCCTCGAGTGACTTGCCTACTACTTCGTACCATGTCTAGGACCAGAAATACTGACCACGTTGAAGATCATCCCCAACACCTGTAATCAGAGACAGGCTTTGCTCCCACGAGCAAGTCAGGATGCTTGTCCTTCCATTGTTGGTCTGCATCATCAGGGAACCTCTCCTTTCCCCTCGGCACAAATCGAAGTGGCACCGTCCCTTTTCTCATCTGCAGCGAGATCATCACACTCAGACCGTTCAGCATGAGATCTCTCGCCCGATTAGCAGCCTTCTGCCATACATCTACCCGGTCATTCTCATTCATCGCGATGACTTCCTCGTCACTCGCCCATCGGTCGACGGCGAGTTCCACTGAGTACCTCTGCAGTAGTACCGCCAGCACAGCTAGGACTTCGACTTGAGCAAACCTCCGTCCTAGGCATGCCCGATACCCGTCGCTGAAGGGAATATAGGCGCCTCTCGCGGGCTTGAAGAGCCGGTCTGACGTATCGGCAGCCTCGTTGATACCTAATCCGTCCGACGTGACAGCCTCGTTGGGCATCTCCTTCTTCTCGCTGGCCGCAGTCGTTGACACCTCTCCATCCTCATCTAGTAGCCATCGCTCCGGTCGGAATTCTTCTAGATCGTTGTCAATATTTGCTACCGGGTGGACGGGTCTGCCGCCAGGCAATGTCGGCTTGTTGGTGGGCCAGTATTTCGGATTCTTCTGTACATTGGTGGTGGCCAGACTGATGTAGATACCTCCAGGCACCGTACACTGCTTGCCTTCAATGCTGATAGGTTGGTCAGTAACACCCCAGGTAGATTTCGGAATACCGATGACCGGTGGAACAAGTCGCAACTCTTCGGCGAGCACGGCACCGACCATGCCGCCAAAGAGTGAGGGCAGATCTCGGTCATAGTCCCATTGTGAAGGAGGCCTGCCCTCGAAAATCCGATCAAGATCTTTCTGCACTGCCCTTTGAGTTTGAGGAAACAGGGCTAGGAAGAGCAGGGAGAAATGAATCGAATTTGCCGCAGTCTCATGACCGGCGAGGATGAGAACGAACATGTTTCCGAGCACTTCTGAATCTGTGAGAGGAATGTCTTTGCTCGAGTCGTTCATTTGATTCTTCACCAGTTGGCTCAAAATGTCCATCTGGTCTTTGGTCTCCTCACCTGCTTTGAGTTTTTCCTTCTTGGACATGACGGCTTCTCTCATATAGTTGCCCCATTCCAGATAGGCTTCGTTGGCCTTTTGAAGCAGTTTGATCGGTATACGTGCCATCACCCACCGAGGCAGTAGAAACTGAAAGAGAATATTATCCAGCAAGCAGTGGATAGCGTAGGTATAGCTCATGGAGTGCCCTCCATCTCGATCGTCCTTTTGGTTTTGTATCTTCGAGGCGTCGTTGTAGTTGATGTCGATATCAGCCTTTGCATCTGCAGAGGGCCATTCCAACTTGCGACCAAAGCCTGCTCGACTGATGACATATAGACTTAGTCGCATCGTGTCATCCATGACTCGGTCGACAGTCTGGCCGCCCTTGCCATCGGGGCCGACCCAGGAGGACAGCATCGCATTGGCGAGATCTATGCTCTCAGCCCAAACAAGATGATTGTTCTTCTCCGTGAATGGTGGGCTCGTCGCTTTGCGATGCTGGCGCCACATGGAACCTTCGGTGGACACCACATTTTTGCCGTAGATATCCAGGGACCGGTAAATGGCCGTAGGCTTTGGAAAGTCGTTCCTCCGTGTGGTGATCTGGTGGATGACCGCAGGATCGGCCGTGTGCATGATGATGCCCCCCGGCGACACCAGCAGAAACGTATCATGTCCCATCCGCTGAAAGACTTCGATGCTGTAATTGAAGTTGAAGTCCGGCAGGCAAAAGTCCACCCACCACGTCCATCTCCGAGGCAGTTTGGCCAGCAAAGGGAGATAGAGCCGGTGAGTGACGAGCCAGAATCTGTTGAGATAGTAGACTGGGACAACGACGTACACGATTCCTGAGCTTCTGGCTTTTTGGATGTTGCGGAAGAGGTTGATGAAGGTAGTGACCGAGGTGTAAATTAGATAGAGGAAGCCCACCAACAGTATCAACGAAGGCATCGTGGCTGTTCCCCTTCCCACAAGCACAATTCCAAAACAAAAATCAAGAAGTTAAAAGCTTTTTTTTAAGTACGCATTGTAGGCAAATCAAGGGGTCACCAACGAGTAGCTGAGAAAGTCGCGAAAGTTAGAAAGAGGTGCTCGAAGGGTTATATGTGAGACGGCGAATGTTTGACCGCCAGAAGAGGAATAGCTCACAAAATATCCTTCTTGAAGGAGAAATACATATCCCTGTTTCAATCAGTGATTGGCGAGTGTCCCAGTTAGAGAACCCTTGTGGCGATAGGGACGAACATTTTGGCGTACTCCTCCTCAAGGTTCTGCGAGTCGAAGGTGGCCGTTTCAAGCCAGAGATGCTACGTTATAAGCCAGGGTGTGAATGTGCCGCAGTCTCGCCGTCATTGTCATCATGTTAAATCCACCTCAACCAAGAGAAAAGATATGTCAACGTCAAATGCTCTTTCCAAGCCCAATGGCAAGTGGGCGAGTTTCTCCTTGAACTCTCCATCACAGCGAGTCACAATCCGCCGACGGGGACACAAGATCGAACCGAGCCGAGCTCGCAAGGTCGCTTCGAGGTCTTCCACCAATTACAGGTGAGACGAACATTCAGCGTTCAAAGCTACTCTAGAAGCGAAGTCTACTGGTAAGCTTTTGTGTCAGAGCGAAAGAACTAATCGATGTATTCATAGGATATAGGAAATACAAGTCATCAAACTCCTGGGTTGCTATTCAAGGAAAAAATCCCGTCTCTTCTGCACTCGTACACGTCCACCCCCACGAACCGGAGAACCCTGACCTGATAAGGAAGACCATCAGCACCCTTGTTACCTATACCTCACCCCATTCCTTCGCCGTATTGCAATCCATTGTTTGCTGTTGTACCTGCCAGTTCCTCACCTTCTAAGCGGTCGCCGACTCTAGGTGGGTGCCTTGTGCCTCGGCTGCTGGCTTCTCAGTCTGCACCGGGCTGGCTATTGGCTCGGCGGCGGCGCTGGCAGTTTCGGAGGTAGTACCGGTGGGCATCAGGTTAGATCCTAGTCCACCGGCATTGGAATGGATTGGCTCAAGTTGAGGCTCCCACGTCTGCAATTCTTGTTCGGCATCAGACAAGACTTTCCTAGCTTCATTGACGTGCTCGAACGGCTGGCGCACATCTCCTGGCACCACGGGAGTATCGTCGAGCAGGTTCAACAAACGACGACCATACTTGGCGAGAATGATCTGCTTCTCTGCCCGTTCAATGGTCGCGGCGAAGTGCACGTCATATGCCTCTTTGACCTTTTGACGAGTCTGTGGGATTGGTTAGCACTCCATCTACTTGGAGGGCGGTCGAGTCTCGAGGATACTCACGATATTGGTAAGCTGCGCCTCTGCAACTAGGTTCTGGGCCTCAGCGCGCACGAGCTCCTGTTCCAGTGTGACTAGCTTAGGACTCGAGGGCTCCTTGTACTTGAGCTTTTGAATCTCATCGCTGATCTTGGCCTTCTGATCTCTGCTGGGTTGTACACTGCTCTCAATGTTTCTGATCTGTTTGAGGATGGCGCGGTAGTCCTCGAGATTTTGTGCGAATAGATCCTCCTGTTCCCCTATCTCAGAGAGAATCACGCCAATCTTGTCCGAGATATCCGAGATGGCATCATCGTTGGTCGACTCGCCCCAGTCAGACAGCTGCGAGGCAATCGACAGGCGCTCACGACCTGCAGTCTCGTATGCGCCGATGGCGTGGTTTTCGGTCTTGATCAACTTGTAAAGCTTCTTGGAGAGCTCAGCCTGCTGGATTCCACGCAGCGTAGAAATGGAGAAGGTGTGCTTGGACGCTTCTTTGGCATGGTCGTCCTTCTTACGGGAGCGGATGGACAGGGCTCGGTTCATGGTGGGCAGGAGTGTCAAGGTGAGTACTAAGCGACGAAGGATTCAGGCGTGCAGCAGCGATATCCGTATGGTCTACTCGTACGGGGTAGGAAGTAGATCGAATGCAATTCTGTTCCAGCGAGCTTCTGGAGAAAGGGAAGATCAAGATAGATCTGGAATGCAGGGAAGAACGCCAGAGACACAAGTGACGTCAACGGCACTTTTTGCGCATTTGGAGGGGCATCGATGATCAACTACCTCCAATTTATCGACTTGGTGATCCACCAATTTTCCATGTACAATACTAGGCGATACAAATGTTGTGGCTGGTATGAGTAGAACAAGTACACGATGTTTCCATGAGTGCAGGCACAATACGGAGTACTGCATGGGAATTCAGGTAATTCTGTATTGACTGCTTCGAAGACAACAAATTGAAAAGATGAGGTGATAACTTCCTCCCCTCGGCCCAGTACAGAGAACACAGTGGTACTTGTACCTGTACTATTAATGAACTGGTACCTTTAAACTGGTACCACCAATGATGATGTCATCCCACCATTATCAGCAGCTGAAGCACCTGCTCATACATACCATGATTACACACCAGATTCTTCCTTAATACTTTGCAGTTGAGGTGCCTGTTTCTCGGATACTCGTGGATCATCATCCGTCTCATCCAACGCTGCAAACCAGTACGAGTACAAATTCATTCAATCATAATATTGTCGACTCCTTCTTTCCTCCCTCACCACCCGTGTTCTGCTCCCGCTGCGTCTTGGGTCGTGGAATGAATGGCTCGAATTGTGGTCGAAGCTTCGAGATGGGCGATGACCGGACGTCTCTCGCCTGGTGACGGTCTCACGTCGGTAGCTCGCCACTTCGGGTCGAGACACGTATTCTCGAGAGTAGCGAGGCTGCTTTCTCTCCCGCCTCCTGATGATGATGGCTTCGTCGTCACGACCGCCTCCTCCAAAACACATGGTTAGGTGTTGTTTTTGTTCTGGTTATGTTTTGCTTCGGACTTGCTTGACAGGTGCACACTCTGTTGATCAATATTCCAAATGATCAATGATCGTAACCGTTTTCAAAATGTCTGGTGGATGTGTATTGAGTTATGTAGAGAATTGTGAGACACGCTCCAGGTAGATAAGTATTTGAGGTAGGTATATATATATATACACGTTGTCATTTCTGTGTAGTCAGATGATCTTTGCACAGCCCTGAAGATGAAGAAAAGGCAACGAGGCAGAGTACGGAGTGGACTAACCGGTGAAATCACCCAGCAGCAAAAAAAGAAAAAAGGGTTCTGGCGAGTTCTTAAAGTACTTCGAGATTGGCGAGCTGACGATAGGCTGTCTTACCACGTTTCGTTTTTAGCATGTCTTAGAAAAAGTGCAATTAGAGGCCTTGGGTGGTTGGTTCCTTGTTTTGTTCGATTTGACTCCGTCTCTCTCCTCGCCCCAGAATCCTTACTAGCAAGGAACACTGGAAGCGTACCTAACTCCGTACCCTTGTCCAAGGTCTTTGACGACATCACCATTACCATCATCTTTGGTGGCTGGGAATATCGTCCACCGTCTCCGCAAGTTTCCTTCGGTACGGAGTACATTGTACTCGTTAGTACCGTGAGCGGAAACGGAGTATTCTTGAAGCCAGTCGAGGCTAAGGGATAACCACGGGCTGAAGGCGACCAAGTTGAGTACTTCATCCAAGAATGGCTGGGCAGCAAAACGTCCGGTGTCTGTTGCGTTCTCTCTACCTCTGATGTCTCAGGTACAGTAATTCAACAAAGCCACACGCACAAAAAGAAGAGTTATGTAAGGGTGCAAACTGGGGTTCCCTTCTCCTGTCGGCTGTATGAAGCAAACCGAGTCCAAAGACTCTTTCTATCCTACGGAGTATGTACGCTCACAACAACGGGCTCACTGGTTCTCCAAATATGTCGTCAGTCCATGGGACGACTCGAGCCTCTTGGGAAAGAAAAATTGTTCCAATAAAAGCCTCTCATAGTCATACATGAATGAATATTTGTTCTTTTTACCATAGTCAGTCTCTTTCTGGTAAACATGATGCCCTCAATCCAACTCGAAAGAGAAAAGACTTCTGATGTAGCCCGTGCTTGCATTAGTACTAGCAGATTAAACAATTTCAACGAGAAACTTCCACCGTTTGACCAGTAATACCAGCGGCCGCTGTGGTCGCCGCAGCAGAAGCACTCGCCTCGCTACTGGCTCGGTCCGGCGTGTTCGAGAACCTCCCATAACTTGTTGCTGCACCTGGCCCCGGAATTGACGGCGTCGCACTCGGTAAGCCGGGCGTTCCTGACGGCTGTCTCGGCATCTGATATGGTGTTTGAGGCTGCTGCGGTCCTGGATATTGTCTCGGCGGGAAACTCTGCCCGTTGGTCAAGGGGGCCTTTTGAGGGGATGCCGCCGAATGTCCCGTCATCGCAAGAAGAGAATTGTCCTGGGGTGGTCGTTGTTGGTACCCTGGTTGACCAGGACGTGGACCATAAGCGGGGGTCTGAGGAGGTTGCACTGCTCCAGGTCCAGCGCTGCTGTAATTGCCGTAGCCATTTGCCATATTACGCTGAACTTGCTGGATGGTGGCACGGTTGGTGTAAGGGGTGTTGGCTGGCTGGTGGTAGGGCGTTTGCGAGTATGCGGGCCGCGGTGCTGCAGCAGGGGTCTGATAGTTCTGGGTTGCTGTTCTCATGCCATAGCCGGTCATGGGAGGGACCGACGCATTGTACGTACGAGCCTGTGTGTTGTATGGGGTTTGGGTTACGTTCCCTTGAGGATAGGCACGGGGTATACCTTGAGGGATGGCAGTACGAGCAACAGGAGTAGGAGCCGCAGTAGGTTGTCGTGCCGCTTGTGTCCTCCAGTCTTCGATCGTCGACCGAGCCGTGCCTGGCTGGTCGGGCGGTTCGACCAAAATTTTGGTTGAAATGTTCAAGTCCTCGAGTTGATCACCGTTCAATTTGGCCACCGCAAAAGGCGGTAACGACGAAATCAGTATCTTGAGTTGATCCCGTAGCATCCCAAACACATCAAATTCCCCATCACTCGGTTGGGGCATGTTGACCGAATATGGGTTATTAGGGTTGACCTTCAATTCGAGCATACGATTTCGCTGGTACGAAGTCAGAGACTCAATGAGGCCAGAGATTTCTTCGAGCAGCGCATCCGCATCCGGATCCTCAGCGTCACCTGAGGCATCGTCCAACGGCTCGGGCTCGAAATTGGCAATGACATCAGGCAAATCTGCAAACTCGTCCTCAGCAGCGACAGCTGTATTGGCCAGTTCTTCAGAGTCTTGCGTTTTGAATATTCTGCTCATCTTCTGCCTGCCGTACTTGTGCCACCAGAAGCGACTTCTGTCTTGTTCGGGTATCAGGTATCCTCTGACAGTCGAATTGTCTTTATTAGGAGCAAAGGATGTGTACGCCGAGGTAAACAATCCATCGGTTTCTTCTTGCTTGCGTTTGGGTTGACTTTGGTTGCGAGCGTCTCCAGAGCCATAGGAGAGCCAGGAGCCAGTGCCTAAGTTCGTCAACTTGAAATCTCCGTTTATCGGGAGGTTTGTATTGGCGCGTGGGAGATATGGTGTGAAATTGAGAGTAGTAGTACCAAAAGCTCTGTTAGAGGCAGGCTGTGGCGCTTGGAGCTTCGCGTATTGATTCGGTGGTCGGCCAAACTCGCCAAAGACCTTTGCGTTCCGCTTGGGTTTGACATCGTTATTTCCAACAGTCGTGTAGTCGGTCAGCTGGATTCCATTTGGGAGTATAGATTCATCGATTTCGTCTTTCTGCTGATTCAGTTCCAGTCCTGAGAACAATACGCTAGAAGTGCTTTGTGCTGGGGTGACTCCGGGAATATAGCTGCGTAAAGAGATGACATGTTTCGGTGCTTGAGTGATCGGTATTGCTTTTGCCAACTCTTCAGATTCTGTCTTGATTGTAACGCCGTTCGCGTCCTTCGACTTGTCTCTGTCGCATTTTGACAACAATTCCAAAACCGCGTCCAGCTGTTCTTGTAGGTTGGACGATGAGTGGACTTCTGAGTCTCCGTTCCCGTTTGAGGTGGAGACATCATCGAGCAGCGCAGCCTTCACAATGTTGACATCTTGTTTGAGTGCGTCAAAAGACGTGTAGACACCTGCGAGAATTCTCTCTTCGATGGTCTCATTAGTGGATTCGACTTTGGCGAGACGCGCTCTCTTAAGGTCTGGGGCTTCCGGATCGGTTGTTGGTATGGGGAATTTCAGTAACGAAGGAGTTGTATCGTGCCTGAAGCACCATGTTAGCCATATGAAGGATTGACATAGAGAAGACACATACTTCCGAATCAATAGCAGAGTGTCCTTCAGCACAGCTTGCAATGAGAATTGTTTTGTGTTGGCGGGTGGATGCGTGGGTTCTGGAGTTTCTGTACGCTTCCGTTTTCCAAGGTGTGAGGTAGAATTGTTAGAAACGACATCTTCCATCTTCGCCTCTCCATTCACTTCCCCGTTTACTTCAGCCATATTGGCACCGGACAGGTCAGTGCAACCGGCCTCCGGCAAAAGGTAATCGTGAATGTGTAAGTATCAATGAGTCGATTCTTCGATTGCATCAGAATCTAAACGCGCGTTTATCGAAGCTCTCCAATTTTACTCCCCCTTGCTGAAAAGTGTCTTTCGTGTCTGCAGGTATCGTTTGTTGTTGATCGGGTCGCAAATGAGCGGAGGGGGAAAAGTGTTCGCAAGGGTTGCTCAAGATTGTCGGACGCGTGAGGTTCAGTCGGAAGTATTGGAATTCAATATTGCCTGCACCAGACAGTACGCGAGGTGCCGGCGAGGTGGTGTCGCTAACAACGTACTGGCTTTCGTGGGATTTGGGACTTTGCGGGATGCGATGCGATGCACGCGAATGGATCGTGTCTCGTTGCTGGTCTTTTCGTAGCGCTTTGCAAGCCTGGCCCAATTGGGTTTGGCGCGACTGCGTTTATTGCCGCTTTTAACTCAGTTTCTGGTTGCAAGTTGCATTACAGCAATGACCTCTCCGAGAAGTCTACGAAGTACAACGTCCAGAAACTAAGCGTCCACATCTCAGGGGCGGTACTCACGATACAACGGACGGTCCAGTTGCTTCTACATTGAAGCATCAATGGATGACCAGTGTCCGGTACGCCTCGGTGCCAGTCGCCCAGACCTTCGGTCGAAGATTGCTCTCCACGACAACCTGTTTCGCTCTCAGACACTATCCTACTACCAATCTCGTACAAGGAGAGATAGTTCGTCGACATGGCATCTGCCATAGTCGAAATGCAGGCTTCCATCAATCCCTGACGTCCCAAAACCCGAGCAGAGGTGAACCTCTAAACGCATCTCCAAGAGTGTCAAAGCAGACTCCCGCTACACCCACTTCAACGATCAGTCTGTCGGACGAGTCTTTTCAAGCATGGCCGGAAATGCAGGAGATGAAGAACCAGCCCAATGCCGAAGACGACCTTCGAAGTGATGAAAGAGAGGCGTATACTGCTACAGAGGTGGATTTGGACACTGAGAATGGGGGACTGCACAAACAGAATTCCCTTCGAAAGCGGCTCGATAGTCTCATCTCGATCTTCATGCCCTCGCGCGCCCGACAAAAGATGGATCTTTCATACAGAAATCCGATTGAATGGGAACAGAACCTCAGCAAGCTCGAAACTCCGGCGACGCTGGAATTCAGGTCGTCGACTCCTCTTCGAAAATTGCTCCTCGAATATCTCCTCCACGTAGAGCCATGTCTCAGTGGTGATCTTTCTCAAATCTCATCCGATGACGACCGCCGTCTGACAGACGCTTTGGAAATCGTTTTCTCGGAGGAAAATATAGCGATACTGGACAAGATCGGTTATAGTGTGACCGACGTGGTGTCTTGGGCTTGGATCTTCACATCTGGCAGCGTAGAAGGTGCTGTTCAGAAGTATGTTGTGCTGACAGCGACACAACGCTCGGCCAATAGTGGACGGGTACCCAAATTCATCTTGTTGCAGATCCTACGCGCCCCACAAGTCAATGCATTCGCCCTCAAACGACTGATTGACAGCATTTTGGCTGAACTTCAACTCTGCAAAAAAGCAAGCCAATATCCTGGATGGGGTTGGACTACGAGAGTATGCCTCGTGGTTCGACTACTCAGGCACGCTCGCCAAGTTGCACCTGAGAGCTTCAAAGATGTTAGTACGATCATTGAACATCTTTTCTCGGATTTCTACAAAGCCGATGGCCGCTCGGTGGAAGCAGCAGAATTGAAACGCCTTTCCCATGTCTTCAACCGGTTTTTGACATTAGTATCTGTTCCAACTTCTAGAACATTCAATTCGTATCTCGTGAAACAAAATACGCAACTATCTCTTGTCCGGCTCATGGTTGGCTTCAAACCTCAGATACCTCTCACCAGAGAAGGCTACCGAGCACTCATTACAGTTCAACTACAACACCCAAAGACCGAACAAGAGCGGGCTTGGGCCGAAACCAAGTCGTTATCTTGGCCTCCGTGGCGACGGATCAACTCTGGTATTGAACAGGACCTCAGCTATCCAGGGAAGGAAAGCCGAGCCATGAAGTTGCTCAGACGGATGAATCAAGCAGGGTATACCCACGGTGCGTGGGAGAGGAGTGCTGCTATCCTCGCAGGATGGGACACGGACAAAAGCCCAACGATTCAGACTAGGGCAAATTTGAGACTGCCTCGCCAGGCCTGGAAGATAAAGAAGCAAACGGTCGACTTTCTCGACAGCTCATCTCATGAAGCCGCTGAAACTTGGGCAGCACGAATTCAAGCTACGAGAACTAAAAGAGAGGCTTGGGCATGCTTCCGTTCCTATGAGCGAAATACTGAGATGTCTAGAAGACGATACCAACCCTATTTCGCCATGTGTCACAAATTGCTGGCCTCAACTGCTACCCTTGATTCAGTACTTGGCTCGCGGCACATTGCAGGAGATCTAAAAGAGGTATTCGAAGAGCCTGTCAGCCCTCGGGAAATAACTTACGTGGACCGTGAAGTGCCTTCGCTGAGTGAATTTTACGATGATATGTTACGAGTCGGCATTGTTCCAGGAGGAAGACTACTCGGTGAATTGTTGGACTTGGCTCCCAGTATTGAAGCTGGATTTGCCTATATCCAGGATAGTCGATGGGACGAAGTGACCAAGGATGTTTTACGACATGCTGAGAATTATCCACCAACCATCATACGTGATACTCTTAGCCGGGTTCCGCATCTGTGCCTCGCAGCTTTTGTATATTTGCTGTCGAGACACGGATTTGAAAACGTGCCAGATTTCGCGGTCATGAGTGAAAAGCACGACAAACATACCGGCCAGTGGATGGAAGAAAAGAGATATGTCAAACCTCTGACCTATGCAATTGTGATGCTGCGGGTCGGAGAATGCAAAAATACTCTTGTCTGGAACGCATTTCTCAGAGGGACATGGGCATCTATTCGCAACATCAACGACAAGGTCCGGGAGGGGTCATTGACTCCCCTTGACAAGCGCCACATGAACCACCAGATTTGGGATCATCTACAGGAACAGTTCGAATCAGAACAGACAGAGCTTAACATACACCCTGACCTTGAAACCTTTCGTCTCATGGCGGGTATTCTGACATTTATGGTCAAGGAAGCAAATCATGGGCGACTGCGTATTCACAGCAGAGAACTTAGGTCGCTTGCAAAGGTGACATTCGTGCGGGCTGTCTATGGCCGAATCTTTCCAGATTTTCTACCCTCACGTTCAGTGTCAGTTTTGAGAATTCCAGACCCCAGCGATTTGCAGTTAATGGTCAGAATACTTGTTTCTGTTGGAGACGTCGAGGGTCTCGTCGCCATGGTGGAATGGATCAATTCCCATGGAGAGGACGATACTATCACGCGAGACAAATCAACGGTGTCTATTCGATCTGTTCTCTGTACAATACGGCTGTTCCTCGAAGGGAGCCCTACCCCTGCATATCTCGAGCAGCTTCATCATTTCGAATCTCCTCTGACTGTGCCTGCGGATATGATTGAGAGAGCCAAGGATGCATGCGGACCTCTAAAGTGGCCATCTGATGAAGAAATCGAGATATTTCTCTCACACGAATCTGAATGGATGAAGCGTGTTGCAAGGACTGTGAGAAGGCCAAGGAATGAACAATTCGTGAATGTCAATGTATCACACGAGTCTAACCGACAAGTGGAAGACCAGACTTGGGACGATGTACAGGAAGGAGATGTACGAGTTGAGGACGTCGAAAATAGCCCTGTCCCAATCCGAAAGCATCTATCTTAGTCTACAGAGTATAGAGTAATGACTATGGCAATATCCACAAATTTGTATAGAAGTATAATAGTATAAGGGTATAGCCATTATACTTTTGCAAAGATGACCCGCGATTCCCCTGTGTCGTGACCAGTTCGGGAGCGATTCATACAAATAGGAGTGAGTGGACAACCAATATTTCGGACCATTCAAATACCAACCAAGTGGTAACTATGATGATGATGAGATTTTTGAAAACGCAAGAAACAATACCCGAGGTGGTAGTTCCTTTGTGGCTTCCGTTCTGTCTGATCAATCATACGTCGGTCAAGTCGACGACGTGCTTTCTAAAGTCTCTTGCCTTGACCTCTTGGGCGAATAGAATGTCAATCTCCTCGTACGTGCGACCCTTGAGTTCCGGCAGACGGAAATAGGCCCAGACCATCCACAGGACGTTGATTCCGGCCCAGAAGAAGCCCACCTTGCCCTTCCAGTCGAGATTATGCGGGTTGATGAAATATGGGCTGGCGACCCCCACGACGATGCTGCTCGCGGCATTCACATTCTTGGCCAGGGCGATGGTTCTTCCGCGCAGTCGGGTCGAGGAGACCTCGCTGAAGATGGTGAATGCCAGGGTCCCGACGGAAAGGTTGTAGCACACGTTGAAAACCAGTGCGAGCGACCCCTGGGCCCAAGGGATCGCATGGTTCGTCGAAGTGGGACCGAGAGCCAGAAAGCCGATTGTCAAGAGCACGATCACCATGCCAGCCATACCACTGAGGAGCATTCTGCGTCTCCCGCTGAACCCGATGACGACCCAGGCCAAGATCGACGTGCAAAATGCGACGGCGGTGGCACCCAAACCCATCCCGAAAGATTCTCGCACCGACAATCCGATCTGTTCGAAGAAGTACGATCCCGGAATCTGTGCTCCCCCCGTCATGGGCTGCATGGCGTAAACGGCACAGGCGATTTCGGTTCGTCGAAGGTTCGACCCCTTGAAGCAGTCGAGTATCGACGTTCCGGACTCTTGCTCCTTTTCGAAATTGTCAGTGTGCAACATCATCGCCACCATCTGTTTTGTGTTGATTGCGGCCGAGTCTTGCGAGAGCCTCTGCAGGGAACGCTCGGCGTCTTCCAGACGACCTTTGCGGACATACCACCATGGAGATTCGGGAGCCAGGAAGATGAGACAGAACAGTGGAATCACCCACACCCATTGAATGGCAAAGGGAATCCGGTAAGACCATTGGCCCGGGTAATCTTGGAGGCCATACACGACCCCGGCATTGATGAGTTGCCCAATCACCCAGCACAGGTTGAGATACGCCGTCAAGTAACCGCGGAGGACGACGGGACAAACTTCGGAAGCGTAGGCCGGAGCAAGCACGGCAAAAGTGCCCCAGGGGATACCACACAGCAGCTCGCCGACCAGTAAAACAGGCAAACTCGGTGCGAAGAATGTGACAAATATTGCACCGGCCATGAGCACCAGAGCCGATAGCAACAATGGTCGGTAGCCGTATCGTTGCGACAGGGAGCCGGCGGCCTGTGCCGCGATGATGTTGGTGATCATTTGTAGGTAAGACAACATGTTCATCCACGGTGATGAGATCTGGTAAGACCCTTTCTGGAGGGAGCCGTATTTTTCCTTAAAGGCAGGGAGCGCATAGAAGTTGCCGAGGAGAGCCGTGTCGTATCCTTCCATGATGATGGTCATGGAAACGATGAACGACCAAAACGCGGCTTTGCGATACAGCTTAATTCCCTGCCAGAATGTCGTACTGTGTTCAGCGGCAGTAGCTTCCTTTGCATCTTGAGTGATGTCGCTCCAGTCTTGGGACATTTGATGTTTAGGGCTCCCGACAGTTGTTTCCTCCAGATGATAATCGGCAGGCTTGGTGTCCATTTTTTGTTCCTCTTTGCGCAAAGGGTGGTGTTGAGGACCCCCAATCGCTGTTTTCTCGAGATAGTCAGTAGTCTTGCTGTCCATTTGTTCCTTGATAGGTCGCTGGAATGAGGAATTCACCTCCTCCGCGATATCAATGCCATTAAATACCCCATGGGTGATGTAAACTCTAAAGCAGAGCAGGTAATGGTGTAGATGAGTCTCGTGTTGTAAAGAGCATTTTGACTGACTGCTTCGGTCCGACCACCCCCGTTGCTACTCGCCTACCCTCGCTTATCTGACCTTCTGCCGAGCTCCCCCGATCTTCATCAGCCAGTCCACACCCTGGGAGTGGATATGGCTGCCTTTTCGGGAATAAAGCGATCCGAAATCCAAGCGACCTCGTGGCTTCTTTGCTCGTAACTCATGTGATAGTGGACCAGCTGGAATCTCTCTCTCTCCCTCTCTCTGATATTGCCCGACAATTGTCCCCATGGGGTTTGGAAATTCTGGAAAACTACAACTTCCTACTACATGCCAGTCGGCAAGTCGGTCCGAACACCCCCGTTGCAGAAGAGAAAAAAGAGGGGTCAATAGTTGTGCAGAGACAAGTCGCGTGCTGCCAGTGGGCATTTCACCAATTACTGGCTGGTGAAAGAGAAGCTCATCGGAGCTCATGCGGGACATGGCAGCTCCCTACAACAAGAATCGGAGCAAAGTGGCTTGCTCAGTATGTCGAGCGAGAAAGACGAGATGCGATGGGGCCAAGCCCAAATGCTCTTTCTGTCTGGAAAACGGCTGTGTCTGCAAATACGAAACTCCTCCACAAGCTGGCGGTTCTAGTCGTACGGTGGAGACCAACATCGAGACCATTCTCACAAAGATTTCAGTCATTGAGAAATGCCTTAGTTTGTCGAGAGGGGCAGGGTCACAGTCGTCGCCGGCGTTGACTATTGGGTCACCCGACGAGACCTCGACACGTGAGAAAGAAGGCCATCGCTCAGGAAGAGGCTTTGCTTCTCTCACAATCAAAGATGATCAATTTGCGGCAATCATATTTCACACCGACATCAACTTGTCAAGACACGCTCGCTCTCTAGAGATACACCATGCCTTGGAGTATGAAAACAGCGGCAGGGGATCGGTGGCGATTTTTCGTCACAGCCCTCATGAGTTGGGACAATTGTTCTTCCGTCACACATACAATTGGTACCCGATCTTGAACAAGAGAGACATCTTTGAAAAACTCCCTCTAATACAAAATACCGTCTGTCCACCAAGTCCGGACTCCTTTTTACTGCTCATGGTGCTAGCGATCGGCAGTCTGAATGCGAATGATTCAATAGGGACATTCCAGGCTGAAGAGTTTCACGCGCAAGCCTTGTCGATGCTCGGATGTGTATTGGAAGAGGTCTCATTACGGTCGGTACAATGCGTCATCTTGCTCACTATATTCTACGGGCTCAAGTTCATGCCCATGAAGGCTCAAGAATACATTTCGATGGGATCCATCAAGATGCAAAACCTGATGGAGATACAACCGGTCAACAAGTCGGTGGATGATGCATCAGGGGACATCATTTACGATCTCGAAGAATACGAAACAAGAGCGTTTTGGGCTTTGTTCATCTTGGAAAGTGAATATGCCGGTACGCTACATTTTGCCAACACGGGGTTGTTTTCCTATGCGGGCAATATAAAATTCCCTTCCCTGAGAGAGGAGCCGTATCATTGGACACCAGGGTCTCCCGAATCATTAGATTCATCTGCCATTGATGAGCCAGACCCTCATTTCCTGGCGGAGATAGGGGTGAGAAAGATCATTGACAGGACATGTTACACGTTCAACAGCTACTCGGAGTCGTCCAATTCCACCACCATCACCACCACCAATAGGAGGACACCCTTTGCCGCCATTGTCGCCAAAGAATTGCAATCTCAGCTCGATGAGTGGTATCTCTGTTTGCCGGACTCCATCAAATTTGACAAGTCAACATGGTACAACAACAATACCAGACACAGCACTAGAGCACTCATCAGAGCACAATATTTTGCTACCGTAATACTAATGTATTGGCCATGCATGATGGAAATCATCATGACTGGAGGGGAGGAGTGCCAATCTCAGGAACATCGAGATGCATTCAAAACGTCCATCGACTCATACATCCAGCTGGTGCTGTGTGGAACAAGCGTCCGACTCTCAGAGTTGCCTACGGTGTGGCCCCATGCCGTGAGCATATTTGCCATGACGGCGACAATCATACGTATGACTCAGAGAACTTCACTTCGTTACGACAAACCCGACGAACTGGAATCTAGTATCCAGCGTTCTTTTGCTTTTCTCGAGGCAATGATTCACTGCAGTCCTAGTATCAGATACTTTACTGTCATCTTGCACGACTTGCAAAGCCAGTGACCGTCACTGTGGTGTTCTTCTGGTAGTACAGGATATATAGGAACAGGTACTCAAAACGAATGGACAATAAACATATCAACGTCATTTTGACAAGAGGCTACGCCTCCTGGACTTTTCATTGTGCTCTCTCTAGTTTCCCTCCCCTCGTTGCCAGCATCGCCCTGAATGTGACTACACCATCTTCGACGTACGGCTGTGCGGTGAACGACCGATCGAAATATTGACGATACGTCAGCGCGACCCGTCTATCGACAAATATCTCGAGCACATTGCCACGTAGATACAAGTCGAATCGAAGCTTCCCTCGGCGACGGCCGGTAACTCGATTCGTCACAAACGGTGTAGGTAGACGATCGTCCTCCTGTCCCCTTGCGGGACCGCCCAAGCTGATGACCCCGGTGCTCGCGTCGAAAAAGAGCAGCAAACCCTCTGTGAGACCCGCGTTCGCGTAGAGCGCCAGACCTACGCCACCAGCAAGCTCATGGAGGTCGGCTTCAACCGTGAGCCGGGTCAGGCTGGGCTGCAGAGGGCCACTCTCGATCTCGGCTACCGCAAAGGATCCAGGCGCGCTGGCTTTCCATTCTGCTGCTGCTGTCGTCGCGCCACCGGGGGATGATGCCTGATGCCGAATCAGTAGTTCCCGTCGGGACGTCAGTTGGGCGTCGACTTCGAGCGGCATCCGTACGCACAAACGGTCATCGTCACCGACGAAGATTTCGCGCGGCAGGCACATGTCCCCGCCCCACAGCCACTCGCCTCCCTCTGCGAAGCCACGCCGATCGTGGACCCAGCCGAAGGCAATACGGCGTCCCCGTGCATCCTCCAGGGACTTTGCGGCATACCAGTGGGCGCCGTCCAACGCCGGGTGTTTCGGGGTGCGCCATGGGCCGGACAGACTGTCCGCCTCGCGGTAGACGGTGGCGGCGTGCTCGGTGAAGCGGGAAAACACCAGGCGCCACTTGTCGCCCAGGCGAAACACCTCGGGGCATTCCATCGAGTACGTGATTCCTGGTGAGTAGAAAGGTTCTTGTACGGTGGTCCACGTCGTGAGATCATCGGAAGTGCTCAACGAGATCACACCTCTACGCCCGGGAGGTCCGTCGTTCGCACGAGAGGTGATCAGCATCCAGTATTGCTTGTGCTCTTCGTTCCAAAACACAAAGGGATCACGCCAGTCGCGTCGCTCGAACCATTCGGCCTGTGGGAGATGAATCGGATTCGAGGGGCTCTTCTTGAAGACAACACCGCCGTCCGTGCTGGTCGCGTGGCAGATTGTCTGCGGGACACTCGCCGTACGACGGCCACCGGTGTAAAAGACATGTAGCACGCCGTCGACGGCGACGATGGACCCCGTCCAAATCCCGTCGATATCGGGATCGTCACCTTCGCCGAGCGGCAGTGCAATCCCGAGATCCTGCCAGTCGACGAGGTTGTCGCTGACGACGTGCTTCCAAGGCGTGCGCCCGCGCTCAGGCTGATCGTACACATTTGCCGGCGATTCCAGATAGAAGAGATGGTACCTGCCCTCGTGGAAAAAGGGAATGGCATCTCCCTGCGGACCATTGAATTTTGGATCCCGCAAGCCCAGCGGGTTCATGGAAACCGCCAAGTCTGGCTTTGACATCGGAATATCTGGTTTTTTTCTTTCCTAATCGACAAGTCGTCGGTCAGAGTGAAAGTTCCTTCAACTTGAAGTTATGTGGTTGATAAATTCCGACTAAGGCTCTCCTCATATTTCATCCCCAGATTGACCGTTGAACGGTTTGTTACTACGGAGACATATAAGCCTTCAACTTGTCGCTGCCATGCTACCCGTTCTCGAAGCATCTAGACCTACGAGAAGTCAACAAGGTGTCCCGACGGCCCCCGATGCTAACCAGGTAAACTTTCTGGGGCTGAGAGTGGAAGTCTCGTGGTGCGTTGCCACCCCGGGTTGTTATCCACCCTTAGAATCTCCACAGATCCTTTGACCGATGACCCCCGAGCCGCTGATGCCCAACCGTTCAGTCAACTCGGGACAGAAGGTCCTCGTGAGCTGAGATAAGGAGGATGTTCCGAACATGATCCGAGGGGGACAATGCGGGGAGATATATGAATCTGCACTATGATAATATCATTCCTGCTCTTTTTTGGTTCCAGCTGAGACCCTCATACTTCGTCCCCCGCCAAAAGTCCAAGAGCAAACTGCTTCAATCGATATTTGTGCACCGGGAATATTCGTCACAGCTAGCGGGATATGATTGTCGCTGCTCACAAAAATGAGGAACAGCGGCCGGCTCTCCATTTTACGCCCAAGAGAGGGTTCATGAACGATCCCAATGGGCTGGTGTATAGCAAAGGAGTTTGGCATCTGTACTACCAACTGGACGACCGAAGTCTCGTGGCCGGCCGACCAGAATGGGGTCATGCTACCTCGACAGATCTATTGAATTGGAAGAGGCATGAGAAGGCCATAAAAGCGCCATCGGACAGTGAATCGATATATTCCGGCTGCTGTGTGGTTGATTACAACAACACGTCGGGTCAATTTGACGAGGAGTCAACCGACCCAGACGATCGGATTGTCGCCATATATACGCTCCACCACAACCTTCAAGGGGGGGAGCACCACCAAATGCAAAATGTCGCCTTTAGCTACGACGGAGGCTGTACATTCACTCAGTACAAGCACAACCCGGTACTCGACCTAGGCTGGTCAGATTTCCGTGACCCAAAGGTATTGTGGCATGCTCCGTCAAACCAGTGGGTCATGGTTGTCGCAAAGTGTCATCAATTCAGGCTCGGTTTCTACGGCAGCCCGGATCTTGTCCGTTGGCATCATCTGTCCGACTTTGAAGGCTCCGGTGTCCGAGGGTACCAGTATGAGATGCCCGACTTGGTGCAGGTCCCATTTGACGACGACCGCACCCGAAAGAAATGGGTGCTTTTCTTGAGTATTGGCCCCGGTGGTGCCCCCTTGGGCGGAGGAAGTTTTACTCAATACTTCTTGGGTGATTTCGATGGCACCACCTTTGTCAGTGATGACAATTACCTGCGGACGGCAGATTGGGGCAAAGATTGGTACGCTGCACAGACTTGGTTCGTTCATGATTCTCCCCACGACGGCGGCGAGGGCGAGGACGAGGACGAGGATGAGGTATGTGGTATCGGATGGGCGAGCAACTGGCAATACTGCAACCGCGTCCCCGCCCAGCGACATCGATCTGCCATGTCACTTCCTCGCAAGTTTACCGTCCGCGAGGTCCCGTTGAACCCAACCACAAAGTCCTTGTCACTCATATCGAGGCCTGTCGACCTTGATGGCGTTAGATTGCCTCGCATCAGCAGTCACAGCGACAACAACACCAACACCAACGGGATGGTTGATTATACCAACGGTTCGGCAAACACAAACCCCAAAGTCAACCACATAAGCATGAAGGAGGAAGAGGAAGAGGTTATCATATACAAGAGACACATGAACGCCCAATCCGGTTCGTTCGAGTTCAAACTCAAGATCAATTTGAGGACTCGTCCTCCTGCAAGGGTGTCTGTGGACATTTCAAACCCCAGCGGTCACTCGGTCCGTCTCCACTTTGTGTTTGAAAATCAGGAAGGGATGTTCATCTCCATGGATCGGGGTAGGATCCGAACTGGCTCTTCCTGGGACCATCCTCTGTTTGACGACAAGGTCTCCATGTGGGTTCCAAACACCCAGGGCAGCGACTACGACGTCCACGTCGTGATAGATGCCTACGTGTGCGAACTGTTCGCCCTGGACGGCGCTTATGCATTCACCAACACTTTCTTCCTCGAGGACGGCGTCGCGTCGACTTTGACGGTGTCACGAGACAAAACCTCTGCCGATGTCACGGCAGAAGTTTTGGACGTCTACGAACTCTGTCCGCTCAAGGCGTCAACGGCAGAGTGAGACGCAACTTTTGGCCACGATCTCAGACCATCAAAGATCTGATCTTAGATAGAAACAGCAAATCAATGGATTAGAGAATATATTTCTTTTAGATCACGACTTTTTCTCTTCATCAAGTATCATACTTCTATATCATCTGAAGTGACCCAACGAGACATACCTCAGATAACCCCGATATTCATTACATTGTTTGTCCCATGTCATTACCTATATAATAACTCTAGGAAAGTTCGCCCCCAATTCCCTTCTCATATCGACTGACTACCTCTTTTCTTGCACCCGAGAAAACACAACCAAAGCTTGGCTTTCTGTCTCTCTCTCTCTCTTCCTTTCCGCTGACTTCCCCATCCATGCCTCAAGGGTGGCGTTCCGCTCAAAAGAGGCTAATTGTGATATGTAGCCAGCGTCCACTACTGGACGGCAAACTTACTCCTCGCCCTCAATCCCGCACCGAAATACCATAGGGCCCAAATTCCCACCACACCACCGCCGAGCAAGCCTCCCAACACACTAATGCCGCGGCCTATACCCAGGTTGGCGTACAGTGGGTGTGCAAAGATGATGGCTCCGGCAGCTAGCATGGACCGACACAGGTCGTTGGCAGCGAACAGACTGGCAGCGTACTGAGGGTAGGTCAAGGGGAGGTACATGAATATACATTGGAACCTTTTGAGTGGTAGCGTCAGTAAAATTACAGTAGAATGAGGAACAGAAAATCAAAACGTACAATATAAATGCACCAACGGCATAAAGCGTGATACCAATCACGCTCACGATCCAATGTATGTGCGGCTCCGACGTCCACCCGAACCAGAACAGACCGGCGGGCATGAGTGTGACGGCGAACAAGGCCGGGACCAATCTGTGTTCCTGCGCTCGGAGGCCGTTCTTCTTGATGTCAGGCTCGAGGTAAAAGTAGACGTAGGAGACGTAGATGATGATTCCGATGATACATCCAACCACGATATTGGTGAAGACGATTCCCAATTCGCCAATGTTGAACCCGTAGATGCCGATGTAGACAAAGGGGAAAGCTTCGAAGAAGGAATAATAGATTCCTACAGTGAAACCCATATTAGCGGAGAGAACGTGGGATGGGAATGACCAAAAACCATACCATAAATCAGACTGGTATAAACATTCGTAAACAACACAGCTGGATCTTTGAGGCAAATCTCGATGGGTTTCCAAAGCTGGTTGATGGCGAGTTCGTTGAAACTGATGTTTCCCTGATCGATCTCACCCTGGGACTTGAGGTTCGGGTTGCCCGTGAGTTTGCGAAGGCGTTGAGCGCGACGCAGCAAAATGTTCGAAGCCGACGTCTCGGGCATGGACGCGAACATGAGGATGAAGATGGGAGCCGCGCACCACAGGACCTCCCAGAGTGCCCAGCGCCACGACTCGGCGACGACGGAGAACCCGGACAACAAGGGACCTGTAGCCGGAGCACTGAACGCCGCGGCGACCCATGCGGTGAGTGCGTATGGGAGTTTGAGGAGGCCATACTGTGTGAACAGCAAATGTTAGTTACCCACACGTAACAAAATGAGAGTCACCAAATAGGATAGCAAGAGGGCCGGGAAAGGAAGGGGAAAGGGACTCGGTAGTCGGTACGCAGATCACATACCATATCACCCATCGTTGCACCTCCTGTAGCCAAACAAGGACTTCCCATGAAGCCTGTCAAGAATCGTAGAACCAAAAGTGTGGCGTAACTATTGGCCAGAGCCGTGGGGACACAGAGTATCACAAACAACCCGAAACTGATGATGTAGGGAATATTTCTACCGATGATGGGTAGTTCGGAGAGAGGAGAGAAGAGCTGTGAACGAGTAGACCGTCAGCAATAGTCGCGTAAACACAAAAAGAGTGGGAGGAAGGCAAAAGGAACTCACCATAGGCCCTATCCCATACCCAAGCACATACATACTCAGACCCAGGGATGCTTTGCTCTGGCCGACACCAAATTTCTCCATGACCATGCCTTCCGCAGACGTGTAGATGGCGCTCGCCATGTACACGTCAAAAGTGTACATGAAAATGATCAAACCGGCCCATGCCTTTTTCCAGCTGTTCCAATTTTGTGGGTTCTACCAAGACAACAATGTATGAGTAAATGAACGCGATCCGGCAACATGGGGACATCAGACTTACCGCCGGATCATCTGTAGTGTACCAATCGACCAGGATCACTCCGTCCGACGTTCTCTGGGGCACGATGATGCTGCTCTGGCGCCTCTCGATGGCCTCTTGCTCCTCGACCTCGAACCGTTCGCGGGAATACGGGATCGTCCTCTCCCGCGTCAGGGTGCGCGTGGTGACGGGACCGATGGCACTGCGCGCCGCGGACGAATGCGAGGTCGGAATCGTGGTGAGACCGGGAACGCGAGCTTCGATGTCGTCGTCGTTCTCCTTCTTGTCAACGTTGGAAGCGTGACGGGAAACGGATGTGCTAGTTTGATGGCTGGCCACCCTGCTGCTAGCGAGCGCGGTCTCAGCTGCTTCAATTTCCTGCTCTTTCTCACTGACGGAGGCCTCCTCCCACGGAATCTTGAAGTTGGGATCATCTTCTGGAAAAGCGAAGAGTTTGCCTTTGGTGAGAAAGCGTAAGGCTTGTCCCAAAGGCGAATCCTGTATAAAGTCGGTGACTGAGGTGCTGCTCATGCTGGACGCGGAGTCCGATCTTCTGACTATTAGTATCAGGCTGAAAGAAGAATGAACACAAATCTAGTCTTGTGAAATAGGCAGAGCAAATGGACAGAGGGAGTCAATGGTTTTTATTAGTATCGCAGAACCCTAGACCTTCGACCACCACAACCAACAAATCTGCAAGTTTGTAGTAATTGATCAGCTCAGCACATGCTATAACCACGCTATTGCATAAGAAACCAAGATGCCCAGCAATCGAAGAGCAGCGAAAGGCTGACAAGTCATTAGAGCGGCGCGAACGGACTGAAGTTGATCCTTGGCCATCCATGAACCCCTACATGCAAGGGAGCGAATAAGTGTTAGGAGGTTCTTCAGTATCCCAAAACAATCTGGAATACTAAAACCCTTCGTCAAATGGTTGGCTGTAATTCATCCTGAACAACTACTATATTGGGAATGATCACGTGAAAACGCCATATGCAGGTCCGGCCTGCTGACAAAACGTCTAAGCTTGTTGATTAGCTTGATTTGGCCAACCCATTTTTAATGATCAGTAAACTTACCGGAATGGCCTGTACTCGTACATGTAAAGCCGCTTAGGTACGTGGTGGATTTGTGTGGAAGATGGGAAATGATTCGCTCTTTAACTGGCAGCTCCCCGAACCGAGTCCCTTCAAGACTCCCGGAAATGTGGAATTGATGATCTTTGTAAGATGACTCAGTATTGACTTCGCACCGATTAATAACATTGCAGAAGACCCTGCGTCATCAATGTAAGCAAGGCTGCGGCTTTCTGGTGCGATACGATGCGCGGGAAAGAACGTGGTGTACCTGTGAACTAGGCTCTTATCTCTGGCCGTAGTAATCATGCCGATTTTGCATCAAGCACGAAGATCACCGTCGCCATCCCGGACGAAATTGGTCTCCGTGTTAGCGAGAGCATCATTTAAATATCACTCTGGTGCCGATTCCCACAATTTGAAATATTTCGGCTTGTCTTCTGGAAAGAGGTACGGTGGAATGAAACCATTAGGCAATGCCACCATTTCAATTTCCAGCCTGATATTTGCCTTCCTGTATTGCGGCAGAACTTCATTGCACTTTTCGATCATGTTTCGATGTGCTAGGGATACCTGGTTGATTTCGTCAACGCTTTCGGTGTCGGATATGCTCGATCTTGGGATCTCATCATCTTCGCGGTAGTATTCATATGAATAGATGAGATTCTTCAAGGATTTGAGACCATGTCTGGCCTTGTCAGCGGCTAGACAGCTGTCAAAGGGAAACCAAACACGTCGTCTCGCCTGGAAAGGAGGTCGTTCCCCCAAAGGGATTCCGAATATCTTCAGGGTCTCGAGGTTGGGAGGGAACCTCCGCCAGGTAGCGTGATCGCATGGCACTCTGACCCTAACCAGATTTACCGTTCGAACGTCCAAATCAAGTTGTTTGAGTGCATGGAATGCAGTGAGATCCAGGTGGTGACCGGAATGATTGATGTTTTGAAATGCCTGCCGGAGGTGACCCAAGCTCAATGATAGGTACTCGAGTGAGTCCGTACAATGTTCAGCGATAGCGTCAACTAGGTATCCAGGATGAACATTTCCATGCATCCGACTGCTTCTAGCATTGAAGATGCCGTCATACCGGATTCCCTCGCTGATCTTCAGAGACTTCAAAGCCTTGGGAAAGCTTAGTAGAATTGCGAGGGAAGGTTCAAATATATCGCATTCTTCCAGATGTAGATGCTCGAGATTCGTGGACTTCATTAGCGTCTCGTCGCGCTGGAACGGCGTGAGCAATCGGTCAGTGAAATCAGTGCTGGCGCAAGACATGGTCAGAGAGCGGAGATTCGGGTGCAAGAACAACATGGCATATTTGGTCATAGAATATATCTCTTTTTGACCATCCACGAAGTGCAGCGTACCTGTGGGATAAGGTGATTAGAATCATAGTGGTGCTGTTAAGAATTGTGCAAAGGGCTTACAGTTTCTCAGACTGGGGAGTACCCGGTGACCCCCCGGGACCACAGCCGAGGCACTTTCGAAGATCCGCTCATATCGATCCTGGAGATTGACCCAAGCGACTCTCTCCTCGGGGAACTTGGCATTGCAGTCCGGGGTCTCCAATCTTAGGTCTTGGAGGTGACGCATGCGACCAATATGTGGTGGCAGAGTGCTCAAGCCCTCATCCTCTCCAAATTTAGTGGATATTAGAAGGGATCGGACCCAGGTAGCACGATGCGGGTTGGCACCCAGACTGGCGGAGAAGGCAGCAGCCTGCTCACCACTGAGGATGTTGACATTGCGGTACAACAGTGGTTCGGCCAAGTCGACAAAAAGCTTGCAGACCAGGGAAGCGTTGCGAAGGGTGTCGAAATCAAGAAAGTCGAAAATGTTAATGAGCACTTCATCAGGGAGATAGAGGAGGAGAAGCGGAGTTGGCATGAAGGCGATCATGATGACGGCGGAGGCGGGAGGGAGGGAGGTCCCTGAGGAATCGCGGGACTTGACGATGAAACGACCGAAAGGAGATTATCTCAACATTGCCGAAGCCAGTCGGAAGATTGAGTTTATGTATTGATCCAAAGATAGTGTATTGAACGATGGAGTTGTTAAGAAATTTTTCGACGACTGTGAATGTGAGGGTGATGAAGGTCTACAAGAGGCAGCGGTGACAGTCGATGTCATAGCTGAATGATAAAGGACAAATATGGTTAGACTGTAAGATCACGGGCACTAGCTTACGGCATTAGTTGACTTGGTGAGCCACTAAGGAGAATCAACACGTGCCATGCCCTTTTTCATACCCAAGGCGATGTTGGGAAGCATATGGAGGCATGAAGGTGTCTGATGTATGGTCGGTATCTTTTACAGGTGCTTAGAAATAGATACAGACACTCATAACCTTAAGATTCAAGATCTCATCATTGTTGGCACTTTTTTCAACCATTTGCTTGGGTCAAAGTTCTGGATCTCGAGCTTTTTTGGCTCGCACAAGCAGAAGCCATTTGTATCTATTCTCCATTTCCATCTCCATTGTGGCATTTCCATGGCCAGTGATAACCTCGATCACCTTTTCGGGTGAGCCCCGCGAGAAGCACAGCCCTAACATGGTCAATTTCATCCATCTCATCAAACAGCGGAATGATGGTGATCATGAGGAATCGTATGATCATCAGACCTCATCAACCTCGTTCCATACCTTGACCGAGTCTGCATATTCCGCTCATTGTCGAAATACGGAAGCTCACATGCATTTTGCGCCGTACGCCTATCCCCATCCTTCTTGTGCCTGAACGGTATATCATGCCGGAGCTTCGTAACCTCTTCTAAAGACTCTTCCAAACATGTCCACTCCGACTCTTTCACCCTTGATCTCACTCTTGGCCTCGTTCTCGGCGTTGGCTGGTATTTCCACCTGCTGGCCGCTGACCCTCCACCCACAGGCTGTCTGGGCAAATTTCACCAACGCTTCTCCACGAAGATTCAGCCAGCTGCTCAATACGCTCAAGTCAATCTGTCGGAACGTCTTTCCAACTTCACCCGCAATCCGTATCCTGACAAGGTCTTCAAAGCCAGCTACATCTGCATATAAGTCTGCGTACAAGTCGTCCGATTCTAGCGTTGACCAGAATGCGTCATACTGTGCAGATTCGAGTAACGTGTTGAGTTTTGTGAGTTTTTGTATTGACTCGGTAAAGTCGGTGGTCGGGATAGATGTGTTTCCTGGTTGATATGGTATGGTCGAGGGTGGGAGGAGGGCGAGGCAAAGGGAGAAAGCGGGCGAAGGAAAGACGGTCAATGCCTTGACGAGGATGTTGGTGACGGTTTCAGGGTGCAGAAGTTGAGGATTGAATTGGTACCTGGTTTGAATGGTCAGTGACTTCTTCCAATTCAGACTACAACCGACACAATCATGTATCTTTGGAGGCTTCAGATAGAGCTAATAATTCAAATCTCCATAATTCCCGGAGGACAAGTCAGGTAATAGGAAACGTGGTAGAAAAAAATCTCATCATCCCAGAGCCAGAATAACGTATGCACGTCCAGGGCAGATCTTACAGTTTCAAGAGCGCCAGCGACGCATACGAGTCGAAAAACTTCTCCTCGCATTGTTGGGCAATATATTCTTGGAAAGTGGTGGTTGTTTCGGGGTTGTATCGATCCAGGCCATTGAGGATGTTATCGATGTTCTCTGGCCGTTCTTTGCATTTATCGAGACCCTGCGGCATCTTGAAGGACTGCGACGATGATCTGGGGTTGCGGATCAGGAAAAGGTTGGTTGCTGTTCAACTTTCTTGAAGGAATTTCGCAGCCGAGTGCGCTCTCCCCTACATGCGGCAGGTTGTGGCGGGTTTTGCCAAGCGGATTTACACTGTTTTCGAACGGCGATGACGCCGCCCTATCCTCGCTCTTGGCTCCCCTCGCTGAGCGCGAGCCTTGCTCTCCACCATATGGCATTTAGCTGTCGCCTACAAATACAGTTTGGGCTCCCCTTCCAAGTCACCTTCACCCCCATTGCCTCTATTGACTTTCGTGAGTTGGCCATGTCTAGCACATACACCGGAGCCTAACGGAATCACAGCGATGTGAACCCTGTACTGCTGTCGCCGGAGTCACGGATCCTTGCGACCTAGGCCAAAGCTCAGCGGAAACTCCAGGCTCCAGCATGACCTATCTGGGGGTCGAGAGAACTTCCCGTCACGTTCTTTGAGAGCCTCGAAGAGCGCGGACTCTGCAACGATAAGGGTCCGCGTGCTTTGTCCAGGAAGTGCTTTTTCATCGCTCAGATGAGCTCGACAGCTCATGGCGGAGGCTCCCACCATTCAGCCTCAAACGTTACCGCTGCATCTGCAGCTACGACCAAGGAAGTCTCGAACCAAGACGGGCTGTCTGACCTGCCGCACGCGCCACAGAAAATGTGACGAGAAGCAACCCACATGTGACAATTGTCTTCACAGGAGTCTCGCCTGCTCCTGGCCAGCTGAAACCAGACGGACCTCGACAGCGGACGCTCGGAACCATGGGAAACCAGCGACTACTATGGCCACCACCCGCGCAATCCAACTGAACAAATCATCTACCGGAGATTCCACTGCACCATCTACGAACATGACAGTCCCGAAACCACTTCCATGGCGGCCTGAAGGAATTCTCGCAGATGCCAGCTCTCGTTCACTTTTTGAATACTACATCCTCAACACTGCCAATGTACTCGTATCCAGCCGGAAGGCCGATAATCCATTCCTGTCATGCGTCCTGCCCCGGGCGCTTTCTGACGATCTGATACTCAACTGCGTTCTGGCTATGACCGGGGCTCACCGAACCTATGCGGACGCCGACCACAAGTACAATTATTTGTATCGCAAGCACTATGCCCTTGCTCTCTCTCAGCTCAGGCGTGAAATTTCACACAGCGACGCAGGTCAGAGTATCAGGTTCTTGCTGGCAACCCTGCTGCTGACCCTCGTAGAGGTGAGATCCCATTATCATTACTGCTGTACATGCTGATTCTGGGGCTTGTTAGGCTATCAATGGCAACGACCATGGCGCAGCTGCCCTCCACTTGCGAGCAAGTCAACCACTTGTTTCAGCCGCACTTACAGCATCTTCCAGCTTCGACAACGATGCTATCAAATCCTTCCTTGTTGAGTGGTATGTCTATCTGAATCTGGTCTCAAACTTTACTTTCAAAAGTGACCACCCCTTCCACGGGTCGTCAACGGACCATTGGCTTCCCTCATTGGAGCATATTATGCAGCAAAATTCCAGCAGCACCTTTTTTGGACTTTCCCAGGGCTTGTTCAGAATGATTCCCAGCATTTGTGCTCTCGGCCAACAGCGGTTGCAGGAGCGGAATCAAGGCACAGTCTCATTTGACAGCTATGCGAAATATGCATCTCTGGAGCGAAGAATATGCACTTGGCAGACCCCTGCAGGCCTCAAAATGGAGGATGAATGGGCGGAGCAGTTGTCGACGGCCGCCGACGTACACAAACACGTGTTATTGATATTCCTGCACAGTGCATTTCATGGCTCACCTGTGGCAGATGACGAGATCATGACCAAGTTGCAGCCTGAGCTAGACTCTCTCCTCCTAATAACTCAACGTCTTCTGTCATACGATGCTCAGGCTCAGCTGTTGTCAAACATGCTTTGGCCGTTAGTAATCGTGGGATCATGGCTCTCGGATCCTGACCAGCAACAAATGCTTCGAGACATCATAGCCGGATCGCCGTTCAGGATGGCACTAATCGACAAGGTTATGCTCTTGCTGGAGCTTCTATGGAACCAAGAGTCCCATAGTAACGCCTGCTTATTTGGGCCTGTAGGTGTCCAGGTCATCATGGAACGCTACAATCTCGAAATTGTTGTCGCTTAAGTTGATACTGCGAGGTGCTGCCGGTCCGTCTAGATATAAGCCTTGGGTTTGAACCATCCACCCCACCCACCACCCCATGAGAAGCTTCGGAGCCGGCCGATCAGCATAGCTGCATTATGAATGAAACTCTGAAACCATTTGGGGATTTCACTATGACTGGTGAATGGTTCTCTCGGCGCCTATTGCTCTAAGGGCAATCCCAGTCGATCAATCTGTCCGATTCTCTCTTAGGCACAGTGATGGATGAAAGACTTCCAGTGCCGCCACCGCAATAGAGATGAGGAATCCTTCGAACCAGACGAAGAGATCTTGACGGCGCGTGATCGGACCTGTCCAGCCGCGGCTCAGTTCTGCAACTCGATATGTGCATCGCCAGAAAATGGTGAAAGTTGACAGAGCGACAGCCGCAAGGAAGCCTTTGACCTGCCACGAGACAGTGGGGGGTTTTGTTGTAGGCTCTGAGTGTGCCTCTTTGCCAACTTTTTGCCCTTTCCAGACCCTGAATCCGAAGTCCACGCAAATGACGATGAAGATGAGTAAGGTCAAGACCTGGAACGACAACCCAGCAATCATGATGTTGTCACCAGTGTCCAAGCTTGTGCCATCTCCCAAGGCAATGGCCGCAATGGCACCGCCAGTGGCCTGAAGGATCAGAGCAACAATGTCACAGGGAATGAACTACTCATGGATTCGGTCAAAGCCCGCTCCAACACTCGAGATCGGGTACTTACCATCTTGGGATACCAGGTCGCAGGGATCCTGGAATGCTCAGGACCAAAGAGTCCAACAATATGAGACAGACAGAGGTAGATGCCTGCTGAAAAGAAGGCAGGGCCGATGGTGAGACAGATAATCTGGATCAGGAAGTAGTTCTCTTCCCATTGATTGTGGTGTGAGAGTATACGGCCCATATATCCGATGATCTCACACACGGTGCCGAGTGCCATCGCCACCAGGAAGGAGAACCATCGTCTCGTCAAGGCATATACGCAGATGAAGGCCAGAAGGGAGCATGAGAAGAAGGCCAGGAATGCGACGTTGGGCACCAGGTTGATGCGGTACATGTAGAAGGACGAATCGAGCGGACAGGTGTCGAGGGTGCAATTAGCGGTGTCGCTGGGCGTCGCCTGCGGTGTCACCGGCGTGCTGCTGCCACTCGTTGCAGTAGCGCTCATGATTATGGTGGTCTCTGCTGGACTTTGGCGAAAGACTGTTTGGTGAATAGTGCCTAGGCCAGACGAGCAAAGGCACAGAATGAAAACGGCCGGGCGACTGTAGGGAGAGAAGTAACTTGGTCTTCAGCCGGTGCGTCAATCAACTAATTTTATATCTTTGTATACTTACGACCAGCAACGGATCAGGCGTATCCAAAAGGGGTTTCGTTTCTCTATCTCTCTCAGCAGTGCCTCCATACCGTGGACGCCGCACGTTGGTGGTTCGGGGTTCCACGAGGCTCCGAGCGCGAGGGCGAGCCCCCGACCGTATAGCTATACGGAGTACGACCGGCAATGCGACTGGTTCCGGAGCCACCACCAGGAAGCCAGAATAGCACCTAGTGTCCTGTCAAGTCTGCGGCCAGCCAATGGCTAGTGAGGCCCCGTGCAGAACCCCGCCGCAAAGATTAGATCATCTACTCGCATCTTATCTAGCCCACGATCCTTGCATTGCTTCCTTCAATGCTGGCCCTTGCCGGCCGTTCGGACTGATCTTGCCCTGCATCTAATCTACGCCGGGCCCTACAGCATACGGTACACTCTAGAGTTATCGAAACGGACTGCGGTTGTGCGTTTCGTTGTTCACAGACCTCGGGACACCATCCTCAGATCCTGAGGGCAACGATTGATATAATGCCCTCATCCCCTGCGCTGTTCCTCGCCATGGCACCCGGGTCACTCCTTTGTTCTGTTGCCGGCTCTTTTGGAAAACCTTTTGACGATTTCAAAGCCTCGCCTTGATTTCACATGACTCTGTACGACTGCATTGTGGTGGGCGCCGGCTATGCTGGCCTTGCCGCTGCAAAGACCCTCCACGAAGCAGGCAGGGAAGTTCTGGTCCTCGAGGCCCGCGACCGCGTTGGCGGCCGCGTCTGGACGAAACACTTTCCCGACGGCACCTACGAAGACTATGGCGGCTCGTATCTGGGAGTGCAACAGCCACAGATGCACGCGCTGGCCAAAGAGTTCGACGTCCATACATTCAATGTCCCGACCAAAGGTAAAAGCGTCCTCTACTATCGGAAGCGCGCCCACCGGTATTCCGGCTTCATACCTCCCGTGGCGCCATGGTCGGTGCTCGACCTCGGTGTGGCCATCAAGAAGTTCGAGGCGATGGCGGCGACGGCCGACCTCGAAGAACCGTGGAAGACGCCAAACGCGCAAGAGTTGGACAACATGACCGTCGAACAGTGGATGCGGAGGCACGTCTGGACACGCTCGGCCAGAGACATGATGCGTCTCGCGGTCGAATGCATCTGGGGCGCTCCGGCGTCGCGCATCAGCCTCCTGCATGGCCTGTGGTACTCCAAGGCCGGCGTGAGTCTGACGGTGCTCAGCACGAGCGAGCACGGCGCTCAGCAGCAGCTGATCAATGGTGGAGGGCAGGCCATTGCCAACGGGATCCACGAGCGACTGGGCGAGATGGTGCACCTGGGCGAGCCTGTCACTCGGGTCGACCAGACGAGCGGTCCAGAGGTGATCGTCCACACAAAGACCGCGGTCTACACTGCTCGCCGCGTCATCTTCGCCATCCCGCCCCCACTGGTCTTGCAGGTGCAGTTCGAGCCGGCTCTGCCTTCGCCCAAGGTCCAGCTGCTACAACACATGCCCATGGGCGCAACCTGGAAGGTCTTCGCCTCTTACCCCGAGCCTTTCTGGCGCGCCGAGGGACTGAGGGGGGAGGTCGCGAGTCCGGACGGCATGCTCGGCATCATCTTCGATTTCTCGCCCGAGGATGGCAGCCGAGGCGTGCTCATGGGGTTCGTCGTCAGCTCGAGAGCCCACCGCTTCGCCGACATGGACGAGCACGCCCGCAAGAAGGTCGCGCTTCAAGAGTTGGTGGCTTGCTATGGACCGAGAGCCGCAAAGCCCACCAAGATGTCCGTCCACAGCATGTGCAACGAGCCGTGGTCGACGGGCTGCCCCGTGGCGGGCATGGGGCCTGGCGTCTGGACAGGTTTCGGTCGGTGGATGCGGAAGCCGGTCGGGCGGGTGCACTGGGCAGGCACAGAGGTCGCGACGGCTTGGAGCGGGTACATGGAGGGCGCCGTCCGGTCTGGTCAGCGTGCCGCCGGCGAGATCCTCGAGATTTTGAATCACGGCCGTTGAAGCGGATCCTACTGTCAGGATTGACCCGGTCAAGGCCGCACCGTAATGGGTGGACGTACAGCTCACAGAGGGATGAGGTTCGGCCAACGGGTTCAATAGGAGGAGGAGGATGGCTATGGACGAAAACCCACCTAAATTGATCTTCGGCACCAGGAGTATGCTGGTTCATCGCTTACGTGACTTTTTACCTTGACAAGGAACGAAATTATAGGTCGTTTTAACAAGCCACCAATGACCCGCACCTTTCGTCTACGACCTAAAGGCTTGGTCGGACCGCAAGTGGAATGCATATGGTGAACTAAAGATGTGAATGTCGTCGGCAAGCCTTTAGTCAGGTCGGCTGCGAAGTGAGTGAGATGGGTGTCGTAGACGAGTTTCGACGTCGTTCCATCTTCCATGAAATGCCCTATATCGCCAAAGATCAAGAGCCACGAAGTAGCGTCAATCTATGGTGGCGACTGAAATCCCGTCACCTTTTCAAAATCCGCCACGAGAGCATCCCACAACCTTGTCCGCCGTGCCCTCGGAACGCATGTTCGCCAGGAGTTCCTCCACCTTTGCCGACACACCCTCGCACTTGTCACTGAGAGTATACACCGCGCTGCTCTTGTTTGCAGTCAGATCCCGTTGCCGACACGTCGTTGCCCTGCAAGGGAACGTCGGCGCGATGGAATGCAAGTCTAGCCGCAGGGTTCAATTTCTCCACGGCTGCAATGGTGCGGTCTGCCGACGCTTGAGATCGACCGACAAGATAGACCCTCAGCTTGGCCGCATGCTTTGCGAGGGTGGTCACCTTGTACTCGCCAATGCCACTCGTTCCTCTAATGAAGATGGCCACGAGACCGTCGGGAAACGTTGAGGAGATGCGCTCGTTGGAAGTGAGGATGTGTTCGAGGGACACCACGATGATTAACCCTGGAGCCTGTCTGGTGGCGGATTGTCTTTCGGTTGAGTCTGTCGGATATTATGGTGGAGCGGATATAGAGGTCAGCGCACACTAGGCGGTTATACAAACCAGAAAGTTAAATCACCCTTCGGAGCTGTACTTTCTCATAGCACATGACCCATGGATTCGATGTCATGAGGTGAAGTGGGTGCTTTCAGAATCTCGAATGGGTTCGTCCCAGAGTCCGAAATTTGAGAAGTCAAAACTGGGTACGGTATTAAAAATGCTGTGTAGGTCGTTCTGTTCCCACCACGTTGTTGCCAGCGTGGGGTCGAGCTGCTCGAAACCTGTCTGGGCCGGGTCTTTCTCACGGGGAGTGAGATAGTTGTCATGCTCTTCGTCTCCTGAAGTCCCCTCTGACATGATTTTCAGGTAGGCATTGGTTGCTTTTGGCACGAGCTGCTGCATGAACGGTCCAATCTGCAAGGCGCTAGATGTGACGAGGTCTCGAACCGTTGATATCGCGGGTTGGACTGTACCTCTCCATCTGGTCCGTTGGAATTCGAGAAGGGCGACCGCCATGGCGGCTGAGCGAGCAGTTTCTTCGTAAGAAGCCTCTCCTTTCCAGTATCCATAGATGGTGATGAAAACGGAAGTCGAGATCCGGCGAACTTGGCGCCAGGTTGGCGGCAATATAATGGTGGACTGTAACTGTCTGCCTAGAGCATCATCGAAAGATTGCAGGGTAGTGGTCGCCATCAACGTGATTACGGGGCTATAAATGTCAAAATAAATCGACAACACATTTTGCGCTGCACGGAGGCAAACACTCAAAGATGAGATCCAGTGTTCTTCTGAGAGAAGAAGCGGTGCTCGTAGCATGATCCGCGACCTAAAGTGATTGTCAGACAAGCCGGTCAAAGCACGCCCTCTGGCACCACCGCAATGTCTTACCAGAAAATATGTATCTGAACCAGAACTTCGTACTGGTACTCAAAAGTCTCCCCTTTCTGCACCTCCCCGGACCTGGGCTTCCCAATGCGTGCACAAACTCGTCCCATGATAGACTCTAGATCGATAACGTTGTTATATGTGTAAGGTCGAGTGTGCAGTGATTCCAGAACCTGGCCGTTGAGCGATACATACTGCACCAGTCTATTGAGACGTGGATATTTCATGAGGAGAGGGGCGAAGAGATCCGGTGCTATGTCGGTCGTCTTGATACACGAGGCCGTACTGTGCGTCAGTGCGGAATATCTGCCAGTCATTAGTGCCGAAAAGTCTTTGGCCATTCCCTTACTTACTGGTCGGCAAAGTAGATCATCAGATATATCCGTAAAGACTGGAGATTGACATCTTGGCAAGCACGATGAATGCCTAGATCGTGCGCCGCCTTTACAGCATGAGCAATCAAAGCCTGTCCTCTAGTCCCAGTGCCCGTTCGAAGCACACAAGTATGTTGTAAGTAGAGAGCAGACACTACATCCAGCGTTGGCTCTCCGGCGTAATTGTCCATCAACATGGTTGAAAGTTCGAAGAAGGCTTCGAAGATGTGAGAATTGGGGTTGGGGAAATTGTGAAGAGCCAGAGCAGCGAAAAGAAGGCTAAGTTGATCAAGGGGAACTTTCCCGCCGCGAAGGTCAATATAGCCAAGATGTGGATGATTGGGCGAGTGATTGAACAGCTCGATGGCCGCTTGTCGCAGCTGGTACAGGTCGAGGAGGTCAATAGGCAAGCCTCGAGATTCACCGGCAGCATCGAGCATTTGCAGAATGTCCAAGAGCGTCAGGTCAGCGACGCTGGAAAGGACACTGGTTTGACCCAGAGGTCTAAGCCCGACCATGCTGGAGGACGATGTGGATTGCGGTTCGGGGAGCTCGCACAACGACGTAACGTCTGGCCTCGAATATTAGAAACGTGCCTGATGGGCACATGAATCGACTTACACTGCCTCTGGGACGCTTCGCGGATGACAAGCAGACGAATCAGGTCGAAAGGGTCTTGCGCCTTGGATCGAGACACAGGTCGAGGTCCTTCAGTGGCCGGAGAATGACTCGATGCTGCTGAGTGTACGGAGCCCGCCGGAAGGTAAGGGCTTGCATCCTCTTCTTCCAGCAGAGAATGTGGTGGGGAGGTTGCGAGCTTGGGTGTTCGGAGGGGTCTGGGTATCCCTTCAGATCACAGAGTTGCATAAAAGGTAAGAAAAGGCACCGTACCTGGCTTTAGAGCGGACCACACAATTCAAGCCCAATCGAGTACATGATTGGCAAGGCAATGGAGGGCGGCATTTCTTCTTCGTTTGCCGACAATGTTCACAGGCCTTGGGGAGCCTGAGGCCCTTTCCAGCCATCAAGTCGGCGGCCAGAACAAAAGTGTGACAGTCAGCTTCATGGTCGTGTATCGTTTGTTGGAGAACAAGGTGGGATAAAGTCGAAGAGGGCCGAGTACTTTACTCCGTACGGAGTACAGTAGAGGGGCAATATGTCGGCGCAGTTGCCGTATTGTTCCTTCACAAGTGATCTTAAATCCGAGTGTAAGTCCGGCCGTGGTGAAACTTTACGAAGTTCGCTTGATTCTACAGAGTACCGAGTATGACTTACTCGTACAGAGCACGAAGTACGGAGTACGACTGCTCGTGATCCTTGTGCCCCGTGAAAGTGAGATGCAGTCTCTGAACCGTTGTGTTTGAACCTTGGAGTCTACCATGCTGCTACATCCGCCCTCTATATCCGCTGTCCGACTTCATTTTTTTTTGCGGGGACCCCGCGTTACCATTTCCTCAACGACCAAAGCAGAGAGTTGGTCAACTCATCCGCCCGGATCGTAAAAAGAACTCTTTCGGTACCGATGGTGTAAGGAAACCACGGTCGAATATCACAATGTTAAAAAGGTAAGGATGGGCTCTCTTGTAGCTCGTGAAAGAAAAAAAACATGACTCGATTCCAAATCTCATTTCTTTTTTTCAATATCTGCCCTTGAAAATATCACTATCTTCCCTCATGGCGCCTCCCTCCATCGTCGTCGGTGCCGCCGCAGCAGCATTAAACTGCATTCCACAAACTTTCCACAATCCCAACATATCAGGACTCGGCATATCGTCCATCAGTGCGCACGTGGTCAACAATTGGTCTCTCGAGATTCCCCAGGGATTGTATACCTCTCACGAGGCCCGTAACGTGACAGACGTCAGCTTCTGCAACGTCACGGTGACTTCGACACACCCTGGGTGGAACGACACCATCAACACCCAGCTCTGGCTGCCACTTGATCCCTCGGATTGGAACGGTCGGCTCCAGATGACGGGCGGAGGTGGGCTCGTCACGGGATTGTTGTACACGGCCATGACGGGAGCCCTATCCGACGGTTACGCCAGCGTTTCCACCGATGGCGGCCACAACAGCCTGACCGACCTTTCCGTCTGGGGTCTGTACGAAGACCAGAACCCCAACCTCTACAACGTCCTGGACTTTGCCCAAAACAGCCTACACGAAGCTGCGGTCATGGGCAAGACCCTGACAAAAGACTTTTACGGTAAAAACGTTTCTTATTCCTACTACACTGGTTGTTCCACAGGTGGGAGGCAAGGTTTGGCCATCGCCCAGAACTACCCCGAGGATTTCGACGGCATCCTCGCCTCCGCTCCCGCCTTGAAATGGAACGACATTGCTATTCAGATGTTGTACCCCATGGTCAATCTGCTGGACCAACACGACGGCTTCCCAAACCAATGTGAATTGGACGCCCTGACCGCTGCGGCCGTCGAAGCTTGCGACCCAAAGGACGGCGTCACCGACGGCATCATCAGCGCCCCCGAGCTGTGCGACCTTGACCCTCTCACCATGGTGGGACGGTCGATCCCGTGCGGAACCAGCTCTGAGGGGCATGTCGTCAACATTTCACGCATCGCCGCCATTGGTGCCAAGGGTGCTTGGTACCCGGTCGAACAAAGCGGAACGGCCCTGTGGTTGGGATTTGGACAACAAGCCCAGCTGGGAGGACTCATGAATACCACAACTACAACAACAACCACCAACAGCCCCTCGGGAGTGGCCGAGCCCGAGCCGGTCCCCTTTGGCCCTTCTGTCCAGTGGCTGGCTTGTATGCTCAAGCACGACCCGGCTTACGACTGGCGAACAAACTATAACGTCCAGCAAATGTACGAGCAACTCAAGTCCCCCGAAAACGCCCTCTACCGTGGCATCTTGAGTGCGGACAATCCTGATTTGTCAAAATTCCGTGACGCCGGGGGCAAGATGATCACTTGGCAAGGCATGGCCGACGACAACATCCCCACGGCAGAGTCTCAAGATTACTATCAGTCCGTCGAAGCTCACGACCCGGACGTGCGGGACTATTATCGATACTTCCAACCTCCGGGGATAGGTCATTGCCTAGGTGGCCCGGGGTTTTTCCCCGGTCAGACGTTCGAAAACTTGGTGGATTGGGTGGAACACGGACGAGCCCCGGACAGTTTACTCGGCGTCACTCAGCCAGACTTCAATGGTGTGATCTCTCAGAGACCAATCTGTTTATATCCCAAGAGGGCTAAATATGACGGCGAGGGTGAAGTGACCGCGGCTGGTAGTTGGACGTGTCAATAATCAACGGTAGGGCCTGATGTAGATGCTCCTTGTTGTCCAGCTTATATCTTTTACTGGTGCCATTCACCAAATCCTATCTTGACGAGTTTCGACCTGAAATGTCATTCAATCAAGACAGTGAATCCTCGTAATAACTTTAGGTCTATTGATAAGGTATGCCATAGGTTGGGTTGTAATGCCCTGGGATAATGATAAAGGCTGTGCTTCCTCCACAGTCTCTTCGCATCTATCGAATGCGTTTCAACATCCACGCCATCTCAATCTTACACACTTCCTCCTAACACGAGACTGGAATGCCCCTCACTGTATGTCCTATGCGGACTTTGACAGACCATCATTTCCATCCTTGCCTTGAGACTTATCAACAACATTCGACTCTGGTGGTGCAGGACTCGCAGAACGCGGAGTTTTGGTCTCCGGTGTCTGAGGCTGTGGGGTACCTGTTCGTGGGGTGCCGAGCTGGGACTTTGATCGTTTTGGCTGCATGCCATGCTCAGTCTGGCACTAAACACTGAGCAAAGATCCAAGGAAGCCGGGATGGGCCTGGCCAGCAAGGTGTTTGACATGGTCTGCCAATTCTTCCGGTTGCACAAACACCCTCCACACGTAATCTGGCACATCTTTGAAAGCCTCCGCGAAGCGACTGTTTTTGTTCTTGGCATCCATATTCGGGGCGTCAACGACCTTTCTGATGTAAATTGCTTTGATCCAATCGGGATACTTGGTGTACATCTGGGCATATGACTCAGGGTCAGATTGGGTCGAATCACCGATGCAAATGAATCTGCGGTTAGGAAGCCACGACTGGATTTTGTCGATTCGGTCCGTCTTGTACTCTTGTACACCTTGTGTGAAGGATTGTAGCAAACCGCCAAGATTCATCCATGATGCATCCCGGAGAATCATTGTTCCAGCTGGATAGTGCTGATGAACAAACCCATGCAGGAACGGATACAAGTTGTACGGCGATGCGGAGAGATAGAACCAAGCAGGAGACTTGAAAGCCTCGTTCAAGACTTTGTAGAACTCTGGCATTCCAGTAGTCACCTTTGGTTCATCCGCAAAAGTAGACCGCAAGATCCCAGTAGGATTCGGAGTCTGGGTGATTTTGATGGTGTCGTCGATGTCAGAGATGATGGCGTAGCCTTCCGGGCCAACAAAGTGTGTCTGCGATGTGAGCTCTGCAAACAGACCATCAACGCTCGAGCAGACGACTGTCTTGCCGTCGGCGTCACCTGCACCGCCAGTGGGCATGATCTGGCTACTGATGCCGTTGAGATTCGACGGACCGAGAAGTCGCTTGTGTGGATTACCTTGTGGTGTTGGGCAAGGTACCTCCACCTCAATGGTTCGAGCGGGTGCAATCGCCATAACAAAGGGCTTCAATCGTTCTTCAATTCTCTTGGTGACTTCTGGATCAGTGCCGGCCGTGCCATCGATGCCTAACATATCCACAATGTTGCTGACATATTTGGTCAAATCCTTACGACCTGCACGAAAGAAACAGGCAACGAATTCCGCCTCCCAGGTTTGGGCATCATCTTTGCCTGATTTGACAGGGGTGTAGGCAGTATTGTCGAGAAGCCATACTATGTTGTCTTTGGGACTTGCTTTCTTTCCGAAAGGGTTGCGGTGGCCGAGAATGCCTGAAAGGTTTGTTAGGACCACGTGCAGGCTAGAGAGAGTTCCATACTTACTGGTGCTTTTGTCAATAAAACCCATCTCAGATCTGTCAAAACGCTTTGGCAACTTGGATTCGACTTCAGCAAAATTGGCTTCCTTGCGAGACTCGGCTTCAAGTGGCGTCTCCTGGAGTTTTTGTTCTGCTCGGTCGGCGCGAGCCGACTTGCCCTTTGATTTGCCCATCTGGAGAGACTGTCGAAGTAGATCAGATGGTTGAGAAGTACAAGTGGTGAATGGGGCTCGTGATAGAAGATAAAGGCTGTAACTATAACAATAGGTGGACGGCCACGCAATGGAAGTGTTTGGTGATGGATGATGGGTGATACGGAGAGAAAAGAAGAAGTCTGGGAGCCATGACAAGCGATGTATCAGGCTGTTGGTCATGGGAAGGCGCTGTGCACGAGACTTGCTGGAAGGCACAAGGCCAAATTACGGTCAGCAGGCGCATCGTGAAATGTTGGGCGAAGAATGGAAAGAACTCACCACAGACGGTGTCTCACACCAATCATATCTGATGGGGAGCGGCAGCAATGAGACATGAAGACCTATTGCATTCGAGGTTGATGTAGTCTGGAGATTCAGGTACGAGGAGAAACTCCGCAATTGGACTGTTGACCGTCGCTTACTTACTGTCGAGGATCCTGATGGTACTCATTGAGCCTGAGCCAAGTCACTAACAACATTGGCGCCGAGGCGTTCCACATATCGGGGATGCTGCATTGTCAAGGCATATGTTATCAACAACAGGGAAAGCCCTGGGCCTGTATCTCGTACAGTAAGGCTGATTTACCAGGTTGTTGGTGGAAGTGAGATGAGACGGACACAGAAGTTGGCAACATCCTGGCTTGATTGGCCAGCAAAACAATGCTGCTGTTCATGACATCACATACAATACGATGAAGATGAAATATTTCAATATGCACCATGAGTCGATCTCCTGCACCTTTGTGGACAGTCATTTTGAAGTCTCAATGAAACAATGGGTATCCCATACAGCAGAGAAATCAATGCTGCCTTCGAGCAAGTGACTCCCTTGGTGGCAGCGGGATTCGAGGTCCTTGAGACCACGAAGGATATTGCGATCCTGTTGGCTTGCATTCAGGTCCTGACCGTCACTATCCTGGCATTTATTCTGGTGGCCCTCCTGGCCTTGATCATCACCGTGAATCCAGACTTGGAGAAAGAGAGAAGGGAATTGGTGACGCCGTCTGTCGTTTGGCTGGCCAGCTGGGCATACACTTATGGGAGGACGGCGAAATGGCTTCTGAGGATTGTCCTGCTAACGTCTTTTGTCGGGCTCTGTCTCTTCCTCTGGCAAGGGTCGCTGGCTGGTGTCAAGGCTCCGAAAGCTGACGGCACGTCTGAAGAAACGCCCGACGACCAACAGCAGAAAGTGGAAGAGGCGAAAGAGAAGAGCAAGGCAAAGGGTAAGGATAAGAACAATAATGATGGGAAATGATCTATCAGTGATGGGACCATGTTCATCTGAAGTAAGTTGCTTGCATCAAGAGAGGTTGGGATGATCAAGATTGACTGTGGCAGATCAAGATGCGGTCGTGTGTTGTGAGCATGAATCGATCAGCCTTTGTATCAAATGTGTGGTGATCATTTAGTGGATTTGGCCACTGAGTCGTTTTGTCATTCCTATTTTGAGATGTTTGTGCTGCGTTCAGTTTGGCCTGTCTATCTTGGTAGTGTTGAGTGCAAAGAGGAAGAACTCATCAATCAAACAAGACGCGTGGACTTAATTTTCATGGGAATTGTAGCAGTCCACTGAAAATAGTCCTTAGGAGCTTATTGCGGCCTGTGCTTTACCTTCTTCTGGGCTTTGACGTTGGCGTCTAGGCCTATTAGTAGCCCCTAGACCTCGGCTTCCGGGACCCTATTAGGACAACGCTAAGGCCATCAGTTTAACCCAATGGTGATATTGGCAGTGTCACAGGTGCCACCGAAGGGACTAGGTAGTTAACCTGAAGTTTTTATCATTCCACCGTCATTATACAGTACTATATGGTGTCTAAGCTCTATCCCATCGCTCCGCCATACGCTTCAACGACACTTCGAGGCTTCGAATACTTTCCAATGGGCACATATTGAATGTCATCGAATCCCATCGAGGACGGCCCTCCAAGCTCCAAACCCCTCGGAGTGTCTGTCCAACGGGGAGATGCCGCAATAGCTACAATGGTCACCCTCAGACCGTACTTGTATTCGGGTGTACCTAGGCCAGCACCTGTCTCGGAGTCGAGCAGCGCAATGAGATCAGGCACCGATGCCAGTACTGAAACTCGACCCTCGTGGTCTGTCGCCTCGACGAAGGCGTTTTCGTTCTTGAAGGGCACTTTGACGATCGCCGGCGACCCATCACTGAGAAGGCCATCGATCTCGACAATGCCGTACGTATGGCCCTTTTTCAGAACCCGCTCGACGCTCGTGATCTTGCCCTCGGCCAGGATTCTGGCGCTATCAGACCCACCGACTGCTTCGACTATTCTCTTCGCTTTGTCCGTTATATTCTTTTCCAGTGCCACTGCCCTGCCAATCCACCAGGCCAGGGAGACGGTGTTGACGATTGACTCTTCCTGTACGACCTTCGCCGTCTTGGGAGGACCCGCCATTCCTGCTCGACATCCCATCTCAACAGTGGCGGCACGCAGTGCGGCATCGACGAGCTTGTCTGTCCTGCTGGAGGTCATAGTCATGTACGATCCATCTCCACTTGCAATGGTTGCGGGCAAAAGTGCTTCTCCTCGAGCTGAGCCATAGACATTGACGGTCGTCTGCCATCCAGTTGGGTACGCTCTGCCCATATAGTCGGCATCGACACAAGGTACACCGTGGGCTGCCGCAACCTCAAGGTTAACGAGGCCGTTCGCACCGCCGATCTCCAGAGCTAGAAACCCTGCCACTGGTGGATAACCCATAACCCGTATGAGCTCATCATGAGCCTTATTGCATTCATTGGCCTCCATTCTCTCCATACTGACTTCAGGGCTTCCAAGACAGCCTGTCCAACCGACTGTGGCACTGTCTGGAAGGTCTGCTGGAGAGACCACCTTCACGGACCCCGGGTGTTTTTCAAGGCGTGCTCTGATCTTGAGATACTGTTGATAAGGCTCACCTCCACCTCCGCAACCGAGAATTTTGCACCCGTCCGAAATCCATTGAAGGTCAGTCATTGATATTGTCCACAACCCTCGCATGACTTCTGGTTGATAACTCCTGATATCGATCGATTCGACCGCTTCCGTTGAGGCTGCAGCGGTTATCGCTTGCCCATTGTTAGTCTCGGTCGTGAGCTCTTCTACTTCGTATGCTCCCATGGTCTCCAACTTTGAACTTCTGACTGTGTCAAGGACTCCCACTGCCCTGATGAGGATTCGTGCCTTGGCATCAACATACTGAATAGGGAGGATTGTGATCTCGGCAATCTCAATGGTATCTCTTCGAGCTCCATTGTCAACAGCAGCATTGATTGCCATTTCCATGACCGCATCCTGTGCCTGCTTCAAACTTTGATGGGAAGTATCTGCCACCGTGTCCACGACACCAGATACACGAGAGATGGCAGCGCCCACGGCATTCGCAACTTCTCCGCCCTTGACTTTCCGTACAGCGCGAACTCCAGCGAGAGGTTTGTCAGTGTCGATCAAGATGGCACCACCTCCCACAATCAGAACATCGATATCTCCTTTCTGCACCTTGGTACGATCGACCACCTCTTCCACGATCTGTCGCATCTCGTCCTTGGCTATCTTCACCGTATCAGGTGTAATATCCTTCAACCGAGCAGGTGATCCAAACCCTTCGAGTGGGTTTGACCCCGAAGGTGCGTGTAACTCAGATGCGGCTATGATATCGGTGGCCGTCAAGACATCGCCTCCGAAGAGCCGGGCTTTTCGTGGAAGTTCAAACCCGACACTATCGGGGCCAACAGTAAGACTGTCCCCTAATTTTCTTACGATGCTTCCACCCCCCAAGCCGATGCTCTCTACCGCGGGGAGAGCAAAGTTCGTGCGCACGCCGCCCACAAGGCTCATCAGTGAGCTCATTCTAGGAAGACCATTGGGTAGCAGCAAGCCACTGTCTGAAGTGGTACCGCCAATGTCGATCACCACAAGAGGTTCTTGACGTCCGGTATGTGCTTCTTCTGTTTCGGCATGGGCAGTCTTCCAGAGAAATTCCCCCCCACGAATTGAGTTTGTTGGGCCGGAGTTGAATGTGCGAATGGGGAGATCAATCGCATCCGGAGCGCTGAGTACACTGCCGTCATTCTGCGTGAGATACAGAGTGCAAGGGTTCCCTTGGAAGATATCTTGCATGGCTTTCTGAAACCCCGTGATAGTCTTCTCGGCAAGGGGTCTGAGAGCCGCGTTCAAGATGGCTGCATTTTCTCGAGCCAGAAAACCGACAGACGAAATCCGATGCGACAGTGTGATCCTCGGGCGGACGTTGAGACTTGATCGTTTGCATATCTCGGTCATTCTAGTCTGAATGAGATCCGCTGCCCTCGTCTCATGCGCCGAGTTTAGGGGTGAATATATTCCTGATATGACAACATTGAAAATACCGGCGGTCGCCAACTCCTCGGCCACACGTTTCAACTCGGTCTCGTCTAGTGGTGAGATCTCTGTGCCAGTGATCTGATGTCCGCCTTGACAAAAGAAAGGCCTGGATGAGATGAGTTGGCGCAAGTCCCCTGGAAAGTCAACAAAGGGTGGCACGCCGAGTCCGAATCCATCTTCGCCGCCTCCACAGAGCCGAACCACACCGACACGTTGAAGTGATGGTGACCGTTGGACGACAGCATTGACGAAATGTGTAGTCCCAATGATAACGCAGCTTATGGCGTCGAGAGGGACATTGCTTGTCGAGACAATTGCACGTACTGCCTCGGCAATACCAGTTGTTACATCTGGTGTTGTAGGCGCTTTGTGTGAGGCGATGATCTTTGTCGGCGACAGTGAGATTAGTACGGCATCGGTATTGGTCCCTGGGAAAGTGGTCGTGAGCAAGACGAAAGGTGGCAGCAAGTGGCTATCATCTCACCTCCAACATCAATTCCCACACGGTACTTGTGAAGCGCGTTGCCAACGTCGCCTATGCTACCCATGATTGCTCAATTGCTGTGGTCGTATCTCATTAGTTCAGGTCTTCCTCGAGCATGACAGACACGTTGATGTTGTCCGATTCCCTCTTCCTTTGTATCCCGCACCCTTTGATTCCGAGACGATTTGCTCTGTTCCTCAATCAGCCACAGTACTCAAATGGTTGGCCGATGATGCTCTGCTCGGTTAGATACGGAGTATTGTCCATCAGAGAAATGACTTTTCCCAGAGGTGCTGAATAGGCGGACTTGAGCGGCGACACCGTTAGATGGTGTCGTGAAGCCACCAATAGGCCGAAGTGCAAACTGGGCCCCTCTAGATTTGGGACTGCTGCAGGGCTTTCGGACTACTCAAGAGAGCGGAGCCTCAATCGAGAGCACTGTACGGTCGGCTAACAATCTGACCTCGGGTGGAAAGGTCATGCAGATCAACGGCCAGATTCTCCAAGCGGCATTCTACAGATCCTATCTTACACCAACAAGATGGGATTCTGGGCGGGTACTTGCTTATCACTGACCTGTTTTGAGAGCTCATCGATACATATCTAGACCATGCGGCTGTCCTCGTCTAATCAAGGCAGAACATCGCGTGGTCAACGCTTTGCCACGGATCGGCCAACTGTCTTGCGATATTGTCCTATTCGTTGCTGCTTATCTTTTGGTATCCAAAGGTAGAACAGTGTGTGGCCTGACGCGGACTCTCAGAGGAAACACTATCGGCCAACCTCGAAGCGATCCAAAATCACTATCCACGACTTCTACAAAAGACGAACCCCGACGTCGACATAAAAAAGTGTACGCTAGCATCTATGGATTTTATGACCCAAGTGTCTATGAACACATAACATACTCTTGTCACGAAACCCAGTGAGGACAGCTGCTAAACGTACAAACATGGCCATCAAACCCGCCGAACTTGCCATCCCCATTATCGACCTCGAGCCTATGCGCTCAGGCAGTCCCGAAGAGGTTCAAGAGACTGGTAAAAAAGTCTACGAGGCGTTTCGAGATGTGGGTTTTGCATACATCAAGAACCACGGCCTTCCACAAACAATTCTCGATCAAGCATTTGAATGGGTATGTTTGGATTTTCCTTTTACGTCTTCTGCTTTGTCGGAGCACCACCATCCTCACCTGACTTTTGCCTGACATGAACGCCCGACAGAGTTCAAGATTCTTCTCGCTCCCTCAAGAGGACAAAGACAAAGCTCCTCACCCGCCTTACGGCTGGTGGCACCGAGGTTATTCTGGGATCGGTCGTGAGAAGGTTGTACAGATGGTCTTTGATCAAGATTCGATCGCCGATCTACGAAAGTGCCCTGATTTCAAGGAGTCATTCGAACTCGGCCGTGAAGACGACGAACACACTCCCAACATCTGGTTCCCCGAGGAGGTTCTACCGGGGTTTCGTAAATTCATGACCGGATTCTTCGAGACATGCTACAAGGTGGAACTCGACTTGTTGAAGGCCATCGCTTTAGGGATGGACCTCCCGGAGGATTTCTTTCGTGAATACCACACGAAAAAGGACAACCAGATTCGGTTGTTGCACTATCCACCCGTTGAGGCCGAACTCCTCCGCGATGGCAAGATGGAACGTATCGCCGCCCACTCGGACTTCGGAACCATGACTCTTTTGTTTCAGGATCAGGTCGGTGGTCTCGAGGTGGAGGATATGCACGAAAAGGGCAAATTCAATCCTGCCCCTTTTGTGCCTGGTACGATCGTGGTGAACATCGGTGATTTCTTGCAACGTTGGAGCAACGACACTCTCAAGTCCACATTACACCGAGTCAGGGCACCACCAATGACCGTGGAAGGAATGACGAAAGCAAGGTACTCGATTCCGTACTTTGTCACGGCGGACAGGGACAAGACCGTGGATTGTTTGCCAGGGTGCTATGATGAAAAAGCAAGACCCAAGAAATACGAACCTATCAATGCGAGGGAGTATATCGAGATGAGGTTGAATGCTACGTACTGAACCCGGTATCTAGGCGAGGTGTTTTACTCTGTACGGAGTATGTAGTGTGTATCAGGCATGGAGAGGAGGAGATTGGGTCGTGTATTGCTCAGTTGCCTATTGCTCATGGTTTACTAGATAGGTTTTTGGTGGGCAATTTCTTTCACTTGTGTGAATCTTACGACGTGACGATGTCTTTTTTTTCTCTTTCATAATCTCAATATGTCTGTAGCAGTATATTCCGTAACAAGAATATGAAGATCAATAGGAATGTGCGTGTGCTACGATTTTCTTTCGACTGTAATTCAAAATTACGTGATGCAATGTGATGGTTATTTCCGGCATCTACTGTGCTCTCACGTCGGCAATTCGAAAAGTCTTCTTCATACTCGAGCCAATGTCGATCACTATCTCTAATAGTAGCTAGCATGGCAGATGTATGACCACTGTCATGGAGAAACGGTTTCCCAACTACACCCTGAACTCAGCAGCTAGACAGACACAGTGGCTGCAACTCCGACCCCGTGGTGCTTCTCGTTGACCTCCTCATCGACGAATTCACCACCTTTGCCGGCGCCGGCGCCAATCCGTGATCCGGGCCGATGCTGCTGCTCGAGACCCGAAAGAACTTCATCCACAAACGGGGCTTCCTGGCCAAGTCCGTAGGGAGGGAAGAAATAATTCAAGACCCAGAAAACAGCAAAACTCATTGCCAAGCCGACGATAAAGGTCAGATTGTACAAGCGGATCCAACCCGTGAATGATGAGTCGGTGACGTTGTCGACGGTACCAACCAGGCCGGCTTTTTGAGACGAAGAAAAGGCGTCAGTATTCGAAACTGAGGTCTAGGAAACCAAATCGCCACATCTAGACACTGGGGGGCAAAGAAAAGTAGTCAACTCACGCAACAATGGCCAGACGCCGGAAAGGAAAGCCACGATGGCACGCCAATTGACACCCTTGTTGAACCAATAAATTGAGGAAGAGTCGCCGGTGTAAAGATCATTGAGTTTCAGTTTCCTTCGACGGACGAGGTGGTAGTCGGCCAACATGACTCCCCTAAACAGTACGGATTCAAATGGTCAGTCTCCAAGGGCATGGCTTTGGTATAACATTCGCACTGTGAGAGTAGACATACGTAGCTGGTGCCATGAATACTCCGAATCCGCTCAAGACCTTGAGAAACTTGTCTGCGGTGCTGAGTAGTTGCCACGGTTGAGTTGCGATGCCGATACAGGCCATGATATAGCTCCCCCTTCGGATGTTGATGTATTTGGGCCAGAGACCGGCCATGTCCATACCGGTCGAGACGGAGTTTAACACAACAGAGATCTAAAAACAACCATCAACAAGTCCCGTTAGCACCTAGAAGACGGAGTACTGGGGGTTTTTGAACGTACCGCTAGTTGAGAGCTGACAAGTCCCAAGCTTGCAAAAAAGACTCCCGCTCTAGATCTTGGGCTGGAATGGTACTCATCTTGGATGTCGGCTAGTAGGTAGATTGGATTCCAAACGATTTCACCGTCAAGAATATCGGCCGAGGCACTGGTGACTATGATCCCAATGATGGCCGTAACCGCGATGGTGATGGGCGCGGCAACCATCTGAGATACCGTAGGGGCGAATTTGCGATTGGCGTAACGAGTCCAGTCCGACTGGCCCAACGTCCCGGCTCCCCAGGCACCGAGGATGGCCGTGATGCCGAACATAAAGGCCCAACCGGTGTTCTCGGCATGTCCTGGTTCGTGGAACATACTCCCTGCGCCTCCAGCATTATGCACAGCCCTGGCAGATGTTGTCGTTAAATCTGTACGTGGGAACTAAGGATAGTAGAGTGGGAAAGGAGTACCAACCATATCAGTAGACCAATGCAGGATCCTGCAAACAGGAAAAAGGAGATGGCAAAGGGGACTTGAAGTCGTTCAGGAGGTACGAGGACGAGCGGGATAAAGGCCAGCATCCATATGACTAGTCCGATAAAGTCTTTGGTCAGGAGATGGGAACCTTCACTGAAGAAGTTTTTCATGTTGGCGAAGCCTGTGATACCATGATTATTATACTGAGCAACACCATGGGAGCTGTGGATGGGTAGAACAAGAGAATCGTACCTGGAATGATAGCGCCCCACAACACTCGTGTCGCTTGGCCTCCCCAGTAAGCTTGCATGCCAAACCTGCGGAACCATCAGGCGTTAATGGCAGATCCTGTCGGCGCCGACAAAGATGGTAGATGACGGGGAAGCAAGCCGGCTTACCACATGCAAGCGACAAACACTCGAAGTACGACGGGAAAATATGACCCGTTCATACCCCATGAGAACCGAGAAGACACGGTGAATCCAATGTGATGTGTTTCACCCATCCAGCCGCAGGCCACAGCCAACAAACCAGTGAGTATACCTCCGACAATCTACCCATCCTTCACATCAGCCTCACCGAGCAGGCAGAGTAGAATAACGACCCAACGTACCACAACGCCAATGGCCTGCTGGGGACTGAGCCCAAAGGCGAGAAGAGTACTTCCTGTCGACCACGCCGAGATACACGAGCCGGAAACAGTCCAGTATCCTGCCAACAGTCAGCCCTTTGGCCTTCTAAGGTCATTTCTTGTTGTATAAGTAGACTTCTCCCGTACCACAATATCCCCAAATACCCCAGGTTCGTCTCTCCGGAGGCATTGGAATCAAGTCTCGATTGCACCATCTAGTGTTGTCGTAGTAGGAGTCTTCATCCTTGGGTCTGGCAACGACAATATCAGTCAGTCAGGTTCAGAGGGCGACATTCCCAACTCATTCATAGCCCGTTTAACATGGTTACAACTTACACCTGAAGCTGCACCTTTAACTGTTCCCACTTGTGGCCCATAATTGTAGTTGTCCTTCGCACCGACCCTAGTTGCAATGGGACACTGCGCAGAGGTTTGGGGGTCCTCTTGAAGTGCAAAATGTTACACAATAGCGTGGTCAAAGTTGACTCTAGAATGGGGCAAATTCCTCTGGGGAGAAGTTGCTTATACATACTCCTCCATATGTGGGCTATCAGTGAGACGTTGGTCTAGGCGGGGGCATTCGTACAGGATTGCAAAGTAGGCCGATCGTGACGAACCCAGAGAAGAAACTCCATTCTCCGGACAGGGGTTCGTAGTTCGTGGTAGTTGACCGATGATAGCAACCACACATGAGTTGGCCGATCAGACTTGCTAAATTGCTAGTAATGTTTGATTGGCTTGTTAACAGTACATTGCCGAACTGGAGTCACTCCGCATATCAGCGTGGTACTTGCAGAATTCCCACCAAACATACTCGTACTAAATGTATGGCGCCAACATCGGGGGAGGGTCTGTGGACCGAACAAGATGCACCGAGAACATGTTGATATCGGCCGTCGAGGAGAAAATATCCATCTCGGCCTGCAGGTCTCATGAAGATCCGGGACCACGAGACTGCATTATCTCTAGATCCGCATGATTAGCGACCAAGATTATTATCGTCCAAGGACTGTCCATTGTTCTTTGCTGACACGGTTGGGGATATACATTTGTGCATGTAACGACTTTGATAGTATCCGTGTGTTCATCAAAGAAACCATTCAATATCGCCGGCAGTCATGACTTCCCTAAACCACACGTCGCAGACATTCACCTTGAACACCGGATCTGAGATTCCAGCGATCGGACTTGGAACCTGGAAGTCTCCGCCAGACTTGGTCCGTAAAGCAGTATGCCATGCGATTCAAAAAGGATACCGACATATAGATACAGCATTGAATTATCAAAATGAGGTCGAGGTTGGTCAGGGTATTCGGGATTCGGGAGTGCCGCGGAAGCAACTTTGGGTGACAACTAAGCTCGACAATCCCTGGCACCACAGGGTTCGCGAGGGCTTTGAAAAGTCACTGAGCGATCTGGGAATCGAGTATATCGACCTGTATCTAGTACACTTTCCCTGCTCGACTGATCCTTCCGATCCTTCCAAGCACTTGCCAGACTGGGACTTTGTGAAGACATGGTAAGGTTGCTTTATGTTGAGTTTGTGCAATATTTGAGAGCTGACTGGAGGTCAAGGCAAGAGATGCAGAAGCTGCTGAGTACCGGGAAAGTCAAGAATATCGGTGTATCGAATTTTCAGATCCGTCACCTTGAAAAGCTCCTCAACGATCCATCCTGCAAGGTAGTGCCGGCAGTCAATCAGATTGAGTTGCATCCAGCGAATCCATCGTACGTTGACACTTTGTTTTGCCTGGCGCTTCAATCTAACCCATTCGACAGGTCTAGGTTACTGGAGTATTGCAGATCAAAGTCGATTCACTGCACTGCGTACTCTTGCCTCGGAGGAGCAACTGATAATCCACTTTTCGCTGATCCTGTATTATCGAGAATAGCAGGCACAACCAAGAAAACACCAGCACAGATCCTGTAAGTTTTCACATCCATGGTAAATATTGGAGTCCACTGACAATCGCCAAAGACTCATGTGGGGCTTGCTGAGAGGAACAAGCATAATTCCAAAGAGCGTAACCTTTTCCAGGATCGAGGGGAACTTCGCCTTGGACGGCTGGACATTGAACAAGGATGAGATGGAAGCTTTGTCGGCAATCAAGACTCGGTTCAAGGCCGTCAATGATTCCTGGATGCCGATTAAGGTATTCTTTGGGGACGATGAGTGACTTTGTTAGAGAATATCGTCAAACCTCTCATGGCTAGATGAAGAATGCTACTGAGAATGCATAACCATGTTCATTATCTCATTCATTCATGTCATAACATGGTCATACCCTGTTCGACGCAAAGGGGAACTGTAGACGATCTCAAAGTAGAGTATACTGCTCGGACTACGCTCAAGGTGATGTACTCACGACGCTGCCGGCCGTGTATGATCCAGAAGCTGAACCTCTTCTCATGATCTTTGCTGCCTGGGTGAAAAAGGAATCGATTCGCAATGCCACTGGTCGAATCAGACATACTGACTCTTCATCCACGTACTCGCCTATTCGTTGAAGTGATTCATGGAACCGCTCTAGAAGTCGGAAAGTGGCACGGACTTGCTCCGGATTAGAAGATAGGAGGAAAACGTAGATCAGAAAATTGCCGATCAGGATGAGTTGAGAACGTCCATCTAGAGAGAGTCAGCGCAGTCACCAGTCTTGGGCATGGAAATCAGCAGGCAGGCTTACGTCGACCCCAGAATGCTCGAAGATCTTCTGGAGTGAGTCCGTCCATAAAGGCAAGAAAGACGCCGACTTGACCCATTGCCGCACCAAAGTAGCGTTGAAGGGATGATTTTGGACTGTATTTTGCTACCATAGACGCCGGTGTCATCAATGCTCGGAACAGGATGATTTGAACGGCAAAGTATGCCAGATGTAGGGGGCCTGAAACAGAATTAGCCTGAGACGGAAACGAGAAGTTTGTGACAACAATGTTGACAGCGTACCGTTGTTTTGGAAGCTGTGCGTGCTGCTGTTGTAGCCCATCGTTACGCAATGCGGAACGAGGGAATGCCAGGATTGGAGACGCCGTTGAATGTCGACAAGCTTGGTCTCCTGTTCTGAAGGATTGATCATCATGTCACGATAACTTTCATCGAAACTATCAGCAAAGTATTAGTCTTCTTCCGATGATATGGTGACATAAGGGCTCAGTACAAAGATGTTTCGAGTACTGTGTGTAATATCTGCGTCAATTTCACCATCTCAAGAAATCGTGCTGCAGTAGAGGCATCGAAAAGAGTACTTGTCTCATCAACCATATCTGCGAGGTCTTCTGGAACATCTTCATCAACTTGCAGGTCATTCATGTTGAGTTCTGCGGTTGTGTATGAAGCTCGATATATATGAGGTGGATTACCATGTGACACAGATGTCCACATGTCTGTCACGTAAGTTGACCACCATAACTTTTTCCGCAGACTTTTCTCCCATGGAGCAATATTCCAGTCTGATGGATCCCGGTGAAGACCAACCATTTGCGCGCATGAAACTGCTAGACCGGAAAGTGTCCATAATCGCGGGGTCTCGAATGTGGTGTTGTTAGCCGCCTTCTCGTGAATCATCAGTAGGCAAGCCTGAGTCCTCCAAAGATTGGGAGCTTCAAGTTCCCTTTCCAGAGAGGCCTGAGCAGCTTGAAACAGTTCGTATTGTTCAAAATTTCGGGTCACTGTTTTCAGCACAGGATCTTGGTTCCAGAAGACGCCTCCCATACCATAGATCGCGCCTCGAAGAGACGCAGGAATGCTCAGCCTATCTTCTTTATAGGCGCGAAGAAAACGCACTTTCGACACAACACAATTAACGGTGTGGACATGCTTGAAATATAGTCGAACCAGGTCTGGACCATACGGCTCTACCACAGATTCTATCAGCCGAGAAGCTTCATCCTTGATCCGGTTATCGTATGGCATAAACCAATCTCGGAGAATGAAGAAGTGTACCGGAGGTGTACCGCGTTCAAAGTCCCCAGGATGCACTTGCATAATGTCTCCAGCGATACGATTCGACTCGTTCATGATGACAGATCGGAAAGAAGCGAGGAGATTTGCATCTTGTTCGGAGCAAAGACCCAGAGAGTGGGCTGTCATGTCCTTTCCGTCTTCTAGTGTTTGGACGACAGGCTCTCCGACTTGGGGTTCGTGGCTGTTAACAGCTATGAAGCCACTTCTGGGTTGATCACCTCTGATATCTATGCTCCGCAAGTACGCAGTAGGCGAATAGAGAGACGCGCGACCAGTTTCGCTAGGACTGGTTTGCATCGATGGGATGCTGTCGAGAGGAGAGGTAGAGTTGCCATCTGACATCACCGTGTGCGATACTTCCTCATCGTGAGGTTTGTTGCTTTTTCTAGGCTGACGCTCTTGAAGTGATTCAGGGGTGAACTCGCAGGTTACATTTCTCCCTTTGCAGAAAAGGCCTTCCCGATGCCGAGTAAGTCTCGAATCCAAATGGTTGATGCCTCAGGCTACTCACATGGAGGCTGCTCTTCTATCACACATGCTGTCTTTCGCTTTCGACATACATCGCAGGGGCGGCTTTTGCGACTTCGCCACTGTCTGGAACTGCCAAACTCACTTTGTATCTTGAAGCGCCGTCTCCGAGGAGCTTGATCGTCCTCCTGCATCGTAATACTGTCATTGACAATGAGCCAGCTCTTTGAGTACCAGAATAATTTCAAGTTTCATGGTCACAATACATTCAACGAAGAGACATGGGAATATCTTATCGATCACAGGTGGCTTGTCGATAAGCAGCAGTAGAATACGACTATGTGACCGTCTCCGTTCAAAATGCCAAGAACACTGCCTTTGACCCGCCAAGAGATCGCGTCGGACTGTCACTTTACGCGTCCTGCGCGTTGCAAAGTCCAAAGGGCGACGCTATATTGATATGCTGCGTATGTTGTAGCGACGGCGTATTGCACTGTATAGACATCGCCATGGCATCGAGACCAGAACTCAAGGTATGCCTCTCCGGGACGATCCCCTCTTTCTCAAGTCTAACGCAACATAGGTCGACGATGAGGGTGGCTTCATCCGCACCTTTCGTTCCCTACCCGCAAAGCCAGATGGAACTAGTACAATCCGTGTCTTCGACAGAACGGATTGGTACTCGGCTCATGGCGAGGATGCAGAATTCATTGCACGAACAGTGTACAAAACCACTGCTGTCCTCCGAAACCTGGGCCGCAGCGAAAATGCGCTTCCCAGCGTGACGATGACCACCACAGTCTTCCGCAACCTACTCCGTGAAGCACTCTTCAAGTTGGGCCAAAGAGTAGAGATCTGGGAAGCCAGCGGTAAGGGACAATGGAAACTGGCTCGAGAAGCAAGCCCTGGAAATTTGCAGGCTGTGGAGGAAGAGCTGGGTTCAGGCATAGACAGTCAAGGTGATAGTGCACCAATCATTCTTGCCGTTAAAGTCAGCGCGAAGACGGGAGAGGCCAGAAATGTGGGAGTATGTTTCGCAGATGCAAGCGTCAGAGAACTTGGTGTCAGCGAATTTCTCGATAATGACCTTTACTCAAATTTCGAAAGTCTGCTCATTCAGCTTGGAGTCAAGGAGTGTGTCATTGCAAGCGACGGACAGAAGAAGGACCCTGAGCTCACGAAAATACGACAGATAGCCGATTCATGTGGCGTTGCAATCTCTGAAAGAGCTGCTAGCGACTATGGAACCAAAGATATCGAGCAAGACCTGTCTAGATTGCTCAAAGGCGAAAATTCTATGGGGTTGCTGCCACAGACTGATCTCAAGCTTGCTATGGCCAGTGCCGCTGCACTGATCAAGTACCTTGGTGTGATGACAGATCCCAGCAACTTCGGTCAGTACCGACTCTACCAGCACGACCTGAGTCACTTCATGAAGCTCGACGCGGCTGCTCTAAGAGCACTCAACCTCATGCCTGGTCCTCGAGATGGTGCGAAGAGCATGAGCTTATTCGGTCTTCTCAACCATTGTAAGACACCCATCGGAGGTCGTCTACTGGCACAGTGGCTGAAGCAACCGCTGATGGGCCTGGAGGCGATCGAGACGAGACAACAACTTGTGGAAGCTTTCGTAACAGACACCGAACTCCGACAGACGATGCAAGAGGAACATCTACGCTCCATCCCCGACCTGTATCGCCTTGCGAAGAAATTTCAACGTAAGATGGCCAACCTCGAAGATGTTGTGCGTGCCTATCAAGTCGTCATTAGACTCCCAGGTTTCATTGAAGCCTTAGAGACCGTTGTGGACGAGCAATATCAGATACCCTTGGAGGCACAGTACACTTCGAAATTGAAAGAGTTGTCGAACTTTCTAGGCAAGCTTGCAGAGATGGTCGAGACCACAGTCGACCTCGATGCATTAGACCGACACGAATTCATCATCAAACCAGAATTTGATGATAAATTGAGAACGATTAGAACCAAACTCGATCAACTCAAGAACAGTATGGATAGTGAGCACCGCCGAGCGGGCAAAGATCTCAACCAAGATTTGGACAAGAAACTCTTCCTGGAGAATCACCGAGTCCACGGCTATTGTTTCAGACTTACTCGTACTGAAGCTGGATGCATACGCAATAAACCATTGTACAAAGAGATCTCGACTCAAAAGAACGGAGTATATTTTACGACCTCAAAATTGCAAGAACTAAGAAGGGAGCACGACCAACTTTCCGCTGCATATAACCGAACGCAAGGCTCACTTGTCTCCGAGGTGGTCTCAGTGGCGTCATCATATACACCGGTCATCGAACAACTCGCTGCTATCATCGCCCACCTGGATGTAGTTGTGAGCCTGGCACATGTATCGGTGCACGCACCCGCCGCTTACGTTCGGCCTAAGATGCACGAGCGTGGAACTGGCGACACCATCTTGAAAGAAGCCCGACACCCATGTATGGAAGCTCAGGATGATATCAATTTCATCACCAATGATGTGGAGCTGAAACGAGAAGAGTCACGATTCTTGATTATCACCGGTCCAAATATGGGCGGCAAATCTACCTACATTCGTACCATTGGGTGTATTGCGTTGATGGCCCAGATTGGTTGCTTTGTACCCTGTTCCGAGGCAGAATTGACCATCTTTGATTGCATACTTGCCCGTGTTGGCGCCTCAGACTCTCAACTCAAGGGTGTCTCAACGTTCATGGCCGAAATGCTTGAGACAGCGAACATCTTGAAAAGTGCTACCCGAGACTCGCTGATCATTATTGATGAACTCGGCCGAGGGACGAGCACCTACGATGGATTCGGTTTGGCTTGGGCCATTAGTGAGGAAATCGTGGCTCAAATTGGCGCTTTTGGATGCTTTGCAACACATTTCCATGAACTGACTGCTCTGGCTGACAAATACCCAAACGCAGTCAAGAACTTACACGTAGTGGCTTTTGTGGACCAGGCTACCAGCAACACCGCCTCTGAACGAAGAGAGGTCACCCTGCTATACAGAGTGGAAGCGGGAATCAGTGACCAGAGCTTCGGTATTCACGTCGCTGAACTAGTGAGATTTCCAGAGAAGGTGGTCAACATGGCACGCCGGAAGGCTGAAGAACTGGAAGATTTCTCGGCTGTGACTGGGGAACAGAAGAAAGAGCAGTACTCCAAGGAAGATGCTGAGGAAGGAAGTAAGCTGCTCAAAGCCATGCTAAAGAATTGGAAGGGCCAAATCGAGGGACGAGAGATGAGTAAGGATGAAAAGCTCCAGCTCATGAGGGACTTGGTCAAAGGCGATTCCACCTTGATGGCCAACCCCTTCTTTCAATCTATCAAGGCGCTGTGAAGAGTTGGCAGAAAGCCCTTGAATTCGATGAGCAAGGTGTATGGCGACAGACAGGTGTTTTTGATGAGGATATTGACACGAAAAGGTGTACTCGGAAAGGGTTTGACATCGTTTATAGGCTGGTAGCCTGCTTGGTATGTACAGTACTCCAAGTGATGCCTGAGTGATATAATCCAAGCTACTTTTGTGTTCCATCTTATGCGTTCTTGACGTTACTCCGTACATCATCGTCTCCGCCCCGGTCCTGAGCTCGTCTGGCAGCGACATCTTCTGGGCCTTCGCCGGCCTCTCCTTGGTCAAAGTCTCCAGCTTTCGTGGGTCTTCCTGTACCCTTTACGGTACCTCCACCCTCCTCTGGAGGAATTTCGCGGTTGTTCCCTGCTCCTGAGACCTTGCTGCCGTATTCAGCGGTGCTGCCAGGGAATTTATTGGTAACAGATTGGTCAATGCCCGATTCGACGGCTTATAGAGTGTCAGACGAGACCTGCTGAGGTGGACGAGGGCCATTTACTGCTGACACTGCCTCCATGGACAGTCTTCCCTCCAAAACCACCGTCTTGAGCTCCATGCTTGAGCTTGTCTGAGGCAAGATCTTGCTCAGCCTGCTTGGCAATATCCATCAGGTCCTGGCCCTTGTACTGTTCAGACATTGTGATCGTATCAAGAGAGGAGTAGACTAAAGGGGTTACGGCTGGATAGTTCGGTACGGTATGGCTGCCAGGGGGCGAGAGTGTGGTAGTCCTTTGTGAAGTTTTCGCAAGAGAACATATGTCATTAAGCAATTCCAATGTCACATTTTGTACTTATAATCAGAGAAAATATCAAATTCTTCTGTGATGTCACGAAGATTCAAGTTACATCATGGTGGACAAGGCTGGAGTCTGTGATATAGTCGCTGAATACGGTTTAGTGTCTTACGACGAGGCCGATCGACAAGGCTAAAGAACAATGCGACCGCGTTTCCAGCATTTCTCTCGCAATCAATTTCGAACAAACAACAAATCGGTGTGAACTATAGCTACCTATAGGATGAACCTGAGCTTACCATTCTCAATTCGACTCCGATTATCCCTTTAGGTAGGCTGACACGATGTCATATTTGAAGGGTCATGTCTCGATACGATGGTCAATTCTGCGCTGCACTTTCCGTGTATCAGTGAAGTGGTCACCACCTGGTTGTGAATGCCGTCGCATTATCTATCGTCTGCCACAATGGAAAACTTGTCCAAAGTGATATTCATATTGCACAGAAATCCAGTGAGTCTATTGAGTGAGCTGATCATAATAGTATCAAATTTTCCTCAACCTCCACGTCTCTGAATGCGGAAATGGAAGGTACGGCTGTTCAACTGCGGTCAAGGGCAGGATCTGGAATGGATTTCGCCTCCTGCGAGCCACTTCCGCATCATTCAAGTTTGACATTCTTTCGCTCACCAAAGCATGAAAGACCGTCAAATTACACTCGCCGTGTGTCCCAGGAAAATATGCCGTCAACCTATACTTCGCCTGACCCTACTGCTCTCAGTGCCCGAAGTTGTCGATCCTCGATTTCCGCCATTCCATATCCTGCAACGGGTACCTCTCGTCGTGCTACGCCTAGTGGAGGTGGGAGCAGCAGAGCCGGATTACATCTGAACAAGACAAGCCTCAGTCCTGAGTATTGTCATGTGGAGCCTTGGACTACTACTGAAAGATGGCCACCTTCGTCGATACCCTTGTTCCAACCCTCTGCTGTCAGCTCGGCACCATATCCCCCGTACAGTCAACGACAGCCACGTGATGGGCCTTGTGTTGTAGCTCACCATCACGATCGCCATTTGTCCTGTGGCTCTCTCCATGGGTCTGAAATGGCACCATCGCATCAAATGAGGGATGGCTTCAACCTTCCAAAGTCGAACACGATGTCCAATCTCATAAGCTTATCTCGCGACATCACCCCGAAGCGCCTGCTCCAGCCACTGGGGCCACCACTCCCAAGAACACAAACTCTGGGCAATATAACGTGCTTTGGGTCAACAAACTCAACCTCTTCTCCTCGGAAGCCGACCTCGGTGAAGGTCTCACACTTCAAGAGACATCAAGACGATGAGAGTCAACTTGATATCGCTACTGCATTGAGTGAAAGTAGAATGACAGATGAAGAGCTGGAGATGATGCAGCAAACACAAAGGGAGGCTGCTATCAACCGTTTTCGCCTGAGAGAAAGATTTAGGGGAGGCCGCGATGCAAGCAGGCATGTACTCCCATCGACAGTCACCCAACATCAGAAAATCGAGACGATTCAAACAACACCTAGCAATACAATCACTATGGAAGCCACCGCATCTGACCCACTACCAGCAGATGTACAAAAGGCAGGCGCCAAAAGGGGACATCTGGCTATTAATCCAACTCTGGCTAACAGGCATTGCCTCGATCATGACCTGCCCACTGCTACAACAACTACAAGTGCTACTGCATCTACTCAGAGCGGCGTATTTCTCGAAAGGTTCAAACAGGTATGCTAGTAAATCTTTCATATGTGCTGTACGTCACTGCTAATTTGACTATAGAAACATTTCAATTATGACGCAGAGTCCTCCCAGTATTGGGCTGGTCGTTATTTGTCAGTATGCGACAGGATTCGAAGTGAACCTCTGATGAACACCAAGCTTCTGCCTCCCTTTGAATCTTCTACTAAGACTATCGACATGCTGTTTGACGCTCGTGAAAGAGCGCGAATAAGGCTAGCATTAGACGAGCTTAGAAGATGTTGCATGACTGATGACGCACTTGAAAGCTTCGAGCATTTTGAGGTCGCGTTGCTAAAGAAGTTGGGCATATCTCATCAAAGTCTATACCGAGACAGTAAATCTTTGTCGGGAGCCTCCGACGCCGGGTCAAGGCCAAGGATGGCCGGTTGCGGTGGTCGAAAATCTGGAACCACTTGGAATGAATCTCAGCCATTTGGCAGTACCTCAACATCCACCAGCCGCGTTTCAAGTATCAATGCCGAAGCCGTAATGGGGAAGGCTTCTCGCGGGGTGGAGGGCAAAGGCACCCTTGCAAAGAGCAAGACTACTGGTAACTTGGCATCATTCATACCAAAGTTCGCCAGCAGACAATTGGTACCTTTTATCAAGACTACTTATCAATCAAACTCGACTGATCACAAGGTCCACCATCGAAGAATCTCGCATGTCGGACACACTCCTGAATCAGCAGAGCAAACTATTGAGGGGAGAGAATCTCATACAGCCAGTCAAATGAACGCTACACACTGGCGGTCAGGCTCACGCATACCATCCTTCAGTCTTGCCAACAGTGAGAGCCGCAGCCTGCAATCACTCTCCACTCCCACGGCTACACCACCTGCAGAGAAGGAGCGGAGCTTGATCTTTGGCAAGAAAATCCAAAAGCGAGACCAAGTGGTTGGAAGCCTTGACTGTGCTATGATGGAAAGTGGTCACACAATGCCCCCTTATGAGGAAAAGTCGCAAGCCTTCTTCCCACAGGTTCAAATGGTTACTGTGCAGGGAGAGAAGGAGAAAGTGATTCGTTCTCGCCGTAAATCGGAACGGCAGTCCAGTGGGGAAATCGTGAAAAATCTATTTGGAGCCGGAGTGCGAGGAGTGAGGAAGATGGGTCGCCGGGTTGGAGCAATGAGCATAGGAAGCAGTGATGATTTACCGGCATCGAAGCATTAATAGGAGAGGGATAGAGCTCAATGCAAAAGCGCGAGTTCAACAAAGATTGTCTAAACGGCAGCAAGGAAAACTTTGCTGCATGGAATGGTCTATGTAGCTACCCAATGAATTTCCAATTGAACACTTCTTTCACCATTACCATCATTTGCATACACGTCGACCTTGTCAAATCGTTTCGGTACATGATTCGCATAGAATGTCGTCTTATTCTGGTAAGACAGGGCACGGGGGTTTTGAGGGTCCGAAGAGAAGATACTCTGTACGGCGGTCGACTTGGTACACTCGAATCTGGAGGTTTTTGGGTTGACGACGCACGGCGAGTAGCTGGACGAGAGGGAGAAGAGCGGCGCGTGGCCAGGATCGACGACGTCCTTTTGTGCGCGAAAGGTGGCACACGTGCCCGAGACGTACCATTGACCCAGGCGAATGAGACAGCCTTTGTTGTCGTCGTCATTCGACTGTGTTGCGATATCATCCGATAGTTGCTCGTTCAAGACGAGGGGATGCTGCTGTTGTTCAGATTCGGACTCGGAAAAAGTCGGTCCATGGTGGTCGTCGTCGAGAATGTGGATCGCGAGATGGCCCTTGCCCGTAAACGGTGGGGATGTTGGTGTGCTTGTGGTCGTCGACGTGCGCGTATAGGTATGCGTGGGTGATGGACCAGGATCGGAATGCCCATTCTTGTGCAAGTACTTGATCCCACGGCTCGGACAGTTGGATTTGGCACCGTCGGGGTCGGTGGGGATGAATATTTCGCGGACGGCGTCGGCAGGCAGAAATGGAGTAGAAGAAGAGTACCGCTGCGCTGGAGGTTGGTCGGTGGTACCATGTGATGAAACGGAGGTGGAAGTGGAAAGAGAAGAATCGTCGTACGAGTTCCTCAGTGAACCCATGACGGAGAAATGATACCATATCTCGTTGAGTTCGCCAGAGTGAGTACAACGGAACGTCACGGGGTGGTTGTATGGCGAAGAGGATATAGCATCTTCGAGGTCTTGTAAGGTGTAGCGTACTTCGTGGGAAGGAACGATGCCGGCTTCAGACAGGATGGTGTACGTGTCTAGCGTACGGAAGAGAGATGTCGTGTGGATAAAGTAATCTAGTATGCCTAGGTCGAGGTTGCTGTCCGAGGACTCATCACTATCAGAGTACTCATGCGTTGATGACGATGGATAACAACCCTGTTCGAGGGTCGAGATACATGTGCCGTGCTTGTTCCATTCGTGGGACCAGAGGTGTGCGGCGTCTGAATTGAGTGAGAGCCAGTATTCGTCCATGAAATCGAGGAGGGCTTTGGGGTCCGAATGCGTTTGATTGAGGAGAGTGGTGATCAGATCACGCATGGCGCCGGGAGGATGAGATCGCGTCGTATCACAAAATTGATCGAACCCTCCCGTGCAGAGGTCCGGCCAGAGACCGTGGATGGTCCAGGACGTGTTGGGCCCGAGGGCTGGAGAAGTGTCCCAGAATTGGGTCTGGAGAAAATGACCCGAAGGGTGGTTCAGGCAGCACGTGTTGATCTCGCGGGGTGGAGGGAATGGGCAAGACAGTGACGGCGGGTTGGGGCATGATTGGAGGGTAGTGGCCGTCATCGTGGCTTTGGTGGTTTCAAGAGGTGATGTGGATGGTGGTAATAGCGCATTAGAAATGGAGGAGAGAAACGGTAGTTGGAATAAGGATGGAGCCATGTCGAGGTAGTTTGAGCCGGTGACTGTGTAAAAATATATGTATACAGCTGCTCTAAATGTCGAATTGTGTCATGATGTCTTCTTGTTGGTCCCGCTGGGATGTTGATATGAGTTGGTCTTGTAGAAGTTGTGTAGAGATCAGTCAAGTCAGAAGACGACGTTGAAGTTGATGTCAATAAAGAGTCGGAAGCACGCGTCAACAAAATGACGTCGACGGTGAGAGGTCATGTGACGAGGCTGAGAGCGTAATCAAGGGATAGGGAACCTTCCCTCCTTATGACGAGCAGCAAACATCTGACCTCGGTCTCAACGCATTGACCTACTGGAGATTACCTCTAAGGCTTGGTAATCCGATATTCAAGCTTGTGTAGCGGAGTTCGTGCTTGTTTGAAAAGCGCAGTTGTCTTGAACGAGGCTCTCCGTAGAAGGGAGGTATATCGTGAATGGTCCCGGACGAGTCACACCTCTTTACTCTCAGTACCTAGGTGAAAACATATGAGTAGAATCGGAAAGCTTTTGACCCATTGGACACTTCGTGATGATCAAACTGCTCGCTAATGCCGGTGTGATCATTCACAGACCAGAGTCTAGATTTTCCGAATCATGAACTCGAAAGTAAATGAATCCTGAAATAGAAGTGAGGACTCAGTGACTTCACTATGGGTGCCAGAGAGATTGCCCAGAAGTCTCATAGTCTTTACTAACTCCAATTCCACAATATCACTCTGCAAACTCTCCGTCAATTCTCTCTAACTCTCGGCTCTTAACTCACATCACCTCCTTCCTTCTCCAGCTACCTAAGCCATCGACACCTACGCCAGAGGTACTGGCCCACGTCTAGCCATGGCGTTAAGTCGCAAGAAAAGGTACGTCAAACCCCCCGAGACCAGTTAGATATGGGTTCTGAGTATGCCAGTATCTCCTTCCCTACCGACATGGTCACCCTGAAGTTTGCGGGCTTCGAGAACACCGAATACCGACTCGTCGTCCACAAAGACATCCTCTGCCAGAGCCCTTGGTTTGCAAGACGATGCGAAGATACAACGTTTGACGGTAGTATATCCTATCCTGAAATAACAAGCAAAGAGTTGGGAGAGAATTTAGTCAATTGGCTTTACTTCAACACTCTTCCTTACTCTCAAGCAGACTTAGCAAAAACACATGACGAAGGTATTCGAATTGGCACTGAAATTGTCGATGCCTACTGCTGTGCCATAGGTGTTGGGCTGGAGGAGTACGCCAACGCACTACTAGATGCATTCTGCACTCTGGCGCAGGAAGACATGCCATGGATAAGATACCTGGATCGACTCCAGCATATCCAACCTGTCGATGAGGGTCTCAGAGCACTGGTGATGAAGTTGTTGACTTGGTCAATTCTCCAAGTCGGTTGGGACCATTACATCCAAGAAGTCAATAGAGAGCTTCCTCAAATGGTTCGGAAAAAGGGCCAGTTCGCAGAAAGTTTGATCAAGTGCCTTGCCGACCCTGAAGCCAGGACGAAGTTGCCCGTTCAGCAGAAGAAGGGAAGATGCAAGTGGCATATTCACCACCTGACCAAGAAATGCTGAAAGGTCCCCAATAATGATGAGACGTGGCCAAGGCTAGAGATAGCAATCGACAAGGTGACCTAATACACAGAGTCTTGCATTTTGGTAGATTCCAACCATTGGACGGGAACAAAAAGGAATCGACGGTGAAAAGAAAGCAGAAGCTGCGCAGCTATGGTGGAAGAGGAGTGATGCGTGGCAATTGCAGAGGCTTCGGTAACAGTTCATCGGCGCCTACAGCGAACACAGGGCTGTGGAGACCTTTTTGTGGTACCTTGATCATAGAGTGTGAGGGCAAACATTGACGAGATGCAAGAGGCAGCTTTTTCCTGTCAAGCGCTGCGAGCAGGCCATGGTTGGTTGGTGCACTTGTCTAGCTGCAACGAGTACTATTCGGGCAGAAGACCATCCCCAGAATCAATATCGTGTAAAGAATCGAAAAATCAATGAAATTCAATTCAGATCCGATTTCTCTCCAAGGGAACATAGCTGCCTTGTAACCGTGATTGTTGCCGCATCGGCTAACATTGTAACCTTGCTTCTCTATCCCGATATTTTGCTGTTTAAACCGAATCCCTCTCTTCATGACGGGTGTATTTAAGAAGTTGATTGGCCGTCCTTAACTATCTTCATACCGATTCAAGTGTCAGAAGCACCTGCAGGCAAGGTATACCCTCTGGCGCCTTCGGTACTTAGCAAAACAACGACAGCATTGGAATCAAGCCCGATCGCGGCTGGGTCGAGTGCTTTCGCCCTTCGTAGCGCAGCAAGAGAGGCAGCTCCGCAAGGACCAGCGTTGACATCATGAGCTTGCAAGTATTTGATAGCCTTGTGGCACTCGAGATCTGATATCATCACGCTGGCATCAACGCCCTTTAGGAAAACAGGCCATGAAATAGGTGACACAGTTCCACAATTCATGCCGTTCATGATCGTGGCTGACGTTTCGATCGTCTCCCAGGTCTGAGATTGGAGGTTGCGGTTCAAACAAGCGGCCGTCTCAGGCTCTACTGTCAACACTTTGATCTTCCTTCCTCCCCATTTGCAGTGCGCAACAACAGCGTGACCCAACGACCCGACTCCTATCGGTGTGATCATCAATGTCGCCCTTAGCCCCTGACTCGCAAGTTGTTGCTCAGATTCGACCAGAAGAGTCGAGTATCCTTCCACGATCCAGGCTGGAATCTGCTCGTATCCTTCAAACGCATTGTCCTGAATGAGGAGGTGGTTGGGATTCTGTTTGGATTCAGCCGAAGCTTTCCCAACCGCTTCATCATAGTCTCCAGAGATCACTGTGACGTTCGCGCCTTCACTTTCGATCTTCTGGACAGTCTCATGATCGGCATATCTCGACATATATATTTGGGTTTGAATGCCGAGGATTTTGCCCATCCGCGCCACAGCACGACCATGATTTCCTTCGGTGGCCGCCAACAGAACGAGTCGTGATCTTTGCGCAGCTTTCGCTGCATCTTCGAGACTCGCATCAAGAGGGAGTCCAGTACGATCTGCCAGGGCACGAAATGTGCCCCATGATGCTCCTAGGATTTTGAATGCCGGCAGTCCAAGACGACTACTCTCGTCTTTGACAAAGACAGCTTTCACGCCCAGCTCTTTTGCAACATCATCGAGGGCAACCAGTGGGCTTGGACAATATCCAGGAAGCCGCTTATGGAACTTTTGGGCAAGTCCGACATCGGTCTCGTAGTCATAGTTCCATGTTTGGGCTTGCGAATTTACATACATATCGGAGGCAGACATCGCGCTCAATTTAGAGACCCTGCCACAGAAGGTCTCTCTGTGCATATGTCTACTGTAGATCTCGAGCAGCGGTGTACTAGTTGTGTATGTAGAGGTGTAGCGTGAGAGGGGGGGAAGGTCAAGGGCATTGTCGCAGGGCGTGCTCTTCTACACTTTCAGGTAATCTTCAGTGTGCGTCTTTATACTCTCAATGAGCACCCGGATACCCTAACCTGGGAGCACAAATTCGGAGGTCTCAGGAAAACCTGTCATGTCTTCCTCAACATACGGAGTGTCTTTCGATGTTATGAGTTCAATTGAGGCAGAATGGGAGGCCGGGGCGGAACAACTTTAATACGTCTCAGCCAATAACAGCTGCAGAAACAACATCGCCGGACACCGTATCGACTCGCATAATGCATGCTATCCCAGCCTCAGGCTGCAGAGCCAGCTGGCCAACCTCCATTGGTTGCCTCGCTACTCGAAAGTGTGCGTGTCCATCAAATCCTGTCATGAGAAGCATATAGGACCTGGCCCCGGCGGCCGCCAACCTTTGCATCACTCCATCCATTTTTGCGCCCGGCTACTGATTGGCCGCTGTGGTTGCGTTGCAGCCCAAGGAAGCCAACGCTGGTGCGCAAGTGGTGTTTGCTGACGCAGGCAAGCTTCGTCGATGGCCTTGGAAGAGATCAAGAAGAAAAAGAAGAAGTCCCATCGCGATCATGGTGACACTCGTGCTTCCAAATCACGCAAGAAGTCCGATGATGATGATCGTGCAACGACGAAATCCTCCGCCGCTCTCGCCGCCGATCGCCCCCCTGACATCGAGACTCTTCGAAAGGCCAGGCTCGAGAATCTAGCAAAAACACCTGAGCAGAAGCGGAAAGAGATGAAATATGAATACGTTAAGAGCACGAAAGCCGTGTCGCAGACTGGCGGGGATCGAGACCGGAAGTATAGAATAGTCAGGGATCACAGCCCGGACCTTCAGCATTCGAAATCCTCACCGAAGCCTACGAAACGCACGGACGATATGCAGAAGCGCATGCGCCGCGATGATGGCGAATCTGACTATGTCTACGGGAGGCCAGACAACACGCGGAAAAATACAGCGACGAAGTATACAACAAAGTCGCAGTCTAAGGCGTCGATCAGAGGACTCGCGCCTTCAACTGTCAGGCGGCAGATACCCGAACGTAGGAACACAGAACCTATAAGACGAAGACCTTCCGATGAGGGACGCGATGCAGAACGTGAACGTCGAGATACTGAGCGTGCCACATCCAGGCAACAGCGCGATACGCAATCTTCGCCTACGATGGTCCGACGAAGCACTGTTTCCGCAGACAAGCCACAGAGGCCACCGTTGAAGCGCAATGCAACAACCTCATCGAGGTCGAAAGTCGACGTCGGTGCCAGCAAAGTGACGCATCCCAACGACGGGCAAAAGAGCACGGTCGGCAAATTGAGTGGCATGTTCCTCCCGAACAGCGAGCCGCAAAAGAAAGTGTCCTGCTTGACGTGTGGAGCGGACGACGTTCCTGTCCTCAAGTCGGCCAAACTACCGTGCTCTCACCGCATGTGTCATTCATGCCTCAAACGAATATTTACCATGTCGGTAAAAGACCCTGCACATATGCCACCTCGCTGTTGTACAGACCAGCACATAGATCTGAAACACGTGGACAGGTTGTTCGACCAGAAGTTCAAGGTACTATGGAATCGCAAATATGATGAATTCAAGACGAAAAACAGGATATACTGCCCCGCCAGGAGGTGTGGCGCGTGGATCAAACCACATCATATGAAGATTGAAGACGGCCGCAAAGTTGGCAGGTGCAAGCAATGCAAGACTCGAGTCTGCGGGATTTGTTCGCAAAAGATGCACGTCTCGCGCGACTGTCCCAAAGATCCCGAGATGAAAGCCTTGGCCCAGGTCGCCAGGGAGAAAGGTTGGCAGCGATGTTACAATTGCTCCGCCATGGTTGAACTCAAAGAAGGCTGCAACCACATGACCTGTCGCTGTACGGCCGAGTTCTGCATGATCTGTGGATTGAAGTGGAAATCGTGCGACTGTCCGTGGTTCAACTACCAGGCCGTCGATGCCCATCTCGGAGGAGATCCTGTACGCTACCAGGAAGAAATGGACAGACGGAGAGACCAAGTCGAACGAGACGAGGCATTGGCTCGGCGCATGCAGCAACTTGGACTAGGGAACGATGCCGAACGGGACGAGTTTGGCAATGCCGCAAATCACCACATGAATGGGAACTTCATACAGCAGGCCAGAGAAGCTCTAACGGCAAACTATGCGCAGGCTGGACAGGCTGCCAGAGACCTGATCAACGGTTTGGTCATGGGTAGAGAGAACAACCGTACGCCAGGGATGCCGTTGCCAATGGAACAGATGCTTGAAATGCTCGGACAGCGTGGAGGAGCCAGGGACCCTGCAGAGGAGGGTCAGGGTGAACATAATGGTCGACGACCTGGACGACGTGGCACTGCCAGGAGAAGGCGCACAGCTCAAGAAGCAGACGGTGGCGAGCAGGACGCGTACAGAGAAGCCGACGAGGAGAGGAGAATTCGAGACTGGGCAAACAGTGTACCTGCATGACATTGCGGTACATGTGGAGAAAACTTGGACTACATACTTGGCTGTGAATGGGACTGGTGATGGAATTTCCCTTGTTGAGATATTTCACTTTGTTCTTGTGTTTTTTTATGACCTCGAGATGGAACGGAACGAATATAACGACGACAGATTTTTTGGAACGAAGCGAAATGGGTTTCCCCTTTTACGGGCTAAGAGATCGATATACCCCTTCAGGATAAAGCCGTGGGCGATTTTGTCCTGATGATGAGGGGAAATTGTATATGACTTGATGATACTAGATAGTTTTATTCGTGTGTCTGATCATTTTTCTGTTTTCATCTTTTTGGGTGTGTCCCTCTCTTCCTCATCGTGCCACTCATTTCAATTCTTCGTGACCTGTTGTTGTTGTCGAACGGCATTGGCGACTTTTTCGTAGCTACTTGATTCTTCATACATATAGATTTCGTCACGCAGAATATGTTGACGTGGGTGATAGGTAACTCTCGAAATTTGAGGTACTTAAAAAGGGTGAGTAATCCCATCTCAAGCCTTTGCGAACAACGACTCCAACTCCTTGACGACCTCGTCCCCGACTTGTTCGGTGGAGCTGGAACCGCCAATGTCTTTGGTGACGACTCCCTTGTCGATGACGAGGCGGACTGCCTGCTCCACCAAAGTACTCTCCTTGGGCATGTTCAGGGAGTAGAGCAGGAGCATGGCGACGCTCAGGATGGCGGCGACGGGGTTGATGACTCCCTGACCCGCGATGTCGGGGGCGGAACCGTGGATGGGTTCGTAGATGCCGTTACACAGGCCCTTGCCGTCGGGCACGCCGCTCAAGCTGGCGCTGGGCAACAGACCCAGACTTCCCGGGATGACCGATGCCTCGTCGGAGATGATGTCTCCGAACAAGTTGGAGGTGACGATGACTCCGTTGAGGGCCCGAGGGTTCTTGACCATGATCATGGCGGCCGAGTCAATCAGTTGGTGTTCGAATTCCAGTTGGGGGAATTCCTTCTGCATGGTCTCGGTGAAGACGCGGCGCCAGAGCCTGCTGGTGGCGAGCACGTTGGCCTTGTCCAGACTCCAGACTTTGCTGGGAGGGGATTTGGCCAGGGCCAGGTAGGCCGCCAGGCGGGTGACTCGCTCAATCTCCCGGCGCGAGTAGGGCTCGCGGTCCTCGGCGAACTCGTCAGGCCCGTCGGCAGGGTTGCCTTCGACCCGGTCGCCAAAGTAGATGCCACCGGTGAGTTCACGGACGATCATGAAGTCTGTGCCTCGACAGACTTCCTCCTTCAGGGGAGAGCGCGAGGCCAGAGAAGGGGAGGCGAAGAAGCACGGCCTGAGGTTGCCAAAGGTACCCATCTCCTTGCGGAGTTTGAGGAGTCCCTGTTCCGGTCGGACCTTGCCAACGCCGTACTTGGGCCCGCCGATGGCTCCCAGGAGGACGGCGTGGGCGGATTTGGCGGCCTCGAGGGCTTCGTCGGTCAACGGTGTGCCATGGGCGTCGATGGAGCACTGTATAATTAAAGAAGAAAAAGGTGTTAGTCATGAGTGGGAGGCGGCGGATGGGCGGTTTGGGTTCTAGTTGTTGAGTGAGGTTCGACTTACGCCTCCGAGTAGATGATCTTGGAAGTTGAACTTGACATCCTTTGAACACTTTTCAATGACTTTGAGGACCTGGTTGTAGAAGGTGTCGTGTCAGCTTTGATCCGTTTTCAAACTGAGACGGTGGTCGATGTTGTGTAACATGTCATCAACCAGCCCGAAGAGACATGTCGCATGGCTGGGCCACTCCCGATTTCTCGAGACGATGGGGGGACTGAGGACAGAGATTCATACCTTGACAGCTTCTTTGGTCACCTAGATCAACGCAAGATGTGATGTTAGACACAGAATTCTTCATCTCAACCTAGCGGCGTATATACAATTCTGGGGTGAGTGGTAAACGAACCTCTGGACCAGCATAGTCACCTGCAAATACCACAATGTTGAAGGTCGGCATCTTTGAGTCTTTATCTCTTTTTATTTTGCTGTTCAGAGATTGCGTCTGTTGATATCTGCCTTGGTCGATCCTCGAAAAGCCGTCCAGGTATGCGATGAGGTAGAATATGTTTATACCTTTGTATCTTCAATGCTCAGTCGTGCGGGTGAGAAACACACGCGGCCTGAGTGGAGGATCAAATTCAGTGACACCGTCGCCGGTATCGGCCGTGTGAATTTAGATAAAAACCCCGGACTTTCTGAGGTCACGATGTCGGTGCGCCAAGCGATACACAATTGTACTCTGTATGGAGAAATCAATCACCACAAGTAACAACTAATTAATTACTGTAGAAGATTCAATTGTTTGTTATATGGTATAATTATATATTATTTGTACCAAGAAGAAGTTGTCTAGTCACTTCTACAACTGCGACATTTCATAAGAACTTCATTATTGCCTATTTATGCGTCGGACTCACTATTTCAACAGGGACCTCCATCCAAGATAAATACTGTAGGCTTGTGAGGCTTACATAATGAACATGGCTACCTCAGGATGATATTTTAGACTCCTTTATTACAACGACAAGCATCAACACGTCCATCTCATTTTGACTATCGCAATCATCGATACGGATACAGGCATCCGAGATAATCAACAGTAACAACCATGTCACCTCTCTAGATCCAATGCAGTCAAGATCAACAATGACGGCAATTCAAACACAGTAGACCTTGTACTCGTACCTGGGTAGGTATCTATGTTCAGGCAGCACCATTTACTGGTCCCTGCATATGAGTACTGAAGTTTGATATCAATCTTCTAACATTCCCCCGTGTCTAACATCCCCCAACTCCTTATAGACTCTTCTATTCCTCCTCTCCTCTTAACAACCAGGTCTTCTTCATTCACCGCGAGAAGACATGATGCATGATCACATATTGTCTAATGGCTCAGATGCTCATTTTGGTCCGGCATATTCTGGCTTGTCTAGAAACTTTGACTTTACTCTCTTGTTCGAGGATACAATTCTCAGCATCGCGCCTGCTACTATCTTCCTAATAGCGGCTGGCACAAGGACCATATGGCTGAATAGAAAGCCTAACAAGGTCTCGCCATCCTTCAGTCGTCTGATGAAACTGGTGAGCTGCTTTCCTGGCCGTTTCACACAGTTCAGTCAACTCACCTCTACAGGTCTTGTTATCAGCGTTTGTCACGAATCAATTGACCGTCCTGTTGGCTCGATCGACAAACTTACAAGTCGCCACGAAAGCCTCAATCGCTGCTGCAGCACTTGATTTTTCAGCCGCCTGCCTTCTCTTCGTGCTCTCGTTATATGAACACTCTCGCTCGGTTACTCCATCTACCATCATCGGGCTATATCTTCTGATATCCCTTTCCTTCGATGCCGTTCGATTACGGACCTTTTTCCTTCTTCGCAGCAATATCGCTCAGGCTCAGGGTATAGCCAACTTGTTGTCTCTTTCGCTTATCATCAAATTCCTGGTCCTTGTCACAGTGGCCGTCGAGAAGCGAAGCATCCTCTTGGAGCCATATCGGGATCTTCCCCCGGAGACCACGAGCGGCATATATAATCGGACCGTCTTCTGGTGGCTCAATCCACTGTTCAGGGTAGGCTTTGGGAAAACTCTGCAAATTGGTGACCTCTATGACCTAGACGAGACACTCTCATCAGCCAATGTCCAGGCTATCTTTAGCCGCAGATGGCTAGCCGCAAATGAGCCTGGACATTTCAGCCTGTTATTTACCATTGCCAGAACCCTCAAATGGCAACTCTTGATATCTGCTCTCCCAAGGCTCTGCCTGAGTGCAGTAATGTTTGCACAACCTTTCTTGATCCAAGACACCATCAACTTCGTCAGAAACAGCCATACTCAAACTGCCTCAGTTGGATGGGGGCTTGCAGGGGCATACTTTCTCATTTATCTTGCCCAGGCATGGTGTAAGGCCGCGTATGGACACTTGCTCAACCGGTGCGTTGTTCAAGTACGTGGTGGCCTCACCTCTCTCCTGTACCAGAAGACTCTCGACTTGAGCATAGCCGTCATTGATCCGTCCGCATCCCTGACCTTGATGTCCTCCGACATTGAGAGAATTGTTGGCCCTCTACAATATCTGCACGATGCTTGGGGTGGTCTTGTCGACCTTGCATTGGGCATGTATCTGCTCTATCGAAATCTCGGGAGTGCCTGCTATGCTCCGGCACTGGTTTATTTAGTCCTTGCCCTGGGCACCACGTGGGTCACGAAAACTATCTCATCGTTTCAGAGAAGGTGGCTTGCTGCTATCGAAGTTCGGGTTTCTTTCACCTCGGCACTGCTCTCCTCGATCCGGAACGTCAAACTTCTGGGCTTGTCAGATGTCATCAAAACTCGGACTCAGGGCCTACGTGAGAGAGAAATTAGAGAGTGCAAGCAATTTCGACTCATCAACAACATTCAGATCGTCATCCAGAACGGCCCATCTGTCTTTGCACCCTTTGCTACCTTCCTCTTATACTACCTCCGAGCAAAGGCGTCTGGGCAACAATTGGACCTGGCAGTTGCCTTCAGTGTCCTCACCATCTTACGTCTTGTGCAAGGTCCTTTGACGTTACTCTACTTCGTGATACCGAAGCTGTCGTCCTCGCTCTCCTGTATTGACAGAATTCAGCAGTACCTACTTTCTGCCTCTCGCTACGACCATCGACTTTTTGTTGATCAGCTCACCAAACCTATCGATGCCCAACATGCCGGGCGCTCAGGTCGGGAATCCATCGAAATGCGGTCACTCCAGACCCGTGCCGGTCAAATATCCGCCGAAGCGTTAGTATTGAAGAACTGTTCCTTCGGATGAACCGAAGACGCTCCTGCCGTTGTGCATGACATTGATCTATCGCTTCCTACAGGGACCGTCACAATGATTATTGGGCCTGTAGGATGCGGGAAAAGCACCCTTTTGAAGGGTATACTTGGGGAAACACCTACAACACAAGGCTTTGTCCACCTTCAAAATCAATCTATCGCTTTTGCAGACCAAACTTCCTGGATTCAAAATACCACTGTAAGGGATGCAATCCGCGGCCCTCATAGAACAGATCTTTCGCCCGAGAGTGACTCTTGGTATCATGAAGTCATCACTTGCTGTGGATTGCTTGAAGATATCAAGTTGTTCATCAATGGCGACAACACCGTGATTGGTTCTAAAGGGATATCCTTGAGCGGTGGACAGAAACAGAGATTAGGGATTGCACGGGCGATATATGCTAAAGCAAGCTTACTCATCCTAGACGATGTATTTTCGAGTCTTGACAACCATACCGAGGAATGGATATTCCGAAGATTGCTTGGTCCTTCAGGGTTGTTGCGGCGGTTGAGATCAACAGTCATACTTGTTACTCATGCTGTTCACCGCTTACCGGCTGCAGACCTCGTCATTTGTCTTGATGATAATGGACGGGTGCGTGAACAAGGTAGCTACGGAGCCCTAGCCAACGGCAATGGCTATGTACGGAGTCTTGAAGCTCACATGAAACAACAACCGGGACCTGCAGATCTCAAAGAGACGCATTCAATCGCGGAAACAGTGAATACTACGTTGGTCCTCGACGCTACCATTTCTATACAAGATCAATCGGAGGATCTTCCAACTTTTGCAAGACGAACTGGAGAGTGGAGCACCTACAAACACTACTTCGGTTCTTGTGGCTATATCTCTAGTCTTCTTTCACTCACGTGGGCCATGGTCTGGGTGTTGGCAGTCAACACACCTGGTATCTTGGTCAAGTATCTTGCCGGCAACAGCGACGGAGAAGGGAATAATAAATCGACACTTTTCATTTGGATATTTGCTGCAACGACGATCAGCGCAGCAGTATCTGTGGCACTGTTTGGATGCCAGGTGTTCCTCGACATGCAGCCAAGGTCGGCCAGCAATCTCCACTGGAATTTGCTGGTGACAGTGCTGAATGCACCACTTGCTTTCTTCACACGGACGGACATGGGCTCTATTATCAATCGCTTCAGTCAGGATATGACTCTTGTGGACAATGATCTGCCATTTGCGTATGCCGACACTATTTTGTCGCTTGCGGGCTGTCTTGTGGGCCTTGGGATTTTGCTCGCGTCGGGCTCTACCTATTTCATTCCGGTGGTGCCGGCCTTACTTGTTGCTCTATACACGCTTCAAAAATACTATCTGAGAACGAGTCGCCAGATACGACTTCTTGATCTGGAGGAGAAGGCCCCACTGTATACCTGGTTCGGTGAAACTTCTTTAGGAGTAGCAACCATACGTGCCTTTTCTTGGAGTGAAAAATTCTTTGACCGAAACTTGGAGCTTCTGGATCGAAGTCAGCGTCCGTTTTATTGCATGTACTGCATCCAAAGATGGCTAGCCCTTGTTCTGGACATGATGGTGGCAGCCATGGTCATTATTCTGATGGCAATTGTGGTGGTGAAAAGACATACTATCCAGCCTGGACTTGTTGGGCTCGGTCTCCTGAGTACGGTCGATCTAGGTGTAAACCTCACCAGCGTTGTCAAGGAGTGGACGGATTTGGAGACGAGTCTTGGTGCTGTTTCTCGCCTGAAGGAGTTTGTCAAAATCACACGCCCGGAACATCAAGCGTGCGAAGTTGATGACGTCGAGGCTGAGTGGCCGCAGAAAGGAAAGATTACTTTCTCTCGGTTCGGTGCCAGCTACTCTGAAGATTCTGGACTTGTCCTCAAAGGTGTCAACCTGCAAATTCGACCAGGCGAGAAGGTTGGTGTGTGTGGAAGATCTGGGAGCGGCAAAAGCTCCCTGCTCTCCAGCCTTTTCCACCTGCTTGAGTTTCGGACGGGTTACATCGAGATCGATGGTGCCGACATAGCTCGAATACCGAGGGAGACTCTCCGCTCGAGGATCAATGTCATCCCTCAGGAACCGTGGTGGATGTCGACCGAAACCGTGAGGTTCAACATGGACCCGTGGACCGCTACCATATCTAAGACTCATTCCGAGACCGAGATTTTTGGTGGCCACGGTCACCATCAACAATCATCAGATGATGCAGCCTTCATCTCGGCTCTCAGACAGTGCCAGATCTGGCACATTATCGAATCTCAAGGAGGTCTCGATGCGACCATGACTCCCAACTTCCTCAGCCACGGTCAGAGGCAGTTGTTTTGTCTCGCTAGAGCGCTGGTCAGACGCTGCAAGATCGTGGTTCTAGACGAAATCAGCGCCCACGTCGATGTCGAGACCGACAGACTCATGCAGAAGCTCATCCACGAACGGTTCCAGGATTGTACTGTCATCACTGTGGCACATCGTCTGAACACCATAGATACTTGTGATCGTATCGTCGTACTAAGTCAAGGACAAGTCGTGGAGGTCGGGAAACCTCAGGAGCTGCTGAGGTCGCAAAACAGCTGGTTAAAGAGTTGTATGAGTCTTGATGGTCAGGGCCTGAGGAACCAGACCAGCGGATAGATGGTATGTACGAATTAAATAGGCATCAAAGGGATAAATTTAGAATCTAGTATGTATTGAGATGCCCTTTAGACCTATCATACATGTCGGGCGACAATGCCTTTCAGGACAAGTGCCAACGAGAGTCAATATATCTAAAGCATAGTATGGCTCCCGCCTGGATGTCTCGGGAGGGCTGTGCCGTGTCCGTCTACTCGAAGAGCAAAGAGCAAAGATCAGGGTGGCCTTTGTTTTCTCCAATGCCCACCCACATACAATTCGTCTAGCGCCATACATCCGTACCGTGCGTCGAGTGAGGGCGACCACTCGGTGGGACGTCTGCATTCTGCCGACATCTCATGCATCGTTAAACTCTCTGGGTCAAATTCAGGGACGCCGTCGTTGTCGACGAGAAGACGTAAAATCGTCGCGTGACTCGTTGAGGTGTGTCTTTCAAGAATGGACGGCGATAAGGACTCTCTCCGTAGATACTGACTTGCCGTTCAAGCTGGTAAATCAGTTCGCATAGTCAACCAGTCTCGGCTCAAGAGACAGGGTTGCCAGGGTGGTGATAATGGTGATGTCGATGGCGATGACAAAAGTACACATATCGGCTGAAAGATACATGGTGCCAGGAGGTGATCCGAAAAAAAAAGCCTCTCGGATGAGGGGAGCGTACAATGAGACGGCCTTTGGAAGAGCGCAACGAGTTCCCCGTCTCGACATGGTCATTGCCAACTTTCAAGGAAATGCGAGCAGAGTGTACTAGTGCCATGTGAAGGGGCAAAGAAAGCAAACGCTGCCTCCTTTTCTGGCAAGTCCTACAGCGCAGCGGTCTGATGGTGGTGGTGGCGGCGGTGGTAGAGACCCGAGGAAAAAGGGAGAAGGTGACCAGTCACTGTCAGTCAGTATGGTCGATATCTTGTATCGGTCGATCCTCCTTTCTTGGATTTGGGAGTCTTGATCGTCGGTGACGACGACGCGGTCTGGGCGGCATCCTTGGGTCTGAATGCCATGATTCTACCATCCTCACCGGCGGTGAAGATGACTCCATTCTGGTAAACGCATGGTCAGCAAAGAAGGGAAGCGCGAATACGAAAAAAGTTGTTTACTGACCGCTTCGTCTGGAAAAATGGAGCGAACAACTTCTTCCCCGTGGGCGTTTTCAAGCACGATCCGCTGGCTAGGGTCGAGTGGTCTACCTCGTTGGAGTTTGACAAGGTCCACACGAGATTTACTGCATGATACCGGCGAGTTAGTAAATTGTGGTAGCTTTGAGATAGGTCACCTGCACGAGGACAACGACGACGAAGAAGAAGAAGAAGACGAATTACTCACCTATGCGAACCGCAGGCGACCACGTAATCTGGACCGGTGGGAAAGACATCAATCACATATTCGCAGGGGACGGCAGGCCGCAAGTCGCCAAATTGGTCTGGAGACGGCTCGATCGTCGGATCTGTTTCTTCCTCCTCCAAGGTCAAGGAATGGAGGGCGAGGTTCTGGTCCGAACTCAGGGCGTAGAGATCCGAACCTCCCAAAAAGCCTGCTTTGTGAATGGGCCCGTGGTTGACTGCCTGCAGGAGACTGTCCTCTTCTTCCACGATTTGGGTGTCGAAGAGACTGACCAAGCCATCGTCTCCGCCGGCAAGCAACACACTGTCTCTTGTGGGATGGAAATCGAGCGCCGTTATCTCGTCATTCAATTCGGTGTTTTGCCAACGCATTCGCATCTGTCTCCGGTCCCTGCGGTCGTAGATCTCAGCTGGTCGTATCCACAATTGAACCAAGAGAACATCCGGGTGCTAAAGCGATCCGACGAAAGGGGGTACGTGTACACCTACCATACCGACACAATTGCATCACTACCCACCGCCACGTCGTTTTCTCTGCATGCTACTGCATGAGCTGGTTTGCCTAGAACGAAGGAGAAATTCGAATCAGCAAGAGAGAAAAGGTGTGGGCACATGAAAGAGCGCATTGTCACTGACCGGTCTCAAAGTGTCCGACCGTGGTCTGGGTACGAGTATCTACGAGGACAACATTGCCGTCACGCCCGGCACAAACGGCAATCCTTCCTGCGTCCGAAGAGACCAGCGACGTGAGACCGCGCGGGACACCCTGCACCGTGGACACAGGAGAAGTGTTCAGGGTACCCCTGTCCTGCAGGATGAGCAGCTCGTCTGCCGAAGTGATGGCCGCCATCGCTTGATCAGCGAGTGGTGTAATTGAGAAAACGTAGACATCTTTTTGTCCCGACGGGGCGCGGCTCGCTAACCCCTCGCAGATTTGTATCATGTCGAATGATGTTTCCGACTGTGACAGAATGAGGAACTTCCCTGTCGTTGGTACAGTCTACGGTGTGCGTCGACCTTCTGCGTGTCACTATGATGAAAAATCTTGGGTGGTGGTTGATTCCAGGTTTGGCCTAGTTCGGTCTAGTCACTAGCCTAGCAGGATGTTTAACCAATAAACGCCCCCTTTACCCCCTACGCTTCCAATGGACTTTTCTATTCCATGAATTCACATCAAGCCGGTATCTCTCTCTACAGAGTCAAACTACGGTTGGAAAGACGTAGGTCGATCAAGGCAACATTTTTCCTCAACCGACAGGAACAGATGAGGTGGAATGGTCCAAACAGTGAGCAATACACATCCCAGCGCCTTCACGGTTCGAAAAGACGGCGAGTCCGGATGTACATGAAATTACGCTTCGTCAAACCCTGGTCCGAGTCTTGCTGTAGATAACAGTACACGATCGAACCCAATCCCTACTGGTCAATGGGGGCAGAGAAGCAATCCAAGACATGTGATGCTTCAAGCAGCTGCAGTAGACATTGTCCTGCTGATTCCACCGAGCCAGACCAAGTCACATCAATGACCACGTCCACCAGCATGTGAAAGTTATCGAGAAAGACCGAAGCCATCTCGTTTGACCTTCGTATTCGAGTACTTTGAGGTGAAGATCTGACCCTGTCTAGGGCAGTGTATTCCCTTGATCTTGCAAGCATTGCTGAAGCCGGGGCCAGTTCACTTACCAATTCAAAGGACTCGCCAAGAGAGATGTCAACATGGATCATGCTTGCAGCGTAGAGTGTGTAAAGCATGGTTCATTGGTCCTGAGGCATGTCAGACGCTACCAACGTGCTTTGCCGTTGGGTACCATTCTGTCGGGTCGGACTGAGACAGTCAAAATAGCCGCTCCATTTCCTTCTGGTGATGGCCAGACGAACTAGATATGCAGAGGACTTAGGGTGTACACCAGTCCTGCTTCGTTCGCCTGCGTCCGATATTTCAATGGTTGACGTGGACATTGACAGGGGTGTACCCAAAGCTTCATCCAGGCTGTATGGATCCACAAGGACAGACTTTGCAGCCTTGCCTACCGACTTCATTTCTAGTAAGAAAGTGGTACGAAAGCGAATCAACGAGAGATCGTCATTCGAGTAGCCAGACTCCAGCTGTGCGGTTTGGCGAATTGTAGGAAGAGCGGCAGCTCTTGAGGCGAAATGTAACAGTGGCCGTCCATGAAGTCTCTGGCGTTCCCAGGATGCGTGTCTCTGCACGAGAAGGGATCGACGGCATAGCACCAGTCTGAGCCCAAAGGTCGACTGACACCAGCAAATGGCCGTCTGCAACCGTCTGAAAGAGGCATCGACCTCGGGAGTAGTTCAGGGTGGTTGACAGCGATGACGAGGCAGCTAGAAGCTGATGAATTGTCTCATAGCAAATATTCGATTGCGCCCAGTGAGCGTCCTCGAAGAGGACGAGCGACGGGGTTGGTTGATGCCTAATAACAAGGCGGGAAGAGCGAGAGGAAATGCAGCCTGGTGGCTCATGGTAGCAACAGAGGCACCTAAGTTTAGTGTCAATGAATTGACAATCGTCCTCATTAGGGCACGAGTCTGCGCCTAGACTGCTTGGAGAATCCCAAAATATGCACCTACTAGGGACCCCTGATGATTGACCATCGCCTATTCCCGGGCGCCTCCCCTCCAATTTCTACCCACACCGTCCAATCCGATCTACCTCGTCGTCCCAACGCAGTGGTTCGACCGCTCTTTCTGCAATCACAATCATCCTTGCAAGGAACACGCAAGCTAAGCGAATGTGACAGGATGGAATGGCGATGAGCAGATCTACGACGTCCAAGCAACCCTCCCTCGAGCGATTCAGCCAGCCCATCATGCCCTATCCCACCTCCTCCTCGCTGACCGTGAAGCCACCGGCTCACACCACAGGAAAGGAAGAAAAGAAAGTGGGACACTATAGAAGAGATGGTTCTTCCACCCTCGAGCTGTGAGGTCTGAGCGGACGATTGCTCCCGAGATATCTGGATACACGAAAAGTAATTAAGCGAGACCACGGCCTCCATTCAAGCCCACTACTCACCTCACTCCGTAACGATCTCTTGAATTATATATTTGTTTCTGAATGTCGCTAACAAGAGACTGATCCTACTTACTATTGAGCCAGTCGTTTGAAACAGACTTACCTTGGGTTCTTTTCTGGACGACATCTGTCTCTCTACACCACCACCATACTGTACGGCCCTGACCCAGACTTAGTCATACACCAAATCACCATTAGGACAGCATTGGGTACTCGCGAGCGTTTCCATAGCTTCGTTCCAAGTACTTCAAGTCCCGACATCTTGGATCACAGCTTCTCGAAAACACTGTACCGGTACGGGGAATCATCGAAGGATTATTACAGGACAACATCTGCAGTCTCACCAAGATCGTTTGAGATTCCTCCAGCAAGTTGGGTTTTATATCATCTCCACCAAGCCACTTTGACTCGCCCTAATCGCAGTCCAACATCGATAGACTGTGCACCGCTAGGACTATACTGGAGGACTATTGTCTACTCCATTCAGCTCCATCCAGGATCCACCATCGGTATTCCTCCGCTGTCCACTACGCCGAACAAAGCTTGCCGCTTTTCCTATTGGGTCCTGGGGCGAAGCTCTGGATTCTTTCACAGTTTGCAGACCACTAACCCTTCTTCTACCCAGCCTCTCAAGACTTGGACTCTGCCGGCTCAGAGGGAACCATTCACTATATATATCACTTATCAGGCTTGGCGGGCATTGCGGCGGCGTTTCCCTGATCGACAAAGGCTCTCTTCTAGCCGGCACTTCGGCAGCTAACGTTGCGCTTGGTCTGAACTAAGAACCGATTCGCCTCTCGAACTTTTTTTTTACGAGAGGATCGATTCGTTACATCTGTGGCTGTTTCTTGCCAACCTGTCGCCCTCGTGCGGCTCAGTCCAGGGTTTCAGGAGATCATCGTCAACTTCTATCCCATTGATTAGACCGTCTGATCGACCCATCCGTGCCCGGAAGTGCGAAGAGGGAATGGCGGCGGGCTTCTTGGCCAATATGCCTGGCAGGCAGGCAGTCCAGGAGTACGGTAGACTCTATGGGACCTTTAGAAGGTAAGTTCATGAAGCCCACGTGGTAATATTTCGTGCATGGTGCTGATGTACGACCCTAGAGGTCAATATATGCTCCCTCATGACCGCATGGAAGCCGACAGGCTCGATACCATGGAAGAGATGATTTCCCAGTGCAGACCCCCGGGCGACTCGAGGTTCACGTCTGTCAACCTTGAGCCCATGAGAAAGGGTGCACAGCCGCTTGAGGAAAGAGTACGCATCCTTGACCTCGGCTGTGGGTCGGGGATATGGATGAACAAAATGGCAAGGTACCTACCCAATGCTGAAATCGTCGGTCTCGATCTTCATTACCAGGCGGCCGACTTTGTACCGCCCAACGTTTCCATCAGAGCCCCGTGGGATTATGAAGCCCCGTGGGCGCTGGGGGAAGAGTCATGGGACATGATCCATCTTCAAATGGGCCAAGGCAGTGTAGCCGACTGGATCGGTCTGTACCAGAAGGTCATTCGCCATCTCGTCCCGGGCACGGGCGTCTTTGAGCAGGTCGAGATCGACTTTGAACCCCGATGCGACGATGGCTCGCTGCCGCCGGACGCGAGACTGGTGGACTGGTGGCACCGATATCTCAAAGGATCCTACGATATCATCGGTCGACGAATCACGTACGAACCCAATACCGGAGAGATGCTCAAAGCCGTCGGCTTCAGGGCAGAAGACATCAACCACGAAGTGTACCGTATCCCTCTGAGGCCGACGGACCCGGATTCTTCGCGCGTAGGCGCCCTTTGGCAGATTTCCATGGCGTCTGGAGATGACGCCGCCCTCCACTGTGGCCTGGAAGCTATGAGCCTCAGACCCTTGTGTAGTCTGAACGGCTGGCCTGCCGAGCATGTGAAACGCTTGTGTCAGGAAGCAAGTCAAGACGCCGCGCATCCGGCCGTGAATGCTTACAATAATCTTCACATCTGGACAGCACGGGCTCCTCCCAAGTCATGAGTCCACAATCATTGGGAGCGATTCACCAAATTGGAGGCTTGGATGTTGAGAAATAAAGTCTCGCATTCTGACTGAAAACGACTGGATATTTGGGCAAGGTCACCATGGCACCGCGGTAGTCCCACGCAACATGCAAAGCAGCGCCGGGCTCGGCTTGCGGAGCGTTGAGAATTGGAAGGGGCAACTTGCCTTGCGTTTATCCAAAGTCATTACAGGTTGGATGGGAATTTCTCTTATGATGTCCTTTTCCTATCTCCCAAAAGCTGTCCGTGTCCAGGTTTTGGGTCGATTTGTTGAAAAAGGCTGGGGAATACATTGCACGAGAAGACAGAAGAACGAGGACGAGGACGATGACAACGACGATGATCGATGATGATGAAACGTAGGATTTCTTTTGGGCATTTTTGGAACTCTAGTTGGTGCCGGAGCCAAGTACACACAACACACACTCCTTTATGCAGCACCAACTCAGGGCCAGTTCCTTTTCTTTTGTCTTCCTCATAAATCTAGCCGATTCTGACATACGCAATTCATTTCGCTTTCAATCTCAACTTTGTGTGTGACTAGGAAACTGATCCAGTTGCTGTGCTTCATGGCTCGTGCGTGTGTCTATGTGCGGAAGAGATCTCATATCAGGTTGCCTAACGAAACCCTTCTTGAGATGAGACAAGTCACCCTCCTCGCACCCACACAACGTCATGCGAGGACCCCGGCATACCGTTCTCCGTAAACTACCACAGCCCACCCCACGACGCTCCCAACAAACACCCAAATCACACTCACAATCGCATTTGCAAGGTCAGGTGCATCTATGCAAACGTGCTCGGTCGGTTGGGGACGAACAGCTTCTTGGAGGCGGTGCTGCGGTGAGGGAGAGGGAATTTGAGGTTCTTGGAGATCAGTTGCTTGATGTATGGTCGCTTGACGTCGTTGGGGTTGGTGACTTCGACAACCTTGAGGATCTGTTTTGGCAGTTTCGTTAGTACATCATGTCTCTCCAGCCAAGCGCATTCCCAATAACCTCATTTTGTCTTCTCTGTGAAGGGAGGGGTTGCGCCAAAAAAAAACATAAGGAGAAAACGTACGTGAATGGACCTAAAACGGGCACGATGTCTGGCCGCCATATCCTGGTAGAGGGCTTCGACGGCGTCGGTGCGGCTCATCTCACGGTACTCCTTGTACATGTTGTGAGTGCCGGAGCGGGAATCGTATCGGATCCAGATGCCAAAGTTCTTGACCTTGAGGGGGCGCTTCTCGTGGATGACGTTCAGCGAGACGATTTCGCCGTTGGACTTCTTGACCTTTCGCAGCTTCATGAGGAAGTACCAGAAGCGGGACTTGGCGACCACGGTGTTGGGAGCGAAGATTCGCATGCGGTACAGCTTCGGGGTCGGGTTGGCATCCGTGGGCAGGTGGCGCCCGATGACCTGGTATTCTTGAAGACGACCTGAGAAGAAGAGAAGATTCCTTGTCAGTATCTTTCGACATTTTTTCTTGGGTCAAATTGAACGTTTCTTGGAGAGTCCGTGAAAATGCGAGGGCCGCGAAAGAAACAAAATTTTATGCGGATGGTCAAAGGTTTCCCAATGCCTTCGAGACAACATCGAACGTAGCAAGACCAGTGATGTGACTTCCTCTTGACGATTGACTGCATGTGGAACGGGCAATCCAACACCTTCTCATTCCAAAACGTGCTGTCGACTCTTGCTCTCGGCTCTTGCTCTGTTTGTTCGCGGGTTCTCGCAAAGGGAATATTTCGCTCGTGGTCGCGGGAGAGACTCGTGAAAGTAGAAATGATGCAAGGTTGACTTACCCATCTATAAAATGTTAGCATCTGAATCTACTCAGTGGTAGGATCAAACATACCTTGACTGTTTCTGATCGGCCTCAAGTTGTTGTCGTTGTCGATGTGGAATTGCTGCGATAATCAAAAACTTGACCCGGTCGATGAAAGTGCAATTGATGCCAAGGCTGAGATTTGTGCGCAGCCAGACGTCTTGGCAAGAAATTGGTGGTGCCGACATCTGATTGGTCAGTGGGTTTCTCCCATTCTCATTTGTCTGTGAGAGGACCCCCAACGTCAACAACAACTGGAAACGTCGTAGGGTTAGGTAGGAAAGCAAACACTGTTTCCAAGGCTGATTGGAACATCAGTGTCTGTCAAGATGGGGAGTGTCTTTGCAGACTTCCACAATGCCCAAAGGGTAGGAGATGGAAGGCTGCTGGCCGCTTGCTTGGCCCCCATCGACACCGACCATGACCCTCGACGGTTGCAGTCATTCGCGCAACTATCGAACTACCAGACCATCTCTGCGGATGTGCGTTATCACCTCGTGCAAGATCGCAACGCCGTCAAACTCCCCAAGGCGGAAGCCAACGCATGGGTGGACATATTCGTCGCACTATGGAAGTGTGTCAGGGAACTCGTCACCATCCGGGCGGCCAGCGGCACCGGCACCGGCACAGGAGGAGACTGGACCAAAGTTTTCGATTCCTACAAGGAAATGTGCAACCACCTCGTACGAGGCTACACCAACTTTGGGTTCCAATCCTGGACGATCCCGTGTCTCTACACTGCGGGCAAATACTTACGGATGATCGCCCTGAAAGCCGACAGCCAGGACAAACCCAAAGACTCTGCTGCAGCAGACGACGCCTTCGGCAACGGCCTTTCCGACGACATCATGGGTGACACCGACAAGAACAAGACTCTCGAACAGGCGGCCTGGACCATCAACCGCATGTTCACCGTCTGTCTCAGTGACCGGGCCGAACTGGCCGAGTCCCGCAAATGGGGCATCTACAGCACGACGAACCTCCTCTTCAAGACCTACTTCAAACTCAACTCCATCTCCCTGACACGCAACGTGATCCGAGCCCTCGAGGCGGCACAGTCGGACCTACCTCCGCTCGAACTGTTCCCGAAATCCCACCGCTGTACGTTCAAGTACTACCGCGGGGTGATCGACTTCTTGCAGGAAAACTACACCGAGGCCGAAGCCAACCTCACCGAGGCGCTCAACCTGTGCCACAAAGACTCGCTACGGAATCGTGAACAAATCTTGACCTATCTCATCCCCGCACACATCGTCAACACCCACCGATTGCCCACCGCCAAACTTCTCGCTCCACACCCAAAGTTATCCTCAATGTTCACGCCGTTGTTCAGTGCCATCCGAAAGGGATCCTTGTCGCAGTTCGACGATGCTCTGTCTAATGCCGAGCCAGAGTTGGTCAAGCGCCGAGTATACCTGACGCTCGAACGCACGCGAGACATTTGCCTCCGCAACCTGTTCCGCAAGGTCTTTCTGGCCGCGGGCTACGAAGAGCCCAAGGACGGCGACGCTAACCCACCAGCAGCAGAAGGAGGAGAAGCACCCAAGATCCGTCGCACGAGGATCCGAGTCGAAGAATTCGAAGCCGGCATGCGCGTTGGCTACAAGGGTGCCACGGACGTCATGATTGACCGAGACGAGGTTGAATGCTTTCTAGCAAACATGATTTACAAGGTACGTCTACGCCTCTTTCCTTTTCTTCTGCCTCTCGCGTCTTTCCTCCCCCCTCCCTTTGCAAGTGAATCGTATCTACGATCTGCGGTGTTGTATTTGAGTGCTGCCTGCCACCCCTGTGGTGCCGATCTTCCTTCGGTGGCACACTGGTGCCTAGATATTGTGGTGCCTGGCGCGGGTTGGTGCAGTTATCGGGACTTCCCACCAACCCTCACCACCTTCCGCATTACATTCACATTTTCACATATGTGTACTAGCAATCAGAAAATTGGAGAATGCGGCTGACGTGAACATTTTCAAATCTGCCTGCAGAACTTGATGAAAGGCTACATCGCCAGAGACAGAGGGATTGTTGTACTCAGTAAGGCCGGAGCATTCCCTGGCACAGGCGTTTGAGTGGTGCCACGTCGCACATGTCAATTTCCGACTCCAATTCGTCAAGATTAGGTATTTCAGAGCAAGAGGGCTCAATGCAACCCACCGAATTTTCCGGGGGGTTCACAGCTCGAATCTAAATTCCAACCAAGAAAACCGGCACCAATCATTCGACCACTGAGTTGTTCGTTGACCGCCATCCTATCACACAAAGTCAGTGGGATTCCACCATTCGAGCACAGCAAAGGGAAGAATATGAACGCCTCTCAGGGGGCTCGGTTACTGCAAGTGCAAAGCATATTTCAACGGCATGTTGGTCCCGTCTGTACCGGCGGCTACAAAGTCAGAAACATTCGCCACAACCTATCACAAACCCTGTGGTTGAGAAACGATTGGCTAGGACTCAGCCTCAAGCACCGACGCTAGTTCCCTCGCCCTCGAAAACCTAAGTGAACCATTCAGCCATGGTTTGCAAGGTGCAAGTGGATGAGGAATCTGTTTCTATCCTACCGAGTATGTCTTGTGTGGTTCTTGATGTGAACACTTTACCCTATCCTGCCGAGGTGTCTTTTTTATTTGGCCCCCCAAAATCCAGTTTGCCATGTCTCGACGCCCATCGGGCTTATCTCTGACCCTGAGCGTGGACTGATCCTGGAAACTCTCAATCGCAGTTCCCGTGTCGCGGGCGCCCACCTTCACATCACGAGGTGTAGTGGTCATCATGATGATGCGAGCTGTGCTTGGTTTCCCACCTTTACAGCACGGTGTGTGCCGATGGCTGTGGTGACGATGATGATGATGAGAGCCTGTACTTTGTGTCGGACCTTGTCCGACCCTTTTTTGGTGACTCATCTGCCACTTGAACTATCACAGAAGTATCCAGGGTCCGAGCTTTTTCTCACGCCAGGCATCCCCGTCGGAAATATGTCGCTCGAGACTAATCAAGAAAGAACGGGATGTGGCGTACGGGGTACACACATGACAAGATGCCTTCGGATATACTCCGTACACCTTGTAGCATCTTTGAAGATTAAAAAGGCAAGCGAGTTTTGCCTCTCCCTAGCGAAAAGGTGTTCTTGAGGAGAAAAAGGTAGCCGGTTGCCTTGCACAGCGATGAAACCACCCGGGCTTTCACATTGCATGACGAGTCGAATGTCAGCTCAATTTCATAACTAGGATGAAGGTTTCTTCGAAGCAGGGACGAACGAGTAGCTCAAGAAGATGTATCCCCCATAAGATAATATTGTCTCATTCCTTCCTCCCTTCCTAAACGATAGTGACATCTGCGTTGAGCAGCTAGCCAGGCAAGGTACACATGAGATTCCCCAAGAGATATATTTTTCTAGGTAGCCGTTTCCACCACCGTTCCGTGTCTAGCGGGACGGGCCACATGTTCAGTCATACATTCTCGTCTTTTGTGGCAGCGGATCCCGGCCCAAAGCATCAAGATTTTTTGATCTTCGTAGAATAGTAGTACAGATAGGAGCAAGAGATAAAAAGCACCACTAACTCCAGCATCCAACATTTGATCAACCCGAGATTGCCTGGCATTCTGATAGTTGGGATAGTACAGTATGGCATTCCTTGAGCCTAGCGAGTGAATGGAGATGTGAAGGGGGACCGCATGGTTTTGAGGTCATCCTGTTCGAACATCAGTGAGGTGTCGGGAAAGACTGGGGTTGAGTAAACCTACCATATGGTTACACATGGCGACAAAAAGATCAAAGAACAAAGCTGTGCCGCCCTGTTCCATTTCTAACTTCATGTGGCCGCTTTTCTTGAAGTCCTGCCGACTACGAATGATGAGTGTGAGGTACTGAGCTCGAAGTTTCGAGTCGGAGTCTGGTGTATGATTATATGCAAACCGTGCAGAGGCGAGGATAGTGGATATCGCCACACCCGAGCGGAAGCCTTGCTTACGAAGAGCAAGACGCTTCAGATCGTCAAGTCCGTAGTGTTGGGCTGAACAGCTAGTACCATCGTCAGCATTGCAATCATCATTCATAGAAGTCTCGTTGCAAACACATACTAGATGACTGTGTCCTTCATCAGAGTCTGCTTGGCAGCATGATGGTCGATCGTGGCGTTGGCTCCATCTTCCAGTTCCCATGTGTCTCGTCTCTTGTTGTGAAGCAGTTTTGGGTAATAGTCCCCTTTGTAGAGATACTCCAAGACCGCCGACAGAATCTCGGGTTGTTCCTCCGGTAGATTTATTCTTCTGGAATGGTTCTCGAAGAACTGGCCCTTCAGTAGGGACTCGAAAAAGGGTGAACGGCAGAGGACTTCTTCGTGACCAGCAAATAGTCTTTGGTCAGGACCAACGCAGATGGTAATGATCGCAGAAGTGAGTGTACTTCCGAATAACATTAGCATGGGATATTATGGAGTGTATGTCTGGAATACCAACCTGCCTGCCGTTTGAGATGCGCTGCTGGCATGTTCTCTTCTCGAGGACTTGACAGACTCCGACCTCTGTATCCCTCTTGCAATGGACTGCTCTCGAAAAGAGCTTGGACCCTTCTGCTTGGTGTATTTGCTGGTTCCATATCTGGACGAGAAATTGTTCGAACTTGGCTGTCTTCTGCTGCTGCTGAACATGTTGACGTCCTAGGTCCGCTGTAGTGTGATCGCTCCCATATATGCTCAGAAGGAGCGACGAAGAATAAATTTTTGATATCAGGTCAGTTCAAAGACATGCGTAGTCTAGTCAAAACGAGGAAAATTCAAACTCGGAAACGAGCAGTGGGAGCTGGAGAAAAAGAATGCGGATGCACGCAGAGTTGCCTGGCATTGATGGGATCGATCAAAGCAAGGCAGCACAAAGCTGAGGAAAGACATCGGTACAAGTACAGCGCAGGCAAGCTCCTTTTGACAATTCCGGAATTGGAGGCCTACCTGGTGGGAGAGAGGCACAAGATGCTGGTGCTTATCACTGGAGGTTGTGCTTCATTTGGCAAGGTATTTAGGTGTCGGGGAAACTAACGCCTTCATCCGCGTCGCGCTGAGACACGATAGTGGCGCGTAGGCACATGACCGATGCAACCACTTTAGGAGCTACTCCGTACCCTCCTACTATTGCCAGGGTCATCGTCTGCCGTCCCTCGACATTGGCTAGCCCTTGGATGAGTCAATTCTCAATGTGACTTGGGAGTCCGTCCAAGTTCAAACTCCTTCATCCCGGAAACCTGGAGGCTCAAACATGGGTGTGTAGCTGTCGCTAACCGAAGCAAAATGCCATCCACTTTTTCGCCACCTAAGCTGAGCTGCCTGGGACACATATGTGTGTAGGGCAAGAGTCAGAGTCCCATGTACCTTACAGCACACTTTGCCGAAGACGTGCTGGACCAATTTGCTGGACCAATGTGTATGTCTAGTGGGTGTTGCAAAACTAGGCTACTAGATGTGTCGTACACGGCTAGGATCCCACAAAAGGCATCCTGGCATGACGGTTGCCCTGGTATAGCTTCGAAGAAGAGGGTGTGAAGCACGGCCCAGGATCAGTGGATATGGAGACTTGAAGTATGCAGCTTGTTGGATTCTCCTACAATATGCCAGTCTAGCATTTGCACCTGCATTAACGAGGCATAGAATGTCCTAGCGTAGACGCCATGCTTTGACAGGAAGAAAAATTGTGATTGTGATTGTACTCCAGTCCCTGTGCTAGTTACTGTCTGTGTTCAACTATATACCGAACCAATGGTCATGGTGAATCTATGATACCCGATTCGCATACCCCCATACTCCATCCTCCTGACGCCGTAAACAAGATAAATGTTCCTAAACAAGGGCTGGCTTGTGTCCGGCTCCTTACAAGAATACTCTGCGTGCCTCCTTAGGATGACTCTCTATTGGACAATAAGGGCATTTGAGCTTGATACCCTTGCTCAGCTTCTGTAGAGACTCCTTTGCGATAACGTGGCAGCAAGGCAGCATCATCGGCGGATTCTGATCAGTTGTTTGCTCTTTGGATACAGGACAAACGAATATCGAATGGAATTGATAAGAGGGTGGCAGTGGAGTCTCGACTGGTAATTCGTTCTGCGAAGTCCATTCCGTCCGTTTCTGCTTTTGTATCGTTTGCAGCTTCATTAAAGTTGGGAGAGCGATAGCTCCTGCTGTTGCCGCGACGTAGAGCGGCGAGTCTGCTGAGAGTTCTAAAAGGGAGCAGAATTCTCGTGTGAAGGAAGTGGCAACTTCGTCCCAAGCTGTCGAGTTATCAAATCTGAGTTGGTAGGGGGATTCCTCAAGGTTTGAGTAGAAAGGTATGGCGCCCATCAACTGTTGAATTTCCACAAGGTAGCGACCACGGAATGACTGAAATTCGGTTTGAGCATACTGCAGAGCACGCATTGGTCCAGCGATTCCGTGCGGATCTTCGTCCTGCCGTTCTAGGAAGAGACTGACAAAGTACAACCTGCAGAGTTCAAACTCTAGATTGCTTCCTCGTGCTTCAAGCAGTGCAGCATTCGATCGTGCCCATTGAATAGCCGGGTGCAAATTGTGGTGCTCCTTCAACTCTTTGACAATATGGTACATGTTGGAGAACTGCTCCTGCATATTCTCTTCCGAGCTCTTGTCAAGGCCAAGGGGATGTTCCATAGACACATCCAAGCCCAGGTTGGCTGCAGCTTCCTGCTGCTCGAGTGCTTCGGCATGGAGAGTTGAGGCCACGTCGAAAAGTCCCTCGCGGAGTAGGTGTAGATATATGGATCGTTTAATCAATGTGGGATGGGACGAGAGGGCATCAATGTCGCTGCTGGGCACTTTTTCCTTGAACACCTTATCCAAAGCACGAGTATACTTGTTGTGGAGTCCATGTGTATCCTTTAAACCGGTGAATATGCTATCGAAGGAGGCCTTGACCGGGTTCTGCAGTTTCGCGAGGGTGATCTGTCTTGCATTGGGGTCTTCGGCGATGGCGTCACGCGCTCTCTGAAGTTGTTGGATGATGTCGTCGACATTTTGTAGGGTCTTTGACTGCTGGCTATTGTTCCGAATCTTATCGTGCTCTTTCTGAATAGCGTCCATGGTGGACAACGGATTCAGAGGTTATCAATTGCGCATTGGATTCGCTAATTTCATGGTCAGCGAGGCGCCGTTACAAGTCTGTTAGGCATCAATCCAACGACCTGGAAGAAGATGGAGTATCTTGTGCCGTACCACGTGGGCAAGCAGACAGAAGGTCATGAATGATGGTGGTGTCTAAGAGGCGAGGATGAGTACGAGTAGACTGATGAGTACGAGTAAATGGATCGACACGTGAGGACCTGCGCTTAGCCTGAGACCGCCGAAACTCCCCCGCAAAATCTAGGCAATGACGACGTCGTCAGTAACTTGGGTAACACGAGAACCTCACAAAACATTGACCACCGGTTCAACCAGCCATCACACAGCCATAGACCATGGCTCATACGCATGGATGCATCTTTGTTACTTTTCTACTTGATGCCACCCTTATAGAACCATGAGCGGCCTAAATTTTACCAACCCGAGTTTTTTAACTCCTTACCATAGCCTTCACTCGTACATGGGCTCGCCACAAGACAAGCCCTCCAGATCGAGTCCTAAGGCTGACACAGATACATCGGTACAGGATGGACAGGTCCTTTCCAGCCCAACGTCTATCGCTTCTCGACAGAGTCGTCCAGGTCAAAGCCGGAAGAAGCGAATGGTCTTTTCGGATCCCATTGCCTTCCGCTACTTGGAAGAGGATCCTGCGACTGATGCTATCGAGCGCTGGAGGCGACTTGAAGGCTACGAACTATACATCGTAGAACAATGGGTGTGCTCGAGAACGCACCCGACTTTCGTGATCTGCACCTACACCGGCGACACGTCGCACTCTATCCTGGTCAACGTTCTGGCAGTACCTAGCGACGAAAGTACCTGGTCACCTCGACTACAAGTCTACTTCCAAGCAGTAACTCAATCTTATGCCAAAGAAAAAGACACGCCCTTAGGGACTCTCATGGTTACGAATTTAAGCAGCTTTCCGGCGACCTTGACGGTAATTCCTATTCCAGATGGCGATGTCAGGAAACACAAGGACGACTTCATTGTCAACGAAAACCTCAAGCGCATGGGCTGCTCAGGAAGAGCCGGTATCAACCTTCAGCCCCCTCAACCTAGTACTATTGCCAAATTTCACCACCTGTATCGAACCAGCGAAAGCGTACCGCTGTATCAATCTGTCATGGAATTGGTCCGCGTCTGTCAAATTGCGCTGGTCATGTACGACAAATTACAGCCCGCGTATGCTGATGGGCTACTGTGCGATGTTACTGAGAAAGCAGTCAATGATTGGTGGACTGATATTGGCACTTATTTCTACAATGTCGGACCCAATGATGGCGTCCTTGGTCCAAGCAGTGTGGCAGCTCTTCTTGGTCTTCTCATCGGCGCGTATAATCGTCTGAAAGCTTTTGGATCCACAGTCGGCAAAGACGTTCTCGATATCTACCAGATGAAACGTGCCATAGGACATTTTCAAAAAAGTCATAAAATGGAGAAGACACGACGTTTAGACCGCGAGACTCTGGATCGACTACACCGAGCGACAGCGAAGAATGCTGCCGGCGAAGGCTGGACCGTTCCAAAGGCCGTCAAATCAACTGTGGCTGAGCTGAGTGGCAAAGGTGGCGAGATGGTCATGGGCATTGTGGGAGCTCGTGAGAAGGTTGGTATCTCCGAAGCAGAAACCCTTGACATTGAGCGCTTTGCCCAAGTCGTCACTGGTCCAAAGTTGAAGTGGCTATGGCAGGGCAAACCAATAAAGTCTGGAGACTTTGTGGCTGCTGTTGACTCACTGAACGGCCGAGTATTCAAGACCGATGATCAGGGCAACTTTCTTTGGACTGGGGAACACCAGGATGCTGTATTTGAAGGGGCGACTCTTGAGAGGATCGATACCGGCCTCACAAACCAGACATCTGATGGTCGATCAAATCGCAACCGCATAAGGGATGCCGTGGGCGGGCTGAAGACCCATCGCTCTCAGTATTCAAAGGACGGCGAAGATGTCCAAGACTGGGCTGATGCTGGCTACGCCAGATCATCCCGTCATTTTCATCGCGATTACAACGGACGGCCTGTATTGAGCTCAAGGCCAACCGGGCCACCAGCGTTCGATATGGCACTACTTGAAGCTGGAACAACATCACCCAAGGATATGCGTGGGCAGCCTCTACAAGGCATGGATGCTACTCAAGAGAAACAGATCCCGTCTCACCGGCAACAACTAAGACAAGCCCTGCCAGGAGATTCTCCAAGAAGGAAGAAAGTCAATGCTGAACTCGCTGAGCTACGCAACGAGTTCCAATCTGACATATACAGAAACTTCTCAGCCGAGATGCCGTACAGGGGCATACATAGTCGAGTGTTGCGAGGGTCGGCAAGCGCTGTCGCACTGACCAGCAGACTTGACGTTGACAGCCCTCGCACTAACAGGCTCAATCGGCGCTTATCGTTCAGCATGCTGGAGAATGCCGTCCTGAGAATGCCAGTAAATGTGGCTGAGGAGGGTATTGTCAAGGGTCAAATCGAAGGCGATCTCACCAATGCTCTTGCTGAGCGCGATTCACTGGTGGCAGCTGCACAAAAGAAGGCACGACGAATACAAACCATTCAGCAAGCACTTATACCGTATACAGAGAGTAGAGTGGCCCATGTGGAAGCACTTGACCACGCTGCCCATCAGAATCTAGAACACCTACACGAGCTGTACTACCATCGCCTAGATGAGTACCAGACCTTGCAAGCGACATCTTCCGACCTTGTGTCTCATGAAAAGGCAGGATTGACTGAGAGTCTTAGGAGGATTGAAATGTTAGGTGCCAAGATGGACTATGAGCTCGACTCGTTGCAATCTAGGTTACAGGAGGTTGAAGATGGTGTGAACGACTTTGAGCGAAACGTTCTTGCCATCGAAGAGAAAGTGAAGCAATTGATTGGCGAGGAGAACCAAGCTTCAGTCCCATGGCTACAACGCATGTTCAACTTCATGGGCTCACGGAAAGTATCCAAATCTAGTTGACTGACATGGTGGTTTGAATGAATTTAGCGAGGCGTTGGGAGGTTACAAAGGTCGGAACCATAAAGAATACGACATAATATTGATTCTCTTCATTCCACCAGATTGGAGATCTTGTCTGAGATGGACTCGTGCATCACGCGCACCTGGAATCCAAGTTTGCGTGCTCCGTAGCAGTATGTCCCTTGATTCAAGCCCGGCTGTCACCAGCTTCACGCCATCAAAGTGTAGAATAATTGTACAGATTTCGAAGCTTGATATCATTAGACTGCCCTCCCTGCTTGGATTCTCACAAGATTATGTTTCGTGTGTCCAAGCTATCCCATCCGGGTCCATAACCATGGCCGAAGCTGAGGTGTATTGTACAAAGCCATCGTGCTGATTCTACATTCCAAACATGCCACCGGCGCCGGCACCTCCACCTCTTTGAGCGGCTTCTCCTTGCATCTTCTCGGAGACTTTGATGTTGACCTCGAAGAATTTGGCGACACACCGATCGAGGCAGACGCTCTCGCCCTTGTTGAGTTCGGCTTCGCGGTAGTCGGCGGGGACACATTTTGCCAGACATGACTTTGTCAATCTGAGGGACACAAGTTGGTCAGCACGATACGAATGTAGTTTGTGGAGATCTTGATATCCTGTCCGTCAAAACCGCCACAGGCCTCTTCTACATACCTTTTGTACATGTCTGAGACCAACTCGACTTCTTGCTCGGCCGCCGCAATCTTTTCTGCGGAGCTTGGCTGTGGTCGCCCACCGCCGAAAAGGAAAGACATGTTGCTTCTTTCTTATGAGGTTTTCGGTGCTAGAGGGGGACTCGAGAGTAGCGGAAACGTGTGTGCGGTGTTCGTAAAGCAAGAGGTTGTGATGTTGAGACTGAAATTATGGACGCAGTGCATTCTCTCTCCATGATTTACATGGAACTCGGCGCCAAATTCTACCGAAGCTTAAGCGACAATCAATCCGTGAAATTTCTCCAAACGAGACATTTCACCAAAACACCACCAAAACTCACTCACCCTTCGACACGCTTGGTCATGTTGCTACATTGATGTCCAGCAGATCAACATGGCAGATATGGCAGACGTCCTCCCGCCTGTCGGCTACGGCAAGGTAAGTTCTAGTTCTCTACCGTCCAACAAAGCCTCCCCCCCTCCCCCAGATGAAGAGAAAACCGAGAAGAACCGCTGCGAGTGACGCTCGCTTCGGCGTGCAATGATCACTACACCTCCAGTAAATGTCTGATGCTACAAGCACATTTTGCCTCCATATGCCTTCTGTGATGTGCTCCGAATCTGACAACATCCTGCGCCTAGATCTCCGCTTCGCCGAGCCGGTAGTATAGTCAAGCTCAGGCACTGCCAACTGCCAGTGCCCACGGCACAATGGCTTCCCAAAGCCCGCTTCAGTACTGCGGATTCCAAACCCACCAACCGTGGAACTTCAGAGCAGGACTCGGCGTATTCAAGCAAGGAGGTGGAAGAGCGGATGCGAGAGTTGGGCCCCAGCGGTACCAATCTCTACCCAAGATGTACCATCAAGCAAAAGGAACGGGACATCAAAACACTCGTGAGCGAGTTCGAGGATGATGAGGGTGCCAGCACCCCTGAAAGTTCTCCGGCCGCAGACGTACAAGGTACAGCTTGTGTGTCCGTCAGGAATACCGTCTGCTGACCGCCACAGTCTCGGGCAGAATAGCGTCCATCCGTTTATCTGGATCGAAGCTCGTCTTTCTCGACCTTGTAAAGGACCAGTCCAAAATACAAGTTACCATATCCCAGGCCTCCCTCGCCTCCCGCGTCGACCTTGACGCCTTCAAACGTCAAACTCGCTTGATCCGCCGCGGCGACTATATTTCCATTCAAGGCAGCCCACCGTTTCGGTCAAAGAATGGTCAAATCACGATCAAAGCCTCGAGCCTCCCTGTGCTCTTGTCTCCCTGTCTGAATCGGTTTCCAGTCGAACAACCAGGGTTTGCCACGAGTGAAATGTCGGAGTCGAACTTTACACCACGCCACGTTGAAATGCTCACAGATCCCAATGTGATTTCGACGTTGAAAGCGCGATCGTCCCTGATACGTACTATGCGCTCCTTCTTCGAACAGCTATCTTTCGTCGAAGTCAGCACCCCTATCCTCTCCGCTTCCGCTGGCGGTGCGACGGCGAAACCGTTCGAAACCGGTTCCACGCATTTCGACAGGAAACTCGCTCTCCGCATCGCACCAGAATTGTATCTCAAGCGTCTCATAGTCGGCGGCATGACGCGTATCTTCGAGGTCGGACCCTCTTTCCGCAATGAAGGCGTCGACAAGACGCACAATCCCGAATTCTACACGTGCGAATTCTACGCCGTCGACCACGAGCTCACCCAACTGATAAAGTACACGCACCAGTTGCTCAAAGTCATTGCAATCGCGATGCAAGCGCTACCGATGGTGGCACCGAGCACGGAACAATCGCGCTTACTGATCAAACAAGTCAGTGAGAGTGAGTCCTTTGCCGAATTCGACTTCATGTCCACCCTCAACTCTGCATTAGGCAGCGACCTACCGAACCTCTCGTCTCCTGGTGCGCAAAAGGCTTTGATCGAAATATTCGAGACCAGGTCCCTGTCTACTCCTTCGAACCCGACCGTCCCGAGACTCGTCGACAAACTGGCATCGGTTTACATCGAGCCCAAGTCCCTCGACCGGCCCATATGGATCACGAACATCCCGGAATGCTTGTCGCCGCTCGCCAAGTCGTACGTCCATCCGTCGGTCCCCAACTCCCAACGCGTCGCGGCACGCGCAGAACTCTTTATCCAAGGCAAGGAGGTGGTCAACTGCTACGAGGAGGAAAACTCTCCCTTCGAGCAGCGCCGAAAGTTCACCGACCAACAGCGCCTGGCCCGGCAGGATGAACGGCGGCAGCAGCAAAACGGCATCGTCGTCGTCGACGAGGAAGCCATGACCGTGGACGAAGATTACATCCGGGCCCTCGAATGGGGCCTCCCGCCCACGGGCGGCTGGGGCTGCGGGATCGACAGGCTCGTCATGCTGTTCACGGGTCGGGAGAGGATAGGCGACGTGATGACCTTTGGCAATCTGAGGGCCGTGACGAGAGGCGCCGAGAAGAAGGACTCGTGAACTGTTTGTACAAGTAGAAAGCAAACTTGGCACTGTTTATATACGCAGGCCAAACCGCCCTGTTCTTCCCTTCTAGTCTCATGGGGGCCGAGAGAGCACTCTCCCGAGGCACATCTTCGATACTCGTAAGGCACTCATGTCACTCCGTAAATAGCCCTGCGACCTTGATTGTTTGGCCCGAATTAGATCATAGACGAACAGAATTGCATTGCTGTTGAGCTCTCGCTAGCACCATCATTGATCAGCAGTGCGGCACTGCACTGCACTGTACTGTACACGATAGCACTCCATGTTGAAAAGTCCATTTCCTCGTATTCCAGCACCTTGCCAGTGTCATTACTCTATACATATCCGGCACACTTCACCAAAGCAGCCACTGCTCGAAAACCTTGCATCGCATATTCCATCCGCTCAGCGCTCTACCAAAAGTCACCAGCTCTGATTTCTTCAACGACATTGTTCGACCTAGCACTGCTCATCACGTGTTTCGTTTGCTCGGTGTCGTTTACCCCTTCCCTCGTCTTTGATAGCTCTAAAACGTCCCTGGTTTCAGCTTCCGACAACAGCATCTGTCTTCACCTTCTCTTCGTGCTTTCTCAGAACAAGATGCCAGCTCCAGTCAACTCAAAATGTCGCGTCGATGAAACATCCTCTCCTTCGCCCATAAGGATGGCTTTTCTCGGCCTATTTATTTGCGTTTTTGTCGAGGGCCTCGGCGAGATCCTGAGGAAGCTCCCAATTCATCTCCTGCCTTCCGCTTCTTCTTCTGCGGTGGTTCAAAAGGAGGCATAACTTCCCTTAGCGGACCTTGACCCTCCCTCATCCTGGTCATTACAAACTTGTAGATCTGCCTCTCCTTCTTGAGGAGCTCATACTTCTTGACCTCATAGAGACCATCGTAGCGAAAGCCTTTCAGCGGCCTCAAGGAGTTGACTCTGGGTAGCATCCACGAGCGGAATAATCTGACTGGCTTTCCATTTCGATAACTTGTCATTAGACACTCTGTGGCATTTGTTGGACCATCACCAGCAGTGTTTTTGGTCTTGCGAGATGAACGATGCTTGGATAAGTCTTTGATGTTGGTGGGTTCCACATCATCAATCTTTCTTTTCAGCGCAGTTCCGATGTACTCAATTGTTTCACCAAAGTCTCGATCTGCGTAACCTTCCTTTGTGGTTTCGATATAGAATCCCATGACAATACTGCGGGCTCCGTCCTTTACTGTTCCGCAAATGCCCGCTTGTAGGGCCGAATGAGCACCATCTCGCACCATGGCCGCTCGAGAGATCCAAGTCTGACCATTAACGAGATGGCCATGACCATAGAAATTGGCTGATCGCGCGTAGGGCCATTTAGGATCGACTGCAGAGGGCCCACCTCCCGCGGAACGGATCAGGCCTCTACGAGGGAGTACACTGAGGTCGCCGCGATCCCATTTACAATGGAGATAAGTGAGATCTTCGATGATATCGAAAGGGACCTTTTTCGCTTGTCGCATGGCCGCGTTATGCGCACCAAGGAAGCCCTTCAAGCGTTGCATGATGCCGCCTTCATCTAGGACTTCCTTGGAGATGGAATTGTGCAACATTTTCCGATTCCAGTCTCGAATCTTGTCGAAAACATATTGAATACTCATCTGGAGCCTAGGTCTGATCTCAACTTGATCCAAAAGTCTGATTATGACAATGGCTTCATCTAGTGTAACGAATGCTTCATTGGCTGGGTCTCGATCCAGAGGTAGCCTGTGCTCTATGTATCAGTGACAATGAAACTGATAGACCATTCCTAGTAGAGTTGGAACTTACACAGGGGGCTTTTCTTTTGCGCGGGTCTCCCATTTCTTCCATTCTAATACCAAATGCCGACAGTCGATTAGTGCGTCATCTTTGGCAGCGCACTTGTCAGAAATTGGACAAACACACACAGGTTCAGGTCGGCCAGCCAGGGCACGTGGGCTCGGCGATCGAGGAGGTGTCGACTGCGATTGGGAGTCAACGGCTCCAGTGGCATGGCCAGTATCACCAGAAACTCTGGTTGGTGAGCCTTCTTCAAGAATGAGCGATGTTTGGGTGCTTGTCTCACTGATAGACACACTTTCATCTTGGTTGGTGTTGTTAGATCCCTCTCTTTTGGGGGTGGTCTCAGCAATATTCGGCTCTAGCTGCTGGTCTGCGAGAAGGGAGCAAGGTCTACCTTCTCCACTTTCGGATTCTGGATTGACTGGCACAGATGCTGCAGCAGTCTCCATTTGAGTGGTCTGGCATGAGAGCTCCTGATTTCTCGTAGTGGGCCCTGTTTCTAGCTCTTCCCGCCCTGGGGTTGGAGGCTGGTGAGGCCTATTTCGATGACGGTCAGACCCTCGTGTGTTTCCATTGAGAGCAGCTTCGTGCGAATATCGTGGTCGATAAATGTCGTGATGCCGACGAGGTTGAGGTCTTGCAGGGACCCAGCCTATATTTGGTACCCAAGAGTATCGCGGCCGAGAGTCGACGTAATGTTGAGGGAATGGCATTGTTTCTTCAAATGGATGTCCTTCCTGTAAGAAAATGGTTCAAACCGCTTGGTAGTCAAGTCAGACTTGAAGAAAAGATGGCCATGCAAGGTTGAAGGTATGGATGAAGAATGAGTAGGGAGGCTCTCTTTAACGAAAGTAGTGTCCTCAAACACGGAGCATGAGAAGAGAAGAGAGCGATTGTTGACGAAATTAAAGACGCAGGAGAGATATACAGGATCGAAGAGCGGGTGTGAAAGAAGAGACCCCCAGTAATGCTGATGATCACATGCCAAGGGAGGTCAACAAATTGAATGAGAGCCTTCGAAGATGAAAGTGAGGTGAGGAGACCATGCAAATGAAATGATAGATGACAGGATAAGCAACCCACAGGATTGAGGATACCGCTGAAGCTGAATCCTCAGCATTTGCGTACACAATCACCTCAGTTTGAGGGTCGTGTGCAATCATCAGGGAGGCCCGAGTCTCGACCCGTCAGATGGGTGTATGGAATTGAGGTCTTATACAGACCGGCTCTGCCCTTGCTCTCTTGTAAAAGAGTCGATGGTATGATCACATGTCAAGATACCAGTGCCATCTGCCATGCCTAGCCGACAGTGAAGTCGTCCAGATAGGGGTTCCATGGTCAAGGGATATTGAAGCACCTCCCGACTACCAGTTTATGACAAATTAGAGTCATGGTTCATTAGAGGGAATGCAATATGATATTCAATATCAAGGCGGCAGTCACCTATGCCCATACTCAGTGACAGAGCATGACGATGCCTAACAGTCTGAGAGACATCACAATCAAGGGGTACGTGTCTGCTTCGAAAGGGCATTTTGGCGTCGCGGAGAGCGCCCAAGTCAAATTGTGTCCGCGGTAACCTACCTCGTACTGCTAAAATGGAATCTCTCGGTGTTGTTGATCCTGTAGACGATTCATATCGCTTGACAGGCATTCGAGTTCCCAGTAGGAAGTTATCGAGTTGCAGTGAGGTGCAGAGAAAGCCATCTGGACAATGATAACATAGGTCTCTCAGGATGGGCCATGACTCCTAGGTGCCTGTAGCCTTGTGAGATATGTCACAAGGACGGGCCGAGCAGAGAAGCTGAGGGGCAGGGATCCTGTCCCATATGCTGAAATGTCCTGTGCTATGCGGTGCTGTTTGTCTGCGTCGTGCACTTTGGACGTTTGATTGTTACCACTGGGCCGACGTACGTATTGCCACCAACCCTGCTGTTTCTTGCTCGGCAACAACATCCACATTCTCTTAGCAGCAAGTGTCCAGGTACCAAGAGTTGCCAGGCCCATCCATTATTGTGAGTCAAGTGGCACAAGCCTTTTGTAATGCGAGGGGAGTGGGGGATTTTTGGCCTGATCAGGCTTCAATGGCCCGCTAGCATCATCCTTGTGACAAAAGATCGAGGGCTCGCCAGGCCAGTCAGAGAGCGTTGTGCCTGTGATTTGATGAGATTGAACGAATAGGCAGAAGGACAGAAGCTGCGCCATGACACGGGTAGAACTGGGACGACCTAGACAAGTAGATCACCCTGCAGGGTTCAATCAGAATGCACGAGAATATCGCGGGGAGCGAGAGACAGCGACAGGGAGAGGAGGAGGAGGTGATGGAGAATGATGGTGAGTGGTACAGGGAAAAAGGCACGGGAACGAAGGGACGAAGCGGTGAAGCAAACTACACCAACTTCTGCCGCGTGCCTGCGCGCACTTGCCCCCTTCAGCACATGGTCTTTGTTATTTACTGTACTGTCCACTCATTACTATATCCCACCCAGGCCTCCCCCATGGCCTGCCTGCTTGTGCCTGTGTCTATGCCTGCATCTGCTGCATCATCACCATCATCATCCTCTTCTTCCCCCTCTCTACCGGTCTCTTGACTGGAGCCAGTGACCTCAGCTGCCTGGTTCGCTTGCGTTTGACCTTGTTCTTTGCCCATACTAAGTACTACTGCTCTCTTGTTGAGAATTAGCCGCCTCCTCTACTTTACACCGACCGACTTTCTACCTCCGAATATCTGAGCTCTGACTATGAAAGCGAGCGCATACACTTTTGCCCGAGCGATTAATGCTGTAACATCCTACAGCATTGGCAGCAGTGTAGGCTCTTGACTGCTCAATGGACGCCTCTCAGGCCGCCGACCATGGCTACTGGGGTTACTTGATCAAACCCGACAAGAGCGCATCACCGCAGCTCGAACAATTATGCTTGGGCCTGGCCAAAGTCATTGTAAGTGCGCACTGTCGTAGGCTCGGGCCCTTCCAGTGAGATTGACGTTGGCAGCCCACTCTTGAGCCTGGACCAAACGACGAACTCACCCCTCAACGCCTCGCCGCCTTCTACCGAGCAGTCGACGGGAACTACGACTCGCTCTTCCTTCGCACCACCGAAGGAGGCCTCTCTTTCATGTACCAGACCCTGGGGTGCTTTCACAGCCTCCAACCCACAGCCAGCCCTTTCGATCAACCGAGGGTTCCCTGCCTAACACCTCACGGCTTTGCCCGGTGGCAGACAATCCAAATACTGCTCTGTCCTGAGGAAAATGTTGGTTTCATGCAAAAGGCGGTGCAGAAATGGAATGTCCCAATGCCCAATGGTGGGACTTTTCCCAAATATATCCCACAGAGCTCGTTTCCAGCCAAACCCGACGAAGAAATGGAAAGATGGCACAAGATGGTCACCGGGCAATTAAACCAGAAGAATTACATGCATCGCTTGAAGAATTCACCGCACCAATCTCCCCATATCGAGCCAACTGACCGTCGCGACGGCTATTTTGCAGGAGCTTCGCTCAGAAGACCCACGAGACACTCGAGGAGTAGTTCGAGAGACGATTCAGACCGCCGAGCTGCTTCATATCACCGACGAAGTAGTGTACCTGACTTCCCGTCTCCACCACAAGATAGAGGAATACGTTTTGAAACCAGGCCCACCACTGGAGGACACCAAACACGGAGCCATTCTGCACAAAGACCTCCTCATCCTCCTTCTCGTCAAAGATCCCACACCGCATCTGGGAATTCAAGTAGCCCACCCAACAAGAACAGCCCTGCGAAAAGCCGACGCACTATTGACCCCAATGATCCCGCTGCTAGACGTTCGTCTGCACATGCATCGTTTCAATATCGCTCTCCTGCTCGGACTCCTTCTACTGTCGATGAAGATACGGGCAGCGAAGCAAGCTCCGAAACTTCTCATGTCGGCCGACGTCATCGCAGATCGGACGAAGATCGAAAGACTCGACCTTCTTCATTGTGGGTTCCCTCGTTCATGAGGTCGCACAAACGGCGTCATTCGTCTGATGCAAGTTACCGTGCGAATGCTGTCAAAGACTCGGCCCAACGATCAGATCATCGTCAACCACAGGCCATCAAGGCTCCCCCGCCAGCAGCTTACCGTGGTGGTGCTCCTCAGTGGCGTGACACAGACTGGGGGAGCGATGCAGCTACAGCCACTCCACCACAAACATATGCCCAGCTAGATCCCCGAGGCCCAGCCATTCGTTACCCCGATCAAGCTTCTTTTGAGCCATTGACTCGAGAAAGCAGTAGCGGGAGTGGAACCGATCAAAGATATCGATCGTCGGACTGGGAGAGAGGTGGTGCACATAGACGGGGAGGTGCACCTCTTAGAGTCGGTACCCTCACGGGCGTACAAGGGAGAAGATACCCAACATCGGATCCGATGAGTCCAATCGATCGCCAGAGAAGCCATGCTCCTCCTTCCCGAGGTGGCGTCGCTGCTCTGGGGTAGATTTGAGGAGGGAAGGTTACGATTCAGTCAGGGGTGGCCAAACCCCCACAAAATACGCAATTACTTGCTTGCTTGAAACTTGGTACCTGATCTCAGAACAGGTATGAACCTAGTACAGAGTACGCTAAGAGGTATATGAACACTACTCGATAAGTTCACGAACTGCAAAGAAAGAAAGGAAAAGGAATGATTTGACGTGATGAGACGAAATGAAATTATGAGGTTTTGAAGACAGGTCAGCATAGAAGCTCAGGCTTATTTGGCGTTCAATCTTTGTTCTATCTTTGTTCTGTTTGATCTCTACTTTTAGTTTTTTTGGCGGACGCGTGAGGTATATACAGTGAGTCAGTCTATAGCAGTATAGCAGGGTATGAATATACTTGTCCGATGTCTTGATTCTTGTCAATATGCGTCTGGATCCTGTTTTGGAATGATTGACGTAGAGGGGAGAAGGAAGGTTCTCAGCCTCGTTGATATCTGGGGTAGACCGAAAAATATATAATATTTTACAATTTCGCTCCACATTGTAAAGTGTACGTGCCTACGGAGTACTGTGTACCTAGAGATAGATATGTGCCAACATCATCAGATTATATATATCGACAGATCATATCAAATCAGACGTCACACGTCATTCACGCTATACTGCGTATGGTAAACTACTTGTATGAGAAAAGTCGTGGACATTCCAACCATCATACTTCCTGGGTCATATTCAAATCACCATCGTCCCCCGTCCATCTCTTTACTGTCTGTCCAAAGAATTAAACGTCTTTGGCTTTGGTTTTGTTTCTTGGGGGGGGGTTTTTTTTGGAATCAAAACACATAGGCCGATTGACCCAACCCTACCTCGGTCGCGGGTTCGGCCTTGCAGACCACCCCGTCGGCCTCGACGGTGTACCTCTCGGGGTCGACCTTCATTTTCGGGAGGGTGTCGTTGTACTTCATGTCCCTCTTGCCGACGTTCCTGCAACCCTTGACGGGTTCGACGCGCTTCGTCAAGCCATAACCACCGACGACGCCCGAATCGATGCTCCTCTGGCTGACGAAGGTTATGCTGGTTTGGGGGACGAGCGGAGCGAACATCGGTCTGCTCCAGATCGGTTCGACGGTCGGGATGCTGGCGTTGGCGTCGCCCATCATGGCCTGGGCGATCATGCCGCTCTTGAGGACCAACTGGGGCTTGGTGCCGAACGTCGAGGGCCTCCAGAGGACCAGGTCCGCGACCTTGCCGACCTCGACGCTGCCGATGAGGTGACCCATGCCCTGGGCGACGGCGGGGTTGACCGTGTACTTGCTCACGTACCGTTTGACCCGGAAGTTGTCGGCCCCCGTCCCCTCGTCCTCCGGCAGGGGACCCCTCTGTCGCTTGTTCTTGTGGGCGGTGTTCCAGGTCCTCATGATCACCTCGCCGCACCGGCCCATGGCCTGGGAGTCGCTGGACATCATGCTGATGGCGCCCAGGTCGTGCAGGACGTCCTCGGCCGCGATGGTCTCGGCCCGGATGCGGGACTCGGCGAAGGCCACGTCCTCGGGGATGTTCTTGGACAGGTGGTGGCAGACCATCAGCATGTCGAGGTGTTCGTCCAGGGTGTCCCGCGTGTAAGGGCGGGTCGGGTTGGTCGACGAGGGCAGCACGTTCTCGTGCTCGACCACCTTGATGATGTCCGGGGCGTGACCCCCGCCCGCACCCTCGGTGTGGTACGTGTGGATGGTCCGGCCCTTGAACGCCGCGATCGAGGACTCGACGAACCCGGACTCGTTGAGGGTGTCGGTGTGGATCAGGCACTGGACGTCGTACTCGTCGCACACGCTCAGGCACGTGTCGATGGCGGCCGGGGTCGTGCCCCAATCCTCGTGCAGCTTCAACCCGCACGCCCCGGCCTCGCAGGACTCGCGGAGTGCCACGGGCGAACTGTCGTTCCCCTTGCCCGTGATGCCGTAGTTCACGGGGAGGCTGTCGATCGCCTGGAGCATCTGCTTCATCAGAGTCTTGCCGGGCGTGCACGTCGTCGCGTTCGTCCCCGACGATGGCCCCGTGCCCCCTCCCAGGAAGGTGGTCACGCCGCTCGCGATGGCCTCGTACGCCTGCTGCGGACAGATCAGGTGAATGTGCGAGTCGAAACCGCCGGCAGTCACGATCAGGCCTTCTCCGGCGACGACGTCGGTACCGTTCCCGACGATGAGGTCCTTGTGCACGCCCGCCATGACGTCGGGATTTCCTGCTTTGCCGATACCCTTGATCACGCCGTGCTTGATGCCGATGTCCGCCTTGTAGATGCCCGTCCAGTCGATGATGAGGGCGTTCGTGATGACGGTGTCGAGAACCTCCTCGTCGCGTCGATCGCTAGCTTGACCCATACCCTCGCGGAGGGTCTTGCCGCCGCCGAATTTGCATTCGTCGCCGTAGCTGGTCATGTCTTTCTCGACACGCACCCACAGATCCGTAGTGCCCAGGCGAACGAGATCCCCGGTAGTAGGGCCGAACATGCCGGCATAGTCCGCTCTCGTCATCGACGCAGCGTCAATGTACGCCATGTCGCCAGCTGGTTCGGGCGTGTGGGCGAAACCCGCCGCTTGAAGTTTCGTGAGGATGTCGTCGACACGGGAGAGGTCCACCACACCCGTGGCCAAGTTGTTGCCACCGCGGATGACCTTGTTACCGGATAACTCGACGAGGGTGACTGTTTTGGTGTCTCCGGGCTCGAATCTGACGGACGTGCCGGCCGGGATGTCAAGATGGTAACCGTACGCCCTTGCGCGATCGAAATCAAGAGCCGGGTTCGTCTCGATGAAATGATAATGCGACCCAATCTGGTGAGTAGGTTGTCAACAGCCCTGTTGGTCAGACACAAAAGGACGCACGGTAACTAACCTGGATAGGTCTGTCACCTTTGCTGGTGACCTTGAGTTTGATCCTCTTCCGGCCTTCGCTGAGAACGATCCTTCCTTCCTTGACGGGGACAACCGCGCCAGGCATCTTCTCGTCCTCATACTCGCTCGCATCCGCGAGGGGAAAAGCATTCTTGGACGGCACGGGGAGAAAACTCCCGTACAGGGCCTTTGCGAGATCACCGTCGTCTGAGCTGATGGGGTGGTCCACGGTCACAAGATAAGTGCCCGTCTTGAAAGTGCCCTCGATTTGGACCGTGTGCAAAGTCGAACCCACTGCCGGCAGGACGTGACGCCGACCCAGCAATTGCTTTCCGATGGCCATGAGATCCGCACAGGTATGGTTGCCATCTCGGACGAGCTGTTTCAAGTGCCTGTCAGGTGTTGTTCCAAATTAGGACCTATAGCAAGTGGAAACCAACCTCGTGCAAGACGCTCGCGATGAGAGCCTATTGGACCATATCAGCTGTAAACATCTTTGTGTCCGACCGGGTACGTCTTCTCGTACACAAGCTTCACCGTGATTCAACTTTACGCCTCTGGCAAGACGTCTTTGTGCTAAGAAGCCCAGCTGGGCCGTAAGCAGCTTATCGATCTAGCGAACATATGAGTTATGCACATCATCGGCCCACATCCGGGCTTTCCAGGCAATTTTTCTTACCTCCTTGGGAACAAGCTGCATGATGTGCTGAACCCTTGAGGGTACGGCCTATACAGGATATAGATTTTGAGGTCATGAAAGTAAGACATGGAGGATATTGGAATGGGCAGTCTGCGGCTTGATGTACTTGAAGGTGATTTTACGAGAAGCAGCAGATTGTGGTTTGGAGTGGCCTATCATGGACGAGCGGGAGTGCGGGGCAGATCAACGGGTAGAGATAAGCATACAATACGAGTAACTATCTACTAAAACTACTAGGTAAGCCATCATAAGCAGCATGGATCGAGTTTAGCGAAGCCTTGCAGGACGTGGAGATGATTAATTCCTGAGGACATTGTTTGTATTGCAGTCAGTAAACTAAACTGGAACACCAGAGGTAGAAAAGACAGAGAAAAAAAAAGTACACAAAACATATACTGGCATTGCTCATTTCACCACACAACATCAGCAATTGGTTTATCCCATGAGACGCCTAGTCATTATCAACATGAAAAGTAGACATGCTAACTTCCATGTCCACCATGGATGATATCTTCAAACCCCAAAACCAAAGCCAGAAACCCGCATGAATCATGTCAACTGTCCACGACGACAAAAACCCCGTAGCCTTAATTTTACACCCTTCATTTCTTGCCCTTGCGAGATTTCTCAGTCTTAGTGGTCGATGCAGGGGCCGATGGAAGAGCATCCTTCTTGCCCTTCTTCGACTTCTTCTCCGGGGATTTGGCCGCCTCAGCCTTGGGTGTTGGCTTGCTGGGAGTGGCATCCTTGGTCTTGCGGCGCTTGGAAGACTTGGGGGGCGAGGGTTCCTTAACGGGCACGGGAGAGTCGTCTTCGGACGCCGCCGCAGCCTCTTCCTCTTCAGTCTCGGCCTCGGCGTCCATACCTGCAATATGGTCTGGTGCCTTGCCCATCTCAACAAGACGAGAAGCTTCATCGTCACTTGGGACCGGTTGACCGGCCTTGTAAGCAGCCATCTTGACACGGTAAGCAGCCAGGTTCTTCTGGTACTTGTCATCCCAAACCTACATGATGTTAGTGGAGTCACAGAGCAGCAAGAGGCGGTAGACTTACGCTCTTCTCTGCGGGCTTCATCTCAGTCCATCTGCGAGTACCCTCATCGGCAACCTCTTTTGGCTTGGCCTGATCACCCAGTTCCTTGGCGATTTGAGCACGAGCACTCTGCATGTAGAGGAAGTATGGGGTGAGAGCACGCTTTGGTGCATTGGGGTCATGAGGAGTTCGCTTGCGCTTCTTCTTTCCGTCGGTTTCGACTTCAGGGACCGCGGCAGGAGGAGCATCAGCCGGTCGACCAGCCAAAAGACCGGACTCGGTCAAGATGCTGGTAAGGTTGGCATCGATGGGGTTGAGACCGTGCTTTCCAGGAGTGAGGACCGTGTTCGCATGCTGAATGTAAGCACGGGAGAGATCCTGGACCGAGGATTGCAAGGTAGCAAGGGCCACGATGACCTGGTTGTAAGAGTGAGCAAGTGCTTTTGGTCTATGCTGAACATGGGCGATAGATTGTGCGAGTGAGTCCAAATCAGTAGTAAGAGTATGAATGGCAAACAAGGTAGCCCTATTGACTGTTCCGAGAAACTCCCAGTCTTCGCGAGCGACGTGCGCAGGCAGCTTGATGGAGGGCATAACGGGCATAGATGCATGCGGAACAATTGTATACAAATAGTGGCGACGCGGGTAACTGAGGGGAAGATTTGTTGTTTACTCTTGGGGCGGCGAGGTCGTAGCGGGGTTGTGAATTGGGGGTGTGCGTGATAGGAACGCGTGAATGAAGGGAGTGGTGGTGGTGGCGGCAGAAGTATAGCACTGTGGGCTCTTGATAGAGAACTGAAGACTTACCGAATCGCGGGTCCGCTGGAAGTCAGCAATGTTCACCTGCGTGGTGGCAGATTCGGGGTCGAGGGATTTTTTGGCCATGGCGACGAGTTGGGTGTTTTTGTTGTCGAGGTTGTGGTGATGACTTGGTGAAAGATAGAGGCGTCGTTATGGGTAGGCAGATCTAGGAGGCTTAACTAAAAGAAGCCTGGACGGCGGCGCGATGGGAGAAGGCGTGGTGGGAGAAGTTTTTTGGCGGCGGGAAGTAGAAAAGAGAAAGAAGAAAAATTGGGGGATCACGACGGACGGATGGGGAGGGCCCTCCTAATAAGTGCGCGACCGAGCGAAAATTGGCACCTGGGATCAACCTCGAGCTTCGAGGCACAAAAATTGATCAGAGAGGCAGCTTCCGGGCCCTGGAACCTGCCTCTTCGCTGCACCTGCAGCTAAGCTCCACCCGGCACTGCCACTAGCACCGACTCCCAACTGTTAATTGGACCCAGCCCGCTCGACTCGCGGTGCAGCTCCTGCTGCAGCTGTGCAAATAGTTAACCCGGTCACTCACTCTAGTGAGGTCTGGTAAGCTAGGGTGTGTGCCCAGTTAAGCATCCTCCCTCCCTACTCCGTAGGCCACCGGCTATTCACCCATTAATCCGTCCCAAACGGGCCTGTTGATTGTTCGCTCTGGGTTAAACCCGCCCGGAAGTTTTGGTGGTGGTCGCGGGGACACCTCCATTTCATAACAAAGACGGATATGCAGCGCGACTCAATAGGTAAGGGACACACCTGCCTCGAATTTCTCACTACTCTCTCTCCCCTCTTAGAAGGTATGGTGGTCTTGTTGTGATGTCTGCTTTCGACATGTACTGTAGAAATCTTGGGTCTTCCCTTGTGTTGAGACAGGTCAACTCTTTAAAATTCTGATACTCTATTGCTCTTGTACTGTAGCGTTTGCAGTCCGGAAACGAAGATTGTAATAGCTGGCATACCAGTGAGTACAGGCGTGTCGCCGAGAGTTTGATCAAGCCTCACCTAATTTCAAACATTGGAGAGCCGCAGGAACGCCTCTCGATGGCAGTTGCGCCCAATAGTGAAACACTTTGACAGGGTCCCCTTTGAAGATACGGATAGGTAAGAAATTGGCAATTGTGGCCAGGCTCACTAATTTGTTTACTGACCCTCGTAACAAGTACTACCTTGCCCGCCTTAGGCTACTAATTTAGGGCCCCAACGAGCCTAGCCATCACACCACCAGTAAAACCCCGATCGACCGATCAGAATGAAATACTGTACATCTGCCCCCACGAAACCCCTCCCTGCTACAGAGTAAGCGCTTCTGGGCGCCTGCATGCCCATAATCCCCGAAGTCTGACACTCGTCGCAGTCCAAAATTTTGGTGGTCAGGCTGAGAGCTGGGCATGCCCATGACACCGCGCGTCTGTCTGTCACTGCCTTATTTTTTAGGCCACTCTTGGGCTGGTGGACTGCACCACTAAGCACCTCGGCACACTCTTTGTTAGGGTGCTGCTGGGCTCTTCAGGGATTACTGCTCAATCACAGCGGTCTGGTTTGTTGAAACTGGCTTGCGGGATTCTTTCCGCCTATCATGCCCGGGACCTCTTACCTGACTAGAGCAATCTCATCCATTATTGTGTTCCTGTTCCAGCGCACTATGGCCGAGCCCTCCGTAGGGAGGCCGCCCCCTCAATTGATAGATTCATCATGAAGCCCATCGTCTGCCAGGGCTGGTGAGTCCTTTAGTTGTCCCCAAGGTTATTGAATGTGAAAGCTCTAACCCCCCACTCTTTCCTTCCAGCAGAGGCCTGGTCTTGTCTGGGTAGGTCCCCTAGACCCATGGTTCCCTTTTCTCTTCGACTTTCCTGAGGGCGCCGTGATGCCGCTACTGCTCAGAACTCTGTCTCTACCTAGATAGGCTTGCTAGAAACCCTTTATTTGGTGCTTGTCCGGAGCACCTATTCAAACTACCCTGGTACAAATAGGTACCTGAGGGGTAATTTAGAAGGCCTTCTCCTTCTCATCAGGGCCTGTAAAGCCCATCCATTCTGTCCCATAGCATTACCTCAGTATTGTCTGATATACACAGATTTTTCCCTGTACTGCACGCTTCAACTATTCCCCAACAATTTTTTGTTCCCTGAGGGAAAGGCCCGCCTCAAGCTTGATCGACATCCCTCGTTACTGTAAAGTCTTTCTACAAAGACTGGCCTTGGGTTGTCACTATTGACTATTGTAGTAGGAAGTACTATTTTCCTTGGACATTACTCTTTCTTCGTTGCTCCCTAAGTATTAGCACACTCCGGTATATACGGAGTAGTTAGGTAATTTTCATATGATTCTGTAGGCTGGTTACTTCTCCCAGAGACAAATCGACCTGCCTTTTTACTAGAGCTCCTAGTTAGCTAACAATGATGTATACAAGCGCTATAGTTACCGCACTTGATAGAAATATTATATCAGATTACCACCGCTGCTAAGCTTGACTTGTCTGTATCTCTTGTTTATCCCAAGATGTGTATAGTCTCGGCTGTTATGGAACTGTTTATTTCTATGACATTTTGGCTTCTCAATGCTCAATTCTCACTTTTTATATTTATGTACAAATCTCCAATTCCTCCGCCACATGTTTTTGTTTGTACAGACATGAAAACTTGTAAGCTGTTCGCTGCCTTCTCTATGTTGGTCAAAAACACAACTCTATCGTTTGCATGAAACCTTTGCTCACAAGTCTTTTCGTGTAGCATCTTCATCCAACCTGGGCGTATTGTGGTCTAGAACTTGTAAACTTGTTCCTTGGTATATCCGAGCTCCTTGAGTATGCCACTCAATTCACCCTGATCGGTTGGGCTGACTTTGGCGCCGCTGATGGCCTTGTACATACCCGGTGGTCCACATACAAAGACCTTGATGTTTTGGCTCTTCGGGTCCGGAATGACGTCCTTGAGCAGTTCCTTGGTTATGAAGCCCTTTCCGTATGGCCAGCTCTCAGGAGCGTTGTCCAAAGTATAGAATGCCCGGAACCGTTGAGGATACTCATTCTCAATCTTCTCGAGTTCTTCCTTCAACAGAATGTCCTCCTCTTTGACGTTGCCGAAAATCAGCGAAACCTTGGTCTTATCTTCCGGGTTCTTAAAGATCGCACGAATCAGCTGATACATGGGCGTGATACCAGTGCCACCGGCAATCAGAGTGATGTGTTCGTGCTTGTTGGCTGACCACGGATACTTGGGGATGGGACCTTTCATAGAGAGCGTTTGTCCTGGGGTCATGGAGTGCAGATGCTCGGACATAGGCCCATTAGGATATACTTTGACCAGAAGGTCGACGAATCCCTTTTCATCTACGTCAAGTCAGTTTGTTGGACCTGGAGAAAACGTGTGACGACTGCATACCTTCGTCGTTGATAGGCGTGTAGGGTCTAATGACGGGCTTATCATGCTGGGGACCCTTGTATTTCGTGATGATGGCCGCTGCCAAGTGGAATCAGCATCTTTCTCTGTCTCAAACTGTGGTGACGAGACTTACAGGCAACGTTCAGCCCAGACACCTGGTCCTTCTCAGGTAATTCGAATCGCAGTTTCTTGGTATTGTGATTGTAAGGTATGACCTCTGCGAGTCTGAGATCGAGAAACCCTTGGTCACCCCCTAGAAAAGCCTTAGCCGCCGGAACCGACTTCGCTGCTTGGGCAGCATCTTCCGAAGGCTTGGGAGCGGCTTCAGCGCTTGTTTTGTTCGATCCCAAAAAAGTGTAACCGGCAGCGCCTGCGCCGATGGCTGCAGCACCAACAATCCAGGGCGTCGAGGAAGATGACTTGGGAGCTTCGGTCGCATAGCCGCGTATGCTCTACGGAAGGTGGACGGGTTAGCAGAAGACCTCTCGACCAGGTCAACAAGACCGGGCGACATCGCAAACTCCTTGTCGATCCGTGCGGGTGGACCAATTCGCACATACCTGGCGCATAGGTCCCGCGGACCTCAGAACAGCTCTAGCAAACATGGTGATGGCTAAGGCAAGACAAGGTGAGATGCAGAAGAGAAGTCAGATGAGAGGACGAAGCTGATGCAGGGCGCGAGTGCAAGATAAATTATTAATGGCGTCAATTGGAGATCGAGGGAGCTCAATCAAGCTGACGTCGTAGGCATCTCCTTGTCGGACTTTACATGGCGATGCTTCCGAGGTGGGGAAAGAATGCACAATCATAGTCTAAGGCAGATTTCCATCACAGTATCATCAAATGCATATTGGGTATCAAAAACGCACCAGAAACGCGTCCAGCCATGATATCCAAAACGCAAATATGTGCAATCCGTGACTATAGTTCAAATTCTCTTTCCTGGTGCCCTTGACGTCCAACACTTCGTAGAGATAGATCGTCCCATTCTCTACTATCATTGTCATGTAGGCAACGTCTGGCGGCCATGTAAGCCTCCATGCGAGCACGGCTTCTCAGAGCATTATGTTCTGATGATTCAACGCCTAACACTTCCTCAATACTCGTCTCAAGCCCAGTAGAGAGGTCAGTATCCTGGCCAGCACTTTCCTCAGACAAAACCTGAAGAACAACGTCTTCAATCTGCTTTTTGGACAGTTGTGGAGAGGAGTCAAGCGGAAGCTCGAATTCAGAGGCGGTCAAAGAAGCCATGCGATCATCCTCGAGGTCCATTCGAGTCTGGCCTTTATTAATCCTGAGAAAGGCAGAACGTATCTTGTCCAACGTGTCGTCCAGCAGATCAGTTGTCGTAGACCCAGTACTGTTCAAGACGACATCTTTCTTCCGTCCCATTTCCGTTTCCGCTTGTGCTGTCTCGAAGGCATCTTCAAGACTCAGACCATCAGATATTTGCGTTTCCTGCGATTGAACATCTTCTGTACAAGCTCGTTTCCGTTTGCCGCCATTGCTTATGGCATCATTTCCCTTTTTCTCGAGAGTACTCCTCACAATCTTGTCGAAGAAGAAATCTTTGCTAGAACATAGATCCCCGAAAAGAGCCTCCATACTCAGTTCATCCGACCAGAACTCTAGATCGACAGTGCAGGCACAGATATCCTTAGGTCGAAACATGCCTACCAAGTGGCGAAGCTCATGATATGATGAATGACGAGAATAGGGGAAATGAACAGTGTCATTCTTGTTGCGAGAGCTAACATGCTCCTTGATCAAATCCGTTGGATCAGACCAGTGATCGCATTTAGCCAGCTTCGCAACAAAATCTTTCAGTGGCACCGTCGGAGCCTCGTTTGAGTCGGGTATTGGGAGTCCTCGAATTTGTATGTGGAAGTCTCTTGACCTTTTCCCACGCTCTACCTCCGCCATAATCTTGGCCTTGACATTCTCGTCCTCAGTCAGTTGCATACATAGTGCCCCTAGTTGTTCTAAAGATGCGGAATCGCCAAGGCTCAATTCTCTTGACTGATAGAGATCACCACCGCCACCTCCGGCGCCCAATTCAAGTATTTCAGTGCCGTCCTTGAGCCGGGAAATGATTGGAGTGATCCACTTCACATTTTTGCGCCTACTTAACTCGGCATGGCAAGGTAGGCCTGGCTCACAGCTGTGTAGTCTGACCTGTGTGTCGGTCGTGAGACATCCAGATACTTGCTGATTTCCGATTGTCGAACCTGTTAGTGCAGCACCTTCAGAATATACATTGACGTCGTGGTCCTCAACAGGTCTCAGTATCCTGAGTTGATATTTGTCCACATGCACTTTTGATTGTAGGAAATTGGAGAGAGCGATCCAGACGTTTTCATAGCCGAGCGTCCACGCTCGGAAATAAAAAATTGTATCTGGATGGCACTGACTGACTTTTTCCAACAGCTCTTTCAAACCTTCTGCTTTTGTGGGAAAGTCCTTGTATGGTTCGTCATGGCTCGCAAAGGTAGTGTCTAGATATATTGTGTCTATGATCTTCAAGCCACAGACATATGGTAGAACGAGAGGATTCTGGACGACTGAATTCACCCACCAATGTTCGGCGCGAACATCTCCCGTGTAGAGGATGGCCTTGCCGTCACCTTCGATAAGAAACATGACTGCACCTGGACAATGATTGGCATCAAGAAGAGTGACATTGATGGTGCGCTTGGGGTTCAGTTGGATTTGCGTTGCAGCATTGAGAGGCAATGTTCTCAACACTGTCTTGAGGTGGCGATAATGGAGCTTCCGTGCTTCAAGGATACCTTTGGCAAAATTGATTCGCGAGGGATACTTTTCTAGTTTGAGAAGTATCTGCTTGGTTGTAGCCGAACAATATACAAATGGCATCTTGACCGACTCCAGTCCCAGCAGATGATCACTGTGGACATGACTGAGAAACAGCGCTTCTGGCGGTGGCCTCTCAGGATGTGTCCTGAAATAGTCGATCCTGATGGTGGGAAACTCCCTGACGATGCCATTAAAGGTTGACATGTCGGATAGATGGTGTTCAGACCCGGCGTTCGTTCTTTCGCCATTTAGTAGCACCCTGGATCTGTACGGAGGTACACCCAAGGCTGTGGTCCCTTGCCCCAGATCTGCCCCAGGCAGGAAGAAAGTGGCTTGAGGAACCTAAGGAAGAACTAATCAGAAGAGGTGCCTCCGGAAAAAACCCTTGTCCTAGCACAAGAGCTATGACCTGCAGGGGCGGTCGAAGTGCCTCGCCAGGCTCTCTGGGGAATAGCGTATCGGAAATGCTGGGTGTACGGATTGGCGAGCGATGGCCCACGACGACTTTGGGGGCGTCTTGACAGGTTGCTCATTCGCTCTAGGGTCGAAATAGTGGTCACGGATGACTTGGCCAGCTGATGAAGTTTGTTTAGTACGAGTCCGGGTAGAAGAAAAGTCTGCGTGCATGGAATGGGAACGTATGACACGCCAATTGTTGTTGGCTGATGATGTGGCATGCAGCGAAAAGAGGACGAAGCGACGACCTGCTCGACCGGCTGTTTAATGGGTGTTGTTCTTCCCTTTGAGTCCGATAGTGTTTAATTCACCGATGCCATCGGCTGCCGAAACACTCACGTCTGGAATTGACAGCACAGCGGGCGTCAGCGGGATCAAACTACGAGCAACAGGGCGGATCTCGCATATCCCGCAGTTTGGCGGCGACAGCCTTAGGCGGTACCTGCACCCTAGAACGAGAAACATATCCCTGTGCTCCACCTCCGACTTTCAAGTGATCATCGAAGGCCCTCGATCTTGCTGAATACGACTCTGCCTAGGCTCCATTACCGTCTGATAACTCACCTGTCATCTGCCAGCTACTCCCGAAGCCCTCTTCCCAACAACGACCTCTACAAAGCCATCCAAGCGCCAGCCTCCTGAGCGCAGATTCCGCCGCCCACACCCTAAATTACAAGCTCAAGAAAGAGCCAGGAAAGGCACAGACTACAAACGAACCCTTGACTAGACAAGACACCCTGCCAGCACCATGAGGAAGCCTTCCATACCAGACCTGATATACCAGAAAACATTCCCTAAACCAAAGCAAGGCGATCCTGGCTCTTTCTTCGCACACATCCACCGTCATATTGTTTCGGAGATCCGAGTCGAAGTACAGACGTTCTTCGGGACCATCGACACCCTCGAAGCACAATATCCAGGTCTAGACTACACCTATCCTCCCCACCGTCGTCGATTAACCAGACATCCGTGGCATAGAAGACTCTTTCGAGTGATTGACGAGCTGGGCCTGACCAACGACGAGGTCTTGAGTCTGTGTCAGTGGGAGGGAACTCGGGCAGCCAAAGAAAGATATGAACGAGAAGCACAAACCGAGGTCAAGTCTACGATAGGCGCGGACATCGAAGTTGCTCCACAAGGCAACGGACCTAGGGCAATCTGGGAAGACTGGAGTCGGCCTCAGTCTAGTCGGACATCCTCAGACAACGATACTGTGATCGAGTTGGAGGAGGGAGAACACAAAGATGGCAGTCCTGAGTCCCGACATGGTTCGACCGAGCCACCGGACGACGATGTCATGGGACTCGTCCGAGACGCCATGCAAGCAAGAATGGAAGCCAGACCCAGCGGCACACCTTTGATCATCAACCAAGTGTGGGAGCAATGGTTGAAAGAGGCACTCGAACGGCATGAGATGGACGTCGACTCCGTCTTGACGGCGATCCAAAGTTTGGATTTCGAAATGATATCACCGGTCGTCGAAGAAGATGCCGCCGTCGGACTCACACCGGCAACCACTCCTCCTTTGTCACCATCAAGACCAGCACGTACCGCACACACGCGCAACAGCTACGATGACCTGCATAGTATGGTGGACGAGTTGCAAAGCAACAACACACGACTGGCGGAAGATAATGCGGCGATGGCACTGTTTCTACAAAGATCACAAACCGAGGCTGCGAGGTAAGGGGGAGGACCTGGGTGTGTTTTATCTCTAGCACATGCATACGTGGGAGGTTCTTTGTTTTTGTATGGGGGTTGTTCCGAAAAAAGCATGAGTTTGACTATGGTCGGGTGTTTTACGCAGAATCCAACCTTATTGTTTGAGCGAGGCGTATGGATTTTCATCGAGGCATGGGTTCGAGAGCAATGATGGTGTCTTTTTTTGCAAGGTTGTTTCTCCTCTTCAAGCGCATGGGCTTTCTGCGATGGGATGGAATGGAAATGGGAATGCTCTCTTGACGATCGAGCAATAATGGGTGTCGTTGTTTCTGTTTTGTTGGTCTGGCCGAGATCCCTCCTTACCACCTGCCTGAGGTAAACTAGGAGGGCTTTTCGTAACGAAAAGGACATTACAGACAAGTCAGATTCAGAAATTCAATCCAAATAACATTATCATAATGTCTGCTCTAGTCTCGTTTGGTTTCCCTTTTATATCCATAACCATCTTTGGTGCCTGAGCACTCATTTTTTGTTCTCACTCAAGTCTTCGCGTTTCTCATTTTCGTATCCCTTCATACAATCACTTAGGGGTCGGGTACATTACATTTCCAGCCGGTTCACTGCCTATTGTGCTGAACAGCCGTAACCCATACGAGGGTAGGATCAGGAGTCGGCAGGGAGAGTATTCTTTTTAACCACTCCCCTCGCAAACTCCCCAAAAGTCAAGCCGGTGTTCAAGTCGACCAATTCATCCAAGTTGGGTTGTGTGAAGACGGCGAGTGTGTTCCTCGCGATTTTGCTCCTGGAGTCGCAATTCTTCGGGTCGACCCCCTTGACAAAGTGAGGGACGGCCTTGAATTTACCTTGGGTGATGAGTTCGAGGGCCTCGCCGGTCTGAAAAGCCAGACAATCACGAGGGATCGAGACCTTGTAAGTCTCCCCCGTACGGGATAGGATATATAAACCAGATTTCGGGTCGGGTGACGATGGGAGTTCGTCCAGTCTTACTTCTTCTTCTTCTTCTAGTGTTGACGTCGGTTTCAAGGTGGAGGTGGAGGACGTGGTTGACTCGTCGATAAACATGGCACTCGTCAAACCCGTTAGACAACCGTGATCGAGGTGTGTGGTACACCATGAGTCGTCGATTTCATCTCCTTCGTCTAGTCCATCCTCGCCTCCCTCTGTCTTGTCACCGACTTTTTCTGTGCCGTTCGTGCCGTTATCATCACCATTAGATTGTGTCGACTCTGCCGAAATGGGAAAATAATGTAACAATCTCGCTTTTGTCGTTGTACTCCCTTGGACCACTCGTTCTAAATACCCCGGTATGTAGTCCTGTATCTCGGCCTGAGCGAACCGGTCGCAAGCTCGCGCCACCAGAACGGCCGTGTCGATGATCAAAGATATCAAAGACTCTGCGTCTCGCTGGAATCCCGGAACGTCACGGTCTTCCGGCCACACGTTGGGTGCCGTGTACTCTTCAAAGCCCGGGAATTTGTTCCCGTCGGCGCCCTGGAGCGTAGGGTTTTTGTAAAAGGCGCAGTTGATGTAGTAACTTCCTTTTGCCGTATCGATGACTCCAGGCCTCAACGTTTCGACCCCGTGGGACCATCCAACCAGGTACTTTGCGCTGGGTTTCGTGAGAGTCGAGAGCGTCGATGCTGGCAAGTGCGCGAGTCGCGAAGAGTTGGACAGCACTCGGCTGCGCAGACGAGTAAACGAAGAGGGAAGGTCCTTGACGACCAAGATCCCGAGTGAGTCGGGCCCAAAAGCGGACGTGAGTGTCGACGAAGGGACGGTGTTGGATTGGAGGTCGGAGAGGGAGACGGTGACGGGTGTCGCGTGTTTGATGGGCATGGTTTTTGTGGTTTGTCGTGGAGGAGGAAGGGCGCATATGCGGAGTATATACTGTACTGTATTCAATCTCTGTATCTTCGACCGCTGGGTTTCGGAGCAGGATCTCGTGGTCAAGGATGGATCATGGTGAGGAAGATGGTACGTATCATCAAAGTCAATTCTACGTCAGTGTCGCTGCTCTTTGAGTTCCACGCTCTCATTTTTCTTCTTGTTCGTATGTGCACGAAGTACTTTCACTGTACACATTGAATGCAACCTTGTGTCCACCCCCACACTTTGCGGTTATCACCGGGACCCTGGTGCTCCCTCGGCGAGCACCGAAGTGTGGTGTGCATGAGCCTTCATCAGGTAAAGATTGCCTCCTTATTGCACTGCAGGTGCGACAATGAGGTGCCAATGAATGACTGATAGCCAGTATTGCTTAGATGAAGTAAATGCTTCAGGGTGACATCGGCGTTGGCTGTGAGGACGAGTACGGGAAGAACTTCATCACGCACCCAAGTGTTAAGTGAAACTTGATAAGTTTGTATTGCATGAATCATGACTGTAGACTTGTTCTCACCATCACTTGAGATGTACGGTATTTGATGCTTAATCACGATTCTACTTATGCTCTCGCCTCAATCTCATTAAACGTACCATCATACCTTCTCATCCTCGTTCTTATGTATGTACAAATCCCCTCATACTACACGATTATCAACACTCATTCCTTCTTGGCACCACAATTTTCAAGGAGCTTGGGGAAATAAGGTGTTCCGAACCCAGTGACAGCATCCCATCCTGTTGTGGCAGGGAAACCAGTTGTGTTGCAGCCGGAAGACGCGCCCTCCGTGACGTCGGTGAATAATTCGTACCCTTTGCTATACAACCAAGGGTTGATCCAGCCCATGACGGGTTTTCCCTCTGAGATCAACGCGTCATTCAAAAGACTGAAGATGGATGCGCAGATAGGCGAAGATCCAGATGTTCCGACAAGACCAAGAGTCGAGCCGTTCCAGATTGTAGGGAAGACTTGTCCCATACATGAGATATCCGGATATGCACGTCCTGAAACGAAAGCGATCAGTATTAACAAGAACACAGAGGGAAACAACACAATACAATCTTACCTGCTTTGTTGTATAAACCGTCGTGCAGACCACCCAGGCTGCTAACGTAGCTGTTGACAGCCGATGCCTGGTATTCAGGCTGAGCAAAGTAGTTACTGAACCCGGCGCCGCTTGTGAAGGTCAATCCTGAGCTCAAAAGCCTGTCGGCTGCGACTTCAGGGTAGTTTCGGGTGGCCCCGACGGAGGTCACATAGGGGCAGGATGATGGAAACGCGGGTATGAACATGGCAGTGGTGTTGTCAACGTTGCTGTAGCATGTCCCGTCGGTACCCACGCCAAAGTCACCACTGGAGACGAACAAGGTGACTCCACGAGCGCCCAGTTGGGCAAATTCGTTGCACACTGTTTTAGCATAGGACTCGCTGACAGTCTGCTCGTCGTCGCCGTAGGATGTGGAAATGACTTGTGGAATCTCGGAGTCAGGTAAGCCCAACATGTATGTTGTCCACGTCAGGTATGGCTCGTTGTTGTCGGTGGGGGTGTTGGTATCGGGCATGAAACCTGGCTGCAGTCCACCAACATTGTAAGTCGTGAGCGGAGTGGGATAACCCATGCCAATCATGTACTAGTTGATATGTGAGTTATGTGAAATAATAAACTGAGGCTACCCTCGCTGTCTCTTACCTCGGAATCCAAGTTTGCTTCTCTGTCGACAGCAGGTACATGAGAGGCAATGTTGGTACCATTGTCGACAGCACCGTTCGCAATTGAGATCTCCGGGAATTCATACGCGTATGACTGCGCTTCCGGACGGTATTTGGACAAGAAGATGCTGACGTCGGATCGATTAGAAGATTCACCATAGTAGCAGGTATGGCCCATCTTGTTCTCGCCTGCAGCCTTGGGCGAATAATCAAGGGTACCATATAACGTTCTCAGGCAGTTCGGAGTCACCGCGGTGAAGTTGCATACGGCCTGAACGGTGGCATTGTCTGGAGGAGAGATTGGGGCCGGAGGAGGACCCCATTCAGCGGCAACGAGGGCATGAGATGTGCGTTTCGTCAGATCAGGGCTACGCTTGCGGAGCTCGTTGTTCCTGTCCTTGCCTCCTCCTAGTCGCGCCCATGAGTTGGTCGGCTGAATCGTGCTGATATGTTTGTGGAGGTGGAGAGGGAGCGAATAGCCCTCGGTACGGACCATGGTCGATCCATCAAGATGCTCGTAGACGGAGTACTTGGTATCGAGGAGGGTGCTAACCGCGTCTACCGGGAGTGTGACAGAAATCCAGTCCTTCGCAGGGCTGTACTTCAACTGCTCGAAATCCACGCCATACTCTTCCAACCACTCATGAACGGCAGTAAAAGTGATTTCAGATGGCTTGATGAGCTCGTGAACCTCTTCAGCTGACAGATGCTGTCCGTAACGAACGTGGTACGGGTCGGAAACTGTGAGCCAAGTTAGAACATTCCTTGTTCACTACGCGGTCATTTCAGAGGCGTACTTTCGTGGAGATGGCGCTCAAGCTCGCTGAATCGGCTTTGTGACAAGCCAATCTTCAGGTGGATCAAGTGATCTTCGGGAGCAGGTCCGAGGTTTGACCATGTTTTTGGTGCTGGATGGAAGTCTTTGACAGCAAGGTCAGAGCGGCGGACAATGGGCCCAGCAGTAGCGAGTTGAGAGAAGCATGCCCACAAGGACAATGCAGTTGTGAGCATAGTGGGGGAATTGAAGAATGTCATGATTCCGGTCCACGATACCACAAGTACAGCAGGTTTCTGAAAAACGAGGGACAGAAGGGTAGTCAAGGTAGCTCCGAAGTTCAGATCACTTCGATGCTACCAAGCTAGATATATGTGATTTCTTGCATCGTCTGTAACCCTGCCAGGTCCATTGCCTTGATTCTGCCGAGCACGGGTACTTGAACGCACACCAGCATCATGAGCGTCATATTTTGAGCTAGCAATGTAGATGAACTGCCTTTCTGGACGAGCTCCGAGAGATAAACAGCTCTGCAAGGTCGCATTGCGATTATAGATACATGCTTAGCCCTGGCATTAGGGCGGATGCAAGTCGATCGGGGCCAGGATTGAGGGGAGCAACCGCTCGAGTACGTGGAAGAGATTGGTCGACGTCTGTTCAGCTTCTAGATTGAGCATGGCCTGGAGAGCAGTGGTTGGAGGAGCGAGACTGGGGCCTGTTGAAGGCGGGGAGATAAGCCTTGTAGTAGCCGCCATAGCTAAAAGCTTTCTCTCTAGTGCTGGTACGCGTGGCGGGGGAGCTCGGATACCACCCAACGCCTGCTGATAGAAATGGGTGTGCTGTACTCGTAACGATGCCGCCAGAGGATTGTCAAAGGGTGTCATTGGTACGAGTCGAAGCAGACTATGTCCGCAATCTAACCGAAGATACAGAATGCAGCCATGCGAGAATGCCACGATATCCAGAAGCGAAAGGATGGACACTTGGTTGGGTAGACATTGCTTGCCGATTGCCGTGTAGGATCTCGAGTTGAGCGAGGTACTCGATGTACTCTGTAGACTGACTTTCCAATGCAGAGGGATTCCGGATGACATGGAAGTATCTTGACAAAGTGCTCCATCTGGAGTATCGAGTAATCAGATGGAGTGATGACCTACCTCATGACTCTGATTTTCCTACTGTAGGAATGATACGAGAACTCGATCGATAGAGGCTTAGGTAGACGTCGACTGTCGTGAGCGGGTCAATTCGCATCAATTCGGCAGGAGCCCAAAAGTCTCTCGCGGGACCTTCTGTTCTTTGCTGTACGAATACGAGGTACGCAGTCACTAAAATAAAGAAGATATATACGGAGTACAATCTTCAACGCCATCCATCTTCAACCAAACACCCAAAGCACCATCTCACTGGGCACTTTGGACCATTGCGTCTTTTTGGCAGTACTAAACTGAACACACCGTGTTTCTGTGCCACCGTGTCCCATCATCATTAGCCAGGAAAACAGCACACGGCTGATGCATGACACGTTCTCCTGCATCTCATGCCCTTTCAACACACAAATGACCATGGTCCTGTGCTTAGCCGATGGTCTGGTGAGTTTTGCGCCATTGAGCCCAGTCGACCCATGGATTTGATTGTTTCATCTTACCACAACATTTCCGTCCATCCTCTTCTGCTGTCCAATATGATGGCTGCCATTGAGACAAATGGTGCAGAGTAAGGCAACCATTCGCCTTGCCTGCCATGGTGATTTTGGCCAATGAAATTCTGCCATCACACAGTCACCGGTTGTCCGCGTGCTGAGCCTTTACGCCATCATCTCTGGCCCTTCGTCGCATGTCTGCCTGACTATATCGAGGGAGAGATTTCAGAAGATGAAGGAAAAGTAAAGAAAATCCCACATCCCCATTCCCAATCCCAAATCCCATCCAAAGCACGCACGTAATTGACTGTTCGTGCACTTCCCAATTCTTACTTGGAGAAAGAACCACACAACATCATACAATTTCCAAAGACCTTCCATAACATATACACATCAACACAGCCTTCCAACCCATCAACACCGAGTCATGTGTAATCTGTTTGTCCCTCTATGTCCTTTCGTCCTGCACTCGATAGCGACAGGACAAGCCCAAACGCAGCCCAATGACTGCCCGGACGCAAAGATTCTCTTCTCATACCTCTCCAGAAACCCATACAAGAACTCTTCGGATCCGGATCAGCCACAGTCGAAACCCTTGGCCCTCAAGACGGCGAAATTATACAAGCGCACCAGCTGGCACACGTGTCCATGCTTCTTCCAGACCGTCTCTGTTCTACACCCGCTGCCGGGCCCAAGCAAGCCCGTGTTTGGGTTTGCATACAAATATTGTGCGCGCTGTTCGGCTGCCGCCAGGGTCCTCCGGCCCATGAGACTAGGTGGGATCGGCGACAGAAATTACAAGGGGGATCAGTATTTCAATCGATGTATTTTCGCTGGAGTCCAGGGGGTGTTTGCAGATTCAACCAATAGTCCTGATGTATATTCGAATTTGACGCGAAGTGCGCCACCACCGCCGCCTCAGCAGCAGCAGGCGCACTCACAAGTGAAAATGTTTGCTGACGAGGGAGGACAAAGTCAGCGCTCGTACTATCATGACCTGGATGAGGCCGGAATCGATCCCGACTTCGAAGACGACACAACTGATACTACCACACTTCATCGCGAGACTAGCCGGAGACGATACGGAGAGCGTACAGAGACGCCATCCACGTCCGAATCGCGAAGACGAACATTCCAGTCGGGATTGGATGCATATCTGAACGAGACTTATGGCTCTCGAGGAGAGAAAAACACTCATTGGAGATGATGAGTTGTAGAAGGAGGTGGTCGACTACCTAGATTTCTTTTTGGGTAGTATAATCAACCTCGACGCATATCAGAATGGAACTGAAACGAGATGAGACAGAAAATCCGTGATAGAGATTGTGACCTAATCATACCCAGTGATACAGATTGGTGATTTTCTCTCTTCTCCATATTTCATAGTCGGTCATGTAGTTACGTGAGTTGAGCGTGCTAAAAGGCAAATAATGTGATCGCTTCATCCCTACGGAGACTTTCTTTTTCCCTCATAAACTTCTGAATACTTCTCAGGACCCGTGTAAAAATATGCCATGTCATGCGGATGTGCTTCCGTTGCTATCTGTGGTTTTTTCCAAGGATGTCCTTACATAAGTAGACGGATTTCTATCATCGTCGTTATGTATGCAAGAAATAAGTAGACAGGAGTGTGCCACAGCATCGCTGGCCGCTCTCTCTCTCTCTCTCTCTCGACTTCCTTGATGTGTTCACATCTTTCACACGTATTGACACAGTCACATACACGCCATCAGCATTTCACAAACTAGCTTTCCCTTGAGACTCGTAGGGCAAAAGTATGACCATCAACCCGGCGGCGATAAAGAGAGCGCCACTCGTGTACACGGGCGCGGTGGTCTTGAGGTTGGCAAACATGGCGATGATGGGGGCCATGATGCCAAAAACTCGGTTCGCCGTGGCGCAGAGGGCGTTCCCGGACCCGCGATCTTTCGTTGGGAAGACCTCGGGGGTGTAGGCGTAAAGGACGGCGTACATGACGTTGCTGCAAAAGTTGAAGGCGCAGTTCCAACCGAGCAGGGCGTCGGAAGTGGTGGCGGTCGTGCTGCAGTACAGGAACACGCCCGTCGCGACCGTGGCGAGGGCCAGGGTGCCTCTACGTCCGAACCCGCGGATCTCGACCATGACCCCTCCCAGGAGCGCACCCGGGACGCCCAGCACCGCGATGATGACCTGGTTGCGGTAGGTGATGTAGGTCGAACTGTCGCCGAACTCGGCCCCCTTGATGGCCTGCAGGTAAGGCAGAAACGCATTGTACAGAGGGTAACCCAACCCGATGAAGCCCCAGATGGCCATGATCATGCCGGTCGAGAAAGCAAGCTTCTTGGTCGCGAACAGCGACCGCACGTGGGCCAGGTTGAACTTTTCGAGGTTACGCTTGATGGCCGCGGCGGCCGTGGTCTGTTGAGCCTGCCCGTCCCCCAAGACCTCGCACGCCTTGAGGTCGTCGACGGTCAAGGGGGAGGTTTTGCCGTTGCGTCGGGCGACTTCGTGCACGATGCGTACAGCTTCTTCGTCGTTGCCTTTGCCCATGTGGTATTTCTGGGTTAAAGGTTGGGAAGATATGTCAGATCGAACTCGGTCTTGTACATGTTGTGGTTTGCACTTTACGCTTCAGGTGGGCAAGGGCGTGGGATGGGCAGGAAAAAGAACTTACAGGAGACTCGTAAATCGTAAACAGGACAAACCGAATAAAAAACATTACCATGGCCAGACCGCCCATGGCTATCACGAAATAACGCCAGCCCATGTTCTTGGACCGCGTACACACTTCATCCTCCTGGCAGGTCAGGTTGCCCAAGATCGGCCACGCGACCAGTGTCGCCAGGAGCTGCGCCAGAGCCCAGTCTATCGACAAGACAGTGAGAAGGTATTGGTGGGATCCGGGGAGGAATTCGAGAAAGATGGCAGAGTCGACGGGCAGATTCCCACCCACGCCAAAGGACCACAGGGCGTCGAAGCACCCTATGGCCGCAAAGTTGGGCGAGCTGGCCGCGATGAGGCCAAACACGCTCGTGATGCCGAGGGTGAGGTTGAACCCCCAGCGACGGCCGAAGATGTCGCATCCAAACCCCCAGAACATGGCGCCGGCCAAGAGACCAATGTTCTGCGCCAGGGTCAACAGAGGCGGTCTACTTGGACCAAACTCGTTCGTGATCGGGGTGAAGATGAGAGACGTGACGATGGGCCATAGATTGTCGCTGGCCCAGCCAAAGCCAACGACGATGAACAACTGCCATCTACAAAGGTGTGTTAGTTGTATGTCTGGCAACGTTGATACAAGTAACGAGGAATGGTCATGCTAAGAAGGAGGAGAAACCAACACTGCTACACTACCGGCTGGCACAAGGCTGAGAAGATCGGGCGGCGTCGACAACGCGGACCGAAAACACTTACTGATACCATCCCATTCCAATGTCTTGTATCGCTCGATTGAGTACTCTGGCTTTCGCCTCGTACACTGGATCGATGGTACCTTTGGGAATGGCGCTCAAGTCGTCAATCCCCAAGGCGACTTCACTCCCCAGCCTATTGCGATAGTCATTTGTAGGCGAATCCTCGACCACAACTTTTGAGTCTTCGGCCATTTTTGGGAGTTTTCTGCTACGCAATAGAAAAACACAGACTCAAAACAAACACTGGACGAAGTGTGAAAAGCGACCGAAGTAAGAAGAAAGCATGATTTCACGATAAGCAGCTTTCAATGGGTCCGTACAGTATTAATACCTGCCCAAGGCTCCCTTGCACACAGATCCTCCCCTTCTGCGGCCCCGCCAATAGGCGAGATATGGCACCATCGCTCTGTGGTGTTGGCGTAGGTGGAGGCGGGAAGGGCCTGTGCCACTTTGACCTTCAAGCAACCTAAGTTTATCGTAACCTGGTCGATCCAAGGTGCGGCCTTGGTACCATCCGTCATAGTGCGGGTATTTAAGATGGTGAGGCTCGTGGGCTGATGAGGCTAATGATTTCAACTGGACCATGAACGAAAGGTTGCAGTAGATGGTCCCCCTTGGTCGCTTAGCTTTGCCTGCTTCGGTACAAGGAGGTTGCCTTGGCGGGCGATTCATTGGGTGATGATTGCCATTGAGATAAAAGTGATTGAGCTGCTTATGCTGATGCATATCTCTGGAAGTTCTGGTGGAAAAAGAAAAGTCGGTGGTTGTGTTGTTTTGTGACGTGTATGAAATCCACTTTGGTCCTCGGTACAAGGGTTTCTAGATGATGTGATAGACTGTCAAGGCGGCCTAAAGAGACAGACTGTCCAAGTCAAGAATGAGCTAGATAACGGCGATTCCCTAAGGATCCAACAGTCCGACGCCTAGACTCAGTAGGCTTGCATTGACCACTTTTGGTGCCACCCATTCCACAATGCCATGGAATATAAATAGACAAACTGTAATGATATACCGAGTATAGATATGGAGGAGACAAGCACCATTTAGTTTTTCATCCGGATTCCAATTCAATTTCGATGGCAGTACTTCACTTCTTCTCAATTTCCAGTATGACAGAACAAAACAAATTTTCTTTCCAGATTGAAAGAACGCGAACATGATCAACTCGTCGTAAAACATCTCCCGAACACCCCAGTCGACGCATGAATCAGAGGCAAGTGTATCACTTCCCAATCCCTGAACACAGGACACTCACCAATTGTCCTGCCACAACCTCAACACACCGTAATACCCGATTAGTGTCGGAATGCCGTGTTTGTAGAACGAAGTCCGCCAGTCTTCTTTGCCATGAAACCCCGAAATGAGAAAGTCCGAGATTCCATTGATACCGACAATTGCCAACAAGATTGTCGCAGACTTCCAGTATTCGTAGCTCAAAAACACCAACAACGCAAGGCCCAAACACAACTCCCTCACAGCAAATAGATAGAAGAAGACGTGCATTGGCTGGTCTGCGGGTTCTGGGAAACAGGCTGCGGCGGCGATCTTGTGCGGGCATACCAGGCAACCGATGAAGACGCCGATAAGCATCAAAGCTATGGCGTAAGCGATCAGGTGATGAAGCGGTGGGAGAGTGTTTGTGGAAGGGATGACAGTGTCCATTGTGACTTTCAAAACCTGATGTTGATATTCAATTGGTAGAGATGATGGTTTGAATGGAGCGACGCCCGACTCTTGTTTCTCCTCTGGAAGAGTGAAGCCAAGTTGGATGGTGCGAGTACACTGTATGATGGTAATTCCCAAGAGAGAGCAAGCGGTGTAGCATGACCGCATGCTGAGGCAGAGGGGTTTATATAAGGCCTGCCACCGGACTGCACGACTGCGAATACGAGGTCATGCAGCAAGGCAAGGCGTCCATGGGTTCAGGACCAATGAATTGACCAGCCTCAATATATGGTACGGACTGTCACTCACTGATGTTCTGCCTCTGGAAAACACACCTCTCTGCATCTGTGACATCCTCTTTCTAGGTACTCCTTTGGTCTAAATGCTATGGTGGATGGTTGCGACGAGGCTGTGGATTTTGCAAGGCTGTGAGGTGATGTAATTGTGAACACGACTTCGACTTCTTTCGTTCCAATGCGCGACTGCGGACATCTGTGTCTGTCTTCCATTGGTACATTCTTAGCCAACAAGTATCAGCTGCAATCCAACGATGCAAGCTTGCATAAGGTAGTCCCTCGCCGGTGACATGCCAGAATATCATAGTGTATACTTGACTCGCGGTAAGTTTTAAAGATATTCTAATGATTTGACAGACTCCCGCGCCCTCCTCCAAACGTTTCCTCCCTCCATCCACAGCCTCTGCTTCCAAGTCGATTAGCCATCCGTCGGCGCGGAAGAATATCTTTCAAAGCTCACGCTCGACCACCCAACCCACATCCTCCACACCCTCCCGTGGTGCGATCCCGCGGTTCCAAACGGCCCCTGCGCGCAAAGATGAGATAGACACCAGTTTCGAGGATGAGACAGAATCACCGATTGTCTCCAGGAGGTTTGGCCATACTCAAAGAAAAGACGTGGTCGATGAGGATGAGGATACTCTCCCAATTCAGTCACCACTACTCTATCGAAAGAAGATAGTTACACCTCCTGCGAAGAAGCGGAAGACGAGTCACCCCGCTCAACGGCCGATTGAGCCAATCACGATTTCGTCCTCTCCTGGATCTGAAATTGATGACCAGGGCTTGAGAGGGCAATCTTCTCAGGCTTCGCACTCGGACGATGAAGACTTCGAGGATATCATGATCGAAACGCCCCATGTGGAAACGTTGAAAACGACGCGCTTCCGGCCTTCTGTCCCAAAATGTATTGAGCCACCAACTCTGGCCAAGAATGCATTCAAGGTAGAATCTGACGGAGGTCACTCAGCACACCTAGCTAGCGGCTCTCTTCTCCCGGATGTGTTTTCTCCTTCCAAGAGAAAAGGAAAACGAGAGTACATTCCTGGTGGGATGGCAGAACTAGTGAGACGGTGGGTGCTTGGGATTGCTGCTCAGGACTCGGTCTCGATCTCGGCGGCAGTCCCAGAGATGACCATCACAGTATCCCAAGCAAGAGTCGATGGCAGTGGGCGATTTTCACTTGTCACGGACACGACCGGGAACCGATGGCTTTTTCCGGAACAACAACAGAAACCTGGCCTGGAACACAGGCTGGACGTTACAAACATTAGCCCTGGTGCCCGAGTCCGCTTGAAAGGTCGGGCGACAAAATGGCCCCTTCGATCTGATTTTGAGGAACTGCAAGACACAACCGTCGGCGCTTACTGGGAGCTCATTGAACCCGGATAACGTGCCACGACTCTCGTTCCGTTTGTCCGCCCAAACATGGGCTGATTGTATCTAAAATCCCCTGTCCTATTATGACAATGTTCGACTAGATGTCTAGGTAGAATCTATCTGACGATCTTGATATACCAAAGAGTTGTTTTCAGACAAGATATTCGACTCGGTAGAGTGTTGACGTCAACACTTTGGACTAAAAGCACATGCTAGTGATTAGATTCTTTTAAGCACTCGTACTGTACTCGTGCACCTCATGATGTCCAGGTACCTGATGAAAAGCATCATACCTCTACTATGTTAATTTTTGGTTCCAAAGCATGTCTACTTAATTTCATGAGGTTACTTTGAGTCAAGGAACAATCACGCATGGTGGGCCCGTCTTTCAGGCATTCCACTAAACCTGAATAAAATCTCCCCGAGTCAATTCATTGCTCAAAACACCAGATGAGACGGTAAAAAGATATGGCACACATCCGGGGAGCGTGGAATCTAGAATTCAAAGTACAAGGAGGCCAGGCTTTGGGCCCTGGTGGAGGAGCATCGCCTCGCAGATGGCTGGACTGAACGAGCCTGATATCAGGGATCGCCACCGCACATCACTCAAACACATATCGCGGAATCTGAAGGCGATATCCCTTTCGTTGGCCATCCTCAAATCAAAGTATCTGTGGTCCAAGTTATGCAACCTACCCGTCTCAGAAACTTATGTCTACCCAGCTGGCCTGGGTGCGATATTTCTGTCGGGTTTGTGGTGGACTATTTCCAGTCGTTCCTCCTCGACGTCAATCAAAAACACGGACGATGCCCTTGGTGCCGGACGGTCTTGTGAAAAGGCCAGTCGTCTTGCGGCCAGGATATTCGAAAGCAGTACAACCCACACTCGACTGTTTCCAACAAAACACTCGTTTTCTTATTCTTATTTACTCGTCGGTATACCTGTCGGGTGTGGAGGTCGACCACTATCCGCCGGTGGCGTACTTTCTTTAGGTCCTCCTCGGTCCAACAATGGTGATGGAGTCCCGTGGTTCTCAATTCATGCAGACGATTACCTACAACGAGGACCGTATGTTGGCGGTCTCCGTGGGAAACTCGACGAATTCTTAGCAAGTCAAGACGTTCAACCGGAACGATATCCTTTTGCGTATCTCGTCACGGCGCCCAGATTCTTGGGGTTCTCATTCAACCCAGTGTCCTTTTGGTACCTGTACGACGCCCACGGCCGACTGGGAGGAATGATCCTGGAAGTCAACAACACGTTCGACGAGAGGAGGATGTATTACCTGCCACGCAACAGCGACGGCGACGAAGGTACTACGTCGTCAAACCCCAAGTTCACAAATCATTGGGTAAAGGATTTTCATGTTTCTCCTTTCAATGACCGAGATGGCTCGTATATCTTGACATGTACCGATCCTTTCGACACTACAACTACTACACCTGCTGGTACAGGGAACACCGGTGTCGTCGAAATCGATAATACTATAGTCCTCAATTCCGGGGAGGGTAAACCCAAGATTGTGGCCCGAGTCTTTTCAACCTCCCCGGGGCTCGATCCGATACAAACGTCCCGTTTGCAAAATCTTGGTTTTGTCGCAAGATGGTGGTGGGTTGGGTTCATGACGAACCCACGCATCCTGCGAGAAGCATGGACATTGTGGGCGAAGAAGAAGTTACAAGTCTTTTATAGACCCGAGGTTTTGCAAACTGGCATCGGCCGCAACGAGACGGCCGAAGAAACGATCCTCGAACCCTTCTTTCGTCGTCTACTGGAACGGGTGGCATTGAAGTCGGGTCAGACGATCACGTATATCCCCGCCGCTGGGAAAGGGCGAGGGAAACCGGTCCACCTCCTCACCGAGCGCGACATTTCTAGAAACGCTCGTGTGTCAGAGTCAAAAGACATCGAGGTCAAAGTTGTAACTCCAGCATTCTATACCGAAATGGTTCGTGGATCGGATCTTACTCTTGAACAATTATTCGAGAGATTTTGTTTCAATCCTCAACAAGGACAGGCCATGGTTTACGCATCAGACATCAACAGTTTTCGTCAAATACTCGCAGACATGGACAAACGGCACCGTCCCTCTTCTTCTTCTTCTTCTTCTTCTCCTTCTCCTGCCCTATCAGTGCCTGAGAATTGGCTCGCTCGTGTAAACAGACACCTCCGGACGGGATGCAGCTTTTTCTTTGTGGTTGGGGAAGTTTTACAAAATCTCATCACGTTCTCTTCTCGGTCGTTGTCTGCAGCACTACCACCAGGCGAAGAACGTGCCTCATCACAAGGTCTTGATGTGTTCATTCGGGCCACCAGTTCCGCCTCTGATATTTCGGTTTACAATCGCACTTGTCTCAAAGTCCTACTTGCGGACCGTTTCGCACTGGGGTACGTCCGTCTACTCGAGTCGTACATTGTCGTTGCATGGGCTGGAGCAGTGATCGCGACGGCGTGGCAGATCAATGATGGTTTGTTTTTACACCCTACGCCAAATCTGACGAACGTTTGGGGGTTGACTTCCTTGGGCTCGAAAGCTGGTGTGGTGTACGGTTTGAGTGTCCTGAGAGGATGAACCTACTGTACAGGAGTAGGCAGCACGGTCTCCCAAGGTTTGGAATGATAGACTTCATTCTGGGCTACTTTGAGATTGTACTCCCTCATTCAAGGAAGGGTAATTTCGATCATTCATGTTCAGGTCATACTCCCTAAATCGAAGAAAGGGCCCACTGAACCATACAAGATAGATAAAATGGGGCAATACCAAAGCATACATGATAGGGTCGTATCCCGACCATAATGTGCCCTTGTGGCACAATTTTACAATTTGACATCCGACGAGACCTTTTGTTTGTCTTCACTTGCAATTACACTGCTTCGGTTGCACATCATAGTCCTCGACTCGGCTTTACTTACTCGCCATGGCGCAAGCTCCTAGATCCAACTTTTTCACCTCGGCGGATGGTGAAATGTCGAAAGAGAAAATGTCCATTGGTAGACCGATGGTGGTACAAGCGTTTGGAATCTGTTAAAACAGAAGTTAGCTAAATCTGCCCTTGCAATGCAAATTCTCTTCTTCTTCTTCTTCTTCTTCTTCTTCTTCTTCTTCTTTCGACAGTCGACATCTCGTTCAACGGGAGTATGTAACTTACGTCCACAATCCCGGCGACGTGACCTTCGATGGGGATACAACTCAACATCAAATAGACCTGGTAGTCACTGTACCCGAACCTTCGGAGGTACTCGATGACCCGCAGACAGGATTGACGGTAGGCCACGGTGGCGTCCATGTAGTGTTGTTTGCCGTTTTCGTCGACGCTGAACCCTTCAAAGTAGATCATCCTACCTGGGCTGAATTGAGGCTGCACGGGCCCGGGGATGTAAATTGGGGACTTGCCTCCGACCATGCCGAGTTTCTTCTGGCCGTCCTTGATGACTTGGAACTTGATGGTGATTTCGCCGGCGATTTCGATGGCGCCACAAAAGGAGATTTCTCCGTCTCCCTCTGAAACAATCCCAACACGTCAGCATGTAGACACATCAACACATAAACGCATGAACACATGATCCAGGGGGATATCAAGACATCCGGTGGCGTTGTGTAAAATGCGCCCAAAAGAAAAGACCAACAACAAAGAGTAAAACGTACGAGAAAAATGCAAGTCTCCAACGGAAAATTTCGCCCCCTTGACATGAACGGGCAAATAGACTTTACTGCCACGAGAGAGGTTCTTGATGTCGCAGTTCCCGCCGTGCTCAGGACGACCGGGGATCGTCCTGGCTCCTTCCTTGCCGACACGCTCTTTGGTGGCTTCGTCCGCGGATCCGGCGTGGACGTTGGTTGGTTGGGGTGGCTGAGCGACGATTCGCGACAGGGACGTCGTCGAGATGAGTTCAGCTTCGCGCTTGTTCCATTCGGCGAGGATCTCAGGGGACGGCGCACAACCCAGAATGCCCGGGTGGATGAGGCCGGCGAAACGGACGCCAGGGATGTGGCGGGACGAGCAGAATATACCTTCGAAATCCCAAATGGCTTTGGCACTGTTTAGAGAGAGGGGGTCAGCGTGCGTGCATGGGTCAAGGGCAGACTGGACGGAGCCACGTTGCATGGTGGACTTACGCCTCTGGGTAGATCTCGTCCAAGAACCCGCCTCCGTTGTCCTTGTGGAAGACTCCAGTAAATCCCCAGGGGTGGTCCTGGAAGGGCTGCACGTCTTGGATTTCGACAAGAAGAACGTCTCCCGGCTCGGCGGTTTCAATCTCGAACGGGCCAGAGAGGTAGTGGATCTGAGTCAGGTCGACATTCTTGACATCGTCGGCACTGTCGTTGTCTTTGATCTGTCCGCCTGTCCAGTCCAGACATTCAATCTTGACCGTCTCTCCGTTCTTGATCGTACCACAAAAGGGAACTGGAAAGGCATGTTATCAGCGGAGACCTTGCACCGAAGGTCTGCGTGCGCCATACCATCAGGATGCCATCTGTTCTGGATGTTTTTGTCAGCAAAGATCACACAACCATTCTTGTTACTCTTCTTTTGCTCACATGCAAATACGGTTGGTCCTTGGCTGGCTTGTCGAGATCGACTTTCAGGGCGGTTCTGATCTTCCCAGGCATGACTGATCCAGCTCACAGGTCAGCTTTGTGCAAACGACAGCAAGCTATCAGCCGCAATTTAAGGATCAGTGAAGTTCTGGTGTAGCTGTACAGGTAGGAAGGCGACCTCGTACTTCACAGCTCTTCGGTGTGCACATCAGATCGAATAAATTGTTTACTTTGTCTGCGGGGCTTTTGGACGATCGTGTTTTACCCCTCATGGGTAGCGATAGGCACTTGTCCGGGAATCCTTGTCACTGATTTGACGTCTCTCTCGGCCCCGGGCCTTTGATAAGAACTCCTCGTCCCAGGGCCAATGATGGTGCACATCGCCGTTGAGCTTTAGGCCAGGAATGGCAACTATGCAAAGCTGGACGAACGGATTTGTGACCCCCCGCCGTCGCTGGGCGAAAACTGGACTCCAGTGTTACGTAGTCGATACGTCTAATGGTTGCTGTACGAGTACGTCGGTGGCCCAAAGGATATGATAGCTCTGGGCGTGGGCGGGCTTCTCCTCGGTGGACATCACAAAGGGCTTGGTAAGCAGTGGAACCATTCGTCTGAGACTCGAAAACCAGCTAGACCACGAGTCTGACACGATACAAAACGTCGAGGGGATACTCCTCTCCAAGATCGGAGTGTTGAGAAGGCCTTGTTGAGGGTCTCGACTTGTTCTGACTCGCTTCTGTGGACGGATGAACAGAGCTATAAAATCAATTGGCGGGTTCTGAGGCAGGCGTTGATATCGGCGTCGGTTCTTTGGTGCTCGCTGCGGACTCCTTCTTTACTGGATTTGTATCGATTTCAAGCGTGACTGGACCGTCATTGACGAGACTGACTTGCATCATGGCTTGGAAAACACCATCCTTGACTCTTTCGGCTCGGTACTGGTCTCGAACTCGGGAGACAAAATAGTCGTACAGTTCCTTCGCCATCTCTCCCTTGGCCGCACCATGGAAGTCCGGTTTGTTGCCTTTCTTGGTCGAAGCGAACAGGGTGAACTGAGACACACAGAGGATCTCCCCTTCGATGTCCTGAACACTGTTCTTCCAGCTGGCGCCGCTTTCATCCGGCCACAGCTTCATTTTGAGGACTTTGGCAGCCATCGACTCTACATCTTTCTTGGAGTCATGGGGCCCAATGGCAGCCAGGACCAGGACGCCCTTGCCGATGGCTGAGACAACCTGATCATTGACGGTGACGGAGCTTGAAAGTACACGTTGCAGTACTGCCTTCATGGTGACCTAGAGATTGAATGCCTTGAATCCAGGAGCTCAGCATTAAGCCAGTATAGACCTTCCACCGTGTATACCAAGGCAACTTTTCCACTGCACCTGAGATGTGATCATGGGAGAATAATATGAGTAGCTGGTGCACAGAGTAATCCTTTTTTTCGTCTCGAGACTGTTCACGATTGAACCGACGCTCACGGGTCACGTGAACCTTGGCGGGCGCCGTTGTAGGCTCGAGGTCCCTATTTTTCTAGGCCGGGCTTAACTAAACTACAAGTGTTTTAGGGGCTGCCCATACGACTTAGCTACGGCTGCCTTGAAGTAAAAGTATGATTGTTCTCGAGGCTCGGCCCTACATACAACGGACTATTAAACGAATGATGGTGACGGCAGCATTTTTCAGCTTGATGGGCTGAAGAATCGAACAAGGCTTCCTCCTGACTAGAACTCTGCCAGTCTCGGTCCATGATACTTGGTTCTCGCATGGATGAACCAATTGATAGCTGCAAACAGCGCCATGGCTGCAATCACCGCTGAGGTGTAGTCTGAGAGAGTCATATTCAGCCAGTGGTCCACTAGGAGAAGGGGGACTTGCGGACTTACTCATGGTCGAACCGATCACGGGCAACACGACGGGGAAGTTGTAGAAGATGAGTACAACCACGGCAAATGCCACTGTCGCAAAGTTGGCAATCCACCCAAAAGCCCCAGGTAGCTTGAACGGTCGGTTCACCGGCAGGTAGCGAGCTTTCCGCTTCCGGTACATCAAGAGCGCCGCGGGAAAGGCGTAGGTGATCTGTTGCAAGAGAAGGCTCGTGCCGATGAAGGCATTGAACGCGGTGCTGGATCCGAGGTAGATGCAGCCGATGATGAGCACCACGAAGGCATTCGCCACCAGTGACCATACTGGAACACCAAGCCTAGGGTGGATTTGGCCGAAGAATTGAGAGCCGACCAGGGCGCTGTCTCTGGCGAACGACCATGTCAGGCGGGATGCCGTTTGTTGCACAGCAGCGAGAGCGACCAGAGCGGCAAGGAGGACCACGGCCATGAAGATGCTTGCTGCAGTTTTCGAGCCAGTAGCTTGGTGCCAGATCTCATATACCGGGACACTAACACTTGGTCAGCATACAGAGATATTGGGGTCCCCCCGATAACGACCAAATTCTTACCCGGTTACAGTCCCAATCACAGCGGTGAAATCTTGGATGCAGTATGTCATGCTCACGGCAAAGGCGAAGCTGGTGATGAACCCAATAGTGAGTGTGCTGACGATGGCTCTGGGAACAACTTTGGCCGGATTCTTGCACTCCTCGGCCAGATGGATGGCTCCGTCAATGCCAGCATACATGTAATTCGGTGAGACGAGACCCGTGAGGAAGCTGACGCCGTTGGGCCATCCACTCTCATTGACAAAATCTGTCCAGACCAGTTCGGATGACTGCTTGTGGGGAGCCCGGGCTAAGCACGTCACGATGATGGCGAAGAAGCCGGTCAAGGTCACGGCAACTGCCGCCATGACGATAGGTTAGACCGATTATCAGAGAAGGATGTTCGGGATTTTCCACTTACACGACACATCGTTGATCCACATACTTCGCTTCATGGTGAAGATGTTGTGCAGGCAGAGGACAAGGTTGACTGCCTGATATACGAGGAAATAATGCCATGTTGCAGGGACATAATCAGGGTGGGTGAACTATTGTCATCATGGTCAACAAGGCGCATCATTCAGAGCAAGGACTAGATGCGACAATCTGCTCAAGAGGAGACACTTGTCCCAAGAGGAAGGGACTTACTATGACCATGCCGATTACCACTTGCGCTACTATGATTGCGATTCCAGCAGAGGTGGCAATCCAAGAATATACATTGGTAATGCCACAAGCATAACTCTGGACGTCGTTAGCGACATTGCATCATCTTTGGAATGAACAGATTGGTACCAAGATGCGTGCTGGTTTGGCTGGGGTCAAGATCGAAGTCCAGTGATACCTTGTGCGCGCGGTCAGCAACGGAGCATCGATCAGGTCCAGGCGATACTTACTGGCCTCCCGCTGTCGGGTACACGGAAGCCAGTTCGGCAAGAGTCAGCCCACTACAGCCGACCATGACGAAGCACACAATGACGCCGTATATCAAGGTGACTGAACCGCCTTGAGCAATCGTCAAAGCTATAGTTGCAGCCAACCCGATCCAGCTGTTGCAAATGTTCCACCCGACGCAGATGATATCAAGAGGGCCAATGTCTCGTTCGGCGGCCTCCGCGAGGCCAAGCGTCGATAGATCGGTGGTGCCGAAAGTGCCTTGCCGAAGGGCTTCGACTGTGCAAGTCAGTAAGAAGACATCGCAGGTGAGGCAGTCGCCGAAAGACGACAAACGACGCGTCTTGAGTATCAAGGCTTGAGAGTCCAAACATACCTTGGGCAAGGCTGACCTCTGGCTCATGGCAATGAGAGCCATGTTCTTGTTTGGTATCGATATGGGAGCTCATGGTATAGGTCTGAACAGTGCAGAGTGAGATTCTGCAATTATCGTGATCGTTGGGTTGGACGAGGAAGATTTCTGGTCGTCATGTCTGAGGGGATATGAGCGGTACTGATACTGCATTTTAAACACAGGCCGGGGCAAGAGTCATCCCCAGAAGGGGTAATAACTTGGTCCGGGGATGATGAAGCTTTCGAGGATACGAACAGAGCGTGTAGACTGTTCGCCCAAAAGGGAAAGTTAAGTGAGCGGCTCCAGAACCCTAGCCTTGGTCGGATCAGGTGAGAGACGTGGGGAAGTCGAAAAGGGAAGTTCGTCGACAAGCCCCCTGGGGCGTCCATGCCAGCAGCCAATGAGATGCTCTGAGACGCTGGTGTTGGGTGGCATCGTCTTCCTCCTACCCTGCATATGCTCCTGGATGCTTCGAGGCCGTACTGCAATGTGCGCGAACATCATGAGACGTTTTCTCAGCTCCGAAAAATATAAAACGAAGTAACATTCGGTCTGGATTTCGTTTGTTGGTTCTCCCAACAAGTCACACACTGAATGAAAATGGCAGGCATTGCGAAATCGTCAGAAGGGTGGCACTGGACCCCGAGCGGTGGACTCGTTGCTGGCATTCCGTCAAAGGGAGTGATACAGCCATCACAAAATATCAAGCAATCGGATGCCGTCTTCGACGTGATAGTCATTGGCGCAGGCTACACTGGCCTGACTGCCACAAGAGACTTGACTACTTCAGGTACGTTGTTTGCGTCAAATGCCGAATATTCAACATGAAACTGATGACGGTCATGTTAGGCGTTAAGACACTACTTCTCGAAGGTCGAGACCGTATCGGTGGACGGACGTGGTCGTCCAATATCGATGGGTATCCCTATGAAATGGGGGGTACATGGGTGCATTGGTTCCAGCCGCATGTGTATCGAGAACTGTCAAGATATGGCATGATCAATGAGCTGGTCCATTCGACCGATTTCACCAAAAAGCACAACTACTTCAGCTTCGCAACACGCTCTGGTCGCAGGACTATGAGCCATGAGGAAGAGGTTTGTGACATCGAAGTGTTTGCGGACGGCAGCTAAATCAGCATAGGATGAGATGTTTTCTCGAGCGATGCAGAAGTTCGTCAACGTTGATGGCAATTTTGGCAAAACGGTCATGCCATTCCCTTTCGACGCATATTGGAATAAGAACGTACTGAAATATGCCAACTTGTCGGTCGCTGATCGCATTGCCCAGATCAGGCATGACCTGTCTGAGGACGAACGCCATGCCATCGAGTCTTTCGTTCTGCTGTGCAGTGGCGGCACAGCTCAGAATTCGGCGTTCCTGGATTTTCTTCGTTGGTGGGCAGCTGGAAACTATGACTATAGGACATTGTTGGACACTATCATTGTCTTCAAGTTGAAGTGTGGTCAATCGGAGTTTGCCCGTCGGTTCTTCAACGAAGCGCTTGCAACGAGTAATCTTGCATATTCATTTAACACCGTCATATCGCGAGTCGATTCGACAAACAATACCGTCCGCGTGACCACACGCGACGGTCGAGCATTTCAGGCCAAGCGCGTGATCTGCACAGCTCCGTTGAACGTGCTGAGCAAGATCGCCTTCAATCCGCCGCTGCTTGCAGAGAAAACGGAGGCGTCCAAATTAAAGCATGTGAACCAGTGCGTCAAAGTCCACGCAGAGATCAAAGACCCCGAGATGCGGTCGTGGAGTGGCGTAACATACCCGGACAACAAGCTGGTAATTGGCCTCGCAGATGGAAAGACGCCCGCTGGCTATACTCATTGCGTCTTCTTCGGCTGTGATGCCAACCATATTCACGCCGAAGAAAACATCGATGAAACTTTGAAAGCTGTAAAAAAATTTGCACCCATGGATGTGAACCGATTGGTAAGTGTTCAGGTTCATGATTCGCCGAGCATTTACTCACACAATATCCAGGTCTTCCACAATTGGTCCAAGGATGAATTTGCAGAGGGCGCATGGTGAGTCTTCCTTTGTCAAATTGCAGGGTTCATCTTGCTAATCACTTACAGGGTGTGGTACCGACCAGGGATGGAAGTAAAGTATCTCGAAGCCCTGCGCAGGAGGCAAGGTGCTGTACTGTTCGCCAACTCAGACTGGGCTGCCGGCGGCTGGAGGAGTTTCATTGATGGAGCAATTCAATCAGGTACGGAAGCCGCTCTGACGGTTCGAGGCGAATTGCGGGGAGAGTCTCGTGCAAGCCACTTGTGAGCAGGGCCAGGGTCTGCAATTCTAGCAAATCGAGCGTATAGTTGGGTAGCATAGAGCTCCAATTCATTTCAATCCAGGGTGATCAAGGTTGAGTGGCTGTGACAACAAGCACAACACAGCCGCGTGAACGTAGAGATGCTGCCGACTCCGTTAGTAGAGAATCCGGTTCCGGAAGGATTTCTTCATCGTCGCACGAGTTTTGCCCAAGCCCCCGTTAAGAGCCTTCGGCTGACGCATTATGCGTCTGTTGTCCATCTCTCGGATGTATTGTCATTCTGAAGCCTGGATATACCACCACGAATACCACTCTTTGCTCATGCTTCTAGCGATTGAGGTCAGACCGACTCGCAAGCTTGAGTAATGCCCATGAGGCACAGAACGGGAGAACTCCGCCACAATAGCCCATGTCCATGCCGAGGCGCCAAGAAAATGGGGGGGGAATGCGGATCTTGTTGTTCAGTCCGGAGGATCTGCCGTGCAAGCAGTTCGGTGAGTTGTGACTGGCTTTGCTCTGTGTTGCATGTGGAAACAACACTAAATGGGAGTGAAGTGGTCTAGACCTTCTGTCGTGGCAGCATCGAGTAACAATGAGTGGATTTGGGGTATCGAAGCCCGGCGGATGCTATGTCGGCCTTGGCAATATAGGGCGCTAGCCACAGGATAAAATTTTGTGTACTAAATTCCAGATATGGGAAATTTAGCAGAGCAATGATACCAAATGGCTTGATGGATAGAAGCCTTGGGATTCTGATGGGTGTTGGATGGTAAGCTGCCGTTTAGGTATCTTTAAGGTCGCGCCGCAGCTCGATCTGTATCGCCGACTAGTGATGAAAGATCCAGTCCGAAGTTCGTCAGGGTCCGCAAGGGTCCTCTCAGACACCCATGAGAGTAGAAGGAAGGGGTGGTGGGGGACAGCGAATAAGAGGGTGGACTGGGAATGCCCGGAGACGAAAAGTTGGATTGATACGACGGTGTTGTACCCTCGAAAAGGTAGACTTCAGAGCTCCTAAATGGGACAGCCAGATCTAAACTGGCAATCAGACGGCTTATCGGTGCGATACGATCGTGAGACCACGCGATCAGGGGGGTTGTTTCTTGGTTGAAGTGGCGATCAGTTGGCCACAAATAGAGATGCAAAAAAACTCCCCCGCCAACCTAGGCCCCGTGCAGCAAGAGACAAGAAGGGAAAAATGGCGACAAGCGCCTGTGTATTGAAAGAATGAAAAAAGAGGCGAGGAAAGGCCGGCTAGCAAAAGACTATAGGCTGTTCATGAGAAAACCCAAGGTGTGTATGAAGTTGCCAAAGGGAAAAGAAGCCAAATGTCAGCTGTACGAGAGCGTGGAGAATGGGAAGCTAATTCTCAGCTACTTCGCATGATGCAAGGAGCTTCGCCTTTCGGTCTGACGTGCCGTCACCCGCCTTTTTTCACCTTAGCGAGGCACTGTGGGTTGTTTGTTGTTTTCTGTACACAGAGAACACTCTCGCTCTCAACCTGACTCGATCTTCTCTCACGGAATAACATGCACAGCGACCGTATCCACGCTCGACCAAACCATGCAGGGCACACCACAGAGTTGGATCTTGTTCCAGTCCCCGGTGGTCCCCAATACGCCGCTCAAAGCCCGCTGTATCCTGGAAACCATCCCACTTTATTAGTTGGCAGACGCTCGGTGGAGCGGGCTCTTTTGCCTTTCCGCGAATGTTACGAGTACCTGCGTAGATGGATTTGTTACTTTCCTCTCCTCCTCACAGCCAACCAGGATACCGAGGGCGGGACGCGTAGCACAGGGGTCAACGCCCAGTGAAGAGACATTGCGGAAATATATGTACCTACAGTATCTTACATATGCTCCTTGATCCCCCGAAAAGTAGCAACCCGACATACGGCAGGTCAAGCAGCAGTTTCATCGCATCAATCCAACCATAGCAGCAAGCAGCATCAAACAATCACCCGTACAAAGTGGAAATGCTACATCTCATAGTATTCGTAACACCTATCCATACTCCATACAACACCAAGGGTCTGACCGGGTCAATAAATTCAATTCCGAGGGAAGGGAAAATGGGATCTAGTTGGACCCTGAAATGTCGTTCCACACGTTCACCATGGCCCATGCCTTGCTGGATACTTGCACTTGTACCTCTAGCAGTAAGCCTGATCTTCAGCCGAAGTCTTGGTGCTGTCTACCGAGTGCAATCACATACTTCACAGTAGAATAATCCTCTAGGAGGCAGCTAGTTTGAGCTTAGGCTCAGCAGCGACGACAACACTATTACTCGAACGAGCTGTCTCGGAAATTGAGAGACTAGCCCACTCTGCGCAACTACAGGGCAATCGTTCTCGGACTCCCGTATACCAAAGCGTTGCAATGGTGTCGTGAGCTTCATGAAAATGGCATGACTGAGGGCAACCGTTAACCGGTCGATCTGGCGTGAAAAGACCATCTGGTGCCTCTTTTGGGTGAGTGTAAAATTGAGCGAAGGTGTTGCGGCCAAGAGACCTAACCACAAACTGACTAGCTTCCTCCTGGCCACGAGTGCGGAAGATTTGTGCATCCACCTCTGACGTCGATTGCCGCACAAGACTGCGATCCCGGTGAAGTCTTGGAATAGGACACAACTCTTCAGGAAACTGAGATCTCTCTGCTAATACTCGATCCTGCGCACCAGGCAGGTTGGAGCGGATCCAACCCACTCCCGTAGCTGCTTCTCTCGAGCTTCCACCATCTCTCTCTCCTCTACAATGTACTTCCATGGCTACGGGTATGGGGGTCGCGACACCAGGGATCCCACTTGAGGTGTCCAGTCGGTGCCGAACGATGGGTCATCCTCGCCAACAACTTTTTTGCTCTTCACGGAAAATGCTGTTGCATCCACCCTAACATATCCAAGACGGACAACCTTCTCAGGAGGGCCCGCCGGTGCCATTCCGACACAATACCTGCTATACGGTAAAGTCGATGGATCAGATCAAAGTTTACGATTCCGCCATCAAGACTCCGATGGCATTTGCCTATTCCGAATCTCTGGAAACTTGCTCTCCCGTAACCATGGCAAGAGTAGAATTATCTCGAATCAGCGTATACTCGCAACGTCGACTCCGTATATGGCATCGGCATCCGGTCCGATCGTGCTTTAGCCGCGAGGCTATGGCTTTTAACATCGGAATAGGAAAGCCGTGGTGGCATCCATCTAGATAAGCTTATGAAAGCAGCCCCAGGTTTTTGGTGAACAGTGTACGTAAGTCTCTTCTTTTCCTTTTCAATGATCTTGGAGAGATCCTATCAGTCAGTTGCAGTGCGTAGGGTAATGACGGCGGTACTAAAGACACAGCCTTGGTTACTGGGAGCAATTCCCGCCTCAGGCAAACTTGGCCTTGCAACGACTTCAACCAAGCATGACGGGCGGCCACGCCATCGATTCACGATAGTTTCTCCAACTCCTGTTCGGGCTGGCGATCGACATTGCCTGCGTCTACAAAATGATGCTAACTTGCTACTTGCCTACAAATAAAGTCTGTCTTGCGTGATACTCGTAACATTGTCCACTTTTCCTTCTGTGCTTAGTCCCTCGCTTCCCACTCATGCAGTCCACCACCTTGTCAGATCCGCCGGTCGAGTCGAAGAAAGTCGAGTAGGAGTATCCCCTCGCCATCCTATAAGTCTCATACTTCGGAATACTTTGAACACAACAATTGTAATTGCATCCATGGGGAATATCCTTGTTTTCCTTCTTAATGACTTCAGGCGGGTCATTACCCGAAATGTCTTCCCGGTCAGGACAAAAATCTCTTGGGCTGAAAAAAGGATTCTTCGAATCCTACAGGGTCCGAGCAATGCATAAGGTTTGGTCAGTCCGACACTAGCAGGGCATTGATGCGGTATGATGTATGAAAAAGTATAAGTCACCGACACGGAGCCCCAGCCGGATCGGGAAGCAGGTGTCGAGATAGATGTTGCTGGCCGAGTCCATGCTGATGAATAAAAAAAATTTCATTCAGAATGCCAGACTGTAGGGGTTCGGGCCCGTTAAGGTGTAAGATGACACCCCCGATGGTACTCGGACGATGCCGGTCAAGCACAAGCAATCGATGATCGGAAGATGACTGCATTTTGATACGAGCGCAGGGAATTCCTCGTATTATTCGTGAGCAGCGCTCTTGCAGGCTAAGCCAGATTGGAACAGCCGGGGCGATCGTATGCTGCTGCTTTTCGAACCCTCTTCTGGCGTCAACTTTACCTGGACGACCCAACTTCATCGACCTGCCTCTTCCATCCACCAGCTTAGACCTTCCCCCCTCCCTGCACACATACACCCCTTACGCCGATCTTGGACCCTGCCTCCGATTTCTCCCAGCTCATACGAGTACTCGTACTATACGCTTTCATTTCACGCTCTGCACTTCCCACTTCAGGACGTCCAAGACTGACCAAGAGTTAACTTTGAGATGGCCCAACAGAAACCCGACAACCAACCCCCCAGCAGCCAATCAGAAGAGGTCCGTGAGAATGACAATCCGCAACTACTGAATAGCGAAATGGCCAGAGTAAGCAAAAATCCTGTTTATTAATGCCGGCTTGGACTGTCCACTGACCGTTATCCTCGCACTGGGTTCTATAGGCATTTCAGGAACTCGCACAGTAAGATCAACGATGAGTCTCCGCATCGATTCAAGGGAATTAATCACGGTAATTAGTGGCGAGAGGACAGCATCCGCCCTGGAAGCCAAACTCGACGGCATTGAGAGTCGCATCGAGGAGCTGCTGGCAAGTATCGAAACAGGCTCCCGCCAGCCTGGTCAGGCCTCGGACTCAGCGGCCCAGAAATGATGGGGCCACACCGGGAGATTCCGAAACAAAACTGCTTGTTCTGGGCAAATCGGACCTCGCTTAGCATGCCTTTTTCCCTCACCTACCCATCCTTATTTGCTTATCCGGCATCGCGAAGACAGATTACGAGCGTACTCGTAACGCATCCCGTGCCAAGCATCCCGATTAGCCGGTACGATTGGAAACAGATTATTGAACAACGGTCTCCATTATGGAGGCGCAGGAAGATCGCTGTAACTGGCTACTGATCACGATTTCTGGAATAGGGAACCAAATTCGAAACGGCCCTCCACCTTGACCACCACACCGACCTCGGTGATGACTCCGTCGATGAGGTCTGCCGGTGTGACATCGAAAGCCGGATTCCAGACATCAATGCCGTCGGCAGCCGTACTGATGACTTCTGCATCCTCATCGACCAGTATCCTTCCATCTGGGTTAATCTTCGGTCCTTTGATCCTGGTCACTTCTTCGGGCGCTCTTTCTTCTATAGTGATGTCCTGACCAGACGCCGTACCGAGATCAATGGTAGTTCTTGGAGCAGCGACGAGGAACTTGACACCATGGTGACGGGCAAGTACTGCGAGGGAATGCGTTCCAATCTTATTCGCAGTGTCGCCATTGGCTGCAACTCGGTCAGCACCGACAACAATGGCAGCGAGACAATCTCCCTCTTTCGCCAACAAGGCGCAAGCCATTGAATCTGTAATCAGAGTTGCCGGTATGTGGTCGTGGACAAGTTCATACGCAGTCAATCGAGAACCCTGATTATATGGCCGGGTTTCCGTGCAATAAGCCCGACTCAGCATATCAGCTGCTCTTAAAGATCTTATCACGCCGAGAGCGGTACCATATCCAGCGGTTGCCAAAGACCTGAACATTATCAGTAATGGGGATCAACGTCGTCCTTCACGCTTCGTTTCTTACCCTGTGTTGCAGTGTGTTAAAACCTTTAGCTCTTGACCCTTGTCCTGCTTCCTTCTTCGCCCTACTGTTGTGTTTTGTTCTATCCACCTAGCACCGTGCTCGCCTATCGCCTTGTTGTCAGACACATCGTCAATCAGCATGCGCTCGGCAGCCGCGATGTAAGCTTGCGCTACAGAATCAGATGTGGCTTCTGGTTGTAAAGCAGCTGTTTTGGCAACAATCTTCAATTTCCCTACTGCATCTCCCAGGTTGACGGCTGTCGGTCTACTTGTCTTCAAGTACTCTAAGCGCTGGTTCAACCTCTCCTTGACAACTTCGGCGGCATCGGACAGTTTCTTCGCCACGACCATCGCCCCAATCTCAACAGCGAGGGCCAGCGCAGCCACAATAGCGATGGCTGGCGCACCCCGCACCTTCATTTGCTTGATGGCAGCATGGGCCTCCTCGCAGGTCGAGACTTGTTCGTAAGTCGTTCTATGCGGCAAGAGAAGTTGATCGAGGATGCGAAGGGAGGGAGGGGAGGATGTCGATGCGGGTTCGTATAGGATCGCTTGCAACACCATATTGCTGGTGAGGTAGGCACTTGGGACTGTTCAACAAGCACCGGACTGGACACCTTCTAATACTAGCACTATGCTGTGTGTATGTTTTCCACTTATATGTATGACCGTCGCCGCCACGACAACTTTTTTTTCCTTGCGTTCGCGATTCTCAATGCGGGGTACAGTACGACGAGTCAATCGAAAACCCTCGCGAACAAAACCTGATTCGTGATCTTGTACAGGGGATCATTTGAACATAGACGTGCAGCATGCCACGGATGTTTAAGATGCACTTACTCAACATCTAAATCTTCAATTGAGACAGCCAATACCTCGATCAAAAAGAATGCAGACTTTCTCTGGATCTCCCCTGGTAATATTTTCCTTGACTGTCGGCAATATGATAACTAGGTAGGTACCCAGCAGCCCACTCGGTCTGAAACGTCAGTTTCACACTTTGCTGAAGAAGCTCGACATTGCAATTGTACGTCCTCGTAACACATACTCGTAGCTGGGTGCCATCAAGTTTGCAGATTGTGGTCCATGATCGTCTATACTTGCAAAAGTCCCTTTCCATGGATCCTGACTACGTCAGCTGCGTCATGTATGACGATGCGATCTTCGATCTGAAGCACTGCAGAAAATGAGGCTGGATCGCGAGGAGATCGTCGGCACACAAGACACAAGAAAAGATGATGGAAATTCGTCATCGGGATCTACGAATGATGGTCGGTTCGATCAACGAAGGCTATGAAGCCCAGTCTTCGCGATCACGAGAAAGATGTGTCATGATCCTTGGATGGCAGACAACTGACTCCCTTGCGTCGGATCTGCAGATAAAGATCAACCATGAAGTTGTCTACAGATCGCGAGCATTATTGATGACAGGATCTTTGCCTTCTGAGCACGAACCCATATTCTTTGCAACCAAAACAAAGAAGTCGGTCAACACACTTCATGGTTTAATGGTAAGATCCCACGCCCCTTTAGGAGACCAAGCCTTGGAGTGCCTTGGAGGACATGTTGAAAGACTGATTGTGTGAGCCGGCTTGGGTGAAGAATGGAAGAGAATGGCAATTGGTCAAGTTCCTTCATACTCAGGTACCAGGTAGGTAGGTAGGTAGGCACCTGTGTTCCTGCTTCCATCTTGTACTTGTGCAGTTAGCGCTCATAACGAAACCACTGTCCTGATATGATGCTCCCAGATATGTTGGTATCGCCCGGGAGGTACCTTGGTCGGGATGAGTACTCGCCACGCATAGACGGTAAGTAGTAGTCCGTATCTTCTTGCGAAACTGCCACCGTAGCTATTTACGTAGAACAAAGTCCTCAAAGATCAAGCGGGAGCACCATATCGGCCTCGGCTACTTCCCGAACGACATTGTGATCAAATGGTGCCTTTTCAGAATCACGGCAAAATTCACACGCAGTCTCGTATCCCTTTGCTGCCGCTGTCAAAAACTCCCGCACCTCCTCGATGGTATTTAGTCTCCGGCAGTATTCGCTCAGTCCCGCCAGACATATTCATATTATACGACGGATATGCCCCCCCAGTGAACCAACTTACAACTTCCCAAGAAGGGTAGGCGTGAGGAAACAAATCCCCGTTGTCGACCGAGTACAGTAGGAGGAAGTTTTGTCTTGGCTTTCTGCCCGTGCGGTCATTTCCATTTCGTTGAGCCGCATTGTTTGATCCCCGACCTCGGGCTATCCGCATAACGAGGCAAAACTGCCAGCTTCAACGCGCCAACTCTCTCATGAACGGATGGCTTTCGAAGCATGTTCTCATTGATATCTCATAATCTTACCAATCTACCTCGTCCACCCCTCTTGTGTCCCCCTCAGGAAAGTAGATACAACAATTTGAAACGTGTTCTCCTCGTTACTGACTACTTAGCCTCTGGGTCTCCTGATATTCCTTCAAGCAGGCCACTCTACGCCACACTATTTACTCCCGGTCAACACATGTTACCAGCCGCCATGATTTTGTGCCGAGCTCGCATACCAATTTAGCCGGAGACGTTCAATGGACTATGTGTGAATTACATACGGTTCATCGTTTAGATGCCGAGTTCGCCGGCCTCCAATGGCGAACTTTTCCTGCCACAAACACTCTCTCCAGTCGATGGGTACCCCAGACGATACAAAATGTGGAGGGAAAGATAGGGAGGAGGTAACGCCGTCCGAACACCAGTGATTGCGACCTTGCCGGAAGCATACTTGGATCGTCCATACATCTCCAATTCACCCATATTTGTTGCAAAGTTGTTTACCGCCCTCAAATCAGGCTAATATCTATTCTCGACGACCATAACATTGCGACGCGGAGTGTGACCGACGGCAAATATCGCAAAGGTCTACCTTCGAGAACTACACGGACTTTCATAGCTCTCAAAGTCCATGTGACGTTGGGCAATTTATCCTGTTCCAAAGCGACCGGGTGTACACCGAAAAAGGAACGGCGGACCATGAGCTGGGGAATATATAAGATGCCCCCAGCTACGGCGAACCTGTAACAACTTCGAAATGATTCACGTCAGGTAAGGAAAAGGCTCCCGATCATCCATCCAGCATGCTCGGCTCTACTCTGTTGTCACTGCTCCCGTTGGCAGCGGCCGTACCATGGGGTAACCCAGGAGGATGGGGTGGTGGAGGATCTTCATCGTCGACTCCCAACTTTGACAACGTCACCATCTTCGTGGCGCCGGATGACTGGGAGCGTCGCAGCACGAGCTACGCTCGGGTCGTCCTGTTGAACCAAAACTGCGAGACCGACAATGTCCTCCTGACGACATTCACACTCACGCCCGACGGAGAACGTTACTATCCGGTCTTTGCGTCTCACGACCAGGGCCAGTCGTGGGAAGAGATCTCAAAGATCTACTTCACCCAAGAAGATACGGGCCACGACTTCAGCCAAGGCTTCCTGGCCCAGCCTGACTTCCTCGAGTTGCCCATAGACGTGGGTGACTACCCGGCCGGGACCGTCTTGTTCACGGGCATGGGTCAGCCCAATGACATGTCATCCACCAACATTTACGTCTATGCCTCTAGAGACAAAGGGTGAGTTGTTTGAGCCCCCTTTTCCCGCCTTGGTGGAAGCACGGCACGGCCAGTACCCATGGAGTGCGCCTTGCCCTTTCCCCCCCCCCCCCCCCCCCAGAATACATCTAGGTACACACAGCACTGACACTGGCAAACATTCGAAAGGTACACGTGGGAATTCGTCTCTCAAGTCGCCCAGGGCGGCCCTGCC